TTAGCTGTAGCTTAACTCACGTGCTCGCTCGGGTCCCCTTACATCAACCAACAATTATGTTCTCCTCTTGGGTGTGGGCTGAGCCTCGGTTGGCGTGGCGGAGAAACCAGAAACATCAACTCCTGGCCTGCGGAGCGACCAAAAACAGACAAAATGCGAAAACCTTTCTTCCGAGCACTGTTATCATTGCAGAGTACAAGCAAAACATCGCTAACATTGCCAGTAACACTGTCCAGTAATGCTTTTGGGGATTTCAGTGAAATCTACAAGCTGTTCTTGGATCCAGTTAAAGGCCTTGACAGCAAGCCGGACCTCGGAGAGGCGGCGTGTGTCCTCTACACAGGGGTCAGACAATGAAAACCTGCACCGTCACGACTTCCCATGCTTGTTTTTAAAGAATTAAAGATAGTTCAATCTTTCTTACACCTTCCTTCATGGATGATGAAGTCGAGGAATTATTCTCCCTTTTCCGACTTTAAAGGCTGAACACAGGTGACCATTCAACATGAGTACCTGTCAAAACACAGCTCTCCCACACACACAAGACTGTTATCTCAATGTCGGGTCTTTGTAAAGAAAATAAACACAAAACATTTAAAATTTTCACATAAATGACATATTTGACTCTCTAATATCGTCAGGATGTGATTTTCTCTGTGAGAAATCACAACTTACCATATTTTCCGCACTATAAGGCGCACTTAAAATCCTTTCAGCTTGTCGGAGCACTGCAGCTACCGTAGCTTCGTGGAGTTATTGAATGAGTTAAATAAAGTTTGACTTACCTGACTGATTTGTTTGGCTTAATGTGCTTTATAATCCGGTGTGCCTTGTGTATGAAAACAGCCGCGAAAAGACGCGTTAATTGATGGTGCGCCTTAAAGTGCGAAAAATACGGTAAGCTTGTAGAGGTCAAGCAAAGCTAAGACTGCTTTGTCCACAGGGGGCGCCAAAGTGGACGCAAACCTTAAGTTTTGAATGAACTCAGTAAATCTTTTGAGTCTGTTCAATTGAAATTTTCAACAACTGGAAAAAAAAAGTTGCCCAAAGCTTGAATTCAGGTCTGCAGCTGCTCTTTTTGTCCAGCCAAAAGTCCTGAAACAAAAGTTTGGCGGTAAAAGCACACTGAGCACTAATTAGTGGCATTTGGCAGAACAGACTCAGTAGGAGTTTTATGTTTTAACGAGCGCATGGTCACCTGAATATGAAAATTGTTTTGTTTTTGTTGACTCATATTCGGCCTTTTATCCTTTCATAGGAGCACTTTCCCCTTCAACAAAGAAGCTCATCTTGCACTGCCTTGTTTGGCTATTAGAAAATGCATCATAGGAGCTTTTTGTCCTCTGAGGCTACCATCCCTTGTGGAGCTGGGGTACATTTAAATTGAGAGTCGGACCTCTAAACATGACTGAAAATCCACCTTTCCACACACTGTACCTTTAAAGATTAGACCCTAACACCAACAAACGTTCACATCTCTGCTTGACCAAACTACTCAGTTTTCAGGATGGTTGCTGTATGTTACTTATTCGATCTAATAAATTGAAGATTCTAGATGTTAATATGCCGTGAAAAGTTCAGTGTTTCATTTCAACACATAATGAGATAGAAATCCAGTAAATACGATATAACTTTTGAGTAAAACAAGTCTTAAACACTTTTAAAAAGTCTAATAAATACTCCTATAAAACAAAATCTGCACTCATTTTGCAGCTGAGTTAAGAGTCTGTGCAGCTTCACTGTGCGCTCAGACTCTTAGGGTGTGTCGTGTTTATAATTACCCTTTTTTTCTCATTTCAGTATTTATGTCATATACCAAGTATACGCAGCGACATGAAAAGAAAGCATGTGTGTGTTTTACAGTGAGGGTATCTTAACAGCAGCGGGGTATAGCGACGTCAGCTCCGAGGCTGTTAACCTGATTACTAATGGTTATTACAATGAAGCCTGTCGACCACATCAAGCTGCTGCGGCGCAGTAACGAGCTGAGCAGAGACATGAGAGAGCGCCCTGATGTGCACTTTCACAGCCCCTTGATTCCAGCACTACGAGCACAAGGACGCAGAGTCCTTCTCAAACGAGTGCAGAGGCGTGTAAGGTTATAAACAACATCCAAATTACTCCGTTAATTCAAGTCTTCCTCGAGCCAAAGTACACTCTACTTCCATGAATGCTTCTGCCGCTTCACCAGCTCTCAGGCAGATGCGGATTGTGGGTCCCTTTTTTTATGCATAACAAGATGATTCATTGTTCTGCTGCAGTGGTTTAGCTGTAGCAAAAAAAAGTAAATAAACTGAAATCATTGAAAGCTATAAACATATAAATCCTAACTCCACCCTCTCTTGCTCTGTCATTTCATCCAAACTCGGCTAAATCTGGCAAAGCTGGGCCTCCTCTCAGGTCAGGAGCATAACAAGATTTTAAAGTAATACAGTTTAATTAAAAGATATCTAAACTGGTGGCACGTGGAACACAAAGAGCAACAAATTAGAGACATCGGCCGCTGAATTCTTGCAGGGTAAACATGATTTAACCGAGCTGATAAAGCAAGACGGAGCATGTGCAATCAGAGTGAAAATATGACTTGCATTTACGACACAAACTTATCTTCCACATGACACGTGCACTTGTAATGCGGCGTTTCTCTGTGACCGCACAGCCTCAGGTAGTCCGTCTGTACCTTTGCTGTCAGCCCTGTCTTGCTTGCGAGGAGAATTTGAAACATTTGGACATGAAGATCACAAATTAGATTTGAAGACCAAACTTAAACAATGCTTGCCAAACATGATTAAGTGCCTTTTGCCGGGGAAGGTAGCACTTTGGAAAATTGCAGATAATTTGGTCTAATTTACAGAAAAAAGGGTTCAAACAAGTTCCATGTTTTCCAATCTTTAATTATACCTGTGGTGAAAGACGCCTGTCACAGTCACGTGTTGTAAAGACGCCGCATATAGAAACTTGGTGAAGACCTCAACCCAAGAACGCTTCATCATCTTTTTTGCAAATACATCCATGCTGTCAGCAGTATCCATGTACATTATGGGAACACAGGATGTACCATAAATGGTCCCATGTTCAGGAAGATTTTGGGATGGGATACACAGTACCCTACACATCGTTTATGGCCACTTGTGTGTTTGAGAACATGTGATTATTTGGGTGTATGCATTTCCGATGTGGCTGGGCTGAAATTGAGAAATTATAGCTGGAGGATCTCAAAGTAAGCAGGGCAAGGTGGAGGGCGAGGGAGGATAATACTGGAGGATAGCGCTGATTGAGGAAATACAACATCATGACAGAAGCTAGCTGTAATTGTAGGAATAGGTTTGAAACCTCTGATGATGTATATGCACAGAGGGTACCAAAAATAACGAGTGACCACATGGGCATGGCGCCTTTTCTGCAGCAACAGCAGCCTACTACTGCTCCATGAAGACAGCTGAGCCACAGTAAAAACCTGCCCTCTGGTGTCCAAATACTGGAACTGTATGAAGGCTGATGTACACTGCGTTACATTCTCAAAGCTGCTCAGAAACAAGCCTAAATGTCTTTTCCAGTGGCTCCCTATATAGTTTTATTAGCTGTTTTGAGGCTTAAACACTCGCAAAACAACACAACTTAAGAAAAAACAGTTCATCCTGACATAAAACCTGAAATAAAGCCTGAAATAAAGACTGCTTTGTCCTCCTTTAGCCACAACTGCAAGCTGACCAAATAATATTCAGGAAATGTACAAAACTAAATATGTGAATCCCTTAAATAATAGCACTACATCAGAAATAGACGTATTTATTTGCCTCCCATCGAAGGAGACTCAAATCTGCAGTATTTCCATCCATAGCACTCTGGACAACCTTTCCCCACCACTTCCCTTGTTTACCTTATCATAGCTGGCGTGCAGGGGGCCCAGACAGTCAGGAAAGGTAAAGCCAAGTCTCCTCCAGCCGGCTGGACTAGATGTAAATTTGCAGATGAGTCTGCTTCTGTGCATCCTCAATGCAGGCTTTGTGCAGCCAAACAGGTGCTGCTTCAAGTTGTTTTTCACAGATTTGTTTGGACTATTTTTAGACGCTGTCCATTTACACCACTATGATATTTATGAATGAATAAGGCTATTTAAAAACATGAATATATATGAATCCAGAGCATAAAATCTGCTGACAAATGGTACATTTTAAAGTTGAAAAAAAAAAGACTAAAGGAGTCCATGTGCTATTGGATTAAGTCGATTCCTCCCACAGAGCTTGTTTGTGTTCTTTGTTTGGCTTTCAGAGATTTACTTTGTTGATTCAAACATGATTATTTTCTAGTTCAGAAGAAAGACTGAAATAAGTGATAATCATGTGTCTGGATATTCAAGACACAGAGGCACCCTGATGTGACATGCCCGCTTTGGGCAGATCTGTCTGCTAATTACAGCTTAGTTCTGAGGAGGGAGGTACTTGCGTGGTGGGGGCTTTTCTTTTTTTTTCTTAATGATGCGAGGGGTAGATATAGTATAAATACCCTCATCATTGTACTGGAAGGCAGCATATCCTCAGTTGTGCTCCTACCTTAAGGATATACAGCAGTACCAGGAGCTCACTGGTGCTGAGGAGATTGATTTTTTTCCCCTTTGGATGCTGGTACGTCTGATTTTCCTCTAACTAAAAACAGCTCTGTCTCTGGAGGAGTGTGGGCAACATCCAGGCTTTTTCCAGGCCTTTTGTTGAAACTTTGGCAGGCAGGGGAAGGGAGGCAGATTTTGGCATACTTTGGGAAGCTTTGGGTCCTCTTTAAGAGAGTCCTGAATGATCCAGGATGCTTGCACTGACATAAACTTTTAAAATCACACCATATTGCTCCAGCAATACTTTCAGTTTCTGTATAGATGTTTGACCAGTAAACTTAAAAGTTTTTTTAGGCTGTGTGAAGAGCGAAAGCTTGATGAAACTGTGTACCTTCAGAGTGACTGTGCTGACTGTCTTCTTGGTTTTCTCCTGCAGGTTTGAGTTTGCAAGATGGACATACGAGTAGCAAGCATCCTCCTCCTCATGGTGGCCTCCACAGCAGCCCACGGGAAGGGCTACGTGGTGAAGAAGATGGTGAAAGCCCCTCAGTACCAGCCCTACTCTGTGAAGAGCCACGGTAAGAGAACTCTGTATTACTTTGACTGAAGACAACGCTCACGTCTCGAGGTTGTCCCCTTTACATGTTCCTCAAATTTCAAGTTTTCCTCCCAAAACACGATATTTAGCTTCACTTTCAGACAGTCATGTCTTACCTTTGAATATTTGGCGTAATATTTACAATTTTCAGGCTGGTAGATTGACGACTTAGACAAATGGCAGCTACAACTAGCTGCACCTTAGTTTGAAAAGACTCCACCTTGCGCAGGACCTGCCTCGTCCTCTGATTGGCTACAGCAGTGGCACGGTTATCCAATCATATTTAGGCTTCTGAATCAACGCTGTAAATAACAAGGCAAATTTACTCAGCGTGAAGCTTTACAGTTTTCTATTTCTGCTTTTTTATAAACTATTCGCTGCAATGGTTTGTTCTTTGTAGGCTTTAATTTAGTCCTTATTCAGTCAAATTAGTTCCCTTATTATTCAAACATTTAAGGACCTAAATTTACCTTCTCTACTAGTACTAGTACCTCCCCTACTGTTCTTAAAAATAAGTCTGTTTTTGCTGGTCTTTGGAAAGCTTGTTGAGAATATTAAAATTCAATATTTAACAGTACAATATGCAGTATTTTGTAATATCAAAGTTGTTTTTGAAGCAGCTAGTTGTCCAGTTTTTACATGTTTTTGATTTTTGTCATTTTAGCAAATGTGGCCATGCTATGTCTATAAAAGTCCATATTTAGATTCCTGCAAAAGCCTGTTTTACCTCTCCTTAAAATACTTATTACGGTGCGGTCTTGAGTGTGGCCTCTAAGAGTATACAAAATATGAAATGTTGCATCTGTGTAAATCACCATTTTGCTATTTTTATTTAAGAAAGTAGCTGTTAGTGAATTATTTTTAGTTTGAAACTGACAATTACAGTGCAGTCACCCAGCGGTGTGGTTTGTTTTGGGTGTGCCTGTTTCACTCAAAAGTAGAAACATCTGGTTGGCTTTATCCAAACTGGGCTGCCGTGAGCCTTTTACATTTAAACACATGTGACCACATTAAGGCAGCAAACAAAAAAGGCTCCTTATTTAGTTATTTTCAAGTTACAAGAAGAGTCTTGAAGCTCTTTGGCCTGTATGATAGGATATAAAAACTGAGCAAAAAAGCTTTTGTTCAATGTTTTATTTATATTCATATGTTTTTTTTACATTACATTTAGGCCTCAATAGTGTTAAAATAGATGCTCAAAAGATGAATGTCCAATGAGATCTTTTCTGCATTTATTTTAACTCTTAAATTTAAAAAAAGGATTTACACAAGGATGAAATTAAAGGGTGCTTGTGAATCAAAACCATGCAGTCAAACATGACTAAGACATGCGCCCCCTACAGAGATTGAATATTACTGCATTTGAACCAATAGACTCAACTGGACAACACTATGGGAGCAATTGCTAAATGCTGAGTTTAATAAGACATCCATCATTTTCAACACTCTGGTCAAACACTAAAAAGTACTGATTACAAAAAATGAATAAATAAATAAAACAGGGATCTTTATTTTGGCCTGTGAGTTTTGACATTGTTGGTTAGTGTCTTTTTAAACGTACACATGTGGAGGCAGCCACATCTCTGTTTCAAAAGATTCAACTAGAGGTACCAGTTACACTTTATCCTGTGTGTACAAAACACAAGGAGTCATTTTGGTACATCATAGAAATAAACTGTACAACCGTGCACCATTACTGGTCAGCATGTGAAATACATGACACAGTTTGTTCATGGAGCACCTCCTTGTCAATCCGTTTCCATGACAACTTGATTTTTCTGTGGTATCTATGTGTTTTGTTTTTGGGGGTCACTGATGTCGGCTTCTCTCTTCACAGTTGTGTCAGTGGCAGGTGAGCCTGGTGCTCCAGGTGAGCCCGGCCCTGAGGGTCCCCCTGGCCCTCCTGGCCCTCAAGGTGATAGTGCTGAAGGTGAACCTGGACCCCAAGGACCCCCTGGACCTCCCGGTGCTCCTGGCCGCTCCATTGCTGGCAAACCTGGAGCTCCTGGTGGGCCTGGAAAACCTGGTAGCAATGGAGCACCTGGTGAGAAGGGAGACACCGGAGCCACTGGCGCTCAGGGACCAAGGGGAGTCCCTGGATCTCCTGGAAGCCCTGGACCTGCTGGCCTCTCCGCCACTGGCAAGCCTGGACCTTCAGGTCTGCCTGGAGCAATGGGACCCAGAGGAGAGCCTGGTCTGAAAGGACATCCAGGTATCCCTGGACTGCCAGGTCCTAAAGGTGATAGAGGGATAGGAATAACTGGACCTCAGGGTGAGACAGGACCTGAGGGACCAATGGGCCCACCTGGAGCACCAGGTGAGGCTGGAGTTGGAAAGCCAGGTAAATCAGGTATGCCAGGTGAGCCAGGAAAGTCAGGTAGCCCAGGTAGAGATGGGGCCACAGGTCCCACTGGACCAATGGGACCAAAGGGTCATACTGGTGCCCCAGGTGTAGGTCTTCCAGGTAAACCAGGAGAGAATGGTGCCCCAGGTATGCCCGGCCAAGTTGGCCCTAAAGGTCACATGGGACCTGCTGGAGCCCCTGGTGCCCCTGGAGTCCCTGGATATGGAAAGCCAGGTGCAAATGGAGAGAAGGGAGATAGAGGAGCTACAGGTGCTACAGGAGCTACAGGTGCAAAGGGTGAGCAAGGCCCAACAGGATATACTGGTGCTACAGGTGCAACTGGCCCCACTGGCCCTATTGGACCTCAGGGTCCAAGAGGTTTCACAGGTGAATCTGGCCCTGTTGGCCCAAAAGGTGACACGGGTGCGTCTGGACCTCAGGGAGCAAAGGGAAACAAGGGAGATCAGGGAGCACAGGGTTTCGCAGGCAAGCAGGGTTATCCAGGTGCAGCCGGTCCTCCTGGACCCAGAGGCGCTACTGGACCTGCAGGTGACAAGGGTCATGTAGGCCAACCTGGTACCCCAGGTGCCCCAGGTATTCCAGGCCCTGCTGGGCCAAAGGGTCATCCTGGCCGTGCTGGTGAGCCTGGTGCCTCTGGTTCTGATGGTGCCCCAGGTCCTAGAGGCCCTTCTGGTCCTCAGGGTCCTGCTGGTGCTCCTGGTCTCAAGGGACACCCAGGTCTCCCTGGCCCTGCTGGCCCAGCTGGTTTGGCTGCTAAGGGTGTCCCAGGGCCTCAGGGTCCTCCTGGTCTGCCCGGTGAGGCTGGTGCTGATGGAGAGGCTGGCCCAGCTGGTCCTCCTGGTCCCCCTGGTCCTCCTGGTGAGGTTGTGTTTGAGAAGGGTAAGGGTATTGCAGAGGTTATGGTCAAGTCTCCCATGTCTGCTTTCACTGCATCTCTTGCCACCCCCTACCCTGCTGCTGGCAGTCCCATTAAGTTTGACCAGATCGTATACAATGCTGAGAATCACTATGACCCTGAGTCCGGCATCTTCACTTGCCAGGTTCCTGGAGTCTACTATTTCTCCTACAGCATCCATGTTAATGGAGCTCATGCTCTGGTGGCTCTGTACAAGAATGGCCAGCCTGTTATGTTCACTTATGATGAGTACAACAAGGGCTTCCTGGACCAGATGTCCGGAAGTGCTGTCCTCTTGCTCGATGAGCAAGACACTGTCTACGTTCAGATCCCCGATGATGAGGCCAATGGTGTCTTTGCTGCTGAGAATGTCCACTGCTCTTTCTCTGGGTTCCTCATTGCTTCAACGTGATACGTTGATTCTGTAGCTACCAACAGCCAACCAACTAAATTTGCAACCTATTTCTCAAACTAAAGTAAACTCCCTGTTCATTTTTCCTCAACCAGATAGACAGGCAGTTCACCCTTATTTGAGGAATAGTAGCATCACGACTTGAAAACTACAAGAAAAAGGTGCTTAGAAGAAGGAAAACTAATTTATGAAAACAGGTGATCAGGGATGGGGGAAGCAATCCACAAAGTTACCAGTGAGCTTTTGTAAGGGAGACAGCATGTGAAATGCAGGTGTTATAACTGTGTTGTGTCCTGACTTTTTCTTATCCACTCTGTTCCTTTTATACTGACTTCAACTGGTGATTCTTAATTGAGTGTTTGTCTGTTTTGTTTGTTTTTGTACCTGCTCGTTTTTGTTTGGGTGACCAATAATCTATTAAAAGTACACAAATACTTTCTGTGCAACATGTCGTAACTGTTATCCTTGTATGTGACTTGAATATTGTGAAATGGTAATGGTCAAATTGACCATTATGATTAAACAAGTCACTCAAAAAACTGTCAAGCAAACACAAACTACCAGCAACTTGGTAATATACCCGAACATGCATTATGTCATGTAAAGCATAATGACCAAAATAAAGGTGTCTAAACAAAGGTTTTGTCTCAGGAGCACTTTTTGCATGCATGTGAAATAACACAAAAAGCCTTCATTAAAACTTGTGTGGGTACAGGGTACAGGTTACATTTAATTGCATTATTTTCAACCATTTTGAATGTACCTTTCATGTAAGTTATTCACATAATAATTAATTGTATCTTTCTCTGTCAAAACCAAGAACATTATCTTATTCCTCGGGTCCAGTGGTTAGCAACAGAGTGTAAATCACTTCAGTCAATATGTGAACAAACAGTCTTTGCCCAGATTAACTGAGCTGGTACCTCAGAATTAGACGTGCTTTAAATACAACTGCTGAAATACACGTCTTTCATTATAGGAAAACACAACTTAATGTGGGCAACACAGTACAAAGAAGCTGGTCTTTACTGTACCTATAGGCAGTTATAACCAAAGACCCAAATGTGAAGGGAAGCACCAGTCAATTTTTCTGGATGAAAATGTCTTTATTACTGTTCACTTACTTGCTGAAAAGTTGCATGATTACTGTACTTACACAAGGTTGTGCTGTTGCACTAAATATCAACACTGCTTTAAAAAAGCTTCCGCAGCACTTACTTAGCCTGCTTAAAGCTACTGCGAGGACTTCTTACATTATAGTATAATTGATGGAAATCAATAGCAATGCTTTCTTATGACCAAGGAGAGCAAACCAGACTATCAGGGACAAGATCATGCATTTCCACCGAGTAATTTTTTATGTCTTTACCTACAATCAGGAGGTAGATTGCTAACACACCAAATAAACAAATTTACATCTAGCACAGATTTATTCACAGTAAGTGAAACCTTTGATTGCTTCCAGACAAAATGATAAGCCAGATACAGAACCTGGACATGTACATGAAAATGCCACACAATAGAGGAAGTTTAGCTATGTCCAAAGGGGGGCGCCACAATCAGTACAAATTGCAAATGTTTTGCCATCTTCAATCAAAAGTTATTGAAGACCTATTTCTGCTGCATGCAATGAAGATGGACAGTCCTCTGAAAATTCAATTTTGTTGGTCTGGCTGATCGGGGTTGAGTAATTGCAACCTTAATAAGAGAGCTAAACCTATTCAGTGGTTGGATAAATGTTGTGCTGTTTGAAGGATAAAGTTAAATTAAAAAGTACATGTGTACTTGTGCTGTAATTAGTCCACTCCACAGGTCCCTGTACAGAGACTGAGATGGACAAGGACCATAAATGTTTAATATCTCCCCACATGATGGCTCCTGCTCTCCTGCAGCAGCCGGAGTTTTTAAGAGCTACTTTACCATTCAAGTCTGAGTGTGGCTGCTCTGAAAATAGTCAGGGGACAGGGATGGTCCTCTGGCAGGGCCGCTGCTGTTTGATCTTTCCTGGTAGGGAGAAAGCAGGATGGTGGTTAGGTGAGAGGCCCCGGGGACAGGAGAGAGGGAGGAAGCTAGCTGCAGGAAACCGCCGGGGATTGCCATCTGAGGGGGACTGCCATTCAGAGACGGTCTGCGGTTGAAGCATGAGGTGGGACAGACAGGAACACAAACTGCAGCACTGCCCTCCACAAGCCACACTCCAAAATATCTGTCGCACTTAAAGGAATATTTTTCACTTTGATATATTTTTGTTTTTAGTATGTGTTTTTATTTCCATGCATATATACAACTTTGGTTTCAGTTTGTCTCAAATGTAGCTACCAAAGTGAGACACTTCAAGGAGAACTGAGAATAGTATGAGGCATGATGGGATTCTTCTTGGCTAGGGGATGCATGCGAGGCACAATAAGGGCCGAAATGGACATGCAGACGAGGCAGCAGGAATAGAAATATTATGCGTAAAACACACCCTTGTTGCGGTGGCCAGAGCAGTAGCACAGAGGGTTAAATTGGGTAAAGGGAAATAGATGGTTTGAGTCCAGCTGTGGGTGGTTTAAAAACACCCCAGAGATTTTTGCAGCACACCCTCCTACTCTAAAAAAGACACTGGTGTTTTTATGGGGTTTGGGGTTTTGTCAGAGGAATCCGAACATGTCGACAGAGAGCTCAGGCATCAGTCAGATCTGTGCTGGAGTCGTTTGCTTCAGATACTAAAACTCCAGACGCTGTAAAAATGTTTGTTTCAAACACTATCATTTAGGTTGCAAAACCCTGAGCTCTGTCATTGAATCAAACGCAACTTACCTCGAACCTCGTCACATAATTACATTGTGGCTGTTCCCCGAGTAAGTCAGTAATTTCCTAAAAATACTGCTGGGTGGCTGAACATCTCTGTTTTTTTCTTACAACAAATGAGGCTGCTAAAGAGGAAGACAGACGCTGGTAGTAATCAGATATTGATGAGGGCGTCAGTAGCTGTTTGGACAAAATTTCTGCATTGATTTGGAAAATTTTTAAAAATCTACCTTTATATTGGGCTTGCAAATTTGTAATCCTCTTACCAACTTTATCACACAGCCTGATGATCAAACTCATTCAATACCCTCATTATGAGTTCTTACCCATCTTTATCATAGTTCGGATTTCCCAAATGCAGCTAAATACTGTTTTTGAAAATGCCCTGGCTGATGCAAAACCCTGATTGGTTTTTCGACGAAACACAGGAGGGTGCTATAGAGTAAGAAAGAGTGTGTATCACAAAAACAGACATCTCAGAAAGCAACAAGAAGGACAGTAAATGAGAGAAGAGTGCCAATTCAAACTTAATACCTTTATTCTGTAGTGTTCACACAAAATAAATTTAACACCTATAACCAGTTTGTGATGTACAGTACAAGTTTAATATGGTGAAACCTAGTTATTTACAGAAAGATGCTGGTCAAATATTGCACCCCTGGCTCTGAATCTGTATCTTTCCATGTGTTAGGTGGTGTTGCAGTCATCACAGTGCGATCCAAAATTTGCTTAAAACATCTCCCAATTTTATTCAATCTTACAAATGGTGAAAAACAAGAAAACTTCATTTACAATGGGTAATCTGTTAAAAACTTCAGTCATTTAGGTACATCTCAGTCATAAAACCAGTAATATCAAAGTCTATACAACGTGCATTACTACAGAGTTTGAAATGGTGGGATCTAATAATGGGAAGTGATGAGCACCTATTATTTAGACAGTTCACTAAATCTAGTTCATTCAGGAATGGTTGTGTCCACAGGAGCATTGAGTTTAAGAGTTGTAAACAACTGTGCACTGCAAAGACAACATTTAAGACTTGGTTTAGGACTTTCCCTTTAAATATCACAATGTGTCAAATCTTGCAGACACAGCTTTAGCTGCTACATCCAATTGCCCAGCACCGAATACTTGGATAAAATATGTCGAATTCAGGTATGTGTCAACACAGTCATGGTTTCATGTAGAAAAGCATTCACACTCACATTCACACCTTCACACTCACCCACGTCACAATTGCAAGCACCAATGAGCAGTGAGGAAGCAGCACACTCTCCAATACACCTCCTGTCCATCACTGCCCAGGACGTTGCAGTCATTATGGATGAGATGGTTGCAGAATAGTAAACGAACACCAACAAAAATAATGAACAAAAAAAATCCCTGGTTTTAGACAAGTCCTCGCATTTCCTTCACACGGGCTCCATCCCTCCTTCATTCCGGCATCTCGCTCAGCAGGATTACTCAGCAGCGGCTTCTGGACTGGCTGCCGTCTCTGGCTCAGTAGGTGAAGCTTCAGCTGGTTTCTCCTCTCCAGCTGCTGCCGCCGCTGGCTCCTCCGCCTTCACCTCCTCCTCGGCTTTCGGCTCCTCGGCTTCAGCCTCCTTGGTTCCCTCAGCAGCCTCGGCAGGCTTGGCCTCTTCAGCAGGGGCGTCCTCGGCCTTCTCTCCTTCAGCTGCTTTCTCCTCTCCTCCTGCTGCTGCTGCTGCTCCCTCCTCTGCTGCCTCCTCAGACTCCTTCCTGGTCTTCTTAAAGGAGAAACCAGTGAGCTTGAAGGAGGGCTTCTTGAAAGAGAAACGCTTTTTCTTCTGCTTGCCATCCTCGCTGGTGGATGGAGTGCCTTCCTCTGGCTTGGCAGAAGCTTCTCCATTTGTGGCAGCAGGCTCCTTCTCACCGTTGGCCTCGGCACCCTCTACTTTCTCACCATCTCCTTTAGGCGCCTCCTCAGTAGGGGTGCTGCCGTTGGCCTGAACATCAGCTTTGTTGGCCTCCTCTGCAGCTGGAGAAGCATCCCCATTGGTCTTGGCATGGCCATTCTCCTGAAAGAAAAAAAACAACAGAAATGCCCTTTAAATATGCACTTCACTGTGCTGTTTAATTTAAAATGAATTCTGGACCCTTTACTGTCTGTAATCGTTAGTCTGAGGTCAGCACTGGCCTACATATGAACATGTGGCTGCAAGACTAACCCATGAAAAATCTGGCGTGCTTTGGTATTTAATCAATTTCAGCCTCTGGTAGCAACCAATAGGAAAATAGCCCTAAAACTGCAGCAACATCTGTTACTAAGAGAGTGACGACAGATCTGTGGCCCTCAGCAGTAGGCTAGCTGGTTAGACTGCAGTACCGCCATCCGCCGCTAGGGGGAGTTCAGTGAGGATTTTTGGTTACCAGAGGAATTTTGGTTTATTTTTCATCGTCTTTTGACGACCAAAGCAGTCAATTATTACTTGTTACTCTAATTTCCACGTGCTTCCATCAATTTTCTAGATTTGCGTGAAAAAGTTTAAGGTTTTGAGATTGCTATGGATGAAAAAAACATGGCTTCTTTCTTGAACCTGGCAACAAAGGCGTGGTGGTATCGTTTTTTAAAATGGCCATGCCACCATCAGTGAGAGCGGCCACAAACCCCTGTGCACACAGATTTAACACTACTTTCACAAAATGACGCTCTTTTGCGACAGAAAAAGCGCCACAGCAACAAAATATGCCAAAACTGAATCGGAAATAAGGTACATTTTGTTTTATTTAAACATTCATCAGATTAGTGGAACAGCCTGATCTCATTCATATTCAAAAGATGGATTAAAAATAAATGAATGAATTAAAAGGTTTATTTCTTTAAACAGCACAAAACCAAAGATGATATTTGGATGCAGCGCGAGGAAAATGTGAAAAATCAACTCGCCGGTGAAATTAAACATGTGGCCACTTTCCCTGAAATGCCGGTGAGCGTGGGGATGCGCTACGGGGAACAAGGAGCACGCCATTGGCGCAACACATTGCTAAAAAAGAGACTAAATCCCGCACGAGCATTAAAGATGTAAATAATTCAAACTTCATTTACCTGTCCGTTTGTCTTTGCTGCAACAGCTGCGCCTTCTGCTGGCTTTTCCACCGCAGCCTCCTCTTTTCCAGCGGTTTTGGAGATTTGTGCTCCCATGCTTTTTGGTACAACAAAGGAACCCAACCGATCAAAATGAATGAACAAAGACCGCAAGCTTCCTCCCAAAATTCCTGCTCAAATGCAGACACCTCCTTCTCCAACCAAAGCCGAGGAATCAGCCCGGGACCGAAGTGACCGCAAAGGGACGCGTGAGAGCTTGCAAAAAATGTGGCAAAGGTGCAAAAGAAACGCGAATTCTTGCAATTTTTTCTCGAGCCGAGTTTGTAAATGGAGAAATTGGCCCCGCCGCAAATGAGATGCGGAGTACAACGCCCAAGTCCACTGATGAATGGGTGCCGGGGCTATGACGACAAAGCCAGCCCGTCTCCACCAATCACAAGTCTCCAATCCAACGAGGAGGGGGGTCATGGAGTCGGGGGGCTGTGGACAATGGGAGAGCCACAACAACATGGCCAACAACTTGTTTTTATATTCACTTCGATGAGAAGCGCTCGACTTTATCTCCAACCGAGTGAACGACTCAGATTTCCCTCGGTTTGAAGGATTATTTAGACATCGATTTATCAGAGAGAGAGTCTTAAATAACGTGAAAAATAGGTTGACAACAATCCCTCAAAAAACGTGCTTTTAAAGGGAACAAGATGGCAGACATTTGGCTTTTATATGTAGATTCAGAAACATGAACTCTTTCCACACTCCAATGTTCAGACTACTCTATCACTACTACATAAACTAATGCCATCTATGAGAGCAGATGTGCCTTTTTTGGTGAATTTATTTGACAAAATAGCTGAAAACACAAGATTTGTTGCATTATTTTAGTATGTTTACAAAGTGTTGAACACATGACAGTAACTCATCAGCAGACAGTTCAAAGCAAGAAAAATTGGGTCATATTTTTGGTTCCTTGGTGTCAAAACAACAGCATGTTAAAGCTCTGCTCAGCTGGTCTCGTGCTATTTCACCACACACCCTCCTGACATATGTCTCTGTAAACAGACATCCACTGTACACCGATAAGCCCCCGTACCCACAACTTCCCTCATCCCTCGACTTGCATAATAGCGTCTTGTCTGCCTGTTGCAGCTGGAGCATCCTGGTGACCCAGATATAATGAGAGTTTATGGCCCCTCTGCTCCACCAGCCTGCAGTGCTCTGACTCCACCACCAGCCACAAGTCTCCTCTCCCTGCCATCACTGCATGACCCACATCTCCATGGTTACCAGTCCAAAATGGCTCCCAGGAAGAAAGGCAATACACGCAAGTGATCATGACTCCTGGTTATGATGAAGAAGAAAAATTAGGGTGAGAGTGAGTTCACAACTAAGTAGTGCAGACGACAGTCTGAGGATTAAATTAGATGTCTTTCAGCCACCCTCCCTTCATCAGGCTAACTAGGCCACGCTCATTGTTGTGATATTCTGATTAAATGCAAAGCTGTGATTATTGTGGAGGGCTACCATGAATATGTAAGCCAGGGGGGACAAAGCCTGGAGGGCATGAAGTGTTTTCAGCAAACACCCTGCAACCCAGACATGCAGACATAAAGACTTCAGCTGTCAAGAAGATGCTGTTTCACGTGATGGCAGTGACCTAGGCGGAGTGTGTTTGTGTGTCAGCAAGGTACATTTGGAGAATAGTAGCACAAATCCACCTTAAATCCTCTTTGGATATGCTTGAAGCCCCTCTTATGATTTATTATTTAAAATCTAATTTAAAATCTGATTAATTTCACAATGGAGAAAAAGCACGCCAGATTAGTTTTTGGTTTCTGTTAATTTTGGTGATACTTTATGTGGCACTAACAAGCACAATGTTGAAAATGCATAAGCCTAATTGTAATTTATATATATCATAACATTAAATGGTTAAAAAAAAAATAAAGACTGTTTTATTGTAAATTTATACAGTAAAATATCTATATAATCAAAATGACAGTAATTTTGAACTACAGCAGAAAACAGCAATAGTCAAACAAAACCATCACGGGTTTTATAAAAGAAGCTCAAAACAGGAAAGGTCGTCAGAGATTTAAATCAACAAAGTTCCCTTGTTTACATTTCTGAAACAATAACGGCCAAATGGGGTCAAAGGTTGAACTAAAAGTGTCAAACAAGAGATCAGCTGATGGACAGAAAATAACTAAGCAGCATTTTGAAAACTTAAAGTGAAAATAGTTGTTAAGCTTTGGTAGCATGAGATTTTGCATTTTCTTATGATTAATCTGATTGTAAAGTTGAATATCTTTCTTCTGAGGATAGTTTGATTTCTCGTCTTATAAACTATGAAAGTCATTTTTTCATTGTTTTCAGATATTTCATTCAATAATTTACCAAGAGGAAAAATACACTGTTTCATATCATAAATGTTGAAGTATAACAAGCATTAAGTTATGGGGTCTGAAAGGGAGGAGTGGACTAAGAATCATCTGTAGTTTTGGTTTGTTGTTTGATAAGTAATTCTTGCTACCAGTAAACGGAACAAAAACATGTCTTATAACTTTCTCTTTTTCCAGGTTGCATTTTTGTTTTTGCGCCTCTAAGTAGCTTATTCAGTCAAGCATACAATCCTGAGTGCACTTGTGGAAAAACAGCTGAAACACTGCAACACCAGACATTCTTATATGAAAATGGGTCAGAGGTCAACATTGTATTTTATGAGCACATTTACAGGCAGGTTTAAACCACCTCAAATCCTTTTAGAAGAGCTAATCTGGCTAGAAATTGTTTCCTAGATAATGCATTGCATGGTGCACCTCAGGAATATCACATAAAACGAAAAGCTTGACCTGCAGTGGGTCATTATTGCCCAGCTGTTATGTGTTTATCATGAAGTTATCCTGACATTAATGTAGTACCGTTCGCGAACGATTCGTGTAAAAGAACCAAATCTTTAAGCGAACATACTTAACTGAATCACTTCCCCGAGTGATTCATTCATTTCTCACTACAGTTGAGCTAAAGTGAGAAACAGCATTCAGTGCGTTTACATGCACAGCTCAATTGGACTAAGCTCAAAATTAGTTTTTTTTTTTTTGCCGAGTCAGACTTGTCTCCTTGTTCACATATACACACAAGCTGAGAAAATTAAACTATTGACGTGAACCTGGCCTCCTCCCCAAAACTCTGTCAGAAGTGGCTACAACTGCTGCTGGGCATTTTCGAGCAAGAAGATGGAACATCGTACAGCGTTGTTTTTGTCGTACATGATGTAGGCTCTACTTTTTCTGCAGATGAGACACATGCTACTCCTCTTCTCTAGTGTTTTTATTCCAGGGTTACGGGGGCATGGCTCATGCGCACATGCATTGTCCGATCATTCTCTGGAAACGCTGTTTACATGGTAGAGAAAGTCGAATTCCAATCGCATTATCAGGATGTCTTACTACACTCTTAACTACACTCTCTGAAATCATTTTTGTAAGACAATACTACCTTTTATTTTATCTTATTTTACTATTTTATTTTTTTTACTGCTAAATTGCCACCACAACAACTTGCAAACTATAGGACGCAGCATTTAACAAGAAGTGCAGTAAACCCGCAGCATCCTATCAGTGCAGCGGTTTGCGAGGGAACGGTTCCAAACGTTCATTGAACGAATCACTCATTGAGCCCAATTTACCGAGCAGACCTGACAAATAGCATACCATAGGACAGTACACTTAGGTCGTGTTCACACCTAAAGGTCCGTTTCCTGATTCGAATCCAAGGCAAGACGATACATTTGTTTTGATTGTTTAACTGGTCCTGTTTGCGTTCACAAAGGACAGACTCAATCGCTCCAGAAAACGGAACCAGACGTCACGTGACCGCAAATATCGCTATAGGTCATTAGTTTATGCGAGAATACAAACCCCGCTCTGCTAAATCAATCAATACATTCCGGTGTAGACGTGCTGCAAACAACAAACGCATAAAGACAAGACGGCGACAGGCATTAATGACATATGTGGTGCTTTTCCTGTGATTGGTGTGGATGACTTTCACACCAGAAATGAACCGCTTCAGAGTTCACTTGATAGCGGTCCGAGACCACCTCTTCAGGCGGACCAGAGTTCGCTTATTTTGTCAGCACCAGAGTTAGAGGTCAGAGTTCGAGGTCAGCGTTCACACCGACCCAAACGAACTGCACTAAGTGGGTAAACGCTCCAGGGTTTGGTTCAACCGGACTAAACGAGGGTGGTGTAAACGTGCCCTTAAAACATCATGACTTATAAACAAGTTCATTTTTACAAACCTGTTTGCCAAAGTAACACAGCATAACACTCAAACAAAGCTCTGAATTGAAGTGAATCCTAAAAAGGTTCAGCTGTGTGTCAGTTTAGGAGGTCGGAGTCGCAGGCTTCTACCGCCAAGCACTAAATGAATCTTTTGAACAAATCTTTTTAGTGAACTGATTCTAGTGATTCAGTACATCCAAAAGAACTGCCCTGCCCATCACTAGCTGACATCAATTATCAAAAATCCCTGTCTAATCAGACCACCATCACAAATGGCTGAAAACAGTGTGATAAAACACTATAAATCATAATTGTTTTTGTCTTTTCTCTACACGAGTCTGTGTGCACTCTTTGTTTCTAATTCACATTTAGAGAGTGGGGTTAGCTGAGAGAGCTCTGATCACTTGAACAAACACAGACAATCTGCCAACCTTGCCCTGTTTTTCAGTCACTCCACAGACGAGGAGGTGACCCGCTGCACATTGTAACCTCTGATTGGTGGAAAGAAGTGTCCATCACAGCTCGAGGTCGGCGTGAATCCGCATCAGCCGTACGCAATCACAGCTACGTAAAGACGCACGCAGATAACCGGAAAACAAAACACCAGGTAGAGAATAGGGTAAAAGCCTGTAAAATTGGATGTTATTCGATGAGCTTCATAGATATTGTTTATTCTAAAATTGTTGGTGAAGTTATTATGAAGTAATTTAAAATTGAATTATATAGCTGTGATGAGACATTCATGTGTTCTTATATATGTTTGCTTTTTAACCGAGAAATAATTCACCAAATTGCCGTGAGGATGAGCTTTATTTTGGTAGGATTAACCGGAAGTCACACTTGTTGTTGTTGTGAGCTTGACGCTGGTCGCCGTCGTCATCATCTGTACGCACAGCGGCGACAGGAGCTCCTGAATCGGCAGGGACGGGTATCCCACCGCTTTTCTCTCCCAATGCGAGGAAAAAACACTCACAGAGAGTAGCGATTGTTCGGCGGCTTCCCCCCCACGAAAGCTCCCCTGGAAACTCCGATGGATTAGTTTGATTCCTCTCCGGTAAGCATGCTTTATTTTTCCTCCTCCTGTGTTGAATTTCAATTGGTGCACCCGCCTTGTCCCCTATTCTGCGCTGTGGGCTGCGAGATGAATTCATCTCCGGAGAGAGAGAGGGAGAGAGAGAGGGGGCAGAGGAGATAAATAACACATTGTGTCAAGCTAGGACTCACCCCAGCCTTTCTGCAGATTTGAAGGCAGATTCGAGCGTCCACTCTGCTCTGAAAAAGCGCTCAAACACACATAAACGTTGGTGTTGGTCTCATGCATGATGTTTTGCAGTGCTGTGATTGTGGAGAGGGGGCTCCTCTTGTGTTGCAGCAGCAGCAGCAGCAGGGATGGATGCGCTGCAGAGCTGAGCTGACCACTGAGGCCATGTACACACACGAAAAACGCCACAAAGGCCTGCAGACAGCCTCCTATTGATTCATCCCCAAATAATTGTCATATGCTTAAGGCTAATTGCATTGCCATCTCGTTAAATATCCAATTAAAGATGTCCTAATCGGGTTATCTGATGAGTCTAGAGCTGCAGCCATCCATCTTGTTGGCAAACACCGGGGATGATAGGCTGTGGAGCGTGTGCAGCAGGGAGCTAAAGCATCAGTTGTGCTTGTGTGCAATAAGTTAGCCAGGTTTGCAAATATGAACCCAAGACCTTGAGCTCTTTTTTAACCAGACATGTCTGACCACTGTGAACATGGATGATATGTTTAAATGTAAAGGAAAGGGCTGCTTATGGTTCATGGACCATGTTTATGTCCATGGCCTCCATGTGTGTACAGCTGATCAGAAAAATGTCATATAAGACTCTGCTTCAGGTGAATTCAATGTAAATCAACATGTTGAGCACTGTAAAAAGATATTTGATTATGAGGTTTTACCAGATGCCAAACAGACCATACATTAATGAGCAATTATTTTGAGAAAGGATTATAATTGAATGAACTTTTTAGACAAATTATTGTAAAATATTCAAGGTTATGGTGTATTGATTGGACAAAAATCAAAAAGATTGGTATTTTTATTAGTATTTTAAGAAATATAACATAATTAAGGATGAGACAATAATAGAGGAATGTATACGCAATAAAAACATGGTAAAACGGTCAAAACAAGAAGGTTTTACACAATTGTTGATTATATTGATCTTAAATCTCACAGAAATTGACTGGTATTGGGATACACTATCATTGATATATGAATGACAACGAGTCAACATGTGGCTGCCTTATGAAAGCAGCTTGTTTCATGAGCACATCTGTGTATAGAAACAACACAGACTTAATGATTACTCCAGAGATGATCAGGTTATTTGTTTCCTTTATGGTTAAAATGATTTCAAAGTTGACATTTTTAAACTGTTTTTTGTGTGGCAGACAGTCCGAAACATGATGGTGATTAGATTATAATAACATGAAATGAAGAACAGTAGCTAGTTTTAGACTGGGGAGATCTGCTGTAAAGAAATTCGGGGCTTTGTTGCTTTAAATGTACAGAACTTGTACTCTCTGTGGGCTGGTTACTCAGATCTACCAGAAAACTTCCAACCTCCAACACAACGGACCCACCACATCATTATTTCCAGCGCATTCTTACATTTTACATTACCCTCCACTGGCACCACATTTGGAAAGAGCCTTTTAAACCCCGAGTGCAGACTTACAGGCAGAAGAGGAGAAAGTTCACGTTTTTGTTACTTCCCATTTTCTCCAGTTTGTAAAAGAAAATACACTCATCTACTCATGCCAAATCTCATAGACTAAATGGACATTATCACAACAGGGTGAGTGATTTGACAACATGACTCAACACCCTCCGCTGTGAACATTGTGACACCAAAGCACAGTTAGGCTTAAACCCACACGTAAGTACTGCATGAAGCTCAGCTGTGGGTTTGAAATAATGAGCTCATTCAGAAAGTGAAGAATGCTTTGAAAGCTTTAACACTGCGTTTCATTGTGCTGATAATCTTGTAGCAGAGTGTAATGTGCCCATTGTGTTGTTGTTGATACACTGAATGAACTCAGTTGTCCGACACAAGCAAATATTGTAACTATCCAGAGAATGGCAGCCATAAGGAGGAGATTGTCAGACTTGTTCCAAATCCAGTCAACACAAGAGCAAGATTCATACGTATTGAAATCTGCACACAACCGCAGATGATGATCTTTTATGTCATGACGTGTGTGTGTCTGTGTGAATGAACAGAAAGTTTTATTTTCCAGTTAAAAAGGTCGTCGCCGGAGAGACTTCAGTGGGAGGGGTGTGGGAGGTTTGACCTTGTTTTGTGCCGTGTCATTGATCTGAGTGTAGAGAGAGACCTCACACTTCACAACAGGACAGATCTGACCTGTTAAAGACTGCAGTGATTTTCTGAATGATTCTTGTTCAAGGGTGATGTTTAAATCATCAGGATTTACCAAAGACAGTCCTCGCTTTATTCTTGAATGTCATCTTCTGAATTTTCAGCTAACAAACATCTTTTATAGACATTACGGTACTGGTATCATAAGACATAAATATCTTTTAACTTAATCTTAGAAGTTTGCTGATCTTCCCCTGCAAATGTCTAACCCCCAATTTCCACAGCATCCGGAATGGCTACGAAAAGGCCGTATCTGCGGATAGTAGCTGATCGTAACCATTCAAGTTAATGTGTCAATATCCACCAGCTTGTTTCCGTTCCGCTGCGGATCACCGAACTCTGCAGCTGATCGCAAGGGAGCATGTTGGATAAATTCAGCACAGATTAACCTGTGCTGGAAGGAAGTCGGGCACAGACACAAAATAAAACATCCGGCTTCTTTTCTAAATGAAACACGCCATGTTATTTCACACCATGCAAACAGGCGGGGACAAACAAGTGAAAGGTTTATAGACAACATTTCACCCCGATGACACCATGGATGAGAAGATTTTAAATGTCTAGAAGTAGATTTCCTCCTGTGGAAGGACACAATCTACTGCTTATACGGTTATGTGTCTGTCTTTATAGAGACAACTTGTTATCGCGCTATTGCACGTGAATCCGCCGGTTCTTGTGAGCGTCCGTAATCCGCCACAAAATCCGCCTCACAAACGGAGCCGGTAGGAATTGGCGGATGGCCGTTCCAGATCAGAGCCGATCCAGATGCGGTGGAAATTCTGAGTTAGATGTGTTTTTTTTTTTTTGTCCAAATCTCATCCTGCTTTCTTTGAACTGTCGGTATTGTTTCTACAAAAAGGGAGTTTCTTCACAGTGGCCTCATCTGACACCTTGCAGTGGCTGCAGGGCTCAAAAGTTACACAGCAGAAGTTATAAATCTTTTTGCTAATGGCCTTGTTTGCTTCATCGGGCATAGAAAAGCCTCTCTGTTTTATTTCAGTAAGTTTCATAACCGGTTGAAAAATCCTTAGTGGAGCTTTAATCGATTAACCCTGAAAACAGCGTGCGACTATCAAAGGTTTTCCTCATCAATGGCATCATTTACTGACTGAAATGCCAAAAAATGTCTCCAGAGTCTTTTTTTCCCAGTAAACCAAAGATCCAAAAACCAAAGAATGATAATTTCACATTAATTTGAAACAGTAAGAGGAAACAAACTGTCTGATTGGAGAAGCAGGGATCAGGAAATGGCGGTCATTAATAGCTGTCAATCAACTCATCAGTCAATGAAATGTGTCACCTCTCACCTCCATTGTGAATCCAAACTGGTGCTCTTAACAAATGATCTTTTTATAGTGCACATCTGTGAGGTTCCCAGGCCGGGCTTACTGTCGCAGGTTTAATCCATCAGTCCTGCTGTGTGACCCTGACATGTCTGTCCTTTTAATTTACTGTATTGATCGAGCAGCTTTACTGTAAACAGCTGAGGGTCTCATTATGGCTCCCAGCTCTCTACGTTACTGCAGATGATTAACACTTTTTGCCTGTTAAGCTCCAAAACAAAAGCCACCATTTCAGGAAATTAATTTTTTATTCGAGCCCGACTCTGACCCAGTCCTGCTACTTTGTGTTTGGATGTATTTCTTCATTTCCTCACAGCAGGGTTAACGAATACAGTCGAACAGATGTGACCAGACTTTAAAGTCAGATCTCAGACTGCAACTCAAGCCAATCAGGATGCGGGGCTTTAATGTCAAACCCTTGACTCTGACTCTCTATCTGTGGTTTTCTGTAAAAGTCCCCTCTTTTTTGTTATTAACTCCTACAACACGACACATAGCAACAATTCCCTCCCCATCGGACCGCTATTATCACGCCAGCGTGGTCCTCTCGGAGGCAAGCTGTTCATCTGGGCCTGAAAATAGCGTGATGAGCGTTCTCGCAGGCTGAGGTGGTCATGCGATACCCAGGCGGTGCCACGAAAAGAGAAAGCCCAGCAGCTACGATGCCATCATCTGTTTTTTTTGAAGGAAGGGGGTGGAAGTTGAGCTTCAGGTCGAGAACGGAGCAGTCTAGTTATTGTCTGTGTCCCAGAAATACAAGCAGAAATCATTATGTCGCAGCGCTTTGTCTTGACATTTTGATGTGATCCATCGTGTTGATTCATGCGTGTAATTGAATGACAGAGAGGAGTCATCCCTTGGATCTGAGAGCATGTGATGAACACCCTTATTATATTATTGAGACTGGAAATGTGATAAATCGGCCTGTTGCAGACAAACGCACTTCAACCAAAGTTAATCAATCAAAATAAGCTTCTCATTCAGTGAATTTAACTATAACAAAGTTCACACAAACGCGCTTCTCATGCAAATATTTACCGAGCTCACACTGCCAAATAAAAAAAGCCAAACCACAAAGGGAACATATGTATATAAACAAAGCACGATGGCCTAGTTTGTGCTTGCAGACATGCTAAAGCTGTGGTAGTCCCTGGCCTTTTTCCTCTTCAAGGGAAGGACAGCTTTTTTATAATCCCCCCACAGGCAGGCAGCACGACGACGTGAGATCTCCCCTCATTTACTGTGATCCCTCCAGGAGAGGAAGCTATTTCAATCACTGCAGTTCAAGAGCAAATCCTGCAGAAAACACACTTCACCTGTGTTAACTGAACCAGTCAGCACAGTTAATATTTGCAGCTCAATCTGGTGAGGATTTTAACATGCAGCACAGGCAGTTTTCATTGAAGTAGAGAGACTACTCTGCATGGGTAATGTGTCGTTTTACTTGCCTTGGTAATGCAGACTTTGTTTATTTGCTGCCAGCTTTTGAAGCATTGTCTTTAATCTGGTTATTGTAGATTTTTAGCTTATAAAAAGTCAGAAAATTCTGTAAATCCTTCTTACTGTGTGGAGTAACATCTTTAAACTGCTTTGCTTTGTCCAGAAACCCGAATAAAACACGATTTTATGAAGTGACAGTGATTGTTCAAGGATTTCTCATTTTGCTAAGGCTTGTGCATTTTCCCTTAAATGGAGACTCTCAGCTTGAAGGTTGTGGTGTTTCGTCCTTCAGTATACCTGGGCTCTTCTGGAAAAGGAGTCCTGTAAATACCAAGAGATAAGAAATGTAGATGTTAATGTCAAGGAGGATTATGTTTTTATACCCAGTATAGCTGGAGAGGCTGCAGCCTCCCTCCTTCCTCTCCTTGTATTTCAGTCTGTGGTTTCAGCCTCAGTCTGGACTTGTATTGCGAAGCTACCGCTGGGCTCGCTCCTTTCAGGGTATTTAATTGGGTTTTATTGGCAGTATTAAATCACAATGATTTTCTCCTCTCTGCAGTGGCTTTGGGTTTTTTTTAAAGAGAAAATATAGGACCAGGGAGATGGAAATGCAGCTGAAGGATGTGAATTCCAGATTTGGTCTCATGAATCTGTTTGTGGAGAAGCGGACTCTTGTCTGAATAACACAGACAGTTGTCAGTAGAGTTTGCTGATAATGAGGGTTGTCAAATGTGTAAAATACAGCATATAAGAAGTGAAAAGTGCTGCTAATCATTGATATTTTACATGATGCTTGTTCTTTGCATATGAAGCTCTGAGATTGGAATCATTTTGATCTTGTGCACACTGGATTATTATCCTGTTTGCACAAGATAAAAACACTTCAAACACTGATACAACTACAAACAGTCTTTAATTTTTCCCACAGCCTGTTGCTGTACTCTCAGTGTGCAGCAAGTGACACATCTGTTTGCACTTTTTTTTTCTACCAAAGGCACTGAGGTTTCTGGCTAGTAAATGTAAAACAGGGCCTGAAAGAATTCGGTCATATACTCTGCAGCTTTCCTTGTAACCATCTAGCTCGGGGAGTCCTCCGGCACTTTGCTTTGAGACCAGCTGAGTTGGATCTGCAAGAAGTTTTCTGAAAAGATGCCACAGCTTGTTTGCTATAAATTTAATAGTCTTCTTCGGACAGTCAAAGCTGCTGTAGCTGGTCTTGACATCTTGCTATGTCCTGAGTTGTACAACTTTTTGTCCAGAACTGAAAAAAACTGAAGATAATACCAATATATTATATAAAATGGATAAAAACAAAACCAGTTTAACATTTCAGAGGTTGAGAAGAGTGATTTTTAACTCACAATTTAATTTTTAACTCACTGATTATTATTTCATGACGATCATGTCTTTTAACGTCAAATGAAGCTTGAGGATAAAAGAAGCAGCACCTGATTTAGCTCGGGTCAGAAGTAGTCTTATAGTTCCCCTCTTCTTCCATCTGCTGTAGCTCTGGGGTTTGCCCCCGGCACCACCTCCATCCATCCTCAGCGACTGAAAACAAGTGTGTTTCCAATTAGCCGTCTCTGAAGTCAGCTGGCTGCTAATGCTGATGAAAGACTGTCGGTGCGGACAGCGGCCTCTGGGTAGTCCTGTTGAACTGGCTTACAGGGGAGCGCAGTCGGCCCCAGTCTGTTTCGGTATAACTGCGTCTTTTTTTAGAGGGTTAGACTTTTTTAAATTGGAAAAGCAGATTGCCACAGCAGCACAGAAGCCGGTTCAGCTTTGCTTTAGTGAGGCTAGATGCTCCATCAGCCCCCCCTTCATGAGATCAGAGTCGAGCCAGAGAGAGGTTTGCTGTTAAGGCTGTCTCACAGAGCCGTAAATCTACTTCTGGGTGTGTGACTCCTTGTAAAGAAAACAAAAATAAAGGACATGCCAGCTCGTAAATGCAGTGGCTGGGTGTAAATTCTTCTCACAAATGTGGTCGAGCAATAAGACGGGAGAGTGAAGCAGGAGAGTGGTGCTGTTGTTACTTTATGTTGAGCTAAGCTGGATTTTCTTTGCATTAAGAATCATCAGTACCGGCGTGTATTTACATGATGATAGCTGTAGCAGGATACTGCAGCTCCCTCTCTCTCTTTGCTCTGTATAATTAGTAATGCAGTCTAAAGTATCATGTTTAATTTCAGCCTAATTGAAAGATATTTCACACAGCTCTGAGCAATTCTCAGAGGAAACTCTGAAATAATGGAATATTGAATCTTAATTTCCCCAATGGAGCCAGCTGTTCAGCTATTATTTTACCTATGTGCTAATTTCACCGGCTTTTTCTTTCCCCCCACAGAGAGTAGAGAATGGGCTGTGTCCAATGTAAGGATAAGGAAGCAGCAAAACTCACTGATGACCGGGAGACCAGCCTCTCACACAACTCGGGGTACCGCTATGGGTCCGACCCCACACCTCAACACTACCCCAGCTTCGGGGTCACCACCATCCCTAACTACAATAACTTCCACAGCGCCGCCACACAGGGGGTGGCGGTGTTCGGAGGAGTCCACACATCCTCGCAGTCTGGGACTCTACGGTCTCGGGGTGGAACAGGTGAGGCAGAGGAAGCCCTTGAAAATATGTACCGTATTTTTTGGGTGATAAGGCGCACCGGATTGTAATACACATTAAGCATTGATTGGTCTAGTGTTGCTAGCGCGTCTTCGCACTTCTAGTTTACACATTATAGTCAGGCAGTCTTGTAGACTGCTCAGGGGTCCTGCTATGGGGCCGATCAGGTAGTGACACAGCATGCCATAGGCGATATTTTTTTGTGGGATGGTAGGGGAAAGTCCTGCCTCCTTCGTCTCTGATTGGCTAGAAAACTGGAAATGTCATCACACGCTTAAGACAAACGCGGCCTGTCGGCTCTGTACATCGGACAGAACATAACAGAACATTATCACACTTTTGAATCTTTTACCCTAATCCTCATCCTAATCCATAACATAACCCTAACCTTAACCCGACATACAATGACGTTTCACAGCCATTATGAAGAACCAATCAGAGCCCAGCACTTCTAGCCAATCAGAGGCGAAGGAGGGTGGGGCCTTCCCCTACCTTCCCCTACCTTAAAGCTCCGTACTTACACAGTTCAACAGATTTTGGAACGCATTGTACCACATAAAATCATGCATAACAAGTAGTCATACATAAGACACGCTGGATTATAAGGCGCAATGTCAATTTTTGAGAAAATTTAAGGATTTTAAGTGCGCCTTATAGTCTGAAAATTACGGTAATCAAGTTTTATGGTGTGCAGAAAATATTTTGTTTTCCTCCTCTCTCGCTACCAAACACGCTGGATGAGAGAAGAGGTCTCACTCTGCGCATTGTTCTCGGCACCTGGGGGCGTTGGCTCTATAGCGGAATGAACGGAGTTAGTGAACCCTCCTGTCAGTCATTCAGTATCTTTGTCACGGGGGGCGCGCGCACAGGCACACAGACACAGACTTTTTGGATACAGTGCTGCAAGTGAGCGTCGTGAGTGAAAAGCAAGCTAACAGAATGAACACGACAGCTTTGGTGTCTAAACCGAACGCAACAGCCCAAGTGTGGGAATATTTCGGCTTTATACCAGTTTTGTTTTCGTCAACCACAAAACTCCACGTGTGTGTGCGCGCGCGTGCGTGTGTGTCTGTGTGTTGGAGGAGCACAGCAGGATGATGAGAGCTGTCAGAGCGGCCTGAAGCTGCTCCTGTATGTTTAGCGTTTAACTGACTGAGTTTTGCAACTCTGTTCGTCATTTTCGTGTCGTCCCATCAACGTAAACGCACTTTCGTCTCGTCACATTTTAGTCATCTCCGACTTATGTTTAGCTCGTCAACGTTACGTCTTCGTCGTGGGTAAAATTAAAGTTTATCACTTTTGACATGGTGTACTCGCATTATTATGCCATTTAATATCATTATCTATAATTTAAAAAACGGTGTCAATAATATCGTTTATCGGCAATAATTTGAAGCACAATTATCGTCCAGCAAAATTTGTTATCGTGACAGGCCTACCAATGTCAATTTTTGAGAAAATTTAAGGATTTTAAGTGCGCCTTATAGTCTGAAAAATACGCTAATCAAGTTTTATGGTGTGCAGAAAATATTATTTTTTATTTCAAATAACAATAAAAGAGATGAAAGTTGTTGAATTATTTACCATTAGGGGTGTCCTGATACAATTTTTTAACTTTTGATATGATACCAACATTGTAGCCTTCGATATTGGCCAATACCGATATTGATCCGATATTAGCACGATGTTGTGAATGACAAGTTTTGCACTCAGCTGCAACGTCTTTTCGGACTTAAACAAAAAATATTGCCACAAGGCCGACATCACTCCTACTCCTCTCTACTTTGTTATTACCACTGTTGTTGTGATTAAGTGAGCTCTGCATGCTTGACCCGGGCGCTGCTAGATAGAGGTGCTGGAGTGGAGTCTGGAATGGACTGCTTATATCGGAGTGATGATATCGGAAACATTAGGTGCAGGCTGATATAATCCGATATATATATATTTTTCTGATATTCGACCAATATCTGATATCAGTGTTGTATAGGGACACCCCTATTTCCGTCTTTTGCTTCTTCTTCTCTCTTATTTGTTGATTATTATGTTGCTGTGATGAATGTCTGTTCCTGCAGAGGACGAATACCCAAAGTTAAGTTAATGAAAAACAGAGTGACCTAATGAAAGCAGCACTCTGTGAGTCACATCTGATCACCATTAACATCAAACATCTTGCTGAATAGAGCAAAAGTCTTTTTCCTGTTGGCTGTGCTTCTCTCCAAAGATTTTACAAAACAGATACATATGATGTGATGAAGTGAGAGTCACGACTTAGTTTAACTTTCTCCAGCACGGATAAATGCTGCATATGTGGAGTCAGCAGCACAAACACATATGAAGAAGATATTGCTTTAGTAGAGCGACACGAAGCAACATTAATTTCTGAGTTTATAAGGAGGAGGACCTGAGGGGAAAAAAAGTCAAACAACAGTTAATTAGCTGAACAGTTACCTCATGTGAACCCTCTGTCAAAAAGTCTCGGTCTGTTACCGAGACAGCGGGCAGTTTCAGTCTTTTTTTTTTTTTTCCTGAGGTCACTTCATTGACAGGAAAAAGTGCAGAGCATAATAATTCCAGCACTGAAGCTCCGACTGTTCGGGGGCCGATTCAGATCAGATCAGAAAATGAAATCCTTTTTTACAGTTTGAGGCTTATTAGGAGATACAGGGACTCCGGGGCCGTTCCAATTCACATCAGATAAATTGGATTGGCCTCAGCAGTCCTGGAGGATGTCCGGTCTGATAAGACTTAAATGTGATTTATTTTTGGTATGCAAAACAAATAGCTTCATTTATTTCCATGTTTGACCCGTTTTAGTTTTTACATACAAGCCCAGACCACAACACGGCAAGTTGTTAGCCTCTTCCAACTCCTCCCAGTCGTTGTTTTCCCCTTCTCCAGTAAGATGAATACCTGCTCCCCATCACTAGCTATTTTAGAACTGAAGAAGCTTATTGGATAAGAAGTAAAACGTCTTCTCAACTCTACACTGTCCAGTTGCCTGATTTTGGAGTCTTCGAGATAACCATGACCTGGATGAAGGAGAATCTACATGGACATATAGACTCTATGAACTTACCAGCAACTGTTGAAATACACTCGATACAGTAGTTAAGATAAAAAACAAGTTTGTGAACCCCAAATAATTAGCTGGAAGACACTAAAATGAAACTTTACTCCACCGAGTGCAGCGGAGTTTCGCAGCTCAAGGAAGAACTTTTATGATTATTACTTAATGGAAATGCAATCAGACCGAGACGCGAGGACAGAAAAACTACCGCGTCTGCAGTGCAAAATGATTATTATGATGATTATTACTTCAAGGAAATAATCCGCTGCACTCTGTGATCGACTCGTTAGGGGTTCCCCCACAAATAAGCGGCTGCTGGAAGAGAGTAGGTGAGTTGTGTTTAGTCTCTTTGCTAAAGAAATTAGGCAAAATTAAAAAGATGTTTGGTGGCTAGTGCTAAGGCTGTGACCCTATATGTACTGTTGAAGAAGTTAGGTGATGTTCTGAGCATTATTTGTGGCTAGAGAGTGGCGTTTTGGTTGAGGTTTGCACGTGGAGACGTAGACCGCTGTTTTTTGCTATTGTGCGGTCGTTACTAAAGTTGGTATAACTAGAGAAGCGAGCAGTCAGCAATATTAATCTCTCGAGGTAGTGTCTAACTCAGTGTTACAGTGTGTTTGACCATAACATACGTCGGAATATCCCTTTAAGTAATTACATTTGGAATCTGGAATAATCTGCCTTTAAACAGACACTCATTGACCTCTTTTCATAGGTTTAAATATGCCCTGTCTTCTAATTTTGAGTTAAATTTCACATGTTTCAGATGATGTGATAACAATATTATGTAATTTCGATTTGATTTTTACGCTTTTATTATACAATTCTCTTAGTTTTACTGTGGCCATTTGTGGCCATCAAGAGGTTGTGTTCATTTTTGTATTATATATTTTTTCTTTTTTTTATTTGTGTGTTGTTGTCTGTTGTCTTTGTTGTGTGTGTTGAATGTGTTTTGTCCCCTTTTTTTTTGTTTTTTTGGTTTGTAATGTATTTTAGGACCCCCTCAATAAGAGAGGATTCCTCTCAAGGGGTTTGTCCTACTAAATCAATTTCTGATGAATTTTATCTGTGGAAATCATGAATATCATGAAGTATTTGGCGTTTAAGTTTCTAAAAAGGAACAGATGGAGTGGAAAAAAAATTAATTAAGAGGGCTACACTGAATACTCGAGTGAAATCCTGCAACTCAAAAACGCTGCTCATGTCCCCCTCCAGGAGTGACCCTGTTTGTGGCTCTGTATGACTACGAGGCCAGGACTGAGGATGACCTCAGCTTCAGAAAGGGGGAGAGGTTCCAGATCCTCAACAGCACGTAAGTGTGAAAACATCTGCATGACAGAATTAAGGGTGGCGGCCTTGTTTTCTCTCTCTGTTTTACATCAGTGATGAATGTTTGGATGCTGTCTTTGAAACGAGATGTTGTTTTACAGATGTAGACAAAGGACAAACACCCATCTCTCCCACGGGGGGGAACAGTTCAAACGTATAAGAAAAAATGAGCAAAAAGTTCGAAACATTCAGTATTTCTCCTCTTAAGTTTAGTGTCCAAACAAACTCTCACTGTGGAGTAAATACGGATTTAGCTGCAGCACACAAAACAGCATGCAAATACCTAAAAAAGTCTCAGTGGTCAGCTGGTAATGTGGTTTTTACTCACCTCTAACAACAATCTGTCTGCCCATTTGTGGCAGCAGTATAATTACTTTGTGTCTCGGTGTAATACAAGAACTCTGGCTGCCTGCCTGCTGCTGTCAATCAAACACAGATACCACCAGACTAAAACACCACCCTCCCAGCCAGCTGAGAGTAAAATAACATTTCTGATGACTCCCTCGAGAAGACCTTTTTGTCCTCTTATTTATTAACAGAAAATCATCAACAATAAAAAACATAAAAAGTGAATTATTTTCAAGTGAAGGATGGTAGCAAACTGGGATTTCAGTTGGACGGTAATGAGATGAGTCACCAAAGCTTCATGATTCACAGCCCACACACGAGAAAGCACCGGTTTGTTTTTGTGTGCGATCTCGAGAAAAGACAGCCAGTGAGTCTGATCGTCCACATCTGAATGTTTTATTTGTGCCTGATATGATGTGTAAGCGCCGATCCATCATCCCCGCTTTCTCTGTCCTGCTCTCCACAGTGAGGGCGACTGGTGGGAGGCTCGTTCACTCACTACAGGTGGAACTGGTTACATTCCCAGCAATTATGTTGCTCCGGTGGACTCCATCCAAGCTGAGGAGTGAGTAAAACTTCACTGACACACTCACACAGAGTTTTCTTTTCCCTGAGGCACGGCAGCTTCATCAGCAGAGGGTGTATCATAAATATTTCAGAGCTCATCTCACTGCTTTTTGTTAAATGTGGCATTATGACTTAAAGAAGGAATGAAAGACAGAATATATAAAAAAATAAAAACTTCACACACAGTCCTCCTCCTCCTGAAGTAGTCGGATTTTTCCTTTTTTTTCCTGCAGCTGGTATTTTGGTAAATTAGGCCGAAAGGACGCAGAGAGGCAACTTCTTTCCAACGGCAACGCCAGAGGCACTTTCCTCATCCGTGAGAGCGAAACAACCAAAGGTACTCTGCCTGTGCGGCATCTCACATGATGAGATGCTGAATGCTCTTAAAGTTAGGGACACAAGCAGGAGTGTTCTTTTTTTTTTAATAAATAAAAATGTAGTCGGACTTTATCTGAATGTTTCATGGTGGTTGCAGTTGCACATTATTTATAGAAAAGCTGAAAATAAAATCTTCGGACAAGGACCACCGGCGTTTGTTATTTAACATGCAGCAACATGCTTAACATTCATTGCCCTGTAGCCTTTGCATAATGTGCAATCATGCAGTTTCAAATGCGCTCTTATAAAAACAAACTCAGTTAACCAGAGATTTTGAACTTATCCACTTGAATTCGTCCGTTTGGTTCTTTTATACGGGGTTGTCTCTGTTCCAGGAGCCTACTCCCTCTCCATCCAGGACTGGGATGATATCAAGGGAGACCACGTCAAACACTATAAGATCCGCAAGCTGGACAGCGGAGGTTACTACATCACCACTAGGGCCCAGTTTGAGACGCTCCAGCAGCTGGTGCAGCATTACTCTGGTGAGACTCAGCAGCATAAAAGTGGAGTTGAACAAGAAACTCCTGTCATGCTCAGTCTTCATCCACCATTCCCCTTTTTAAAACTACAGTCTTGGAGTTTTTTCACTACTGCTTCTTATTCCAGCCAGGGCTGCAGGGCTGTGCTGCCGCCTGATTGTGCCGTGCCACAAAGGCATGCCCCGCCTGACCGACCTATCCGTCAAAACCAAAGACGTGTGGGAGATCCCTCGGGAGTCGCTGCAGCTCATCAAACGTCTCGGCAATGGCCAGTTCGGGGAGGTCTGGATGGGTGCGTGGCTGTTTTGCTGTTTCGTTCCCACACTTACAAAGAGTTGGACATTTGCGAGCGGTGTTGCAAAACATTCTGTATGCGTTGGATCATTTTAAAATAACATGAAGCCAAAGTTACTCACAGGGCGGAGTGTTTGCTCTCGGTGATTTCATTCAGGAATTTAGCTTTTTGCATGATACAAAAAGCCGGAATAAGAGATTTCCAGCTTAAAGACATTTTTCTGTCTTGTCACTCTAACCCAGAGTGGGAAACATGCTGTTTTAGTTCTGCTGACTCGAGTTCAGCCTAATTTTTTCCAGCGAAATGCAACGTGTGTGTCTAGTTGGGTAAGAAACGGACATGTTGCTGGTACCACAAATATGTTTTTCGCCAAAACTGGTCCAGAAGGATTTTACTCAAATGTGAGAGATGAATTCAGACTCTTAACCACTCCAGTCATCTACTTGTTTAAGGGATTATAACAGTCTTTGATCTCTTTTCAAACTGTATAAAACACACTTTATTTGACTTTAATGTCCTTCGTTTTCCTCTGATCTGGCGTCACATCTTCCCCCGCTCGAACAAACTCTCTTGTCCTCTCTTCAGGCACGTGGAACGGCACCACCAAGGTGGCGGTAAAGACTCTTAAGCCGGGCACCATGTCGCCCGAGTCGTTCCTGGAGGAGGCGCAGATCATGAAGAAGCTCCGACATGACAAGCTGGTGCAGCTGTACGCCGTGGTGTCTGAAGAGCCCATTTATATCGTCACGGAGTACATGAGCAAAGGTAGAGGCCACTCCATGAATATTACATACATGCACACACCTACACAGTGTTAACATGATTTATGCATTTTCATGGACAGTGCAAGGGCGTCCCACTTTATAGCATGTCCGGATTTAAATTCCCCGGCAGACATGATTTATCTTCATTAAAAATAAAAATCAGAGTCAAATGTGATCCCAGGAATCCCAGGATTGATGCCTCAGTTTGGATCTAAACCGGAGTTCTTCAACGTTACACATCTGGATTTATTTTGTTATGTGTTTCTTTTCAGGGAGTTTGCTCGACTTCCTGAAGGACGGAGAAGGACGAGGCCTCAAACTGCCGAATTTAGTGGACATGGCAGCTCAGGTACGCCGCTGACATTAATCTGAATCTAGCCGGTGCTTTGCTCTTGAGATTATTTAAATCCTATCACACTGGTTCCCATAATTTAGGCTTCTTTTCGCACCGTTCTCTAGTGTCCGCCTTATTTTCATTAGGCTAAAAAGTTCTATCCTGGATGTTTGAACTTGATCTAATTATAGAGGCTGATTTTGACGACACAGTATCTGAAGTTGGTGACTCACATCGAGGATCTTGGTGTTTGTATCCTGCTCTGGAGGTCTTTAATTAATTGTACTTGTTAATTTTGTTAATGCGAGGGTTGGCGCTCCTTACTATAGGTCCACTTTTTCACGATCTCTACATCTGCTTTAAGAATCTTTCCTCCCAGACCTTACCTTGAGTCTTCTCTGTACTGTGATGCTCATTGGAAGAAAATAACTCCATTTCCCAGGTGGCAGCAGGCATGGCGTACATCGAGCGGATGAACTACATCCACAGAGACCTGCGCTCTGCGAACATCCTCGTCGGTGAAAGCCTGGTGTGTAAGATTGCTGACTTTGGTCTGGCCAGACTCATCGAAGACAACGAATACACGGCGAGACAAGGTAGGCCTGCTGGATTTGACCGAATTAGCAAGTTTGAGTGTGAGGGTTGAGAAATGTGTGCATTTCTTTAACTAAGACACTCCAGGGTCAAATCTAAATATGTAAACAAGACAACAAGCACTAACATCGGTTCAAATAACAGCTCAGGGTGGCTAGACAACATAATGAGCATTATGCACTTATTTTTAGATGCAGTGTGACTTACAATCCCCTGGAGATATTATTGTCTCTGTGCTGCATTAACAGAAAAAAAAAAAAACAGAAAAAGCTTTAGAGTCGTACAAACCCATTTTTTAAAAGTATAAAACGTCATAAAAACAGATTCTGATGGTTTGGAAACAACTTGAACTCTGTGTTTAATTGAATCTGTACAAAGACGTATCAAGTTACACTCCTGTATGAAAAAATGTGCTCGTTTTAAATTTGATGCCAGCAACATGTTTTAAAAATGGAGGGAACCGGGACAAGAAGACACTGAAAAGTGATTATTTAATGTTTGAAAAACCCTCTGAGGAACGTCTCACAACTAATCTGGTTAATATGAAGCAGGTAAGTAAGATGACTGAGGAAAAGGCTGAAAATCCAATTCAATGAGGTTGTGATTTTTGGGCCCATACATTGAAAACAGATACTACTCTCCCACTGAGCATCGTCTCAGACGTCTAAATGTAGTCTAGACGACTGGTCTAAAATCAGGCTACCACAGGTCTAAAAATGAAAGTATTCTAGACGTCTAAATTTAGACAAAGTTTAGACTAAATCTAAATCTGGGCTGTATCTACACTATACTGTATATTGCTCCATTGCTATCATAATCATTTTGGTTAAGTACTTAGAGATCAGTTACGCAATTCACAGTTGCGTTTTGAATAAATAGTTATAGAGTATCGTGATGACGAAAGAGCATGTGCTTATCCTCACCGATGGTCATGAATTTTGGGTATTGACGGAAGGAACAAGATCACGGATACAAGCGGCCGAAATGGGTTTCCTTCGCAGGTTGGCCGGGCTCAGCCGTAGAGATAGGGTAAGGAGCTCGGACACTCAGGAGGCGCTCAGAGTAGATGTCTCCTCCACAACGAGAGGAGTCAGCTGAGGTGGTTCGGGCATCTGGTTAGGATGCCTGTTAGAGGTGTTCTGGGCATGTCCCACCGGGACCTCGTGGCTGGTTTAGGACCAGGTGGAGGGATTATATCTCTCGACTGGCCTGGGAGCGCTTAGGAATCCCCCTGGTGGAGGTGGCCGGGTGAGGGCCGTCTGGGCTTCCCATCTGAAGCTGCTGCCCCCAGAACCCAGACCCGGATAAACGGAAGAAAACAACGACGAATAATGGGTTAAAGTGCGACGTATAGATTTGGTCTAAAAATATACAGAATCTAGACGATTGAAATTAGGTCTAAAATAAAAACTAGCCTTCTAATAGCCGTCTATTGCTCAGTGGGCTGTAGTGGAAGTCACTGCATGGACTCAAATCCCTTCCCAAACCCATCGACTTGTCTCTGACTTTGTTTTTTTCTTGCACACTCCAGTTGCTGAACCGAAGACAGTAAAAACATAAGAGTGACCCTTTTTAAGGTTTACTTAGTGGCATTTGAATTTCCGCTTGGTATGCACATTTAAAAGATGGAAATTCACCAACAGCTGCAGCAGCTGGCAGCCAGGCTGCTCAGTCTTTTTCTACCAGAACGGACGTGTGTTTCTTTAAAGTGTGTTATTGAACCCGAGGTAAGGTTGGAGAACTCTTGAACGTGTCTGCCGTCTAACTTAAACGTTGTTGTTGCACGCTCTACATCTCCGACCGCAGCATGGTCTGAAAACCTCACCGTCAGAGGAAAAAGTTGGTGAACTGGCAGATGTCTCTTTCCATTTAGTCGATTCCAAGAAATATTTTATTAAAAAAAAAAAACATTCTGCTATTTAATTCAAGTGCAGTGACTTTGTTTTGGTGACAGCGGTGGAAAACAGGAGCACATGTGGTTACAGCGTGGCACAAAGACAACAGAATATCACCGGGAGGCATGCACTTTACAGAGCACATGTTGTACACAAAAATCAGACTCTGGTTGAAAGCTTTCCTCCCTGACTTCGTTGGCAGATGTGAACTACATCAAGAGGACTTCCAGACCCTGTTAGTCATTGTGTCAACATGATCACTACCTCACTCGCAAATGATTTAAATGTTTACTCGTTCAGCTCGGGCCAAGAGCAAACGGAGACGAAGAGAGATAATTGAACTATTCCGCTTTCTCCCTGGTGGGATGTTATCAAGACCTCATGTTTCTGCGCTAATGAAATCACTGATGGAGGGGAGGAAAACCGGGGAGATTGACCTACTTAGTGCTTCTTGCAAAAGCGAAACAACCAAAATGTTTGAGACGCTCTTGATTTTGTTTAGGTGCAAAGTTTCCCATCAAGTGGACCGCTCCCGAGGCCGCCCTCTACGGGAAATTCACCATCAAGTCTGACGTGTGGTCGTTCGGCATCCTGCTGACAGAGCTGGTGACGAAGGGCAGAGTGCCGTATCCAGGTGAGAGAGAGAGTGACGCTCTGCATATATTATGTAATCCCAATCAATTCTGGATGATTGCTCGTGCTCCGTTAAGACCGGTCATGTGTTTGAGTCTGCAGAGACCCCTGTCATGGTCCTGCTTGCTATAAAAAGAGCGGCATGTTGCATAATGTACATTACACTGTGCATTATGCAGAGCAATGTTCCCAGCTGATGGTGTGAACATGTGAAACGCCAGCCTTCATCTTCGTCAACCACACATTTAGACATTATAAAACTGAAAACATGGCTGCTGACATCCATTAGTCCTCTTAGAGCTGCATGAGTAGATTTTCCATATTCTCTTAAGATGAGTTATTCACTTTTCTATTCATGCAGACAAGTGTTTTAATTACTGCGGCTGATTAAACCTCCAGTTAGGTGGAAGTTTACTGCAGCTATGAGCAGAATTATGATTTCACCAAAGCTTGTGCACCAAAAAAAAGGGTACAGATATGCTTTTAACTAAATTTGATATCGTTAACTTTGTGTTTTAGTGTTTTAGCTTTTATCTCTTCTAATTTTAATGACAGGATCGTCTTTTATTGAGCTATTTTGGTGCTCTTATTTCAATATCTTTTACTGTTGTTTTTATTTCTTTTTTTTTTCTTAAGTTTCATTTTATGTTACTTTGTTTTTAAATTTTAACCTAAACCTCCAGTGTCTCCTTATCTTGAATTTTAAATTGGCGTTTCCTCAGTTCGCACTTTCCTGTTTCTATGAAATCGAGCCCTTTTCAAGTTCATGCAGTTTAATACACGTTTCTGTTGTTCTTAGATCACGGGGTGGGAATGAGGGGTTGGGTCGGGGTAGATCAGGGTATTCTTTGTTTCTTTTTCCTTTTTTCCTCTGCTATGTTAAGAACTTTGTGCTACATCGTTTTTGTATGAAAAGTGCTACAGATCAAGACCGGTTTGATTGATTGATTGAGAAATACATACATGAAATAAAGAAAGAAAGAAATACATAAATACATAAATAGATAAAAAATAGGAGATGCTGCTGGTGTTTTTGCCAAGGCTTTGAATAAAAGATTAAAATATAATAGATTAAGAAACTTCTGTTAAAGCAAATCAACAAAAATGTGTTTTAAAAAGAGATTTGAAAGATTTAGAGATTGATGTTTTCTACAGCTGTTTTAATATTAATTCAACTGTAGGCTACAAGATGTTTTCCGTCTGTAGGGGAGAGTGGGGTAAGTTGAGCCACCCCCTGTTGCTTGAAAATGGTAAAAGAAATCGATCATGTGACCAAATATTTAGGAGATGGGCATCAATTCATGGAGTCTGTGAAGGTTAGAAGCACATGGGTGAAGAGGTTAGACATATATTTAAAAAATAAAACATTTTTCACTCTTGAAAGTGAATTTAATCTGTTATAAGTTTGATTAGAATTGTGTTCAGACCAAAAAAGATCATTTTAAATTTGTTTTATACATCAGTTGTGGTATCTATGATCGACAACATGAGGTCAAAAACCTAGCATTAAAGTCCACCATTTCAGCTTAGAGGACTAATAAAGTCAAAATAATAGTTCAGGGGTAACTGAGAAAGTGAAGGAGTCTGATGAGAGGATCAGAGTTTCAGTTCAGATTGTTGAAATGTTTGACTATTTCTTTTTATAAATACAGCTGTGAATGTTATTTAGGGAGGGAGAAGGTGAGGGAGGGCTGGGATGGAGAGTGGGGGGGGGTTGTAGGGATACGGCTCAACTTACCCCACTCCTATGGTCAACTTACTCCATACACGGGGTAAGTTGACCATAGGAGACCACTTTATTTTGGCATGCTATAATATCAAGACAGTTATGTTTACACTCATTCTGTTGGTTTGCAGGGATGCACAACATCTTGAAATATATGCAGATACACTAGAGACAAAACTATGATTGACTTGATGGCTCATCTTACCCCACTCTCCCCTACTTCTGAAATTAAGTATCATACTTACACGGGGTGTCAAAGGAGAAGACGAGCGAACAGTGATCTTACTCTAAAATAGTCCCTGCCAACATCAGTCTTCTTAGCTGCACCTTTTACATTCAGCTCAAACTTTCGGTTCGTCGGTGATATTTTAACTCTGTTTGACTCAATGTGTCTCTGACTTTTTTTTGCTTGTAAACTGAGATATCAGAGGGAGTTTTTAAAAGTGGAATAGGCCTTTCAAAAGCGCAGTGGTGTGGTAACTGTGTCTCAAAAGAGAGCAGCAGGCAGCAGCTGCAGTGGCCGTACTCCAGTGTGCCAAAAGGGACAAATTAGCATGCAGTTAAGAAAAAAACATTTTCATTTGAGAACTCATTTGAATTTCAATGAAAGCATAAACACTCACAGACCTACAATTTCTCATTTTAAAGTTCTTTCAACAATTAAATGTATGACTCCCTCTTGCAATCCTAAAAGCTGTGATTCTTTGTCCTGCATCCCTTGGAATTGGGTTCGATTGATGTTTGTTACATGCAGTGTTACTTTTTTTTTAACAATATTGTCTTGAACTTCATAAAACTTTTTGAAAAATCCTAAATCTCCAGAATTCTCTTCATTTCTTCATCCTTCTCTCTCCAGGCATGAACAACCGGGAGGTGCTGGAGCAGGTGGAGCGAGGCTACCGGATGCCGTGCCCTCAGGACTGCCCCTCGTCCCTGCACGAGCTGATGGTGCAGTGCTGGAAGAAAGACCCCGAGGAGAGGCCCACCTTCGAGTACCTGCAGGCCTTTTTGGAGGACTACTTCACTGCCACAGAGCCTCAGTACCAGCCGGGGGACAACCTCTGAGCACCGCTGCCTTCATCTCATGTCATTTCACCGGCTCTTCACCAGGGGGAGCCAGACTCCACCTCCTCTCTCTCTCCCTCATTCTGTGGCCGTAACGATCTTCAACGCTCATACACTGACTTCTTGATTTCCAGGCTTCATTTCAGCAGAGACAGCTGCCTCTCTGACAGGAAACTGACTATCAAATGAAAGGCTGTTTTTGAGGTGTTGAGTGGGCGCTGAGATGACTGAAGACTTAAAAATGACTGCCATGGATGAACCGGACAAGTCGTGTTGTTTAACATGTATGTAGTGTAAATATAAATTGCTTGTTTACTTATCTCCTTTTTTTGTTTCCTTTATATTACTTTTGATATTTTGGAAATGTGTGGATTTTTTTTTAATCCAATGTCAAAGTTATTTCAGATTGACGGCTCGTAGAAAAAAAAAAACGTGTGCAGCTCACAGTTGGTAACAGAAACGTGACTTAATAATTGTAGGAATGATACTAGTTAGACACCGTGGACCGAAGTATCTCAAAAAGTTTTTCTGGAGGTCCACCGACCTTTTTTACGAGGTTAATATAACAATACTGCTCTCCTCTTCTCAAGGATCTTAGATGTACTATAACACCTGTTCTTGCCTTTTCATGTTTAGTAATATTCTTAAAATGTAAAGGAATGCCTTCATGCTTTCTACACACTAACTTAGTGAATCATGGACTCTTCCAGCCAAACTTATGCGCCATCTGCACTAATATTAAGTGCATTCATCGCATTTCAGCTTCAGCCAATGAGTTTTTAGACCTGCTTAAAGTAACTTTTACTTTTGCTCTTTTTGTAGTTGGAAAAGGAGGCAGCCCTCCTCTCCCACTGCAGCCATTGTTCGGCTGACTGCTTATTATTATACTGGCAATATTTTAAAATGTATGTTGCATTAATGTATGGCAGCAGGCTGTGTAAGAATTCTGCATTGTCTTTTTGCTTCAAACAAACAAACTGCCACTCTCACATGACGGGAATGAAGGATGCGTCCCTGTGTTTGTCCCTCCATAATGTGTATCCGGAAAGAACATGTCGTTTACGAGACCATACATGCTTTTTTTTTGTTGAGCTTTGTGTTGTTTTTTTGCTTCCCTCACTGGATGAAGTTTTATCCTCCTCAAGTGTCAAACTTCTCCGCGGGTGAGAAAGTGCATTCCAGGACAGTTCTCCATTTCTGTGTGTGTTTAAGTTGCGTTTTGCAAAAGTGTGCGAAAAAGTTTTCTCCATCGGATTGTGTTACCCTGATTCTGTCGATATACAGGAAGTGTTTCTGGTCTCTGCATTATTTATTGTCTCTGTCTGTTACTTGTACACATCTGGTTTTAAAATAAACAACCTTGTCATCGTCGTCCTCTTGACACAGCACTTTGAAATAATTCGCTCTTAGCATGTCAGCGACTTCGTCCGGCACCGCAGGCTTCACCTTTTGACAGCTGGGATCAGTCCTTAGCGTGTAAAATAAGCAGCGTGTTTGTGAGAAGTATTAAGTGCAGTTTGGCCTGAGGGTGAACTCGACGCTAAGACAACATTACTGAACTCAGAATATATGCAAATTATTTAGTAGGTGTCTACTAAGCAATTTGCATACAGGATAGTGGAGCTATCTCTTATTTACAAGCTTCTGTATTTTAACTTCATGGTTCCTCTTTACCTAATCATTATGATATCTTGATTTTTTGCAAAAACATTCCCCTCAATTCAACTCTCTCCCCACAGTTCCTGGAATAATGCTTCAATTTTTAGTACTGTGTCCTCCTCCGCTAACCTTTCCTGAATGATCTGGCTGAGCAACACAAACTCTTCATTCTTGGCTCTGATTGGACGCAGCTCAAGTGTGAAGAATTTGCATATAGCAGACTCGAACACACACAAGCCTCTGCACCCACAGGAGTGTGAAGAATCCAGCAGAGAACAGGTAGGTCATTGTTACTCTTTCTTTCCAGATTCTTCTTTTATTTGTGAGGAAGACACCGAGTTTAATGAATAAAAAACTTTTAATGTTTAGTGGGAAACATTACACAAGAGGATTTCTGATTTGTTTCATGTTTTTCCTGTACTTTAATGTTATAAACAAACAGATTTTCTTGTGTTTACTTCTTGCAGAAAGTTACTTTATTAAGATGAAGAAATCAGAACAACTTCCAGGAGTTAGTGCATTTCCCACTGGTAGTACGTCAACAAATTCCCCTCCACTTTTCACTCCTAAAGTCACCGTAAACCAAATATTACATGCCAATCCGCAGCATGGCAGAGCCGCACCAACCTGTTACATGGATGCGCCTTATTTCCACCCAAAAGACCTTCACAGAGTTGGACAAGCTCACCAGATGAGTAGAAGGTTAATGCAGCGCGGCGAGACGGACTGTGGAGGAGCAGTAATGAATCCCCATCATCCTGCTGAAACCTGGGAGGGCAGCGTGAGAGAGGAGTGCTGCTGTTGTGGAAGAGCACGGCCTGTGAACAGCGACACAACAAGGTGACAGAGAAAAAACAATATGTCAGTGATTGAACAATCATTTTGGTTTAGCTTGGATAAAATTAAATCTTAAAATTTTGTTCAGTGAGCAGGATGATCACAGATCTCAGGAGCAAAGCGATGAGGAGGATCTTGAACCTCCTTTACCACTGAGAGCTGATGATGAGTGGCTACACTGCAGTCCTTTTCTTGCTGCTCACCACAACATGCACAACTTTGGTAAGAAAATCCCGTCAAGACTTTTATTACTTCAGAACAAAGAGAGAAAAAAGAGGAAGATGATGAAATTTCCAAACTTGTTGAAAGTTTCACAACCAATGAAACAACGCAGCAGTAGTCCACTGATAGGAAAAGACTAAATTGAACACAGAAGTCAAAAAATCATGAACTCAATTTGCATCTGGATGAACTCTGTCAGAATTAAATAATTGTTTATTTTGAGTATTTTTTTATGCTTTGATAATTTGATCGGTATATTTTTTCTTGGCCTATTATTCATATCTACATTTATATTAAAGGCTCATGTTTATTATAAATGTGAACAGCACCTGTTGCGTAACTTAAAAACAAAGTTCATTATGTCTCTAATCACAGCAGTGAAGATGATTGAAACAACACGTAGTATAAGTTGGTAACTCAACAAAAGATTGCACTAAACTTCGGTGTATATTGAGTTACTTCTCATAACTGTTACAGCATTTGATGTATTTAATTATGTCCAAAAAAATAAAGATCTTGATGGATTTTGTTTAGTGTAAAAGGTGCAATTGTCTGCGTCAGTACACCGCCTATCAAAGTAATGTATTACTCAATATCTAGGTAAGTAAAATTACAATGTCCAAAGTTTTGACAAAGCTGAGTTTAACAAAACATTTTATTCACCAGAAGATGAAAATAAGGGTGATATGGAAACTAAAATTTAGCTTTGCTTCCAGAACTTTGATTGGGGTGTACTCATTTTTGTATCCTGATTTTAAATTGAAAAAAATACTTTTTTGTATGGAACTTAAAAAATCTTGTTTTCAATCAACGGCCTTCATTTGGGGGAGTATTTTTTGTGTTTCGTCTGACATAAAAAATGTTGATTTTGAAAGAAAACTAAAGGATTTCCTGACAATTCTGAAGGGGTGAACTCATTTATGCTGAGCACTGAATACATTTTTCAACATTTATAGTATTAAGTGATGATTTGAATTTATCCACAGAGCCTCATCATGCTGTAGAAAACAGGTTTTATCAAGCAGCAGAAGAAAGGCACTTCAACTTCAATCAAGTCAACAGGTTCCCTCCTCACTACCCTGCTCCCTGGCACCCCAGAGGACCCTACAGTGACCCCCAACACTGGTAAAAACATCACAGGTGTATTGACAGCTTTTGTAAAATTAAGTGAGTTGGGTTTCTTTTTGTGCGTAATTCAAACAAATCAGACAACAAATGTCTTTCTTGTGCTGCTATTCAGGCCTAAAAGCCACGATCACTTCATGAGTGGCAGCCTCGCACAGGGAAGCGTCTCAGTGAACGTCCCCCAGTTCTCCGTCCCACCTGTGGAGGGTGTGTCCCAGGTCAGCGTGATGAACTTAAGCTCAGCAGAGGCCTCTGTCTCACATCAGCACGAGAAAAGAAGAACCATCAGTCTGCCGGACGAGTGCCGTGAGTTATGTTTGATGAAGTGATGTGTCAAAGTTTGAAGCTGTCCTCTATTTCTGCGACTCTGTTTTCATCTGAGCGACATCCATGAGGTCGTCATGGTGTGAGACGATGCTGGCAAAAAGTGTCATTGTTACACCAGGAATCAGGGTGTGCAAATACCTGCCATGCCTGTTTAGGGTGGCGGTTAAATATTTTGAGTATTTTTCATATCAGACTCTCACGTGGATGAGTTTTTCATGCACATGATTGAAGTTTATTTTGATAAGTTTGTTAGTAAAGAGCGCAAGCAGGTATCAGTTGTGTTTCACATGCTGGTAGGTGTAGTTGAGTTATTTGTGGGGCTAGGATAACAGTTTACCTCATTTGTGTGTATGTATGCCTACATATGAGTGCATATATTTGTTCTGGGGAGTTATATGACACGGAAACATTTGGAAATAACAATACTAACTAATAAAAGTAAATAGACTAATGTGACAGAACAAAGGAAAAAAAATTACATTTAGAAAGAAAAACTATATATATATATATATATATATACAATATATATATATATATATATATATGTATGCATGCATATAAATTTACACACAGATATAGGTATTAGTTCATTCATTTATCTGTTTTTTTTTTCCCCACTCTCTAAAGAATGTTAAAAAATGTCTCATAATATTTCTGTATTAGGGCACATATAACAGACAAAATAAATATTAGTTTGAATTTGTTGATCAGCTGATTTAAAGTTTGTGTTGTTATAATGTATGTTTTAAATTGTGGTGTTTTTTGTCTTTTTAATTAGCATAAAACCACATTCCTTGAGAATTGAAATGCAGTCAGACACAAACTTTACTCCATCCTCTCTCTCTACACAGGAAACGTTTTCATCACTTATTCTCTGGATGCTTCCGCTGAGATCGTCCCCTTTGTGGATTTCCTGACAAAACAAGGTTTTCGACCAGCTGTGAGTTACTTACACTCTTAAATTTAAAGAAAAAAGTCTCTTATGAAAACTAAGTGTTCGCTTACATGCATGGATTTCATTTGTCAGATTGACATATTCGACAACCCCATCAGACGCATGGATATTAACAAGTGGAAGGACAGTTACCTGAAAGACGTGGGTGAATACATTGATTGAGCCTCGATTTTTTTGCTGGTTCTTTATTGTAACAAAAGATTTTCACTTTTTCATGTCATCACCGTGTGTAAACTCAGAGTGTTTTTTCCAGCCATCTACCCTGATCATCGTTGCCATCAGTCCAAAATACAAGGAGGACATTGAAGGATCTGTTGTTGATAATCATGGTCTGCACACTCGATATATACACTCGATGGTGAGAACATGTTTGATCTTTAAGAACTGAGAAATCGTTTCCCTCACAGCAGGTTAATAAAGTTTAATCTTGTTCTTTTTAGATGCAGAGTGAATTTATTCAGCAAGGCAGCTTGAATTTCAGATTCATACCTGTCCTCTTCCTCAATGCATCACAGGTCAGATTCTGTAGATTCTGTTGATTTCACAATGAGGTTTTGCACTTTGATCATATCTAACATACATTCCAACATCTCTATCTTTTAATGAACTCTACTACGAAACATGTACATGCAGAAGCACGTCCCTACCTGGCTCCTGAACACGCGCGTGTACCGCTGGCCGCAGGACACTGAGGATTTGTTGCTGCGGCTGCTGAGGGAGGAGAGATATGTTCCTCCTCCTGTTCCCATGGAGCTCACCCTGATCATTCGGCCTGTGACCCCCAGCTCTGCAGCTTCTATGTAAAAAAACAAAAAAACACATATTTGATAATGCATTCATGTAGCATTTGCTTAGGAAATTTTAAGATTTATATTTTGCACCAATTAAATGAAAAACAGCTCATATAGCTTAAATGGTATAGGCAGAATAACTACCTTTTTGTGTACAGAAATACATGTCATGCTTTTGAATACAGGATTTTGGTTGAATGATTATTTGTTTTTATTAAAGATTTTATTTATATGTGATACTTCAGGAGTTTTCATTCACCTGTAATGTCAAGTATTGCGCACACAGTTTAAAGTAATAATACAGGTCAGGCTGCTGTAAATTGCCTTAATAATCACAAGATGGCGCTGTTGTGACACACATTACTAGGTCTTTCCTTTGGTTTATTGTGGTAGTTTGTAGTTTTGGAAACATGTTTGAAGCTCCAAAGTAAGAACCTTTATAAGAAGTAAGAAAAGATGTAGTGACAGAAATGATGTACGGTCTTAAAAGGATTTAAAAACTTTCTGACTCTGTTGTCTTGTTCTTATACTGGGCGCCTGATTTGTTCCACTTTAATAGGCAGATTAAACTGCCATCAGAAGAGCTGCCCAGTTCAGTCAACTGATTTTACACACACCCCTTCAAATGCCAAAAAAGGCCTTCAGAGCGGCTGGTGAGTCGGGCTCTGGCTAAGAATAACCCGGACCTTCTGGGGGATAAAGTTACCTTGAAGCCTCCCTGTGCTGGGCTCTGACCTATACCCATGTGAGGCGCCAGGAACACTGGGTGGGATTTTCTGTCCCTTTCCTTCTCTCTGCCCAGAGTTGCGTTTAGCTTGGCCCTTTCCTTCCCCCCCTGCGTTGCTTTCTTTTGCCCCCAAACCCCCCTCTGCAATGCTGCCTCACTGGCAGCTCCAAATTCACCAGCACCTGGAACTGCACAGTTTATTTTCAATTGTCTAAATTTTCTTCTTTTTTTTTAATCTTGAAGAAGCTTTACCTGTGGATAGACAGTAGACACCCGACAGTGATCCCCAATGGAAATGGAATAATTTTATATTTTGGGATTATTTTTTTACTGACATTGGTTTCTGATTGGATTCTTACCGAAGCTGTGATTTTATGATCATGTCTGCATGAGGCGGCTTTGCCCCCAACTCAAAAGATAGTCTCTGAAACTGCCTCCATAGCACCATGGCTGAAGGTAAGGGTGTTGCACCTGCATCAACGCCAACATTAACAACATTTTCATTTTGATTTTGTACTCATTGCTATGAATTAAAGCATATAAAAGCTGCGTAAACTCTGCTGTTGCTGTGATCCTGTTTTGATAGGGATTAGGATCCCTGTAGGAAGATGTGTTGAAAGTTTGGTGCTATAAATATAGGATATCATGTAGCCACAGTATCAGTGGAGCTCTCCTGTGACAGACATGACTGCTGCTGCTGGATCTGACCCCTGCCTTTTTTTACAATAACAATCTTAAGTCGTCTTTCAGCAAAGCTGTATTTTTATGAGGCCTGATCTGAAAAACTGTATTTTGATTGCAAATTTATTTTTTTAATGAAACATCCACATTTCAGAAAGTCAGAGGAGCAGGCTGTCCCCCCCCTTTAAAATCCACTTATGCTTGTACTCAAACGCTGACGTCACCTGCTGATTCTACACTATTCATTAAAGGGATTATTCGTCAGCATGCAAGCATTTGTATTTGAGGAAGTGAGGCATGATTACAGTCTATTCACAGTTTGACGCTGTAACAAACACTTTGGCCTCGAGCCCAAGATGGAAAATTTAGCAGTGAAGATTCTCTCTGCCACCTGATGACGGTGGGGATGTCATTCAATCCCAAGACAAGAGTTTTCCACTGCGTTAGGTAGATCTTGTGTTTTGATAAGTGATAACATCATTAAAACAGATGATTCTTGTCTTTTCTGATATCTATCACATTCTTAGTAACTTAATCTTCAGGATTATCCAATAATTTAACACATTTCAAACCCCTCAGTGTAAAGCAAAGAAGGAAAAAAGTTTATGGAAACTCCGTCTGTTGGGTAAAGTCCAAATAGAGATATGTTACACCAGATATTTTCAGATTCAGAAGAAGACTAGGAAGGTGGATTGATGTCCCACAGTTAGTCCTTTCAAAATAAAAGTCATGTGGTGAATGTGAAACAAAGACCTCTATTTTCAACTACACTGTATGTTGTTTTATGTGAATATAGTTTCAGTCAGAGTCCCAGAAAGTTGGAAGTTGTTGGTTGTTTTGTCAGACGTTTCAATCAAATGTGGTTTCAGCCCAACATACATGACAAAGCAGATCAGCTGAATGTTTTAGTGTAAGAAAATTTTGTAGTATGTTTGAATTCTATTGATAATATTTGTTTTTCTGTAATACGTAATGTTATATTCACAAACACTTCTTTAGTTTAAGTGCCAGAAAATAACTTAAAGGGGGTCTTATCATATCGCACTTTTTAGGACTACTTTCGGACTTGTGCACACATGATTATACTTAATTTAACTAAAAATTAATAACTTGCATCTGTGTCATCTGATGTTTCTTTTTTGGGCCAACTCATAATCAGCACTGAAGCTAAAATTACCTTCGGTGTATTAATGCTCTGCTCTAACACTTTCAGGGTGCTGGAGCGGGGCCAGAAGAAGTGAATTAACACGTGTATCTTTGTGTAGGGCTGTCAGAGTATCTTATTTTCACCTCTGAGTTATCCTTGTCATAACCTATTGATAGTAATGTTATCATGATATTTTCAGAAAATTTGAAAATAAAACAGTACAGTCAGACAAATTGAGGAAAAGCATGAGGAGCAACATATTACATGATAATTTCTCTTATCAACACAGTTAACTTACATGTTGTCATTCATTACTCCATGAACTACTGCTTGTTATGCTTTTATTCTGATATTTTATCTGTCTTTGTTTAGGTTGCTTAATTGTGGACATGGTAAAACTATGCTTTTATTTTGAAGGACAAGCTATTCTCTGCAGATCTTAAGTTGTGAATCTGAATAAAAACTATTAAAAGAGTTAAAGTTGTTTTTCCAAAATGATGACTTTTGTTAAGAGCGTTTTTTTTTGTCAGCCCTTTCGAAGTGTTTCACAGATAGAAGATAGAAAAGACACTCAAAACAAAAAAACAAACAAAAAAATGATATGCATAAATATATAAGATGGTAAAAAAAAATTCAAATTCTGCCACTTCTGAGATGTATTTTTTTCTAACAGTATCATATTGAGGATGCTTCTCATTAGTTTAAGAGAGAGGGGATAAAACTAGTTTTTTATTGCATTGGCCTGAATGGGCTTCCATACGACACACTCACTGCTTGTATGGAAGCCCTTTAAAAACAGAGGGCATCCACTATAGACAGCGAGTATTTGGGGTCTGAACCAATACAAGGCAATCTAAATGAGTTCTAAGAGTGGCATTAATACCTTTTTTTACATATTAAGGAGCCAGATCGGCACCTGCAGCTGGTGGGACCAATGGAGCAGCACAGACGAGAGCTCCAAGGCCCACAGGTGTGGGGATCCTCGGGAAGCTGAAAATGTCTGCAGAGCTGCTGATCGCTCTGGCTGCTCTGCTCTCCTGGCTGGTGGTGGGAGTGGTGATGTTTGACTTTGTGGAGTATAAAGCAGTCCCTGGTAAGTCACTAATAAGTAGAAATAAATAACACGAATATACGTCCTCTTATTGAGATGGTCATCTATATGTCTATTTCTGTCCTCAGACATTCAGCAAATCATTACGGACCCTGTGCAAGCTGTATATGACGGTGTAGATGAAGTATCCAGTCTGCTCAATAAGTTTCAAGGTAGACAAATAAAAGAAAAGTACTTCTGTATAGCATGCATCTTTTAGTAATTCTGAAACAAGAATCCTAATATTTGACCATTTTTCTGGGTCCCTAGAATGTGCACCAGATTTAAGTGACCCCATGTCTATTGCCACGTATGCTGCTGAAGAAATAACGGAAGCAAAAGATGGATTTGTACAATACTTTTCAGATGAGGAAGGTCAGAAACCTTACTCTCATGAAATCTATGTTGAGATAAAATTAGAAAGTTTTGACTAAAGATAATCAAAGAGAATGAAATTGAATCTATACTTTCCTCTTAATCCACAGGAAACTTCTACCTCAGCTATGTGGACCCTGTGGTTATAGGACGACGAGCTTTCCATTCAACTAATGACTTTGTGGGTGGAGTCATGGGATCCTTCAGGGACACAGTGTGTGGTGTTGTGGATACTGTATTGGATACCATACAGGACGTAACAACAGGTATATCATATTTGTGCCTTTTCTTATTCACAATCCATTAATGTGATATTAATTTGTAACACCTGAGTGAAAAACACTAAATATTTGTTGAATTCTCACATAAAACTGAGCCTAAAGTTTGATTATTAATACAAATTCCCCTCACTAATATGTTTGTTTCTCCCAGGGAAAACTGACCTTAGCTACATTGACCCGGTGGTCATAGGCAGACGTGTCTTCAGTGTTACTAATGAGTTCATGAATGAAGTGGGGGACTACATCCAGGATGTGCTCTGTGACATTCTGGACACTATTCTGGATGTAGTGAAAGGTATTTACTCTCCTTGTTTAACATCCCCGTAACCTTAAACCTCCTAAAATCTTTAATTTTATCTTTTTATCACAGAATACAGGACCAGGTTTACACATATGTTCTTTGGACTTATTTTACCGTATTTGTTTTCTCAGGGACCACCGATGTCAGCTTCTTGGACCCTGTGGTGATTGGCAGAAATGTCTTCAGTGTTACTAATGAGGGTGTGGGAGGAATAGTGGGATACATCCAGGGTGTGCTCTGCAGAATCGTAGACACTGTGCTTGATATAACGAAAGGTACCGGCTTCACATTCTGAGTTTAAGTGTGTATTTAATTTCCATTTTTTAAATGTCTGCGTCATTATTTGTTGGCTTATTCTGATACTTAATAAAAATGATGAATCAAAATCAATAACTTTTTCAGCTTGTAGGGGAGACCGGGGCTTGTTGTCACACTTTTTACACTCATATATTTCTTGGAATCAATGCATCATATATAAACAAAATGTGTACCAGATGAAAGACCAAAGTCTCAGTGCAGAGTTATAAGCAATCAAATAGAGACATGTATCACGGCTAGGATTTTATCTAGAAGAAGCTTATTTTAAAATATATAAAGTTAATTTCTTTTCAGTTTGAGTTGTGTGAAATGGTTAATTGGCGCTTATCTCAGCTCACAATGTGCTCTTCTCTTCTTAGACAGGACACGACCCCTGACCGTGTAAAGGAAGAAAGCTAGTATTCCACTTTTTTGTTGCGCCCTCTGGTGGCAAAGATAATTGCAATGTGACAACTTACCCATGTGACAACAAGCCCGAGTCTCCCCTATCTGATCTCAAACACTTCGGCTTTTATTTTCCCTCAGTTAACTACTCATAGCAGGATAATGGGTGATTTTTACAGGAGCTTTGGCCTGAATGTGTGTTTCATTTCTCAGGAACCACTGATATCAGCTACATGGACCCCGTGGTTGTTGGCAGAGATGTCTTCACTGTCATCAATGACTTTGTGAGTGGAGTAACAGGATATATCCAGGGCGTGCTCTGTGCAATCTTAGATGTAATACTGGACGCAGTTTCAGGTAAAGTGGATTTAAACCTGCACCTAATCTTTGTCTGTGTTATATGTATTCACTGAACAGCGTTTTTTTCTTCTCTGCTGATCAGATATCCAGCAGGCTGTGGGATTCAGTCCCCTGTCAGCTCTGAAGACAACAGGAGAGATCATCACAGAGCAGATAAACATGCTCGTCAGCTATGTCTCCACAATGCTGTTCGGTGAAAAAGGTCTGTTTTATCACAAACAACATGCATTTTATTGCACCGCATTGCCCACTCCGCTTGATTCTGTATTTGTCACCCCTGAGATATGATGATGTTTCGTTGTCTGAACTGCATCTTTACCTGATTTTTATGGTGTGCAGATATTTCAGAAATCATGCCTGAAGTGTCCATTGATCCCATGAAAGTTGTTCAAGACGCTGTGTTGGATTTCACAGACAAGAAAGATTTGTTCCTGTCTTACATGTCCAGCATGCTTGTTGGAGAGGAAGGTGTGATTTGCATTTGTGTATAAAACAGAATATCAAAAAATGTGATGCTATCAATGTGGAAATTTATGTTTGAATGATGTTGATAAAAAATCTAACATCATAATAACAGGATACATATTTTAACATCTTCTCTTTTTTGTCTTAGGTGAACCTGTTTCCACACCTGTTGTGAATATAGTCACTGAAAAAGGTCAACACTTTGTAATTAATCTGCATCTTATTTACAACATGAAATTTGTTTATGCAATATTTACAAAATTTGTTTTTGTCTCTTTTTTAGATGAAGCCAAAGTTTCTCCTTCTGATATAAATTTGGTGCAAAGAAAAGGTGAGTACTGGAACATTTTTAATTCTTTTTTCTCTGAAACATCTACAGTTGACATGTAACTGATAGTTTTTTCTTTCTTTCTCTAAATGTAGGTGAATTTCTTCCCCCAGTGGAAAAAGGTAAGAAAACATCACAACATATTACTGTGTTACACTTCATTCTGGACAGCTGTGAAGCATTTTGCTTGCGAATAGTTGCCTTTTGAGCATGTTGAGGATGATTTTTGTTGTTTTTCTTCCCCTCTTGTATGAAATCTTCTGAATTCTGTCATGTTCAGTGTGACAAAACAAGCCTGAAACTGAATGTTAAGTTTGTTTGACTGAACAAAGTTTCAGCATGGTCAGATATGTATCATTAACAGGGTTCATTGTGATGAATTTTCGTCGCATCAAAGTTTGTTTCTCATCTTTGGACTGCATCTCTTTCTCTGACTGTCATACTGAATGTTTTTTGAATTTTGCATTTATGTGTTTTGACATGAGGTCAGCTGACATGTTTTTGTAATATATCTTTTAAGACAGAAACAGTATGATTGTTGTTCCCTGCATAACCCAAGCACATCTGTTAACAACTGCAACCTTAAACCTCTGTGATTGTCAGTATGTGATTCTTGAGCGTTTCTACCGGGTGATGTGTGATTTCCTTTTACATATTCTGTTTGTATGGACTCATGTTAACACCACATGTTTCAAAAGCAGACCTTGATAAAATTATAATTGGTCAAACTGATTTTTAAGTTGTCAGACTTAAAGTGAAACATTAAAATAATCCTCTCAAAAGTTTAAATTAGCCTTTTTTGGTCAACAAATCTGATGAAAACTCAAAATTCAACAATAAATTAATCCAATTGATAAGTCTTGTTCTTTGCAACCTTGTCATCTAGTTTAACATATGTATAATACTAATTGTTTGGAGAGCCTTATATATCCCATCTCTCTTTGACACTGACAAAGAAGAGTGACTCTGAATAAGCAATATGATATAAATAGAAAGCATTATAATTTAAATGCAAAGTCTATCATATAAATGTAAAGTAGTATGATATAAATGTAAAGTAACATACTGTAAATGTAAAGTAATATGATATAAATGTAAAGTAGTATGATATTAACGTAAAGTAATATAGTATAAATGTAAAGTACTATCATATTAAGGTAAAGTAGTATGATATACATGTAAAGTAATATAATATAACTGTAAATTACTATCATACAAATGTAAAGTAGTATGATATACATGTAAAGTAATATAATATAAATGTGAAGTAACATGATATAGATGTAAAGTTATATAATGTAAATCTAATGTGCTATCATATAAGTGTGAAGTAACACGATATAAATGTAAAGTGATGTGATGTAAATGTAAAGTATAATGATATAATGGTAAGAATTATGATATATATGTTAGGTAACGTGATATAAATGTAAATATATTTAATATAAATGTTAAGTTATATAATGTAAATCCAAAGTACTATTATATAAATTTGAAGTAGCATGATATCAATGTAAAGTAATATTATATAACTGTAAATTACTATCATACAAATGTAAAGTAGTATGATATAAATGTAAAGTAATATAGTGTTAGTGTGAAGTACTATTATATAAATGTAAAGTATTATGACATAAATGTTAAGCAATACAATATCAAAATAAAGTAATGTGATATAAATGTAAAGCTATATGAAAAAGTCATGTTAAAATGATCAAAACTTGCCAGTTATTGATGAGATTTTTGCTGAGACATTTTGTGAAGGAGTTACATCTTCTTTAAAAGTCACATAGTTGACGTCAGATTTGTTGACTCTAAGATATTTTTGTTATACTGAGAGAGGCATTAACAGAAACATGTGCTGTGGGCTGTTTTGTGTCATGAATGAATAAATGAATGTTTCGTTGCATTTTATCAACTTTCTCCACATCTGAAAAAACAACTTTGGAGCTGCATTTTCTTACAAAATGCCAAAGATGTGGACACATATGATTCGTGACATGCAATGATGGTCCAGTTGCAGAGATCATGGATGCTGAGCTGAAGGCAGCCTCTGACGACTTAAAGACAGAGGAAGAGGAGGAAGCCGAAGCCGAAGCTCCAAGTGCTGCAGAAGTGACCGAGGCAGAGGAAGATGCTGGTAGTTAATTTTTTAAAATCTGATATAATCACAATCATTTGTCAGACGTGAGCTCATTAACAGGAACTCAATTTCTGAACTATCACATCACTAGAGAAACACGCCGACCTCAAAGAAACAGAAAAAGAAGGAGATGAAGGAATCCTCGAAGATATCAGCATAGATGAAGTGGAAAAGGAGGAAGAAGAGAAGGAGGAGGAGGAGAAAGAGGAGCATGCTGTATCCATGGAGGAAGAAGAGAAGAAGGAGGAGGAAGATGAGGATGAAGGTGTTGGCATAGAGATGGAGGAGGAATTAATATCAGAGGGTGATGAAGACCAAGAAAAGGCAGATGCAACAACAGAGGAGGTCAAGGTAGATCAGGAGGAGGGGGATGAGGGGGAGGAAACAAAAGCAGAAGAAGAGGAGGAAATAAAGGCAACAACACTTGCAGTAGAAGAAGAGGAGGAGGAGGAGGCTAAAGCAGAAGAAGCTTTGGAAGAGGAGGAGGAGGAGGAGGAAACTATAGCAGAAGTTTTGGTGGAAGAACAAGAAGAGGAGGCTCAAATAGAGGTTTCATTTGAGAGGGAGCGGGAAGAAGATGTGGAGATGGAGGAAACCAAAACTGAACTTCTGTTAGAGGAGGAGGAGACAGAGGTAGAAGCCGAAACTGGAGTCTTGCTTGAGGAGCTCATCGAGGTAGAAGTTCTGCCAGAAAAGGAGGAGGGGGAGGAACCAAAGGAAGAGGAGTCTTTTGAGGAAGAGATTGGAGATAAAGACCTTCTTGCTGTTGAAGAAAAAATAACACCTGATACTGGTGACGAAGTTGAAACTTTAGAAACTGATCAGATTGATGAACTTTTAGACTTTGACCTTCATCTCGCTTTAGAGGAGGAGGAAGGAGAAAAACAGGCAGAGAAGACTGAGGTAGAGGAGGAGGCAGAGGCCTTCATCCAACCACTTGACCTTCAGATCCTTTCAACTGAAAAAGCCGTCAATGCCAGTGAGGAACCTAAATCTGATGAAGAAGAGGAAGAAACACTTGTTCACGGCCTAGACGAATACTCAGACATTATTGGTGATCAGGATGAAAACAACAACAACAGTGAAAGTGTGAAAACTGAACCGAAGCGAAAGAGGAAGGTTCGTATTCCCTTTGAGAGACTTCGAAAAGTTGGATCCAAAGCTGAACGTCCTCACATGCGTGAAAAAGGTACAAAACTCTCTTGATGATCTTCTGAGATTTTAACCTTTTTCAAGACCAAGTGATGAAAATGTTTGCGGTGTTGAGTGTGAAATAATTCATAACTGATGAAAAACTGGAGGGTGAATATTTATCTTTTACAGTTTCTTAAGCATTCAGTTTGTTTCTTTGTTTTGTGAATGTTTCAATAATGAAGTAAACCATCAAGGTTTTAATAATTAACAGAATTATTTTCTTTCAGACTCTTTTATTTACTGTTTTAATCAAGTTAACGCTGATTTCATCTAATCATACACTCTGACCTTTGGACTTTACAGCTCCAATTAGTCCTCGGGGGATTGATCTTTATCACACTTTTCAAACTCAACCAAATTTGAGAAGATAAGCTTGCTCATAAGTTTATGGAAATAAGGACAAGTTTGGACAAGTTGTAATTTTTTGATATAGATTAAGCTAAAAAGTTTACGTACACCCGTGCCACTGGATTTATGATAAGTTTGAGGTCTAAATAAGTCTCTCCGGCAACAGGAAGTTTCTTGTTTTGAATTGCAATCTGTTCCTTCCAGCCTGTTGGACAAATCAAAATAAAGATTTTATAGTTCAGAAGTGCCAAACCGTAACTGTAACTCTAAATGAAAGTTTGCTTAGACTTTCAAAAATTTTAAACTAATATTTACACTTTTGATTTTAAACAAACTTGGAAAATTCCCCCCAAATCTCACAATGCATATTCCCAAAAACAATTTTTTTGAATTTCAGAATGAAGATGCCAAACTTTCCAAAATTTCTCACCAAGGGTTTCTCAAGGGACTCAAAATTTTTTAAGTTAAAAATAAAATAAAATACAAAATTGTGCAAACTTCCAAAAGGTATCTCAATAAGCAAATTTAAGTTTCTTAAGTTAAGTGAGACTTTTGTAAGACTTTCTGCAATCTGCAAAGTAATTTTCCAGGGTTCATGTTCTAAATTTATCTCTGCAGGGTAAACTAAATTTGTCATAATCTACTAAAAAAAGTAACATCGTAGCCACAGGTGTGTTTAGGTTATTGTGTTTTTAGCGTTGTCGAGCTTATGCAGCTTATGCAAGTGTGAATGTTTGTCAGGTGACTATGATGCAGGTCAAATACAGGTCTGTGATATTTGTAACGTCTTTCTAATGTACTTCAGTTCTCAAAGAGGCAGAGGAAGAACCAGCCCTGAAAGAAGTTCAGGACACCATTATTACAGGTAACACCCTTGAGTCCACTTGCTTTAATGTGGGTATTTCTATCTGTTCTCATTCATTCAGTCATAAGAATATACTGACAAGACATTTTTGTTTATAGACATAGAAGTCACAGTAACAAAATAAATAAATAAATAAATGAATAGAAACTCAACTTGGTGAGGCGATAAAAGAATGCCAGAATGGGGGGATGCCAGAGAAGAAGGCAATTTGAATTTTAGGATTCACCTGAGTCTCTCGGGGAAAAAGTGTTTTTTGAAAAAAGTTTAATTATCTTCATTACTTTTAGAAGAGGAGCCCAAACAGAAAGAAGAGGTGAAAGTAACGAAACCAACAAAAGACGAAAAAGAAGTCAAGAAACCAGCCAAAGAAAAGGAAGAGGTAGAGCACCCTCCGAAAAAGACAGAAGCCAAGAAACAACTTAAAGAAGAGAAAGAGGCCAAGATACCACCACCAAGAAAGGAAAAGGAAGCCAAAATACCTCCAAAATTAGAGAAAGTAGACAAGACACCAACGAGAAAGGAGAAAGCAGAAGCTAAAGAACCACCTAAAAAGGTGAAAGAAGTCAAGGAACTACCAGAAGAGAAGAAAATAGCCAAAGAACTAAAAGAGGAGGAGAAAGAAGTTAAGAAACCAACAAAAGAAGAGATAAAAGACAAGAAACCAACCAAAGAAAAAGTAGAAGTTAAGAAACCACCTAAAGAGAAGAAAGAAGAGAAGAAACCACGGCGAGAGAAGGGAGCAATCGAAAAACTTCTCAAAGACAAGGTAGAAGTCAAGAAACCTACAAAAGAAGAAGTCAAGAAACCTACAGAAGAAAAAGTCAAGAAACCTACAAAAGAAGAAGTCAAGAAACCTACAGAAGAAGAAAAAGTAACAGAAGAACCACCTAAAGAGAAGAAAGAAGAGAAGAAACCACGACGAGAGAAGGGAGCAATAGAAAAACTTCTCAAAGACAAGGTAGAAGTCAAGAAACCTACAAAAGAAGAAGTCAAGAAACCTACAGAAGAAGAAGTCAAGAAACCTACAAAAGAAGAAAAAGTAACAGAAGAACCACCTAAAGAAGAGAAAGAAGAGAAGAAACCACGACGAGAGAAGGGAGCAATCGAAAAACTTCTCAAAGACAAGGTAGAAGTCAAGAAACCTACAAAAGAAGAAGTCAAGAAACCTACAGAAGAAGAAGTCAAGAAACCTACAGAAGAAGAAGTCAAGAAACCTATCAAAGAAGAAAAAGTAACAGAAGAACCACCTAAAGAAGAGAAAGAAGAGAAGAAACCACGACGAGAGAAGGGAGCAATCGAAAAACTACTCAAAGACAAGGTAGAAGTCAAGAAACCTACAAAAGAAGAAGTCAAGAAACCTACAGAAGAAGAAAAAGTAACAGAAGAACCACCTAAAGAGAAGAAAGAAGAGGAGAAACCAAGAAGAGAGAAGGGAGCAATCGAAAAACTACTCAAAGACAAGGAAGAATTCAAGAAACCTACTAAAGAAGAAGTCAAGAAACCTACAAAAGAAGAAAAAGTAACAGAAGAACCAACTAAAGAAGAGAAAGAGGTCAAGAGACCACGAAGAGAGAAGGGAGCAATCGAAAAACTTCTCAAAGACAAGGTAGAAGTCAAGAAACCTACAAAAGAAGAAGTCAAGAAACCTACAGAAGAAAAAGTCAAGAAACCTACTAAAGAAGAAAAAGTAACAGAAGAACCAACTAAAGAAGAGAAAGAGGTCAAGAGACCACGAAGAGAGAAGGGAGCAATCGAAAAACTTCTCAAAGACAAGGAAGAAGTCAAGAAACCAACAGAAAAAATCGGAGTCACTAAGGAACAACTGAAAGAGACAAGGGAAGCCAAAAAGCCACCAAGAGATGAAAAAGAAAAAGTCATTATCACCAAAGAACCACCCAAAGAGGTAAAACAAACCAAAAGACCACTAAAAGAAGAGACAGAAGTCAAGAAACCTGTAAAAGAAGAGAAAGAGGTCAAGAAACCACCAAAAACAGAGAAAGAAGTTAAGAAACCAGCCAAAGAAGAGAAAGAGGTCAAGATACCACCAAAAACAGAGAAAGAAGTTAAGAAACCAGCCAAAGAAGAGAAAGAGGTCAAGAAACTTCCCATAGAGGAGAAAGTGGTCAAACAACCTCTTAGAGCAATAAAGGAAGCCAATGAAACTGTGGTAGAAAGGAAACACATCAAAATACCCCTAATCGTAAAGATAACTCCTGAACTAAAGACTGACGCAATAAAACCTCTTAGCACAGAAAAGGTGGAAAAAGAGAAGAAACCATCAAAAGAAGAGAAAGAGGTCAAGAAACTTCCCAAAAAGAAGAAAGAGGTCAAGAAACCAGCCAAAGAAGAGAAAGAGGTCAAAAAACCAATAAAAGAAGAGAAAGAGGTCAAGAAACCAGTAAAAGAAGAGGGAGAGGTAAAGAAACCTCCAAAACAAGAAAAAGACATCAAGAAACCAGCCAAAGAGGAAAAAGTAGTTAAACAACCTCTTACAGCACTAAAGGAGGCTAATGAAACTGTGGTAGAAAGGAAACATATTAAAATACCTCTAATTGTAAGGCCTCCTGAAGTTAAGACTGACACCATGAAACCTCTAAGCAAAGGAAAGATGGAAAAAGAGAAGAAACCAGCCAAAGAAGAGGAAGAGGTCAAGAAACCTCCCAAACAAGAGATAGCGGTCAAGAAACCACCTAAAGAGGAGAAAGAGGTCAAGAAACCAGTAAAAGAAGAGAAAGAGGTCAAGAAACCAGCCAAAGAAGATAAAGTAGTCAAACAATCTCTTGGCACAATAAAGGAAGCTGATGAAACTCCGGTAGAGAGGAAACACATCAAAATACCTCTAAGAGCAACAATGCCTCTTGAAGTTAAGACTGACATCGTAAAACCTCTTAGTGAAGAAAGGATGGAAAAAGAGAAGAAACCAATCAAAGAAGAGAAAGAGGTCAAGAAACCATCAAAAGAAAAGAAAGATGTCAAGAAACCTCTAAAAGAAGAGAAAGAGGTAATGAAACTTCCCAAAGAGGAGAAAGAAGTAAAGAAACCTCTAAAAGAAGAGAAAGAGGTAAAGAAACTTCCCAAAGAGGAGAAAGAAGTAAAGAAACCTCTAAAAGAAGAGAAAGAGGTAAAGAAACTTCCCAAAGAGGAAAAAGAGGTCAAGAAAATAACCAAAGAGGAGAAAGAGGTCAAGAAACTTCCCAAAGAGGAGAAAGTAGTTAAACAACCTCTAAGAGCACTAAAGGAAGCCAATAAAACTGTGGTAGAAAGGAAACACATCAAAATACCTCTAATTGTAAAGATAACTCCTGAACTTAAGACTGACACAATAAAACCTCTAAGCAAAGAAAAGGTGGAAAAAGAGAAGAAACCAAAAAAAGAAGAGAAAGAGGTCAAGAAACCAGTAAAAGAAGAGAAAGAAATCAGGAAACCTCCCAAAGCAGAGAAAAAGGTAAAGAAACCAGCCAAAGAAGAGAAAGAAGTAAAGAAACCTCCCAAAGAGGAGAAAGTAGTCAAACAACCTCTAAAAACAATAAAGGAAGCCGATGAAACTGTGGTAGAAAGGAAACACATCAAAATACCTCTAATCGTAAAGATAACTCCTGAACTAAAGACTGAAGCAATAAAACCTCTTAGCAAAGAAAAGGTGGAAAAAGAGAAGAAACCAATAAAAGAAGAGAAAGAGGTAAAGAAACCAATTAAAGAAGAGAAAGAGGTAAAGAAACCTCCCAAAGAGGAGAAAGAGGTCAAGAAACTTCCCAAAGAGGAGAAAGAGGTCAAGAAACTTCCTAAAGAGGAGAGAGAGGTCACGAAACCACCTAAAGAAGAGAAAGAAGTAAAGAAACCTCTAAAAGCAACAAAAGAAGCTAATGAAACTGTGGTAGAAAGGAAACACATCAAAATACCTCTAATCGTAAAGATAACTCCTGAAGATAAGATTGACACCATAAAACCTCTTAGCACAGAAAAGGTGGAAAAAGAGAAGAAACCAATTAAAGAAGAGAAAGAGGTAAAGAAACCATCAAAAGAAAAGAAAGATGTCAAGAAACTTCCCAAAGAGGAGAAAGAAGTCAAGAAACCTCTCAAAGCAAAAAAGGAAGCTAGTGAAACTGTGGTGGAAAGGAAACACATCAAAATACCTCTAATCGTAAAGATAACTCCTGAACTAAAGACTGACACCATAAAACCTCTTATCACAGAAAAGGTGGAAAAAGATAAGAAACCACCTAAAGAAGAGAAAGAGGTCAAGAAACCAGCCAAAGAAGAGAAAGAGGTAAAGAAACCTCCGAAAGAAGAGAAAGAAGTCAAGAAACCAGTAAAAGAGGAGAAAGAGATCAAGAAACCTCTTATAGCAATAAAAGAAGCTAGTGAAACTCTGGTAGAAAGAAGACACATTAAAATACCTCTTATCGTAAAGATGCCTCCTGAAGATAAGATTGACACCATAAAACCTCTTAGCACAGAAAAGGTGGAAAAAGAGAAGAAACCAATTAAAGAAGAGAAAGAGGTCAAGAAACCAGTAAAAGAGGAGAAAGAGGTCAAGAAACCTCCCAAAGAGGAGAAAGAGGTCAAGAAACCAGTAAAAGAGGAGAAAGAGGTCAAGAAACCACCTAAAGAAGAGAAAGAGGTCAAGAAACCACCTAAAGAAGAGAAAGAGGTCAAGAAACCTCTTAAAGAGGAGAAAGAGGTCAAGAAACCTCCCAAAGAGGAGAAAGTAGTCAAACAACCTCTTAGAGCAATAAAAGAAGCCAATGAAACTGTGGTAGAAAGGAAACACATCAAAATACCTCTAATTGTAAAGATAACTCCTGAACTAAAGACTGACACCATAAAACCTCTAAGCAAAGAAAAGGTGGAAAAAGAGAAGAAACCAAAAAAAGAGGAGAAAGAGGTCAAGAAACCAGTAAAAGAGGAAAAGGAGGTCAAGAAACCCCCCAAAGAAGGAGTCAAGAAGACAGTGACACCTTCAAAGAAGGTACAGGAGGACAAAAAACATCTAGAGGAAGACAAGGAAAAAGTTACTCCTCTGAAGGAAACAATAAAGGCAAGGAAGCCCTCAAAAGAAGTCATAGAGCCAGAAATATCACCCAAAGAAGTTAAAAAGCCCCCAAAAGAGGTGAAAGAAGTAGAAAAGAAAGAGAAGCCCTCCAAAGAAAAACAAGAACCAGAGAAACCCTCTAAAGAAGAGGAAGTCGTCAAGAAGAGAGACACAAAAACAGGTAACCATTGAGGAGCGATTACACAAGTTAGGTCGGGTCAGGTCAGCTCATGTGTGACGCCACAAAGACTCACATCAGTGTTTCATACAGTCCATGTGCTAATATGTTAGCATGCTAATTATAATAATGATGATGCTTGCTGGCTTGGTGATATATTTAATTAAGCATTGATCACAACCCTCAGCTAATGGGCTAATGGCAGCTTAAGTAACGTCAGTAACAATGATGTCACAGTAGCACAGCAGTGTTAGGACTGATAATACCTCATATACACAAAGGTGTTTGACCATAAACCAGAGTGATCAATGAAAAAATGTATTTGAAACCTAATGATGCTAAAGCCGATAGAACTACAAAGATTTTATTATGAATATCAAACACATTGTTATAACGAATGTATTATTTCCAAGCTGTATGATGAGATTCTGGTCTGACTTAACCTGTTGAACAAACTCCTGTTTTGCACTTCAGCTGATGTACCCAAGAGGGCAGTAAAGGTGCAGACAGCTGTGAAAAAGATGACACTGTCTGTCCTGAAAAAGGAACATCTTAATGTCACAAAAACAGGTAAAAACAAAAACAAAAAAAATTTTAATTGAGCAAGTTTTGCTTTTATTTTCCGTCTGTCTGATTTTTTGTGAGGCTCTCTGGGCTGTATGTATAGAAGGTGCCATAAAAATAAAGTTAAGTCTGCTCAGTCCCCTATTGTATGGGCACCACAAAGGCCACAAAGCTCCTTTAACTGTGTGTCTTTTTCTATATACAGAACCTGCAAAGGAAAAGGCTAAAGCAGCTCCTGCTAAAAAAGGTGACGAATGCATTTTAAATTTATCAGCCAGCTCCTGTCTGACACACATGAGCACTATTAGTATAAATGTCATGGTGGAGTGAATTATTTTCCTTTTGTCTCACAGAAGTTGCAGCCCTCAAAGACAAAGCTAAACCAGTTGTCTTGAAAAAAGGTAAGAGTGGTGCATGTTGTAAAACACGAGTTCATCTTAAACCAAAATGAATCCACAGTTTAAGTGTTTTTTTCCCCACAGAGCCAGAGGGTGCCCCCAAAAATGCCTCAGTTCTGAAACAGAGAGTCAAAATAGTTCCTATGAAAATGGGTATGTCCTTCAGTTTGTATTTTATTTTATTTTATTTTATTTCCTCAGTTTTTTTTTTACACCTGAGTCAGTGATCCTGAGCAGGCATCTTTTCTGTTTCTTCAGAAGTCAAGCCTCCAAAAGAGAAAGTCAAAGCAGTCTCTGTAAAGAAAGGTACGCCACATTTCAAAGAGTCATAACGCTCAGTTTGGTTTTTTCCTCTGAACTTTGCATTAATGTGTTTTCTTCCACAGCCGAGGCCCCAAAACTGAAGCCAAAACTGGCCGTCACAAAAAGAGGTATGATGGATCTTTGTCTTTTATCATCTTATCATGATGTTGTTTTTCTGGAATAATGACCCTCAAATGTATCTACACAGAACCTGCTCAGGACAAAACCAGCCACTGTAGTCAAAGTTAACACTACAAAAATATTTTTTCTTGCACAGAGGCATGAACTCACTCACTCTCTTCTTTGTCTTCTTTCAGAGGCCGAAGTTTCACCCAAGAACGTCTCACTGACCAAAGAGAAGGTCAAGGTTGTGCCGCTGAAGAAAGGTACACTTACTCAACAACATCAATACACCTCATCAGTGCTTTCGATTTAACATTCATTTAATTTTGGAAATTAACAACGCCTTTTTAGATCAAGAAAAACAAACTGTTTCAGACACACAAACTGTTCCTCTGTCGTGTTTGTCGTCTCTTATAGTGCCTGTAACTCCAAAAGAGAAAGTCAGACCAGCAGCACCAAAGAAAGGTGCTTTTTTTCACTCATTTACTGACTTCTTAAAATATGTTTTGATGTGGACAGTGATAACATGTCAGGAAACAATATTAACCACGATTAAATTTACACAACAAACTCCATTGACCATTAATATACATGTGTGTATTCCCCTTTTTAGCTGAAGTTCTGAAGGAGAAGAAGGCCGAGCCAGTGACACCCACAAAAGGTATGTTTTTGACTTGCTTCAGCATCTTTTTATTTATCACACGTAACTTCTGCCACAACCGTATTTTCCTCTTGATTTTGGACGGTACGACAAGATACATAATTTTTTTTTGTTCTGTTATAAAAGCAAAAGCAAAAGCAAAAGCTGCTGAAAAGAAGAAAGGTATGCAGCAGGAGTGTCTCTGCAGTGATTTAGTAGCTGCTAATGTGTGGCTGCTGATGAAATGCTCATCATCATGATAACAACTTAGCTTAAAGCGTTAAATATACACTTAGATCTGCTTTATAGGCACCTAGAGTTCAAACTCAACATGCTTTTCTGCTGAAATAGGACGTTTAAAAACAGCAAAAGCCTCAGAAGATGATGTTCTGGTGATGCATGTGAATGAAAACAGCAACAACAAAAACACCAGCGGCTGAAACGGATTTTTCTTTGCTGTTATCATTTCTTTATTAGCTGAGGTTCGCAAGGAGAAAAAGGCCGAGCCAGTGACTCTGAAGAAAGGTTTGTTTCATGGTCTTTTCACAGTCTGTTCTGTTAGTCTGTTATCAATTCAAATCAGCAACTTAACATGATATACAAAGACGTTTCGTGGAAATAGATCAGGAGTAAACGGCTCTTTATTTTTGCTTATTTTGATGTTTGAAACCTAATTGGACACTGAGCTGCCAGATTGGCTTGTTTGCAGGTGTGATCAGAAATTCATATTAAAGGGTTAAAAAGTAAGGCTTAAATAGTAGTTTTTTTAAAATAATTACCTTTGTTTCCTCTCAAAAGGTAATAGTTTAAAGAAATGTGCTGATTGAATGTAACCTCTGTCTTTTAGAATTACAGTCTCCAAAGAACACAGTGAGAGTGCAGTTTCTGAATCAGGCTTTGTTTTCTTTCAGAGGCCGAAGTTTCACCCAAGAACGTCTCACTGACAAAGGAGAAGGCCAGGGTTGTGCCGCTGAAGAAAGGTACGCCAAACAAATATTCACATCTTTGACTCAACAGTGTGTTTTGAGGCGTTTATGGCTCAACATGCATTTATGTTTTTAGTTTTAACTTGAGTCCTTTCAGTTTTAGTTAGTTTAACAGTATTTTCACGCTCTTCTCTGTCCTTTTTTTACATCACAGTTTCTGTAACTCCAAAAGAGAAAGTCAAACCAGCGGCACCCAAAAAAGGTATTTCTATTGATTTATTTGTGTTAATAGTGAGTTTTGCATAAAGTTTTACTAATTTCCAACTTTCCTGAAATACTTTTGTTGTTTTCATTTGCATGTGTAGCTGAGGTCCTCAAAGAGAAGAAGGCAGAGCCAGTGACACCAGTGAAAGGTTTGATTCACATTTTTACCTTTCATTATGATCATAGAGTCCATCATAAACTTAGAGGTAACTAATGTATGATTTCTCACTGGGCTGTGAGAACTGAGTGTGTTAATAGGACTGTGTATTTTTCTTGCACCTGTTATTGAAGCCAAACCTAAAGCGGTTGAAAAGAAGAAAGGTATGCAGCACAAGTGTGTCGCTGTAGTGATTTAGTCACCATTAATGTGGCCGCTGCTTCAACATAAACTGCCTCTGGTGTAAAACTTACAGCTTGTCATGTCTTAAGAGGAGTTTTTGTGACTTTTTCTTTCTTTCATTTGACACAGAAACAGCTTTAAAAGAAAAGCCCTCCAAAAAAGGTGAGCATGAGTTGTACTTTCTGTTTCTAATATGTTGACACAGTTTTGTTTTGATTGAAGGGAAAAGATTCACCATCTACATTTAAAACCCTCCTTCAATATATTGTTTCAGCAGGTTTGAATTTGGCTAATCAAAACGAAGAACCATCACATAAAATTTTCTCTGTTTCTTATTTTCTCTTGTTTCTAAGTAGAACCCGAGGTCAAGCCGGCTATTGCCAAAAAGGGTAATATAGAAAAAACACAACAGTATACCTGTGATTACTAATAAAACAGCGAACTTAAATCAAAAATATCACCTGAAACTGATTTTTATTCTGTGTTACACTCAGCACCTGAGGTTCCAAAGGAGAAGCCTAAACCAGCTCCTGAAAAGAAAGGTGAATATTTAATTTCCCCAAATAAGACAAAATATTAGACATTTGTCTGAAGTGTATATTTTATTCGGACATAAGTTGATCCATTTTAAACTGTGTTTTGTTTAAATTAGCTCCTTCTAAAAGGAAGGCTGAAACAAAGAAGGTCAAAACCCTCCTAAAGAAGAAAGGTAGCCTCATGCTGTAATTCTAAAAAGTAATCAGATTATCTATAATCAGATTACTTTTTAAATCCGAATCAATTTAAAAATTAAGTAGCTCATTTTTCTTACTCTTTACACTAATTTTAAACATATTGAACTATTATCAGATTATCCATGAATCTGATTTTTTTAAGTAAGAATATCATCAAACTGTTATCAGACTATCTGTAATGATAGTGCTATTGAATTTTCAATAGTTTGCAAAGATCTATCTTTGATTAGATTAGATATTACTGTAAGAAGCAGCCTACAATGAGAGTGTTTCTATTGGACAAACTTACATGAACAAAATCTCAACTTTTTACAGAGGACAGAGTTCTTAAAGAGATTCAAGAGCCTGCAATAAAAGGTAAAACTGCCTTTTAAGAAACTATATTTTGATTATCCTCATCATATCTGTGGATCACTGATTTTTTTTTAAAATCAAAATCTCTCTTTATTACTTGTAGAAAAACCTGCAAAGAAGAAAGTTATCGAGGAGGAGGAAGTCAAAGGTACTGCCTGGTTGAGTTATGATTTAAGGTCATGTGACTCTGGGTTGTTTGGTTAACGTCATGTTTTCCTCTTAATAGCAGAGCCTACTATATCAGACGCTTTTATGGAATGTAAGTAGAAATATCGCACTCATAAATGAACATCTTTAAAAAAGACAGATTTTTGCACGCTGTGTTACCTTTATGAGACAAACAGAGATGAACAGTGTACTGAATTGTTGTTTATCCATCTTGTGACCTCTCCTGCAGCTGAGATGCCCTACTTCCAGTGTTTCTTCGTGGATGAGGACGAGGCCCAGTTTCCGTTCTACGCTTTCTCTCCTCTGCAGATCTGAAGCTTCAGTCTGAATCCAGTCTGAGGTTTACTAATAAAGTCATCAACTTGATACTGTTGCGTGTAACCCTGCGCTGTTTTAATGCAGCTTGCTGTTCACTGCTGGTTTCCAGCAGAATTCCTTGGACAGCTTAGGATGTTGGGTGAATTTCATGCAATGGACCGATTTTGTATTTATTTCCAGATTTGGTTGAGCTCTCGTACCAAATACATGCAGCCAGTGTCATTCCTCTCTGTGTTACTTTATTTTGACTTTCACTTCATTTAAGATGTGGATATCATGATTTTTTTTTTAAAGGAACAATGTATTATATTATCTTTTTTGGATCACTCATTTAGATCCTGACAGCAACAAATGGTGCATATTTGTAGAGAGCAAATAATGTAGAATATACTGCATTATGCTGTAAAGGGGTACAAAAATGGCCACGAGTGCTACGAAACAGTGGGTTCAGGTTTCACGCCTTTGACCCCACATGTACTTGAAGAGATGTTTGTAAATTAATGCTTTACACAGTTAACGCTTGTTTAATTTTTAGCTTTTTCTTTATTGCATATTGTAGGATACAAGGCGCATAATTTAGTGTTTGCATTATTCCATCATTCTTGAACTATTTCAACCACTTTTTCTCAAACTTTTTTTTTTTTATCACATGTCCTTTTTCTTCCCTAATGGGTACAAACAAGGTCAAATTTTTCTGTTTGTTTTTCTGTTTGTCTTCTTTATACGTGTCAGAAGGAATGACCGTGCAAGTGTATAAGAGAGCTCCCAATCATACAGATTTAACACTACCTTTGAAGTCTTACAAAACAGCACCACGCTGTCCCAATGATGCTATAAGAGGGCATAAGAGACGACTCTTTTCTTGCACAAAGACTATTTTTAAGAATTTTACACTAAAAGACGGGCACATGTGGTGAGTTTTCTTTTGTCGATGAGAAGCCGATCCCTGATCAACCAAAAGCCGGCGTTAACTTTGGTCAGTGGCAGATAAACCATAGACTGAACACTTACAGGAAACATAGACACAGAAAGCGACTTTTAAAGCAGGTTATTGGAAAATGTGTCCAAATAACTAAGCGTGAAAAATGTCATCTTTTGTCATGTTTTTATAGCAGCGTCTCAGTCGTGGTGCTACAGTAACAGAGAGGATTCTTCTCACAGTTTTGTGAATACTGAGCGAGGAAAACTTTATCTCAGATTGATTTTAAATACTGAAATTGGACAAGTTCATGTATTTGAAATCTCTGGAGATAGTTGATAAGAGAGCTGCAAGACTCAGCTCTTGTACATCTTTATGAGACGACTTTAATGTGGTCAAAGCTACATTAAAGTGAAACAACACCTGTGATTATGTCTGCACACCTTACTAACTCAGCTTATAGCAGCTGTTGTTTCCATTTTAGTTCATATGTAGAAAATATAGTTTTTATAGCTTGTGGCATTAATCCCACGTCTGCTGAAAAGCAACTCCACTCATCTTTTCTATTTGAATAAAAGCAGCACCCTCCCTGCTCAACCATGATTGATGCGTTTGACCCTCTGCAGCACACGGTGAGCTCAGCTCCCGACTCGGCGCTGAAACAGTTTGGGTTTAAAGGATGATTCTCAGCAGTGAGACGTCATGTTCCCAAAATTAAAGAGGAATTAAGCACAGTCTGTATCATTTTTACTTTTGAGGTTGAGGGGATTTTCTGGATATTACAAAATACCTGTTTTTATCATAACCAAAGATACACAGTTTATTTATTTTTCTGAGTTATATCGACTCAAATTTATCAGGTTACATGTGCAATCTTTATTTCAGTGTCTCAGTGGTCAAAACACTGTATATTTGTCAAATATTGGTCGAAATCTGCATGATGAGTGTGTGTTTTTGTTCAATTCTCCCTTGTGCTATTATTTCCCAGTTTTAACAACAAGACTTGAACTTACAAATCAGGGTATTTGATACTCAGTTGACATTAATCCGTCAAAATATGTCTAAAATGACACCTAATGAGTCATATTTCAAATATTAATATATATTTTTGTAAATAGTCTGATAAACTGAAACAGATTTTAATCCCTGAAACCTTACACTGAAATCTGACTATCTATTATTTGTCATTTACATCGTCCTTGTGCTTGTGAATAGAAGCTATTTGACAATAAAACAGAGCAAAGCAAGAGTTTCTTTGAGTCCTCCTTCCTCTGCTACAGAGTTGTACTGTGGTAAAGCCAGCAGAAAATGGTAGGGCTTTAAAATACGCGAGATCTTCCCTGAAAAAAAGCAGTATTTGTCGTTATTAATGTTATCAACTTTTATGCATCCCCACACCAATACTGGCTCATAAATTGTGCACTGAGAGGAATGCTTTAAATAATGTGTCCCAACTTTTTGGGAATGTGTTTCAATTTAATGCAAAATTCGAAAATTTTCTTAAAAATCTGTTTTTGTCAAAGTTTTATTTCCTGAGACAATAATCCTCCACCAATCTCCATTTGTGCACAGCTTTGCTTTTTGATGTTGCTGACAGTTTTTAATCCTATTGACCTCATTTCTTCTCTTTTTTTTATTTGACATTTTGCACATTCTTTGTCTGAAAACAGTGAAATCTCCATCATCAGATTTAGTTCCACACTGCCAGACATTTGACGGTTTTGAACTGATTTATTTCTTCAGTGGCATTTAAAGCTATTATGACTGTATATTTATTTATATTTAAATAAGAAAACTAAAAAGGATGCATTCTGTATCTCCTTTGTGAGGGCACAGAGGCCAGAGAGCGGTTACCACAGGTCAGTCTACACCTCTGACACAGATTCCACACAAAGAGGAGACTCCCTCTGCTCTCCTGGGAGCTGCACCGTGGACAGAAGACGCTTCACTCAACTATTATCTTTTGCCGAGTCTCCAACACGGAATGCGATAAGCTCCCTTTTCAGAATCTCCATGCTGCTGTGAATATTGTGACATTAACCGGCCAGGGCTCGTCTATTATCCGTTTTCACCCTAAATATTTATGCAAATTAACCAGGCTGTTTTTTTGTGGGAGTGGAGGTATTTTGGCAGACTATAACATGAGCATAAAGATAGACTTTAATTAAAATTAAATCAGTGGAAAACAGCCAAATGAGTTCCACCCCAGTTACCATGGTTTCTTTGTGTCGCATGCTATTCAGAAGTGAGCAGAAACTTGGCAGTGTGTGTGTGTGAGTGTGTGTGCCGGGATGAGAAGAATGGCCATTTGTAGTTTCCGTGTTCAGTAGGCTGGACACAGCTAACAGGGAAGGGCAGGAGGGGTTTAGCTCAGCTTTTTTGAATGTGGGAAAGGTAAAGGCTACATGACAGAATTTCAAAATGAGCACTTGTCTATCAACGATGTGCAGACAGAGTGTTTAAAGATCTTTTAACCTCGAACGACCCGTCATGAGTTATTAGACTGATACAAACTGATACCCTGCAGAGTCTCTCCTGGTGTCTCTCTGTCTGTCATCTGTCATGCGAGCAGCAGCATTCAATCACGGTTGGTCCACTCACCATCGAATGATGCCTCTACGTAATGACACCACAACTAAAACCGGATTATCCTGAGGCCAGTGACATCATTACCCCAACCCCCCCTCCAGCTCTAGGCTGCCTCTGACCATCTGGGGGTTACTACAGGACATTCACTCCCATGAGTTCAATGGTCACACTGGCTGCTGCTGCCGCTGCACGGCCGACTCTGGCCTGCACAGTCACCCTGCAGCTGTCACCTGGAACCGACCCGTCACAGGGAGAGCACTGTTCCCACAATTCAGGGCGACATATTTGAAAAGAAATGTAGGAGTGCATTCAAAGTTGCATGGGAAAAAGACCCCCAAGACAGAGCCAAAGTGACTGAAAACTGAAAAGTCTGAGACACTCAGAAAGTTAAGTCAAATATTTTATTTTTCACTTAATGCGCAAAATGAGACAGTTTTGGCCCTTCACATTTTGAGTTTCTTACAAAAGATCTTACAAAAGAATCCCTAAAATATTCATCACATGTCACAACAACAAAATGGAGTGCAAATCACTGCGAAATGATGTTTAGTTAAAAAGGGAGGGGAGGCTTGCTGATTGTAGTGCAGTGTGTTTGCTCAGTCACAGTTGAATTAGGCTTTTTCATAAGTGCGGACAGCTTGGACTCCCTCAAAAGACAAGGTCTGTGAAATAAAAAAAAAAGAGAAAGCTTGTGTTATACAGTGAGCATTAAAAAAATTTGTAGTGATTAATCATGCACTTTCTAAAAAGAGCAAGTTTTCTTTTGCCCGTGTGGCTCGTGATTTCTCTGAGTGCACAATCAAGGCAAGATGGGGCAGGTTTATTTGCATAGCATGTTACAACAACGAGGCAGCTGAAAGTGCTTTCCATAACTTTACGCAGCAAATGATAAATGTAACCACAATGACAAGAGCAAAAAGATTTCTTCTCGCTTCTTTCTGCGTGGACTTGTATGACTTGTATGTTGAAATTCAACCTACCATCACCATCTTGCCATCCTTGATCTCTCTGACAAATTTGGTCTCCTTGCCATCCCACTTCTGCACATGCACAAATGTGTCTCCCTCCATGGTGAAGGTAGACTGCAAGAAACAAGCAGCAAGTGTTTCATCACTGGGCTGTTAATTTGAAGTCATGACTCATAATCAAGTTTACTCACTTTGACATGGCGGTCATCAGGAGTGGTCTCATCAAACTCCTCTCCCAGTTTGGAGGAGATCTCAGTGTTCCTAAAAGTGCTCGTGGTTTTCACCACTACTTTGTCCCCATCCTGGCTGATGGTTACTGTGGGTTTGGTGACATTGCCCACCTGTCTTGTGGCAAACCCAACACCTGTTTAAAAAAAAAAACATTTACTGATGTATCACACAAGAAATCAAAACCAGAATAATCACTCCAACACACATTATACTGCAGGTGTTGAAAAAATAACAACCTCACCTAGAGCCTTCATGTATTCATCGAAGTTTTGGCTTTCGATCAGTTTCCATGTGGCGCAGAAAGCATCAACCATTTTTGCGGTTGTATATGATCCGGTTCAATATCGAAGTGCCTTACAGCTCCTGTAGTAAATCCTGCAGCATGTGTGATCCTGGTTTGCCTGCCAAATTAGTACTGTACAGAGGGGCGGAGACCAAAGCTGCAGCGTCCAATCTGATTGGCGGTTTACGACGCGTCGCTCGACAGGGATTGGTTGTTACGGAACGTGCTATTAAGAGATTGAGTATGAATGATAATCGTCTCAAGTCCGGGGCTGAAGTAAGTTAGTGACAGAAGAGTCAGAGAGTGAAAAAATTGGTGTGTGTAATATTAAAGAGCACACCTAATATCTATTTTCAATATTAACATGTTTTAAACGCATTTACTGGTTTTAAAGGCTTGAGTTGTTACCAGTATACGCCAAAGCTAGGGTACTATACCAATGTGTAGTAAAACATGAATTTACCCGAGAATAATCCTCACCCTGCATGTAAAATACTCATAATTACTGAAGAAAAAATGTGTAAATGTATTAATTTGTTCATTTTCATTTTAAAGTACGTTTAAATTATAGTTAATCTCCTTCTGTGACACAGTAAAAAGTACCATATAACCCACTATTACCACTCAATACCTTTAATGTTGATAAAATTCCTCCTGCAGATACAATCTGACATGGATACAGATAAATTTCCTCTGTGGTAATACAGCAGATCAGTCTTTAACAAAAACACAAAAGTTGTAATCAATAACACTAATATATAATACATATGATACAAAATTAAACCTCATTAATGCTGAGTGTGTTGCCAAAAAAAGTACCAGGTTAAAGGTATAAGTTGTAAATTCTTGGAGCTGGTGAAGGCCAGATTAGAAAAATGAACGTAAACTCAAGGCAATGAAATGTTCAATCCGCCTCCCAGGGAAAAGAAATCACTTTTCAAATGGTAAAGATTTATATATTTCCACTTTACATCAAATAAATTATCTACAAGAATAGTTTTTACTTCCCTGAATTCACATATAGTGCATGCACATGAAACATTAAATGTTCAACAACGAAAACTCATGCAGAAACTCAGAGATCTTTAATTTTAAGTAATTCATACAGTCCTTTCTACCACCATAAACAACGACAGACTGAGGGAAAACTGGAAACAGTCCGTCTGAATTCATCTTTATTAGATAAGGAGAGGAAAATTAAGTTATTAAACCGTTTGTAGAATAGAACCGGAAGTTTAAAAAAAGGCAGGTTTAGACAAAATAATCACACTGTGGCACTTAATACGTTTTAAGCCATAGTGAAAGAGCGGCGCTTGAACAGTTTGAAGAGAGAAAACGAAAATCGTGAATTACAGCAAGAAGCTGGTGTTTGTAAAAAGTGATCTGACAGCAGAGGTAGATTAGAGAGGTAGAGAGTGAGGTAGAGAGGACCGAGCAGCACTGATGCTTTCCCACGTTAAGGCCAAACTCTCCTCTCTTTGATCGACCGAAAGCACGGCCGTGATTAATATAAACCGTTCTTCCCCTCAGCTCTAAACGATGAGTTTACCTCACAATAGTTGATTTTGAAGTGCAGCTGATTGTTGCTTTACATGACTTTATAAACAAGTCAGAATCTGAAATGCCGCTGGTGGCTACAGGTTGATTGCTACAGAACAGTATGTCAGATTGAAACTGGTAAAGAAAAGTTTGTAAATGTCAGTCGTTGAATACAAAGGCGCCCTCACACTTGAAACTGTGCTCTCTGGGCTGATACTGTCGGTAAAAGTTTACAAATTAGCTACTGATGATAGCAGCCAAAAATTCTTGTTTGCAGAGGGTCAAACTGTTTCCAAAAACTGCTGAAGCTTCTTGAAGGACAAAGCAATCTGGCTGTAATACTTGTAGTTATATTGCATAGGAGTAATGCAAATGATAGTCAGTTGGCACAGGGCAGAAATTAAAGCTGCTTTTTCTCTTTTCAACAAAGTAGGCAGATGGGAAACCAAATTAAGAGTTGGACTGATTTGAACTATTTATAGAGAAATGGAGTTTAGAAAGTCAAATGATATGACATTAATACCTAGTGGATTGTCCTAAGTGCAACATGGCGTGTGTATGGGGGTAATTAGGTAGTTTGGATTTGTCAGTGTGCTATCTGAAGACCCCAACATTGATTGACAGAGCCACCTCTGGTTTTCTGGATTTGTTGGGCCCTGTCTTCTTCTGCGATCCAACTCCATTAGAGCCCGCAGCCTCCCCTCTGAAAAGAGAAACAGTTTTTACTCTAAGGCTCTTACACTTACTGACACAGTGTTAATGTTGTGCAACTATAGTAAGAATCCCTGTGGCTTTAAGATGATTTGCAGCCATATATATTTCTTGCAGCTGTGTGTAAATGTAAAGAAGTCCCACCCTTTCCTGCGTTCCTCTGCCAGCTCCCTGAGCATCTGCTGGCCCTGCTCATCCTCCAGGGTGACAAAGTCCCTGTTGTTGTCAATCAAAAGATTCTGGTGGGATAGAAATAACAGATTTAATACTTCTAAAATAAATGGAAACAAAAAAACACAAGCAAAAAATAAAAATAAAGAGACCAGGGAAGATAAATACCTTAATGCCAATTGTGTCACCATCTTTGAGGTGAAATGGCGCCCCTAGTAGTGATTCTGTCTTTTTCTTCTTTTTCTTTTTTGAAACCTGCTGGTTCTAATAACGAAACAGGCATACAGCATGGTATCAGATCATAACATAGAAATGAGTTTGTAAAAACAACCTCAGGTCTCTCTCTGTTTACCCAGTTTGAGATTTCTTCCCAGGTGTGTTTGTCTGGCTGGTATTTAGCCAGCAGCAGAGAGTCAGGGGAGAGGCCGAAGTGTGCAGCCAAACAAGTGCGCAGAGAGCGTGGAGAGGAATCTTGGGATGCTTCCCAAATCAGCTCCTCTGGAGGGTAGTAACACCTTTCCCCTGGAACTCCCATTTTAATGTTCAGTAACACCTCCTTTGGGCTGAAGAGGAGATAGAAAAATAAATGTTAGGGTGAAATAAAGTTGGAAAAATGACGTCAATTAATGTTTAGCAATATAAATCAACCAAAAATCTACCCAAGATCCTCTTCTGTCAGAAGCTGCTGCATACAGATGTCTGCACCACTGGCCAGCTTCAATTTCCTGATTTAAAGGTATTACAGAAATAAGCCGTGACTCTTCATTTATAAAAGGATGAAAATAATCTGAAGGCCTTCAAAGTCTTTGTACCTGAGTGTTTGCTGTTGTCCTCTGAGGATCCGTACCAGCCTCCGTCCCTCAAGTTGCCACACACGCATGAACCCGATGGTTGGCACACACACATCCTGCAGCGCAGACAAGGTCAGCACCTGATGAGGAAGAAACGAAGAAAAGCAACATTTGGTTAAAGAAAAAACAAAACAAAGACTTTGCATGACCTGGTTTTAATTCTCCTGTAAGAGAGAAGAGAAGGTGTTTTTTTCTTTTTCAGATTTTATGATAAAAGTTAACTTTGAAAAACTACATTTCAAACAGAAAGATTATTTACATGCTGGTCCCAGGATTAAACAAAATCAGATCTAACTCTGTCCTACATGAGTGTGAGTTCACACAGTGTTGCAGTGCTGCTGAAGCATAAACTGATATCACACAGAGGGAGCTTCACATGATATCAAAAAACACAATCCTGTGAGTGGATTCATGTCACTCAACTTTACAAAAACACTGGTGACAGCTGTTCAATTGAGTTAAAACTATTAATAATAAAAGGCCAATGTATGGCTTTAGATAATTACTCAAATTAGTACCAACACCTCTCAACTCCTGCTTTGATTTACAAATCCGCTCTGACACTGACCTGAGTCTTCAGGTCCTCCAGAGTGGCTTCATCTGATATCTCCACCTCTCCGACATTTCTCAGAGGAGGAGAGTGCACATCCCGTGGAGTTACAGCTTCCAGCTCCCCAGTGTAGCCGTTGTTGGTAAGGTTAGACTCCGCTAAGTTGTTCCTGGTATCCAGATACAGCCACACATGAAGCTTGAGGAATCCCTAACAAAAAGAAAGACAGCATGGAGTTTAGTTATCCTATGTTAAAACCCTCCAGCACAGATGTGAACATTTTAGTACCTTTGGGGGTAGTTGTCCTTCTGTGACGACTAATGTGTCTCCGCTGCTGATCTTTAGCTCTGACAGAGACGCATCCTGAGAGCAAAAAGTTTGGTATTGACACAAGAACTAGCAAAACAAAATATTCAAATTTTCTCTCTTTTTTTTTTTAACATGAAACAAAGGAAATACGGTCTACACATGAAACATCTGAATTTCTATGCATAACAAAATATTCTGAATTTCTATGCTGGTATCCCACCTCATCGATAAGCGGCTCGCCGACCTCCTCGCACCAATCCAACCTTCTCAAGTGCCAGAAGGTGCCTGCATAGAAACATTTTAATCACAATGGCAAAAAAAAATATTGAATTTCAGGCTTTAAAAAGCAAAAGTATTTTCAAGTTACTGCAGAAAAGCAAGAAAATAAAAAAAAAACACACAGGGCTTACCATCAAGTCCAACAGCATCCAGCATTGCCTTTAGACACTGCAAATAACAGTCAAAGGCTTAATAATCAATGAAGTTTGCAAAGCATTCAAAAGTTGATTTTCAATGCTTCACAAATAAGTACATGAGCAGATTTCCTTACCTCTTTAACAGTGCAAGTATTTTCCACAATTATGTCCATCTCCATGCCAGCAGAGGGCGCTGCACCCACAGAGAAATGCAAGAAAAGCTGGAAGGCAAAGAGAAAACCACAACATGAATCAAGAATTTCCAACTCTTGTAAGTCACTTTGTTATAAATGTAGCACAGGAAATGTGCTTAAAGGCTCTGTAACCTGTGCACCTGCAAGTACAAAGGATTTGTTGAAGGTTTCAAATAAAAAAGACACACCTGTGATGCCTTGGGGGCCTTCCCCGGACACAGAATCAGCGTGGTCATGAGTCGCACCCCTGCATCGCGCACGCTCACTTCCTCACACACTGCCAGGTAAACCAAATTAGAAGAAAAATGCACTTTATAAATGTGCTCTACGACTTCAAAGTCAGATGATGAGAAGAAACATTACAGGCAGGGAGGAGGAGGGGGTTACCTTGTAAACATTTATGAGGGGGCAGTGTGAAGGAATGCTTAATATTCTGTCAAAATGAGGGGGATTTCCAGCGCTATTAAAATCTCCTGCAGGTCAAAAAAAATGACACAGTACCTGGAGGGAGGAGTTTCCCTGTGCAGTCCACCTGTCTCAGACAGTACTGTGCACCTGGTCAGCCAGAAAAGAGAAAGCAGAAACACCAGTAAACACGAGAAGCATATCTTAAGATACTGGCTAATATAAATACATTATGTTTACCTTAACAGCAGCTAACATAAGAATATGATCTTTTTTTAAGATGCTTTAAATAATCCTGGGAGGCCCACAGATACATGAGTTCAGGTTTGAAGCGTTTCAGTTAAATGGCCTTTGATTTTGAATTAAATATGAGACGTTTTTAATGATTTTCTGTTCACATAAAGCAAATGGTGTCAAACTATTACATTTGATTTGTAGATTTGGAAGCATAGAAACTAAGAGTTTCTGCAAGGTCATGTTTTGTTTTTACAGATGCATCTGGTCCCCCTCTAATTCAGACTTTATTTACTGGACCAGGTTAGAATCAGACCGATCACTTCTGGGTTGGTTTCAGCACTGTCATTTCTAGACTTGAGTTAAACACTGAGTGGCTTGCCTGGGTGTAGCTGCAGCTCTTCTATGGCCCTCTGCTTCACCTCAAACATTAGCTTAAGACAGAGACACATGAGAGTTAGAGAGATGCTTCAATTGAGTTGCAAAGAAAAACAAAAGAGTGTCAGACAAACAAATGCAGCAGCAACAAAACTACGAACCATGTTTCCTGTAGCAGGAACTTTTATCTTCTCTCTCTCCTCTTCTTTCTCTCTTTCTCCATCTCCTCCTCTATCATGTGGTCGAAACGCCACCTGAAGCCAGCGGCAGTCGGAAGGTGTGGTCACAGTGACGACGTCTCCGTTCAGAGAGAACATGCTGAACGAGAGCACAGGAGTGAAACAGAGATCTTAATAAAACATCAGGTGTAAACATTGAAGAGGGTTTTTACCTGCAGTCGAAGGACTGAGGCTCCAGCACCAACAGTGCGTCTCCATCCTTCAGCGACAGCTCCTTCAGTGTCCGCTGCATGTCATCAGGGGGGAACACCCTCCAACCACTTGCCCCTCCTCCCTGACCAGCCCCTTGTTCTCCTTTCTTTCCTCCTTTATGCTCCTGACACAAAACACTCTCCTTATGCTCCCCAAGAGCCTCCTTCACCTCCCCGAGAGTCACGGCTCCTGCAAACCCTCTGGCCTCCTTTTTCAGCCCTGGCCCTCCATTTTCAAAGCCTCCTGCTTGCTCCTCGCACCCAACCCCGTCCTCCACCTGTAGATCCTCATCTTCCCCCAGAAAGGGACGGACCACGGTCAGCAGCACTGGCTCCCACTCTGCTCCCGTCAGGACAGTCGCACCACACACCTAATCGGGTTGATGTGGGGAGGAGTGGCAGAAAAATGACCTCATGTAAGAGTGATGGGGACGGACTTAAAAAACTCGTGTCAAACTTTTCTCACCTCTCTGCCGTTCCACACAAACAGGTCAGAGTTTGTGGAAATGCCTGCACTGTACAGGGACACACTGTCATCTGTGGAAAAAAAACACCACAACAAGAATGTGGTTATAAAACTGGAACACTTTTATCCTTTTTTAAGAGGTTTCCAATTTTTGTGTCTCACCTGTCAGAGAGTTGTAGAGGTGCAAACCAGCAGGGAGACTCTTGGCCACAGTCAGAGCCATGTCCCCTTCCCAGAGTTCCTGCATCTATAAAAGAAAAAAGGCGAATACTGTAAGGAAATACAGCATCTAGTTCTTACAACAAAAGCCGCCATGTTTTAAAATGCTAAGTTACCTGATAAATAGCCAGTCGCAGATCTCCCACAGTCTTTCTGCGATCAAAACTCATGGGGGTGCCTCCATTTTGCTCTTTGTCGATTGGTTGAAGGGCCCCGTTTTCCAGCCTGTAACTGTGTGCCAAGTGGAGCCGGAGCTCTATGGTGTTATTGGTGGCTTCAAACTCCTCACTGTGACAGAACAGAGGAAGTTCACTCGCATTAATAATATATGTAAATCAGTTCTTGTGACTCTTGCTCATGTAGACCAAAACATCATGTCTTTACCGTGCTTGCTGCAGCTTTCTGTTCTCCTCCTCGGCCATTTGGATGAGGTGAAGAGGAACTTTGTATTGAGGGTTGTTCAGAGCTAGAAATGTAGAAACAATAGATGATTAAAATCTAACACTGCTGGACCTTGTGTTATGAAATGACAATAAAAGATACAAAACACATGGCGTCCATTACCTTCGCTGGGCCTGTGCAGCTGTGTTTTTCTGTAGAACAGCATGTATGCGCTCTCTCTGCCCTGGAACTGCTTCTCTATGTCAGACTCCCTGATGGAGGTGACCGAGGAGTCGTTCAGGTCAAACCAGTGGCTACCCTGCTGACAGACGGGAAGAAAAACCGTGAGAAAAAGGCGACAGACAGAGTAACATCCGACTGTGCTCCAGAAACCTTCATTTAAAAAAAAAAAAGGTGTATTTTCTCTTAAACTTTCTTTTTTAAGCTTATAGCTGTGTTAAAATACTGAAGCTGATGCTGAAATACCTCCTGTTCAGGCTCCAGGCTCTGGTCTGGTTCTGGATTTTCTGCACCATCAGAGTCTGAAAGCAGTGAAGGGTCAGAGTTCACACTTGGCTCTGCTGGGCTGGGGGGCTCAGTCACAGGGCACGGTGGGTTAGCTTTCAGCGCCACTCGAGTACCGTGGGACACCAACATGAAAACGTCACTGTGGGACTGAAGGAACTACACCAAAAGAGAAAAAAAGTCAATAGAAAAGAAAGAAGGCAAAATACGAGCAGATTTTATAAGACAGGAGAAATCCAACAATACCTTTCCTATGGGACCGCAGTGTTTCCTGAACTTCTTACTCCAGGAGGAACCAATCTTATCCAAGAGTTTCTGTCCCAGCTGGTCCAACAGGACACTCTTTGACGGCTCCTAGAGTACCGGAGGAGGACAACACTGATTTAGAACTCAACTACAGACTCAGCAGAGAAAAGAAGAAGTCATAAACTGGATCAAATATGAGGGAGCTTCCAAGTGTGCTGCTGTAAATACCTGGGCAATAATAGCAGTGAGGACTGATAATGGGTCATCCTCTTGTAGTTTTGGCTCGCACGCTTCCTTCACCCTCTCCTTGGCTTTCTTCTGAGTCTTGGGTTTGCAGTCTTCCTCCTGAGTAAGACGAAGAGAAGTCATGATTTTCCCAGTTCATTTCTTTAAATTTAACACCGATAGCACTGACAGTAAAATAATCAGATGATCCAGATGCTGTCAGTTACATTCAATTTTGAAAGTGTTGAGCAAATGGCCACCTGATATGCGACATTTCTGAATCGACAGTATATTTTTAATAAAATAGAAATAAACAATCTTCTAATTTTCTCACCGGTGGCTCCCATTGACCGAGCTGGTCGATGTCCCTGATATAAGCATGATAGTGGCCTCCATAACAGCCACCCTTGTGGATAATCACAGAGAACAGTTCGTAGGTGAAATCAGAGTCCTCTCCATCAGTCTGTCAAAGATGAGCAGAAATAACATGAAGTTAAATTAAACAGAAAAACAAAAGCTTCCCAGGTGAAGTATTTTATGACTCAGATGGTCATATACCTGTTCACAAAAAGGCCGCAGATTGATGGTCTGGGGGAAGCTGTAGCGCCCTGTCTCCTTGTACCGCTCACATTTGGTAAAGTCGAAGCTGAATCTCAGCAGAGACATGGTCATGAATGGAGGGAGTTTCTTCAGCTTGGCAGACTGAATAGAGCGAGATTAGTGACGTTATTGTAGGTTTTATCTTTGATGGGGGAAAAAAATATTTGTTGCATGTCTAGTTTTAATCTTCTCTTCTACTGGAAGATATTAACCTTGGCAGCAGTGACCAGCCTGTCACACCCTGCACAGCGGTACAGGTTATTGCCTTCGAATAGCTCCTCCTCTACAAACATGTTCCACAATGCCTCCTCCAGGCTGGACACACCACAAACACACACCGTCAGGTCCAGGAAGTCCTCCTGAAAAAGACAACAAAGTGAAAGACTTTGATGGCCCCACTGAAATAACTCCTCAGAGGCTGATCAGCCAGTTTAACCGGTGAGCCACGGTGTCCCGCAGCATTTGGTGTCAGTAACTAAAAAGAGTGTCAGTCAGGTGTCAGTCCACAAATTGTTATCCAAACTATGAAAATGTGGCGTTCTTAAGATACATTACAGTCATTGATACTTCACACAGCAGCTCTGAGAGTCACTGTTCATCCAAACAATGAGACCAAACATGTAACTCTGCTTCTATTTAATGAACATAGTGTACCGCTTAAGAGGATGGGCAGGTCAGAAAAACACAACACACATGTACACACCTGTCTCTGGCTGATGTTATCACACTCCTTGCAGACAACGCTGTTGACAATCGTCCCATGGTAGAGTCGGTGGATCAACGTGTTACCACTGGTGCCCACAAGAGAGTGCTCCAACGCACTGAACAGAATCCTGTTCAGCTCCTGCACATCGTGCTGATTTGTTCCCTGAAATACATTAGAATCGATTAAGTAAGACACAAAGCTCATCCCCGCTGTGTTTACAGATACAATTTGAAACATACATTTAACATTTTTATGGGGGTTTTGTCATTATAGAAGCATCCTCACAGAAATCTGCACAAGAATGGCTTAACACTGGACTAGTCATGATGACAGTTTCAAAGATTTTTTATAAACAGACCTTTTAACTTTTTCAGGGTGCTGCTATGTTGTGGACTGACACATCAGTCTAAGTACACGTGAACTTTTAGAGGGGACATCATTAAGTCACATAATTATGTGTTTACTTGCCGTTTATGTAATCATTTAAAATTTGATTTTAGTGACTGATGACTTTGCAACTCTTTACTTTAGAGTTACTTTACTTTAGTGATGGTTTAGGACCTCTGGTTCAAGTTTCATCACTCCACTGTATTCAGGCTTGACCGAGAACAGGTAGTTATGTATGCCCTAGAGCGAATTCTATGAATGCTTCTTCCTGTTGTTCCTTTTCTTGTGTTTATTTTGCATGGCTGCAGCTGGCGTGCCTCCAGACAAAAATGCAATTCCAGTCAGGTAACAGGGTCTGACCGGACGAGACCAAAGTTAAAGATCCTGTTTGGAAATTTAAGCATCCTTTTCCAGATATGGCTGGAAAGTAAATCAATCACGGGGATGAGAAGTGTAACCTGAGCGTTTGCCCTGCCCTAATGGAGATAGCCGACACAGACCTCACTGCTGTTCCAGCCGAAGCTGTCAGTAAGGTTGGCTGTGGAGGCGCTCTGCTGGTCCACTAAGAGCAGGCTGGCAAAGAGTCTCTGCAGCTCAAGTGGGATCACTCTGACCTGAAAAAGAGAAAAAAGATATATCACCACATCATGAAAGCATTAACCCTAGAACACTATCACTATTTCACCCGACCAAACATGTTTACGGAATTTTCATTATGTTGCATCTGCCTTAGTATCATGTGTCCCTGGGTAGCTTCAGCATTGCATTGACATCTTTAAAGGCATATTTGTTTCCCTGATCCAAAACGCGTTCTGGTGAGTTTCACCCGGCAATAGTGATAGAGGGTAAAGTAGGTTTGTGTGGATTTGATAGCTGCATGTAGGCAAATAAGGTCAGTAAGAGTGGTCCTGGAATTTGCATGTTATCTTTATTTCACAAAGAAGTGATTTTCAAAGGAATTCATATGGTGATAGGAAATATTTTAATCAGCTGGTCATTTTTACTCACTCAAAATCTGCCATATTTTGGTTCTCTCTCCTGCAGCTGTTATTGTTCCAAGGACCCTGAGTCTTCACCAGGGAAGACTCACACGCCCCAGGAATGGGTGGAAAATTTTTTGTTCATGAATGTCTAATTTCAGTTATTTTGTTGCATTTTATTATGGTGCCGTCATGACTCTTTTTTCCCTCCCTTTGGACACTGCACAGGGCGGCACAGTGGTGTAGTGATCCTGGGTTCAAATCCAGGTCAGGGCGTTTCTGTGTGGAGTTTGCATGTTCTTCCTGTGTCTGCGTGGGTTCACTCCGGGTACTCGGGTTTCCTCACACATCCCAAAAACACGCCTAAGTGGGGTTAGGTTAATTGGCCACTTTCAAATTGCCTGTAGGTGTGAATGTGAGCGTGGATGGTTGTTCGTCTCTATATGTCAGCCCTGCGATGAACTGGGCTGGGTGTCCCCTGCCTTCGCCCGAAGATGCTGGGATAGGCTCCAGCTACCCCGGGAAAGGGAATAAGCGGTAGGAAATGGATGGATGGATATTGCACAGTTAACAAAAAAAAGACAACTACTTTGCTTTGTCATGTATTGTCCTATTTTGATGACAAGTACTTTTTCTTGGGTATATTATTTCAGGTAAAAATCTCCCGGTGATAGTCATGGCGTTACTAATTTTAGCATTAGTGGTCTAGGGTTAAGATGTTACTTTATCTTACTTTGGCGTCTGGTTTCTCTTTGTCTTCCAGGCATCCTAATTCCTCTGACCCCAGACTGAACAGCTCCTCTGCAAAGACACACAACAAAAAGGTGTCAGCAAAGTTCTCTTTCCTCATCATGCCAGTGTTCAGCATAGAGAGCTGGCCTCACCTCTGAATTCTGGGGTAAACAGCAGAGTCTGGAGCAGAGAGTTGAGGTAACAGGTTCCCCCCTGGTTCTTGATCCCACACAGATTGCTTCTACCCCGGGGTGGAGGTGGCTCATCCCCCACCTTAGTAACTCTCCCCCTGGAGGGATTCGAAGAGACGTCGTCGTCTTCTTCTTCCTCGAAAAGATTCCCAAACATGCCGTATGAGTTTTCTCCTCAGTTTTCTCTCAGTTTGGCGTGGAGTCTTCCTCGCGGTGAATAAACGTGTTAGCACTGCCGACGTGCCCTCTTGCTATCTCATCTTGGTCTTCCCGAGCTCTCTGTTGACAATGGCCGGACTAACCCTGAAATAAGAGGACTTCACGGGGCTGAACATAGCGGTAATTACCAAAAAAGTATGCGTAAAATTCGCAGCGAAAGGAATTTAAAGGAAGGCAGCCCCGTAACAGCTCAGCGAAAATGAAAGAAAAATCAGGCTTTCGGGGACGTTAACGCTCGTGACACAGAAAGTGGAGAAAATAAAGCCAACAAACCCACACTCGAACTAATGTTTGGATTTATTTTTTACCCGCTGTAGCTTTGGACGATGTCTCTTTCTGCATTTGACTGTCTTAAAACGGAAAACATGCGAAACGTAAATAAAAATATCCTCGGTGAACTGTAGGCAGCCATGTTTCTTCCTGGCGGAGAGCTCGAGCGGTGCATTGTGGTATTTGTAGTATCACGCGGGGTAAATGCCTTTCCTCGAAACTAAAATTCCTAAAGATATTTTCATTTGGTTGGTCAGTATTTTGTCACTCATGTTAAATGCGGCTTCCATTGTCCATTCAGCACCCGTCACTCCTTAAAACAACAATAAAAAAATATCTGTACTCTCAATATTCATCCGGACGGTTCAGAAAGCTCATGTTAAAAAAAACTACCAAGCCAAAACTCATGGGACCTGTAGTCCTCCACTGCAAACATGCTGCATTTTAGTGCTGACAGAAATTGTCAATGACAAGCTCGAGGCCATTGAGTGTTGGTTACCCACAGAAAGAGCTGGAATTAAAATTTGTGTACCTCTGCTCCTGCAGGGTATGATTTTCAGAGTTGTTGTTACATAACAAACTTTAAATGAATAGCTCAGGGTTCAACCAATTTACAAAAGACAGTAGTGTAAACTTATTAAGTTAATTGTAAGCTGTATTTTTTACTGTCTGTATTTTATAACCTTTAATTTGTGCACTCAGAGGAAAAATACGGTAAGTCGTTTTATTTCTTAAATAACACATTCTAGACAATAAAAGATGCCTCATAATCATCTTTTAATGGGGGGGAAATAAATCTGAAAGGGCTTTTTTTGTGGTTTAATCATTTGTCACATGATTTATATAAATGAATGACATCCATTTTTGTTTTTGTTACTTCAGTGATACTGTGCGATGACCACATGGTCCTGGTCTTTACACCAAGAACCTTGAGGAACTCATCAGACTTTTTACTAATTACTTATATTTATCCTTTTTTTTCAATATTGTTTCCAAAAAAAGTTTTTCTGAACTGAATAATTATTGCCTGAAATTACAAGCTATAATTTTACCATAATTTTAGAGACTAAAAAGAGAGACTACATCTACAGAAAGGGACAGAGCGGCCTCTTTTGCCACAATTCAAATAAATGAATGACGTATCCATTTTTGTTTTTGTTTTTTTACAATGCATGTGATACCAGCCAAAATTGAGGTACACTGTGTTACTTCAGTGATATTGTGCGATGACCACATGGTCCTGGTCTTTATACGAGGTCCCCACACCAAAAACCTTGAGGAACTCATCAGATTTTCTAACAGAAAGATTCAGAAGATCTTTTGTACCAACAGCCATCAGACTTTATATCTCTTATGTAAATAATAGATAACTTTTATAGACATATTACGTGAGACAACAGACAATTGAATTTCGTTTCGGGGATTAATAAAGTTCTTGTTCTTATTCTTAAAATCCTCTTTTAGTTGTTAGAACTCTCAAATCCCTTGAAACCATATGAAAGCCCTGACTAAATCAGGGTGCAAACCTTGTAAAAGCACACCTGAACACAAACACGTTTCCAACTTTTATTGCAAAAGTTTATTTTTACACAAGAACACAGACATTTTCAAAGAAAGACAGCATGTATGCACACATAAATAAAGTACACAAAGTCAAATGCACACTCTCCTATTGTTGTCTAGTAGGTTTTTAGCTTGAACACTTTGGAGAGAGGAGCTTTGGCACTGGAGTAGATCAGGTATGATTCTCCCTTTGAGCTGAAAAATTCCCAGTCGCTGCACCCAATCGTTGGAAGCCAATGAACAGGTACAAAGCCTTCATATCCCTGCCACCTGAAAACAGGAAGAGAAACCAAATCCATTTTTTTTTTTACATCTGCTCAATGCAGGCTCTAAAATAAGCTGTGAGCTCCATGTTTCCTAGTTTATCCACACCTGTAAGAGCTGGTATGCTTTCACCGACAAATAAATCTTTATTACAACAGTGCACATGTACATCTGTCTGCTTTAACTTCTCAATCAGGATGAATGATTACCTGTACAGGATGCTGTTGAGAGAGTAGGATTCTCCGTTGAAGGAATTAGCGACAACAAGAAAATATTCCTCCCCCAGGCTAAAGAACTCCCAGTCCACTGCACTGCATTGACAAAAAAATGTATGTGGTGATGACCATGACAGTTGAGGGAAGCATTCTCATAATCTCAGCGTGTAAACATGCACCCGGTATGAACTATGGGGTTATTATGCACATCCGTACCTGTAGGTGATAATATCCTGGAAGCGGACAAACACCTGTCCACTCATATCCAGCTCGTAGATTGTGGAGTTGATGGCGTACTGACTCGGGCCGTTTCCATGGAGTCTGTGTCCATTTGCAACAACCAAGAAGACTCGACTGCCAATCTGGAACATTTCCCAGTCTGTGGCGCAGAACGTCTACAAAGAGAGAAACCAGTCTTACGGCGTGTTGCAGTTTTGCACTTAAATACATTTTTACAGAACCTCTACTTCACATTCATCAAGCTAAATTATTGTATTTACGTTGCAGTATAGATAATGGATGGATAAACTTATGCTAATCAGAAAAAACTGTATTCAAAATTATTTCTTTTACGTCTCTGTAGCTTAGTCAGCGATGACATAACAAATTAAATTAGCTCTGTGTCTCTTCTGCATTGCAAAACCTAAAAACTATGCAAGTTTTTTGGTCTTATAACCTGTAGAAAATATCATAAGGGAGCAGGTGTCAGCGAACAGCTACAGAAACATCCCTGTTTTTACACTTTCTAGATAAAGTAGTCATAATAAATGATACACTTGATCGTCAAAAGTCATCAGGATGAGGACAAACAATAAAAACTGTTTTGTCCTCAGAGACAACTGGTACAAACTCAAAATTCCTCACTGAAGCTTTAATAAGTTAATGCGCAGAAATGTGACAGGCCACTATTGATGCCACCCTAAAATCCTAAACCGACTGATTCTTAGTCCCATCATAGGTGCAACTCGTGCCTTTTTTTAATGCACTTTTGGTTTTTGTAAACATTTATTCAGAGAGTAAAGGACAGTGTAAAGAATGAGCGAGTAGATAGTGACATGTGGAAAAGGTTGGAATGAAATCCAGGTTGCCAGCCTGCAGACTGTAGCCTCTGCTCTGTGATATAGGGTGTGTGACTTAACAACTAGGCCAATTATGTGCCCTAAAAAACAGTCCTTTGGGCTGTTTTGCAACAGACTCCCATTGGCTTTTTTTTGCATTTAAGGGTAGATACAGACAATAAATCCTTTTTTCATTTTTGCCTGGGGGCACAGATACTTACACCCCTACATAAGTCAGGGCCCCATGTGAGCCCCCGAGTCATAAAAGTCTGGACACACCCCTGCTTGATCCCTACGTTTGAACCTGCTAGTCATTTCCCTGTAGAAAGTGTATTAAATGCTGTTGTAGATTCTAAATCCACGTTGAACCACAACAGTAAACATTAAAATGCAGCTTCCATAATTCCTCATCACTAGTTTGCATCTTGATAAGTACTTACTTGTGGTACTTTGTATATTCTGTTTATCATTCTTCTGTTTGTTTGTTTTTTTGTAGGATAACAGACTCTATATAGTTCTGTGAGGTTTAGGATATAATGATTTCCTGAACCATTCCCTGCTTTTGAATGTAAATTAAAAAGCCGAAGAGGTTTTCTTGCCAACAGAAAGTCTGGCTTATGTATCTTCACTCGTTTCTGACTGAACTTATATGATTAATTCCCAACTGCCCCAAGGTGCTGTAAAGATGCTCACATCCAGCTGTGGAGTTCCCCTAAATCATCTCCTTATGGTTTCTCATGTGACTATCAATGTGTCAACACTCCTGCCTGAAATGTGTCTACATTCAAATATACGATTCACTATCGGTTACGTGTCAGAGCACTGCTATCGCTCAAGTTGATCTCGCCAAACCACGACCTCTATTTTTGGCACTACCTTCAATGTTTCTGATGTCCTATCTCTCTCTCATTACCCCTTTATCTCTCGAGTTTGTACCTTCCGTCTGTTTGTGCAGGCCAAGTGGTTCTTCATTCTCACTGCACAGACACAGATCTCATTAAAGGAAATCAAAACCTAGCTGGTGAGCCCATGAATGGCATGAAAGTATGCAGAAAATGTTACATGTAAGTGCTCCAGGCCAGATTTAGTCATCCATGTTTAAACGTCTGACAGATTTACCTTGTGTTCAGGTGAGTATGTTTTTTAACTCATGTGACATGACATTCCCTTTACAGTTAAATGTTCTTGATGTGTTCAACATGTACCTTTATTGTCTGGAACACCTGAAAGCTTTCGTTGACCCAAATGTAGATGACCGAGTCCACAGATGTGGTCACTCCATCGAAGGCATTTGCCACCACCAGGAAGTGGTACGGTCCCACTGAGAAATACTCCCAGTCGTACGCCCCTGAGGTCGGCAGCGTCTGATGGACGTCGAAGGACTTTGTCAGCTTGTTCCATTTGTAAATCACACTGTCTATGGTGTGATTATTTTCACCTGGGAGACAAACCCGACAAAGCAAACAAACAGAGTCGTTTAAAATGACAGATCTCAAGCCAGGACTTTGTGATGTTGATCAGCAGTCATTCACTCGATGTTTTTTTTGTTGTTACCTTTTCTATGATTGGCCACAGCGAGATACGTTTGTTGATTAATGTTAAAGGCTTCCCAGTCACGTGCACAGTGGGTCTTGAGAGTCTGAAACTGCACAAACTTTTTTCTTCTTCTGCTCCATTTGTAAATCACAGAGAAATCTGTCTCTGACTTTTTGTTGTGTTTGTCTGTCCCCTCTCCAGAGTTGGACACCACCAGGTATATCTAGGTGACAAAACAATGGCGATGTTAGCACTTCAAACTGTTAAGACCAAGTCATATCATTATGTTAGTTTCTGTTGTACCTTTTTTCCAATGCTGAACTGTCTCCAAGCCAGAGCTTCATATGTGCTGATATTCTGGTAGAGCTGGAAACCAGTGTGGCTCCACAAATACAAAGCAGAGCCTGAGGTTGGCGACCGATGAGCCATAGCTGCCATCAAGCCGAGGTCAGGTACCTGGAACACCTGGAGTAGGACGGGGAACAAAATCTATTCAAAACTGAACCTATTTGGACATCCATACTGAATAGAAAAGGAAACAGGATGGTGCAAATGAAGATCTGATGTGACAAAGAATAAAACACAAGTTTAGTCTAGTATTGTGGTCCGATGTGCACAAAGGAAAACAAACTGAAACTGCCTTAAAACGGTATCCTTAATTCTGAGCAGCATGCAGTGACTCACTGGTTTCACTGTCAGTTTACACAGGATCTAACATGTCTCCATATCTTCCTATTGTAAAAGAAAATGACTCCAGGATACCTCAGCAGTGGTACTGACTGATCATGCAGGTGACAAACAGCATGGATCTGGAATAAGGAATCCACTCTCTTTCCACAGTGACTGAAATGTCAGTGATCCCTCATGTCAATGCTGTTCCCAGTCCCACAGATTCATCAACAAGCACACATAGTTATTTAAATTCTAATTTCCTGTGTCAGTGTCTGCCATGTTTTTTTCTTCTCTACTTTGCTAATCCCGTGAAGAATGCCGCATTCCTCAGTGCTGTCAATCATGACACCACATCCTTTCTTTTTCAGCATCAAATAACTAATTAAAACCGAACTTCACATGAAAATGAACTCCCGCACATCAGTCAGTTTGATCAGAGCAACCTCTGGCAGAAAGCATGTTGGAGAAAGTCTTTTACATGTCATTAATTCTCCTTATATGACCTGCGTTACCTCCGAGGAGAGCACAAACAATGTGAAGAAATACCTCAACGTCGTGTGTCTCTGAGCTGGTGGTGAGGACCTGGTGCTCCAACACATAGTCCAGTCGTTTATGATCTGAGCAGGAAAATAAGCTTTTTATCAATTTCAAATATTTACTCGTGATTAAAGCAGATGATTCAGTGTCAAAATCTCACCTTCTAGCACTGCGACCCACGTTGTCCCGTCACAGAGGTAGAGGCCTTTCTTGAGTGGATTGAACCACAGCTGGCCTTGTAGTTGCTCCGAGCACAATCGCTGCAACCCCACTGACACTCGCTCCTCCGTTTCTGATCACAACGCAGAGACAATTAAAGATACAAGGAAGCAGAAAACATAGTCTTGCATTAAAGTGTATTAAGATTAAGTTCTTAAGTTACCATAAGGGGTCACATGGTTGTCACCTTCTCTCCCTTTTAGAGGAAGGTCTGAGAGGAGAGGTGGCACCGACAGAGCTGCTAGTTGAGGATCAGAGGAGGGGCAGACGTAATGTGTGGCATCTGAACCAGGCACCAAAACCAACTGTCTCAAAAGACCCTGAACACAGGGAGGAAAATGTGGAACTTTTAAAGACAAATCTCTGTGTTTCTCTCAATGAAAGAAAGTGATGAGAAAATATAAATCTTACTGAATACAAGCCTTTCCATCTTCCCCGACTGCCAATGTGGAATCTGGCTCCCTGAATGTTGAGGTCTGAGGGCAGAGGCCTTGAGGGAACACTGTTTGCAATAAAAAAGATATAATTATTTCTAATAGCAGAGATGGGTGATTTTCCATCTTTAAATGAACTTAAAGAGTCTGTAATTAAAGTAGTCTCCTCTGTGCTCCTGTTCGTAGGACTGAGGTATGAATCGTGTTACCAAGAGCTGGTATTCCTCCCTTCAATGTGCCAGAGGGAGTTTCCACTAAAAACCATCTATCACACACTGTCAGGACACTCTAATATAGCTGCAAGGTGCAAGCAAATTTGGAGCAGTGCCATTGTATTGTGGTGACGGTTCTACTATCCCTCAAGGGGACTCAAAGGGAACAGGAAGAGAGGATTGAAGGAGGCAGATGGTGAGTTTCCACCCGGTGAACACAGAGAGAACATAAAAAGGAAAAGAAATGTATGCACTTACATTTCTAAAGGTGAGTTACAGTCCACAGTGAGTCTGACATGATGGCTGCTAACGACGAAAACCAAAGTGTGCCACTGGTTATCAGCCAGCTGAGCTCCTTCAAACTCCAAGTGCTCTGTGACCCCTCCGTGACCTTTGTAAACAAAGTGAAGACGTTTCCTGGAGAACCTCAGTCCTAAGATGATCCGTCCAGCTTCCTCGTTTCTCTTCTTCTCATGCGGTCCATGTTGCTCACTCTCGGTATCCCTCTCAGAAAAGTTTTCTCTCCCGTTTTCGATCATTTTCATTTTGGCTCGTTTTGATTCCATTAAGGAAAAGATGTATTCATTTCTCTGAAGAGCAAACAGGAAAACACTCAGATAAGCTGTGTTTGGCAGCAACAAAGAACAAGCCTTCAAGAGCTGTAACATGGTACAGTCAGAGAGTACAGTCAGTAAACTATATGATTAATCTGCAACATAATGACAACTTTTATTCCAAACTGTTTCTGTATTAAATGTAATAAATAATTACAGGGTTTTTGCCTCAAACTGTGTTTTTTTAACTGTTTTATTGGACATTTTCTTGTCAGCAAAGGCTCAAAGTATTTCCTCCACCAGTCAGGTGTGCCTGATAAATATAGATGCTCACCTTGTTTGCAACACGAGAGACTTTTAGTGTCACGACGAAGGAGAACTCTCTGGGGAAGAGGTCACAGTCCACCAGCAGCTGAGAGGAGAGGAAGCTCATTGACGGGTGAGGGCTTGAGAAATGAACTCCCCTCACCCCTCCAGCCTGCTTCAGGTGCACTCCAGGTACCAGTTTGGAGGGATCCCTCTCCAAGACGAAAGAGAGAAGATCGAGAGGGAGCAAATCTGCAGGTGATACAGATGACAGGATGACTGTTTGACTACTTCTACTGTGAGGTTTGAACCCCCGAGAGAAATCTAGTTAAAAGATTATCCACTACACATATAGAACACATTGATTGTCTTCTCTGGGAGCAGATGAAGAAGACATGGTTTATAAATCCTGGAGTGGAGAGTTCACATTACCATCGCCAAGAAAGTGGACTGACCTGTAGAATCCATCCCAAGCTCTGGGTCCATATTGGGACTTGAATCAGTCCCCATGGATGTAGCTACAGGCACATTTAAAAAGACTGATGCACAATTTCAGAGTTCTTGTCCTTTAATTTAATACTCTATACTTTCACTGTCAGATATTGTGCTTTTTACGCCAATTCAATATTTTTCAAAACAAACATCTACAGCAGGTTATTCAGTAGGATACTCTCTAGTAAATTAAAATATACAGACCGCCTTACATCCTACAAAGGTTCTCATTTTACATCTTGCGCATGCCACTCACTTTCCTGTAGTTCACATGAACATTATTTTGTGTGCACTTATGGCTGTTGAAGGCAGTTGATGGTGGAATAACTACATCAGATTGATTACCTTAAGTACACAACATATAAAAAAATCATCCACTTCACTTTCTTGCATGGCAACAGTGAAGAAGGCTCCCAGAATGCTGGTTTCTAGAGTACTGGGGGTCCACCCCTACACCCCAGCTCGGTGCCTCAGGTCGGCTGATCAGCTGCTCCTGGAGGTACCGAGGTCCAAACGGAAGCTCAGAGGGGATAGATCTTTTTCTGTTGCTGCCCCAATTTTATGGAACGAGCTACCCCTCCAAATTAGTTATTTGTTATTAACTGTTATTTGTTTCTATGTTTTTAAATTAGTTTTTAAAAACATTGAAGCTATATTTTATTATTAATTCTGCTTTTATTTTATCCATTGTTTTAATTGTTTCTTGATTGTTTTTTATCTTGTTGTTTTGCCTAGTTATGTACAGCACTTTGTACAGCTGTGGTTGTTTTAAAGTGCTCTACAAATAAAGTTGAGTTGAGTTGAGTTGAGTTTAAAGAGACAAATGAAGCGACTTAGACAGAGGCTGAAATGAAGGTTATTAAAGACAGCAGCCTGAAATACAGTATGTTAAGATATGTAGATCATGATGTAAAGCTGCAACAGAGATGTCAGACATAAAATATAAAGCCAAAAATGAAGCATAATACCCATCTTTGAGTACCCATGAGAACTTTCTCTCAAGGGACCCAAACACTTCGACTGCCGCTGCTCAGAGGTTAATTTACAGTATTTCATTTAATGCAGTAGGTATAGTTTGGTTTCAAAGAGACCTGAGTTTTTATGGTTGGCAACAGCAGCTATAAACAAATAAACCACTGAATGTCATAGCATGCTTGAGATCCTCCCCTGCTGTGTGAGAAAAAGGCCCTGGGTGGAGTTGCAGCTATAGGAGTTTGAAGGCGGGGTTGTTATAAAGATCCACACTGTTTTGGAAAAGAAATTATATAATACAATATCTTCCACCTAAAAAAGATGAGACATCAGATTAACATGCACCCTGTTCACCCTGATATTCTGATGTGTATAGAATTGTTGTGGAATTTGAACCACATCCAGTGTCTGTACTTGTTTGTGGAAGTTAATTTAAGTTAATATTGCACGCAATAGTGCTGCGAACAAACACTCCCACTGCGCTGTAAGCAGACACAGACAGTTGGAATTATCCAAAAGAATTTTAGCTGGAGGGGTTTCCCAGGATTTCAGATGACACCATAAACCATTCACAGAATAATCATTAACTGACACATGTGCTCCATAGAGATGAAGAAACACACAGTAAAAGCTGAGGTTGAGGGGAATTCAAAAGGATCATATTGTACAATACCTGCACAGTGTCTCCATGTGTCCGTGCCGGTGGCAATGACCTTTAACCCCCGGAGGAAGAATAGGGCCAAAATGAGCGATGGCATCACAGAAATCCGGTTTAGATCAGTTTCCAGCAGGTAAAAATGGCTCCATAATGAAAGTAAATCTCTTTGCACTGCTCCCAACTCACACAATACTACTGTATTTTTTTCAATTTCTAAAACAAGAGAGCATGTTGCATTTCTTCCAATTATTAGAAAAATATCAAAGCAGCACCCTAGCTACGTAAACTCCACTCGCTCTGGGTTAGTAGCAGCAGACAGTCCCCGAGCATCTGTGTTTAGAGAGGAGCCCATTCATCGGTTTGGAGAATCCTGCACCTGCAGCTCCTTTTAAACACCACAGCCATGCAAATCACTGAGCAGCCTGTCAGTCACCCTCCCTCCACTGCCTCTGATCACACAGAGCTGCCTCGGGGGTTAGCTGCTACTCCAATGAGTTTGTGTATGTGTGACTCACTGACAGAGAAGCAGACAGGTAGACAGGTAGGAAAAAAAAACCTCTGTCAAGGTCCTCCAAAATATCTCATCTTGAAAGGGGTCAGAGCAGAGGAAGTTGTTTTATTTTAATGAAAAACTGGAAACAACAGTAGACATCTGTGATCTGGGGTTGAATACTGAGCTAAAAGCTGAGTTATTATCTTATTAGCTCTTATCCTGTACTTTATTACCTGACAAAATGAGGTATGTACATGAATCCAGCTGTGAGATTAAAGTCTCAAACCTGGATTATTTCTTGTTGGCAACAAAACGAAGTCTCTGGGAATTAAATTATACTCTGACACTGTAATGACAAAGAATTAATATGGTATTTAAGGGGGATTTTTAAGTAAGACTTGGATTGAATTTAGTTTACTCTGTTTGAATTTGATAATTTGACTTTCAAATCTCTAGAGAAGTTTTTGGTTATCGGTGGCAGTCGAAAAGTTGATTCCACCAATGTGGTGGTTACCGGGTATCCATGAAATATACACATTGCTATCTCTGCTTGTGTCTGATCTCTCTGAATCCTCTCACCCACTGACCACTACATTTACAAAGCAAATGGGCTTTGTCTGTCTTGTCCTTGTTCAAATTAAGATCATAGACTGCACATAGATGAGGATATGAGATATGTGTCTCTTACTTCCACTTCCTTCCAGGCTCGGTCGGTAGAGTGGATGTTGCGCTTGAGGTGGGACCAGCTGGAAGCAGAAAAGCAGATTGTGCACTCATGCCTATAGTTTTCCTTATTCCTGGTTGGATTCATCAACTGCTTCCATCAGTTTTATCATAGTTACAGTAGCAGGCTGTATCCATACAGGCAGCATATCAGATTAGATTTGAGCTTCTAAATGTGGCCTCATGATAAAAGTCAGTGTGGAAATAGATACACCCTTTGAAGTATCAGACCTAGTTTTATGTTTGTGGTTGATTTATCTAACTACCATGTGCAGTTTAGATATCTTAAAGGTGAAGTCTTGGTGTTTTAGGTACATAAAGAAATGGAGTTTCTTTGATTTTTTTTTACTTTGAGAAGTCTCATTTTGTTGAGTTTTATCAGATTGTTTAGCGCCACACCACATGCTGGATAAAGACTTAAAAATAGATTTTTGTGACATAAAACTGGATTGTGCAGAAACATAGCTCACTAGCACCACCTAGCAATCACTTTTCTTTATGCAGCACACTGTCTAAAAGCACCTGCACATATTTTAACAGAAGGTACCAGGGTGCACGGCACAGCGGGGAAATTCGGTGTTGCCTTTAATGCTGTTGGGAATCCATCACCAAAGTTTGATTTAAAGTATGACAGAAAACAAAGTTCGTCCAAAAGCTCATCTTTTTTTCCAGGTGCCTGGGCCATGAGTAAGCTACATACATTTATTTCACCTTTCCTCACATCCAAATAATATTCCTAATGATTCTTTGCCACTCAAATCAACCAGAAACTAAAACAACACAATGACGCACACAAGAGCAAATCTGAGTACCAAACTATATTTATTGTATACAGTAGTAAAAGACCACAAACAATGTACAAATCAGTAGAGAAACAAATAACATGACAGACCTGGACCCCGTTCTTCGCACATTAAAATGTTACATTTGTATATTTGCCAACCCAGTTCCTCAAATGTAAGTGGAAGGCTGTCTCAATAGCTGTGCTCTTATTTTGTAACCAGGAAAGAGGACTCTGGGGAGGATGAAAGCTTACTGAAGTCACTGGTGGGACATTGAAGCTTTTAACATGCAAAGTTGTGGAGAGATGTTTAGTAGCGTGGAGAAAGTAAAGAAAATACAGCTGTAAAGGATGAAGACCAGAACTTAATTGCTATCTAAAAAGAAACTGTCTGATTTGAGAAGGAAACTACATGATACATGATAATTTGAGTGAAATCCATTGAATTACAAATGCAGCTCATATAACATTTTTTTACTACCTCATAATGCAAGGATTGACACCGAATTTGCAAATTTCCAAACAACAGAGGTTTCTACTGCACCAATTTTTCCACATTTTGATTTTGTTCACCTTTAACATGCATGAGAACTTCACTTTAGCCTATTCTATTTTAACAACACCGGTGTTGTTTGGATAAAACTACATTAAAAATGTAACTTCACTGTGCTTGGCAAGCTTGCACTTTTGCGGGCTTCGATGGAAAGCACGGCAGATATATTTTAATCCTGACTAACATGGCAAATCCGAACCAACAACAATCAAATTAAACCAATTTGGTGACAAAACACACGAAGAACGGGGTCCTGTGGGTACAGAATACTTAGCTCCCAAACTCCACTGGTTGGCCTCCCTGCCCTCCCGATATGCATCAAACTGCATGCATCCTTCTCTAAAATTGTAAAATGTTGGAGACTGGTGAACACTTTGGAGATCTCCAGTTTTCAAACAAATGGCCTGCAGCTTTTTACTCATAAGGAGAGAGCCTGACGGTTGATATACAGCAGTGAGAAGTGTCATTTAAAACCCTCGCTCGAACTGGAAGCTATTCCTCTTTGAAGCACGTCAAGAATCAGCTGTGCTGCCAGCCTACGTGATACAAAGATGAAACATCTGACCCCATAACAGAATCAAGGACCACCCTTCCATCATACGAACTTGCGGACCGGACAGTAATCTCCCCTCCGAGATGACAAATGTGCAAGCATAGCAGCTTGTTTTAGTACCAGAGATCAGGCACTGTCCTGCTTTGCTGGAAAATAAGGGGGAGAACAGCTGATTTTTATCTTTTCCAAAGTAAGATTTAAAGCAACTACATAAAAAAAGGATGCAGCCGAATAATGTGAGATACAATTCCCTCCCAAAAGCAGGCTTTGTCTGGATGAGTGTATAACAGTATGCACCGGATACCCACAATGAACTTGTATCAATATGACATCAAAAAGGAAGCAAAATCTTAATGAAATACAAACTCCCTTAAAATGTGACCTGACCGGTTTGCTTTTAAAATGAACCATCATGAAATAGGAAACAGAAGTTCTGTCTTTGGAGTTTTGGTCCAAGCCCCACAACATTTATCTTACATCCGCTCTGATACTTCTGTACAGGAAAACAAAGCCCCCTGGATGTTAATTCTTAAAAGAGAAGAATCAAAAAAATACAAAAACATTGCAGAACTCTTTAGCAAAAGCACCTAGAATGCAGAGAGAATTAAAATACATTTCAACAGAGGAGCAAACTGCTCAGACAAAAATGAGACACTCAAGAAAGCGAGGTGAAATGGAAGGCGGGTGTATATTAAGTTCAGAAAGTGCTTCCATCTCAAAACATTTCTTGCAAACTGTGAACCCCTGGACAAAATCTTGCAAAGCCCAGCATTCGACCCTGAAGGATGGAAAAACCGTGACAAACTACTGGATACTAAACTTTCACTGGAAAGTGAATGAGAAGCGCTGACAAACCAGGAACGGCTGTGTAATGATGATGGTCCAATCCTGTTCCTGTGGCGGCTGAAGGAAAAAAAAAAAAAAAGGTGTCCTGATCGGCCAGCAGAGACTGTAGAAGCTCACAAAAGTTCAGTCCTTGCTGAGACAGTATATAAACAGCTGAGAAGACCCTCCCACCCTGTCCCCCACCCCCCACACACGACGAATGACAGACATCTTTAAAGGGAGAAATAATAATAATAATAATTACAATAATAATAATAATAATAATAAGCTGAAGAGGATTGATGGGGAGGGGCGGGACAGTGAAGGTGGTAGTGGGCGCGGTCTGAGGGTGGCCATCAATGAGGTGGGGAGGGCCTAGCAGTGCCCGCCTGTCTGCTGCTGGAATACGTCTATGGTGTCTTCATCCTCCATCTCCAGCTAGGCAGAATACACACGCTCAGATGAGAATCAATAATTGATACTTTTTACACTTGTTTTCATTATTTACCAATATAATGAAAAAAATGAGTATTCAAGTGAATGCAACGGCGGGTATAGATGATCTTACCTGTGCAGGTGTATCCGTCTCATTGATAGGCTGGCCATCAAACCTGAACCTGATCTGCCTTATTGCAAGACCCTGCAGAGGTGATACAATAGAGTCAAGGTGCTGATGAAGACCAGGAGGAGAGCCCACATTACAGCAATTTTAAAGTCTCTGCATTGGCTTCCTGTATCTTTTAGAATAGATTTTAAGGTTCTTTTATTAGTTTATAAATGTCTTAATGGTCTTGGTTCTTCTTATTTATCTGATTTGCTTTTACGATATGAGCCCAGTAGAGCCCTCAGGTCTTTAGGTCGTGGTCTTTTAAGAGTCCCCAAAGTTAGAAACAAATTGACAGTGAGGCATCATTTTATTATCATGGCCCCAGTCCATATTTTTAAAGGCAAACTCAAGACCTTCCCTTTTAGTCTGGCTTTTGGCTGATTTTTGTTTTATTCTTCTAGCCTCTCTTTTAGTCTACTCTTTTCATCTTACGTATTTTACTCCACTTTAGTCTGAGAATTATCATCTTATATTTTAACACTATTTGTTTATTTTCATTTATTGTTTAATTTTAAAACAGTTTTATTACATCATATTTTATTATTATCATTATTATTGTTTTATTTCATTTTACTTTTTATATCTTGTCATGGTTTTATAGTTTAGCTTCAGCTCCTGTGTTTCTCCAATTTAGTTTAAGATGGCTTTTCGTTGATCCTCTGTGGCTTCCTTAGGCCTTAATTTGGCATCCTGGTGATTGTGAGAGTAAGTGTATGTGTCTGTGCCTGTGTGTGTGTCTGTGTGTGGGGGTGGGTGTGTGGGGTTTTGCAGTTTGTATTTTGTTTTGTATTCCCTTCTCCTTCTTGTGTACAGCACTTCGTGATACAAGTTCATGTATGAAAAGTGTTTTATAAATGAAGTGATTGATTTATATTTAAGATGCAAAATATGCAGTTAAAGTGAGTAAACACTGGGTAAATCGAAAAAGACATTAACATCAAATCCCATGTAATCCTATGTTAGTGAAGGGCTGTAATTTGAAAGTAGTAATTGAGGCTTCTAGCTCACCTGTCGTTCACAGTATGCCTTCATTAGTTTGCTGAGGGGTGTGTGCCTTTTGATTTTAAACTGGACCACCGAACCATCCTGCCCTGCGACCTTGAGGTTGATGTGGTCGTTCTCAGTCTTGACTCCCTCCTGAAGAGATATAGTATCAGGTCAAAATGTACACACAGGCACTCAAAAGTAACTTTGCTCTACATATGGGGGGCACAGCTGACTCCAGAGTAATACTGAGGTAAGTTCACAGACAGCTGAAACTTTAACAGAAAGCATGGTGAAAACATTAGCGTCAATATATATTTTTTAAAATCCAATAAATAAAGCTTAAAGGAGACCATCAATCCAGAGCAGTCAGGTCTGCTAACATTAGCATGTTTAGCTCCAGGCTAACTGGTGACACCAATGCTGAGTTTGGCTCCCGGCTAACGCTGCTAGCAGTTTTTTATGTTGTGCTAAGCTTCATAAGTCACATCACAATGAAAATACATGGAGCAAAGCTACTAAAAAACAGGTTTTATCGGGTGCGTCACGTCCAGGAGCGCTTTTTTGTCGCTGCTGCAGTAGCGGCATTTTCGCTGTTGCGGACATAACGTGGTCCAGTTCCGACAAAGACAAAAAATCCGCAAATAACAATCGTGTCAAAACAGGCGTTTACACTCCCACCTGTCAGGCAGAAGTTAAATAGTCACGATACAAACAGATTTGATCAAAATGTGTAGGGTAAATGCTTTAAATTGTGGAAATGGATGTGCGGGTTCTCATTCATTTGCGAAACAAACACTGCGCCGATTCAGAGAAACGTGCAAACCAGGCCTTTTTAGACTGCATATCTGAGAAATGGTTCGACTGAGTCTCCGCTATCAAACTATACACTATCAAAGCTTTCTTTCTTACCTTTGGTTTCTCCTCTGACATCGTGGCCGTAATTTGTGAGCGGTTTTTCAGCTAAATCGGTTAATTGGGCTTTATTTGCTTTTCTGCCGCCTTCTGTCCTCTCTGCTCTGCCGCTGTCGGGTACGCGCTTTGGACCGCTGGTACAAACAAACGATTGGCCCTCGAACGACCACGTGACTGGTAAATCGCGGGAGCGCGGACACGGGAGCGCGCTCATTCGCAAAATACTCGATCACGCGAGGTAAAGGTTAAACTATTAAAATCTCATAAATTCTAACAGGAAAGCCTGCGAATAGTCGTGTATTCACATTGATTTTCAATTAGAAACAGTCACACAAACATAAAATTTAAATAAACCGTATAAAACATAAAAGATAGAATGAAACCACAACCTTTATATTTAGTGTTCCCCTTTAAACCACAAATAAACAGTGTTTCCAATAATAAGCCAGAATGAAATAAAAAATTAAACATGTTTTTGTTCTTTGGTAAACCATTATTTGATTTTGCAGTTTTGACAGTAAGACTTGAGCTCCTTTCAAACGTGTTTGTCCTGTCCGAAAAGTCCCAAATTCTTGCTGTGTAGGCTAATTCACTCTTGTGTGTTTTGGGCTCGTTTCTTTCTTTCTTTTTTTAAGTTAAAACAGTGGGCTGTTGTCGTCGAAGCAGTGGGCTGTTGTCGTCGAAGCACTTGCTGTGAGACCGCTTATTTATTTATTAATTTATTTTTGCATTTATGTATTCTTGTTTGTTTTATCTTGTTCTTTGCTTGTTTTATTTGTATTCATGTCTCAATGTACAGCACTTTGGCTACCCCTGTGGTTCTTTTTAAATGTGCTATAGAAATAAAGTTGATTGATTGATTGGCTATGAAACAGTCAGGTATACATTACAAACTAGACAAATTTGGCTTGTGCCATATGCTAATCCAATCCAATTCAGGTTTATCTATAAAGCACATTTAAAAACAACAAAACGCTGACCAAAGTGCTGTAAAATTAAAAACAATAAAAAACAGACAATTGATGTGAACAATATAAAAAAGACACAGGAACACATTAAAAACAGGGGGGTATGGATGGTTCAGTAAAAATATGATTAAAAGGCCAAGTTCTCAGGAGTTAAAAGCCAGGGAGTAAAAGTGCGTTTTAAAATTTGATTTGAAAACAGGCAGTGTGGGGGACAGTCGGACATTAAGAGGAAGAGCATTCAAGAGCTTAGGCTCAGCAACGGAAAAAGCCCGGTCACCCCTGAACTTTAATCTTGACCTAGGGACAGTCAGAAGGCACTGGTCAGAGGATCTGAGAGTCTGAGATGAAATATAAGGTTAAATATGCTAACAAAGCGGTTAGCTTTTACACTGCATGTCTTTAAGATAGTGCCAATATCTTTCCACTGTAACCTGTTCATTGCCTATGAGGAAACTATTGGCCTTTTAAAAAAGTTTAAATCCATTTAGAAATGCTAGTATCAAAGTAAAATATTAACTAAACGTGAATGAAGAATTATTTCCTGGTGATTTAGCCTCATGCAAGATTAATGTCATTTAGTATTTCAAAAAAAATCTTATTTACTTAGTTATAAAATATTCCAAACATTTGAAGATAACATTGCTCTCAGCCTCTTGACCTTTGTGCACTCAATCTGGTTATGTAATGTAATGTCAACGAAGAATCACATTTCTGATTACTCAAACATATAACAAAAACAGAACACAAATAATAAATTGAGTATGAATCAAGCATCTTTAATAAGGCTTGTGTGTATGTACAGGATATACAGGAAAATTCAGGATAAGGCAGTCTTCAAAGAAAGCATTCAAAAATTTCTAAATCTCACTTTCTAACTTTATTGGTAACATATCTCCTCATCTAATACCCCACAAAAAGTCCTGTAAGAGAAGCATACAGCACTAACACTATAAAAATTACTCAGATAAGTATATATAGGTAGGATTGAGTCTAATTAAAGAGACAGATCAAGTACAAAAATAGATCAAAATTTCTAGGCAAATCGCTTTATCAGCAGCAACACAGCAAAGGTAACCAAATGTGTGTTTTCAATTTTGCACAATAAATAGTTTGATGCTACAGGAGCCACAGGATTCACTGATATTTAACTCTGAAGATAGTTGCTGCTTCATGTATCTATTCTTGCGTTTATTTACAGCCTCTTGGGTCATCACATTGAGTATAACATTCCTTTCATAGGCTAGTTAAGACCAACAACTGCCTGTGCAAAACTACTGTCTATTGTTCTTATAGTTTACATCACTCTTCGGGTTACTGTCTACACTCCAAACCACCAGACAGGCTTTAAATGCAGCTGTGTAAAAGGTCAGAGATCAGGGAAAACAGAAACATTAAAGGTGAAAATCTCCATTCACAGATTGTCTCAAGCGAATTTGGAATAGGGATTTTGTCCGCTTAGACCTGGAGGAACAGAAAACAGTCAGTAAATACATTCCACTCTTATGTCTGTCAAAATAATATGATGACAGGGCAAAGGATGACAAATTCATGTAGTCAGCCAAAACACCACAGAAAATTTAAACACTTATGAAACTGTTCTGTGTTGTGCTTCTTGAAAAATCTTGGTCAAATTCAAACCAAAAAAGAATGACTAATATCATGTTTTAGGTTTAGTTTTCAACCATTAGATCAGGAAAGCAAATTTAGTTTTTATTTCAAAGAAACATACACAAATTAAGGTTTTTTGTACCTTGAAAAACAGACAAAGTAGGAAAAGTACGTTAGCGCTCTCACCGTATTTCTTCCTGATTTCATCGTGTCTCTGTTTCATTTCCGCCTTCCTGTAGGAACAAAACACATTCTTCTCTGAGCAACACAGTGACTGATAATATTTCTTCACTCCCACTAACCAGTTTGGGCTGATAACACTTTGACGTTTTCAACAATGCTATGCTGTCATGATGTGCTGAGATGTGAACTGATACGGCTCATCAACACGACAGTTGGGGGAACTATAGTACATACTGTGTCTTTCAGATTATAAATACTTAGACAGAGATTTATTCATTTTTTTTCTTATATTCTATACAAGTACCTTTACTGTACATCAGTAATCTGTCATATAGACACAGCAGATTCAGACATTCAGACATTTTTGACATATCATCCGCAAAAGCAATTCAGACAGTCATCAGGTATTAACATTTTTATATTTTACAACAGAAAGCAACAAAAAATGGAGATGCATGTCAAAACATTTTGGGGAAGTTTGCAGAAATCATTTCGGTCACTCCTTTGTCTGGTAGTTCAGCCGTTAAATGTAAAAGCTACAAGCTCACAGAAACTAATGGCCCCATTATGTCATGAACACAATTAAATGCAGCTTAATCTGGTTACTTCCTTGACAAGGCCAAATGAATATAAAGAAAAATGTGAATTTTTAGCAGAATACACACTGTAACAGAACATGGATGAGAAAATGTGAGTTTTTTTTACAACTGAAAAAGCTGCAGGGAAGGAAATTGTTCAGGTATATTTAGCCAGAGCTGAAAAACCTGTTTGTCCTCTATGATGGGACAGTTGAGATAGGTGGCAGCAGCAGACTGTGTAACTGAGATTAAGCTTGTGCGATGCTGCATTGCTGCTCAATTCAGGTTTAATCATAGTCCGATAATAAAGAGTTGTTTCTGAGAAATTTGGAGATGGGGGTAGCAAGCCAAACTAATTCAAGATCAGCCTGGAAAACCTGCAAACTCACTCCTCATTAAAGTCTTTCTTTCAAAACTATGGAGATTAAACTGCTCTAAAATATCCATTTGCTTTGTGGAACAAACTATATATAAAGATACATAAACCAGGTCAGACTTGCAGACTTGTGTTAAACATCACATTCATGTCACATCAGTTCTCACCTTTCTTCCTGCTTGGTTTTTGTCTTACTAGCCTGCCTCTGCATCTTGGCCTCGAACCTGCTGGATCTGACACAAAAACACAATAGTTTAGATTGCAGTCAGAAGGTTCATATGAAAGTACACCGTACAAAGACACCGCACAAAGTGGTGTTCTGCAAGTAGTGAGTGAGAAGACTTATATACATTACGTTAGTCTTTATTAATGCAACAACTGCAGCATATTAGTTTGTTTTTTTCTTTTCTAATTACTTATATTCTGTTTACTCTAGCTTAGAAAATCATTAGTTATTTCTCGTCACCTGTAGCCATTTTTGTCAACTACAGCTTTGTGCACACTTACCCGAAGTTCTCACACTTGCAGCAGCAGAAGAGGCAGATAAGGAAGGCGATGATGATGACTCCACCCAACACTGCCAAGGTGATGATCAACGTCTGGAAGTTCACTACAGACAGACACAGAAAGGCACACAGACAGAGATATGATTACAGTGGAAATCTTGAATATGTTTAAGTTTTTGGCTGTTGTCCTTTGTTTGAGTATTTCATTCTGACAGAACATTATCTTTGTATTATAAATGGGCTAAGAGTTCACCTGAGAGTCTGCTTATGCAAATTCAACAAGACAATGCAAAAAATGTGAGATTTCTAGTGTGTATTCCCAGTTGATTTGATCCTGACAATAAAATGTAGGCCTATGTATGTAGGGGAGATCAGGGTTGGTTGCCATGTTGCTTATTACAACCAAACCTTGTGTCTTCATGTTCGTATAAAGCAGTAAACCTTGTGCAGAGCTTGTTTCTTTGTGGTCATTTTTGGAAAAAGATACAAAACCTAAGGGGCTAAGAAAATATTTGTGATTCTTTGAAGGTTTCAAGGTGATAAGTCACTATACGGTCAAACAATTATCAAAAAGTAGACCCTGTTAATTTGCTTTTGAATACATTTAGAATATTAAAAACGATGTCTACTTTAACCCTTGACTGTGAGCTGTTATCTAGAGGTATTGATTATGAGTAATGTCTACAAGAGTAAAAAGTGTGACAACCTCCCCTGGTCTCCCCTATGGTTGCAATACACTGCTGAAAAGGCCACATAACGGCAACCAATCTGCAATCTACAAAAACGAATTAATCATGAGGTGTTGTAACATAAAAAGAGCCCTTGATTACATCATCATTAATTGTCCAATTATCCTAAGAGTTTAACCAATGACTAGGCATGTTTTAGCAGTGAAAAGTGCTGTTGCTATGGTTACCCACTGCAAGAATGGAACAACAGACACAGCCAGCCAATCAGAGAGAGGGGTTTTCAATAGCCAGGGTGTGCAGTTTATAAGCCGCACTATAAATATCCTACAGAAACAAAGCTGAAGTGACTGATTGATTACTTGATTGGTCCATCCATAAAGAAACTAATAACAGCTGTTTTAAAGTTGATTGATCTTGTAAGTTATTGATGAAAAAAATGATTTAAGCTCAAATGTTCCTTTTTTCTGTTGCATTTAAAGTCTACATTGACCTTTGGTTTCTGAGCAGTCTTAACCCTTTAATGCCTTTTGTATCATATTTGTTTCATACTTTTATATGCTTCTATCAAATCAATATGATCAACAAAGGACAAAAAAAAAAAAACCTGAATACAGTCCGATAAATGATTAAAACGTCCTCTTGTAGTTTATTTTCCAAAAACATCTAATGTATCAAACAAGATCAGTAAATCTATTTGTTAAATTTTAAGGACATCTAGATTTTTTTGGTTTTCAGTAGTAAATGAAATAAACATTTCAAATTTTCTGGCCATAATTTGTGGTGTCACGTATTAAAGGGTTTTAAAATAAAACACAAAAAGCAACTCAGATACATAGATTTAGCAATTCTACTCAAATCAAACCTTTAACTGACAAATGATTGATTTTACTGTTAGAGTTATCTCCTCTGGCAAATAAAAAGATTAAGATAATCAAGCTGGAAACAGTTAATAGCAGATCATGACCTAAACTCTGTGCTCGATTTTGAATACTTTTATATAACTGTATTACTTTTAAACCCTGATCAACTAAAATACTGTCAAATGCTTAAATGTTTGAGATAACCAATAACTTATGTAAGTGTATTCGTTGACATTGATCTCTCAGCAAAGAAAAATTAATCAGTTATGCTAATAAAATAAACCAAATAAAGTCTCTGTATGTGTGTGTCCTTGCTTACTCCAGCAGAGTCCCCAGCGTGCATCGTTCAGTGGACAGACTCTATGAGGTGGGAGGATGGTCCTCACTGGGTATGTTACACATGACTTTGTTTTGAGGCACCACAAGCACTGAAAACGTACAAAAGTACACAATGACTGCTATACACAAACAAACAATGACTGTGTGAGGTATTCAGGACAAATGCAGCACACAAGGGTAGAAAATGAAGGAGGTGGAGGTGGAGGGGGTGACGAATCAGTTACTCCTCAAACCAGTTTAACAGGTGGGGAGGTGACAGAGAGGAGGAGGAGGAACTGGTGACTGTTTCTCTAAGTACGACACTTCTTCTTCCACCATGTACACACTAGTGTTACACAAAATTACTGATTTTTTTTTCTTTTTTCTCAAGACTCACCTTTACATTTTTCAAACATTCTTCACAGTTTGTGCCGTTCTTAGTCTCACAAGCTGCAGGGGGACAAAACAACCATTAGTTTACATTAAAACAGCCCACAAAGGGGGAGAAATACTCAGTCAACATGTCCAGAGGTCCAAAAGAGAGAAGCAGGAGAAAGATTAGCCACATACGAGCCAGATTAATGAGGCCTGCAGGTTTGTGCTCGCTGTGCTTTTTGTAACTACTGATAATCCTCCTGGGACTTTTTTCCATGGAGACACAGAACAGAAAACACAGGAGTGAGAGCAGTCATATTACCATCAGAGGACTACACTGAACAACAGCCGGGTTTGTGTGACTATCTGTAAAAGCAAGGTGTACACAAATAAGGTTTGTTTGTGGCTACTCCTGTTGGTTTCTTCCCTGTGGAACAATTGGGGACCCAAGGGGGGCTGAGACCTGAAAAGAGACTCATTGTTCCAGATATGGTGTTTCAACATTAAACAGGGTCATGCTGGCTTTCAAGAACATACTTTCATGCTGTTTTACAGAAGTTCTTTGAGACAAAATGAAGATTCAACCCATTTTTTTGTCTGGTTTTTCTCGATTATTAACTTAAGCCCCAAAACAAAAGCATTTAGAGTGTAAAGCAAACTTTATTTGTTGTTTTTCTCTAATAAACCAACAGAGATAAGGCACAAAAATGATAAAAGTTGTCATAAATAACAAGTAAAGGAAATACATGTAATTCAGGTCAAAGAAGGGAGATTTTCTGTCTTTTTAGCCAAGGCCCTATTGGAGAGGTAGGCTCGTTAAACGCAGTAAAAAGAAAAGGAGAGCTGCCATGAATTCCTCATCACCACAGAGCAGCTCATTTCAGCTCCTACCTGGTTCAGGTGCGGAAGTCTGGGCGAAAACTGTCGCCAAACCCAGGACGAGCAGAAAGGCAGGGAGTAAAATCCGAGTATCCATCGTCCAAACGCTCACACTACTACGGTTTTCTGTCAGGCTTTCTCCTTCTGAGTTAATGTGAGAAGTCTTAGTGTAAGAAAAAAACAGGAAACGGGAACCGGTCGACGGCTGAAACTCGAAAAGCGAAGTTGCTCCGAAGGAACCAAACGCAGAGTCCTGACGTACTCTTACGCACCACAAACACAAAGGAGAGGAAGGTGTGTTTGTGTGTCTGCGTGCATTGTTTTCTGGGAGGTTGTGAAGCTTCAACTCAGTGGCGTTCCCAAGCTACTTGGTATCCTAGGCAAGATTTCAACCGCGCTCCCGTCATGGGGGGCATTCTACGGCAGGGGTGCATTCTATGGCACAACACCGGCCGCGGGAACGGGGTCTTAATAAATCCCCCCTAAATATGTAAATCTGTAACTTCAACTAAAACATCAGCAAATGGCTTAACTACACAAATACTCCAATGAAAACAACGACTCAGCAATGCTACATGATTAATTAAATAGTTTTTAATTCAGAGTGATTCTCGAAAAAGTACAGGAGTGACGTTATAGTGAAGTGTAATTTCGAGGATTTGTCACGACATTGTGTTGAAGATGCATTTAAATGACCAAACTTTTTCTAGTCTTTGTTTCTTACCTGATGATGCACCTGTTTGTCCCACCACAGCTTTAACCAAAAATATCCACAATAATTTTCTTGCTTGTAAAAATAAAGAAACTGTACTTAAACCTTTATGTCCATGTAAAAAAAACAACAACAAAGATTTCATCAGATTTTCAAAAAGTTAAAAGAGCCATTTTACCTTTGGTAGCCAGATTGAATATGAGTGATGGATATCTGCAATCATGGGGGTCATATGGTGGGAAGAGTGGGTTTGGGCCCTGATTGAGGAAGGAAACCCAAATAAGCCTGAAACAAATCCTAAAGAGGGACACACATTTGAGGTAGGACTTAATTGCTTCCCTAACAAAAGAAGTTTTGAACCTGCTTGAGCTCTGGTCCTGTACTCTTTTGAAGATAGGACTGTGAATAGAGCAAGAAACTGGTAGAGAGAGAGATTGGGGACTGGTATGTGGTTAAAGAGCCAAAGGTTGGATTCAAACCCAGCCCACCAGTAGCCTTTTTACACGGGGTGCATGACTTTAACACCAGGCCTTGTCAGCACTCTGTTGTAGCATCATTTATGCATAGAGTTAATGGATTTAACTGTTGGTTAATTATATGTTTCTTGAATAGGGGAGAGTGGGGTAAGATGAGCCATTTTTCATATTTCAGATCACTACATCAAGTCAATCATAGTTTTGTCTCCAACTAGTGTATCTGCATATATTTCAAGATGTTGTGCATCCCTGCAAACAACAGAATGAGTGTAAACATAACTGTCTTGATGATATAGCATGCCAAAAAAGTGGTCTGCTATGGTCAACTTACCCTGTGTATGGGGTAAGTTGACCATAGGAGCGGGGTAAGTTGGGCTGTATCCCTACTACCACCCCCACTCTTAAATTCTCACACTGTGTGCACTTGTGTGTGTGTATGTGTGGGTGAGTGAGGCTGGGTGCGTGTCTTTGTGTGTGTGTGTGTGTGTGTGTGTGTGTGTGTGTGTGTGTGTGTGTGTGTGTGTGTGTGTGTGTGAGTCCATGGGTGGGTGTGTGTGTGAGTGGGAGGGTCAGGATTTATTGTTGTCAATTGTTGTTTGAGGCTCTTTGAACTGCATTTTTCGTCTGAAAAGTGCCATAAAAATAAAGTTAAATTTGAATGAAAAAATAATGTTTTTTTTCTTGCCTTGTAGTTCAATTGCCTTTTTAAAATTTAGAATAATCTAAATTATGTCAAAGTATCTCTATTTAATTTCAACAAATACTACATTTCCCGAAAGCCCCTGCAGGTGGCGCCGAGCGTTCAGCAAAATCCCATCATACATCGGGATAGGAAGCAGAGGTGAGGGAAGCCGGGGCTGAGAAGCAGCATCCTCACTTGGACTAGACCGGTGGATGAAGCAGAGGGGCAGCAAAGTTGGACGAGGTGGAGGGCGGGCTCAAACTAAGCCAAAGTAAAGTACCCTGAACACTTACCGGTATATATATTTAATATTTTGCTCTTACTTTTGGAGCGTTAGCTGGACTTGTTCGTATTATATCGCTTTTACACGGTTACGTTTTTGCAGCGGGTGAACGTCGGATGGACCTGCGCGTGCTGTCCTCCTGTAACCGTCGGGATGAATGAGACAAAGACGGAGACGGAGGCAGGCTGGAGAGACGCCAACTGTGAACATCTTTGACTGAGGATAAGTTTGCTGAAATGTGTTCAAGACGGTGAAATGCTTCTCTCGGGTACTGACTCAAAACTCCTAAAAAAGGTGCCTCATCACGATAGTTTCACCCAGACCGACCTTGCGTTTAATGGTTAAGACAGTTCAGCTCTGGGCTACTACTCGCCTTTTGCTTAACTTAGACGCCTCTTGACAATGTGAAAGGTGAGGGGGGTAAAAAAGAGAGTTTTAACCGAACTATCTTGCTGTGTTTTTGCTTCAACAGGGCTATACATGAGTTTAGGTAACGGACTTGTAGTTATCTCACAGTGTTTCTCCTTCTTCTGCTTCAACTTTTGGATGTCTAGACGGGAGAATTGAACTGGTGAATGAATGTAAGGTGAAGTGACATGGACCCCAGTGCTGAATTGCCTGTGCACACACACCAAACGGATATGATGAAGTGCACTTAAGATAGTCTTCCTTCATATCTGCTTTTAAGATGAGCCAAGGGGCAAACCTTGTCCTCGAGTGGCTTTCCAAGCTCAACCTGGCCCAGTATGTGGAGTCCTTCATTGACAATGGCTATGATGATTTGGAAGTGTGTAAACAGATAGGGGAGCCTGACCTGGATGCCATTGGTGTCCACATTGAGTACCACAGGCACAGGTTGCTGGCAGCGGTGAAAACGCTGAAGGATGAGGACAGAAGGAAAACGCCAAGCTACTATTTCACCCTAGAGCCTCTGGGGACTACTTCTTGCAACCAGTCTTCACACCCAAATGAGGAGGATGACTTCAGGACTTTGGGGTCGCGTTCACACATGTCAGGAAAACACCAGGCCTCCTGTCCTGGAAACCATAACCTGAGATTCACTGATTGTAATGACTTTGTGACTTACCCCAAACTGAAGCTGAAGGTCCTGATTAGGGATAAACTAGCAAAAGATGGAATCAACCTGGGAGAGGCACCTTACACCCATAAGGTAGGAAAATTTACTTTTCCTTTTTTAGAACATGCTGTCACTCAGTGCTGGCTCTTCAGGCTCTGTCTCCTGGAATTTAATACGCCTAATTTGTTAGGTTTGTGATGGAGAGTGTGGCGAATTTCTTTGATAGTGCTGACGTTCACTGATTGTCCTTTATTTATTCAAGGTTTCCAGCGGCTTCTCTAACAAGGGACTACTTGCATACAATGTATTATTGTTGAATTTCATACCCATGATCATCCAACCCGTCTGACAATTCATGTTGTAATTAGTGAGTGAAAGACCCATAACCAAACCTGGGATCTGCTTTTGGTGTCTTTGGTTTGGGGAGAAAAGTAGGATTGTCAATGTGATTATCAAGAATGTACACACATCTTAGCTCTTCCACTGCGCCTTTTATAAAATAATAACTTTTGACATGGTGTTGTAGTTTTATTTTGGTTGAAATAAAGCAAAACTTTTGCTTTTTGTCATGCAGTCTATTTGCAATTACCATGGTGCACATTTTTAGCCAGGTGCTAGTTGGACTACCAGTTTTAATCAATCAGTCGGGATCAATTTTATGTTATTGACAGCTCAGCTTGCAAATCCAAAGCTATAACTAATCCTTACACTTTACAGTCAACACATGACCATTGAATGAGGGTCAAAGATCCTGACCTCTTTGTGCAGATCAGTGGGACAACGAGTCTGTCTGCCATGACGACAGATGTTTTCTGCACGGATCATACATTTACATGACGACGGCATGCCATTTCATTTGTGGGATCTCTGCACTGACAAAGGTCCACTCTGTGTTGACTGTAGAGAGCCTCAGATAATGTAATTGCAGAGGATAGCTATTTTGCTTTTTTTCAAATCCATTCAGTCTTTAATACCCTCAGTGTCACCAGCTGAAGGGCACATTTGGCATATTTTCAACAATCTGTCACTGTCAGTGGAAGGCATGATTGATGGATGCTGGATTTGATTAAATCACAGAAAACTGATGTTGACTATTAGACGAAACATGTTGCACTGGTGATATGAATCTGTTTAGCTACATCATTACAGACTGTCAGAATGAATCCCTGTGAAGCATCACTGTTGAACATGTCCCCAGAATATCTTAGCACTTCTAGACCTGAGGCAGAGTTCCCGCTCTCAGTGGTGGCACTTAGCCAGGAGGGAACTTTACTTAACTTGAGTGCCTTTATACGAGCCTTCCTCTGGAGCAGCTTTATGTACCCTATAATAAAAAATGTACAATGTTTGGTTATTTCTGATTTATTCTAATGATGATAATCTAATTGCAAACGTTTATAATACCCACTAAGGTACCATTTGCTATACAGCGGTTGGACTTTTACAGTAGCACTGTGTTTTTCTGGCCTGGTCACCGATACAGGCATACACTGTTCATGAAAGATTCAAAAGCTGTAAACTACTGAGTGCAAAAGCTCTCTGTGGTTCACTTCCAGCTTTTTTTTTATAGGTAACAGTCAGCGCTTGCATAGTCAGATTCATGCAGGAAAGTTTGTGTGAGCGAAGAGCATCCTCATGGAGTGAGCAGAACTTTGCAGGAGTTTAGGTTCATCCACAGTGTTAAAATCGAGGGATGTTACTGAAACAGATTTTAGAGCGGTGAATGGGTTAGTAGCTTTATTTATGCTCTACTAGTTAGCTGATGCAGCATGTACAAAGTACAACTGATCTCCCCTAACAAATCATTTATGTTGAACTTTGCTTTTACGGCTTTACACTGTGTGCTTAACATTTGGCAATGGCATTAAATGTCATCCTGCTTCGTTTCTGTAGGAAATAGGCCAGCCTTTTTTTTGGCTAATTAAGCTCTCCAGTATTTCCATTATGAGGGCAGACAGCTGCACTCCATTTATTCATTTAACATGCCGTAAAGTACAACTTTGATGGGGAGCAGCTCATTAGTGGAGGGAGAAAGTCAGGTGGAAAAGACGCACCTGGTTCATTTTCTCACTTGGATAATAGCATACTGTCGATCAGCATCAGACTAAGTTAAGCTGCTCTATCAGCGAGGAATCCTTTTACCTCTTTTTGAGGCATGTTCTCAGGGCCCTTTTCTGTCTGCTCATCAGGTCTTGCAGTTATTTGGATCAGTATTCCCACAGTGCCTCTGCCTCTGATTTGATAGTGCAATCAATTCCCAATGAGCAATGTGCTTTACTGACTCTCCTGCACGCATGACTTGTTCACACAGGCGCACCGGATCTGTCGGTGATGTTGAGAGGGGGAGAAAAAAACACAAGGTAATGCGATAAAGGCTGGTTGAGCTGTAAGTGACCTAAACGCTGGCACATCAACACTGATAGGAATTAGGGATTTTAAAACCAAGGTTATGCAAGAGCAACATGGGAAAAATGTAACCTAAAATGTATCTTTGGATATCAACCACTGTGAACTTGTCTCTCCTGTAGGAAACAAAACTAAAGAAACAAACAATTGAGGTTTAGGCTGAAAAGTCAAGTCATCACATTATACAGTGCAGTATTTTGCTTTTTGTGCTTTTGTGTTTACACAAATCTATATTTACCTGATGTTTGAATAACCTGGGGTCTGGAATTAAAAATAGATTGATGCAAAACACATTCACAATTTCAGAGGAGCAAAAAAGAGGTGAGTGAGTGCACGCATTTGTTTCGTGCCTCACCTGTGTGCAGCTGCAGCGCTATAGGGTTATTGTTCGCATAAATAATGCAATACTGTAAACATACCACATGTGCATGCTGACCAACCTGTTTTTTTATTTTCAAAGAGAAATGCAGGAATATGTATCTGCTCAAAACAAACAAACAAATAACAAAAAAAGCAGGAATGCATGATTGTGGATTTTGATATGCCAGTATTTTCCAACTCTTGGCTGTAACTATTGTTGGAAAATTTTCTATCTGCAGATAATATTATGCAGATAATATGATGCATCCCCAGCACTTTGAAAGCAGCTCCTCTCGTCTTCCTCACATCCTGAAGAAAAGCACAAAATATAACCCCTACCTTGTATAAATTTAAGATTTAAGATTTGGTTGTTAACTCCTTAAAGATGAAGAAAAAGCTTCCCTTAAATCCATCAAGCATCAGCTTTGTCATCAGACAGCAAACATTCATCATGTTGCTCATGTCCAGACCCTGATGGGAAGGATTCCCTTGAAGTCTGTCTTAACAAAAGCTTTTAAACCCTGGAGAAGGCCTCATCACAGTGCCCGCTCTGAAAAACACCCTCAGAATGGGGAACAAATGTTAGTTGTTCATAAGATTTCCCTGTGTTGCTCTGCCAGAGGAATCGAAGGACAAGCAAAAGCAGCAGGCTCCTTTTGTCAGAAGAAAAGCCTGTCTGAATAGAACCTGGCAAAATACGAGGTCCGCAGCAGCTGACAGCTGTCGCTGCTTTTGTCACAATAAAAAAGGGACTGAATAGAAGACGTGTTTTCACTGGGCAAAGTTGAGTTGAAAACAGCAACACTGGTGCTGCGTTATACTGAGGATGACCTGTAAATAAGCAAAGTGGTTTGTAGTTTCATGGTTGATCGCATCAATTTGCTTTTCTTCTATTTACATTAGTTGTTGATCCTTTTCACCTTAAAAACAAGACACTTGGTCACTTCGATGAGCAGATAGCCAGCACAATTGTTTCACAGCAACAAGTTCCTGGGTTTGAGGAGAGCAGGGAGTTTTTATCTGGAGTTTGCATCTGTTCCATTCTCCCCTGTCCTCTTATTAGTCTGTCTTTTATATGGAAACTCAGAATTTGGTTTGATTTAGGGCTGGGCGATATGGCCTCAAATCAATATCACAATATATTGAACAGCTGAACTCGATAACGATAAATGGATGATAACTTCTCCACAAGCTGCTCACCCCCTCCCACATTAACTTTGTCTACTTCAGCCGCCACTCCCGCCGCTACAACTTTTGAACCATCCTCCAGCTTCTGTCCTGTCTTTAACTCTTTGCTACGGACTGGATAGGGTGAAGTCATGTCTCTGGCATAGGACAGCATCTTAAAGGGACATGAGACCAAAGCCTACCTACACACATCCAAGAACAACTTTTATTTAGTTGTTTTTTTTGACACACAATATACCAATATGGGCAAAATGACATCGGTTATTGTCGTAGATTTCAGTATCTGTACATTTTCGGTTTATCGCCCAGCCCTAGTTTGATTTTTTTATGAACTGTTGTCTGCATGTTGGGCTGCATGCGTGACAATCTATAATAATCAATCTAGATAATCTATACTTTTCCATTTGGTCGTATTGTATTGTGATCCATCCATTACTATCATCGTCTTACTTACCATGAAGTCTACCCTTGGGTGGGCCTACTTATGGCCTTTATTCATGTTATGTCGGTATAGATTAAGTCAAACCACTGGGCCATTACAGGAATATTGCTGGATTATTGCACTGATGGTGCTGAGGGGGGTGGTTGAACAGCGTTGCACACAGCACTCAGCAGCTTAACATGCCATTAACATGTCCCGTCCCTTATAGTTTAGGATTCAATACATTTGTGTCCGGTTTGTCTCTCGTGCAGTAGTCTGTTCCTCCCCTTCACACAACAGGACGGTACAAGGACAGCTGTGATTGTACCAGCACATTTTCAGCCACTCCACATCACATCACTGCTGAGTGGTATCAGAGATGCATATGTTGTTCACACAGGGAATAGTGTGCTATGTATAATGTAAACCCTTGTGTTAAGCAGGGCATAATCACTGACCTATATCTGTGAATTTAAGATTAGAATTGTCCGGGGTCAGCGGCAGCGGACTCGAGGTTGAAGAGCAGTGTTTGCTTGCAGCTTATTGTTTTCTGTAGATCCATCTATCCAGTTAATTTTCTCTTCATACAGCCCTCTGCTTTCATGTCGCTTTTGCATAGAAATTATTCAGGGGAGCATCTGGAAGGGCTTGCCATGAAACACCAGACAAGTGCATCACGCACACAGTAACACATATTAAAAATGCTTATTCTGGACTGAACAGTTTAAAAACTCAACAAGGGAAAGGCCTTGTTTTGTTTTTGTTTTTGAACAAAGAATATCTTTCTTTTGAAACAGTCCTCAGTCTTCCTTTTCGTTGCTTCAGCTATTGTATAACTAAGCTAAGTAGGTCTTTGAAACTAATGGGCGCTCTCTGAATTTAAATGACTGTGCACTGAGGAAAACCTCCTTTGCTTTGTGGCAGACACACGCAAGAGACAGCTCAAATGAGAGAGGAAGTTTTTAAGTCTCTATTAGAGCAAAGACACTGCCTAAAAGAATGCTTTGTGTTTACGGTACAAGGGCTCTGTCCGATTGTAGAGAATGGGTCATTGCGGTGGTGCACATAACTCAAGTGTGGTTTGTTAACTTGATAGAAGGGTTACATTTTTTTACTAACAGGACAGCATTATGTCTGTAAAAAAGCAGTGGAACATTTTTGCACTTGACAACTTATTACCAAAGATATATCAGTGTGCGAACACGTTCTACTGCGTAAATTATATTTGAACCATTACCTGCTTGGGGGAATTTTCAATCCCTTTAAGTCAGGGCTGGGCAGTAAACCAAAAATTCACCAATACCGAAATTTACGTCAACAACTGACGTCATTTTGCCCATGTCAATATGTTGGGTGTCAAATAAATAAATAAAAGTTGGTTTTGGATGTGTGTAGGTAGGCTATGGTCTCATGTCCCTTTAAGACGCTGTCCTGCATCGGAGACATGACTCCACCCCATCCAGTCCGTAACAAAGAAGGAGGACGGTCCAAAAGTTGGAGCGGCTGGAGCGGCAGCTGAAGTAGACCAAGTTAATTTGGGAGGGGGTGGGCAGCTTGAGGAGCAGTTATCGTCCATTTATTGTTATCGAGGTGAACTGCTCAATATATCATAATATTGATTTGAGACCGTATCGCCCAGCCCTACTGTAAGTGGTAAAATGGAAATGAAACATAGAAGGTTGTATGTCTTTCCCTCAGAAATGTATTCCCCGTGAGAATAGGAACAAAAAGTGAATATCACTGCTGGCAAAAAGATGTCTCATTTCATTCACATTAACTCGTACAAATAAATGAATTGCTTGACTCAATAAATTAATGAATTGCAGCAGGTTTTACTAAAATAGATATTTCCGATGTCCGCTCGATCCTTTTCTTTCTCTTTCTCTCTCTCTCTCTTTCTCTTTCTCAGTTGCGTCACCACCAGGCTCTTGGAGATCTATGAGCCATATTACATTGACCTTGATCACGTCCCATTACAAGGGTCAAACTATCCTCTGTGCTGGGCTATTTTTATTTCATGGGCAAAATGGGGCCATTTCAGCAGTATTTTCACTCAGTCAAGCAGAGAAACCTCTACTAGGTAGATAAGAGGGCTTCCCTTTGAAAGGGAGGGACCATTAATCTAATGCACTTCTATATATTTTTTTGTTATTTATTATGCATTAGGTTTTACATTTTGCATGATTGTATGCAATGTTTTGCTACATTGTGAAGGTCTGATGTAATTTAGATCACTTCAAGACCCAAGGGCCTTACTTACTCAACACAGCTTTTCATTCACAAAGCTGTCCGATCAGTTTTTCAGATTGTCAAGACAAAACTTTTAAAATTAAATCTGTTATATAGAGCTGTACTAATCATTTTAACTGACGTGCCATTTGCCGTTTTTCCATTTACTGAGCGACTGTGCAAAATGCACAAGAAGACAAAGAAGAAAGAGTAGCTGTTGTGCGCAAAAGAAGTTGGAATGATAGCTTGATAAAGGAGAATCATACTTAGCAGATATCCCAGCAGGCCACAGTCACTTCATCAACAGCAGGATTAAGCAGGGGAGCGTGTCGATATGGAATATGACTGATGAATATCATTACATATTCCCATTCCTACACACGGCACCTTTTAAACCAGCACTAAGGCTACCACGAGAGCCAGCTACAACAGTCTAGACGCCCTCTGGCTAACTGCAGTAATCCATCATAGCTTGAATGTCTGAAACACAAACACTTTTTTTGCGTGACAGTCTAAGGGTCTTTTGCTTTTTACAGCCATCATTACAGATATTGCAAACTATTAGTCCCACATATCTTCTGAAATCAGGTCATATAAGGATTGCAGCCCATAACTTGTGACATGCTCAGGTTCTCTTGATACATTAGTGTTAATTCCACTTGGAATATATTAGTAATGTGACTCATTGTAATTCAATTGCATTAAGCATGGGCATTACTAATAGGTCAGTTCAGGATTGCTCTTTTTGCATGTGAATACGAATCAAAAATATTGGCACGATCACACAGTCAGAATTGATCATATCAAGTGAAAAGCTGCCTCGTGTGCAGCTGTTCCGCTATTGGATTTTGAATGAACTCCCCTTATTTGCCCCAGATTAGTCTCAGACTGCGTATCCTACTTGTGTTACATTGTATTGATCATACCATGTAATTTAGAGCCTCCTAAAATTAAGTCCCAAACTCAAAATCTGATTCAAAGTGAGTTAGAGTTAATATTGTAATGCAGATGCCCTCTAAAATTATCTGGTTTAAGTTTTAAAGTGGGAACTACAGACCCTTACCAGTGTTACATCTATCAGTCTATATGCAATTTCCAAGACTTTGCATGTGATGTAAGGATGATATTCAAAAGAATCTCTCATTTGTCTTGATTTATTCTTGCTTTTTTCTACTTTTCCTCCAGTCAGACCCTTGAAGTTCCCCACAGCTCATTCAAAATGCAAAAGGATTAAAAAAAACAAGACAACCAGAGAGTAGACACGGCAAATCTCTGCCGATGTTTTACATTCGGTTTCAGAGTTAAGTTCAAGTTCAAGCTTTCCTTACTGTTCAACTCTGCACTTGGCTCACTTCCCATACCACCCAAATCTTTTCTGAATAATGCTTTAAGACAGTTCGGAACTAATTGTGCATTCCCCAGGTTGTCTGGAACTGGTGCTCAGATTAATCCCAGGTCCAAAAGAGAAATCACTTTTGTTCGCTCATGTAGCATCCTATCAGATTGCCTGTGTAAATACATTTTTAATTAAAAAACAAACAGTATTTAACTTTCTAATGTTGTAATAATAGCTTGTGAGTTTAGATTTATAGTTTCTGTTCTTTTAATAACTTTTTTGCTTTTGTTGGAAATTGAAAATCCTTTTGAATTTGACAGACTGACTGGTCATAGGTTACCACAGCCACCTGCAAATTAATCTTGCACTGATAGCGGTAACAAGCAGATCAAATGTCAGCTGTTCTACAATGGATTTGATCCTTCTTATGTTGTCTTCGCAGGCATGAAGCCAGTGCATCTCCTCACTAAAGCCTTGGTGTAGGTGTTTATTGGAAACCAGCGTAGTGCTCCACTTTCACAACCATGTGTGGTTAATCCCATTGGCTCGGCATACTTTGTCAGTCCTGCTTCCATATCCCACTTCCTCCTGAAATGGTTGTAAATGCAGGTCAAACACTACTTTGCTTTAGTGCAAGGAATTATTGCTCTGCTAAATGACTGTAAAATGACATAATATTTATCTAACTGACTAGTAGGGGTGGGAATCACTTATTGCCCCCACGATACGACATCATCACGATACTTGGGCTACAATACGATATTATTGCAATTTTTAACATTTTGCAATACAGTGAGTATTGTGATACAGTGCATTGCGATTTATACATTTTTTTTCAACTTTTTAGCTAATTTAGCATTTGTCTTTCCTTCATGTTTGCCTTATTTACGCTGTATTTTATTTTCATGTAGCATATCTTGCAAACCTTATATATATATTTATTGCACTAACTTTCTCCTGCTCTATGATGTCATCTCTGCCAACCTCACTGGAAACAAATGCTAAATTAGCTAAACAGTTGAAAAAATTGTATAAATCGCAATGTATTGTATCGCAATACTCACTGTATTGCACAATGTTAAAAATCGCAATAATATCGTATCGTTGCCCAAGTATCGAGATATTATTGTATCGTGGGGCCACTGGAGATTCCCTCCCCTACTGGACAAACAGTTTATTTTATTTTTTCCAGTGTAATAGATTTGACTTTATATGAACAATTAATTTGAAAAATTGATACTTGGTAAATGAGACGATACGATTTATCCAGACAAAAATCACCAGACAAAATATCGCGATACTATGCTATGCTACTATACTATCGATTTTTTCTCTCACCCCTACTGACAAGTATAAAGCTTCTTAACAATGGCAAAAAACGCTCAAGAGCAACTGCATGTACATTAAATAAGTAAACTGATTCACTGTGTGTCATTTAGACTTTTGCAGTGCATTTATTGCAAATGCTCACTGTGCTGGATCAATGATTTCATGCAGCCCATTGTACCTGCCATGGTAACATTTCTGAAAAGGTCAATAACACCTCTCTGTTTTGACTTTTTGCTTTCAGTGAATCTCAGGTCATCTGTGCAACGTGTTTGTCGATTAGTTGTATGGTACTGAAGGGCCAAGGGGATCAGCCTGACACCACTGTAATAGCTGGAGCAAAGTGCCATCACATGACATTAATCCATCCAAGTCAGGAAGGCACTGCTGATCTTTTTTCTGACGTGTACTCTGGGCATCAGATAAATCTTAATGAAAATAAATATATCAGTTATGTATTGGAGATATTATTTTTGCTTCAAGTGGCCAGCACTACTGAGAACAGTCGGTGAAGTGATATTTCAGTAATATTCATGAATCCACTTCTGCATTTTGCCCTTTTTAGTATAAATCCTACTGTGAGGAGAGGGGTGAAACAACAGTCACACATCAGTTCTAGTTTGCCTGTTTGTCCAGTGACCGGCAGGCCCATGCAGCAGCCTCCCAACAGAGTCCACTGCTTCCTCGGTCCACTGGTACTCTGCAGTACAAGAGGTCACTGCTTGGACTCCATCCAGCTGTGTGGTGTTGGTTGGATCCGAGCAAAGTCTGCCCATGCAAGTAAGCTTTCATGCTGTAAAAACCAGCATTGTACCTGACCTTTCTTTGGGACTGTGAGCTCTTTTATAGAGAAACAGCCAAGGTCACACTCCTACAGTGCAGTGAAGTCTGGATCCTCATAATGTGTGACCCACTTTCCTCTTCTCTTACTCTCTACACCAGCTAAGAACCTCCTCCCTTATGAATTACACATGACAAGTGAACTGACACTATTGCATACATTTAACCACAACAAACTGTTTGCTGAGCTGCTTCCCCAGCGATCAGTTTACATAAAGTATGGTAGTTCTTCTATTCGCCACCATATGAAATTAAGAGGATATGATTCCAAAGTGAATTCCTACAGTCCAGCTTTTGGTTCACTAAGAATATTCAATATGCGTGATATCCCCCTGTCAGCATACATAATGTATTCACTCCCATAAAGAGAAAATAAATACATACACAGTAGCATGCACCAGTATATAAATTCTATAGTTGTGTGTAGCAGCTGCAGCTCATTTGTTTGTTTGCCTCAGGTTCAGCCATTAGCCTCTTTTTCAGGCTCAGTAGATTATTACGAGCTTATATGAACTCTTGGTTATCTTGTTAGTCATGTGGAAGGCATACATGGTATGTTAGCTGTATAATGAATAAACCGTCAGTTTTAAAATGAGGGGAACAATATTACACTATGATTACAGTTAAATAAAGCAATGTTTTTGCAGCAGTTTTTGTATCTTCATACATTTTGTGCCAAATTCAGATGCTAGTTAGAGTTCTGTAATGAAAACAGAGCAACAATTACTGCGTACTCTTCCTTTAAAATCAATCCCCTTTGTTTTTATAGACTGGAAACCTGTGGTATCTGTAAATCACAACACTCTAGCATTACTCTGAAAGTAAGAAATGCAAGACATGTTCAGTATACTGCATGTTAATGTAATTACGTTTTTTCCAGAAAGCACAACGTCTGCAACATCTGATCCACTGCCTCTAGAGTTGTCAGATCACGCAACCATTATCCATATCACTAAAATGTGCTGATAAGTAATAAGTCAAGACCACATTTCAAACTCATGCATCTGTAGCATAAATTGCATGTTCCTGAGTTTCTCAAAACGGCTCCACAGTTTTAATGTAAACTAGAAAGCTGGATGTTAACTTGTGTTTTAAACTGGGGCAGCAGTGTTTAGAAACATCTGTCAGGGTTAAATTAAGTTTATGGAGGAGTCAAACAGAGGTTAGAGCTAAGGCGACTTACAAAAAAAAAATGCTGCTCTGTGCAAAATGAAGTCAGACACTGTTAGTGTGTTGTGTTGCACCTCTCCTGCTTCTCATCAAAAATGTATTCCTTTTATGCGTAGCAAATTTTTAAAAAGGGTAAACACTTAGATCCACCTTAGTGTAACAGACTCAAGTCACGCTATGAAGAGGAAAGTGGTTTTTTTTCAGTTTAGTGCCTTCACAGCAACACTGTGCAGCATGGTGTGGAGGTAGAGGGTTAAGTCATTTAAAAGCAATCTGACATATATTGTAATTGCACACACTTTGTTGTTTAAATTACTTAAGTCGTATTTAACAATTATTACAACTTCGCAACCTTGACACTTGAACAAAGACAAGAGCTGAACACTCTCAATTGGCTGTTATAGCTGTGTTCAATTTCTTAGACGTCAAAAGAAGTAGAATGAATACCAGTGGCGATTGCTCTAAGACTGCAAGGGAAGCTCGGCTTCCCTTAAAATGTCACCCCCCCCAAAAAAAAGAAAAAGTGGTGAAATACGTACGGCTGTGTGTACATTTCATTAACTAAATACGCACTAGAAAGCCTTCATCTTTTGTTCAGACACTGTGATAAGAAGCTGATAATCACAGGTAACCGGCATAACTTCGTTCTCATTCATCCTCGCAGCGCCTCAGCGCTTCAAACAGTCGGACGCTGGGCTTCTGCTGACTTCAATGTGGAAGCTAAAAGTGGGTTGTTCCAGCAGCGAAACTAGACGCTCATTGGATAAATGCTGGGCTTTGTCCCGCCCAATGGAAGCTAAGCTTCACTGGAGTTCTATGGCGAGAGGGCGGTCCCGACTTTCTCCCGGACTCCAAGCTTCTGCATTCATGATTGGATGAGCTGTCTGAGGCGAAATCCTTTTTTGATTGACAGCTAAACAAGCGAATCAGCGATCTTGAAGAATAAAACATCTACCAGAGTATTTTCCAAGTCATTCATTCCGTTGTTCTTAACTGCTCCGGAGACTTTACCGATCCTCAGCGACTTCTGTCTTTGTTAAAAACGACTGCCGTTGTGTTTGGCGACTCTGTTCTGTTACATACTAATAAAAAAATACAATTATGATGTAGGCCAGAAAAATGAGCTTCCCCTCATTGAAAGACCAGCAGCCGCCACTGATGAATACACATCCTGAGTATATCGTCATAATTCAAGAGCTGTATTGCACTTTTGCGACAGTCCCTAACTCCCCCTGTCTGCCAGGTTCACTAGACATTCTTTCACCTCATTTCACTCTCAGCTACACCCTCCTCTCTGGTGATTTAAAGTTTATAAAAACTGTGAAACATTTACTGAATGTTCTTTCTGACATATCCCCAAACTAGGATAAGTCAAGACTGTGATACAGAGCTATTTAAGTTGACAGCAGCACAAACGGCAAACTTCAAAAAGCCTGTTAAGATGACATAGCCCCAGCAGCTGATTGTGGCTCTATCAGGGGGGAAAAACAATCCTCAGTGACAGTGAAAAAGATGCAGGGAGACAGTGACAATTTGTACCCATGGCGCACTTATTGTTAAGTGACAAAACTAACCCTGTCCTCAGCTAACTTAGCCTCTTACTGACAAACAGATACATAGTGGAGGAAATTATCATAGATTTGATACCCAATAGACCCCTATTAACATCTTCTCCTGTTTACAAAAACAAAACACATGATCATCAGGGTATTTATTGCTAGTGATCAGGGATGCATTAACACAGTAGTTGAACATCGATATCTGCAAATATTGGCCCTGTTATTAGACATTGACACCTCAGCAAATAATGGGCAATGCACCAATGTCAATGGCCAATGTTGATCATAAAGCATCTATCTTTATCCTCATCGCAACAAGATTAATCTGAAAAGCCCAAGTGCCGATTCAGAGAAGATTTTTATCAGGCAGAAAGAGAAGGCAGAAGAGTACTACAGAGTCTCTTAGAAATATCAGTGGCATGCAGTTTGTAGGACATGTTCCAGAGACTTTTCAAAAGGAATTTTAAAGGAGGGATTATCAATTATTTAATTACATCAAACGCTTATAGCTAACTCAAAGACCAGACAAAGAAAAATGTCAAATCTGCTATAGGCTCAATAGTCTAAACCTTGTTCGGCTTGTCTGTTATCTTTATCCAAAGACAAATATCAGCCCAAAATTTGTCTGTCCTTTTGTAAAACCTGCTGGAGTTGTCTGTGTCTTGCTTCTCATCAAATTTTTGCAGGCTGCATATCTCTTACATCTTGTCTGAATACATGTGGCAACTCTTTGAATAATGGATATCGGTGTTTTTCCTGCCTCAGCGACAGTGCAGAAGCCTGTTCCTCTAAAAACGTCTCTGAGTGGCAGGCCGAACCTCCTGGGAAAGTAGAGTGGAGGAGCACAGTGAATGGAGTTCTTTCTGTAATAGTTTTGTACGACTGTCCTTCCCTAAGGTGAACCCTGGCTAGCATATAGACAGTGATAGTACTGGAAAAAGTACTACATGAGTACCATTTGAGCGGGTGTTGTGTCTTTAACTGCAGGAATTAGGGCAAGAAAGAATTGTTGCCCTCTGAGAGGCTTAGCAGATCACTATATTGACTCATATCTGTTCACAACACAAGTGCAGTTTTGCCTCGAAGGTTTTGGTCAGTTTTCTCAGTGTTTTTTCTTGAGCACCATCAAAGTTGGCGGTGGTTCTGTTCCTCTTTGTAGACGTGGCGGTCCTCAAAGGTACTGGAGGATTTCAGAGTGCTCCTTTTTTTGCTTACATTCTAATGTCTCACTGTTTACTGCAGCGTCTTTGTTGGGAGGAGGATTAATGAAAGGGTTGTTCCTGTTGGCATGCCTAGTCTTTAATCTAACAGTGGGTTGCTATACACTGTGTTGGGGGTGACCAACTGTCATTGTAGTATAAAGATTAAAGACTGGTGGTTGAAAAGGTCACCAAAACAATAAAATTGAAACATGGATTTTGTTTGACTCTTTGAGTTGGTATTTTACATTGTTACGAATAAGATTGTAATCCTAATTATCAGGTATTTTGGTTGTATAAACATTCAAATCTGGCCATGACATGACATTAAATTATCCAAGTTTGCTAACCCTCAGCCTTGAATGTTCTGCCCAGTTCATATAAGGTCTCCTGGTCCTAAACTTGAGAGAGTAGGGACCTTAAAGTCTAGGTGTTTTCATTGTAGATCTTTGACCAAGTCACATAATTACTGAAGCAAGCCATTCTTTCTTCTTATAAGAGACGCTAACCTGGAATTTGTCAACCTGTGTGTCTAAATAAAAGACTTTGAAAAGTCCTTTGAATCAGTCCATCTCCTAATCCAAAACAAAGAGGTTAATAAGAAAGAAATAAAGGCAAAAAACCCCAGATTGTTTTTGTAACCAAATACAGTTATATAAAGGTAACATCGTAATGGTAACAAAAGCTAAAAGCTGGATACAGAAACATAGTCTTAATTAGTCTTTGTGCTCGAGTCGCCTCAGGTCTGTTTTGAGGTTGTTTCTAGCTATTAATGTAGTGCCACTTTGTGTTAACTCACTACACCACCAGGGGTTATAGGGATTTTGGAGTTGAGTGTTACTAAAGGTAGAAAATGAACAGTAGCCAGGCAGCAAGCTCAAATACCAGACTGACTATCCATGTTAATATCCTCTGACCTGTGTGGTGACCATTGGTCTGGTGAATTTCTTATTGAGAATTATTATGGTATTTTTGTCTCATACGGCTTCTATTTATTCCTTTTCTAACCCTAAGATTAGATAATTAAATATTTGATGAAGTCTGTGTGAACCATGTCAGTTTACGATGCTCATTTTGTCTTTTAATAAACTGGGATCTATCTAAATCTAGATAAAAGTCTGAAATATGGAAAACCTGAACATAGAGAAGATACTTAAGGCTCCCTATAAAATCTTTTGTGGTTATCATGTGGTTTTCATTTTGGAACTTCAGTGACGTGTGAGAAAAGGTCAAATTAACTGGCTCCATTCAATTAACAACCACTTGATTACAAAGTTCCCTCCAGCACTCTTACATTGATTGTACTCCGTCTGTTTAATTGTACTTCAGATTTACGGTCATGTCTGTGGGAGTCTGTCCCTCAACCACGTGGTATCTCCAGGACAGACACGAAATCATTACTTTTTCTCACACAGTCATTTTGCGTAGGTTTTGCATTCTTTGCTGTTTTCAGATAATTACTTATTGAAGTACAGCGACTTGAACATGAACTGCTATTTAAATTATTCATGGTGTAATTGGGGCCAAGCCATTATCTTTAGTGTTAAGCAACATTTACATCACATGTATATAGCTTTGTTCAGTTCAGATCATAAACATTATCTCCAGGGAGAAAAACAACATCATCAACAACTGTGTAGGACCAGACAAAGAGTATTTTTATATTATTGTTTATGTTTGTTTGTATTATCATTTGAACATGACCAAATGTGAGTTTTTCACAAGGTTTCAAGTAAAATTGGTGCTCCCAAATTCCAAAAGATAAGAGTCTAAACAAAAATTAAGGAGCAAAATATATTAATAGGTCACAAATTACAGAATTACATTCAGCTGAAATAGATGCAATTTCTAGCCCTGATTATATCAAAATAAAGACCAAATTTAATGCTTTCACAGACGTAGACTGTTTTTTTTTTTCTGTTCAAAGATCTGCCCGATTTTTGCCCTTAATGGAGCATAAATCTGTGGTGTACAGCTCATGTTAAACACAAACTGTTCCCTTTGCAAACCCCACACCCCAAAGCCTATTTATGCATGACATTGTTGACTCATATATGACAAACCTCCAAACCTCCTATGGCAAAGTTTTTAATGAAAAAGTGAAGTCAAATGACATCTTAAATTCGCTCTCTTGTTAACCTGAATCACATTACTGTATATCATATAGCTCTGGAATGCAGTTGCAGAGTGCTGTATATACTTACATTTGAGCTCTCACTTACATCATAATTAAATTATGGGTCTATTTTGGTCAGAAAAGCTCAACTCGCAGCACTGCCGAGATTTTTCTCTCTGCTTTTGTTCAGATATTGTGTCCATTAGGAAAGGTGTGTGTGAACACACTGTGTCCCTGAGAATCGAGGATGAAGTGACTACTCTGCGATTCAAGTGACTGACCTTGATGTGATCTGATAATGTCATACAGAACCAGAGGAAGGGGCATTGCAGTCTTTCTTGCTTTGTGCTCTAATGCAAAGGTTATGGGGTATTTCAGCATCCTGGTGCATCATCATGAAACAATGTGGCAGGATCAGATGGATTCAGTTTCACTTGCTAAGGATATCAGATAGATCTCTGCTGTAAATGTGCAAGGCTATCGATATCATCCCCAGTACAGTGAAAAATGGAGAGCTTTATTTGTGATGCTTAAAACGCCGATACTCAAAACTGCACTATTAGAATGCGCCAGTTCAAAAGGATAATCCGCAGGCCTCACTGTGAACAGTTTTCACATTGAAAACACCTGCCTCTGAGATTAGTCAAATCCGGTACGGTAACAAACCAATAATATGAAGCACTTTAAATCCATCCCCACCTCTGCCTAACCTCTTATTTATGCTAAGGTACCGAGGGATTTATAAAAGCCCTGTCAGAAGTCACTGAGGATTATACAGCTATGTGGGTCGGCATTATTTTTTGTATTCTGTATTATATTGAATTATTCCAAAATGCACAAACTGCCTCAGTCTTCTCTCAGTGGCAGTATTTTTGTTCGGGGTGAAGTCTGAGTCGTCAGCTCAATGACACCTTGTCAGTGGAGTGCCTCAGAGCTGGTTTTGTACCTTACAGAGTTTGTTTTTGGAGACTGACAGGATGCCTGTGAGCTATTCCACTAAGACATACCCTGACCTGACCTGGTGCCCACTCTGCTCCAGCCACCCTCCTACACATGACAGCTGCGGTAGACGCTGAAGCCCAGAGTTCACCTTTGCACTAACAGGTTCAGATGTTAGCATGTCTGCTGACATTTACTTGGCTTTCACTAGAAAGTAAAACAATTCCATATGGCACAATGAGGCCACCAGACCAACACACTGAGACCTCTGGCCCTAAGTCTGGTGGGCACTACACCGGGTGATTCACTGGTGAGAGTGGAAGTCCCTCCAGTCACACAACTAATGGTTTTAAAAGTAAGCCTTTTGGAAATGGAGAGATCTGACTCATTAAGGTCTCAAACCTTGGCATGCTTCTTGACTGTTATCCAAGTAGACAGTTTACATCTTGTAGAGACAGCTCTAAATGTCACATAGTGATTATGTCACTGTTATAGACTCTGCCATGCTTTTATTGACATTTAAATATACAATGCTCATGAAAAGGTTGTGCACAGCAGAGGGTTCAAAGGTGAACATATTGGACTCTCCATGTTAGTAAAATGTCAGTTTGATCAGGGAGCATTTATTTATTCAGCTTTGTAGAATATTTGAGAGAAAATCTCAAGATGAAGAGAAGATATGAAATCATCAAATCGAATGTGCTGCTAAAGCTGAGCGAGTAAATCAAAACAGTTTTCGCATTTGTTTTAATCTCTTCAGTTCAGCAGATGGATGGGGTTATCCAAAGGGCAGGGGAGGAGGTGCGCCTTTTAGGAAAGCGTTAACTGTAGGGAGCTCCCAATCCCAATTCCAATCCCAATCTTGACGTTGGATGTGAGCCAATCTGGGCATTTTTTAACAGATTGGCCATTGGTAATTTGAGCCTATTATATCACCCCAATTACCCAAATTAGCTGCTGTAAACTGAACAACTTTGCATCAGGAGTGCCATGGCTAAATGTCAGCAGTTTGCTAATTGCACTACACTGTAGAGCCATAGAGGAAAAAGCTGTTACGCTAACGCAGCAAACTCTGGACATCAAAAGAAAGGGTAAATGTCTTCAAGCAAGTGAAAAGGCCAAAAAGATAACAGAGAATATACTTGAATTCATGCCTTGGACAAAAGCAGCTCAAAAACAGCATGTCCTCACGTCTCAACTCAACATTTCAGACACTGCCTGAACTGAACTGAACCCTCTCCTGTGACCAGAGAGTTTATGATGACGTAGGAGGTGATTCAAAACATCATGTCCCTAGTGTCAGTTTTACGTCAGACATTTGGAGCTTTGACGCTCATCACATGTCACTGCACACAGGATTGATTTCTCCACTAAAGAGACTATGCATACATTATGGCATGCACACCAGTTCTGTGGGTCTCATATGCATGTTAAACAGGCCATTAAGGAGACACCTAACCTGTGGGAAATGAACAAATGACAAATACATGTCGTTTTGCCAACACGAGGAACATGAAAAAGGCAAAGGATGATATGGAGTATGTGGGCTGCAGTATAAACAAATGTCTGTAGTTCTGTTGTCTGAGCAGACAGAAGTATCAGTTCAGGACATATTGTCAGCAGATAATTTTAAAATATTTAAATCAGGATCAGGGGCCAGAAAAGCGAACATCCCTAACTGACAGAGTTGTAGTTTACACACATGCAAATCAAACCAACCGACAAGGGCAGACTCAAAATGAAACAATGAACAAACTGTTGCTTTGTTCACTTTTGTACACTTAAGCCTGAAGGCCAACAACAGTTATTTTTCTATATTTTCCACTTTTGCTACCATTATGTTTAAATTATCAAATTTAACTGTAACACTAAACTGCTGTTCTGTAAAGTTATAAGGGATAACTTTGGCTATGATTTGGCCTTAACTTACAAAAATGTATTGATTGATTACTTTATTTTGACTTTTCATCTGGTTCCCCGATTTTATTTGTCCTAATGTCTGTCCTTCTTCCATTGCAAACCGAGAAAACATTCACTCTGAAGATCTAAACGCAGTCTCTCAACCCAAAATGTGATTGAGGTTTGATTGATCTCTTTTGATCGAATAGCTGTCTCGCTGTTTTTACTGTTTGGTCTTTTGTGGGTCTTCAAATGTGTTGCATGACATGAATTTGTGGGATTCTTGGAAGATGCCTTGTTTGCACACCACAAGCCAAGCTCTGCCTGCAGGCAGGATGAATCTATTTGTGGCTCACATCCTCTGTGCCTTCATGTTTCATGCTCGACTGTTTAAGTGTCTAAACATATTAATAGTAATACTCATTTTCCTGACTGTGGATCTCTATCACGCAGTTACAAAGTCTAAACTTTGACAGCTTGAACTTTCAAATGTTTGTCTTCAAAGTCTCTCTCCATGAAAGAGTGAAGTAAACAAGTGAGAGGTCAGAGGCACTGACATTTCCCTTTTTAAAGTTGCCAGCTGAGGCATCCTAGCAGAAAAATTGATCCAAAGTGCTGCACATTCTACATGGCTGACATGACTCAGACAGACCCAGACAGATTTTATGGACGAGAAGGAAGAGGTTTTTGTGTGTTTGTGTTTACTGGTGGAGGTCAGAGGTTCATACAATCTTTATTAGAGATGCTGGTGTTTCCTACTGGGCATCTACTGACCATTTTGGAGGACATGGTTGTGTATAACGCTCATGTCCTTTATACATTATCCATATTAGGGACTAATATGTGCCTCAGAAGGCATGGAGCTTCATCAATTAACTACTGGGTATAAAATGTGCGGTGTATACAGATTGCCTTACTTGGCTTTAATGTCATGGTCAAGGTTATATCCATGTCTGATGTGCTGCAGCCATTACTCTCACAGTTTCATCTGATGCCTATTAGAAAGTATCCATAATTGCTTCCATGGTGGCCTATAAATTCGGTGGTGGAAACGTGACTGTGTTCATCTATTAGCTCATTAGCTCTTCAAAATGACACATTTATGGCTTTCCCCATAGAAGTTTGACATGCCGGATTGCATGCCACAGGGTTTTTATGACGCTGTACAACTTGTTTTGTTCTTTAATCCACTTCCTTTGTTCTTCGAGGAACAAAGAGAAACCGCCTCAGCACTTAAAATTAAATTCATGTATGTTTCATAGTGAAGAAGATGCAGCTTACCGTCTGTAGCAGCATCACACAGTGTGTCAGTGAGAATCTTGATTATAATATTTATTAAAGTTCCACTCTTAAGATGTGATGAAGAATACAGACGAGTATTATTATTAAATATAACAGAAAAACAACGGTTTGTCAGTTTGGTGCTGCTTTTCTCTTGTTCCCTGGTTTTGTTAGACTCTGAGGGGCAATAGGTGGATTTGTGTTGATGACCATTTGGTACCTCCTGGGAGAGGCATTAATTGCTCGAATTAAAAGTATGAAATATGCATAGATGTTTTCCTATTTGTATTGCATGGTGGATATTTGTTTGAGCAGAGTGTAACTGAAATTGTTCTGAGAGCTTTTTATAAGTGCTCTGCCTTATAACAGAAGTAACAGGAGTAATAGCCAAATCTAGGTGGATTAATACCATAATACGTCATCACTCTCCATATAATCGTTTCGTAGAATGTAGTTTGTGGTTCAGAAATATGGCTTTAAACTGACCTTTGCTACCATTCACCGTAACAGAGCACATTTTTTTAGGCTTTATGCATGTGCACTGTGTTTGTATTGTGATGCCAAGTTTTGGATTTCTTTCCTTTTCATCCACTCTGCATCAATTGTTCATGCATCATCCCAGTTGTACTCCAAATATTTTCCATTTGCGACCGGATCCTCATTGTGTCCTCTTTTGTGAGATTTTTCCCACAGGACACTGTCTGGACGATTTCCACTAATGAAACTGTTCCAGTGGCTGTCCTCTGTTTTCCTACCGCTCTGTGAATGGGATTGGGTTTGACTCTCTGCGCTGATCAATATACATTTACATCCAAAGGGGACTTTTAGGTACAATGTGAGTACAGCTCCCCTGTCCTCTGAAACCTTTTATTCCAGACGCTTGTGTTGCTCCCTTGTGTCGTGAGGAGTGTAAGCTGCTGAGCGCTGTGAGACACAACACAACGCGATCCATGCCCATTGATGGATTAGCTTACATCAAAGGGTCCTGGAATCTGCAGCTTGGCCTTTATTCTAAATCGCCCAGCACTGAGAACAGGGACTCCGAATCAGAGCTCCCCTTGAGATGGTCACTGACAGTTCAACTGATATAATCAGTTACACACTTTATAAGCATGATCTTAACAACTCAGTGGCCACAAATGGCACTCACTATAATCAGCTCATTTATGGCGACGGTCTGTTGACAGCATTTACTCTAAAACAATTTATTTTTAGCCTTGATGACAATTTAGTTTCTCAGTATTATACATGTCTGTAAAGGTGTAAAGAAGTGAGATTTACTCAGCTTCTTAACAAGTTGCTTGTTGAATGGGGGTGTCCTAATTAGTGCCCGACTGATTTATCGGCAAACTGATTAAATCAGCCCATTTTAGACTAATCGGTAATCATCCAAAACTCACCGATTTTTGCTGATATTTTCAAAAATAAAATGCGGAGAATAAGATTTGGTTTCACTTCGAAAATTTTCACCATTTGAAAAGTTCCCTGACTTTTTCTATAGATGGTGCAGCGACCTCATGACAATCTTCATCCACTAACTACCTCACAGCACAGCAGAATGACGGATCTGAAGCAGGCAGCTCAGGGACGCACGGAGGAGAGTGGTCCACCTCAACAGTAAATAAACCAGTTTGTGAAATACACAAAGAGTCAACAAGTTTCAGTTCAACCCACTTCACAATGTTCCCTGCTGTGCTGGTCTCGGTCACGCCGAGTCAATTGTGAAGCACCATGTAATATGCAAGCTAAAGTTAGTTAGCCATCTGCATTTAGCCTTGCTACACTGTTAGCCGTGCCAGTAACGTAGAGTAAACAACAGTACACATTAGTGATCGAGCTACTTCTCTTACTGAGGCAGCTGCATGTCTCCAGATGAGACCGGACCGGAAATGTGTAACGTGAGTTAAGACGTGGAGAACCGATCGGTGGCGGGGGGAGTTAAAAACACTTTTCTGGTCCAAGTTTGATCAGTCGGTCTTCCTGTTGGCATGAAGAGCAGTAGCCTACAGTATACTGTAGATATCTACAGTATATATATTTTTTTAATAATTTAATAAAAACTTTAAAAAATCAGCCGATTAATTGGTATTTAGACCCCCCCCCCCCCAATAATCGGTATCAACATCATACCCAAAAAATCCATATTGGTCGGGCCCTAGTCCTAAAACAATATTAATATCTGATATTGTTTCGATATCAGCAAAAAATCGAATATCAGATCATATCGGACCAATATCGGCCTGCATCTAAAATCTCCGATATCAGCACTCCGGTATAAGCAGTCTATTACAGACTCTGCTCCAGCACCTCTATCTAGCAGCATGTAGAGGCAACTTAATCACAACATTGCAGCTGAGTGCAAAATTTATCATGCGCAAGTTTATGCTAATATCGGATCAATATCGGTATCGGACAATATTGAAGGCTACAATATTGGTATCAGAGATAAAAAAAGTTGTATCAGGACACCCCTATTGTTAACATCAACAATGTTTTTGTAATTGAAGCATTTCCCTCTTTCTTATCTATCCTCTCTTGTAGCAGCCGAGGTTATCCTTATTTGTCATTCAAACATCTCAAAAAAAGGAGTTCTTGCCAAAAACATTCATTGCTGATTTTTATGACGATGCAAACTCAAACGACCTGCCTAGATTTACAACAATGTGTTTGATTTGAATCTGAGAAAATTATCTTTGCTTGTTTTCCTGTGGTGAAGACAGCTACTCATCCATATTCATAAAACCTCAAGTGGGAAAGTTGCGCCAGTCCTAGTTAGACCTACCGAGTTATTTTGGGCTTGTTTTTCTCATTTTTGTGAGAAATAACAAAAACAAATGATTAGCCAGCCTCTGCACCAATCAGTTGATTGCCTAAAATTAAAAAGAAAGACAGCTGGATAGAAGACAAATAAAAAGAACCTTTTTTTATTGAAAACAAGGCTGCAGATTTACTATATTGTTCCCAAATCAGGGATATATCAGTGATTATTTTTTCTTTAGTAGGGTGTTAAAAAACAAACCACAAACACACATGAGAGAAAAACATGAAGCTGTTTGAGCTGAAGCTATCAGTCAAAGCGAACCCTTGTTAGATACTTGTGCACAACCGTAACAGTGGTGTCCCTGTCAGACTAATAAGCTCTGCCAACTTCTGTTTTATACCAACGGTCTACCTGTTTGTACAAAGGGAACATTTGGAAGAGGATGTGAGTGTTGTGATGATAACCATGATAGGGAAGCAACAAAAAAGTGCTCATTGTGCATTTTGGTGAGAAATGACGGGAAGTTGGTTGACGGTTATTGTATCTGCCCAGCCAACAGGATGGACAAGGCAAATAAAAACGTCCCTTATCAACCCTCCTGTGGTCAGAGTTGGTAGGTGACTTCTGTTTGGGTTTATTTGGATGTATTTGACATCAACACACGATAAGAAAAACTGTGGTTTTAATTTAAAATTATTTAGACTCACACAGAATATAACAAATGTAGTGAAACTTATCCTTGCGATACGTTATTACATTTTATCTTTATTTGACAGAGTAGATGTACAAAACTGGAAAATATGCCAATTGTAAAGATTATTAGGGGGCAGAGGGGTGCCGTAATTACAGAGGACCAAGAGAATGGCAGGAAATGTGGAGAGAGAGTGGGGGATGACATGCACTTAATCACATCAGGGCCAAGAATTGATCCCACGACCAGAATGATGTGGATTGTAGCCTGCTTTACCAACGGAGCTTAAGCGGTTCCCCACAGAATGCTGTTTTGAACGTTCGCCTGGCCCAGCTCTTCATTTACAGCTGATTCTAATGTGAGAAGGATCATGCATCCAATGCATGACCGAGTAAACAACTGACTAAACCTCCAGGCTCATTTAGATCTTTCCACATATAATCACACTTCTAAAGGCAGCCGAGACAAACCGAGGGCCACAGCTGAGTTTGCATTCCAACAGTGCTGCCTGCAAGCTGATTGTAAGATTACATGCAAAGTAATTCTTTCTGATAAATCTCTCTTCGGCTTTTGGAAATACTTCAACTGCAGCTATTACATGTGTGTAAAATGTTTTTTGTTGTTCATGGGTTTGTCATAAGCCACTGTCTGGTATCATCAGTATTTTCAATGTCTTTTATTTTCCTTTGCCTGTGTGTAAAAGACTGATCTTTAAGAAGCTGACTTGTTTTGGACATATTTCCATTGAGAACCCTATGTGAGAGGACTCTTAAACCTGTTTTTCAATGGTTATGATAAAATATCCTAAGTGGAAATAGTTCAGGCTTTCATATTTCAGTCAAAATCTTGATCTTGATTTCAGACTCCTGACTTGTTTTCTTTTCCCCAGTTTCATTCCTCTTCTTATTCGCCGGTCCTTACAGTAAAAGCCACCACTCTCTATCTTGGACTTTAAAAAGTTCCCTCACCACCTACTTGTTACTTCCCCCCTCACCTTATCATAGCCGTCATTTCACCCATGTGGGTATTCACCAAATCACTGTGTGCCATTATATTTCTAAATGCACTATCATAAGAAAAAGATTCATGACAAAATACGACAGCATAATTCCCATTTTCATACATCATCAAGAAAATGTGGGCATCCAACTGTGGTCCAAAGTGGAAGGAAGAATAAGTGACAAGAAATAAGGAATGACTTTAGATGGAGAGAGATAAAAATAAGAATTAAAAGAAGAGAAAAACAGGAGTTCTGACTGAAGAAGGAGATTGTTGTGTGGTGAGGTGTGAACATTAAAAAGGGGCAGCCTGCCATCACAACAGGCGAGACTGAGAGGTCAAGATTTCAATTTAGAAAACCATCCATGGGCCACTGAAGCTTGAAATCCCTCTGAGAAGGCCAGATGAGTATTCATTCACAGCTTGTCTTCTCCACAATGAACTGACCTGAGAAGAAAAAGATCAACGACATTTCATGTGACTAAAAATAGATAATCTGATGTAGTCTGGTCTTTAACATAAGCGGCTATGATGACCATGGCGGAGAATCGTATTAGTCGATAATCTTTCAGTTTATTGTCTCCATGATATAGTAATGCGGGCTCCCAAAACGAAGCACTTTTATTAGTTAGTATATCAGTGACATGGGAGGACTCATTTATATCATCAATTAAATTAAATTGCACCTAAAGCCAAAGTACATATGATATCAATTGTATAGCTGTATACTGTAGGGAGGGGGTTTATAACGCATGAATTTAATCGCTGAATTTTTTATTCCTGAGTGCTTCTGCTTGACTTAATACGGTTTATGCATTTTGCATTATTAAAGTTTGGATGATATTTTTACTACATGGCCATTCAGTTCGTCTAAATGTGGCCCGTGAAAAAAACCTTGTTCAGCTTTTCCCCATCGGGGCTCACGTTCAAGGAAATCTGGATGGTGAGAAAGCAGCTTTATGGTGTCTGATTGAGACTGTACTATTGAAATTCAACATAGTGATCCCACAACTAACATGAATGGTTTAAAAGTTAATGTTTGGATGATATTCAGGACAAAGAGCATAAATATTTTAGAGCTGACAGCGCACTCACATCTGTTGATGCAGAACCATGGCAGTATTTACTAATTCAAGTTTTGATTCATATGAGACATTAACAAGGCTGACACATACGGCATTGATTGAAAAATGTGTCTGAGGGGGTTAACTGATTTGACAGATGTCAGCCTCCACAGAGGACCCAAATATTGACCAAGAAACCCATGCTAACGATTGATTTTGCATATTTAATCACTGTGTCGGCTCTATTGGCATTTTGAGTCTTGAGAAAAAAAGAGATATTTTTTCCTAGTTTATGGTTGTTAAATAAATAAAACTTCTGGAGGTTTAAAAGTTACTGAGCAAAAAGCAGATCAAGAATCCCAACCGTCAGTGGAAATGGAAAATACTGAAAGTGAGACCTCTCTGGGATGTCGGGCAGGATTTCAGCTTCATTATGGATCCTCATGCAATTCTTATGATGTCAGAGCTTGCTTGGCTTGCTGCGGTTAGCATCCATTAATGGGTGCAGTGGCTGTAAGGTGGATGCCCTTGCCATGGCAGAGGAGACGCACATCTGCAGTATATCTGAGGGCTCAGAGCAGGAAACAAATCGAGTTGGACAGGAGACGTTGTCGTCAGGTCTGTTGGGGTGTGTGCGCTTGTCAAAGGAGGCATGTGTGATCACTAAGCGCAATCTGAATGCTTGAAGTACATCAGCCAAGTGTTACTCTCCAGATCTGTGAGAAGTAGATCTCCCAGAGGATAGCTGGCAAAGACACAAGCTCTGACTAGATAACAAGGAGAGGTGTTCTTGTCAGACATATCAGATAGATCTCACTTAGCCCTATTGTTCAATGTGTAGTTTAGTTTGTTTACATACATGGTTAAGTAAAACTGCAGTTAAAGTTTGATGAGGCAATTTCACTGGATCGTACAAGCACAGGTGAGAACTGATTTATTGACGAAGGTACCGTCTGTCCATCACTGGTACACGCGATCGACTAGTGTCTTTTGATACGCGCTCCAGATGAGTAGCAAAAACAAAATCAGCCTACGATGCTCCATGACAGGCAAAGACAGCAGAGCGCAGTTTGTATTCCCGCATAAACTTATGACCAATAACTGAACAATATTCGCGGTCACGTGACCTCCGGTTCCGTTTTGTTGAGTGACTGAGTTTGTCCTTTGTGAACGCCAACCGGACCAGTTAAACAATCAAAACAAATATATCGTCTTGCTTTGGATTCGATTCCAGAAACGGACCTTTAGGTGTGAACACGACCTCAGTCAGCTTTTAGGATTTATCCTTAAATTTGAAAAAAAAAATTTGATGTAAAAATTGTAAAACAAAAATTGCAATACTTATGTGAATCATTTTTTTTCTCCCACCCTTATTTCTCATGATGTTAAAATTGCATGAATTATCATGTGACAGAGATGCCTATCTTAATAAAAACTTGCTGTAGGGGTTTTATCTGGGTTTCTGCTACACATTGTTTATCCACTGTATATCCGTACACTCTGCCACTTAAATGCCTCCTCTATGTTTTTCCCATCAAAACTTTCAGAAGAAAAACATCCAGAGGCTATTTTCCTTCCTGATTGCACCAATACACTTGTATTTCACACCATGTGCAATGACCTCATTCTGGGGCCCCATGATCTTACGTTGCATGATTGACAGCTGCCCTTGACTCTTTCATTGCATCTCACAAGAAGATCAGTGGTTGCTGTGGTCTTGTGAGGGCAGAGCTGCTGCGCTGGTGATATAGCCGGAGACGGTGTGAGCAGGCAGTCGTGTCTTATGGGATCACGGCACACTCACAGAAGGGTAATTACCCCAGAAAGTGGGGTGAGGGGCAGATGAAATGATTTCAGCACCTCTGAATTAAACATGGTCCGAGGGATACGCACAATCCACAGGCTGCTTCTCTCCAAGCCCAGAACCATTCATAGTCTTTCACAACAGGAATACACACAGTCTGTTTTGGTGTGAATTGTATTGAATTTAAAAGGGAGGTCCTTTTATTTATTTTCAGCGCCACTGAATTAAACATGCTCCAAGGAATAGGAACAATCTACAGGCTGCCCCACTGCAAAAACACACTGCCATCCAGAGGGGATTTAATACACACATACAATTTCCATGCGTGTAATTTAACTGAAATTTAAAGGAGATGATTCTCTATTTGATCTCTGCTCTGCTGAATTAAACATGCTCCAAAGAACAGGGACAATTCAGAAGCTACACAGGGTGCTTTAGCAATCAGAGGTTACGCATATTAATAAATGTAAATCGTGTTGCATTTATGGTGAACGGCTCTATGGAGATAATAGCGACCCTGGTCCAAATCTGCTCTGTGTTTTTAGCTAACGTGTACAATCCCCGATGAGATTTACGTTTAGCGTCACAGACAAAAGGTTTGTTTCTGTGCCTCCTGTGTGCCCTCTTAATCCTCTTTCGAGTTTCACTCCTGCATCCTTTTTTTAATCCCAACTCTTGGCTGGTTTCCCTTAGTGTCATGAAGCTCTCTTTATATTGCTGCACGCGAGAAAAAGAAGCAGTTTTTGTAAATCTCTTTTTGAAAACAGTCTTTATTTTTCATATCTTTATCTTTCACTGAATCCTGATTCTCTAATCCGGTTTCTGAGTCGCTGTTTACTCTCAGTAAACCTTCAAAACATGTTTGTGTCTTTGTCTGCTGTGAAGCTGGTCTTTGTGTCTATCAGCAGGGAGATATTTGCTCATTGAAGAGTGGGAGCAGAGCTGTGTGTTGCTGACCTCACTAAAGCAGTCCAAACATAGCATAGGTTTTCTATATTCAGTGTGTGTTTCTGTGACTGACAGCATGCACGTCACGGTGCAACCCCTCTCATAAGACCCTCATTTGGGACTTGTCAAAACCCACTTACCACTCAGACATGAATGGTTAAGATCTTCCTCTGATCCCCTTTTTCTCTTCAGGGGGCCCCGGGGCTGTCGATCTGAACTGGGCCCTTGGGTGCCCCGGGACAGCAGTAATTCTCTCTTTCACACACACTCATTCCTTTGGTCTATTTCCTATCACATGAAACAGATTTTGATTGCAATACTTAGTGTGGCATGATTTTTTCAGGCATTCTCGCACCACCATGTCTCATCATGAAAACATCTCAAATTCAGTGGAATACATCAAAAATACATCACAGTCGGGCTAAAAAAGAGAGCCACTTTTTCTGTATCATGAAATATACAGTCTGCTTTCAAAATGTCACTCAGCATTTTCTCAGTACTTAGACATTCAGTCAACAATAAATACTTCAACATCAAAGATCATGAACTCATATTTTAAAGTTAAAATTTACTTAGACTTTGTGGAGAAACTCAGCATTGGAATAGCATTTGAAGATAAGAAGGCGCAAGATACAGGTAAGTACAAAAATTATATATATTTTTTCCATTAGTTCAAACTATAGACTGTTAAAAAGCATGGACAGTACAACAGCTACCCAAAATGAAGCCAAAACTGTTAGAGCTCCTTTTGGTATGTGTGCTGTTGGTCACATTGTAGAAATGTGACTTGCAAACCAAATGTGTTTTTGGCTACGTTCACACTGCAGGTTATGATGCACAATTCAGATTTTTTGTTAAATCCGATCTTTTTGTGCAGACGTTCACATTACAACGACTGCAGCATCTAATTTGAATGGAATGCGTCCGTGAAGTGATCCGCCACCTGTTTGTGTTGTCGAATAATGGTGACGTTTGTTGCATATTGATGACATATAGGTCCTCCACACTGCAGTCACATCGGATACATATCCGATTTATATCCACATACAAAAGAGGCCTGGGTCCGATTTGAAAAAATCAGAATTGCACTGTTCACACTTACATGAAAAAATCCGATCACATATGGTAAAACAATCGGAATTGACCTGCAGTGTGAACATAGCCTTTCATGCATCATATACTTTCCATAGCAACATACTAGATATAAGCAATGGTAGTGTACAGTTATGGAAGGAAGAGGCGTGAAAATTGTTCGACATGCCAAACAGGTTTCTCACATGCAAATGGGTCACTATTAGTCCAACAACAGAAGACACTTGCTTTGGATAGCATATAGCAAGTACCGTTAGCCATCTGTCAGTTTAACAAGATACTAGGGCAGGTCGATATGGCCTCAAATCAATATCACGATATATTGAGCAGTTCCATTAAATGGACGATAACTACTCCACAAGCTGCTCACCCCCTCCCACATGAACTTTGTCTACTTCACTACAACTTTTGAACCGTCCTCCATCTCCTCACCTGTCTTTCCCTCTTTGTTATGGACTGGAGGGGGTGGAGTCACGTCTCTGACGTAGGACAGCGTCTTAAAGAGACACGAGACCATAGCCTACCTACACACATCCAAAACCAACTTGTATTTATTTATTTTTTTGACACAGAATATATTGACATGGGCAAAATGACGTTGGTTATTGATGTAAATTTCGGTATCTGTAAATTTTCGGTTTAGCGCCCAGCCCTACCAGATACAGCCTGAATTACACTCACATCTCTTGTCCTCTGTGCTTGTTAACATCTGGGTAGTGAGGCATTATGGCAGTAGTCATCACTTAGAGCTACAGCCTCAGCTAGTGGCGGATGGCTCTGCTACAGTTCAGATGTATATCACATGACCAACATTTTGTGTCAAAATGACGATGAATGATTGACAGCTCTGTTGATGAATGCGGCTCCTGCAGCAATCTTCAAGTCAAGGAGAGCGATGAGAGAAAACAAACAATAACACAAGAGTCGCCGAGCTTTAAGCACCCACTTTAAATCAACACATGAATCTGTTCTGACACACACACACACATTTGACTGTTTTATAAGATGTCGATGCTCAAAAACACTGAATATTTTAATGGATACTAGTACAGAGATTTTGAAGGCAGATCTTTCAGTCCTGACAAACAGTACACTGCATGTATTGATTGTGAAAACCATTTGCACTGTTTAATCCTGTGTAGTCGATACACTGTGATTTTTAAAATAGTTTAATTCAAGGTAGAATTCAGATATACCAAGCACAGTTTTCTATGTTTTAATCTCGAATGTACTGTGTAAAAAGTGTTCAAGTGTTCTGAGAAAATAAGTTGAGTCTGATTGGAGATTCTGTGGTTAAAAAGCAGCGTATGAAAAACTTCTTGTCCAAATCTCAGTGATCAAAACGTAAAGAACTATGTACAGAAATGATTTCACTGGTTTACCAAAATGACCTTACATAACCCATCAAGAGCTTGACTGAGCGAAGTGAATCTTGCAATCACTCCACAAGGATTGGCATCACGACAGGTTAGTCTCAGAACCAGAGTTCAGGGTTTTTGCGATTGATAGCGAGCACAATCCCCTGATCATATGTGCCAGTCTATCCGGCTTCTTTCACTCCACTGAGCTCAGAGTGATCTCCCCAGGGATCAAAGATCAGCCGAGTGGTCATGCGCTCCAGGTTGGCACGGAGAGAAATCAGGTGCTTTGATGCTGATAGGAAAGGAGCTGGCTGACGGGGAGGAGTGGCGTCTGTCTCCGTCTCCCCCCTGCGCTCCGATGTGATGGGCAGACCGCCGCTGTGTAGCCAGGCGGAAAACTGCCCTTTCTGGCATGAGCTGCTTCAGCCCTTTGGCACCATAAGCAGAACGCAACACTCCACCATCTCCACCATCCATCTGCAGCGTGGTTTAATCTGCAACCTCCTGCTGCAGATCTGACACTGCTATTGTTACCTCCTGCTGCTGCTGCTCACTCCTCTGAAGCCAGGAGTCAGTTGATAAAGATGGAGATTAGAGGCAGTAGGGTCACGCTAAACGTAGATGCTGAGGGTTATTTCTCCTCATCTAATCTCACAGAGTAATACTACAAGCAATCGAGGTCACCACCATGATACTTAAAGCCTTGAGGGTATGTAAAAATGCCTGTGTTGATTTGTAGAAACGCTGCAGCAGCGAACAGACGGGGGAAAAAAATCACATCACTGCTTCTGCTGGAGAGGTCCTACAAATCTGCTGTCAGTGGATAATTGACCCCAACATGTATTAGCTCACTAATGCACACAGAATTTTTGACACTACATTTCATTAATCCGATTAAGTCAAAAGCACATTTTAAATATTCAGTTTAATATCAAAACACTTTGTAAAGATAAGGAAGACAAAAAATTAATTTCCGCCTGAGGATGACCGATTTTCAATTTGATTTTTATTACCCTCAGCTCTTTATGGATGACACATCATGACTTAGATGACATGGATTTGAGAGTTACTATCTGCTGCCACCTTCTGGTGCTCAGACTGCGAGTGTTCAACCCCTACAAAGCCAGTACAGATGTACAAAACACTGCAGTTTCTCTACTGTCCAATTGAGGCTGACTTTAAAAGCCAAGAGAGTCCCATTAACACATTAAAATTTGAAGATTTAGCATGTCTACAGCCTGGTACGACTGAGTAGCCCATTTCTCTGTCTCTCTCTATAAAAAGTTTTGTTACTAATTCATTTTTAAGGTATTAAGATTGCGAGTTTTGCATAATTAGGGGTCTAACTAAAAAGTGACCTGCAGGCACATTAGCTTTGAGAGGCTGGGAGCTGCCTCAGCTTCACCTCTTTACATCTTACTAGGTCAACTGAAGGATTCATTGAGTCAGCATTGTCAGTATGATCATCGTCATCTTTAGGCTGTTAAAACTGCTTCGGGATGCAGCGGCTGACATCACACAGACTACATATTGGGGCCAACTGACCTGGCGAACTGTTACTGGGGGATGTACAAAGTAAAAGTGTTCATTAAGTAATAACGTTGAAGTCTTTCTTCCATCCAGCTCTGAATGTGACCTGTGGATACATTAAAAGGAAAAAAGGGAATTTTTAGGGGTAGCATAATATTTTGACTTTCAGTATTTGTGTGAGAGAAGGGTATATCAAACATGTTTGTGAGAACTCAAGGACAAGGTTCCCATTTTATGATCTAACATGTAAATTAGGGCCCGACCGATATGGATTTTTTGGGGCTGATGCTGATAGCGATTATAAGTCGAGAAAAATCTGATTACCGATTAATCGGCCGATTTTTAAAATTTTTTATGAATTTATAAAAAATGTATACTGTTTACTATATACTGCTCTTCACGCTGACAGGAAGACCAACCGATCAAACTTGGACCAGAAAAGCATTTTCAACTCCCCCCGCTACCGCCGATTGGCGCCTCCACGTCTTAACTCACGTTACTCACTTCTGATCTGGTCTCATCTGAAGACATGCAGCTGTCTCAGTAAGAGAAGTAGCTCGATCACGTAATGTGTACTGTTGTTTATTCTACCGTTACTAGCACGGCTAACAGTGTAGCAAGGCTAATAGCAGGTGGCTAACTCAAACTTTAGTTTGCATATTACATGGTGCTTCACTGTTAACTCGGTGTGACCGAAACCAGCACAGTGAGGAACATCATGAAGTGGGTTGAACTGAAACTTGTTGACTTATTGTGTATTTTACAAGCTGGTTTATTTACCGTTGAGGCGGACCACTCTCCTCCGTGCGTCCCTGAGCTGAGGTAGTTAGTGCATGAAGATTGTCATGAGGTCGCTGCGCCATCTACAGGATAAGTTAGGGAACTTTTCAAATGGCGGCACATTTTCGAAGTGAAACCGAATCTTATTCTCCACATTTTATTTCTGAAAATATCAGCGAAAATTGGCGAGTTTTGGCCGATTACCGACTAGCCTCAAACAGGCTAAAATTTAATTGGCTCGCCGATAAATCGGTCGGGCCCTAATGTAAACATAAATTTGACTTCCCCACTTGAAAAGTCCTCTGGGTGTCATTCGAATCACTGCTGAGTATGTTTTCATTTGAAGAGAATGTGCAAAGATAATAAATAGTCATCAAAGGCTGACTACTTTGTTTAATAAAGAAACCTCCGTATCAGCAGAGGGAGACACATCTGACCGGTATTTAACATTTCTTCTCAAGCCTGACACATCTCTCCAGCTCACTGCAGACATAAACACGCAGGCTCACTCTCACACACTAAGAACTGGTGGTTTATTTGAACATGTGAGTCAGCCAGTCCCTGTGGGCCGCAGCTGGAGAGAGTAGAGCGCCCCACCCAGCAGCACCAGCGTCACATGTGGTTGCAACTCCCCCTTCTTAACCCCCCCCCAAAGTCAAACTCCCCCCCTGATTTATGCGAGCCGGACACCCCTCCCCTTAACTTCAGGATGTATTGTCCTCCACTCACTGAGCTGAGTTAAAGTTTCAAAACGGTGTCGCTCACTTACAGCAGAGTGGAGTGGAGGGACTGTAGAGACACTGGGTAGCTACTGTTGGCAGCCAGATGCCTGTTTGTGGTGAGTGTATTTTTATGTTTGGACTGGAATTTGCTGCTATGGTTAGAGCTGATAGTTTCCTCTGGTTTACAGGGAAAACTTCAAGTTACATAGCTTTGTTTAGGCATGCATCTTTCCCTGTGAGGCTGTTTTATTCAGCTAATGAAGGTCATCTCATTCATTCAGTAGAAAGTCAGTGCTTGTTCACAAACAGACTTGAACATCTACAGAAATCTCATATATAATTATTTGTGACATTTTCTAAAAGCTTTTCTTGATATTTAATCAAATGTTTACAGGATGAATGACGAGTCTAGAGGAGAGATTCAGAACGAGTTCATCAATGTGAGACATAAAGTTCATGCGCACATATCTTTTCAGTGGATTTTGGATCGACCTCAAAACCTGTTTGGCAAATGTGTTGCTCTCTTGCATCAGTCAGATGAGACATTTTCTGGAGTGTAGCCCTTTACAAAAATCAACCTCAGTTTATTCTCAGGGCGTTGCTGATCAGAGCAGATATCAGTCGTATAAAGTTATTGCTTTGTTTGAACCCTCCAACACTCATCGATACTCCGCCACCTCTCGTGTTCAACCAGGATAAAGTGATACTAGTTGCTGATGCTTTGTAACCGGGGCCTGGTTTTCTAAAAGGGTGAGACAGGACAGAGGAACTGTAAAAACACTCATTAGACGCTCGGGGCCCCGGGGCCACGTGAATCTTTTGTCTGCCTATGAGATGCTGAGCCACTGAGAAATGTGACACCACACTCTCCTTTTCAAGCCTCTGTGGTTGATGTCTCATGCTGCAATTTTGGCCCAGAAACCATTAATTTGGAGACAGGGAAATGTAAAACACACTGGAATATTTTCCCATTTTCGAAGTATTCCAAGCTGGTAATTGCCGTTGTTTATTTGATTTAACATCCAGGTCAGTTTGTTTTCTATGCTGAAGCTGTGTTTACGTTCATCTGTTAGTGGGATGCATACACGCATCGCGTCTAATAAGCACTCAGGGCAAAGCAATATCATGTGGTTGTGTCACAATAGACTTTTTATGTGGATCAGCGGCAGTCTGAGGCAGAAGAGCATCCACAGCCAGGCACAGCGCGGAGCTTCTCAGCCGGCCTCAACCTCGTTTCTTAACTGTATGAAAAGCAGCCAGATTTTCAGGCCTTTTCCACCCGGGGGGCATGTCATTTACCAAATGAATGGCCCTCTCTTCTGGACAGTTGAGCCAGTCACAGTCTATCATGCCACGAGACAAGTGAGCACACAGTATTGCTTTTCACTGCAGAGGACTGTTTTCAGAGGGCGCATTTGCATACATTCAGGAAGTGGCATAAGTGAAGCAAAACAATAATTATCATGTGTGGAATGGTTTATAGACGCTCTTATTAATGGTGATCCCACAGCTCACATTTGCCTATATTGCATACATTTTAGCGCCCTCTGTGGACAAAGTGTGGACCCTAAACCTGAAAAAATACTGCAATAGTTTAGGTTTCTGTTATTTAAAGTGACAGGGAAAAAATATATAGGAAATAAATACTAAAAGTATGTTTTTGTTCTTTTAACTATTAAAAGTTGTAATATTACCGTGATGCTTGTTATTATTTGGATGTAAGAGCCTGTTTTATCTCATGATGTCCAGCAGCTCTGACAGCAGCTCTGACACCTACACAGGGATGTAGAGAGACAAGGGGAGGAGAGAGTACAGGAAGAGGGACAGGTTTCTTCCATGGACTGTGTATACTATGGACAACTTGGTTACGACTTCCATCATTATATGAATTTGAAGCCGGATTGCTCTCCGTATTTCCGGGATTTCCTCCACTTACTGGAACCACCACTTGCGCATTCGGCGGGAGAGTCTCTGTGATGACGCTCGGCTCAAACAGCAGTGAACTACGCAATCTTCGTCCGCCCATAGGCTGTATATCAAGTGTCAATCATAGCAAACATGAACCCACTTATAACTTTTAAAAATGGAGCTGTACAGAAAAAAGAGGAGTTGAGCACAAACCAGTCTTATTGTGACTACATGTCAACATCGCAAGCAGGGGGGAGAAAAATTTATATTCTGTGAAATAAATTTCTAAAGTTTGTCCACAGCTCCATAGGGATTGCTGGAGGAGGCGGGATTTATGACCTATACTGCAGCCCGTCACCAGAGGGTGCTGTTTTCACGGTGGCTTCACCCAGCGAGGAGGCAGACAGAGTCCATTCTATATCCAGTCTATGGTTTCTTCATATACTCATCTCAGGAATTCAGTTGACTCGACATTTGATCAGTAATTTAATACGTCTCTAGTTATTTTTATTTTGGGTAACCATTGTCAAAACACTACACCGTACAAGTGAAGAAAGTAGCGAACACAAATCTCCTTGAATTTATTGTTGCTCTTGAGCTACATGATAGAAGAAGAAGATAAGTGTGTTTCTGCTGCTGTCGGAGTTTAAAAAAAAAAAAAAGCCCCTGTGTTGAAAATAAGTTTGAATTTCCTCTACAGTTCTGCAGAAGTTTTGTTCCTCTTTGGGACCAGAATGAACACATACGTGAGGTTTCCTTCAAAGGTCTTTAGGCCACAGTACTCAGCAGAATCCCTCAATGATTTATCTGTTTCATGTCTTTCTTCCCACGTGCGGGCTCATAACTTAAAGCAGCACAATTGTAGGAAGGCCTAAAGGGGTTACATCCAGAAGAGTCTGATGTATTTCAGGACAAAGACTCATCTGACCGAGTGAGTCTTACTTCTCGTGATTTACGGCCGACTGGACCCTGGCCTCTTGAGTCCACTCCTGATGACTGCAAGAGTGTAGTAAGAGTTGTAGCTGCGTCATTAGGTGCTTCCTTCCCTCATGGGGGTCAGGTCTGAGGAGGTCTGAAGAGGTGAGAGGGTCATTGAGCAGGAAGACAACAAGCTGAGGCAAAGACTGAGGCAATATCACAGCTGGAAGTCTCTGATACTTTGACACTCCCGGGGCTTTATCTGAGAGTTTCCTGTCTGTTTGTTTTGCTGGTGACCGTACTAAACCTTAGAACAATGGCTTTAATCCTGACAGTGGTCTGTGTTTACAGTGTTCGCTGCTAGACGACATCTCGCTCGACCACTGCTGGGTGTCGTTTTCCTCCTCTGGTTTCTGGTGATATCTGCTTGAATGCCTCTTTATCTCTTTTAGGATGGCTCGGTGGGGAACCTTGATGACCTGGTGCAGGAGTATTCACAGTATTACGGCACCTCCCTCAGCGACGTGTGTGAAAGGATGGAGGAGCTTCGGAAACGCAAAGTAGTACAAGATGCAGAGATGGTAAAAAAAAAAACAAGCCTTTTTCTTGGAAGTTCAGACCCTTAGTCATCAAAAATAATCATATCTCAGCACTCACCGCTGCTGTTTTGATTGTTTACTTTTCTGTATTATTGAGGGGTAATTTTAGAACACAGGTTTATTTATTTTCTTTGACAGAAAGATTAAAAAAATCTAGAAACAAGAGGGAGCTGCTAACTCAGCTCTGTCAGACGGTGACAAAATCTGGCTACCAGCTGCCTCCGAACTCTCTGATGCTGTATCCAGTTTGTTGACCCGAACAAGCTGCTCCCAGCTTTTGTGCTAATCTCATGCGGTTTCATGTGTCTGTTAGTATTGTCTTTAGACTATTTGCTCCTGTAGGGACACTTCATACATTTGCTCACCTTATAAATACAATCAGATTCAAACTGAAGTATCAAAACACTTGTGTCAAGTCTTCTTAAATTCCTTTTTCATGTCAATTCACACACCTGAACAGCAGTAACAGAGGTCATAACCAGTGGCACATGACTTTAAACCAGTGTTAGTCCGTAATGTGGGCAGGCAGATTCAGCGAACTGAATATTATTTCTATTTCTGTACTGTGGTGACACTATAATTTACTCCTCCACTTCCCCCCGCCTGTGTGTTTCAGGGAAAGGTTGACTCAGTGGCCACATCACTGCAGCTCCGCTCTCAGATCCAGGTGAGCGTCCAGCTCTGAGTGTGTCAGACCCCAAGAGGAGGCAACTTCCTCCTGTGTGCGTCAGCAGAGTGACTGATAAAAAAGAGGCCAAGAAACTGCCTGGTCATGATAACTTAAGCAAAACCAGAGTGAAGGGTTTGAAAAGTGATGTTTGAATGATTGTAATGTGGGGAGGTGCCCTGTAAGTTTCCTGTAATGCTGAAAACAAATCCTTAAATAGAAATCACTTACCCGAGTGGATTTTGCATCAAGTTACACTAGAGAAAACATTTCATTTTATTCATTTATTTATTTTATATTCATTATTTAAAGTTATTTGTTCCCTTAAAAATGTGTGTTATTAAGTCTGATCTTATCAATTTCATGCAAAAGAACTAAAACGTTAGCATCGATAACAGCTCTGAATCAGGGCTCTGTCGCTCCACAATGTTTAACTTCACACTCTGTCTCATCCTCTGAAGGAATCCCTTGGACTTAGCAGTACCACCTCCACTCCAGAGACAGAGAGAAGGTAAAAACTAACTCATCTAATGCATGACACTGTGTATTTAGTCATAGGAGAGTCCCAGCGTCATTGTCGAGAAGACACGCTGAGTGAAGCATCAGTGGGAAGAGACACGTGTGCGATGGAAGGAAAAGCTTCGATAATCTCTGTAATACAAAACATGACAGGGTCTGGAAGTGTTTCTACGGACTACATTATTTTATTACCACTCGATCTGTCACTTTAGCTCTTCTTCTTCTTCTTCGTCTATCTCTGTGTCACCTGGAGAACATCTGCCTCTTCTCTCCTTCCTGGTGCCCTCATATCACACCAATGAAGCATTTCTGTGTCACCTCCAAACTTCCTTCCTTCCCCCCATTGTTTTCTTCGAGGGATTTCAGAGATTAGTCAGCTCTCCAATTTGTCATTGGAAAGCTGAATATGATGAGGGAATTGGGGGATGAGTGATGATAAAGCAGCATATTGGTTCGATTAAGCCTGTTAAAGAGTCAGGCCTCTAATATTCACAACCTAGACAGGGACACATCAGACGGGACTTTGTTTTTTATACCATATGTAGTCAGACGGGATCCCAAGACTGCCCTCTAGTGGCACAAGCACACCTGGATGTGGATGGCATAAAGTTTCCTACTATTGTCAGACTTTAGTGAAAATCAAACAAGTGGGATTCTTTGGCAACTAAAACAGCTTTTCACCCGGAAAACTTCTAGCCTTTGGCATTACCTTGAAAAAAACTCTCCAGTAAATTCTCTTGAAACGCTGAGTTTTTTTCCTCTTTAGAAATTATATCGTATGTTTTAATTAACAATTGTGAAAAACATTATTTTTAATCTAGAGGTTAAATAAGTAATTTTATTTCAGGCTGCATTATAAATAAAATCAAATTTCTTACCACAAAGTTTAGTTAGGACATCTCATATACACCAGCAACAAGTGTCAACAAAGAGAGAGACCACAAGAGAGAAAAAGAGAGAGACGATTATAGACAACAAAGAGCCCAGAGAGATGAAGAGTGACAGACAGACACATATAGCTCATAAACAGACCAGAGACACGTTGAGTGAGAGACAGACAGACAGACAGACAGACAGAGAGCGAGGGTGAAAGTGTGCGGAGAATGCAGAGGCCACGTTAGTGCTGCTGCGGCTGCAAAACCCTGACTGGACATGAAAAAAGGCTCCATTGTTCCTGCGATGGCCGGAGAGCACTGACCTCAGTTCATCAGCCAAGAGCAGCCGGTCTTTTCATCAGTTTTGACTACTTTGATTTCTCTTCACTATGATGCCAGTGTCATGAGAGACAGAGCGCTTTTGTGATTCTTTCCTTTTTTAGTTTTGATCTGACGCAAGTTGATCGGATAGAGAGACATGTTTTTTGAGATGGTGGGCTAGCAAGGAAAATGAAGAAAATAACTTGGGAAAACAGGTACTGTTGTGTTTTGGGCTTTGGCTCGACTTTTCACTGTTTCAAAGAAGTTAACAAATTGTGGTTTTTTTTAGGTTTACGGTGCACAAATCCAGCTCTGATGAGGGATCAGGAGGTACGTTTACATTTATATGGACTCCTTTGGCACCCTTTATAGAAAAACAGCCTTTGAGTAAAAGTGACATCATCTTTGCAGCCTTTTTTTCTTCTCTACTAAGTTTACAGAAAAATAAGAGAAATGTGTGTTTGTTCTGTTTTTATGGATGCTTAGTTTTACGTTTGGTCCCACACATTTGCTTTTTCTTTCACTTCCATGAAAGTGTGGACTCGATCTTTTTTTAATAGTGAGAAACTGCAAATACATGTTTGTGTTTTTCTCACAGAACAAAGTCATAAATCTATGTGTATTTTGAGATGATGCTGTTTCAGACTTGTTGTTATGATTGTAATTTTAACTCCTCTGTTTGACAGGGAAATGGGATGGAAAGAGGAAGGGCAAGTCTTTCTGGCACAGTTTTCGAAAGTCACAGAAAGGAGTGACGCGGCAGATTTCCAAAGGTATTTTGAAGTTTTTAAAACATTTCTGAAAACCATCAAAATGAATTTCATGATAACTCGTTGACATTTTCTTGTTTCGGTAACACTTAATTTGGCGCCTATCTCTATAATGCATTATAAATATATATATAATGCATTATAACCACATTATAGCACTGTATAACTATAGTTATAAACACTCATAAATGATCATAATGCTTTATAACAATAATCATAACACATTATAAAGCATTTTATCATGACTTACAAGGTCAGGTTTTATAATGTGTTATTACTGGTAACAACTCACTGACAATGCCCACATGGATAATGCAATGCAACTGTTGTTACCAGTAATAACACATTATAATAGCTAACCTTGTAAGTCATGGTAAAATGCTTTATAATGTGTTCATGTGATTATTGCTATAAAGCATTATGATCATTTATGAGTGTTTATAACTATAGTTATACAGTGCTATAATGTGATTATAATGCATTATACATGTATTTAGAATGTGTTATAGAGATAGGCGTCAAATAGATTGTTGCCTAAGTTTCTTCTACCTCAGCAGATATAAAAGATCAGATTTTTGGGGGGGTTTTTTTTGCAGGTGATGATGTTGGTTTTGTGGCCAGTGAAATCACCATGAGTGATGAAGAGCGCATCCAGCTGATGATGATGGTGAAGGAGAACATGATTTCGATAGAGGAAGCTCTGGCTCGGGTACGATCATGCATCCCTTATTCTGCACTTTGCTGTTATGTGAAAGCCTAGTTTTCCTACTTTTGTCAAGTTAAATAGTTTCTTTCAAAAAGACAGTGTTAAACCTAAATAGCTGCTTTGAATAGATTCTTCAATGTAACATGAAGTTGTACCAAAGACTCGTGGGTAAATCTGGACACATTCAAAACAAATGAAATAATCCTTTCAGCTCCGGTCAGTGTGTGATGCTAATTCATGTTTTCCAGCCCTGCATCATGTACAAACATCTTTTGTTGCAGTTGAAGGAGTTTGAGGTACAAAACAGACAGACGTGCAGATCTGATCACACAGACTGGCCCGATCCCTCCAGTCCAAACACAAACGAGCTGCTCAACTGCAACGTAAGTCTCTCAGCCCCTCTTGTCTGAAAGCATCTTAGCTGTTTTTCTATCTGAATCACAACATCAGGCGTGAAGGTTTGAGATCCATCAGTGCCAAGGCTGTTGAGCTGTTGACAGCCCACTGTCTTTCCCTCCGTCCCTGTCCCAGCGTTGAACCAGGGCCCCTCTAAAGCCCTGCAGCTCAGAGCCTTCTCCCAACCGCAGGGCACAGGGTGGACTTCTATTCATCGCTGTCAAAGCGCTAACCCCCTATTGTGCTGCAGTGAGCGGGTGGATTCAGCACAGGGCTGTGTTATGCAGGCCACAGCTCTTTTATGCATGGGTGGGGTGATTAGGGGGCTCAGGTTCAGGGCACATTTTTCAGATTCGTCTGGATGGCCTGACTGTTTCTCTTTGCTCTGTGTGTGTGTTCTCTTGTCATTTTCATGCTGTTTCTTTGTGGATTATAGACCGTGTTTACTCACATAAACGCTCTCTTATACGTTGAAAACTGCTCATCAGCTTTCACTTCTTCTGTTCGCATCTATTCTGGGTGTTCACACTAGAATAGTGTTGAGAAAATTGAGAGACGATATCTGGCCTGAGAGTTCACAAATACCACAACCTTGTCAGTAACCATCGTGGCTTAGCTGATTTCCAAGAAGCTTGCGTTTCATTTGCCACATGTAGAAACTCTTCTGTAGTCTGCAGTGGAGCAGAGATGTTTGCACTGATCTCACTTGCATCTGTGGTTTCTTACCACATATTTATAATTAGGCTGCAGGTACTTACCAAAGCATCTGCAGCACAAACACAGCTTTATTACCTACTACAAGTTATGAACAAACTCTAATACACACTTTGTCTTTACCAGTAAAAGCTCACAGTCTTTACTTTGAGTATAAAGACAGCAGATGTGATATGTCCTCTCATGTCCAAAATGTTCAGATACACAACTGTCAGCCCTCTCCATTGCACAAAACATTTCTGTTGATTTATAATATTGCTTCTGTTGTTCCCATCAGCCTTGCGACCTGTCAGACACCGAGCAAGAGGAATCTGTGACATTCAGGAGACTCCACAAACTGGTCAACTCAACCCGGAAGGTGAAGAAAAAGCTGATCAGAATTGACGAGTCCAAGAGGCCCGGAGCAGACGGTACAAAAAACCACCATCAGGCTTTCACTCAAAAACCATGAACTAGATGTGACAGCTGTCATGTAACCCCAATTCTGAGGGTGTGGAAACGTTGATGAAAACAGATGTTGATGGTTTGCACATCATTGAAAGCTTTTATTGAACTGAAATTAGTGCAAAGACAATCGAGCAAATGTTTAAACACAGTTTGGGATTTCCTTTGTGGTATTATGTGTTTCATTATGTGTTAAACTGGCATTTGAATGATTGCATGCAGAAAACATACAGCTAGTTAGTTCCTCTCCTCTTCAGAGTTTGAATTCTTAGATTTTAGGACAGTTTCCCACTTTGCTTCAGTCCATCTTGAATAATCTCAACCTAGAGACCCGAGCTGCTGTTTCTGGATCAGGTTTATGTTTCGTTTCTAAAGTGTTGTTTTGCCCATGCAGTGATTTCCACTACAGAGTCATGTCTATTTTTAACGCACTGATGTGTGATCAGAGCGATCCGGTATCCTGTTGCGAATGAACCTGATTAACTTCAGAGGTATTCCTCCAGGTTTGTTGCAGACATCCAATCTAAAATGATGATATACAGTGATTATTTTCATAAAACAATACAATAATTCATTTTTAACATTTTATATGTTGTTTTTGCAAACCATCAAAACCAGTTTTATCAACATTTTACACAGTTTCCCAACATTTTGGTCTTGGGGTTGTACTTTCTCGAGTCTTTATTCTTAGTGGTCTAACCCTGTTTTGTGATGCTGTCTGGTAAACGCTGTAAAAATAGTTTATATTTCTGAAAAACTGTGTGTGTTTCCAGGAAGATGACCTCGTGTATATAAAGAGAAAGTCTACCTGAGAAAGCGCGATGCTGAACGTGACGTAGAGTCTAGACAAAATACTAGTTGTTGTGTTCGATCTAATTACTGCTTGACGATGCAGTCGTACGACAAAAACAGTATTTATAGCGAGTTTTTGCTGCTTGTCAAGTATCCGGTTTTGAAGGCTGGATTTTTCAAACATTTTTGAAGTTTGCATGATAAATAATAAAGTATGTTATTTAATGACTGACACAGTAACCCACAAGAGATTGTAGCACTCATTGGCTACCTCATACCTGTTTTAAGTTTTTCCTTTAAGTTAATTGTTCGACTTTTTCCCGTTTTTCATCCCTGTCTTTAAACCCTGCAGAGAGTGTAAACACAGACGGTCTTCCCTGTGGAGATGCCGCGGCCCCCCTGTACTCAGGCGTGCAGAAGAGGCCCACTCTTTGCCCCATGGACTCCTTGGCTTCGGCTCTACAGGAGCAGCTCACCTACGACAGAGACTCTGACAGCCTGACCACCTCCCCCTCCTCCAGCAGCCTGGACACCTGCAGCAGCCAGAAGATCTTCCAGGTATACAGAGAGCCCGGCGTGAGCCCAGTCCGACAGGAGACGAGTGCGGCAGGAGAGGTGAGGGAGGCGGTTGAGGGCAGCGGGTCCTCCTTCTCTGAGATGGACGCTTGCAATGATGAGGAACCCAAAATCGCTCGCTCCGTTACCGATGGAGAACTCCGTCACCGGATCCTCAGCCCGCTCAACTACCACGGGGTGAGTACAGAGGAGCTTTAGTTGAAGCTATTGTTCTGAATTAATCAGCGTTACCCTCAGGCAGTCGAGTGCAAGTGCAATCCTTTAAGTGAATAAATCACTGGGATACGCTCTCAGCTTGGAGATGTGTGGTGAACTGGTTTAAACGATCACAGATGACTGCAGCCGTATGGCCTGAAATGTCCTCAGCTATCACATGAAGCCTGATCTCATGAGGATTATACAGTTCATTTTCCTGTTCTGATTTTTGCGTCCTACAAATACCCTGAGCTTGTCTTACCAGTTCGACACCAAACTGGAACTTGTTTTTGAATGTATGACTGTTATTCTTGTTTCTTTGAACAGAGAGCTTGTAGCTTTGGAGGATTTGACCTGACCAACCGCTCAGTGCATGTGGTCAGCTCTGATCACGATAACACTGTACGTAACTTTTATTTTTCCTGAGTTACAAAAGGAGACAAAAGTCGAATTAAAACAAATGGATAATCTTTTTAATTGCTGCTCTCTTTTTTTCTTTAAATCAGAACACAGACGGTGACGGTGGGAGAGATCCCGTTAAGTCTCCGGCAACATCTCGTATTTCCCTCGGCAAAAAAGTGAAGTCAGTGAGAGAAACTATGAGGAAACACATGACTAAGAGATATCACACCTCACTCTCTGAGCAGGTATGTTTATCCATCACCGCTGTCTATTGTCCAGATGTGTCGGGACGTGGAGCAAAGGTAATCATTTCTTTGTTCTGTGTTTTTTAGTCAAGCCCAGACCGCATATCCAGCTGCCCTCACTCTCCTCACACTGACTCTGACTCTCTGGAGAAACCCAAACTGAAGCTTGGCGGATCAGTGGAGAGCCTGAGGAGTTCCCTCAGTGGACAAAGCTCCATGAGTAAGTCTGTGTGTTTTCATGAGACAGATCTGGGTGGACTTGTAAATATCTTCCAGCGTTTGTTTTAACTTGGCCTCGGAGCACCAGATGTCGGGTGTTTTTCAGGAAAGTCTTTCAAGGTCATTAAATAATCTTCGTGGCAGTCTAAACTTTTCGGTTTTATTGTATTTGTCTGAGTGTAAGTTTGTGTAAGATCTGGCACTTCAACCCTGCATGGGTCCGTGAGAACTTGAAAAATATTTTTAACACGCCTTTTACTCTGCTTGAAGTTTCCCATTTGTCTTTTGGTGGTTTGTGTAGGCGGTCAGACTGTGGGCACCACTGACTCCTCGAACAGCAACAGAGAGAGTGTGAAGTCTGAGGACGGGGAGGAGGACGAGCTGCCTTACCGTGGACCCTTCTGTGGGCGCGCTCTAGTTCATACTGACTTCACTCCCAGCCCCTACGACACAGACTCCCTCAAACTCAAGGTGCGGCCATGTTATCCATCCTGGAAATCACACATTTACAAAGTGACGATCATACGTCTCTCATCGTACTAAATCATCACTGTCCTTTCCCTGTAGAGCGGAGACGTCATTGACATCATCAGTAAGCCTCCGATGGGAACATGGATGGGAATGCTCAATGGGAAAGTCGGCACCTTCAAGTTTATATATGTAGATGTCCTTAACGAAGAAGAGGTCAAGCCTAAAAAGACACGCAGGAGGAGGAAGGCCCGGCAACCCAAGCCCACCTCCGTGGAGGAGCTGCTGGATCGCATCAACCTCAAAGTACTAAATATTAACATACCATCAATACATGTCATACACAGGCAAAGAATCAAGACAATAACAGAGACACAAAGGCAGCAGTGACTCAGAAACTCAAGTGAGTGACTGTTAGCTTAGCCTGAGGTCTGGATATAGAGGGAGATCCCCAACCTGGCAAACAGCTCGCCTTGCTTACAATCTGACTGCATGGAAAAAGTATAGAATATGTTGATAAAAACAGATTTCGATCATTTGCAAATCATTTTAACACTGGCAGAGTGGTAAAAACAGTCACCCAGAAGAAAAAACTCAACTAATAATGTTCATTTAGGGTCAGGAACATGACTGGATATGTAAACAAACATGCTAGAGGGGCCGAGAGACTGGGTGAGCAAAGAGTTAAACTACTTCAGTTCCTCTGCCTAAAATTGAAAAGACTGGGGATTTCACCATCAACTGCACATAATGCCATTTAAAGATTCAGAGGACTCTCTCCAAAGGGGACAAGGTCTAAATCTAATACTGGAGGGCTGTGATCTTCATGCCTTTAAGCGGCACTGCTCTGAAAACAGACATGATTCTGTAGTGGACCCAATACAAGTTCTGTTTCTGGATTTTTGAAACTGCTTTCCACCTTCTGAGGTTATAAATTTAGTGAAGGTGTTGTCGTGTGTGTGGAAAATTGTCCTTCAAAAATGCAACTTTGCCAATATGACGTGAGTTTTTCTGATCTGTTTGTGCTTCATCCGTCTTTTTGTCTCGACAGGAGCATCTTCCTACTTTCCTTTTTAACGGTTATGAGGATCTGGACACTTTCAAGCTGCTTGAGGAGGAGGACCTGGATGAGCTGAACATCAGAGACCCTCAGCACAGGGCTGTGCTGCTCACTGCTGTGGAGCTGCTGCAAGAGTACGATGGTGGATCAGGTAACCATCATGAAACTTTTGAAACATGCAAATACTGTCACACACATGAAAACTATTTATGAGTTTGAAATATTGCAATAAAGGGTCTGAACTCCAGGAGGGAATAAAAAAAATGTACATGAGAAAACCGAACACCTTTTAATTCATGTACTTGCGATTAAAAGTTGTCTGAATATATATAAAGCTCTGCTATCTCAAAGCTTTGCAGCCGTTTGTTCCTTTGATAAGATGTGACAGTCTGCCCCCTGTTGCTTGATTTGTGCATTGCAGGGAGCAGCGACCCCGAGCGCGGCAGTCAGTCTGGAGGCTCCCAGGAGAAGCTGCTCCTGGAGCGGCGCGGCCTCGTGGGAGACTCCCCGCGGGACTCCGGCTGCTACGAGAGTAACGAGAACCTGGAGAACGGTAATGACAGCCTGAGTCGCCTGTGAATTCTCTTCTCCTCTTCTGCCTCATCTCCACTAGACATGCTCGCCCCGTCTTCAGGGTTTGTTTTTTTTTTTTCTTGACGCTCAAGCATTCCAAGCCGACAAAATCAGTTGTCATACACTTCTGGAAAGACTCTTTTATCTCCACACTTTCTTCTGATGCTCTGCTTTTCTCCACAAGCATCTTCTTCAAGTCATACTTTCTTCTGTGTCCGCATCATTGAATCAAGCAGTGGGTTATCTTTGTCTCTGTAGTGCTTTTGCGAATTGACACTACTTGCCTTTTTACTACAAGTGTTTCCCGTTCAGTATTTGAAATGGGGAAACACACGGACTAGAGAGTTCTCTTACATCATGTGAAACTGAGCACTGACCTCATAAGACATCTGAAACAGCCTTGAGCGAAGAAGCGTATGTGGGGCAGCTCAAAAAATAGATCTGCAGCTGTGGGCTGTGTGGTGGGTTTTTTTTTTTTGCATTTGCTAAAAAAGTGACTGTAGCACCGGTACATCTTAAATAGTACAAAAAAAAAAAAATCCCAGACTCGGTGGTACACATTCACAGCGAATGCTTGAGTTATTCATAGCTATACCATGCTTACTGTGTGAAGATTTCAGTCTTAAAATCGTCTTAGCCTGCAGTCATGCTTCCTGTAAATGACCTTGTTGTGAGTTTGGAGACTTTATGTGGTTTGAGATCTGTCAGCCACACCTGTACAGCGTGTATTTCTCTCAAAATGTGGCTGTTTGTGTGTATATTTTTCTAGTCCAGTTAAATATAATGTTGCACAATATTTTATCATGTGCCTGAAAACTGTTTCATGCAGAAGAATTGAAGAACTTACTTCTAAGTTTAATTGTTAAAAATGGCATTTTGTATTATTGTTGATGCACTAAAATGCAGACCGAAGACTAACCGTGAATCTGGTGGGACACTCTTTGAGGCAGGGTCTGAAGTCTGAGCATTTTCTGAAGTGTGCTTCTGTCATGGTTGAGCGTGAGGAATAAACTGCTCCATACTTTACCCGACTCGACAGCTTCCCTCTTTTCTTTCATGCGTCGTTCATTTTTTCAGAGCGCATTTAGATTTCTGTCCTGGGCTCTTCTTTCACTTTCGCCACACCTCTTAAGACACTCATCATCCTGCTGTTAAGGGTGTATTTAAGTTAAGTACATCACCTGCGTACACTTCGCTTGTTTATTTCAGGAAGGGACAAAAAGACGTCTTCATCCATGAGCAGGTCCTCCTCTGGTTTTGAGTCAAGCAACCTCCCGTCCCCAGAGAATCCTGCCCTCCCTCACCCTCTGACCTCCACCTACTTTAGTAAGACATCGCTCCAAAGTAAACCAGCATGCCTCCCCTGTAGCCCACCATCACTAAGACCCCCTAAGAAGAGCTTAAGTCCTCTAAGCCCACCAAAAGGTCAAGCTCCCAGTAGAGCTGTTCGCAGGAGCCAGAGCTGCATGGAGCTGAGAAGACTCCCAGCTCCAGGGCGGCTGAGGAGGAGCCCGTCCCTCACTATCCACCCCAGACAGTGGAACCTGAATCTGTGCACCAGCAGGAGAACACAACTCGCAGCAAATCCTCAAAAACAGAGTGAGGTCATGTCTCCAACCTCATCACTTAACGCTGAGAGCAGCACTTCAAACACAGACATAGTCAAAGTATTTGCACCTAAACAAGCAGAAACAACAGCGAGCACATGCCTCCAGCTGCCACGCACAGCCCCAGCAGGAAGGTTCAATCATCCTTCAACTTCATCATCCTCAAATAACCCGCACACAGAGCCCCTCACGACACAGACGGCCGGCATGGATGACCTCACACACCACATCTCTTCAGAGGACAAGAGGAGTTTTTCGATATCTGCCTCCTCAGCAGCCCGCAGACTGAAACCACCACAGAGGAACAAGAGGACGTCCACAGACTCCGTTAATCTGGGAGTCCAGATAGAAGACAGAACAGTGAATCCACTTTCTGAACTACAATGAACTGTCCCTGTTTGGATGTTAAGTGTCGCTGGTGGATAATTAACATCTTTAAACCACTTTTTTTAGTATCGTTTTTTCTCTTTCAAATAACTTGTTTTTGTATGTTAGCATGGGTTTAAATCCTTATTTAATGTAAAAATGCAAGTGGTTTCTTCATCAGGTGTATGTTACTGCCCACTGGGAATATGCAGCTTGTGTGCAGCTTTTCATCTTGTTGAAGATTTTTTCACATCATCAAATCTTATTTTCAACAAAAAGTCGAGTTGAAGTGATGAAAATTTAATTTTTTAAAAGGGGTTTTCAATATCCTTTTTTTGTGATCTTTAATCAAAATACCAGGATACAATGCAGAGAGGTATTTTGTTGTGTTTCAGGTTGTATCCAGAAGATGGCGCACAAGAACACAAGTGATTGCTTCAATGCATAGAGTATGTATAAAGCATGTCGGAGTCATAGTGAGGTGAACAAGTCTGGTGTTGCTGTTTTTGATGCTTTTCTCTTTCACCAGGTCATAATTATGTATTTACATGAAACAGTGGTTTACTAATTAAATAAAACTTGTACAGTACTGGTTTGATTGAAAAGACCCTTTAATTTAAGTGGCCAATGACGGTGATGCTAGAAAGAGCTGCACATCTTCACAGAAACAGCACATTGCTAAAGGCAGAGGATGTTTTCATGCAGGAGCAGTTCGAACCTTTTTACTCCTCCCGACCAGAATCAGACTGAAGACTTAGATTCAAAACCTTTTATTAACAACAAGTGTTGTGGAAAATCCAGCGTAAACTTAGTAAAACAATGCACAGGAGACAGGATGAGATTTGAAGAACAGCCTGGGCGTCTTTTATTGTACAGATGTAGAAATCTGTACAGATGACAAATAGAGTCCTGACCAAGACCGAGGGAAGCCTCCTTAGCTTTTTCTTCTACTTGCTTTTATACTGTGTGTGTGCGGGTGTGCGTGTGTGTGCATGAGTATTCCGTCATCATGGGTATATCATATCAGTTCTCTAGAAGGCTACCCGTGATGACATGTCTGACCCTCAACACTTTGTTTAGACTAGTCTTAACTCTGGCAGAGATATAATGTTCTGACAGACAGATAGTTCTGGTCCCTGCGAGACAGCCTTGCTTACAACCTCAAATGACGTCTACATCTATACTATGCTGCATATCTCTCCACGGTATCATAAGTAATGTAATCCAGTATTAAAAGGTCAGTAATGCACATTACAGTTGTTTATTTCATAAAAAGTTATCGAAAAATGAAGTTGAGGGAGAAGTATAAATCACGTCTAAAAATAGACCGAATCCCGACGTTGAAATGAAGTATAAATTTAGACTAGACGTCTAATACACGTCTTTTGCTCAGTGGGACGGGAGTCAAAATGAACATAAAGGACAATAATTTCCCTGGACTCTTGCGTCCCCGTGGCTGGTGTTAGAGGGTGCACACTCAAACACTTACACGGGTCTCGCTTACACGCACACACATACACACTCAAACCGAGGCGGTGGATTTCCACAAAGTAAATACGAAATGACGGTCACGTGGTTCAGAAATGAACACATGATAAAAAAAACATTCTATTGTTGAAATTAAGTGAATATAAAAGTGTAAAATAAGTGATTGTGGATGGATTAAGAGTTTAGAGGAATAAACTGCTTTTAGATGGTGAGAAAATTTCGGTTTGTTTGAAATTATGTAATTGATAACGCCCCGTGGGAGTGGTCACAGGGTTCAAAAGAGGGTCACCTGAAGCTATCGGTCCATTCGCCAGCAAACTGAGAGGAAGCAACACCTTCGTCCAGAGCACAGGTAAGTAGTGATGGCGAGATGAAGCCTCATGAAGCATTGAAGCTTTCCATCCAATTACTCGCCTCCTGGGCCGAAGCTTCATGATCGTGCTTCATTGACTCTATTGCGCCATCAAGTGGACAATAAATGTAAAACAGGCAGAGTGATAAACCAAAGACACCCCGAGGCTTTCGTGCGCGAAGCTTTGAATCCAATGAATGAATGGATGTGATGCCGTGTGTTTGTGATACAATACAGAAATGATAAAGTTATTAATATGGTGTTTGTCTTTAAGACACAGTTGCAGTGTCAAAAAGGGGAAGAGGACATAAATTATCGAGAGGGTTGTGATGTGAATGTGTTACTTAGTTTGTTGTTCGTACTTTTGTTACGGGGACAACAAATAAAACATAAACATTTCATTTATATTTATTTATTTTTATTTAAAAACAACTTTTCAACAAGTCTCGAGTCTATGGATTGTGAGTGGGGCAGGACTCCATTGCGTTTCGCTGCCTGTTAAATCATCCGCCAAACCCGTGAACCGTTTCTTGAATCAGTCACGTGGTATAGCCGGGTAGCGAGGCTTCGGACGTCATCATTTTTGGCTCCACCCCTACATGAAGCAAGCCTCGACACGCGCTTCGCAGAAACGCCCCCTTCATTACTCGACACACGCTTCGAAGCCTCGGCACTGAAGGACACATCACTACCTCTAACACCAGCCACGGGGACGCAAGAGTCCAGGGAAATTATTGTCCTTTATGTTCATTTTGACTCCCGTCCCACTGAGCAAAAGACGTATATTAGACGTCTAGTCTAAATTTATACTTCATTTGTACAAAACCTGTCAGAACTACTGTATGTGTGCAGCTGTAAGAATTTATAGTTGTGCAAAAATACATTTGTTGTACACAAATGTATGTTTTTATATATATGAATCATTAAGTTCTGAGTTTTTTTAAATTTTATTTTTATGAAAGCTTTGCCCTTATCCTTGAATTGTGAATTGTGATACCCTCAGTCAGGATTTTTTTACTCAGTTTTTTTATTCATCAAATTTTTTCTCAGTTGTTGCTTTTTTGTTTCTCCTAAAATTCACTAGGAGAAATAGTTGAGAATATAGCAGCAGGGTTCTTGTTTGAGACCTAAAGCAGAGAGCTTATTAATGGTTAATTTTATCCCTAAACAAAATGATAATGAGACACAGAGGAAGTGAAGAAACCACCAAAATTAAACAGCAATCCCATGCCAACAATACTACAATATTTGACAAATCACAAAGTCTCCCAAAGTAAAATTTTAATTCTGTTTGATTCAGGCGCCTGCTATCCATCAAAAAAGAAAGGAAAAAAAAAGATCATTTTAATAACAATAACTTTATTTATATAGCACCTTTAAAAACAGACATTTAATTCATGTTTTTTTTTTTTAATCTTTTTAATCACACATACACATAAAAACATACGAGTGTATATGTGAGTTGATTGTGGGAAGAAACCTGAGCACCAGGAGAAAACCCAGAGAATAATGTTAAGAGCTGGACTTGGGGTCCAGCACAGCTGCTGCTGCACTGCTGTGGAAGTCTAAAGTTCTGAGGGTGGGCCGTGGTTTTACGCTTGTGCTTTTTTGTGCTTATTTTTTTCAATGTTTAAACTGATGGGGGGAGTTTTTTTTTCAACTTTTCAGTCAAACATACACACATATGCAAATATAAACATATGTGTGTGTGTGTGTGACTTAGTTGTCGGGAGAAACCTGAGCATCCAGGAGAAAACCGCACAGAATAATGCTATTAATTGGAGGTGTTTGAATATGTTAGTGGTCTGGGGATGAGGAGTGTATCAGCCAATGGTTATATTCATTGTGGATGGATGTACCTCCTTTGTCTGAATACTTTTGTTTTTGGGCTGGGGTGGGGGACTGGGCTTCAGGTCTTTGGCCAACTGCATTTTCCTGATGATGCAGGTTTTTGGAGCATCATATTTCGTAAAGCCCCCCCTGTATGGGGCAGAGCTTATGGAGACATCTTCGGGTAAAGCACAGCTATCCTGTTTTCGTCTGATTCGACGGGTTTCCCGCGTACTATACCTCGGTAAGGGTTCCCTTGTATTAGCAGCTGTAGGTCCAACCACGTGTCTGAAAGGAGGTGACGATGAGTCGACAGGTGGGAGAACTGGCTGCCTACGATACCTCAGTAAGGGCTCCCCTTTACCAGCAACTGCAGGTCTGTCAATGTGTCTGAAAGGAGGTTCTGATGAGATGATAGGTGGGAGAACTGGATTTGCACGACCCCTCAGTAAGAAGGGTTCCTCTGTATCAGCAGCTGTAGGTCCGTCCATGTGTCTGAAAGGAGGTTCTGATGAGTCGACAGGTGGGAGAACTGGCTGCCTACGATACCTCAGTAAGGGCTCCCCTTTACCAGCAACTGCAGGTCTGTCAATGTGTCTGAAAGGAGGTTCTGATGAGTCGACAGGTGGGAGAACTGGCGGCAAAGCTTCTCTGCACTTTGCTCCAGCAGATTCGCAGTGTATGTATGCAGGAGGTGGCGATGAGTTGATAGGTGGGAGAAAGCTCTGTGGCCGATCATCCTTACATTTGTTCTCCAGCCTTGAAGGCGCTTTATTTGTGTTGAGAACAATTCGTCCAGAGGCTCGGGCCTTTTGTAATTCACGCTCAGCATACTCTTTGAACTCTTTCTCCTCAGCAGCTAAAGCTTTTGCTTGCCTTTTTTCAGCTTCCTTGGCCTCCTTTCTCTGCTGTTCCTGAATGGCACGTCTCTGTGCGCGTAATTTGACATTACCATCAGAAACTTTGATGTTTCTTGCCCTCGCAGATTTAGCTTTCTGGCTTTCCCTTTCAAAGTACAACCTGTTGTCCTCTTTCTGGGCCTCAATCAGCTCAAGATCTCTCTGCTTCTCCTCCAGCTGCTTCTGCACCTTTTTACGCATCTGCGCTTCTTTGTGAGCTGAAACAGCTTGCAGCATTTGGTCTCTCTTCTCCCCCTGTATTTGTTTCTGTATTTGTTCCACCGCTGCTTGTTTTTTGGCCTCTTCACATACTTTCTCTTCATCCCTGGCCCGACTTTCCTCCTTCTTTTTCCCTTCCTTTTCCAACATACATCTGACCTTATCCATGCAAAACTGCCTCTGCACAAACCGGGGATCTATGTACTCTTTTCTTTGCCAGCATTGCTCTTCTGTTTCAGACCGGTCACGTTCTATCTTCCTATCCTTCAAAATGGATTGTTGCTCCCTTTGTTGTTTATAAAAGTTTTTCTCAGCTATATCATTGAGACGACGTTTACGGTTGGCTGCCTTTAACTGAGCTTCTTTTTCAGCTTGATCTTTCTGCTCCTGTGCATACAACTCATCCAGGGCTCGAAGTTCAGCTCTCTCCTCTTTCTCAGCCTGAATCTTCTTCTTCTCTCGCAACAGTCTCTTCTCCTTCCCCATCTCCTCATTCTCTTCACCCACTCTGCGCCAGAGTTCCTTTCTCCGAAGAGATTGCTCCTGCTGTTCTCTCAGAACTTGCTTATCATCAAGCACCATCTTCTCTTCGAACTGCCTTTCTTCTTTTGTAGCAATTTTTTGTCTTTCTTGCCGAAGTTTCGATAGTTCCTTATTTTCCTTTCTAATATTTATGGCATCCAGTTGACTGTGAAATCTCCTAACACAGTCTCTTTCTTTGTCGAGAGTTTCATGCTTTTTTTTCTCCTTCTCCTCTGCAATTTGAGTATCCAATGTGGCTTCCCACTCTCGGATCAGTTCTTGGACCCATGCAATCTGCGACATTTTGACGTTATTTTGATGTTACGGTAAAATAAAGTCAATGTTTGTACTGAGGCTGTGTACTTCTGCTAATTTCTGAACGACTTATTTCTAAAAACCTTTGTCTTCTCTTTAAATCCCTTTAGAATCCGTGACATCATCACATCAAAGCCGTGACGTCATCAAAGCCGTGACATCATCACATTTGAAAGTGATGTCACTAGGGCTGCAGCTATCGATTATTTTAGTAATCGAGTACTCTATCGATTTAATCTAACACACAAAACTGAAATAGGCCAGGTCTTTCAAATGAATATTTTTACTGCATAAATCAGGAACCAAAAGTTTTACATTTTACACATCGCACTGATGCCCATCCATGCTTTTCGGTCAAAATCTTAACCGCTGCGACAATGTTGGCACCGTTGTCATGGACAACAGCTTTGATCTTGAGGATTCCTATGACATCATCATATTCCATTTACTATGAGGATTCCGATGACATCACAATTACCTTTGGGCTTGCCATCTATCGTGACCAATCAGAATTAAGCAGGGGCGGGACTTCTAGAATCAACCACGTAAATGATTGACATGTGATTGTTGTGTACAAAACCTGTCAGAACTACTGTATGTGTGCAGCTGTAAGAATTTATAGTTGTGCAAAAATACATTTGTTGTACACAAATGTATGTTTTTATATATATGAATCATTAAGTTCTGAGTTTTTTTTTTAATTTTATTTTTATGAAAGCTTTGCCCTTATCCTTGAATTGTGAATTGTGATACCCTCAGTCAGGATTTTTTTACTCAGTTTTTTTATTCATCAAATTTTTTCTCAGTTGTTGCTTTTTTGTTTCTCCTAAAATTCACTAGGAGAAATAGTTGAGAATATAGCAGCAGGGTTCTTGTTTGAGACCTAAAGCAGAGAGCTTATTAATGGTTAATTTTATCCCTAAACAAAATGATAATGAGACACAGAGGAAGTGAAGAAACCAACAAAAATTAAACAGCAATCCCATGCCAACAATACTACAATATTTGACAAATCACAAAGTCTCCCAAAGTAAAAGTTTAATTCTGTTTGATTCAGGCGCCTGCTATCCATCAAAAAAGAAAGGAAAAAAAAAGATCATTTTAATAACAATAACTTTATTTATATAGCACCTTTAAAAACAGACATTTACAAAGTGCTTGAACAGAAAAAAACAAACAAAGCTGTAAGCTCAGTCTTATTTACCAAACTCTTTGTTACAGCACCTTGTTTTTCTGTTTGTTTTTTTAAATATGAAGACAACCATTGTTGTTTTGACTGACTCATTGCATGTTACAGCAACCTAAATAAATTGTGTTCATCTGTTTGTTACATGTCAATATGGTTGGAGAAGGGAACATGGGAAAAAAACATTTGTAGATTACAGTTGAATTTTTTAAACAGAAGAATCTCTGCTTCTGTTTCTAATGTCAAATGTTCCTGTGACCCTGTCCGGTGTAGATTCTAACCAAGAAATTTCTTGTTGTGAGGCAACAGGGCAAATCATATGGAGCCAGATCAGGCTCAAAAGTATTGAAAAGTAGTGTAAGTGAAAAAATAAAAAGTGAAGTGGAAAAATAAGATTTGAACCTGAAAAAAATAAAATGGAGCCTGAAAGTCTTGAATTTCGAAATTGAACTTTGAAAAATCCCACAATGCATGAAAAAAAATCTGTTCAAATGTAACTTTGATTCTGTTTTTAATACTTTTGAATAAATTACTTATTTCTATTTTTCACTTCAATGTATATTTCGATCTTGGAGTACTTTTTTTTTTTCGATTGAATTTTATGTATCCATTTCAGATTCAGATTTTTTCGGTTTCAGATTTTTATTTTTCAGATTCAGATCTTTTTTCGGATTCAACTTGAAAAGTTTCAGGTACACTTTTGACCCTGTTTTTCCGTGGGGGCGGGCCTCGACTGAGAGGGGCGCGGTCTGCCATGAGTGACAGGCCTCCCCCTCCTTCCCCACCCCATCACCCTGCGTTCAGGAAGTGGCATGAATACACATTAGCTTAGCCTACAATTAGGCTGTATTGGCTGAATGAGATCGTGTTGGTTCGTTCCACTTTAGTGGTGCAATGTAAACTGTGATTCATAAAAAAGCTCTATTGATAGTTAATACTAAAAAAAACATCTACTCATGTCATCCAGTCGATTTTTAGTAATCAGTGTTTCGGTGTTGAACTATTTCCTTTCTGCGGTGTATAGGCTGTATTGAGACAGAGGAAAAAGTGCTTAGAAAGTGAATCTCGTTCCACTTCAGTGGGGCAACATAAACTGTGATTCATAAAATAGCTCTATTGATAGTAAGTACTTAAAAAAAAATCTACTCATGCCATCCTGTCGATTTTTAGTAATCAGTGTTTCGGTGTCGAACTATTTCCCTTCTGCGGCGTAGTGATACTTGCACACGTGCAATCGAATATGCAAGGGGTGAAGCGATTTTTGTCACGTGGACCAATAGGGACCGAGTCTCGTTGCCATAGTATCAGAAATACACAAACATGGCGACGACCGCATCTCGCAACGAGACAAGCGGAGAGGAACAAAAGAAAACGGCCTTCAAAAGTGCATAAAAAAAGAACGAAACGATGATATATGCATCTATCATCTGCTATCTGTCGAGAGTGAAGACGTTCTCGACTTTACAAGGACACGTTGGGAAACTTACAGAACTAGTATTGGAAAGTGGCTTTCTCTACAGGGTGAGACAAAGGACCTTGCAGAAACTTATAAACTATTTGAACGAAATTCACTTTCCAGGCACTTTTCCACTTTTACTATATAAATAAAGTTATCATTAAAATGATCACCTGCAGCACCAGCTATATAACATGCCCTGCAGACCCTGAGATGACACTGGGCATCAGGCTTCCTGTTCTGGTGATGATCGTTAAGAACCTCCAGAAGTATTTCACCTTCGAAGTCCAGGTTATCCCAGAACACGTCTCCTCACTGGGGACATAAACATAAAGTAAATCTTGAGTTTCTTGTACCAGTTGAATGTTTTTTCATGCTTTCTCTACATTTTTGTAACTTTCAGGTGCTAGATGATCAAAATGTTCGCAGACGGTTTCGGGTTAGCAACTACCGAAGCACGACAAAAGTGAAGCCGTTTTTCTGCACAATGCCCATGAGGTTGGAGGATGGCTGGAACCAATTCCAGTTCAACAGACTTCACAAGGAGAGCCTATGGGACTAATTATGTGGAGACACTGCGTGTGCAGGTTAGAAAACTCAGACAGCCCAAAAACAGTCCTTAAAAGGCGCCTACACTCAGTTTTCTGAATAATCTCTGTAGCAGTGGCTAACTTTCTGTTTTCCCTTCTAGATCCACGCTAACATCCGAATACGGAGAGTGTATTTTTCTGACAGACAGTATTCTGAGGATGAGCTCCCAGCAGAGTTTAAACTCTCTCATCCTCATCCCAAGTTTTAGTTCTGATTGTTATGTTGTTGTTATGTTATGTTGTTGTATTGTAAATCTGAAGTTTTAGTTCTGATTGATATGTTATTGTTATTGTTATGTTATGTTGTTGTATTGTAAATCTGAAGCTTTAGTTCTGATTGTTGTGTTATTGTTATGTTGTTGTATTGTAAATCTGAAGTTTTAGTTCTGATTGATATGTTATTGTATTGTAAATCTGAAGTTTTAGTTCTGATTGATATGTTATTGTATTGTAAATCTGAAGTTTTAGTTCTGATTGATATGTTATTGTTATGTTATGTTGTATTGTAAATCTGAAGTTTTAGTTCTGATTGTTATGTAGTTATTCTCTACAAAATAAAATTTTTAATGGACTCATTTGTCTTCAAACTTTTTCATATAGGCAGTCAAAAGTATACAAATACACCTTATAAAGCTATAAAGCTTGATCTAGAAACTAAACAGGGAAAAAACTACAACAGAAAATCACTCTCCTAAAGAGGAAACAAGGATTATCAAAAATACAAACGTGGTTATCAAGCAAGGCTGTGGACATGAAGGCTGGAGGACCACGACTAAACGAGACACTCTGGCACAGGACAAAGGGAGACACTGGCTGTGTCCGAAATGGCATACTGCCTCATATCGACTTAGCTACTCAAGCAGTACCTACTGCATACTGACTACTCAAAGATGATTTGAGTATGCCGTGGCTGCCCGAGCGTTTACATACAGATGCATACTAAATACCCCAGAATGCATTTCGTGCCGGCCGGACGCAGCGCCGGGAAAATTTAAATAGTCCTACCACAAGCAACACAGAACGACTGCATTCCAGACAAATTATATAAATTCATTCAATAATAGTATTTTTTCTAGCGAGAAAGTAAGTGTTTACATCACGATTATGAGCCCAGTTGTTTGAAATAGTGGCTGTTTTGTAGATTTGTCTCGGCGTTTTCGGAGACCGAAGTGTCCGCTTGGTGGGTGTTTGCGTCTATTTACCGTAAACACCGGGCAGCAGCAGCTCCCCCTTCACGTTTCCAAATTATTGCCACAATAACGTCCCAGAACAAGAAGAGCTAAAAATATCTCTGAGACAGACAGAAGCCATTCTACTAACATTCACAAAAAGAGGTAAGATCAGAGCAGGTTAACTGTCCTCAAGACTTCAGCGTTGCTGCATAACATTAAATGCTATTCAGGTCATCTGGTGAAAATTCCTTTATTTTTAATATCGCAATATATATCGCAGGGTTGAAAAAAATCGCAATGTTAGTTTTTTCCAATATTGTGCAGCCTTGTACCACAGTACATAAACAGAACACAAAAGTACTGAAATGAACTATAAATAATAACAATTTTAAGATATATATTTTTTAAAAATTAGCAGGGTGATGTTCTGGTGGTGCACCTCCCACCACATCGAGCTGGTGCCTGTTTCAAATGGTCCCCAATCGATGCTGCGACCAGTTCCTCTGTTGCTGTCGGGAAGTTAATGCGAACAGACTCTGCGAAAAGAAAAAAACAAAAGAAACTTGAATCATAGTAATGGTAGAAATTATCTAGTAATGTCTGGAAGGATTCTTCACTTTTTTACAGCTTCAGGCTTTAAATGAGTCAGTAACATGACCAAGAATAAGTAATAACTTGCAGAGATATAATTCATTTACCAAGAATAACTGTGAAGAAAGCAGTTTTCTTTAAGCTTTTTTTCCCCTGGCGTCCTCCACCCAGGAGGTTGTACTTCCTCTGCACGTCATTGTGTAAAATTCTGAAATGGATATCAAAGACAAATAAATCTCTTAAGGTGCGTTCACACCAGACAGGCGACTCAACTTGTCACGTCTCGAGGGGCCATTGCGTCACATGTCCTTAAACGTGTCACTTTGCCACAGTCATTTGCGTTGTGCATTACGTCACGCCCACTCTAGGTTTCCCCTCGATCTTGTCGGATACCGTGTCCAGCGCTGCTCTTTATTTGCTGAACAAGTCCCTAAAACGTCAGAGAAACCCTTGCCGCCGTTGCGCAAGTGCCTGTGTGAATGCACCTTAATATTGCTTACTCTTGCAAGTCTCTAGAAAGACTTGATAAACACCAACAATACATGATTATATTAATAACATTGACCATTACATTGTCTTGCATTCATTTTAAAGTAGTCATATTCATACCTGTCCAGGATCTTGCGTGTGCAGGTCTTAATGTCCTTCCTGCCAAGGTGTGACAGTTGTTTTATCTGTTTGATGTAACCAAATTATCAAGAGTGTCTAATGTATAGATTTGCATGATTTTTAGCATCTCTATTTGACTTACCAGTGAACGTTTTATGTTGGGGTGCCTATCGATTTCCAATGACATGCGCTGAGCCTCCTCCAAAGTCCTTAACGGCAACTGACGTATCTGCTCACCCCCATCTTCAATGTCCCCCTGCTGGTTGAGCGATTTCACTTCATCGCGGATTTCCAAAAGTATTTCCACGACAGCCCGCTGGAACTCTTAGTGAAAAGATATGATTTAGTAACATAAAATTCAATAATTACAATACATTACATAACATTTTGTACTTTAGTTATGCCACTCTTACTTTTTTTACTGTCCACAAAACACGGAGTCTGCAATAGTGTGCGGCCATCTTTGGGCAAGTTGTGGCCATGTTTGCGGAGGATCGCCAACATCTTATTAACACTACTGTGAGTCTGCTTTGTTTCTACAGCCCAAGCTGCCACATCCTCTCTTAGGCTTGACAGTTCATCTCCGGTTTGGGATTCCAAGTCAACAAGCTCGGTTTCTTCATCACTTGTGTCTGGATATTCACTATAACTGTAGTCCTCTTGATTATCAGGCTCTTCTTTCAAATAATTAGAGGCCATATTCAATGTGGCTGAAAAGAAAACACATGGAAAAAATAAAGTAGAACAATAATAATGTTAATAACAGTGTGAGCTTGTAGATCAACCTTTATAAAATTGTTTTTTTTTTATTTTTTAGTACAATTGGCAACTTGTGAAGCAGGACATAATGCATAATGAATACCTTTTGCTCTTGGTAAAAAAAATATGTCAGTACCAATGCTTTTAGATTTTTACTACTAGCATTTCCTATAGCACTGCTAATGCCTTAACAAAGTAATATTTTAATAATTCAACTAATGCGTCCCATTTCTACCACACATAGTGGAAAAAAAACATTTATGACAATTACAGTTAAACAGAAATTTAACTATATAAAAAAATAACACTGGATAAACAAAAACAACAGTACTGGCATCAAAATAGGCTTCATTTTCTAATTTAAATGGATAGCCTAACTAGCAGCTCTTAAACTTGGCTCCAACAGAGAGAGCAGGCCCTTCTTTACTTTCATGACAACACGCGTTAGCATGGACTTGAATCATAGTAATGGTAGAAATTATCTAGTAATCATAGGCTACATGCGAACTCGAGTTTAACGTTTGCTGTAAATGTATTTCACCGTCACGCATCATGATGCACGACGATGGGAGGACCAAAGCTTACAAATAAACATGTTCTATAATATCTGCTTCAGCACCCACCTCTTTTCAGCAGAAAGTACGACTCTTGAACTCCGCGACTCGTGGAATTTCTGCTGTACTCCGACGGTCGTGAGGTCGAGTGTGGACAAAGCGCAATGCTTCAGCCGGATGTTGTGCGGTCCACAATTTGAAGCCGTTTTCATGTTATGGTCCGATTATGGTATCATCTCCATACGGATGTAAAGCTGGGCTTTTGCAAAGCTACCAAATACTTTTTGTCGCTCATCTCGTAGTATTGCGGCTATGCCGATAACTTTTATCTACGGACTACTTCGCTCTTGGCGGAATTAGAATCTACCCAAAGTGGTTGCACGGTCGGTCACGTGAGCGTGCTCCACCAATAAAGTGGCTGGATTATTGTCACGGTGGCAGCTGACGTTACCGAGACGGATAAAACACATGAAATCTAAGAATTAAATTGAATTTCAGCGACCAACTTTGTTGTCGAGTACTCAGCAGGACCCAGGCTTTAAGATCCGAAGCTGTTTTTTTTTTTTGCCGTCTATGCATTTTGACGGGATATGGCGAAAACACTGGTTACTCTCCGGAGTATGATAGTCCCATAGATTGAGATCAATTCTGCAACGTTCAGTTATCATTTTAAATAATCAACTCTTGAATTGTGGATTAAAATCGGTTGTCTAGATTCGGTCTATATGTAGACGTTAAAATGAAGTGTAAATTTACACGTGTAAATGACGTCTACATCTATACTATGCTGCATATCTCTCCACGGTATCATAAGTAATGTAATCCAGTATTAAAAGGTCAGTTATGCACATTACAGTTGTTTATTGCATAAAAAGTTATCGAAAAATGAAGTTGAGGGAGATTCGGTCTATATGTAGACGTTAAAATGAAGTATAAATTTAGACTAGACGTCTAATATACGTCTTTTGCTCAGTGGGACGGGAGTCAAAATGAACATAAAGGACAATAATTTCCCTGGACTCTTGCGTCCCCGTGGCTGGTGTTAGAGGGTGCACACTCAAACACTTACACGGGTCTCGCTTACACGCACACACATACACACTCAAACCGAGGCGGTGGATTTCCACAAAGTAAATACGAAATGACGGTCACGTGGTTCAGAAATGATTCTGAATGATTCTGTGTTTGTTTGGTTTTTTTCCAGCATGTTCCTCAGACCCCAGCTGACTTCATGTCCTCTCAGATGACTCCACTCCACTGAGGCCAAAGGTGAGACTGAGGCAGGGATGCAACTTTATAAGCCTAGAAAGAAAATAAAGATGAGGCTTGAAAATGGTCTGATTTGGAGCATGGCTGCCAACCATCATGCAAACATGAGCTGTTTAAAATGACTGGTAACACTTTACAATAACCATAAATGGTAAATTGACCATTTATGAATGGTAAGCAGATAGTTTATTAATATTTAAATCATTTATAAATAGCATATAGGCCATAAATAAATTGTCAATTTTATAAAAACCTTACCCTAACGCTACTATAAACATCTAAGTAATGTTTATAGGTGGTTTATAAACCAATTATTAATAATTTACAAAGTATTACAAACATCAGTTACAACTTTACAATAACCATCAAGTAATGTTTATAGATGGTTTAAAAAACAAATATTAACCATTTACTGACACACATTTTAATCTAGATGTTTTAAAACCAATATTTAAACCCTATATAAACCTTTAATAAATAGTCCATTAATAATTAATGAAAATTATCAATCATTAAAGTAACAATTAACTTACATTAAAAAACGATTTATTTGGCATTTATTTTGGTCTATAGGCTGTTTTTAAATGATGATTAAACTTTAATTATCTATTTACCATTTATAAATTGTAGTTATTGTAAAGTATTTAAAATAGGGCTGAACTCATAAAATTGTGTGAAAGCTGATTATTGAAGGAGGTCAAAGAGGTCAAGGTTTTTAATTCTGAGTCTTATATTCAGGACTTAGGGTTTGATGGTTGTGTATTTCTCTGTGTGTTAACCAGGAGCTGAAATTACGCCGGATCAAGTCAAACTGAGGCAGAACTCATGACCGTCCAACGCCTGGACCCTGTAAGGTAAGATACTGACTACTTCACTCCACGGACAGACCATCAACGAGGGACACTGGAGGTCAGTTTGCTTTTGGTTTGACAACAACCACACCAACAAAAACAAGAACCCCACCATCAACAATCAAGCAGTGCAGTTGTTCTCTGCCCGAGTAGCAGGTTTTGGTCTAGTTTTGGTGATGCAATTGTGGAGAGAGTGTTCTCTTCTGGGGTTGCAGGTTTTGGTCTAGTTTTGGTCTGCTTTGGTGATGCAATTGTGGAGAGAAGTTGTTCTCTTCCAGAGAAGCAGATTTGTGTCTAGTTTTGCTCTGTTTTGGTGATGCAATTGTGGAGAGAAACTGTTCTCTTCCAAAGCCACAAAAACAAGCAATATAGACCCCCAAAACAAGTCTACTATCAGATTTAATTAAACAAAATAGCAACTCGGTCCTCAAAAACGTGTAAATCAACAAATTTACCAAAACAAAAATGAGAGTTCACTCGAATTAAAATTTCACTTCCTGAGGGAAACTTTAAAATAGTCGGGTCGGTCACAAGGATTAGGTCTGATTTCGGCAATGCGTTTTTGGAAAGTAGCGTTTCTCTGCCGAAGTGGATACTCCTCCTCGTCGCCCCAAACTACCTCAGATTTCCCCGACGTGCTTTTGGTCAAAGAAGAAAATGAAGATGTAAGAAGACCTCCAAAAGGTGTGAAGATCTTCAACGAGGGATGGCTGCCCAGTGCACGGACCCATTTGAAGGACATCAACCAGGTTGATTTTTTTCATACTGCTTGTTTTTTTCCCTAATTTGTCTTAAAACTGTTGTTTTCACTCTTAAAATGAGTGATTATGAAAATGAAAACCCAGTAATGTTAATTACAGTGGCTGTTACAAAGATAAGGATTCAAGGCTGTTGTAAGGATAATTAGACTGAAACCAAACCCTGCTAAACTCTAGTGCACAGTATTTTTCTGTGCTTTATTTTGACCAGAAACATGGTTCATGACTTGATCCAAACCCAGAAATAGGTTCTCAATGTGCTTTCAAAGACTTGATTTCAAGCTCTACAAAGATTTTTAAACGTTGCTTCCAAAGACTTGATCTTAAAACCAAAAAACAAGGTTTAAAAGGTGCTTTTCAAAAACTGGTTCTTGAACAAGCAAAGATGGCATGTTAAAGGTCTGGTCTCAAAAGGTCTGTCAAAAGCCCCTTATCTAACAAGAGCACCTTCAAGCCTAAAAATAAATTGCCTCTACTCAATCAAAAATGGCATAAACCAAACAATCAAAGCTTTTTCTCCGCAGCACTATCAAAGAGAACAAGAAGACCATTCAGAAGAACTGAAGGAGTAGAAGAAGACCTGATGTGGACCCTGTGTGTCAGCGCCCAAACCTCTGAACAGGACTGGGTCTGTTTTTTTCCTTTTACATTTGACTTAAATATGATGATCACACTCCAAAAAAACCCTAATGATAAAATGTTTGTTTTACTCTGGAGTGACATGAAAACGAAAAAGCAGTAATGTTAACTTTGATGCAGAGGCAGTAACAGCTGTCAAAACTGTAAGGATAACTATGCTGAAAATGAACCCAGCTAAACTTGTCAAGTGCACAGTATTCCACAGTGCTTTATTGATATGTCCAGTTAAACTTCTATTCTTTCATAGTATCAGGATCATGCTAATGTTAAAATGCAAAAACCTCAAAGGTTAAGACCAGCAGATCCAGAGGAACTACAAGAAGGACAACAAGAACTTCAAGAACAGCGTGACAATATTGACATGGCTTCTGCTGTAAGGTTGGTCATCTTTCTGAGGGTAGGTGAACATCTCCTTGTTTGTGGATGTGATCATCTTGATTTAAAACTCAAAAAAAAAAAAGGTTTGAGGGGTGTTTTCCAAAACTTGATCTCAAATCCAGAGACATGGTTTTGTAACCTGAAAATGAGCCGAACCGTTTAAAGAAAGCTAGGATAAGGGGAATCGATGTACTTGGGTCGGAAATATATAGCAATAAATCATCTGTATCACCCCTCTATAAATCTGCGAAGATCTCAAATATATTGATAGCGGTTCGATAGCAATCGCGAACAGTAGCGCGGACATTGGGCAGCCCTGGCGATTACCACGTGAAAGTGAAAAGAACTGAGATCCTATATTATTGGTACTAATACTCGCTTGTGGTGATGTGTAGAGGAGGCGTATCCAGGAAATGAAGACTCTACCTAGTCCAAATCTATGCAGTACCTCAAATAAGTAGTTTAATTCCACTCTATCAAACGCTTTTTCGCTGTCGGCAGAAATTACTACCTCAGGGGTCTGAAGGGAGGGTTTAGTGTATATGACATTTAAAAGAGTACGAATATTATAAAACAGCTGACGTCCTGTTATGAATCCCGTCTGCTCACCCGAGATGATGGTAGGAAGTATGTTATCTAAGCGTAGGGCTAAAGCGTTGGCTAGTATTTTGGCATCAACATTTATTAAGGAGATTGATCTATAAGAGGAACATAGGTCCGGATCTTTATCTTTTTTAAGTAATACATTTATGGAGGCCTGACGAAGAGTAGGGGGGAGAGAACCTGATTCCAGTGATTCAACATAAACAGAGTGCAGTAGAGGGGCCAATTTGTTCTTGAATTTCTTAAAAAATTCTACCGGGAATCCATGAAGTATGTATGAAGAACTGGAAAACTAAACAAGATGTAATAAGTAACTGACACAGCCAACTTTTAGTAGCACTCAGTGGTTTAATTTGTGCATTTGGAAAAACTATTTTAATGTGAAACCATTAAGCGATAGTACAATAGTATCATACCCAAAAAATAACATGAATTATACATGTAAACTTAATTTCAAAAAGAGTTGTATTCTGGTTAATAGTGTTCAGTCTTTCCTTTTTTTTAAATCAGTAGTTATGTTATTTTCTGTATTCATCCAACATAGCTGTTGATCTTTGTTGTTGATTCCACATCTTTAACAAAATACAGTGTATTTCATCTACAATTTTCCCTGAAATTAAAACTGGCCTCTTAGAGGGCAAATGTTCTTGGCACCTAAAGCAGAAATTAAGATAAAAATATATACATTATAGCCGCCTTTCACCATAATTCCAGTGTTCTCTGACTATTGCTGCATAAGTTACATAGTGTACATTTTTCAAGCCTACAGTGCGTTAAGATCTCTGCTTGAAATTCTGACGAGCTGTTCATTAGTGTAAAGAGTATAAAGATGTAGCTTTGTTCACAGTTTAGCCTGTAGTGGCATGTCATGGAGGCACTGCCTGACCAGCCCCAGCGCGTCCCGAGCCGTCCCCCAGGCGAGCGTGACCCCCCACCCTCCATGGCCATAGTTGTGGACCACGGGGACCCTGCGACCCTGCAACTGCACCACCTCCCTCTCCACCCTCGGGTTCTTCCTGCCCGGCCTCAGCCCCACCCACTTACTGAGGACTTTAGCTTTGCTGAGCGACGGCTCCAGTCTGCCGCAGCGCTCCAGGATACCTTTTGTGTCTCCTGGGTCCACGTTCAATCTCCAGTCATCCTGCTGCCTCGTGCCGCCTATGGTGACACTGTGTATGCCAGGGTAGATGTAGGTTTTTCCATCTCCGTCTCTGATGAAGTGCTGCAGCCAGGGGGCCTCCACCTTCAGGACCTGACCTCTGACTGGGTACACATCGCCGTCATCCACCAGGGTTTTGGAGCCCAGACCAGAGCAGTTTACTATCAGGTCGTAGCTGCTGCTCAGCTCCTGAAGACTGTTCACCTTCCTCTTTTCCACCTGACCGCCAGCTCGTCTGAACCTGTGTCAAAACAGAAAGTCTTTCATCCATCAATCCATCAAAAATTAAACTCTTAATATTTCTTTTAATCTGTATAGGGAATTAAAAAAACCCACAAACTTTCTAACAGGAGTTTAAAGTGAGGCACTAACCTCTTTTCAAGCCATGGCAGGTAGCTGGAACATTCACACTTTACGGTGGTGAACGCCTGCCCAAATTTATGATCTGGAAACCTTTTCAATTCCTCGTCAGTCATGAAACGAAAGCCGAACATGCACTCTGAAAAGTGTGGCTTCTTGTTGGCTGGAACTTCTTTAAAAATCTGCCATCTAGAGTAAAAAAATAAGCATAATTTTAAAAAATCACTGCGTGCAAAAAGACTGAAAGTTTGCCCTCTTTATATGGCCCTTTATAAAAGTTAATACCCAGAGCTCAGCATAACTCCAGCCTCTGGTGCATGTTCAGATTGAGCAATGGCCAACAGGTGATCAAAGCTGTCCTTGAACCAATGTCTCTGTCTTTCCAAGGGAATATCTGATATAAAATATAATATAATTTATCATTTAAAGCATGCAAAACAATTGTGTAACACATTTAAAACTTTATATTTGCAATATAAAAGATTTTACCCTTGCAAAATAATATTCAAGAAAAACAGCATGCATTTGAGTGTTTATCTAACAGAATTATTGTTGCTCACCCGGGAAAGTCCCAGGATACAGGATCCCTGCAGCTCCATCACTGGTGGTGTCTGGACTGAACTTCTCAGCTATCAGAGTGACAGAGCAGGAAGGAAGAGCCTCAGCAATGCAGACAGCTGTGGAGAAGCCGACCACACCTGCGCCCACCACTGCGACCCGGACTCTCTTCATCCTGATCAGGTCTGAGTGTCAGACTGGAGAGGAACACGAGTCAGAGGGTTGAGTCAAATGCTGTCTGAATGCTGCAGGACAACCTCACCTTACCCGACTGCATAGTCCAAGGATCAATCACACAAAGCACTACTTCAGTCCAACAGCCTGTTATGTTAATGATGTATTACATAACAGGCATTGTAAACTGTGCTGCAAACAGTGCTGGTATTCTCTGAACCCATGTTTTATTGAACAGCCATCCACATGAAAAGGATTTATATCAGCCATTTCCTTTTCTTGCACATTTCTCCTGGCTGTATCAGATAGAGACAATGAGTGCAACAAATATACAACTAAGTAGAGCCGTTTAAAGGTGAAAGTTATGCTTTTAAACTTGAGATTAAGAAATTACAATCACCAAGATTTACAATGCATTATCATTTTAAATCAATATGGGCTCCTACTGCAACTAAAAAGTAGGAATGCTGTAATTGGTACAGAGGGGGAGTAAAATGAAAAATACCATGCTCACTTTTGGAAAGTTTAATCTGTAATCACTCATCATAATCAAAAGTATCATACAGTTATTTAACTTAAATACCTTTTTGGAGTTCTGATTTTTTTATTAGCATATTGATCTGAATACAAGTACAGATCACAAACCAAAACTCTTCAGTAAAAAGTGGACTAATGCCTTTCAACTACAGAGTTTAATTGTGGATTTATTGTTCATTTTATGGGATTAAAATCAGTATGAAAATTGATAAACAGTTCATGGTTACTAATAGTGCGCTGCATGTTGCAACCCAAACGAAAACTAATGTGTAATGAAAACACAGAGGGTTGAATCAATATTGCAGACAGTCGAGAAAGCCCAATATAACATAAAATAAATACATGTATCTAAGGTGAAAAAAAGGTCAAAAGAGACTTTGTGGCTGAGGCATTTGATAAGTTATACGAGACACTCGGACTCTCCTGAACCTACCTGTTATGTTCGGGACTATCTTCTGCGGTCAGTGACACACAGCTAGCAGTACTTGTTGTCTCTGTCATTTCATAACTGGAAAGACTGTTACCAGTCGGATCTGCAAGGACGACGAGCAAATCGTCGTCCGTGCATGAATAAAATGCAGCCCGACTGAATAATACTTACCCGACATTTACTTCTAAATGACTACATATAAACACTTTATACGAATGAAAGAAAATTAGGTCCGTTTATGACTAAGCCTTGGAATAAACTAGTAGTGGCAAACAATTGATTTATAAAACATGTAGCTGTCTTGTATTGAAGTAGCTGGTCCTGTCCATAGACATTGTATACGTAGACGCCTCGTTACGTGCTGAAGCGTAAGTCAGCGTCGCCGCCATGTTGGATGGGTCTCACCACTGCAGGTTCGCTCAAGTTGCACTCTATTGTTGAAAAAGCCAACGCAGTATTAAAGACAAATCACGTGGGACTACATTTCCAAAATAGGATTGAGAAATAATTTGGTTTACTCTTTATGTGTGACATTGTCCTGTGATATGGCTACATCCCTGTCGCTGTAATAAACCAAATAGTGTGAAAATCGGGCAGAGATTCAGAGAGTTATTATTAATATGGTTGGGCATTCCTACCTACTTTTATGCACTGGAGGCGCATGAGGGACCCATCCAAGATGGCGGCCGCGCTGGTACGTGAGCTCCAATAGGCAGCGTCAGGCTTCTACATATATCATGTCTATGGTCCTATCCATAGCATGTGTAGATCATATGTGAACAGATCTCGTTAGAATCCTGCCTCTCGCGATATTTCCCTCGGCGTTCACACACCGTCCAACGACAGTCGAAGGTAAGGTCCTTAAAGCTCACTATTTTGAATTACACCGCGGTTTATCGTGTGATCCTAAACCACCCGGGTCCTTTGACAAATATAACATCAGTAATGTCTTTTAATTAAACTTATTATATCCGTCACTCGCTCAGATAGCCGATCTAGCCATGGCCTGCTTCAGGCTAACAGGGTGTATTGTTTGAGACGGTGAAAGTTAGCCTACAAGCTAACTTCAAAGTTGTTGACTCTCACCGGCTTTATCTGTTTCTGAGACAAGAAATCTTTAAATATTGAGGGAAAGACGACCAAATACTTTAAAAATAGGTGTGGAAAAGGTATTTGCAATTATCCGCGTAGTTATACACAATGTTAAGTTGCCTTTCTTATTATATTTTCAGTATAGTTCTGTGATATTTATCTGTTCAGTTTTCGAAAGAAAGTATTATTTCATTTTGTATTATTGGTTTTAACTATTTTGTTATGTGTACATATAATCTGTGGGCCCCATAAGAAGCTGAAAGCAGCCCGTGGCTTTTATAGGTTATGGTGTTTTTAATACTAGTTTGTAAATTATCCATTAAAATTTCACTGAATCTTTTTTTAACGGTAAGCCAACAGTCCAATTTTTTAATCAAACAAACCTGAAGTTTGTGCATAACATAGAATGTAAATGGTCAATTTAATGTGATGCTTTTCTTCAGTGGTCAATATTATATCAAAGTAGCTGATACTTGGTTTTATGTTGACTGATAAACAGGCTGTTCAGCATGTTATTCCAGTGTTACACAACTGAAGGATTCATCCCTGTTTTCAGCCATGAAACGTGCAGATGTGCCTCACTTTTAATGAGTTTTCTTTAACGTTACAGCTGAATAAGTCAAAATTGTTTGAATCAAATCAAAGATTAATGTACTTCCTTTTTCTTCCCCTACTCTTTTAGCATTTTCGGTGAGGAAAATGTCTCAGGAAACAAGAACCAGGACTCCCTCTGTCATGGACCTTCATTCAGATTCACATAAGCAGACCATCCTGGGAAAGTTCAACATGCTCAGGAAAAAGGACCTCCTCTGCGATGTCACTCTAGTTGTGGAAAACATCCATTTTAAGGCCCATAAAGCTCTGCTGGCAGCCAGCAGTGACTTCTTCTCTCTCATGTTCACCACAGAAGATCAGCTCTCAGGTCAGTCCACCTACAAGCTGGAGGGTATGGCTGCGAAGATGTTTGCAGCTGTTCTGGAGTTTATCTACAGCGCTCAGGTGTCCGTGGAGGAGGGTGTCGCTGAGCAGCTTCTGGCCACAGCTCGCCTTATGGAGGTCAACGATCTCGTCACAGTGCTTGCTGATCTCTCAAGCTCTGCTGCAGCTGAGAAGGGACACAAACGGATGGAGCCAAGTTCGATAAAACGCAAAAGAGGACGACCAAAGAAAACCAGGGATGTGCCTGTGACAGAGTCTGAAGAAGGAAATAACCCACATGAGAACACAGAAAAGGCACAGGATGGAGATGTGGACTGTGATGTTGTAGTAACTGAGAATGATGCAGACTATAACCCAGCAGGGTACCAGGGTCAGCAGAGCAGACGCAAGATCAGACCGCCAGTGAGATTTGAGAGTTACAAGGTGGGAGGTGACACTCAAGGACAGAGAGAGCAAGGGAAGAGAGGCAGGAAGAGGAAATATCCAAACACTGAGGCACCATGTGAGGAGTGTGGCAAAGTGTTCAAAAATCCCCTTTTCTTAAAGATTCACCAACGGACTCATACAGGTAATCTGACTTTGAGGGATGTTATAAAGCGATGATCCTTATTTTTGTGATTTTGAAAGATAGTTTTGGGATAAAAAAAATAATATAAGCTGGAGCATTTGTCCCTAAATGTTGATCAAAGTCATACTAAGTGATTCATTATGATCCTCCTCCATGTTTTTTTCTTCTTTTTTCCAGGAGAGAAGCCTTTCCTGTGTCTGGTTTGTGGAAAGTGTTTCACGCAGAAGTACTCTCTGCTGGTCCACCAGCGCATGCACACTGGAGAGAAACCGTTTGTTTGTACTGTCTGCTCTAAAGCACTCTCAACCAAAAACTCCCTGCAAGAGCACATGAAGCTCCATGAGGGTATGACTGTATTTATTTGCACAGTTTGTATTTTTTTAGTGTGATGACTGCCCTTTTTCTGTAGATAAAGTGGAATTTTCCTGCCTTGAAAAATTCCTTCTTTTAATTTGGAGTTTGAAAAAGCCAGACCTGAGAGGCTTTGTTGACAACATCCCCGTTGTAAGTGTGATTTTTCTCTGTCCTTACATCCTCAGAGGAGAAATCCTACAGCTGTGATAAATGTGGGAAGACCTTCACTCAGAAAAGGCAGCTAAGAAGCCACTACAGAGTTCATACAGGTGAGAATTCAAAAACATCCTGAGCAGCTTATATTTTTCATCATCCACTAAATAACTGTTTTTATTCTTCTGTTCATTGAAGGGAAATCCTTACCTGAATGTGACCTGTGTCATCACAAGTTTTTGGACACGGCTCAGCTGAAGAAGCACCTGAGAACTCACACAGGTACAGTCTGATATAAGTGTGTAAATTATGTCTACTGTCTGCTAATGAAGCTGATGTTTGAAATCATTCTGCTCCAGGTGAGAAACCGTTCACCTGTGAGATATGTGGGAAGTGTTTTACAACCAAGAGCACGCTGCAGACTCACATCAGAATCCACAGGTGAGTTATAGATCCTGGATTTATCCTCCTCGTCGCTGTAAGGCTGGATATGATGTTAGATTTTATTTTTGTTGTTTTACACTTGTCTTCAAACTTTATTCTTGTTATTTATTATGTGATTCTGGTTTTGAAAGCGCTACCTAGATTACATAAATGAGAGATAATACAAAGTGAGCAGGTGATGTTGCAAGTTGACACGAAGTACTTCTTGATTTACTCATTTGGCTGTTATTGACTGATATTGATCGAGTTTACTTTCTGCAGAGGAGAGAAACCGTACGACTGCAACATCTGCAACAAATCCTTCTCAGACCCCAGTGCCAGGCGTCGACATGTCGCTTCTCACTCAGGGAAGAAACCTTTCACCTGCTCCTTCTGCAGCCTCTCCTTCACCCGCCTGGACAACCTGAAAACACACACCAAAACCCACAACAAGGAAAGAGCTTCAGCGACGGAGGACCCGCCAGGGGCAGCAGAAGCAGAGGCTGCAGCACCGCAGGAGGAGGTGAGAAACATCCTGCAGCTGCAGCCCTACCAGCTGCCCTCCTCCTCTGAACAGGAAATCCAGCTGGTGGTGACCGCAGACGTGGACAACATTAACTTTGTGCAGGGTCAGAACCAAGAGATCAGCATCATCACCACAGAGGGGGAGAGCGCAGAATCAGCCCACTCCAGACTCACCCTCCTCACCCAATCAGCAGGTAACATACAGAACGTTGCTCTGGTCACACAGGGCAGCATGGCGGACCAGAATCCTCAGATCCAGACTATCAGCATGCTGGAGGGTCAGGTGACGCACCAGCCCGAGCAGATGCATGTCATCACACTGAGTAAAGAAGCCATGGAGCACCTGCAGGCGCAACACGGCCCCCCGCAGCCCCTTCAGATCACACAGAGACCCGTCCAGCAGCTGCAGGTGATGCAGCAGCCGGCGTCTTCACAGGGGCAGGCGGGAAGAGAACAGCACAACCAGGCTATTCACATCAGCAGCCAGAGCAGCCAGCCCATCTCCATCAGCCAGACCAGCCAGCAGATCTCCAACCACCACATCCAGGGACAGACGTTCCAGATCCAGGCTGGGACTGTGTCGTATCTGTACACCACAGGGCTGCAGGAGAGCTGATCTGAGAGAGGGTGGAGTGACTGAAAGGAGCCAAATCAGGTCTGAGAATGCTGCTACAGGTCAGGTTGATAATGGGGGAATTACACCTTGTATTTGAGCACCATCAAAATCAGTGTGGAGACTTTTTTGACTTGAGTATCATGAGCCTCTTTCACTCATGGATTTCACTGAATTTTCTAGATAACTCCAGGAAACTGAGGCTCTGGTGACTTGCTATTCTCTCACGTACCTCTCAACACGATACCTCATAACTTCATTTGGTTTAAGTGGCTGCTAGTTGGTACATGCAGTGTGATTTTTAATCACTGCTTCACATTTGATCTTTGAACGTATCCTAACTGTCAGCTTTAGCGGATTTTAGTCTCACGCAGGTTCTTTATTTTCACACTTTGCTGGACATGAAATGCAAGCATCGGTTTGGGAAAAATCAAGTGTAAAAAAAAAAGACAAATAATCAAATGTGAGCAAAAGGCATTTTTGGAAAGTGGAGACTTAAAGGCTGAGTACATTTTTACACAAACTATAACACAATCATGTAAAACTGCTGGGATTGAGAAGTATATTAGTGCTGCACTGTCGTGTGAATACAGCGTGATGACAGTCAGAGTCGAAGAGGGCGGTGACATGTCTCTTTTTAATAAAAATGAGCTTGACCATCACTAAGGTTGACATACAGTTGTTAAAACACAGTTGATCGTTGGATTCAGATTCATCATTTATTAGAAATCAGCTGAAAACGGAGCGTTCTTCATGTGGAAAAGCAGCGTACATATTAAACAAGTCGGTGTCTTTCTAAAACACTCTGGGTGGATGTCACAGGTCTGGTAAAGTCAGGACACGCGGGCGAGTTGGATCCTTTGGGAAACAAAAAAGACTGAGGGGAATGAAGGCTGTCTTTTTCTCACAGCAGCCTAAGTTCAATTAAAAACAGTTACAGTCTTGGATCATATAAGAGAATAAATCCTATAAAAACACAAATGCACTTAAAAAAATCCAGTTTTGTATGAACTTAGAATCAGCGTCAGAGCTCAATTTTTAGCATGAAACAACTGGAAGGTACAAAAATAAAACTCATGCCATAGAATAATAAAAGTCTCATCCATGATCGTGTTATTTTATGATTCGCTTGGTAAAAGGAAAGAAAAGGAAGTCAGCAGTTTGAGGTGTTTAAACTTTCACTGAACTTTGAAAGTACTCCTCTGTGTCTCTGTAACTCACCGCTTTAGGTCTGTCTATCCGTGCCTGTGAACGGCTCCCGGCTGTTTCCGCTCTCTGTCGTCGTCTCTCTGCAGCCAAGTCCTGAAGCGTGCCGTCGTTTGTGATTCTGCCAAGCGGCGGGGCCGACTGCTGAGCGGCCCTGCGTGAACCTGAGACAGAAATAGAACAGAGATGGAGTTCTACCTCTCCGCACAGCGAGGCGATAACACGATCTGTAATAGAATTTAAAATGCCATCACAAAAAGTTACTGGAGAACGTGATGGGTTTAATTTAACTTCTGAACCGCATGAGCAGGTAGGAATAAAAGTCAGGAGTTTTGATTTGTGAACAGATTATTGCTTTAACGCTGTGAGATGGAGGTGAGGCTGTGGAGGGTGCAGTACCTGCTGAGGGACTTCTAGCACTCAATCGGCTGACTGACAGCGTGTAATAAGTCCTGCTCTGCCCTGTGATAGAACCAGGAGTGAAACGTCAAGACGAATCATAAGAAGTAAACGGAGAAACTCTTGTGAGACTCGGTTATCTGGAGAAACTGAGAGGCACAGAGAAGATTCTGAATTCAATCAGAAAAACAAAAAAGCTGAAAGGACACGCATCTCAAGGTCTGAAACCACAAACTATCACCATCACTCTTAACTAATATCAAATTTTAGAGTAAAAATAAGGATGTACCGTCTTATCGTTATGAAAACAGCATTAGCAGCTTAAAAAGTTAATTATGTGATTTACAGAGATGAAGTTTCCGCAGATATAATCAGTCATAGAGGAGATGCATTAATTAATTATATGTTGGCTTCACGATTCAATAATCAGGCCTACAGTCTTTGCTCCCAGGACTTTTATCATTTTACTGTTCCTAAGGTCAGAACAGAAATGGGGAAGAAAGCTTTTAGATTTCCTGCTCTGAGTACATGGAACATCTTGCAATCAGACCTGAAACTTCAAAGTCTGGTAAAGATAAATAAATTAAAATCCCCCCACAGAACAGAGCAAGCATCAGGGACAATACATATGACAATGGTAAGATCAGACACAGCATAAACAGTAGGAGCTAGGGTGGAGGTGGTTTGCAGAGTGGTTGCAGAGTAGGCAGGAGCAGCAGTTTAAATAGGGCGCCATTTTGACATCAGCCAATAGGATGTGAAGAAGGCGATCACCTGAGCTGTCAGCTGACTGAGGGCTGGCTTAAGATTAGCTGACTGTGGCTTTTAGCTTGACTCCGTGACCTGCCTGAACTACTGCTGTGCTTCATTTCTTTTAACTAATTTTGGAAATTCTATTATTGTTTGTATTCTTTGTATTGGATAGGATTAATGTGATTATGTATTGAAAATACATGTGCTGCCATTCAAGGCCAGGTCTCTCTTACATAAGAGATCTTGGACCTCAATGGGACAAACCTGGATAAATAAAGGTTATAATAATAATAATAATAATGAAAATTATACAAGTGTTTGAAACAGACAGCAGATGCGTCGCTGAATAAATACTTTACATTTATACAGCGCCCAACATTAGTCAGTACACCCTTATTAAAAGTAATGTAGAACTCAATATCTAGATGAGCAAAAGTACAATGTCTGAAGTTTTGACAACAAAACATTTTATTTACCATAAGATGAAAATAAAGGTGATTTGGTAAGTAAAACTTAGCTTTGCTCCCAGAACTTTGATTGGGGTGTACTAATTTTTGAATCCTGATTTTAAATTGAAAAAACGCTTTTTTTTCATGCAACTTAAAAAGCTTGTTTGCAATCAACGGCCTACATTTGGGGGAGTATTTTGTTGTGTAGTCTGACATAGAAAATGTTGATTTTGAAAAGAAACTAAAGGTTTTCTGACAACTCTAAAGGGGTGTACTGAGCACTGTATATCATCTGTGGTAGAATTAACTGCTTATATATTCAATCAATCAATCAATCAACTTTATTTCTATAGCACATTTAAAAGAACCATGAGGGTAGCCAAAGTGCTGTACAATGACACATAAAAACAAATAAAACAATCAAAGGACAAGATAAAGCGAGCAAAAATACAGTAATGCAAAAAATAAAAATAAACTGCTTATATATTGCGACAAAGACTAAAACTACAAACTAGCCCTTTAAGAGTACCTGCTGTAGAGATGCTCCTGGAGAGAGCCTCCTCCATGTCGTTCACCTTGGTCTGCAGTCGGACCACTTCCTGTAAGGCTCCCCGTTTGAAGCTGCGCTCATGTTGGAGCTTATCCCTCATCTACATCAGTGTTTCAGAAATCAGAGTTATTGTTTGTTTCACATGATACTGCTGATCAATGTCACACCTTCAGTGACCTCTACAAGGTGAAGGTTAAACCCTTTCTGCATATGCTCCACAATGAGGTTTTTGGAGATCATCAGACACACACACGTTACTCCAGCAGAGATCATTTACAGACCTGTCGGATCTCTTTGGCGCTGCGTTGGCGGTGTATCTGGTCCATCCTGCTGCCTCGGTCCAGCTGCTCGCCGAGCGCTCTGAGCCGTCTCTCTCTGTCCTCCACGTCCGCTCTCATTTGTTCCAGACTCTGCACGCGATAGCTGTCCAGCTCCTGCCGGCTCCGGGCCTCCTGAGCAGACTGATGCCGGGCGACACGCAGCTCCTCTGTCTGAGTGTCAGCGGGGATTTAGTGATAAGCTCAGCCTCACAGTTTCTCACTCTCACAGGGGCTGACATTATGGAAATTTTGGAAATGTCATTGCTCATGATGTTGAAGTTTAACAGAAGTCAAAGTTTATCGAAGTAAACTTGATTCAGAGTTTGTAAAAATAACTTTTACCCCAAAACAGCCGGATAAATTCTCATAAAGAAAGACAAACAGAAACCTCATCACTACCCCAAACTAAAATCAACATTTTCAACTTCCTGCTTTGTAAATTGATGGTGCAATGAGTCAGTTTCCCAGAATAGGATCCTTAAAAATTCAATATATTGAACAACAACCATAAGAACAAACATTCATTGGTCCCGGCTTCAAAGCAATCTTTGCAGATGCGTCCTGGCCTACATGCTCTAGATTTTCATCTGCCTGTTTTTGTATGAAATGCACAAAGTTGTAAGTCAAGACAAAAAAATCATCGGTTATTTAAGGGGATGTATCTGAGAAACTTTTCTAACCTTCAAGCTTAAATATAACAGATTTTACGTCACATCTGGGTTCAGATTTGCTGATTCTGTTGAACATTCACGCAGCAGAAACTTCACGTACCTTCCTGTTGAGCAGTGTCCTGTTGCGGCTGCATTCAGCCTGACAGCGGGTTAACTCCGTCCTCGCTGCTTCCAACTCCTCCTGCAGGAGGATCGCCTCCTCTTCTGCTCTCATCTTCACTCTGAGAGCCTGAGAACGGCAGGCGATCTCCTTCTGCATGTAAGGAGAATGAATACAGCTGTTATTCTTCCTTCATGTGATGTGGAGACTTATGAGTCAACTTAAAACATGGAATAACTGCCCATATAATGCTGTTGTGGAGCTGTATCTTCGCGTGTAATGTCAGAGAGTGAAATACTCTAAAGCCGACCTGCTGAGCTTGAAGCAGCTGTCGGTGGAGTTTCTCCTGCTCCACCAGCTGCCTCCAGACCCTCAGAGTTCTGAGTTTACAGAGCAGAGCGCTCAGCCGCCTGTTCTCCTGCTGCAGCTCATGGACCTCTTCTTTCTGACCGTGCAGGAAAGAGACAGAAAAGACAATGTAAACAGTCAGCTTCTGCAAGAAGCACCTGGATTTAGTGTTTAATCCAAATCTCTGCAGCTCTGTACCTGAAGTTTTGTGTTTGTGAGTCCATCGTTGTCTTTGGTGCAGCCGTATTTCCTCTTCAGTTTGATTATTCTTTCCACTCCCTCGCCTCTTACTCTGTTCATCATCTCACTCATGTCCTCCTCCATCTGCAAACGCTGCTCATCGAGTCTTCCCTGAGATACGGAGTAAAAGGATGCAAAAATTGAAACGTAGACAGTAGAGAAAAACAGAACTGCTGAAAGACCCACTCCGATAAAAATCATGTTTTCCTTGTTTTTAATATGTTCATTTTGCATTTTTCTGACACTACAGGACATATCATGAGGAAAACAAGTGCGAAATCGCATTTCTGAGAAACAGTGGGATTTCATATGTAACAAATCCAAGCTCCGCCCCCAGAGCCTCGCTATGGGCCAGGCCAGAGTCGGAGAAGTAGAGAGGACAATCGCGGAACAAGCGTGCATTGCAATGCTCGTAAGAAAGCTGATTAGCTTTTATCATGTCCCTAAAGACTATAGTGTCTGAGAGCTGAATAGCTTCTATGTTACCTGACACTTCTACTACACAAGCAAAGTTAGGCTGCCAGCCAGCGTGAAGACGAGTGTGCAGAGCAGTGATGTCTCCGTCCACAACTCAGAGGCGAAAATGACACAGGTAATGTGATTTTTGGTAAAAGCTTCATAATCATAATTTAAAGACCACTGAGAACACTTTTAGTAGTAGAAAAAAACATCGGAGTGGGACTTTAAATACACAGAGGAGATAATGTCATAACTTCAATTTGTTCACTCTTTCCTGACAGAGTAAATTCACTGAAGTTAGCTGAACTGTGTTACCTTCAGCTGGATGCAGGTGGAGCAGAGGTGTCGAATCAAAGGCTGGTACTGCTCTCTGAATTTCAGACCGAGTCTCTCCTCTTGAGTTCTCTCCTCCTCCTCCAGGTAAACCACCTGAGCCTGCAGCGCTGAGATCTCCAGCATCAGCCTACGACACACACCGTTGGACACCTGTCCAACACAAACAGGACTCATTAGTCTTCAATGAGGTCAGAAATGCACTTGGCTGCTCAGTCATTATCTCACTTTTCCGGTGTCTTGGTGTAGACGGTTCAGTTGCCCCCTGCTGGCAAGTTTTGAGGCAGACTGACTGACTGCTTCAAATTAGGATTGGAGTCTCATTTTGCAAAAATATCTCTCGCAAATAAGGCTGCACGATATTGGAAAAAAATAATATTGCGATTTTTTCAACCCTGCGATATATATTTCGATATTAAAAATACAGTATTTTCACCAGATGACCTGAATAGCACTTAATGTTATACTGCACTGCTGAAATCTTGAGGACAGTTAATCTGCTCTGATCTTACCTCTTTTTGTGAATGTTGGAATGGCTTCTGTCTGTCTCAGAGATATTTTTAGCTTTTATTGTGCTGGGACGTTATTGTGGCGACAGATGAACACAGAAGACGTGTTTTGGTCGACATCATCCTTCTTTTAACCGAAATTATTCCAGATAACTGACTTTCATTTTCTTTTTGGCGACAAATCTTCATTTTCGGTGGTTTTCGCTTGTTCGTTGTTCATTTTGCGATCGTTGTTGTTGTTGTTAGCGGTGTTGTGCCGAGAAACGCATGTCCTCCGAGAATTGCATGCACCTCGCAAAACGCGCACTGCTTATAGTAGAGTGGTCCACGGAAATGTACAATTTAAAACCCATACAGTTCTTATTTGTTGGGCTTAATAGTCATGAGTAAAGTTCCGAAAGTAATTCTCAGCGGACACACGTCTCCCTCCATGTGCAGAACATGTGCAGGGGTGGGTTTTCTCCTCCCTGATTTTGATTGACAGCTGGCAGGGTAGTCTGATTGGCAACTGAGAAGTGAGTCTGATTGGCAACTGAGTTAAGGACGAAGGTGATTGGTGGATCGCTGCACAGCACATGCAGAGTCACATGGAGTGTATCTCAGTCGGTGACCCTTGAAATTAAATGAGTTAATTCACCTCCAATATCGCAGGCTCTGCGATGTGACTATCGCACACACGTACATCGCGATGACGATAGTCAAACGATATATCGTTCAGGCCTACTCCCAAACTTATTTATATGATCAAAAAAGAGCTATTACTACAGCAGTTACCTCTGTGTGAGTGTTGCTGCTCTGAGAGTCCTTCAGACGCTTTAAATCCTGAAGTTTAAAACGGAGCAGAAGACAGTGAAATTATACAGCATGAAAGGAAAATACTGGCATGACTCTGTAAGTAAAAAGATGGTGAAATTTACCGTCCACTAACAGAGGGCATGATGTGATCACGTACCTGTTCCCTGTGATGCAGCAGCTGAGTCTCCTGCTGGAGGATCTGTTCATAAAACTGTGAGTGCAGCAGGAAGCTGCGACGCTCTCGCTCCATCACCGAGCAGCCGAGCTGAGAGAGAGTCTGCTGGAGGTGATCCTGAGAGAAACACAGCTGGAAGAAGAGATTCAAGAGTTGAGATACTCTTCATGTGAAGATCTGTAGGAGGTCATCAAAGGTTATTATTACCTTCCCCTCAGCCTCCTCTACTCCCTCCATCAGCTGCTGAATGAACGTTTCCACAATCTGCGGCCGCTCCGAGGATGAATTGTACTTTATTGTGGATTTCTTCCACAGCTCTGACCGCACACAGACAACAGTCAGTGAAGTTTCAGTTGATTCATGAAACACTCACGCATTGAGCTCCTGTGCTTTTCCCCGTACCTGTGGGGAGGTTTGTATCCTGTCGAGTCCTCTCTGAAAGCACCAAAGTGGCCTCTCTGTTCAACCTCCTCTGGACCGCTCTCCAGCAGTTTGTGAAGCTTAAAGATAGAGGATCAACTTTTATTAAAAAGACAAACAAGATGTCGTTTTATTCAGTTACTGAGAGTACTGTACCTGCCAGGTTTTCACATCCACCTCTGAAGCTCCTGGAGGAGGCAGGAGAGACTGACTACCTGAAACTAAAACCTCATAGTCCCTCTCTTTACCCAAATGTCGAGCCAGAGCTCTCATACTGGGGTAGAAGATTTCTGCCCTGTGAAGAAAGAGAATATTTTTGAGGGATTTATTATTATTATGTGGTTTTCCAAGTGTCTGATGGATCTCGTACCTGTAAAGTTTGACAAACTGTTGATACAAACTGGGCGATGTGAACACTTGAACACCGAGACGAGTTCGAGCCCAGCTCTCCTTAAACACCTGAAGCTGCTTGGTCAGCTGGAGGAAACCTCTCAGCACAGATTGAACCCTGATCGGATCCTGAAGACGAGGAGGGGAGACTGACACAGAAGCTTTTTCTTCATCATCAGCTTCCTCACTGAGTTTATCCGTCTGAAACAAGCAACTCATGATCAGATGCAGCTTTGTTTGCCTTTTGAACTATAATCTAATTAAAAAAAAGTCTTTTACTTCTTCAGGTTTTCCATTTTGCTGGAGGTCATCCTTGTTGCCATGGAGATAAACAGGCCCCGCCTCTTGTCCACTGTTTAGGACATCCTCCATGAGCAGAGAGACACCCAGAGTCGCTGCGTTGGCCTGCAGTCTGCTGCGATTGTTCAGACCGCTCAGACACAGCTGCAGAGAAACATTTACATATTTATAATTACATCTAAAGACTAAATCCAGACTCAGCTCAATGGTTCAGGTTTAAGATGTTGAACCTGCATGCAGTATTCAATGGGAGGGAGGCTCCAAACATGCAGAGGAAACCATCCATGACAGGCCAAGAAAGTCCTCCATGGAAACATCCTCTGTGCCTGTACAGAGGGGCAACGTCCTGAGGTAAAATATCAAAGTTAAAACCAACAAAACCTGTGATCAAATCTCATCATTGAAGTCCCACCTGACTGCCTCGGGTCTGCAGAGGTTGAGGAACTCGGAGATTGAGACTCATCAGGTCAAACCGGATGCTGTCGCTCAGCAGAGGGAGGGCGTTCACCATGTTGTCGGTCACACTTTGATACGAATTCACATCCCGTGAGGAGAGAAACGCCTCCCTGAACATAAAGAAACATTAAAGGAATATTCCGGCGTAAAATTAATTTAGGGTCAAACACGCCGCAACACCGAGTTAGACACCCCCGTCGAGAGATGAATGTTGCCGACCGCTTGCTTCTCTAGTTATACCAACTTTATTAACGACCGCAGGATAACAACACACAACAGTCTGAGGAGCCTTAAACAAACCTCAACCAAAACGCCACTTTATAGCCACAAATAATGCTCAGAACAGCACCTAACTTCATCAACAGGACATATAGGGTCACAGACACAGCACTAACCACCAAACATCTTTTTTACTTTGCCCGATTTCTTTAGCAAAGAGAATAAACACAACTCACCTACTCTCTTCCAGCAGTTGCTTGTTTGTAGCGAGACCTCGGGCCAGTCCATTAGGGGCTGCTGCGGGGTGCCGCAGCTCAAGGAAGAACATTTATGATCATTTCTTCATGGCAATACAATCAGACCGAGACGATAAGGCAGAAGAACTACCATGTCTGCAGTGCAAAATTATTAATATGGTGATTATTACTTCAAGGAAATGATAAAGTAATGATCATAAATGTTCTTCCTTGAGCTGCGTCACCCCGCTGTAGTCTGTAATGGACTGACTGAGGTCTCGCTACAAACAAGCGGCTGCTGGAAGAGAGAAGGTGAGTTGTGTTTAGTCTCTTTTCTAAAGAAATGAGTCAAAGTTAAAAAGATGTTTGGTGTCTAGTGCTGTGGCTGGGACCCTATATGTCCTGTTGATGAAGTTAGGTGCTGTTCTGAGCATTATTGGGGCTATAGAGTGGCGTTTTGGTTGATGTTTGTTTATGGCTCCTCAGACCGTTGTGTATTGCTATCATGCGGTCGTTACTTAAACTAGAGAACTAGAGAAGCAAATGGTCGGCAACATTCATCTCTCGAGGGGGTGTTTAACTCAGTGTTACAGTGTGTTTGACCCTAAATTAATTTTACGCTGATATATCCCTTTAACCATGATGAATCAGTCTTATAAAAAACAAAACTTAAATGATCTGATCTCCACTCTGACCTGATGAGGTGTCGCACGGCTGTATCAAACTGCAGCAGGACCACGTTCCTGCGCAGCTGCAGCAGACGGCAGACGGACTCTGAGCTGCTGGGATCAGACAAAGAGTCAACCTGGTGTTGGATCTCCTGCAGCTCTGCTCCTGTATTAAGAGTCAATTGATCATGCCAATATCAGCGTTGGCTCCGATAATAAAACAAAATCTAAGCAGGTAAAATAGAAACAGACCTGTGATGGTTTTTCTGACAAGATTCACTCACCAATTCCTTCAGGTCCTCCCCAGTCAGCTGACAGTGAGCCCTCTGAGTCCTCTCTCCTCCTGGATCTAAACGGGTCATCTGTGTTTCCCAGTCTGGAGAAACTAACCAGGTAATAAAGTATGTCATGAAGAGCTGAAGCTATCTGTAGAGCGTGGTGAAGAGCTGAGGCACAGGTCTGTCCAAAAAGAGAACAACAGGAGAGTCTTTTATTCGAGAAAGCAGGGAGGATTTCAAAATAAAAGCATCAGATTAAACTCAATAAACAAGGACAGTCATGGACTTAAGTGTATCATATGATTGATTGATAAAAACTTACTGAAATTCTTTCTGATTTGAACATGTGCAGGACTTCAGAGAAATGAGGGATGAACCACACGTCTGGGACAGTTTTTCCGTCTGCAGACAACAACCTCTGCTTCTGCTGCTGCTGGTGGTGGTGGTCATCTCTGGAGTCAGGACTAAGGTCTCCTTGTGACTCTGGACTGACTTTGTGATCGTTTGCTCGCCCCATGGTGAAGTAGGACTTTCTGACGGAGGGGACGTCCTCTAAAAGTGAGTTGAGGCTGTGGTAATATGCAACAATCTGTGCTCTGACACAGTACTGAGATATCCGTGAGCTGAACCTGCGGGTGAAAAATTTAGATTTAGAATTTACCTCCCACCTGCTCTCCTCCAAAGTGAGGAGAAATGTATGTTGTCTTAAAAACAAAGAAATTCAGACACTTTTCATGAGCTTACTTCCTGAGAAAGTCAATTATGAGGCTCCGTTTGATCTTTGCTGCTTCATCCTGCAACAACAGATGAATGAATTTGACTTCATGGACAAACGATCACATTTATTATCCTGCTCAGATGCCTGAAGATCAACCTCAGTGTGTAACTCACTGGAGTTTTGATAAGACCCCCCATGGCCCGTTTCTTCTCCATAAATGAATTCAGCATCTCGTCACGCAGACCCACTTTTTCCAGCTGGATGGACACGAAAGCTTCCATCAGCCTGCAGAAACAAACACGACTCTGTTTATCAAAGCAGAATTACAGAGCTGTTTATCATCCTCAGAGTTATTTGCCCCTCGATTGGAGAAATTACCTCTTTCTGGACGTGGCGGGAGCTTTTACTGCGTCTTCAGAGGGTGGAGAGTTTTTGGTGTTTCTCCCAGAGTCACACTCTACATTTTTATTAGACTGAGTGGCTTCAATCGTGGACTGAAGTGAGAAAGAAACACATTACAAGAGCGGTTTATTTATTCAGTCATAAATTTAACAAAACAAGTGTGGGGAAATAAGAATCACTTTATAGACGACTCAATGTTCAAGTTCAGTGGTTTCAAACCAACGAGTGGTGCGGTGGTAAGATAAGCAACGGAACAGAAAAAATATATATATATTTTCTACTTTTCTCACCTCTTTTAAAGCTCCTGTGAGTGATTTTTTTGACATGAGGTTACACTTAAAAATGTCAGGAATAACAGCTTTGATCTTTGAGGACATATACAGCTCCTTTTACACCAGGATTCCACCACATGCAGATCAGCTATGCTCTGCAAATATAGGCGGATTAAAAACGCAAGCATACAGCGCCCACCGGATCCAATCCGCTCCGATATTACTGATATTTCTCACGAGACTGGACAAGATCTCCCAAGATCTCACGTGTTTCACCATAAGACATTAAATGAGATCAGTGGTTGATATAAACACCCACATCCCACAACCCTGGCCCCTCCCATTATCACGTGAAGAACAGTTCAACATATTGACTTTATTTTATTTTGAAAATCAACCAAATACTTTACTCTGTAGCTGCACTAAATTGATGCGTTGTACTGTGGCGTCCAGTGTTGCCAACCTAGCACCTTTGTCGCTAAATTTAGCGACTTTTCAGACCCCTAGCGACTTGTTTTCAAAAAAGCACCTTGCTACAGATTTAGACTTTTTCTGGAGTTTAGAGACTCTAACACGAGAGCAGGCATCGATGTTACTTTTCTCAACAGGTAGCCGGTGTGCATCAAAAACCCGGACACATACAGACACCCCGCTGTGGGTTTGACTTAGAAATTATGCAAATTAGGCGATTTTGTCAAAATTTAGCCGTTAGCCTCCTAAAATTCGTATGTTTGTAGTTTACAACATCCAGCAGAAAGAAGCTTTTTTTTTACATTTTTTTACTGTGAAGGTTTTTAACGTTGAGTGAGAAATCTGACAGTTACATAACCTCACATAAGCTACTTTTGCATACTCTGAACAAAATCCATGAAATATTTTGGTCAAGAGGGGGCGCCAAAATCCCCACCGCTCTTCGAAAGAGCTTCATTAAAAGTGTTTTTGTTTGACTACCTAATATCTTAAAAAATAAACACACCTCCGCTGACGTTTCTGCCCAGTGACACACACAAACCAGCTTCACAGCACTCATCAGAGCGTTTTTCTGAGCGACCTGACAGGCCAGAGTCACCTGCAGGTTTTCTAAACTCTGTCTGGTCATGAGCTGGAGGAGACAAGAGAATCCAAACAGTGAGTCAAAGGATGATTTATGATTTAAGCTGTTAACTTCAGCAAAGGATGATCGTACTATTTACACACGCACGTGAGTAACTGACTCCTCTGAGCTGAAGCTGAACCGCCCAATCTGACTCTCGTCCAGTTCCTGGATGCTCAGAGGCAGGTGGGACGGGATGAACCTGCAGTAAAAAACACCCCACATACAGTCTGAGTGTCCTCGGAGACAAATCTTCGACAAAAACTACGTTCAGAGGTTATGGACCTGTCCACACAGCTGTCGTCTTCAAGTATGGCGGTGATAAAAACAGGACTTTGCTCTGTTTTATATTTCTGCTCAGCGACTTCAAACTGCACCGGCCTCAGGTAAAGGTGGAATTGGTCAAATCCGAGCTCTGAGGCCACGTTTCTGTACAACCTGAGAAGAAAACAAAAAAGTTAGTCTGTGATCTGCTCTCCATCTTGGCTGGTTTAGCTTCTCATCTTTTCGACAAAATCAAACTTGACCAGACGAACTGTTTCTTTACTGTGTCAGATGAGCCGTCTCTGCGGCCGCCTCCAGAAGACGATGGCGGATGGTGACCAGCTCTAGCAGCTTGGAGAAAGTTTCCACGGCGTTATGCTGTTTCTCTCGTCCCTGCATCATCTCCTTCTCCTCTGCAGATCTCACCAAAGACAGCCCAAAATTCTGGACCAGGATGGGGTCCTCAAAAAACATGTCTGAGAACAACTGAGAGAGGAAAGAAAGATTAAACTGGACTTCACTCAGACAGCTTCACGGTGGAGCTGAACTTACGTCTCTCTGTATCTGGGCGCTGTAGGAGTCTCTAGGAGGAAGCAGGTTGCTCCAGCTCTGCAGGGCCTGCTGAAGGAGCTTCTGTCTGAGGCTGAGTCTGCCCGTGCTGCTGGTGGCACGGTGCAGCTGACAGAGCTCAAAGTGAGCCTGAACTAAACCCTCATAGACTGCAGAGGCGAAGCAGAGAGAGGGATGGACCTCCAGGAGAAAGACGTCCATCAGCGCAGGGCTGCAAACACAACATGATGAGGTGAGTATAAAGATTACAGGCTGCAAAAGTAGCTGCAAATAAACTGCATCGACTCACCTGCTGCCTCCCAGTGAGACCAGATGTTTGGGGGTGTAGTTTGGTGGGAGGCCGTAGTCAGAACTGGAGCCTTTGTGGTCGTCTCTCCAGACGCGATGGAGATACTGACGCTGCTTATCGATCTAATGAGACAAATATCACAATCTCTGACTTTGTGTAAATATAAGACAGGAAAAATGAAGTACATAGCGTCTTTTTTTGCTTAAAACATTTGCATTTAAAATCCAAATAACAGCACCAAACCTCTGCATCCTGCTCACATCTTTGCAGATTTTTACCTGGTTGTCCAAAATGTTTCTGATCAGCTGCTGGTGGATCTGCAGGCAGTCTATCTCAGCTCTATAGACCTGAACAAAGTAGTCCTGGTTCAGGTCCAGATGTGGTCGACTGTGCATGATGTCTGTGATCACACGGGCCAATGCAAACCGCTCCTCAGTCCCTGCTGTGTGCTGGTAGGCCTCAAAGTAACAGTCCAAGAGCTGAAGATCCAAAAAGAGGAAGATAAATCCTATTTTTAGACTTTAGGGTTAAAATATTTACATTTTCCTGGTGACAAGTATGAAAAAATGATGGATTTCAGACCGTTCCTACAGAAATACTCCTCATGCCGTGTCTGATCATACTCAGCATGTATTTCAGTGATTAGACAGCCGACAGAAAGGGTTTTTAAAATCATACCTGGACTTTGTTCTCCAAAAACTCTGTCTCACAAGTCCACAGGTCGAGAAGCACAGCGACTCGATCAATCTCGGTCCCAGCCCAGGCGTGGATGTCTGCTCTCTCCGTGTTTCCCACCTTCTTCTCCCTGTCTCTGTGAATGAAGTGTGAGCCAACCAGAAGGAGCTCATCCTCCAGCTCTTGCAGGTCCTTCAGCGCCTCGTCGTACATGATGTAGAACCCTCTCTGGTCCTGAGTGTGGATGAACCGCTCCTCTGCGCTGTAGAAATCATGAAGATTCTCCACCTCTGGAAACACCATGAACTCTGAGCAGTGGACCTGGAAAAATGATGAAGTTATTCACAGTTTTCACAATCGAAAAATGTTTCACAGACAGCTCATGTTTTCCTTCCAGAGCGTCGTTTGATTCAGAACCAGTTTCAGGATAATCTGATACGTTTTCTCACCCTGTAGTCGACAGGAGTGTTATAGATGTACTGGAGTGAGCTGAGACCTCCTGCCTCCCCTCCTCCTCCTCCTCTGGCTGCGTTCATCCAGCCTGTTTCCTCCGCTGTGCTGCGCAGCTCTCCCTCCTCCATCTGCAGACCAGCCAGGTCAAAGGTCAAAGTCCTCTCCACTGAGCGAAGGTAGTTCAGCAACCCAAGAGAGACACGCTATGGACAGGACAGAAATTAATAGTCATCTCCTTATTATTATTTTTTTGTAATTAGAGGAGACCGGGGCTTGTTGTCACGCTTTGTACACTCTTACATATTTCTTGAAATCAATACATCAGATATAAACAAAATGTAGACCAGATGAAAGACTCAAGTCTCAGGTATATATTTCATATTATGTCATTTTCATATCTTGTGTCAGTGCAGAGTTATAAGCAATCAAATAGAGAGTGTGAACATGTGACACCACCAAGGACAAGAACAAAATAATTGTTGTTCTCATTTTTTTTAGATGAAAGTGAACATCAAAGTCAGGCACAGAAAATGTTTATCATTGAGCTAGAAAAAGTCATCAAACAAACGTTAACATAAAATATTATGCAGCATGCTCTGGAGTTTGGATAATTGTCTGACTCTGGATTTCGGCTGGGATGAGTGTTTTACAGTACTGAGCCAAGGTATGATAGGTGACATTAAAGTCCTTTATTGTCCTCCTGATTGATTTATTAGCTAGGATCACCTGCCTGACTACCCTCAGCATCACATCAGGTACTGCACTGCCATGTTCTGTTTTTCTTTTGTAATTCCTGACCATGTCTTTTTGTTTTCTCCTCTCCTTTGAACCACTCTTTTTTTCTGTAAAAATAACGTCAAAGTTTCTGTACGACAACTGCTGATAAGCAGACTCTCTATGTTCATTTTAATCTCTTTTAGATATGTGACAACTAACCCCAAAATGACTAAGACATGTTGCCCCAAACTACCATGTTTGCTAATTCTAGCTCTTGCATATAGTTAGCTTAAAACAGAACAATGCCTGAGGTATGACAGGATGCCTTAATCTCTCCTCTAACAAGTCCACATGTATCACTGCTAGGATTTTTATCTGGAAGAGGCTTATTTTAAAATATATAAAGTGATTTTTTTAACTTTGGGTTGTGCGAAATGGTTAATTGGTGCTGCTCATCTCAGCTCACAATGTGCTCTTCTCCTCTTCTCAGACAGGACACAACCCCTGACCATGTAAAGGGAGAAAACTAGAATTCAGCTTTTAAGTTGCGCCCTCTGGTGGCAAAGATAATTGCGATGCGACAAATTACCCGTGTGACAACAAGCCCCGGTCTCCCCTTATAAGTATGTTTATGTGCTGTCTCACCTGGAGCTGTCTGAGTTTGAGATGTCGCAGGTAAATCAGGGACAGGTGAGCTCCTCTGGTTACAGTTAGATCTGAGGCCCCGTCCTCAAAGGAGTCATCCAGACCCAAGAGCTGCAGGCTGTCCTCCAAAGAGAAGCTGCATTTTACAGAAAAAGTAGACGCACAGAAGAATACTCTTTTACAAATCAAGAGAACATACAAGATTTCAATCAGAATCTAGTAGATTAATTTGACTTTAACTAGCTTTAAAAATCATACACACCTTTTATTTGCTGCACTTGAGCTCTGACTCCTCAGGCGTCTCTCACCCTGACCTCCTCCTCTGCCTGCAGATCTGCCTGACCGATCATCTGTTTCCTAACAAGACAAACGTCACTTTCAATAAAAACGACTTCAAAAACAGGAAGCGCAGAGAGGAGCTGAGATTTATTTGTTTTTTTCGACCCCTCTGAGCAGAAAACTGGATGATACATGCCTGAGTGAGAGTGGCAGCGCTGTAAACACTAGTCCAGATCTCAGAGATCTTGTGTCTCTTTGTGTTACCGCAGAGCGGGGATGATGGGGTCGGTGCAGGTTGTGTATCTGCAGCAGTAACAGCGTGTTCTTTTAAAGCTGCAGCCACGAGGAGAACATCGGGGACCTGATAAAATGATGTACACAGATATATCTGCCTTGAATGCTCACAGATGCACAGAGTTTATAGACACATCCCCTATTTTGTACAACTCTGTAAAGGTGGAAGAGGATTTTTAAACCAGTAGAAACCAAATAAAACCTCATTAGATACACAGAAAACACCACTAACACAACTAGAGCTTCATGGCAGCCTATTGATGACAGTGGCCATGATGGAAACCCTGACTCAGGCTCACTTTCTACTAAGATGAAGCTAACAGCTACAATGGCCGTCAGTCAAGTCAGCCTCACCCCTGATTCTTCCTAATGAGGCGAAATGTTTAACCATGATATCTTCAAAACAACCAAGTCATAAAAAATTAATTCAACATCTACAAAGCCCCACCAACACCTTCAAAGAGAAGTGACCGAAAGTTACTCATTCGTGGCCACAGAAACGGCGGTCATTTGTGGGCATGAATTAATAACCAATTAGGTGAGAATAACCTTAATTAAATATATATGATACCTTTATGAAGACAAAGTTAGTTTTAGAGATGCTGGCTGAACAAATTCAAACATTTGCGTGTATAAAACTTGTTAAAGATGGCAGGTAAGAGCAAAAAAAAAAAGGCAGAGTTTAGTCTGTTTTGTGGTTTTTGCTCTGCTTTTGTCTTCAGTCAATAATTTTAGTGATTCATCTTTCAAAGTTGTGCCCTGGCATTGATACTTGTTCATTTATACATTAATACATTAATACAACAGAATATTAGGGCCACATTAAGAAAAAAAAAAGAAGACTTTGAGATTAAAATCATTAATTTACGAGAATAAAGTCGTAATAAAGTAATTACTTTCGGGAATAAAGTAAAGTCAATACTAACAAGCATAAAGTCATTCCTAATGAGAATTAAGTCATTACTTATGAGAATAAAGTCATTACTAATGAAAATAACGTTAGTACTAATGAGAATAAAGTCATTACTGATGAGAATATAATGTAATATGTAATGTAGTGTAATAAAGTTACTTTTGAGAATAAAGTAAAGTCATTAATAATGAGAAAAAAGGTATTACTAATGAGAATTAAGACATTACTATTGAGACTAAAGTCATAATAAAGTAATTACTTTAGCAACTAAAGTTAAGTCAATACTAACGAGAATAAAGCAAAGTCATTACAAACGAGAATAAAGTAATTACTTACAAAAATAAAATCATTACTCATGAGAATAAAGTCATTACTAATGAGCATAAAGTCATGACTAATGAGAATATTCATTACTCACGAGGATAAAATCATTGCTAACGAGAATAAAGTCATTACTAAAAAGAATAAAGTCATTAGTTACAATAATAAAGTAATTTCTTATGAGAATAAAGTCATTACTAACAAGAATAGTCATTACTTACTACGTTTTCTTAATGTGGCCCTAACACTCCCTTGTACATTCATACATATCAAGAGGATTTGACCAAATGCATTGAGTGACACCTCATTGTAGTTGTATTGTATCATGTTGTATGTTAGTTTTTGTTCTTTAATGTTTTTTTAATGAGTGAGTTGAAGACACTGATTTAAAGCTGTTACCTGCAGAAACCTGCTGTGCATCCTCAGCAGCTCATCCACAGATTTCTTCTCCTTCAGCTGTGTGAAGAGCTTCTGCTGCCACGGATCATGTTTGGGCTTCACCTGCAGGATGGAGAAAATCACTAAACTAATGCGCTCCCATCGCCGGAGAAATAAGGTACAAAATGAGACAAAGCTTTACTGGAAATTCTCACGGCAAACTGAGTGTCAGCAACATTGAGAGTTTGAGGCAAGTCCTTCAAATTTGGCAAAAACAGTGAAGTGCAAAGATAGCACATTAAAGTTCTCCATCTGTCCGCTCAGGAGAACTAAGAAAGTATTTGGAGAGACTGTTTGGTTCATGTGGTCGTACCTGTATGAAGGGGATCCAGTTGGCCTCTTTCCTCAGAGCCTGGCTCGCGCTCTTCCTCCCCCACTGGCTCTGTTTGACCTCCGAACAATCATAATGAGGGAACGTTCTCATCTCCTCCTGTCGTCTGAAAATCTGTCTGAACTCCCTCCACACCTGAGACAAAGATCCAGGAGGATTTGTCATTTGAGTGCATACACTTGGACATCGCAGAGTTTTAGGGGTTTGTTTTGAAATCACTACCATGGAGAATAACTCCATCTCATCTGCGGTGGTCCTGAGATTTTGGGTGTCGTAGGACAGGTGGAAGTAATCGATCAAACCCTGGAGCTCAGGTAGAATATCCTCCAGGTGAGCTGTCAGTAGAGGAACAGACAATCCTGGGAAACCTGTAGATGCATTTATTCTGTGATCACCTGTGCTTTTTCTTCGTTCTTCTGCAACTTTTTGAATCATTCAGTAGGAAGTTTTTAGCCTCTATGTATTTGCTACTATACACAAACAGGTTCTTACCATCACAATGTTGAGTCAAAGTGGATTCATTATTCTTTGGTTGTGGTTCAGCTTTTCTTTCACATGCAGGTAAGTAGTGCAGCACCTGAGGAGGAGTTTTTTTTCTGTAATTCGGTTTTACCTTTTGTTATAATTTACGCAGCATTGACTCAAAAATCCAAATCACCGCAACAAAGAGTGAACTCTTACCCTGAGAAAGTTGTGAACAGTCTGAACAGAGTGCAGATGGCAGACGAGCCATCGGAGATAAATGAGCGCATCGTCCTGAGTGAGCAGGTCGGCGGTGTTTCCACGGCCGGTGAGGATCTTCTCTCTGCTGGTGGACAGTCTGCGGGCTCTCTGAACCGCATCCTCGTACTCATTTGTCAAATAAAACATCTGATCCTGAGGGAGAGTGAGTCAGACAAAATATGACGGTTAATATTCAGCCCGACGGTCGAGTACAGGTGGTGAAACTTTAATTAACTCCCAAACCTCTACCCTCATTATCCTAAATAAAAAACTTCACTTTAAAAATGTCGTCTCTACACGGACTTTTGGTGTTTACAACATTTGTAGAAGAGTTTTGGGAGCTTTATATAACAGTTTTTATCTTCATAACACACACAGAGCTAGGACACTTAAGAAAGAAACACATAATTAATTGCTTGACACTGTTTGGATTAAGCGGCTATCTCCCAGTAGCAGGAATATTAAACCCTTACTCAAACATTTCATGTTCAGAGCAGTCTGAAGTATTTGTCTCCTAATATTCTCTCTCTACTAAGTAAACGGACTCATATTTTTGTACTGTATTTCCACTGCAAATACTAAAACCCTCTCGTCCATGTTTCCTGTGATAGTAAGATGGCTTTTAAATCTAACTCTTTTAAAGTTTAGATAAGTTTTCTGGACTTTTATCAACCTGAAGTGTCAAATGAATAAAAGGCGGGTTAAACAGAAATTTAAAAAAGCATTTACTGCAACCTAATTTTAACAAAACTACTCCAGAAGCTGTTTTAACCATCAATACAGAGGTAGAGCTCCTCGCTGTCTTCATTATGTTTTCTCTTTAAACCCCTGCAGTTGTAGAAAATGAAGTGTAAAGAGGATGAGACACCAGCTGAAAACTGCCTGTAGAAATGAGTCTTTGATGTTTAGCCAGGATGCAGCTCAGGGTGTCACCTTATAATGAGGATAAAGCTTCTCAATGACGCTGGTGTGGCGGCAGAATCTCCTCCATCTCAGCATGAGCAGATATTTGATCTGAGCCAGACGGTATGATCTGTCCATGAAGAACTGTGGAGAAATAAACACAAAAGGAAAACTGATGTGACTGACCTTTCTCTTCTTCATTTTCTGCTGCATTATCTATTTTTAACAACATTTTGTTTCCTGCAGTGTTTGCTCTGTCCTAACCTGGTGCAGCAGGAGAGGCAGACCGTCAGGAGTGTACTCAAAACTCAGGCAACTCTCCAGCTCTCTCTGCATGATGTCTGCAGAGGACTGAACAGCTAAAACTTCAGCCACCTGCAACCAAAACATGAGTAGAGCTCAGGAAATGCTTCAGTTTTAAATTAACATTATGCATGTATCCCTGAAACTAGAAACAACTTGATATTCTGCAGCTGTCAGGCTGTGTTTTATAAAAATTAAAGAAGATTACCTGAAGCCCTCTCTTCAGAACATGTTCCCTTTCAGCACGGAAGAAACTAACATCCTTTGGAGGGAGAACAGAACTGAAACAAAGCCAGAAATTACTCCTAAAATAAGTCCTTTGAATATCACTGTATGGCTTCTTGTTCATTTTAGAATTCAATTTAAAATTTTATTGTTTGTTTTTATCTCTCTGTTGATGTTTTTATCATCTCTGACCTCTTAAATGTTTATACCCCCCCACATTCCTTGAGGTCTACTGATCACCTCCAACTCGTCCCTAAACTCGTTTAAAAACCCGCGGCACCCGAGCTTTCTCGGCTGTGGCTCCCAAATTGTAGAACAAATTGTCACTAAAGATTAAAACATCCCGCACTTTTTTTCTATTTTTAAATCATGTCCCAAAAACCATTTTTATTCTTTGGCGTTTAGTTAAGCATAAGAGCTGTGTAACAGGAAAGAAAAGACAAATGAAGATTTAAAATTTACGACACAGTATTTAAGCACATTAGAGGATCTGTGAATACACTTTTGAGATACATGAAAGTATGTTAATGCACAGTTTACATCGGGAATCTGCTTGCATACAAACTACGGTGTAACATGGTGAAGTATTAGTTTTGGGAATAATAATCTTAAATTATTTACAGTATTTTAGTCTTGAAAGTTATAAAAATCACTTTAAAAGGACTTTTTACCGAATGATAAAGACATTAAAGTTGCCACACCTGTAACATCTGGAGGGTGCTCCTCCTCTGGGAAATCCATTTTCTTCAATCTCTGTCTTCAGTGCTGAGATTTGATGAGACAGCTCTGCCTCCATCTGCTGCACTTTAACAGAGGAGGAGACTCTGTACACATCACACATGACCCTCTCTTCAAATGAGATCGAGGCATGCAGAACAAGTCAATACAAATATGTATTATCCAGAAATACACCTTTAAAGCTTTGCTAAATCCGTGCCTCATCCAATTCTGACTTGTTGTAGTGTAACCATAGATACAGGCAGTCTTCCTTGCACTTCCTGTCCTTCATCTGGACTAACAGTGACGGCGTTTAACCTGTAGAGGGCTCTAATGTTACACAGCAGTCCTTCTTTTGTAACAATGATGATGTCAGTGCTGTTGTGCATTTGAGATACTCACCATTCAAACAGTCACTATGTATTGCACACACTATAATGTGTATAAAGGTGTAGCATTATGCAGACTGCACGAGTTTAGAAGAAACCCCAGCCTCAGCAGTCAGGCATTCATAAACATGAAGGCAATAAAAGTGGGTTCATTCCTCTTGGATACAGTGTGTGATTGGCTCTTAGCTCATAGTGCCATTATCCAATAGGAAATCAGCTCCACAATGACTGCAGAGTCAGGTCTGCAGCTGTGTGCGATTCCTCAGGAGACAGAAATAAAACAAAGGTAAATCAAAGAAACTCAGTGGTTCTTTAAGCTTTATTTACATGCACCATCTCTGATACAACCAAGATAGGAATAGGAATTACAACTGGCAATGACGACTTCATGTCTCTTTTTTTTTTCTGTTTTGTAGGAGCAATAGGAATAAATGTGGATGAATTATTGGCAGTGAATGGTACTTAAAGTAAATGTGGAAAACAAAGAAGTCTTTAAGTCAGTCATTTGATTTTGGATTAAATCACAAAAACAAAGGATAAAATAAGATATTTGGAAGCACAGCTGTGCAAAAATATCAAATCAGATAATAAGCACATAGAATTTAATTGATATATTTAATTCATATGGGGTTTTATTTAGATTTTCTGTAGTCAAATGGTGGATAGTATTTTAGCGTTCATTCAGCACCATTTTCAGTGCAGTGTTGTCCTAATCAATAAGGAATGGGCAGGTCAAAATGTTTAACAGGCCGTTACAACAAAAGTGCTTTTAAAAGCCCAACCACAGGTCATATGGAGAAAGCATAACACACAAACATACATGTGGAATAGGAAATAAATACATTTGCAGTTTAACAATAAGACAAATTCTGTGAAAAATCATCCAGCTGACAAAAATGTAAACTTAAAAAAATCTTCCTGCTGTTCCTACAAAAACTGTGCTGATGTTTTTTTTTTTCTTCTCTTATGCCCTTATAGCACTTGTTTCTTATATTTATACACTGTATATCCTCTTATTTCCACTTTAAATGTGGAAACATTTTGGCAATATTTAAAATACTGTGTGTTTTCTGTCTTAAATGGCAAGAAATGGCTCTAAGATACTACACGACCTCCTCTCAAAGGGTTGGAAACACATATAATTTTGCCAGCACCTGCTATAGCGCTGATAACAAAAGGGGAGGCTACTCATGCTGCTTGATCTGCAGCCACTCCCTGCTATCTTCTTATTCATAGCACCAAGAACTTCTTCAAATTAACAAACACCAAAATATTTCAGTAGAGTGCTGAAGAGTCTCTATGGGTGGTTATTTGAATCCAAATAGTCTCAAGTGTTTGCTAAATGATGTAGCTTTGAAACTCTGTATATCGAGCTGAACTTCCAATATTGCAGCAAGTGGGAGAAAGAGAGAGAGAGAGAGAGAGAGAGAGAGGAGGAGGGGGGAGGAAGATGGTGAAAAGGGATCTGCAGCAAAAACACCATATTATCAGGACTTCAGTAATGCACCTCTTCAGAAGGAATATTCACAGTAATGTCACTAAAATCACAGGGTAAGATTTGCTAAATGAAAATAAAACGTTACATACAAAAGACACAGTTCACATCTTGATAACATATTAACCTCTACAGATTGATATTTGGTGCGTGACTCTGTGCATCATGGGAAAAAAAAGCTTTTCATTAACACTTGTTTTTTCTCTCTTTTTTTTAATATCTTTTTTTAGTCCGTTTAGGCTATGTCTCTCAAAGAAACTTTAAAAAATAAAAAGCATGTCAAGTATCCTCCACTGGATCGTAATAATGTAACATTCTCTGCAGCTTTTTCTGTAAACAGGCCGTCAGTCACAACAGGCTGACAGCTGGTTTGGCAAAAATGTTGTTTCAGGTATGAAAGGGTGTGAAGAGGAGAGAAAGCAGGGTGAAAACATTATTCATCTTCAGTTTTCATGTATCACTTTGTGATACTGTGTGAGTGATTCCCTGAGACTAACACGAGTTGATGCTTTTTATATAGTTTAAACAAAATGTCCTGTATTTTCATTCCAGTCAATACTGTTGTTCACACCGCCCAGGCATTGATCTTTTTAAAGACTTTTTTTCTCCTCTGTGAAGACACCATTGTGTGTCTCAGACACTTAAATACAGTACCAAACTTAATGCCTCACATAAGAAATAAAAAAGACTACATGAATACACTTTTACATACTTTCCCTCTAGTTGCACGATGCTGAACAATGAACCCCAATTTACATTTCCCCCTCTTTTTGTCACCCCAGTTCTGGCAGAGCTTCTCAGCTCGGGACCCAGCTGTGAGGGGAGGTCTGTTTCGAGCTGGAGAAGCTCCCTGAATTCCTGTTGCCGTTCTGGGTGGAGGTGAGGCGGGAGTCAAAGCTGAGGTCCAGGCAATCTGCGTCCATCAGTTCATTGCGGATGATGGAGTCCATGTCACACTCCAGGCTGCCGTTGAAGACGTCGAGGTCCAGATCAGCGGGGAAGCGGTCCTGGCTGGACAAACCAGAGCCGAGCTGCATAGAGGCGTTCTTGCTGGGAGACTTCAGGTGCGGTTGCTTGGTGTTGTGGTGTCCAGCGTCGTTGTCAGAGGTTGACAAGCCAGCTTGCCAACCAGGCACTGAAGAGCTTTGGCCCTGACCTGCACCAGTGTGGTTTACCAACATGTGGTCTTTGCGGAGCAGCATGGCGTTTCGGCGGGAGTTCTGCAGGGCAATGGCGGTGCTGGCCTGTGACATCAGCGGGTCGGACTGGGTGAGCATGACGTTGCTGTGGTCGTGGGAGTCTAGGCTGAGCAGATCCTGCAGGGTCTGGTGGTCGCTGAAGTGAGAGATGCAGGAGAAGGTGGTCTGCTTGTTCTCCTGGATGGTCTGCATGGGTGACTGGCGCAGGCTCGTGATGGACGGCGGGCTAAAAAGAGGGTTGGGCCCATAGCTGCCAGAGGGGCTACCCAGACTGCTTCCTGAGCAGCTGAAGGTAAACACTGAGCTCCCCTGACCGTTGGCTCCGTTGTCTTCCTCTCCAGGAGGAGGCTGCTGGGACGCTGTCAGGCTGATATTGTCTAAAAGGTCGTCCATCAGGTTGTCGGAGAGACCATCGTTGAGGTTCATGGTACCTGCTAGGTCTGAGAGACCAGTGGGACCTGTGGACGGGGACATGCTGCTGGGACTGGAGTACAGCATCGGGGAGAGGGGCGAGTCGTCATCGGGCACCTCATCCAGCTCCAGGTTGGCCAGGATCGGGGACAGACGACCGCTGAGTGTGCTGGCGTTGGAATTGGTCCGGGAGCGGAAGTCTGTCCAGGCGTCGAGCTCGTCGCTGCTGCGGGAGGTGGGACTTCCTGTCCATTTGGAGAGGCTGGACGAGCTCTCCGAGCTGCCGTCTTGAGCTGCCTGCAGCGAGGCTTTCTTCTTAGTGGCACGCCCTCGGGCTCCTTTGATGTACTTGCTGTTATCCATCGAGACCGCTCGTCGCCTGGGAGCTTTGCCTCCTTTCCCGCCTTCGGGGTTGACCATCCACCAGGAGCTTTTCCCCGTCCCTTCATTCTGGACTTTGACGAAACGGCTGTGGAGGGACAGATTGTGTCGGATGGAATTCTGAAATAAAGAACGATAAAAACAATCAGTTGGATGTTTTTACCTGGAGGGAGGTGCAACGTGTCAGTTTGATTAAGACCAGACAAGATTGGTGTGAAGGACTTCAGAGCGGCATATTCATGTGCGCACAGAGCCGATGACTTATTATTACAATCAACACCCTTAGCTGGTATTTGCAGTTTTTGTCACACTGGATGCTGAAATATTTGCAACATCAAAAAGGCTGCAAACAAGCTTCCGGTTTTCTCCAATTTTGAGATTTTCTCTTATCAAAACTTGATTCTGTGCAACATGAGTTGATGGTTTAAGCAAAGTTCTCCAGCCAAAGCAGCGACTGGATAACTGTTATGAACACTAATGCAATTCCAGCTGAGGATGTAATCTTGATCATAATTTATCTAACATCGGACGGTTTTACACAGAGTTGAGGCACTTTAGGAAACAGCAAAATGCCTGAAACACTCTGAATTCCTCTTTGGATCATGTCATGTCAAAGATCTGTGTGTTATCCTGGAAATCTATCAGTATATCTCAATGTTTTGTTCTGCATCTCTATCCTTTAACAACGAGAGGCATCAGCAAATTCATCTGAGGATGCAAAGCTTTAATTAATCGTATTTCACGTTTCTTCTTTTGCTTTACTATCATAACAACGAACAACTCTGGCACTGCAGTGTCTTCTAAGATACGATTCTCTTTGCACCTCGCTCTGTGACCTATTTCTGGCTGCTCAGAAAGGTCTACAGGATTTCCCCGGAGATGTTCCCAACCATGTACAAAATTAAACAGCTGGAGTCTGCAGGACCGGCCCTCACTAAGTCACACTGCAGTAACACAAGGAGAAAAGTCTGCAGTGATCTTGCAGCCCAAAAAGAAAGCCTCGCTGGGAGAGGGTCCAGCATAAATCTCTTGAGCTTGAATTAACTCGAGTAAACCGAGGTCTTGTTCAAATCCATCTCTGGAACTAAGAAAACAACAGACAAGCTCGCAATGTAGGACCTACAAACGAGTCCGTGTATGTCCTTTACAGTATGGATCCAGCTGTAAATAAAGACTGCTTTGTGACAAAACTGAAAGATCACAAATGAGTGTCCGAAACTGTTCTCGTCTGAATGCAACGAGTCGATGGAATGACCCGCGCAGATCAAACTTCCAGCAAAGCCCTCGCTTCAAGCCAATTATAGGATTAGGCCAAACACAAGCAAACACTTTCATCACTTACAACAACAAAGCGCATGTGACTCTGAGAAATCAAACTTCAGGTGCCTCATTACTCATTCCTGCCTCATGCCTCTTCCTACTCCACACAAATTAGCTTGATTCGCTTTAGCTTTAGCTAATCGAATAGACAAATGAAGCTCCCTGCACACCGCAGGGCTCCGATATCCACTTATTTAATATAGCACCAGAGTGACGTTTTGAGCACAACCGCCCTTCATCGGGCTTTTGCTAATCACTCAGAATTAACCAATGATCTCCTAATTAGGTTAAAGTTCTGACTTAAAAGTAAAAGGTTATGGGTTCCGCTATTTTTATTCTCATCTGTGAAATCCCACCAAATAATACTTTTCTGCTCTACTGTACTCCACATTAAGTCCAGTTTGTTTCCTCTTGGAAAATAAAAAGTAATTTATATTAAATAAATTCATTTTCATGAAGAAAATTCTGATTGAGGAAGATACTTTCGCCAGAGTTAGAGGAGCAAGATCTGCACTCAAAAGCCTTCGCAGGAGTTAGCAGCTTACTAGCAGTCTGCCCAACATAACAAGTGGTACTTTTCTTTTTTTAGACCTGACAGGTGGTTTCCCTGTTGGGGAATAATTAACAAACCTGTGGCAAACAAAAGACAAGGTAAAAATGTGGTTGTTTCAAAAAATGTTGCAAATTCACACTTCAGAGTCTGATTTATGGTCCTTCCTGCTGCAGCTGGGCTAATAGTTTAAGTTGTTCAACACGAGTAAAAGTTGATTCGCTTGGGACTATTTAACACCCTGAAGTAATTAAGATTTAGCGAGTGATTGTGTATTTGAGGTAAACTGAAAATTAACAACAGCGCTCATGCTTTTGTTACAGAGTCGCATGTGAGGCAGTGAAAATACAATAAAGGTCTATTCCACAAAGAAATCAGCTTTGGCTATACAAACAATATTTGGACTGAGTCGCTGTTTGTTTTGGTCTTATTATTAGCGACGAGGAAATATTGAGTTACAGCAGATTTGGTCTGTAAAGCGATGTTAGACTAGGACTAACTCTGCTTTTTTAATGAGTTAGTGTTTCATTAGCTGGGTTCATTAAAGGTAGATAAACAACAGATTGATCGAAGAGATGAAGACAGGCGAAATTTGCAGGTATCCAATCAAAGCAACTCCTGACAGATCTGAGTATTGATGAGTTGCAGCTAATTAGATCTATAAACATTATTAAGAGGAATGTCAGGGGGAGAGACCTGCAACACATGTAACTACATTTCTAAAGTGGGACTGAACAGCAGCAGTCTGTAAACGCTGACATTAACAGACTTCACTTAACAGATATGAGGGAGTGCACACAATAAAAGCAACAGCTGTCCTGGTCAGTCCAGTGAAATCCAATACATCAGCCCTGCAATAAGCAAACCTTTGTGACACATGAATTCTGTCTGAGCCCGGCAGAGAGGCTTTAAATCAACTCTGTGGTCAAGAAAAAGTCCCTGAATTGTTGAGTTGGTGTATTGGATTGTATAATATTACAGCAAGTGGGGCAAAACAGCGGTGTCACTTTGCAAACAGCACACAACAGGACAATAAAAAACATGATCTATAACCTTCAAAAATGTCTGCAGGATTTGATTTACTGCTCTTTAATGAAATAAAAAGGTTATGAGTTGCACAGAGGGAGTTATTTATTTAGAGGGGATGTAGGATTTTAATATGAAACGTTGAGCAGGTGATGCTTTTATTTTGTCTTCCTAATATATACAGCTGTTAAAGGTTTGCTGTAGTACAAGATAGACACTGGTTCAAATCTGAATGTGCAAAACACCACATTCCTGTTACATGCAAGGTGGTAAAACAAACAGCACAGCAGCTAAAGAATCCAGGCATGCTTATTAAGTGGACATTATATGTATGAAGAGAGCCTCAGAGACATGTAAGCTGTCCTGAAAGCTGCTCAGGTAGATACAGAAGGAGCCATACAACGTTTCAGAGATAAATCACAAAGAGCTACTCCCGCCCGCCCTTCCCCCATGCAGCCATAGCAGCGATGCAGCAGCACCCTCAGAGCAAAGCCTCGTTCTGAGCGGGGACTGGAGCGATGCCAGTTTAGCCAGAGCCGGATCCAAAGAGAAACACTGAGCTTCTCTCTCTCTCTAACACACACACTGCCACACATTGACCTACATAATTTACAGTCAGCTGATTGATTCTTGTGCCCAGGCCACATGAAAAAGACAGGGTGGCACACAGCAGGGCTGAGCAGAGTCGCTGGTCATCTCGACAGGAGCTGTTTGGATTCGCAACAAGGGAGGAAATCTAACCTCATGTTTGAGCTACACACAGAAGGCTGTCATTGAATCTGGTGTTATCCTGGTTAGCGGCTGTGTTACGGCGCTGTGACAGGTCTGGATTTACATCCCGTAGAGCAGAGGGATTGGATTGGTGTTTGGCTTCATTATATGTGAACTAGAATGAATAGCTTTGGTTGAAGGGAGGGGGAAGGCTGTGTGTAAAGGATCAAAAATTTGGTCCTACACCCCTCCTTTCAAGTCCAAACCTGACATGCTGAAGGCATTTCTTGCACATAGACCTCCCTGTAGATGACCACCTTTTGACTAATTGCTGAATGTCACACAGTAGAAAAGCATCTTCTCAGAAATGCTGATGTCAGCGCTTCAGAAACCCTACGATTAACTCTTTCCTCTGCGAGCCCATATCTGTTAGCAGCCGCTGACTGCATCTGGTGGCAAACAAGCATCTGAACATGAATGAAAAGCGACCGCCGCTAATCTGAAGCATTAACTAACCAGCTGATTCTGTGCAGACTAATCAGCTATTAGCATCAGTTTGTTTCCAAACACACTCCTCGTTTTGTTGGTCCTCTGATTCCCATCACAGTGATGAGGTTTGAAGCGCCGTCTCGGCCGTAATTCCTCCAAGAAGAAGCTCCCTCGAATCAGCCTGCATCACACATCCACAGTTGTGCAGGATTACAAACCTATTTCCAGAGTTTTTCTACCCCCACCATCTAAATCCTGCAAAGCTCAAAGCTTTCATCAGACTTGATTCCATGACAGATGAATTGGTTTTCCAGGCTGGACTAATCCTTAAAATCAAACAGAAGCAGGGCCCCACTGAAGCTCATAAGAAGCCCCTCTGCTGCTGCAGCGTGAGCAGGTTGTCTGAAAGTGAAACTCACTTTGCATTCCTGTTAGGAGCCCTGACACTCTGACCATATTCTCACTGAGTGTACTCTGACCTCTTTACTTCATTTGCTCAACAATAAGGGTTTATAATATGATACACACTCTATTAAGACTTTAACAACATGAAAATAAGGACATCTAAAAAAGCATTATTGAAATAAATCTAAAAATGACCAAATATTGTGGGAAAAAAAACTAAAAATTCATACTTGCTTCATGATTTATGTGAAATTTACCCTCAACACTCATTAATGCCTTTTGATAAAACCTTAACATGGCTAATGCAAACACATATGGATGCAACAAGGTCAGCTATAATGCCCAAATATAACAAACAAAACCCATATTGCACCAAAAATAAATGAATGTCACACCCAAATATGTCTGAGGATGACCCAAACAATCCACCATTACACCACTACACCAACAACAATTAGCCTTATTGTAAATAATAAGCCTTATAATGAACACTAGAATAAACATTCACCAAAAAATGTGCTTCAAAGTTGATGAAGAACACTTATAAATGCATTTAACAAACTTAAGTGTAGATAATTCACCTGCATGTGGCTTTTCATGAGTGCAGAAATATGTGTTATGTAAACCAAAACGTAAACAAGACCCAAATTGCACCTAAAACTAAATGCCACAATATGAGCTGGAAAAAGAAAGCAAAGAATTAACACCCTTATGTAATGTGCAGAGCGCCTTGATGTAAACAATGAGCCTAAAATGCCTTTAAGTAAACCTAGAAATACTCATGGCACCCTTTGCAATAACCTGTGCATGAACAATAAGAGCCAAATAATGAGATAATGTGATTAACCCAATTAATAATTAGTTCAATATGGGGGTGTCTGTTTTCCTCTCAACCTGCATTTGCACCCTCCTCCTCCTCCTCCTCATCCTCCTCCACTACTACATGCTGTTTGTGTGTTTCTTGTGTGTTTTTACATGACCACAGTCTTTGTTATGACAGCAGCAGCAGCAGCAGCATGTCACCGCTCACCTTCCAGCCTGCAGAGCTGTTGCTGTCGCCTTTGTCCTTGAAATATGGCACAGACCTCACCATCCAGTCATAGATTTGGGACAAGGTCAGCCTCTTCTCGGGGGAGCTCTCGATGGCTTGGGTAATGAGGTCTGCATAGGAGTAATTGCCCCAGGCGTTCCTGCGGGCGGAGGACTTCCTCAGCTGCTGGGAGGCAGAGCCGCCCAGAGCCGCTGTGGGGGTCTGCGCCGAGGAAGGCGAGCCATCGGCGGCCTCCTCTTTGCTGGGGCCCCGCTGGACCTCCACGGGCTGGGAGATGGAGCTGCTGCTGCTCGCCTCCCGGGGTTTAACTCCACCGCCACCGCTGGATTTCTGCGCGTCCCCGCTCTCCGTGCTGCCCCCTTCATCGTCCTCTTCTTCGGGGATTACGTCAGTGTCGTTCGTCCCGGGTTTGCCCGCACCAGACTCCGGACGGGGCAGCGGCCAAGTGCAGGACCGCGGCCGCTTCTGAGGCTCGAAATCCGGATCTATCTCCACGTTTGAGGGAGGCTCGTTGGCGTCGCGCGGAGCCTCAGCCATGATGTTCCTCGCAAAATCTCGGTCGCTACACAAAGGGTTATAAAATCACTCAGGTCGCATTCCATCAATGTTGTGTGCAGGCTTCAGAGGCAGTTTATTTACTATGCACGGTATGCAAATGTCCAGCCTGCAGCCCAGTCCCAGCACGTGTCCGTCTTTCTATCCCCCTACAAGGCGTCTATCTATCCGCAGCAGCAGCACACAGATATGACCAGCATTAACAAAACATTGCCTTTTCTCCTGCACAGCCCACACCCTGGTCAACATGCATTGCAATTTCGCGAAATGTGGGGTTAGTAAAGAAAGGAAGAGCCAGTCTTCTTAGAGGAATCCAAAACGGCGTTCCTTCACAAGCGCCCGCGTCCTGCGCCGCGATCCTGCGTCGTGCATGCCAAAGAAAATGGAAATTACTACATCTAATGCCACCACATCAGCTTTATCTCTCCGTACACAGCTGCCATCTTGACCATTTCCTTTCCCAAGTTCTTTATCATCCGTGCAGAGAGCTGCCAGTCGCCTGCTGTCCAGATACCATCAAGGCGGAGATTGCTTTTCTCGAGGCCCTGCAGCTCGTTGTTTCTTCGTTTAGAAAAAAAATGGAGCTACTGGGCAAATGTGGCGAGACTCAGCTCCCCCATCCAAGAAGGAACAAAATACTGATGCATTCTGGCTCTACGTCTCTGGCATCTTGAACAGGCCAGCACGGTGTCCTCCGTGTGGCCAGCTGCCTGCAAACACACTTCATTCAATCTGCTGCTGCTGCTGCTGCTGCTGTGCTTCGCGCAAACGCTCCGAGTCCAGGAGGAGGAAAAAAAATCCACACGATCCTGCACTGAAATTAAAGCGACAGTATGTGGATGTCTGCAGGCCGGTGACATCACTGTTTACTCCTGATCAGAGGAACAAAAGGAGTGTCTTACACAACAAAATGTCATGCACTAGTAAATATTAACCCCTCTGTGGATATGTTATTTAGTTATTAGACCATAGGACATGCGTTTACTTACACTATTACAGCCTGTTTTTAAGTCTATTGTAAGACCTGATCAAATTTCTTGACAAACATTATTTATATATTTATGGTGAAAGACACAGATATTTAAGCAGATTATGAAGCATATTGATAATCAACGAGCATCCAAGACCATCAGTAGCAACAATGAGCATTAAATCTACAAGCCCATTAATCAGATTTTGTCTAATTTTGTCTATCAGGTCTGAAATGCTGGTTGTATGAGCAATTTTATCTATCTATTTATCTCTCTCTCTCTATATATATATATATATATATATATATATATATATATATGTATACACATATATACATACATATATATATACATTTATAAATACATATATATAAATACATACATATATATACACACATATATATACATACATATATATATATATATTCTTACATATATATATACATATATACATATATAGATAGATAGATAGATAGATAGATAGATAGATAGAGTTCCCCAAATCACTGCTTTACCTGTTTCTCTTTTGCAGCATTTACCTGCCCATTCACCTGAAGTGTCCCTTGTGGTGATTGTGCGAGTAACAGAACAAAACCCCAAAAATAACATAGATAAAATGACTCTTACACTGGTCGAGTTTTCTTAAAGCCGTGTTGCCACCCACCACCAGTTCAGTGGTTGTCACTGCAATAACGCTATAATGCACGGCCACCTAAATGTAAACAAACACAGATGACACACACAGTCTTGTAACGCAGAAGACAGTCGAAATAACTCTTTAAGCGTTAAATAAGACTGAAGAACAGTCATGGCTTTATTGAGTCATTCCTATTCCTGTTGCACTTAGTCTGATCTATTTTATGACCATCTTTAGTGACAGTATTTTTCACCTGTTGCTTTTAACCAACATAAAACCCTAATAAATAATCAGTTCTGATAAACACCTCCTCTGTTTTCACTCCGCTTGACTCCCCTGATCCAGACTCAGTTGTTACGCCGATGATACCCCATTCTAACCACCAGCCCGCCACATAAACCTGATTTTAATATTCTCCCTCCTCTGACACAGTAGCGGCAAATGAGTTATGTGATTTCCTCGATAACAACTTGGAGGGTTTTAAGAAAGGATTTAGAGTCCTCTGATAGACCGGGACAGCGTGAGTGAGTTACATATGAAGACGTAATTCCTCCACACAGAGGATTTCACTCTGCATTCTTCCTGTTAGGTCTAAGTGTAGAGTTTGACACAACTGAGCATCACATCCTGTTACAGAGACTGGAACACTTAATTGGATTCCCTAATCAAAGGAACCATATTAAGTTGATTTAAATCCTGTTGATCAGATCGATCTCAACTTGTACACGGCAACGATAATCCCTTTATGCACCACCGGAGTTATTAATGGAGTTGTGCAAGGTTTGGAGATCAGGCCAATAAAATTCTCCCTGGAAGTATCATTAAGAAACACTCTGTTGATTTTATGCAGATGATATGCAGTTATAGATCTCTGTTAAGCAACACTAAAAATGTGTCAAATTGTCTTTTTAAGCACGTCAAAACATCACTGAGACCTGTGATTGGCTCCAACTGTTCTGTGTCTAGACTCAGAGAAGAATTTAAGCTCTCCTGGCCTGGCCCAAAACTCCTAAGAGACGTGCTTTAAAGCTGCCTTGGTGGCATAATCCTGACTTTAAGCAATATCAGGCATAAAGTTTACAACGACTTAATTTTCATTAAGCATTAAAAGACTCGTTTTTAACGTTTGTTGTTAAATATGTACAATTACTGATCAAATATAGTGTTCAGACCTTCAAATTCAGATACTATCAACATTTTCCTGATTTTTGGGAAAAGGGGTCACATGAAAAAGTCAATAAATTAAATGTACTTGGGGTCATATTTTAACAGGTAATAGAAACACAGGGATTGTTTTTTACTCTTTTCAGGACCTGGGAATGTTGATAGTATAATAACACACTTAGCACATACAGTATAAGGTGATTCCTGGCCGACTCTGATGGAGCTTCTTAGACGTAACAACTTATTGTTTTATTGAATCAAATTGTCAAGACTGGAAGAATTAAGTGCTTATTCCAATAAAACAAAGTAGCTTCAAAAAATGTTTTAGAAAAATAAATGAGTTGAATAACCAAAAATCTATTTTTGTCAGCGTAGAAGGTTATTAGCACCTCTGAGGATTTGTACTTGACTTTGGTATTTGCAGAATCTCGGTCACAACATTGGCAGCAACTAAAATGCTGTGATTAAAAAGATTTTCTGAGGATTTCCTGAACTGTGAGAGGAGATTTACAGGAAATGTGAATGAAAAACTGCTGTAAAATGGATCAGCTGACTGCTACTTTGAAAGTTTTACTGTAATAATGTAAAAACTTAGGCGTGCTGATATCAGAACTCACCCAGTTATGGTGGTTAAAAGTCTGTATTACACAAAATAACATGGAATAGACACAAATAAACATACTGTATATAACCATGCCATTTTTTATGGATTATTATGTATAAAAAATAGTGCATTATAATAATGATGGAAAAAGAATGGAGCTTAATAGACAAACCTGAGCTTATAAGCACTTTCAGTTTCCTCTCTGTGTTTTGAGGTTTTGAAGCTGTTGTGTATATTGAAGTGAAAAAGAAATAGATGTTTTCTTTATGTTTTTGTTGGATTCTATGTTCAAGAAAAGAGACTGAAATGTACAAAATAATGAGTATAATGTAATGATGAGTTCTGCGTCCTTAACGCACACATTTATTGCACTCACTTTGTCTTGTTGAGCGTGTTCAGCATAATCTGTTCAAGTTTGAAGCATTTTTAAAAAAAAGCTCATCTTGGTAGTGTGACTGAAAGTTTGCACAGAATATAAATGAAGCAGTTTTTAACCTCAACAACTCGCTTTGATTAATTATGTAGGCAGATACATAAGAACACAGCGTACCCTGTGAGCTACATGATGCATGTAGATTTCCTTTTATACGTCAGATGAAAAAAAAAATGTGATGAATGAAGTCAAATGCATTTCCATTGTCTGCATAAATCTTTAAATAAACACTCCTTTAACTCTATGATTCAGGCTTCTATTGATGTCATATACAGTATGACTCATTCAGATATATTTCATATATTTACATAAACAAAGATTAAAATGTCTAATCTTTAAGAATCTGTTTCCCCAAAGTTGTGCGGCTTGTTTCTACATATTAATAAAAGTAAATACAGTTGGACCACGATATGATTAAAAGCAATATGACACCTTAAAAATGATCCATAAAGTGCAACGTCACAATAAAATCAGTAAAGGCCTTCAGATTTCAATAAATACTCTCTGTACAGTATTTGCACAGCTGCAGTGGTGCGGTCCATTAAGAGATGAATAGGAGAAGTGTTTGTTCGGTGTGGTTTTGGCAGAGAGGAGGACAGTTTATGGAGGTAAAAATGGAGGAGTTTGTCTCCAATTGTCACACCTATGACTTTATACTTCTGTCTCCTTCTATCCAGTAGTCCTCTGTCTGCATCTCTGTCAGACGAGACACCGTCCTCTGGAAGGCAAATCGCTCCTCCTCCCCGCTGAAGATGGACAGACTGCTGGCTTCGTCCTGATGAGAGAACAGAGTGAAGAAGTAAAATAAATATGTAAACTCATCCTGTATTTGGAATTTTGAGAAGTTTGCTCAAGTTTAATGAGACTTAAAAACATCCTGAACTTTTAATATCTAGTATTGCTCTTGTCTCTTGACTGAAGTTTTACAGTATGTACATGATCAAGCACCAGCACTGCTAGTTAGAAACAGGAGACCCAGCTTCTTCTTCTTGAGTGTGCATGTCTGATTAGTGTCATTCTGACTCAAAACCTGACGCACGTTTACACAGTTTGATAAAACCAGTTTATCTCGCCTTCATAAGAAAAAGGGAAGTTGTTATCTCTAATCAGAATGATTTGAGGCAGAAATTACACATCAGAATCTGATTCTGATAAAAGCTGCTGCCTTAAAAAACAAAGTGCAGCCCAGACTCCAAGGACAGTTTTGTGTAAATCTATTCAAGAGATTGACATAAAATTTGTTGTGAGAAGAAAAATGACATTTTGAAAGGATGTATAGACTCTGTAATGTAAAACTGACAGAAAAATTAAGTTAAGATCTCAGTTATAAAGTAAACATTGATTTCCCTTTGTCCTGTAAGGAACTTCAAGAGCTCAAATACTGTAGTTCATGTTCAGATGATATTCTTGTGCACATAACAAAAACTGATTGACTGCACTTGTGTGTTAAAACCTCCTTTCACTAACAGCTTAATTATCTACATTTACGAGGAAACGACACACCCCAACGTGAAAAACTGGTTTAACAGAGAAAACTCAGTCCGAGCCAGCCTTCACCCTTTTGAGTCCCAGATCGTCCATCAGGATGTGGCTTTCATCGTGACTGTGATCGCCATCGTGTACGAAAATATCCTCCAGAGGGTGGTCAGCAAGAATCACAACCCGCACCTGAAATAAGATCAGATAAAAGGATTCTGTGATGAAAATCTTGAGGACCAAAGGAAAGCAAAGTTTGGTGATTTCTGAGGGTTCATGTTTCGGCAGATAACAGCGCCGTACCTTGTGGTCGTAGAGAGCATCCACCAGCGTTATGAGCCGCCTGGCTTGAGTTTTCTTGTTCAGCGTCAGCAGGGGAATGTGGCGGATAAAGATGGTGTCAAACAGGCGGGACATCTCCAGGTAGTCGCTGGCCCCTAAAGGCTAGAATATTTCGCATTGTTATAACATGGTCCCTCTCTTGATTTTAAAGCCTAAACTACAGTTAGTCCAGGTACGCTGAGTTTTTCATTTATACACGTTATCTGAAAGTCTTGGTTCCTCAAAGCCCCCCCTGGATTTGGGACTTAGCCCTGGAAAGTTTCAGACAACCAAGAGGTGTTCAAAGCAGCTTCACAGAGTTTAAAATTCTGGTTGTAAGTCACACAAAGTGGGCAAATGAGCATAAAATGACAGGCATGATTTCCTCTGTGAATAAAAAAAATCTATGTAAGATAATAGCCCAGTGTGCGTCAAATATTCTTTAAATTTATGCACCTTTAGAGGCTGTAGTGATGTCTAAAAACTGTGTCCAGCAGTCCAAACTCTGAAAACCACTCATTTACTTTCACAGGCGATAAAGAAAAGCAGCATACCTTCAATATTTAAGATACCAGACACAATAAATGTTGAATATAAACCAAATAACAGAAGAGATCAGTCAATCAGCAAAATTACAGACCAGATACCGAAGAACAGAAGCCAAAACTGATGCACCAAGAGACTTTTGTTGTAATAAAGTCAAAGTGTGTAGATTTCTATTTGAGTGTCAGGGTCAGACTCACTCTATCACACAGCTCCTCAAACGTACAGTCTGCGATGGTCCCACATGCTTTATTCAGACGCACTTTCCTGTTGTGAACGTTCAGGACTCTCGGTCGTGTAACTGTGGGAAAAAAATATACGGTTAATTTTGCATTTTACTGCGAAGGGTGACGTGGAGGAAACTAGCCGAATAATAACGACAATCCTGAGAGTCCACTTACTGTCATTCTGCTTAAAAGCAAGCTCATCAAACATCTTGTCTAATGTCACTTCTACATCCGGCTCACTGGAGCTGCAGGAAATAAAACGGGGAAGCGTTAAAAAAAACTGCACATAACAGATCCATATCTGACATACAACAGCAGACTGGTTTACTTGGTGGATTTCTCACAGAAAGTAAAGTTTCCCAGCGGAGGGTCTGTTCCTTTTTCGGTAGTCTATCCCAGAATCCAGGCGTAAAGTTTGACAGTGGTTCTGTAGGAGATGGATTAGCTGTGAGCAGAAAAGTGAAAAGAGAGAAAGACTATCTATTTTCTGCTAATACAAGTATCTCCTTTCTTACCTGCAATACAGCGATAAAAGGGACAAAGTTGACTCTCTGCAAACCATTTTTATACAAGTCTGAGGGAAAAGAGTAGGACATGAAAGGTTTAAAAAAAAGACACTGACTGATTAATATCCTAAAGGCACATACGTTCTGCAGATTTTTTGAGCGGAAAACTGTTAAATATGCAGCATTTGTTCCTCACCTTCAGGCTGACGATTAGAGGTGGCCACAACGACGACACCGTTTCGGAAAAGATTCTCAAAAAGCTGCTTCAAAATCATGGCATCGGCAATATCTGTGACCTGAAACAAGCATATGAATTATCATTCCAGCATTAGACTGACATTGATCAAACATTTTTCGACCAAAATACATCCTATGTTTGTTGAAAAATGATAAGGTTACCTGAAATTCGTCAAAACACAGCAGACAGGCCTCCTCACTGATCTCCTCTGCAACAGGAGCGATGGGGTCGTAAGATTTGGCCATTCTTCCTGCTTTCCTCTTAGGCATACTCTGTTTCAGTCGATGGATCCCTGAGGACCAAAAGAAAGACAGAAGTCATTTTAATGTACCTAAACCAATGTTAACGATAAAGAATCAGACTTAAAGGGATATTCTGGTGCTGTTCTGAGCATTATTTGTGGCTATAGAGCGATGTTTTGGTTGAGGTTTGTTTGTGGCTCCTCAGACCGTTGTGTATTACTATCCTGCAGTCATTACTAAAGTTGGTTTAACTAGAGAAGCAAGCGTTTGCCAACATTCATCTCTTGGCGGGGTTGTCTAACTCGGTGTTACAGTGTGTTTGACCCTAAATTAATTTTACGCCGGAATATCCCTTTTACGTGACTCTGAAAAAAGACTGAACACCTCTGTCGTGGTAAAAACATGACTTGTTCTCACTTTTATGCACGTCCAACATGAAGCCATGGAAATGCACCCTTTTCTTCTTTTCAGTCTCGACATAGGAGTAAAACATGTCCATCACCATGGTCTTCCCTGTGCCTGGAACAAGAAAAAAGTGTGTCAATTAAAAGGAGAGAGAAAGTTCAATCCTTATATTGGTATATTTGCAGCAGGTCTCTCTTACCAACATCACCATAAATGTAGTAACCTTTAGGGGGCTTCGGCTTTGTGAAAAACTGAAAGACATGTTGGCAAAGACAAAATCATCAGCCAGGTTATGATCATAGGCTGTATATAGAATAAATATATACATAAATAAATAGTATATACAGTCTATGGTTATGAGCTTGCAAATCACAAGAAAAGTATAAATATCCCAGAGATATAACTATTTGTTTTAGTTGATGTATCAGTCAAAAACTTGTTAAGAGTCTGAAAAAATGACAGATTGAGCCTTTTCTCCCTCTAACCTTGGAGAATATAGATGTCGGTGTGTTGCTGTATCCTCGGAGTTTCTTGTGGAGCTGCTCCAGTTTCTCCAGCACCGCTTTCTGGTGTTCATCCTCCCGCAGCGTCCCGTCCCTGATCAGCCCGCTGTAGTGATCCAGAGGTCCGGTGAACCCGGCGGTGCTGGTTCCGCTGGTACCGTTCTCCTCCACCACCTCCTGGGCTTTCGCAGAGTATCCTTTAATCCCCATGAAAAGCATTGATACTTAGTAAAAACTAACTGACTTTTAAAGTCAAAACTGTTGCTGACAGGTGAAGCAAAGTCGACTTTAAACACATTTTCAGTGGAAACTAGCCGAACACCATCCGAACAACTCATTTAGTGACACCGTTCACTCAACATAACTTACAAAAAAGTGTCTTACCTCGTCTGCAGAGCTCTGTCAGAGATTTAAACACCTCTCTGGATGGATTTTGCTCTTTAAAAAGCAGCCTACACCCCACCGAAGCTGAGGGTGACATCTTTAAAAACAGCGGTATGCGCACCGCCATCTTGGCTTCAAACGTTGTCAACGTAACTTTATTAACAAAAGTTTGACAAACAGGCATTTCCTTCTTTTGGCCAGCAGGGGGCGGAGTTTCGTTCAATTCATGGGCATGGATGTGAAGATTAAACAATTCAAATAGACTTTTTAAACTTTAGATGATTGACCAAAAATAAAAAAAGAGAGTAATAGTAGAATTGATGATGAAGATAATAATAATAATAATAATAATAATAATAATAATAATAATAATAATACATTTTATTTATAACGCACTTTTACAGGTGCTCAAATAAGCCTTACAAAGGAAAAGAAGAAAATAAAATAATAAAAAAAACAATTTAAAAAAAAGAAAAGCGAAAGTGGACTGCAGCAAATTCACTGTTCATGATTAGGCATAGCTTAAAATTAGGTACTCAGAGATAGCATTTGCTGAAACACTAGATTATTTTACGAGGCAAACAGAGATAGAATGATGCTGATTCGGGCAAAATTTGGAGCATACACACAGGCGTACAGTTGGAAAATACTACAGATAGAAACATAACAATTTCATTCTGAGCAAAAATTAAAATACATTCAGTGTTTTTTATCATTGAGCTTTTTCTTCACAGTAAATATGGACAATGCACCCCCACTTAAATATGTGAAACCAAAATACATAAGATATGAAGTTCAGGCGCATCTCATGCCAACATACAATCAGCTAAGTAATGGTACATGTCAGCCACACCTATTCATGAAGATGGAAACCTAACTTTCTTTAAAATTAACAAATTATTTAAAAAAAATCACCAGTGGTACAGTGGAGTAGAAAAAAGAAATGACCTATTAAGGCCAAAACTGTTTTTGTATGAGGCTGTTGACTATTGAATTCCTGTTTAACACTCCCATGCTGGCTTCATATTTTAACATCACAGATTACTTCTTGGCCTTTAATATTCTGCAAGTGGAGTCAAAGCATGTGCAGAGTCAAATTGCTTGGTGGTGCTATGTGACTGATGTTACACCCCCACATTTTAAATATACTGATAAAACTGTAGAAAAAAAATTCTTATTTATATAAAAAGAGCATTGACTTGTCAAAATTGTCACCCACTATGTCTCTGCAAATGAATTCATTAAAAAAACGGGTCCTTCATCAATATGTAGGCTATATGACATTTAAATCACACAGTAAAACGACAGAAAACACTCAACAGTAAGGGAGATAAAATAACACATTTGAATATTTTTCCATGAATATTTTCATTATAATCTCAGAGCAGAAATTCGGTCTAATTATACCTCCACAGCTCTGAGCAGACCAAACATCACGGCAGACAACCGACAGGGTGTTACAGGGCTTACAGGCTTGTTGCCATGACAACAGAGCAGCCTCCCCCTTCCCCTCCCCTCCCTTGCTCTTTCCCTCTCGCTCCTCTGTCTCTTTAATGCACACACACGCACAACCGCGCAACCACACACACGCATATACACACTGTCACTCTGTCTGTCTGTCTCTGGTGTACACACACACACACACACACACACACACACACACACACACACACACACACACACACACACACACACACACACACATACATGTACAGTATTACAGAGGAATCCACTGTGCCGTGCTCCGCTACTGGAAACAGGAAACATAGGAAACACAGCAAGGAGCTTACGGAGAATCCACATCTGTTTGGATGGTGAGTGTCTGCTTAGATGTTATTTGTTTACCTTAAATCTGCTTCAAATGGGACCAAATTCAGAGGCATGACTTGGGTGTCTTTACCGGGTAGCATGATTAAGGAGCCACACGTTTCCTTTCCTCGCACCGCATCCTCCCCTTTCCCTATTTTCTCAAGATTAGGGTGGAAACTGTCATCGTAATGGTAATTCATAGCTGGGTAGCCATGGTGAAGTCAATTTCCCCCCTCCCCTCTGCCGCTGCTGAATGCATTAGTCTAATGAGATGTCTGCAGCCTGTGTGCCGAGCAGCAGCAGCAGCAGCAGCAGCAGCAGCAGCAGTAGTGTGTTAACCAAAAGGGGACAAAGCCTCAAACAGCAAGGGCAAGATGGCTCTCCCTGCATCGTTAGGGATTTAGCTTTATAGTCACCTTTAGGCTCCCTGGGATTTAAAACAAAAGGGGCTCGGCTCTTGGGCTTTCACAATAGAAGACATCAGGTAATAGACACCCTCCTCCTCCTCCTCCTCATCCTCCTCTGTCAGGTTTATTGGAGTGTTATCAGTGCAGGATGGAGGTGCTGTTTCCTCCCCAGCTCATGCATGGCTGCCTTTTGTGTTGTGTGATTATAACGATGCTCTGCTTAATGCCGCCTCTCTGAACCGCATTGCTCTGCTGAGTATTCTGCAGTCTATCACTGTTTGCACAGTTTGCATGTCGCTGCTGTACACCAAAGCTGCTCTGACCTGATGCTAACCCGCTCTGTGATATATGAGAAGAAGGGAATGGCGTGCAAGAAGAAAGTGCATGTTTCTTTGCAATTTCTGCAGCTTGATTTTGAGTTTTCCCCCTCTTTTGTCTGCAGCTCCAAATGAGTGTACCTGCAGTGACAGCACAGAAATCAGACAGCAACAACAATAACAACAGTGAGATGCAATCAGCTGCAGTGGCTCCCTCCTTCATCCCCAGCCAGGCGGGGAAGATACCGGGCAGGAAGAGAGGGAGACCCCCACTCCGCAATGTCGCCAAGATGGATTTTCCAAACCGCTACCCTGAGTCGCTCCCTCCGCTCAAAGTGCCAAAGAAGAGGGGGAGAAAGCCAGGCTTCAAGGTCAGCCAGATGCAGGGGAAAACATGGGGATGTGATGTGTGTGTGTGTGTGTGTGTGTGGATGCAGTGTGTTTAAAAATGCATGTGTACACAGTAAGGCACAGACTCACAGGCTCCATGCCCTTCAGCTTTTGTGGGACCCCAGTGTGTCAGTAAGAACCTTAACATCTGTGTCCTGTAAACATTATGGAACAACTTTATGTCAGGAGTGAAAATATGCCATAAACACTCACACAATGCATCATCTGCTGCACAACAACCACAGCTTAATATGATTTTTTTTATGCTATCACGATGACTCTCTAATCCCTAATCTCTTCATGATTTAGTAAAAAAGCAATAAACTCCTCTCTCTGCAGCTCAAACCGAGGATGGTGATGACGCCACTGGCTATCTCTCCGCCTAGCAGCACCCCTGAGCCTGACATGAGTTCAATTCCTCAGGATGCAGCCACCATCCCCCATTCTGCCACACCCCAGGTGCTCACAGGTAAACCGTAAAACCCCGTAAATAATGCACAAACACCCCTTGTCTCTCTCCAAATTTGCTGTTAAGTCACAAATAGATCCCTTTTCGTCTCTTTCTCCCTCTGTCAGTCTGTATCTACATCAACAAGCAGGCTAACACAGGCCCCAATCTGGACAGAAAGAAGATCCAGCAGCTCCCTGATCACTTCGGACCCGACCGGCCCTCTGTGGTTCTCCAGCAGGCCGTCCAAGGCTGCATCGACAGCGCCTTTCAGCAGAAAACGGTCTTCACCCTCCTCACGCAAGGCTACGGGGGAGAAAAGATATCAGGTGTTGTACAGAGACCTCCCTCAGGTGTTGCTTTCTATTTGTTCAGCAGCTTCATTTTCCTTTGTATTCTGGTGCTCCTCAGTAGAAATCATGCTTTAGTAAAAGTCCAATTTGTCGGGGAATCGCTGCTAAACTGTCGTGTTGTGTCTATTTCGCCCCTACAGCCACGTTTGATGGGAAGCAGCACCTTCTCAGCCTCCCCGTGGTGAACAGCATCGACTATGTGCTCCGTTTTCTCAAGAAGCTCTGTCGCAGCTTGCACTGTGAAAACCTCTTCAGTGATCAGCCCATTACCCAGCACAGCGGTGGCTCCTACCAGTCAGATGGTACTTCTGAAATCTTTGTTATAAAAGCCCCTCCCCCAGATACAAACAAACACTTTCAAGTAATTGTGACTTTAATCTCGTCTTTAGCCGAAACAGAGGACTACCAGCTGGATCAGTCTGACGGCAAACGCTACTCCGTGGATCCGGGGGATTCTGCTTTCAGCTCCATCGGCTCGACATACTCGCCAAAGTCCTCCTACGGGTTCCGTTCACAGCAGCAGTTCTCAAACGGCTCGGCCTCCATGAGCATGTGCCGGCAGTCGTCCAACAGCCCGAGCACATTTCCAGAGAGCAACAGGACAGGTGAGAAGTCAAAGCGGGTTCATTGATTTTCACGTCTTTGAGGTACAGGAATAAAGCTTCAGTCTTTCTTTGGTTCTTCCAGGAGGTTACACGGCATCTTCAGAGTCCCAGGAGTCCAAAGCTCCTCCCAATAAAGACCCCTCCACCTGGTCTGTGGAAGATGTTGTCTGGTTTATCAGGGATGCCGACCCACACGCTCTCGGCCCTCACGCAGACATCTTCAGGAAACACGTAAGCTTGTCTCATTTTTCACGCTGTCGTTTCTCAATATTTGATTTTGACTGACTTGACTTCCTTCCTCTTCTTCTTCTTCTCCTCTTAGGAGATCGATGGAAACGCCTTGTTACTCTTAAAGAGTGACATGATCATGAAGTATCTGGGACTCAAGCTTGGGCCGGCGTTGAAGCTTTGCTACCATATCGACAAACTAAAGCAGACCAAGTTCTAAAACCCTACAAAGCTATATTCTTTCTCTTCAATCTAACGGTACTTTTGAGACGGGGTCATACCTTGGACTCCAGGTCTGTGAGCCAATGTGAAGGGAGAAGGGTTGGAGTTATGGGTGCTAAAAAGCTAGATTTGAAACTTTCTCGTAAACTGCAAAAAGTAATTATGAAAATACTTGAATTGTTAATAAACAAAGTGTTGTCAGAATGATAATAGCGCTGTAACTTTCATGTAAAAGAGACGCCACAAAGTAAAGATCCAAAGAAGCAACAAGCAGTCAAATATTTAAACAGACACCTACATTATAAAGTTAACATCCTCAGCAGGCTAACATCTCCTTCAAGCTATTTGTGATTTTGTGACTTTTATTTTTTTTAGGTAATTTATGAAAGCAGAAATTTTATAACCTTATCCTGCGCGTCGGCAGCTCCACACGCCTTTTACTGAAGCTGAAACAGTCATCTAGTTTGCCAGCATAGCTCAGTGTCCTTCTGTTTTTATTTGCACAGTCAGAAGTTGCCATGAAACATCACCACGTGTTTAGAGTCACGTTTGTGTCCTGCTAATGAATGTAACTCTGATATGGACTCTCTTTGAGCTCTGTTTTTGGTCTGAACCAGCTCTAGAGGGAAATATCTGACTCTTTAGGTGCTAAGTGCTCCACTATGCTCACCAGCCAGCCAGTAAGGGTTCTCGTTTTGTACTACAGCTGTTGTTTTTAAACCCAAAGTGAGGCGAAGTCAGCATTATCATCCGGCTCCAGGCTTACTGAGACCACGTCCATGTTAGTCTGTGGATGAGAACTCGCTTTAGAGCTCTGCGAAGCTAAAGGGAGCTGCAGAGAGTATTTCTGAATGTCCAAACCAAGGGCTGGAATAAAGAAAGTTAAAAGGCAGTGAGGAGCTTTCATCCTATCGGCACACAGACCTGGAGTCCGTAGTTTAACCCTCTTGGTAAAATTCTGCTGAAGATTTCCATGATGTCATGTAGTGATAACAAATTCATCCCTCTCTTTCTCTCCTCTCCTACTCGCTCACTCGACTTTTTCGGCACAGATTTGAAGCTAAAAAAACCATCCGATTGTAGAAAACACCCTTCACACACACACACATGTTGACATCATGTAAAAAGTTAAAGGCCGGTGTACTGACGAGTTTAGTCTCACAAACCTTTGTGAGCAGCACATTTTTCTGCTGCATGCAGATCTCATTATATATACCGTGTATTCATCATCTGACTAGAAATGTATAACAGAACAGAAAACACTTTATACCTTAAAAAATCTCACTTTGTCGAAACGTATCATACGATCTTGTTTACTTGTGTTTACCGGGCTGAAAACATATCTATACCTGTACTGAAATATGGTGCATTAACTACAGCATTGCTTTTTAATTGAGAGATTTAGGAAAATCATTTTGATACTATTTTTTCACATTACTGTGTAACAAAAAAAAGGTAATGATCTCATTGGATTTTTCATTTTTTGTTATAATTTTCATATTAAAAAAAAGAATATAACCTTAACAAAACATAGCCTACATAGAAAGATGGTAGCTCTCCTCTGATTATATATGACGAAAATGAGAGGATTGTGAACGTGAACGATATATTTATGTTTCAATATGCAAGATTATGACATGCCAATTATCTCCAGAAGCTCTTCATATATACACATACAAACATTTTTTAATTCCTGTTTCTATCAGTATTGATGAGGACGTTGTCAAACTCTTTAATGTTACACTAGGAGAACCTGCGCGGCAGTGTAAATGGGTATATAATATAATATTGCTTTTGTATACCACTTTAGGTGTACAGTATGCATCCTTTTTTAATCAATTAACCTTTGTAAGTGAATGCTGCTGTAAAGATATTACATGTAAGCCATGCCTAGTGAGATCAAGCTACGGTGTTTAATTTGGGAAATCACTATGAATAAAAGTTTTAGAGAAAGCTGAGTGAGTCAGTGCTCGATGCTGGTGCTAAAGTTAACGATGTATTTAACTGTTTGCCTTTGTGTTTGTGAGATGTAAAGGATATGTGTATACTGTACTGTATGTGAGCATTAAATTAAGGAATCAAGTAATCAGAGATTTATGTGTGAGATTTTTTTTTTATTTCTGCCTCATTGACTGACTCCGAGCAGCCATTTTCTCCTGACATCACAAAAACTGGTACACGATCGGGTTCAAGGTTATAAGATGCATTAAACATATCTGGTATCATCATAAGCCGACCACTCTAGTACTTCCTAAAATCCTGAGGAGCTAAAAGATAACTGCACGATAGCCTATTAGCTTAGATAGACATCTTAGCCTTATTCTAATAAACATCCTATCATATGAATATGGTGAGTTTGGACCTCAGTGAAATTTAGTTGTTGGTTTTATTAAAGATTTTCATACCTATGGGGTTCAAACTGATCTAGATTTGGATTTAGGTCCACCAGAATGAGAGTCAGAGTGGCTGAGAGCCTCATCTGTGCTTCACCACACATGACTTAACAAAGGCGACCTAAATCTGCAGTCGGAGTCCCCCAGGGCTCTTTACTGGGGTTCTCCAGGGGTCTCTGGAAAGATGAGAGGTTCACTCATCTGCCAAAACAGCAAACCCATGGCCATATGTGTATTAAGACTTCATATCATCTTGAAAATATTCAGGCTTTGGCATCACCAGGATTGAACCAGACTCAGAGGAATGGTAGGGAAGAGTGGGGTAAGATGAGCCATTTTTCATATTTCAGATCACTACATCAAGACAATCATAGTTTTGTCTCTAACTAGTGAATCTGCATATATTTCGAGATATTGTGCATCCCTGCAAACCAACAGAATGAGTGTAAATATAACTGTCTTGATAATACAGCGTGCCAAAAAAAAACTGGTCAACTTACCCCGTGTATGGGGTAACTCTCCACCCCAGCCCTCCCTCACCTTCTCTCTCCCTTAATAACAGTCACTTCTTCACATTCATGTGTATTTTTATCTATTATTATACGCTATTCAACTGGTACAATAATTATTTTTATAATTATTGCATATAACTGCTAAAAAGCTGTTTTGTAAAAAGTCATTTTAACATGAGAATGTCTTTAAGTGATTCAGAACATTCACAGCTGTATATTTGAAAAGAAAAAGTAAAACATTTCAACAATCTGAACGGAAACTCTGATCCTCTCATCAGACTCCTTTACTTTCTCAGTTGAGCCACTGGACCAACTTACCCCAGAACTAAAATGGTGGACTTTTATACTAGGTTTTTGACCTCATGTTGTAGCGCATAGATACCACAATTAATATATAAAACAAATTTAAAATTATCTTTTTTGGTTTGAACACAATTCTAATAAAACTCATGACAGACTAAATTTTGGAAATAAATATCTAACCCCTTCACCCATGTGTGTCTAACTCCATGAATTGATGCCCATCTCCTAAATATTTGGTCACATGATCAATTTCTTTTACCATTTCCAAGCAACAGGGAGTGGCTCAACTTACCCCACTCTCCCCTACAGATATGATGTTTATCAGGTATCATTTATCTCAGACTTGTGGCCTCATACAAAATTGGCAGTATAAAAGTATCAGAAATGGATATTCACAAAGTTAAATTTGTCCCTGTCACTGAGGTTTAAAAGAGAAAACTGGCACCTCTCAGAATAAAGCGCCTCTTGATTCAGTCTCATGCTAAGCTAGGCTAACTGGGTGTGGCTTATGTTCAAACCCGAGAGTGTCATAGTGTTGTCATCCAGCTCTCAGGGCTATGTCAGCACAATAATACAAGCTACAGTTGATTTCAGTGTGTCTGTGCGCTTCGTGGGTCAAATACATCAAATCATAAAAACTAAACTCCTATTTTGGGTTACATATTTGGATGCTGAATTGTAACTTTGATTCAGATTATTTCACACAAAAGAGAAACAAGTTAAAATTGTGTTTAAATGGTACCTATGGTGTGAGGCCAAAATCTCCTGAGGGGTGGGGTTGAGTGACTTGCCAAAATGCTGGAGTTGGCCCTGAAATGGGGCTTTGCAGGGGTCCTGGTTGATCACTTCCCTGCTTTGGAACAAAATGTATATTATAAATGCACATTATTCCTTAAAGTATTGTTTATGATGAATATATTCCACCCCCTAATGTTTAAACTCCAATTATATTACTAGTGAGGTAAATCGATCTGTGCACAATCCTACATCTTCAATACCTTCAGATAAAATTTCAGGTTGATCCCCCCCTCATCATCACGATGAAGGACCCTGTAATAACGTGACAGGATCCAGCTGAACCCAAAGCGAGCAGCAGCAGCAGAGCATCAGTGAACTTATGATCAGGCTGTGATGCACACGGGTGACGCTGCGCTCCTGTAGTCGCATAACCAAAGACTGGCGTGGGATCGGTCCCTGCTGCGCCTCATCTGGAATAACGTCGGGAAAATCCAGAAATTTCATTAGCGGGTGTGTTTTTTTTTTCAAAGGAGGCGAGCAGTGTTGAAAATAATCCCTTTTGGGCAAAACGTTTCCATCGGAAGGCGGTTTTCTGTACTTTGCAGAAGCCAGAGCAGATTTATTCCGATAGAGAATCACCAAATATAGGCTGTAATAAGGTAAGAAGAAACTGCTGCACATGTCCATGTCATGTGTTATGTGTCACTATTAGGTAATAGATGCAGTGGATGCTTTTTCTGAACGTGTCACGCTTGATTTTTGGTATTTTCTTGCTGTTTGAATGAATGGGATCGAGAAGAGGGGCTTGCACACGGACACCTGCGCATCCCTTAAAACAAACCCCCCTGCGTTTTGCCTGGAAACAAGAAGAAAACACACAAAAAAACAAAAGACAGTGATTATTTTGTCACCATTTGGGTAAATATCATCGAGTATGGCGCATTAATTGGCGTTAAATGTGGCTGTGTGGTGGGGGCTTTCTTGCGTTTTAAAAATAGGTCTGGTTGGTTACGAAATTTGGAGGGTTTTTTTTCACCCCAATGCGCATGCAAAGATGTCATTAGCAGCGGGATGGTGGGATCTAATCTGAGAATCCTCTCCTCACTGCGTCGTTTCCATCGGAATGCAGCAGCGTCTCCCTCTCTGCTCCGCACAGGAGGCGGTTAGCTTTAATAGCATTAACTCAGATGTCATTGCCCAAAGCGAGAAATAAAACAGCATCTGGTGGCCTCTATTTGGCCACAACGACTCATTCATACTCGTGGCCTGTGCGTTATGAGGCGCATTTTTCGCCAAAATAAAAACAGACGGCGCAGTGTACACGATGTCGAGTCGTTTTGTTTGCTCGTGGCTCCGTCAAACAATTTCGTTTTGTCATCTTCCTGCAAAATGTTTGTCCTCAAGGTCATTCACTGCAGCCTGGTTTGGAGATTAAACCCTCCATCGGATCCTTTAATTAACAGCCAGGCTCGGCAGGACTGGTTATGTGATAAGCAGCGGGTGCATATGAAACACTGTGGTTTGCACCGATTTTGGCTGCGGCGCATATTTCTGCTGTTTGTTGTGTGAAGGCCTGAGTCAATGCAGTGCTGTGTGTGGTGGAGCTGCTCAGCCTGCTGTCATGCTGCTGCTGCAGAGATGTGGACCATATGTTGGTCTCAAGTGGATCCCTCAGTGTGTCTTATTTGGTTAGGATTATGCAAATCCTCTCCTGCTGCCTCATTTGTTCGATTATGAATCGAAAATTGATGCATTTTTCACCACTTTGTGCCATCTGAGTTATGAGTCAATCATTTATGAATGTGGGATTTCTCTGGTGTGGATGCTCAAGCTGCCATGATGCCTACTGAGGCCCTTCGGTGCCACGATAATCTGCTCTGATTAGTCTGCACATCGCCCACAACTGGCTCAAAAACTATAACATTTACAGGGCTGCGAGTTATAAGCTATATTCCTCTCTGATCCAGATTACTGCAGACCGCTGTCCTCACTCAGGTCTGTGGATTTACTGCAGCAGGGGCCTCTCTTACAACCAAGCGCAGGCTTTGTTGTCATTGTCAGGTTATGGAACAGTGTTTGCAATGGAAACTTGATAGTAGTGATCGAACATTTGATGAACTGGATCTGCTCTGACAGTGGCGATCCAGGTCAGTGTTACCCGGGCTGGAGACTGGCACAAGCAGGATGCAGGGACAGAAATAGAACAGAAGCACCAGGGAAATATTTGCAGCCTAACCTCTCTTCCTCCAAAAACACTTGAATTTAGTCTCTTTGCTCCTGCTCTACGAGGAAATAAAACAGGACCGTTTTCATGCTGTGCAGGAGATTTCTTTTTTTTTTATACTGCCATCGTTCGAGCATAGATAAATGCATTATTCACGTGTTCTTGCACCACAGGAACCATGGGAAAGCAGAACAGCAAGCTGACTCCTGAGGTGATGGAGGATCTGGTGAAGAACACAGAGTTTAATGAACACGAGCTGAAGCAGTGGTACAAAGGCTTCCTGAAAGACTGCCCCACTGGCAGGCTGAATCTGGAGGAATTCCAGCAGCTTTATGTCAAGGTTTGTGTCAAATCAACACCTCTAATTATTTCTTTCTTCTGCATCCATCAGAGAAGTCATGTATGATACGTCGTGGCTCATTCGCACCTTAAAAGTTGTTGAATTATTGAGCGCATCTCTCTCGCATTTGCAGTTCTTCCCGTACGGCGATGCATCCAAATTCGCACAACACGCCTTCAGAACCTTTGACAAAAACGGAGACGGCACCATTGATTTCCGAGAGTTCATTTGTGCTCTGTCCATCACATCCCGTGGCAGCTTTGAGCAGAAACTGAACTGGGCCTTCAACATGTATGACCTGGATGGTGACGGCAAAATCACCAGAGTGGAGATGCTGGAGATAATCGAGGTGAGGGATTATGGAGTCATTAAGCTGGGGCTCATCAGGGGACTGGTTTTGCTGTTTTTTTGGTGTTATCAGCCCTCTGCACACACCTGCCATTCACTGAGTCCAGCTTCTCACGGATATAACTGCAGTGGTATTGAATTGCATTGAGCCGTTTGTGGAAATGCTATCAGTGCGGTGCATCTGATATGTCACAGCGAGCAGAGTATATTGGCCATTTCTGTCGTGATGAATTTAACGTGGACTCCATTCCTGTCTTTTAAACTCGGCTATAAGCATATTAGACTGATTTTAGTACCACTTCATGAGCAGCTTAGGCCTTAGCTTCATATTTACTGAGTGCAGTTTCTTCGTAAAAACGGTTGTCTTACTGGTTTTGCAAGTCTACAAGTCAAGGTTGCTGTGGTCAACTTTGCATTCAACACATTTCAAGAGCCAAAAGTTTAAAGTTTGTTCTCAAGTTTTCATAAGCTGACAGCTGAAATTTCTTGAATCTCGAGCAAACAGTTTAACTGTTAATGCATTTTTCTGCTTTCCGTGGTTTATCCCTCACATTTAGCTTTACTTTTTTTACTTAAATGTTCTCCATCTGACAAGTTTTCTTGACTTGCAACACAAAGCAGTTCACATGTGCCGCTTGATAGGGAGCCAATGTTTTTCTACTCGAAAGAAACCCATTACACCTTTTTCCTTGGCACAAATACACAACATTTATACTTTTAAATACATGCAAAATTCAGCATTAGCCAAGTTAAATTCATTTGATAAGGTCTCACACTCTTTAGTATGAAAAACCACCCCCCAGGTTATAAGTACCACTCGCTGTGAATCACTGATCTACATCTTTATGAACAAATGAAAAATCGCTATGCTCCACTGGGTTACATAAGAAGCAGTCTTGTGCTAATTTCCCACTGCAACTCACCCACAGGCAATCTACAAAATGGTGGGTACTGTGATCATGATGAAGATGAACGAGGACGGTTTGACACCAGAGCAGAGGGTGGACAAGATCTTCAGCAAAATGGATAAGAACAACGACGACCAGATCTCATTGGAGGAGTTCAAAGAGGCGGCGAAGAGCGACCCGTCCATCGTGCTCCTGTTGCAGTGTGACATGCAGAAGTGAGCCCTCCCTGCTCGCTCCTCTTCCCCGTCTGTAATCCACACACTCTGGACAGCAGCACATGTTTTAATGTCTCATTAGGTTCTCTGCCATTTCCACAGGAAAAAAAAACAATGCTTGGACTATTTTTCAATGGACTCGCTTCTTGTGGTTGTATGCATGAGAATGTCAAATGCTGAATAATTTTGAATATAGCTATAAGATATCATACATTTCTATTTCGAAACATGCCGACGTGATTTGTGCACAGTAACCCTATACATCCTCATCCAACCTTAGCTTGTATATCAGTGGAGCACTGCATTAAATTATGTTCCTGCAGTATTTAGGATCCCCCAGTGTTCACTGCTGCAACTACTGTACGCTTTACATAATAGTAACAAAACAATAATTCCTATGATAATTGTAACTGTCTCTACTATCCAGACTTGTTGAGCTCTTGGAGAATAGAGAGGCTCCTGTCTGTTCCAGATGTTTTCACATGATGGAACCAAGAAGAGTAGGTTCTTTGCATGCATATATTATGTGTCAAAAAAAATATAATCTCTTACCTTTTGCATCTTTAGGTGGTTATAAAAGAGAAACCCTCCAGAATTCATTTAGTATTGTTGCATGGGATGTACAGTATGTGACTCATCAGACTCTCATTGTTCACCTCCAGTAACGTGGGAGCATGCTTCCCTCCATTTGAAACACGTGTATGTGTGACACTTGAGTTTTTTCGGAGTATATTTGGGTTGCAGTTGTGGGCCAATCTCCGAGGGAGAGCTTTCACGTGAACGTTGTGTTCTGTTTTGCTTCAGTGACTTCTAGGATGAGCAGAAATACATATAAATGGACCAGCTTTTCTTTATGAATTTACAGTACTGCCGCCGCTTTAACTAGAGGAAATTACCGCTGTCATTAGGCACAGTACTCATTCATTATTCCCCACAAATGATCCAAATTGGCTTCTTATACCGGCTGCTTCTTTGACTTAGACTTAAATGACTTAACTCAGTACATATCAACATGTTTACAAGAAAGAAAGCACTGCTAAATGAGTACAGTCTTGGCTTTTGACCTTATTGCTGGGAGCTCGCTCTCTTGGCCGGGGACCTCATGAGAGGAGCGCCACTTCCAATGCAGCAAAAAAAAAAAAGAAAAAAGAATAAAAAAGAAAAGGGTTTAAAAAGCCTCCTATATGTTTACTGGACACACTGCATTCCTACTTAAAAAAAACTTTTTTGTAAGGAGAAACTTTTTATTGAAAGACCTCATCTTCTGATCTATTCCGTTTGCAACAATCATTAAAGATGTAGGACCCTCAAGAGAGGTGTTAGACAGAGCTTTTGGAGGAGCGTCTCACAATGAGGGACGATAACCGGGTGATGACGAGGGTTTAAACCTGTCTCAGAAATTCTCTCTCAACAGTTTTGTTTCCCGAGTTTTAGGCTATGCAAGCACGGACTGAGAGTCTGCTTGTAGTCCACTTACACTAGTGGAGGTTGCAGAAGCTTTTCACTGTTCTGTCTTTAACTTAAAACTGAAACCAACCCTCACATTATTAACGTCTATATTTCTTTATACATTTGAGTTCAGTCACTGGTTCAGTCCAATTCTTTGTCTAGTAAATGTTTATATCAAATATGGAAAATCATAATACAAGTGACTGTATTCTTTTATACATGTGGCATGTGTTGCACCCAAAAATAATTCTGTAGTGATTAAAATGAATAAACCATCACCAGGCTTTTTCAAAAGACACAGTGGAGCAGGTGTAATTCATGCAAATAAGAGCTGCAGACTTGAAGAGTGTGTTGATGTGGATGAACGGATGAGACACCTGACTTAATCGCCAATTGTGTGTGTGCAGAAGTGTGAAGAATACACAAGAATTTCGCTTTTCAAAGAGGTTTATGATATTTTTCTTTTGAGGTTTTAACAGTACTGACACATGAATACTAGATTAATCTGTCTAGATATGTGGTTTTAACAAGAGAGAGGACTAAACAGAGCAAATGTTTATACCACAAAGAACAAGGATGGTTAGTTTTAATGTCTGGATATGAGTTAACTTTACCAATAATTTGATATTTTATGAGACTAATAACACTGTTAAGTTCATAGCGTGAAAGTGTTACAACAAGCCAAAATGTAAACTACATATCACTTTTAGTACTACATATTTAAAATACTACAAGGTAAAATAACTCTAGCAGCTACATACATTTCTTTGAATAGTGTCTACTGTATCTCATAAGAGCATATAAAAGTGACCAGGGCCTGACTTCTCACTAAAAGATCACCAACACCAAAGTACAACACCTAAATCCAGCTGTGAATGTGCATGAAAAGGAGTGCAGGAGCTTTAAGTCCCATGCTGTTTTTGACAACTGAACTATTAACGACATTAACGAGAGAACTCAAAATTAGTAGAACAGCTTTGTGGAGATTTTTGTTGGTAAGAATTCCGAAAGCAAACCCTCTCTGACCAGGACTAGTTAAAATACTTTTTGAACTTTGAGCAGCAGTAATATAAACTTTTTTTGTATGAGATTTTCTTCATATTTTCCCACTACAACAACAAACAACAGGGAAATAACACACACAGTAGCATCTCCTGAACACATACAGTAATACTGAAATATAAATGACGGCTTGACTGCGTACGTAAAAATTCCTTATGTCTCACTCTCACTCTTAAAGGTGGGGTAGGCAGGATCTGAGGAAGTGCCAGTTTTGGGGAGAAATGTAAACTCTACCCCTCCCAACCAGTTTTCCCCTCAGCGCCTCCTTTCCCCTTCCTCTCTGCTCCAGCAAGCCCCGCCCACAAACAGACGCTCCTGCTCGCTCGTATCGTTCCAATTAAATTCAGATATAATGCAGATAAATAATTAAGATCATTACAAATGGAGCCCAGTCAACGTGAAAGTAAACAGCATTGGTGCTACTGTAGATGCCAACAGACGACCAGCAAACACAATGTTTGCAGGACTTCTACAACTAGGATAAAGTGACACACTCTAGAACCCGAGGTCAACAGTTTAGCAACGCCAAAAAAAAAAAATTTCTGTACTTTCTGGTTGGTTTCTACTGTCCGATATTGTAGCACGTTAACTTTGTTTGGGCTCCTGAACGACACGGGGGAGCAGCGTCTGCCTCACAACCAATCAGCAGTAAGGAGCAGCGTCCGCCTCACAACCAATCAGGTTGAGGTGGAGAACGGCTTTGTTTACGGTTAGAAAGAGCGGAGCGCTCTGAAATTTTAATATGTTGACTACACAGACATAACAAAACACAGCGATATCGATATATTACCAAATGTCATCAATAACTAATAGCTATTGATTGATATTAAAAGCTTTTTTGTAGATACGCCACAAAAAAAGATGCTTCTTTAACGGATTCCTGCCTACTACACCTTTAACATCCTCATCCTGTGTTTCCCCCTGAACTCATTCTGTGAAATACACTGAAATTCAAATATCTGCATATAAACGGTCATGATAATAACAGGCTCACATTTTCTGTTTGTATTGTTATGAATATAAATAGATTATTGTTATTATTATGATTGTAAAATAACTGTTGTTAAGTTTTTAAGGTTCCATATACTAACTCTGGTAAATTTACACTAAAACTGATCAGATGGCATCCTCTAAACAGCACAAAACTCCAGGGTTATGTAAGATTCATAAAGAGATTAAGGTTGAAGACAAAGATTAGAAAGAGTGTCACCTGCTGCTGAACAGAGTGGTGAAGATAAACTGACGGTGCTTCTGCCGCTGGGACAACTCCAGCAGAAGATCCAGAGAAATTCTGCGGGACCTCATATCCTGCACAGAAAGTAAGTGAGGTATATTTTGTTGGAAATTTGTTGAAAAGCTCAAGTGTGAGTTAACACCAATGTTTCCGCGTGCTCACCGTGAAGACGTCAAACTCATCAAGACATCTGAAGGCGACTCTGTGATCTCCCACAGTGAATGCATGAAGCACAGAGTGGAGGAGGAGCGCTCGCCGCCCGACAGCAACCTGGTGTCACTCACATGCAAGCCACAGAGCAGACACAGAGACAAACAAAGAAGAGGAGCCGCTGCAGTTCATCTTCATCAGGACGTTAGTAAAGTAGAACCTGCACCTGCTGGAGAGAGACCTTCATAGAGAGGAGAAAGAGTCAGATCAAAGCAGCCGCTCTTCTACATGTGTCAACTCAGCACATTATTATTTACCTCAGCATGACCTTGTATCTGTTCTTTCTGTCTGATACGATTTTTGTCGAGTTGATTGATGAACATCCGCAGATCACTCACTTGGTTGGTCTTCTGTCTGTAGAGAGCGAGGGCCTCGGCGTACTCCCTAATGAGGGCACAGGACAGAAAATTTTCCTTATTCCAGAATAAGGCCACAAGATGATTCAGCGATGGCCAACGGGCAGATCAGATTAAAATATCCAGCTGAGAGGACTCTGAGTGGCAGAGGGAATCTCAGTGGAAGAGCTGAACCTCAGTGGGCAGAAACAGATTTTTGCCCGACTGCAGAGACAGTGTGATTTCTTACCTGAGGAGCTGCTCTCCGTGGCAGCCGAGTGATCTCTGCGTCGATGCTCTTGGGGCTGCCTGTCACCTGCTGCCGTTCAGGACCGATCACGAAGGCTTTGGCCACGTCTTCCTATCATCACATGTAAACTCTGAGGATAGCCTGTCAAGTTTTGCTGGACAGCTTGTTAACTATAGCTGGAGTGCATGAGTAACTACTGCAGCATCCAACATACACAATGAGGTAGATGAAAAATGAATCACAAATCGCTCGAACCCCTTACCTGCAGCTCTTGAGGTCAATTTTTATAGCTCGGATGTTGTCCTCATGAGCCTTCAGTCGGCTCTAAAACCTAGAAGGTTTCGCTTCTGTCTTGAGCACTCGATCTCCAGCTTCTCCTGCTCAACCTTTACCATAACAATGAGTCACTTGCATTTTCACTTCCAATAAAAAGCTGTTGGAAATGCAAAATTCTGATTATTATTATCAAGACTCTGTTTCAAACCTTCTAAAAAAAGGGGAAAAAAACCTCTACTTCACCTTTAGAGGATCCATGTCTTCAAGGATCTGCTCAGCCTGTTCCCTGACAGAAAAGTACTCAGACTCCTTGTCCTATACTTTCTTTTGCCACTTGTCAAGCTCCATCTCTGCTTCACGAACAGCCTGCTCTTCTTCCGCCATCTTTTGACAGTTCTCTTGTGCAGCTTGGCATAATCCTTGGTGAGATATGAGTATGTTTCACAGAGATGACTAAATGATCACCAAGGAGCTGACGGCAGCGATATGCTCCTCTCCAGCAGTCTCCAACTCGGTAATTGTCGCCTTGATTTGATTCACTGAAGCCTGTGTAAAACAAATGAAAACTTAAAGATTCATTACACACTTTATTAATAAAATCACAGGAATGAGAGGGATGAAAATGAAAACACAGAGAGTAAGACAAGGATTATTGGTGTAAAAACAGGTTCTGGCGCACATCCCCCAAGAGGACGGTTCACTGACCAGAGTCCTCCTCAGGGTCATGATGGTGCTGTTCAGTGTGTTCTCCATGCTTGAGATCTCATCACACTTAGAGGTCGACTGGAGCTGAAACCTGGACAGCTGAGCCTGCTGATTCTCCAGCTCTGACTCCAACATGCTGTGACAGCCAAGATACACTTTTTTTTACCTTAAACAAAAACTCCACGGATGACAGAAACCAGAATCACAGGACAGCGTACTTTTTAAAATACTTATAAATCCAACAGACTTAAACGTTCCTGTTTGACAAGATTAAGAAAGTATATAACTTTAGGTTAACAGTGTTACAGCAGCTGACTGCATTAGAACAAGTAAGAGAAATAGGGTCAAAAGTTAGTATGATAAATATATTTTAGCTCAATGTTCAACAGTAACTTGTCAAACATTGAGCTTTGGAGGTAACAGAAGGTGGCTTTTGCTTCATCCGTTGCATTTATCGCGGCCCCAAAAACTGTGGAATTCTCCTCCTCCCAACACCAGATTCTCCCCCACCATTGAGATCTTTAAAACTCATCTTAAAACTCACTTTTCCTCCCGAGCTTTTAACTGTCCCTAACTTTTATAGCTCAGCCATTTCCCATGTAGGCTCTGTGAGCTCTGTAAGTCGGTAGATCTATGTTGTCTTTATCATTATTATTACCTCCACCAAGGAGGTTATGTTTTCGGTAGCGTTGGTTTGTTTGTTTGTCTGTTAGCAACTTTATGGAGAAAGTTACAGACGGATTGACCTGAAATTTTCACCAGAGGTGCGTCTCAGCCCCAGGAGGATCCCATTACATTTTGGTGGTGATCCAGATCGCCTTCTGGATCCAGGAATTTTTTGAAGGATTCTTTATCATTGTGAGATAGGGCAAATTTTGGAATTTTTGCATTTAACTCTATAAAAATGTCCAGAGTCTTTAGTAAAAAATGACACAAAAGGATCTCAATGAGTTTTATGAGGTGTCAAAGGTTGATCCTGATCCAGACAAAATTCCGGATACTGTGATCCAGAACACACAAAAATAAGGGTGCTGTTGGAATTTTCAATGCTGAAAGATAACCAATGGGCGGTACAGTGGTGTCGATGGGCGGCACTGTCGCCTCACAGCCAGAAGGTCTTGGTTTCGAATCTGGGTCAGGGCATTTCTTGTTTTAGGAACATTATGAACAGTGAACATAAATAAACGTTAATAAAAGACACGTAACAGTAAAAGTTTTGGTGTGAATCACAATATAAGGGCGGACATGAGCTGCTTGGCGGAGGTCTGCGTTCTCTGAATGCTTTTCTAGTTATTGCTGCTGCTATTGTTATTATTATTATTCATTATTACTAATATGAATGATGATGATAGTGATGGTGTTGAAAACAATATTTTTATCGCTATCAGTCTGCTCTTCTTCTTCGCCGTCTGTTTGTTCTCTTCTTTTGTTTTTCCTCTGTGTTGTTGTGAAGCACTTCGAAACAACTTTGTTGTGTAAAGTGCCATATAAATAAAAATGAGTTGAGTTGAGAATTTACATCCTTGCTAAAACCCCTTCTCAAAAGGAAAAAGAAGTAGCTAGTAGTTTGTCAGTCTACCTTCATCTTTAGTTTTACAAATCAGATGGAGTGGCCAGAGTCCATGGCTGTCATGGGGCAGATCCATTTTCCAAAGCCTTGACCTGGTTCACTTGAGTGTCATTTAAAGAAAAAGTGGCTGTAGCTACGGCCTGGCTAAACCTGTGCCTGCCAAGCTTGAGTGATGTAGTTTACTCCTAGATGGTACACACTCATTAGGTCATATGTTTTGCTGCTCTAACTGGCTCATAATGAACATGACAGACAGAACGTTTGCTTTATCACCATCAGAGTCCCTCCTCTCCTAAATAAGTCTATGGTGTCTGTGTGTTGCTTGGATGGATGTGAAATATATATCTCATGCGGTAGATATGTGAAACAGTCCATCAGGTTACTGCAGCTTAACTTTTCTGAAAAGTCTTATCAACTTTTATTATTCACTTGTTTCAAAGTTTACGATGACCCACCAGTTCTGACAAGATAAAGCACAGCACAGAGAATCTCATCAAATCCAGGTCACCTCAAACTTAAAATTCAAACTCGAATTTCTCCTGTTCAAACTTGACGTTAATTTCTTTCCTTCCTTTTTATTAAAGCTGATTTTGTCTGCATATTAACTACCTTATTTCAGTCTCTAGATCCCCGCCAGGGAATCTAACCATGCTGGAGTCAGAGGAGTAATAACATTTCGGACACACCATCGCCTCCATCAGCAGTGAAGGCGTCCCTGCAGTTTCTGGGTCACTGGCCTTGCTGCATGACCCTCTTGCTTCGTCTTTGTCCTTTGAGAAAACACACAAAACCACAGAGATCATATACTGATGAAGAAAAAACTTCACAGTCTCCAGACAGAATGAAATGAAATATTCAGCCTCATCTTGCATCAGAGACATGCTCACTTTGATGATAAGAACTTTTTCAATTTCTCTCATATCAATCAGGCAGTTCATGATGGTTGGGTTTGATACTGTGATTGCGTCCAGCTCAAATGGGAATTCTGGATGATGCACTTTCCTGTCAGTAGAGAAGAAAAAGATATTTGTAGAAACTCTTACAAGTCACCACTCAGCAGGTTTTAAAATCTGCTGCGGTTCTGAACAGTCACCAATTGTCAATGTCTTAAACTCTGTCAACGAAAGGGCTGACGATGATCTGCGGCCTGTTGCCCCTGAGATAATGCTGAGACATAAGTTCCTGAAGGACCGCCTCGTCCCTATAGTTGCCACAGCAGAAGGTTTTCAGGAGGTTCAGCAGACAGCGCCAACACAGGGTCCCTCACACTGATGCAAGCTCCTAAGAGCAGAGCGTCAACTCATTCAACTGCTGTTTGTTAATTCAGTATAAAAACTTACTCAAAGATTTTCATTCAAAGAAAGCACACATTGAAATATTCTCCTGTAAAGGAACATGTTGCAGACCTTTTATAAATGAACTTAACATATGAGATAAGTGGTGCAGCATGTTTTAGTGAGAGTCTAAACAAGTCAACCCAGACATCTCTCTCCTTAGCAACTTCTTCTAGCTCCTCCTGGGGGATCCCTCGACTTTCCCAGACCAGATCGGATATAAAGTACAATCTCTAAAGTGAGCCTGGTGTCTACCACAGAGCCTCCTCCCTGCTGGAAATACCCCCAGAGGGAGGCAACCCAGAACTACTTCAACTAACCCCTCTCAAAGCAAGAGAGCTGCTCTCCTCTGAGCTTCCTTTGGATGTCCAAGCTCCTGACCCCAGCCATATCAATATCATTCTTCGGACATACTGTAGGTGAGGGGAGGAACCTAAATTGACTGGTAAATTAAGAGGTTTGCCATTCAGCTCAGCTCCCTCCTCTTAGTTCATCTAACTATCTGTAAGAATGCAGTCTTGCTAATTTAACGTATGCCAATTAATCTCTTTAATAATCCATAAAAGAAGTAAAAGCATAAAAAGCATCATTTTTACCTATAGGTCCAACTGGTCTCTTGAGAAAGAGTCTCTTAGCGTCCGCCTCTTAGATTGAATTGAGCAGGTCAGGGATGTTTTCCTCATACCGCTTCAGTTTGTTCGATTGACTGGTCAGGAGCTGATTCCTTCTATTCAGATTGGATTCATTTGAAAGTTTGAGTTTTCTTTCTTCCAATCAGCTCAAAAAGTTTTATCAGGACAGTTTACCAAAAAGCATAAACAGGAACCTGGACCCCTCCTCAAGAAACTCTCCCATCCCAGATCCTCCTTAGCATATTCATAAAACCAGTTCGTATCACTTCTGGTACCTCAGCTTGTCCCGTTCTTCCTTTACTGAGAGAAGAGCTTGTTGTTTGCTCTCGATCTCTTGATTCAGCTGTGAGAACTCATTCTCAAGCTCTGCAAGCTGCTCTTTCAGACTGCATATTTTCTCCTGCTGCTTTGTGTATTCAGGCTCTCTGTCGCTGTTTTGGCTCAAACTGAAAGGAAAGAAATATTTGGATGAAGAACCCCCTTCGAGGTCCGCTCTAACCTTTATACTTGCTTACCTTATTTTCGCCTGGTTTATTTTGTCCTGGAGAAGGTTTTGCTCCTGTTTGGACTGCTTGATTTTGTTCAGAGCCGGAAAATAAACAAGCTTTGGGAAGAGATTATGTCACTTAAACCAACATCAATTATAGAACAGAATAGAATTCAACTTTATTGTCATTGCACATGTCACAAGTACAGAGCAACGAAATCCAGAAGTGCTTAGTAAGTATAAATATATTTACAAATGTACACGGTATGAAGGAGAAATATACATGAGTATGGCCTGTGCATCCCCCTGACCTGAAGGCGGTGTTGCGGGCCTTCAGCAGGAGACAGACATCCCGGTTCATCCAAGGCTTCTGGTTGGGATACATGGTGATCTGTTTCTGGGTGGTGTGGTCCAGTACAGATGAGGCGAACTGGTCCAAGTCTGTGTGGGTGAACACAGTTCAATTATGTACACTTCACAGAAAAATTCAGGTTTTCTCTGAATAATCCCTTCCTCCTGTGTCTCTAAAGCTTTGTAAATTATCTTCAGTTTTTCTTTTGAGTCAAGACAGTCCTCAGTTTGAGACTCTTGTGTCTTTCTCAGACTCCTAATATTGTTTGTAATGTCCTGAAGCTTCGTTTCTATTTGTGTGATCTCGGTCTGGAAAATTTGAAACAGCGCTGTTAAAGTTTTCAACCAGACTTATTTGAAGGTGTGTACAGGTATGTCAGTAAACTGTGCAATGCCTCCTATTTTAATGGAGTGGGATTGCGAAACATTCCCACTATATGTTACTCATATCTTTATTATTATTAAGTGGAAATGCTGATTAAGCATTAAAATCATTTTAATTTTCCCCTTTTTAAATCATTTTCACTCTTTATGCATTTTTTAACTCTTCAAACTAACTCCAACTCATTTAAACTGATTCAAACCTTTCTGATTCCTCAAGCCTTTGAGGAGTTCAGGGTTTTTAATCATTTTAATTTTCACACATTGAATTTTGTTATTATTATTCATGCATTATTCAATTCATTCAAATTGATTCAAATCTCCCTAATAATTCGAACCTTCTTATCTTTCACATATTTCAAAATTCCTCCATTCGCAATAGCAGCTTAGCGATAGCAATTTCAACCAGAGCAATCCCACGTTTTCTAGTTAGTACAGTAATTGTCTAATCATAAAAAATCAGAGGGACTGGATGCTATCGAGATGGCAGAAATTATATTAAAACCAACGCCCCAAAGGTGTTTTATAGAACATAGAGATCGCAGAGGTTTTGCATCAAACATACAGCAGTTTTAAGTGCATACAAACCCCTTTTCACTCATGTATTGGATGTGATGCATGTGTGAATGCGAACTGTCACATTTGTTGACTTTAACCAATACAGACATTATCCCTGTGAAATGATGCATATAGTCAGAGGAGAGCGAATGTGTAAATGTGGCAGACCGTAGTCTGGAACATTTGCAGCACGCAAGTGGGCGGCTGGTTGGATTGACAGCGTTGTTCTGATTTTTCAAAGTTTGACTGCTTTACTGCTCACCTCACATGGCAGTGTTGTGTTCTCCACTGTTGTGTTTGTAATGCAGGCTCATCCCTATACAGTACATAATGCAGTGACATAGAAACAGCCACCAGTATAAAGGACTACCCGTCTTTGTACATGCTCTCCCCAGCCGCCCCCAATCATCTAAATCAAACTGACGAGTTGTGGGAGTGTGTCAGAAACAGTTCCAGCTTTGTACTGCATGTGTCAAAGGCACTTTGGGAAAATATCAAGACCTGAATGCCCTGAAATTGTCAAGAATATGTCAAGAGTTCATGTGTGACAGGGGCTCTGAAGTGCAGCTAAGGTAAGACATTTCAGAGCGCAAGGAAAAATGTATAGTCTTGAGTCAGAGGGCTCTTTAAGGACAACATCTGAAAAACTAGAGAATTGCATTTCCTCACAGAAAATGCATGGAAATGCTGAATGCTAAAAGCTGAAAAAGCAATGCTAAACTGCAAAAAAAAAAATGGAGGAAGGTATTTATGTGACAGGGACTCTGAAGGGATCCAACATCCAACAAGCTTTTGTATGTTTAACAGAATAGGAATACTTATGACTCACCTGACAGAGCTGAAGGTTGCTCTGATGCTGGTAGGTCTTCTCCTCTTCCTCCTTAATGTCCTCCTTTATTATAATCTTAAGGAGCCGTGTGCACCTTGTCAAAAATACAGATCCAAAGGAAGAGTGTTTTTTTCTGTATCTTCTGCCATTTGATAAATCATAAAATCCTTTTAAAATCATAAATAAAGAAGATAATTGAACAAATTCAAAGTTTGAGTTAAACCTTACCAAACACCATGCCATTGCTTTCTTTAAATTATCCCGGGCAATCCTCATTTCACTGAACGACTGCAGGTTTTCATACCTGTCTTGCTTCTGCAGGAAGTCTTGCTTCAGGTTCTTTAGACACTAGATACAAACAATGTGAGAAAGATGACCTAATATGACTTTATTTAGGCGACACAAACAGATGAGCAGCATGCAACAGAGAAAGGTATCATAACAGAATGGGATTAAGAAAAAGAAAGCAAATGGACTTAAGCTGATGATCACACCTGCTGTGCTGATTTAAAAGACACCATTTTGCAAGTAAATATTACCTTTTTAAAGTCTTGTTTAAATTTCTTCTCGCAAACATCAAAATTGTAAAAAATTAAACTCCAGGTCTGAAAATTATTTAACTCAGGGGCCTGTTTCAATTAAAATTGAGAGGCTGTGTGTTGAAAGTAAGTACCTTCTCCATTTCCTCAACCTGCTGTCGTGTGACAGATTGAAATTGCTTGATGTGGCTGTAATTTGTTTTCATCCGTTCCAAGAGGGTTGCTTTCATGAAGAACTATGAAGGCATAAAAAGAAAATCATCTGAGAAGCTAAAAATATGAAGTCAGCTTCTCCAAATGTATATGTAGGCTTTTAAAAAAAAAAATTACAATCCTTAAATAACATGGTACCTTATATTTGTCTGCCTCACTCTGTGTATCCAGGAACTGTTTGCTCATTTCTTGGCTGAGAATGGACACAGGGTTATCCGGCTGGGAAGCAGTCAACATGTGTGATAAGCACCTGAGAGTCAATGTGATGGGGTGAGGAATCCCACCTCAACCATTCTTCAGATAATAAAGCATCTTCCTGCTATGAAATGAACATGACAACGCTTCAGTAAATACCTGGATGTTAAAGTAGTCCATGATGGCCGTCAACTCTTCATTTTTGGTGGTGATTAGTTGTCCTAAAACAATAATACAAATTTCAGTCTACTCCATATCCACTCCATTTTGTTTTTATTTTACAGACAAATCTACTAACAAATTCAACATGAAAATAGTCAACACATCAGTTAAGATGTAAAATAATTCTTACTCACTTCTCTTTATATTACAAAAAAAGACCAAATATAGAAGATGTGGAGCATGATCACACCTGATATTACCTTCCACCCACCAACACTGATCCTGCTGCTGCCTAGACTGTTTCCCCTGTTCAGAGACAAACTACTAAAAAAGCAGCCCAAGTTCCCTTTACTCGCAAAATAACTCAATGACATTTACACTTTACAAAAGCATCAACCAACCCCAGTGTGAGCGTCTTATATTTACAATAGCTCAGAACAGCCACACAGCGTCATGCAAGTTTATAGAGGAAAATTCCTGTCTAAGAGTGAAGTATTTACTCAGCTTAGAGGGATGTGAGTCTCACTGAAGAGCTTTGTCTTCACTCTTGAGTGTGTCTGACATTTAGAGAAGGTTGAATAAGAAGCTTGTAACTCCAGAAAGTCACCTGATTAGCTCTTCAGTTTGCAGGTTCGACCTCCGTCACAATGAAGTCCATGCTCGATGGAGATGCAGTTGCCGTAGACATTCTCTTTATAAGGATCTGAACCTCTGTTTCTCAGATTGATGATTAGAGACCAAACTTTATTACAACAGGACTTCATTCTTTATAAATAGCAAAAACACTAATTTCCCTCTTTAGGACGTTTACCACTATGTATGTACTCACAAAATCCTTGATTGACACTCCTCTGTTTGTGATATTGGCCTTTCCACCTAGGCCGATGATTAGATCAGTCAGGATTGCACTTTTTCCACCTGATAATGAAATTGAAAAAAAAGAAACCTGATTAAATCACTAAATGTAAAAAAAAAAAAAAGGCAGTGTACCATATGTTAAAAATGTACAGGCCTCTGTGTTTGAGCCTTTGTTTAAAGGCAGTAGATACATCAGAAGTGCCTGTCTCTCCAGTGGGATGAGGTGTGTTAAAAGCACAAGCTGAACACAACGGATGATAACCAGACACATCCAGAAATACGCCTCTTACTTCCATTGTTGCCGACGATGAAATTCCCATTGGGCCCAAACTGGATAGGACCGAGGAAACGGTGACACATGAAATTCATCAGAGTGATGCTTTCTATGATGCCGATATCTCCCTGGAAATACACGCCGATAACGATGTTCAGCCACTAATGAGCATATAAGAGAAAGCAAAAACAAAGAACAGGTGCTTTTGAGGGGGAGTTACTCACTGTGGCAGAGAGGGAGAAGCTGCTGGGAGACAGTCCCTCATGGTTTGTATCATCTGGTGTTTCTTCGATACTCGCAGCTGCCACTTGACGTCTCTTGGCAGCTGACGCATCGCTGATCACTTTTAATGTCCTTTTACTCATTTTGAAACAAGTCTCTGGAAACACAGATGTTGGAGACACTTACAAGACTCATCTCAGAACTTAAAGGTTGTAATCCTGCACTATAAGAGAGACAATGAGTCACATCACTTCACCAGTTTGAGACAGTTTGTGTTTTGATTTTTAAGTAACTGTCCTGTTTTTATTGCTGCACATTTGAGGACTAAATGATCTTTGTCGAGGCTAGTATTAGCTGTTCAGTTCTTTTGACATAAACCATATCAAAGGTCCTCTTACAGTATAACTTCTTTGGGCCCTTAGGATCATTTATCCTGTCCAGCTTGGCCCTATTGTGAGAAAAAGTCAAAACAGAACCAAAATAAAAGATAACGAATTAGTTGTTTTGCAGTCTAACATACTTTTCCCCAGGTTACCATATCAGATTCAGATTTTTTCTGATTTGTTTAAGTTTGGTGGTGCTGTCTCCTGTGATAAATCGAGGGAAAAAACAAAGCCAAAACATTTGCAAATCCATTTGATTGTCTAGGGTCGTTATTTTTGGTGTTAGCCATTAACAATGTCAATTACTGTCACTTTTAGGAATGGAGTTTTGCTATTTTGAGAGATGTGACCCACTGCAGAGTAATATTTCAAGATTCCGAGAAGCTAATATGAAACATTTTTAAACCTTCCTCCTGTGTTAGCTTTTACCACACACCCACAGCTGTAAATTACACTAAAAACAATTCTCTATCATACAATTTGGTTCTCATCTCTAAGTTACCTTGTTTGGCTTCATTATCCATGAAAATAATGCTCATAATATTTTTTGTTGTGGTCCTCTGGGCCTTTCTTTGTCAGTATACCCCTCACACAGACAAATAAACACTTACTTTGAATTACCATCGAGAAGACGATTGAAGATCCCGCTTCATTTCAAATGCGGAACAGGTGGAGCGTAGAGCGTGCTGCGTCATCGACTACCTGCTTCTTCTTCTTCTTCTTCTTCTTTTTGTTTAACGGCAGTTGGCACTCTTGTGTACGGTGCATTACCGCCCTCTTCTGGCATCGACTACCTGCGGTAACGTCCACAATTTATGATCAAAATCTCGCGTTTTTGAGTAAAACTTGTCACAACGGCCATCAAACCGCGCTGCAATGGGGGTTTAAAGCAAGATAAATAGATTACAGCAGTGAGAGTTTCCACTCGCTACATTGTATGAGTGATATTCAATGATTTATTTAACCGCTCGGAGAAATTTACGCACAATCAGAGCCTTTAAAGACCCACGTGAGTGCGCGTCCACCCCTCCTACCGCCGGATCTCAACCATGATGAGGCGTTTGTGGCAAACACGGTAAGGAAAACAAGACAAGTTAAACTCTCAAGGTTGTAAGTTTAGGAGGTTGGGGTCATACGTTATGAGGACACTCGAGAATTGTATTTGCTATAAACTTTGAATTTCGCTCTATTTCATTCTCCTTTATATGATCCTTTAAGATAATGTAATTGTCTTGGAGTTAAGCGCCATTTTGGTTACATGGGGAAAAAACAGTAGATATTGGGAGTTGCTTTCAAACCCTTGAAATCTTGAATAAAATTTAAGTTTGCAACTAAGTCTGAATGACAATAAACAATATTTTTCCCTTTAAATTTATTTTGTTTTTCCAGTTTTGTGCCATGAATGTTTTGTTTTTGTCCATAGCTACAGCTGAACCTGGTCTTAAATCAGAAGGACATTACCAGCACTAATGCAAGGCTTTACATTTTTGGTATTGATTTCAAGTACAAAATCAGACTTCCAGCTTGTATCTTACGTAGGCAGTTTGTTTTAGAGAAAGAATCCATTGTGGCAGCCATTTTGGTGGGAAGCAGATGTTGAGACCTAAACACCTATAACATATTTTGATAATATAATTTAGATACCAGTGAGTCAAATAGCTTAAAAAGCAAGCGAATGCTATTTAAATTGTATTTTCATTTTGTTTAAAACTTATATTTTCCGGACTGAGGTCAGAGGTGATGTGATGTTCTGCATGTGCGTCTGACGGGAGTCAGGGGTGTCTCCGTGCGTCTGTGTATGCTTCAAAAGAAAGAAAAACCAACGAAAAACGAACATGGAACTGGGATAAATAAAGTTGCCAAACAGAGAGACGGAGTCATGTCTGCCTGAGAGTGCAACACAGACGACAGAGGAGTGGGAGCACAAGTCTCCAGATTCTTTTCAGAGATCCTTGCATTAACATTTATGAGCAACCCAGTCCGTCTGTAACGTGTACTTGTTTTATTTTGCAGAGATGTTTGACCTCTGAGCCTCAAAATGTGTTCAATTCCTGGACTCCCAACACCAGGATCAGAAGTTCCTGTTTTCATCACAAAGGTAAATCTGAACCCCAATCATGGTCTTGTGGAATTCTGGGTCAACATAAGACATGAGAAGAAGCTCATTTATGCCCAGATGAAAGAGGAGATCCAGATTCCTAAAAGGAAGTTCGATGGATGTGAAGGAAAACCGGCAGATCTCTGTCTCGTTTGCATTAGGGACACCTGGCACAGAGCTCGGATTGTATCCAGTCAGAATGAAACTTACAATGTTTTTCTGATCGACCAAGGACAGCCCCATACCACCACAAGTGAAGCTTTGGCTTGGGGTCAGAGTGACAGCTTTCTCCTGCCCCCTGAAATTGAATCCTGCATACTTGCAAACATTGTTTCCCTTGAGGATGTCCAGCCTGAAAGAGCCACAAAGTGTCTGAACTCTTTGTGTGGGAGGACTTCAAAAGGACTGGTCCAGCATGTGCTGATGCCAGACAGGATCATTCTCCTTGATATACCAGTTGTTTCCAGCCATATGTGCAAGCTTGGGGTAGCAAAAAAGGTACCTGCAGATGAGTTTAAATGCTTTGTTCAAGAGCGGCTTCACTTCAAAAAAGGTGTGGCCCCTGAGGTTCACATAAATGCCAGTCTCCATCATGAAAATAAGCCCCAATACTTTTACCCAGAACTGTTAATTGAAACTTTTGTAACTGTTCAGGTGACAGAGGTAAAAAATCCACACAGTTTTTTTTGCAAAATCCACATTTTCACCAAGGCAGTAAAACTCCTGTCAGAGCAGATTCACCAGCAATATGAAGCAAGCTCTGATTTTAAAGAGGCACAACCACAGGCCTATGGGGATCCATGTGCTGCAAGAGGCAAAAATGGCAGGTGGTATCGTTCTTCACTCAAGGAAAACATGAAAAGTGATGGCACAGTGGAAGTGTTGCATGTGGATGAAGGAAAAACTGAGCTCGTCCCAGTTAAAGACATCAAACCACTGAATGGAGAATTCCTCAAGAAGCCTATATTCACATATCGCTGTTCTCTGAATGGTGTTGAAAACAATGGCAAAGGATGGACTGCTGAGCAGACTGACTACCTTAAGTCATTGCTGTTAAATCAGACAGTTGTGGCAAAGTTGAACAGCCATAATGTATCTCATGATGCATATAATGTCACTCTTTATACACCTGATGGTGAATGCATAAATGACACTTTCACTGAAAAAACTGGACTCCAATCACTCTTGAAGACTGAACAGGGTTCAGAAGTTCCTACTGTTTTGTCCTTTCTTTGTTCCCACAGAGATGAGAAAGATGCAGATATCAGCAAAAACACCATAAATGTTGATGATTTACAAAAGGAAACCTTGCCAAGAGCCAAGGACATAGAAGTCGATGGCCGGGGGGATGATGATACTCTTGATGTTATTGATATTCGAGACAGCTCAGAACATTCTGACCATGTAATGCCAAGGAACAGCCATCATCAAGCAGGTTTCCACCATGTTGCGCAGAATGTTAATGATGTTCATGATGTGCATACTGAGGGAAGAAGCATCCATGTGAAGGTAACATCCATCGAAAGCCTAAAGAAGTTCTGGTGTCAAAAAGCAGAAAATAGTGACTCTCTCCTGCTCCTGATGCAAAACCTACAAAACTACTACGCATCTGACAAACCCGAGCCACTTGTTGAGTCCATCTGTGTAGCCCGTAATCCAGACAACAACATGTGGTATAGGGCCAGGATTATCACAAGTAGCCCCTCCCCTGTGGTAGATGTGAGGTTTATAGACTACGGACAAACTCAGAAGGTTCCACTGCAAGATATACGCCCCATTGATCCAGTTTTCCTGCGTCTGCATGCTCAAGCTTTTCAGTGTAGCTTGTTTGACCTGAAGAACCCTACAACTGTCTCTGAGACCAAGGCTGCTTTGGAAGAATTTATCAAGTTTGTAGGTTTGAGTGCTTTGTCAAATGCTGGGTTGAAATGCATTGTCAAAGCTGTTACATCTGATGAAGAGGGTCTGCCTCTTAGCCTGGTGGATATTGAAGCATCATCTGAGAGTGTATGCAAGCTTGTTGCTCAGAAATTAGCAGAGGCTGAATCTGCAGGGCCAAATCCACAAGAAGTGCAATCAGATGCATATAATTACTCAACTCACAATATCGACATTGGCGCAAAAGAAACTGTCTTGGTCACCTCTTCAGACAGTGTCAATCACTTCTACTGTCAACTCAGAAGGAACTCCGGTGTCATGGACAAATTGTTGAAAAATGTGAAACAACTTGTCAGACAGTCAAAGAGCACAGATCATCCACTCAGACTTCACAGCATTTGCTTTGCTAAGTACACTGATAATCAGTGGTACAGAGGTGAAGTTGTAGAAGTGACCCCAAAACTTAAAGTCCATTTTGTGGACTATGGTGATATTCTTATGCTGAATAAATCTGATGTGTGTCCCTTTCCTACTGAAGCAAGTATTGCTAGATCAACTCCTGTGCAGGCTGTTCCACTTGGACTGCACGATATCCCAACAGAAGTGCCACTGGAAATCAACCAATGGTTTGCAGATAATGCTGTTGGCTTTAATTTCACTATTTCAGTAGTGAAAAAGGATGCAAAAGGGAAGCTAATAGTTGAACTGTTTCATGGATCACGAAATATTAACAAGTTAGTCAGAGAGAAGATAAACATGACACAACCAAAGGTCTCCAAAGGTCTTGCTCAACAGACTAACCAGCAGCTGTCTACCAGCTCTGTTCTCTCAAATGTGCCAAATGGGAACTGTTCAGTGGAGGAGCTCATGACCAAAATAGTATCACCCAAGATGGCAGAAGGAGAGCGAGCTGAGAAAAGCAATGGAATGTGTCCTGCAGACCAGCTGAACAGGTGCTCAAAAAGCATGAGTACCTCTTCCCCAATGCAAGTTCAACATGAAATCAGTCTGGAGGAGACAACACTACCAACCTTGGATGTCATTCTTGAAATCAGTGAGTCTGTGTTGGCTGAGACTTTGATACAAAGTGACTCAAAATCGACAAGCCATTCCCCGCAGTCATGTCCCGATGGATTCATGGACATCTGCAGGTACAAGAGGCCAAATCTTTCTCTGAATATGACGGCAGAGGTTTATGCTACTTGTATCGTAGGACCAAATTACTTCTGGTGTCAGTACGCCTATACCGAAGACCTGGACACAGTGTCCAAGCTTGCACAGGATGCAGGGAGGGAACAGCAGGACACAATGTTTGCAAAGAGTTTAGACACTGGTAGTTCATGCCTTGCTCTTTTCTCCGATGACAACCAGTGGTACCGAGCTCAAGTAATCAAGAGAAATGAGAGCTCATTTAATGTTCTGTTTATTGATTATGGAAACGAGTCTGATGTTGACATCAAAAATGTAAGCCCACCATCCCAGGGTCTACTTGATGCAGCTCCTCAGGCCTTCTTGTGCTCTTTGGATGGATTTGATGAGTCCCTTGGCTCCTGGGATGACAACGCTTTTGACGACTTCTACAACCTCTTGCTTGATAAAAGACTCAGAGTGACTGTTTCCAATGTGGCAGTCTATTCAGAGACAATGGCTTCCCAATACGCAGTGCAAGTACTTTGTGACAACAGGCTTGTTAATGAACTAATGCAGCAATACTGGACAGCAGCTACAGATGAACATGATGAAGCAGGAAACGCCCAAATCGAAAACTCTATCCAGGACAGTAAAACTGAGTTCAAGCCAACACACCTAAATTTCTCTCAAGAAAATGTGAATGTTCTCATGTACAAGAAGCCAAATGTCACCATAAACAAAGATGAGCAGGCATATGCTTCTTGTATTGCGGAGCCCAATTACTTCTGGTGTCAGTACACCAATACAGAGGAGCTCGACAAAATATCAAGTCTTTCTCAGGAAGCTGGACAGGTGCAGCAGGACAGTACGTTTCCCCAAACTCTTGCTCCTGGAAGTCCATGCCTTGCTTTGTTTTCCGCTGATGAACAGTGGTATCGAGCTCAGGTTATTGACAGAGTTGATGATACATTCAATGTTTTCTTTGTAGACTATGGAAATGAGTCTGGCATTAATGTAAAGGATGTGAGACCACTCCCTCAGAATCTACTTGATATGGCTCCACAGGCCTTCTTATGTTCTTTAGATGGATTTGATTTGTCAAAGGGCTCTTGGGATGACCAAGTTTTTGATGATTTCTACAATGCCCTTGTTGATAAACCACTCAAACTGAAAGTCCTAAACACGGAGGACCATCCAGGGATACATGTTTCACATCATGTTGTGGAAGTGGAGAGCGAAGGAGTGCTGGTGAACACAGCTGTTAAGAAATACTGGAAAACATCTTCAGAGGAAAGTTTTCCCAAGAAAAGCCCTCAAACTGAAACTTCACTCCAGGAGAAAAGCCGAACAGAGCCTGAAACGACACCGCTCAGGTTTTCTGAAAAAGACATTAACACTTGCATGTACAAAGAGCCAAAAGTGTCCGAAAGTGAGACAGAGATGGTGTACGCCTCTTGTATTGCGGAGCCCCATTACTTCTGGTGTCAGCACTCTAACACAGAGGAACTCAACAAGATGTCTCAGCTTGCTCAGGAAGCAGGACAAGAACTAGAAGACACACAGTTCCCTGACACTCTTGGTCCTGGCAGTCCATGCCTTGCTCTGTTTTCCAGTGACAACCAGTGGTACCGAGCTCAGATAATCAAGAGAAATGAGAGCTCACTTCATGTTCTGTTTATCGATTATGGGAATGAGTCTGATGTTGACATAAAAAATGTGAGACCACCACCACAGAGTCTACTGGATGCGGTTCCTCAGGCCTTTCTATGCTCTTTGCATGGATTTGTTGAATCCAGAGGCTCCTGGGATGACAGAGTGTATGATGATTTCTACGGTCTTCTGGTTGATAAGCCACTCAAATTAACAGTGCTCAGCAAGCACAACCATGCAGAGCTTGCTGTTCCTCAATTTGAAGTTCAAGTTGAGTGTGATGGAGTTCTTATAAATAAACTGATGGAGAATTATTGGAAAGGACAGAACGCAGATCATACCTCACTCGAAGGTGTCAGATCAGGTTAGTAGACTACACCTTCTGCTACTTTTCTTTCTTGTTGCTAATTTAGGATCAACAAAGTTCAAATGAATCTCACAATTTTCATTTTCTTATCTCAGCGGACAGGATGAAGGGGATTGCTGAGGCTTAAAGCTATCAAAAAGCTGCCACAAGACCGGTAGGAGTAAAATGACATTTCCTATCTACTTAATCCTCAACAAGTGCAGATGGTTTTATACATGACATGAGGGCTCTCCTGTGAAATTAACCTCAAACAGGAAAAAACTTTAAACCAGTGTTGGAGAATTTGTTATGAAACTGAGTTCAAATTGTCCATGTAGAATCTCATTCATCCAGGTCAGGGTTATCTCGAAGACACCAGAATCAGACAACTGGACTGGAGTTGTGGTCAAACCCTCTCTGATCAGAGGAGATGGACTCTGGTACTTACAATGCAGATCTAAGCTCTCTTCCTAGGAAGCTTCACAAACATTCACATCTGGGACCATGTGACCACAACACCTCAAATGAAAGGGGTAGATACAACCCATTTAGGTAACACCCGGAGATGGGTTTCTGCGACCCATTCATTCCAGCTCCTCCCAGTCATTGTTTTCCCCTTCTCCAGTAAGATAATTACCTGCTCCCCCCACTAGCTATTTTAGAACTGAAGAAGCTTCTTGGATAAGAGGCGAAACGTCTTCTCAACTCTACGCAGTCCAGTTGCCTGATTTTGGAGTCTTTGAGTTCAAATTGAATTTCAAATGATTGCTAACAAGACTTTTTCTTTGTACTTGTTTCAGCTTTGGATCCAGGCTAAAGGGAACCCCCTCAAGACAGAGCCGTCTTTAATGTTCTAAAATATTTTTTTGTGTGTGTGTCACACCTATAATTTTATTAAACACATGCAATAAAGTAGATGAAATTATTCTTTTTATGTGGTGAAAATTTGTTAATGAAAATTGAATCTTTGAGAGTAGGAGTGTTTATTTTTTAAATGGGTCGTGCTCATCGTGAACTTGGTTTAAGAGTCTGATTTGCAGGTTTTAATAGCAAGTTTTACTTTTACAAAGTTGAGGCAAGTGTAGGTTTAATTATTTTAAAATGGGTTGTTTTCAACAGTTTAAGTTTTTTTTCAGTAAATTGATTCACAATTGGTAAAATGATTTGGATTTAAATGTGTTTAGTGTTTGCTCAACGGTCACTTAGCTTAGATTCCTCTTTCGCTAACGTACTGTTATTTTCTCCTCGGAGTACACAGTCTAATAATATTTGCTCATACATTTCTGTAAAATATTTTGTCACTCACTCAAAAGTCTTTTTTTTTAAATATCTTCTCTCTACTCCTTACAGCAGGCGGCAGTATTAGCCTACCGTTCACCTAGACATTATATACGTAGCAGCCTCCTTACGTGCTGAAGCGTAATTCAGCGTCGCCGCCATGTTGGATGGGTCTCACCACTCCAGGTTCGCCCAAGAGCTAGACGGGGTTAATGGAGAACGAGCAACAATGCCCGTATTTTTGTACTCTGTGGTTGAAAAACACGACGTAGTATTGAAACCACATCACGTAGGATTACATTTCCTACATACGATTGTAAAATGATTTGATGTATGTTTGGGCATTCCTTCCTGTCTTTAATGCGCTGGAGGCGCATGGGGGACCCATCCAAGATGGCGGCCGCGCTGATACGTGAGCTCCAATAGGCAGCTTTAGATTTTGAGGCGTCTACGTATATTATGTCTATGCCGTTCACTAGGTCAGGTTGCCGTAAGGCTCCGTCGTGTGTTGAAGTGTTGCTAGGAGACCACCATGACGCATCAGACGTATAAAACATATACTGTCAGCGCCGTGACGGGATGACGGAGTTACACCAGGCGGCGGCTTCAGGAGATTTTGACCAAGTAGAGGAGCTTTTAAAGCAAAGTAAATGTGATCCAAACCAGAGAGACGTCGACTGGAGCTTCAAGACACCTCTCCACTGGGCAGCTGCCAAAGGTGTTTTAAAACGAGAGGAAATTTGACCCTTTTCTTAGTCTTTCTAATCGATTGTGGCTTTGTTAATGCATTGATTGTAGACATTATCCAATATTTACCCAAACAAACCTATTAAGATGTTTTTTTTTAATCTAGATTAGTTAGAGGTCACAAAATTTAGAGCATATTTTCTTTCGAGGCACAAGATCAATTTCAACACAACATATCAATATCACAACATCAACACAACAGGTCTGAAAGTTGTTTTAAGCCATACTTTTCTACTTTCTGTTTCTATATCTAATGCTGTGGGCTTCTTTATTTTGTAGCAAAATGTAATCTGAAAAGAACATTAACTAAAGAGGTTTTACCCCACAAGAGTTATATAAACAGATACTCTATTTTCCTGTCAATCCGTTTGTAGGCTACATGTCAGCGGCTCCTGAATGCTGTAGCCTTCAGGCCCTCCTTTCCAAAATGACAGCAGAAAAACTCATCTGAAAGAACAAAAAATGTACACAGACGGGTCTGCGGGTTAATCCTCCTCTTGTGTTTTTGTTTTTGAATGCTTTAAAGAACCACTTAAATTAGCTTTTTTTGCATCATGACTTTTTGACTTTATCAGGAACTTCTATTTTAACAAGATAAAAATATTTCAACTGACTAAAATATAAAATGCTCTTAAAATTATGGCATTTGTTGTGTTAGGGTCACTGTTGACCTGGTTAGATCAATATCTAATGATGAGAGCAAAAACTGAAATCATATGTGCACTGTCAGGCACCACACTGACAGTCAGATCCTCTTCCACTCGTGTGAGATTTAGGAAATTCTCATTTTGCCTGTTTTTTCCCTGCACAAAAAAGTACATTGGGCATGTCCAGACATGTGAGATCCATTCAATATAGATGTCTATATGAGGGGTATACTGACAAAGAAATGCCCAGAGGCCCACAACAAAAACTATTATAAGCAATACTTTCATGGATAATGAAGCCTTACAAAGTAACGTAGAGATGAGATCCAAATTGGATGATAGAGAATTGTTTTTAGTGTAATTCACAGCTGATTTAAGACACGGGTCAAAACCGACCCTTAACATGGTGGGTGAGTAGTAAAAGCTAACACAGGAGGAAGGTTATTGTCATTTTAGTGTCACCAAACTAACAGATTACATGCATCTGGAATGAGAAATGATCACTTTTTGGCAAGAAATCTCATAAGAAAACTGAGGTCCATAACTTTACCAGACCCTAATGACATTTTGTTGACATTTAAGTAATATTCTTTCCATAATAGCCCCCTCTAGTTGAATTACTTGACTTATTTTTATGGTTTTCAGTGCATATATCAGATTACTCTGTGACGCCACTTCCACAGGACACACAGAAACAGTCAGGATCCTGATCGAGCATGGAGCCAGGCCATGTCTGAGGACAGAGCATGGATGGACAGCTGCACACTTCGCTGCAGAGTTTGGCCGGCTGGCCGTTCTCCGGCTGCTTCACTCGCTCCATGCTCCTATGGACAAGGAGGACTTCTGTGGAGACAAACCAGTGCGGATAGCAGAAATATACGGACACCAGGACTGCGTTGCATTCCTTAAAAAGTATCAAATGAAGACCACTTTTTCCAATTCAACACTTTTGTTTATCTCACTTCATTTATTGTAATATTTTCGCACTTTATACAACACGATATGAGACTGTGTTGTGCTATAACTAAACTTCTCTTTCAAATACATAGCTTTTATCTGTAAAATACAGTTTTTAAATGTCATACATCAATCACTATTGTACGTTTTTATGTTACAGGGCAGAAACTGAGTGTCAGGTGTACCGTAAGATGGCCGTTCAAAAAGGGATCACAGTGGATGACACAGATGAGGAGTGGGCAGAGCAGGGCAAAGAAAACGAAGACAGCAGGATCTCTCACAACAACATTCAGACAAAGACTTAACTTCTCCTCACACAACAAAGTTAATAACAGTGTTTCTGTGGCGTTTAAGTGCTTTGATACTTCAATTGTGTTGCAAACAGTATTACCTTTATCCCATTTACATGACAATGTAGCTTCATTGTAAAGTGTTGAATATTTTCTATTATAGACACCAATAAAACATTTCAACTTCTGATACAATATATCTATTAATGTATGTGGTTAATGCATATATATTGAGATTTTTTACTCGTTCGACTTTTACTTCATCGAGGTTGAGTCGGTGCAGCTGTTGGTCGTCGAAGCTGGAGTCTGGGGAGCATTAAAGGACATATAAAACTTTATGATAATCACTGTGGTATTTCACACTGGGGTTAATAAAGTTGGTTTGACTTACCTTTATTTTAAGACGCTTCAGCAGTTCCTCACGGGTCTGTCAGACATGGACAAAAACACAATTATAAAGACTTTTTTCTCATCTGCACATGGTTTATGATATTTCTAATGAGCAGTAACATCTCGCTGAATATGCATTGAGTAAAGTAAGCATTTTTATACAGAGCTTCAATACCAGCTATCTTTCTTTTCGACACCAGAGGTTGCTGCTTGATTCCTATTATGGTCACTGACTGAATAACTGGTTGATCAAATAAACTCTAGTCTGTGAAGGCTAATTGACTCCCTCAAAACAGACACAATAAAACCAAATAAGTCCTCAGGCATCAAACTTACTTACCATTGTGTCCCCAAAGCATGTGGTCAACAAAATGAAAAAACCCTGCAAAATTAAAGGCAGAGGTTATTGAAGAACGCTTGTTCTTATCTGGATGCGCTTCTGAACATTTTTAAGAGTTAAAATTGGTCTTACCTGGAATGCATTAAGCAGAATGAAGGCATAATTAGCAACATAGGCTACAGTTCCATATTTGAGGTCAAGCAGCATCACAGCAAGACCAAGGATCCATGTCACACCAAAGATCGGCGTCAGAAGAATAACTGTCCTCAGGACAGTTACGGCGGCCTTCCTCTCTTTTTCACAGGCTGATGAAACATTCTTAGGGTGATCCAAAAGCTTTACAATTACCAGTATCATGGCAAACATGTTGAAGAAAGCAATGATACCAACTGGTATGACAAATGTGTGGATAGACCCTTTAAGTGGCGCAATATAAACCAGCCAACAAGTCTCCTTGGAGTAGTACAGGCCTTCAGCACCAGCTTTGTTTGCAAGAATTGTGGTGATAACGATCAACAAAGGACACACATAACCGGTGAGAATTGAGAACCTCAGGTAGTTTTTCTTGCTCAGATTGTGGAAGATGAAAACTGTCTGGTGAAGAAGCGTGCAGCTCAGCCACAACATCCAGAAGAACATGGACAGGTAGAAGAAATGCTTCAGCAGCACAAAGGTCATGCACCAGACAGGCGATACAACTGACTTAGAAGAGGCTAAGAAGCAGCAATCTGCAACTAACAAACACAGGCAAATGTTGACGTGGGCTGTGTGGCGGAAATATGAAGTATTTGTCTTAGTCACAGCATTCCAGACAATCAATTCCACCACAAGGGTGACAATGAGTGAGATGATTGATATGGACAGTCCTGCGTAGGTTGCTTCTGTTAACCAGGGGACTTCCAAGGGATACTTTCCCATCAGAATGGCAAACGAGGACAAATGCTGGCATTCGCAGACACCGTCCGAGCCTTTCTCCGGCTTCCATTCACATTTATGTTCAGACCAGCCTTGGGTCTTGTCGTCCCAAGCTACACAAATCATCTCAACATTGCGAGGCCTCTGCTTTCGCAGCGGGAAGGTGATTTTAACACCAACGGAACCTGATATGTTCCTCTCGGTAGTTGTAGAGACAACAATGCTGTTAGGCTCGAACTTCTCTTCAAAGTTGTTCGGCAAATAACTCTCCAGTTCTTTAAACCCTGCTGTTTTTACGTAGCCTGGATTTTCACCACTGAGATGAACAGTGACGTTAAACACCTTGTTGGTGCATCCTGACTTTGTTGGGCAGTTCTGTGCCTCCACTTCTACATTTTTTTTCTTATAGCGTTGTGTAATGTTGGCCATGTGAATTAACTGCTCAACCGAATCCAGATATCTCTCAGCCAGGGAAGTGTTGCCTTCATCTTTTTTTTCTATCCATGTGTTGAGGAGAGACCTCTCCAGTAAGTTACTAGATGAGCCCAGAAAGTCCTGAAAAAGAGAGTTGGCTTTAGTTGTGGTCGACTCTTGTACAACATAATTGCTTGAGACGAGGAAAGTTTTCGTAATTGAATAAAATCATTGCCAAGCAGCTATAGCAGCAACGTTATTTCTGATGACTTCTCAAAAATGTTTACATTAAATAAACATTTGAGTGTTAAAGGTCTGCAGGATATGATAGGACAATTGTACAGGACAGGATGAGCAAAGACTGCACTGTCTACAGGGGGCGCCAAAGTTGACACAACGTAAAAGTTCCTCAATTGAGCTTCAACTGGATAAACTTACTTATGAGTGTGTAGACCACAGAGGAGTTTTAGGATTAGAGAAAACAAAAGAGGAGAATTGGAAGATATTTTTCATTATGCACTTCAAGGATAGAGTTTGTCTTACTTACATCAACCACCTCATTCTGATGTGGAGCAATCTTCTGACTCATCGTGGAAAGCACGTAAACTGACGTGTTTAAATTTGGGAACGAGTCAATCCTCTCTGTTTGGTTTGTGACATTCTCAAAGATGGAGAAAACGTTAGCAGTATTTTCGTGGACTGCGCCGAGTCCGATGTCAACAATCTGTACGCACAGTAATGATCAATAATTTGTTATTCAGTGTAAGTCATCAGTAACAAGATATCCATAAGGCTAAGGCTAGCTAGCTTAGGAGCTGCAGAGCCCCTAGAATTTGTGATTTATTTTAGCAAATAAAATCAAAACTTAGCCTGAAAAACACCTGGGACATGTTACAAATGTGGCATCATTTAAAACAGTTTTAGACTTACAATTGCTTTTTCCAGCACATCACGTATCTCCTGATCCACACACTCTGAAACCTCAGGTTCCCACACTGCTTTCTTATGCCTGAAAGATTAATCAACAAGTCAATCTAAAGAAACTTATCTCCAAATCAGATATCTTTGATTAGTACAAGTGATTTTTGTTGTGAAAAAATGCATACGATTATTTGTTTCAGCACTTCAAATTGTGTATTTCCAGGTTATTTTTGTGAAACTGAATCTTTATTTTTAATTTGTGTTATTTTTAAGACAAAACTAGTTATTTTCACCTCCCTGACAAAATATTTCAGAGGGTAAATCTATGTATAATCAGCCAAGTATTTTCCAGTTGATGAAATAATTGGTTTCAGTCATACTTAATAATACATTTCCTTCGTCTTATTCCAGTTTGGTGCTTGCATCTTATTCTTGCAGTAAATCCAGCTTTGGCTTTTTCCCAGTCACCCTCAGCTTCACAGAAAGGATCATTTCCTGTTTTAAAAGAGAAAGTTGAGATAGAAAAGTGCTGATTTGTCATTTTTTACATGTTGACTAAAAGAATACAATGCTCACGTAACAGAGACCAAGATGTGAATCTGAATATCTGTTGCTGCATGTATGTGGGATCTGCACTTACTTTGGCAACAAATAAAAGATCTATCTTTACAGCTCTATCTTCTTTATCATAATATTGTCACCACAGGATACAGACTCAGATAAATTCATCATGAATTTATGATAACCTCAACCTGGATATAGATTTCTTGTTGTTTTTGGTAAAATTCAGGACCAATTTCAGGAGTTTTCTTGCATGTATGACATACAGTACGTGAATACAGCTTTATAATCGTAGTTTCTTACATGTGCAGAGGGGTTATATTGGACAAAGCTATTCTTGAGAATGACACTGGAAAAAAACTTGTGCATACCTTGTATGATATTGATATCAATTGACGCATGAGTGGTTTCATTGCACCTGTTCTCAAAAGTGCACGTCACTTGTGGTTGAGGTGTGGTTGAATTGCAGTTGATGATTCTTTGAGTCATAAAAACTCCTTCCTCCTCAGTAGAAACTTAAAAGATGTACATCATTCAGTTATACACCCTTCAGGATTTACAGAGAATTGGAATGAAGGAAAAAAAAGTGACAAGAAAATGTTTTTACCTGGTGTCATTTCCTGTCCATGTTCGTTGTTCCATGTCACAGAGTAGCTTTCAATGCTGCTTCCTATGTCACATTGGGCTGTCACCTCCAGAAAACCTGAACTACTCAAGCAATGTGGAAAACTTGGGTATGTGCTGATGTAAATCTTTGGCTTAGGGCACACGTCCAAAACACCGCTGGCTTTGTGAGATATGATGCCAGAGTCTGACCTCTGGAAGAAAACGCAGGTGTACTCTCCTTTGAAAGAAAAAAGGGAAAAAGAAATGAACTTTTTGCACCACAGAGGCGTCTTTTGAAGTCAAATCATTTTAAAGGTTCAGCTGATGACATTATATTTTCATCAGGTAAACTTTAGGTGCTGCACAGATTCACAAATCTTATCATTGTGTCAACCACAAGGTGAACCAAAAAACCTGAAAAAGTGATGGAGAAAAATGTACCTGCCCAGAGCTCTGATATGTTTTTGAGCTCGATGTTGGTCTCCAGAGGTGCTATTGACACCCGGGACTCTGTGCCAGTTGTGATTTTGAATATTTGAGTCTGTCTTTTCATCTGCCAGGATACCGAGGCATTCAGGTCCTGGTCTACCTTGCATGTGAGCGTGTGTTTGCTGTGATACCTCACAGGATAAGAGGGCAAGCTTAACTTGGCAACACCTGCAGGAAAATAAAAGTGGAGTTATTCAGGAAAATGCTTGCAGGGGCATGTCTAAAGAGGAGGCAAGGGGTGGCACAGACCCCCCTTTGGCCCCGATTCTGATTAACTACCACTGATGCAACTCTAAATTGCAAGCCATAATATAGCAGAGGTTGAAATATTGCAAAGTTGCAAACTGTTCTTTTGACTAATTCCATTCACACACCACTGGGGGCAGCCAGTGGGGACTGTGGAACCTGGGATCAAATCCTTCACCCTCAATTTCCACCGCATTAGGAACGGCTACGAAAAGGCCGTATCTGCTGATCGTAGCTGATCGTAACCATTCAAGTTAACGTGTCAATTTCCACCGGCTTCTTTCCGTTCCCCTGCGGATCGCCGGACTCCGCAGCTGATCGCAAGAGTTCTATTTTTCTGGACGCCGGAGCATGGCGGATAAATTCAGCACAGATTAAGCCGTGCTGGAAATGAAGTCGGGCACAGACACAAAATAAAACATCTGTCTTCTTTTCAAAATAAAATACTCAATTTTTCAGGCGGATCATATTTCACACCGTGCAAACGGGCGGAGACAAACAAGTGAAAGGTTTATAGACAACATTTAACCCAGATGACACCATGGGTGAGGAGATGCTGATTCTGAAAGTCTAGAAGTGGATTTCCTCCTCTGGAAGGACACAATCTACTGCTTATATGGTTAGTCTATGTGGCTAAAGACAACTTGTTATCACGCAATTGTACGTGAATCTGCATACACAGAGTTCAAAGATAATATGAGTCAATGCTTTTTATTTGTGTGTGCCTACAGATACACTGGCCACCCATGTCAGTGTCCCAGTAGTCCCACCTCAGTCATAAAAGTCTGGGTGTGCCCCTGTGTCCAGAAGGTACAGTCTCTTTGCACTTCACTAATGGCAGCTTCATTGAGGATAAGAGGATAAAGAGTCATCTTGGCCTGTTAAAAATGCCTCTATGTTTAGTGAGGAAAATGGGGCTTATTCGAATCTCCATTAGAGTACATCTCAGCACCCCGACCTCCAGGAGAAACAAGTACCTGTTGTCTCCAGAATAAATGATGAGGACAGGGTCTTGCTCAACTTAACAGATTTGTCAATCAGTTCCTGTGGCTCGAACTCAGATGCATAGGTGACCTCAAAATCTGCGATGATGCTTCCAACCCTTTCGTAAAGACAAAGTACATTTCAGTCATGTCTTGACAAGTGAGGAAATATAAAACAGTTAATTTGTAGTGCAAAGTAGATACCTGTATTTGCTGATTGTGAGGCTGCTAAATCCATTTATAGTGCTGTACACTCCTTTCATCTGAGGAGAAAAGCTGTTCACATTTATTTGTTGTTCACTCATGAATTAGTGCCTTATCATAGTTCTCACACAGAACTGCTCTTCACCATACTGATTGTTTAAAGTGTTTGTTTTTACCTTTGTAAGCAGCGAGTGGTTACAATCCTGAAATTCCTGTGAGGTTTTTTCATTCACACAACCTGCAAACTCAGGTCCTGTCAGAGTTATGGATCCATTGACTGACACTAGGAGGAAAATCGTTAACTTTGAAGACGAATTCAGTTTTTTTTTCTATGGAGCACACCTGACATAAATACATGAAAACAGGGTAAAAACTGCGTAATACCTGTTTTTTGTGAAACACACATGCGGTCTGACTGTTGGAGGAAGGTGCATTTCTCTTTGTCACAACAGTCCGGGTTAGATTTGCAGACTTCGTCCGTCCATCTGTGGTCCGACTCGCAAGTGCATGAAATCGAGCTGTCAGGGAGATTCTGACAGGCTGGTTAGAAAGGTATGAAAATATACTCAGGGACTCTAAAAACATGGATTACATTAAGTTAAATATGGGATATAAAAACAGGAAAAGTTTACTTGTTGTTTTCTGAAGGTCGTCCACGTCTAGGGTTGTGTTACTGACGAAAGGTCCCAGAATCTTTGTCAGGTTTGGGATGATACCGAGCTCTATTTTCAGTTTGACATAGTACATTTGCGTTGAGTAGTCTAAAAGACAAAAATGTAGAAGGAATAAACTTACATCCAATTTATTAATATTTTTTTGATGCACACTTTATCTGCTGTGCAGAGAAATACAAAGAAATTATTTTACCTTCTGCAGAGGTCTGTAAAACCAAACAAGAAAGGATTTAAATTAAATGCAATTAAAAAGGTTTGAAGATTGTATCTAAAATCTGAGAAGTACCTGACTGATGAAGCATCCCAGGAAGTAAAACAAAATAAAGGTCCACATCCTGATCCTGCAAACACTCAATAACATAAGACTTTGTTTTTTTTGCCTGATGATAATTTAGGCTAACACACATGCAACACAAGCCTTATGTTTTGTTTTGTTTCGTTTTTTTTATTTTGCTTAGAGAGTAAAAATAATGAAAGCTCGGATAATTGATGCAATAGTAAGAAACAAGCGTCAGGTGATATAATCAATAATCGGTAACACTTCACAATAACCATAACTTATAAATGGTAAAATAACCATTTATCAATGGTAAGCAGATAGTTTATTAATGTTTAATCATCATTTATAAATAGCATATAAACCTTTAATAAATTGTAAATTTTACAGTTTTAAAAACCTAACCCTAACTTTACAATAACCATCTAAGTCATGTTTACAGCTGGTTTAAGTACCAAATATTAACCAGTTACAAAGTGCTACTGACACACATTTTAATCTAGATGTTTTACAACCAATATTTAAACCCTATATAAACCTTTAATAAATAGTCCATTAATGATTAATGAAAATTATTAATCATAATTTCGTTTCTTGTTAATGGTAAAGTAACTGTTAACTTACATTCAACATAAACTATCTATTTGCTATTTATAATTGGTCTATATGCTGTTTTTAAATGATGATTAAACTTTAATAAACTATCTATTTACCATTTATAAATTATGGTTATTGTAAAGTGTTACCCAATAATCAATATAGAAATAGAACCTCACCTGTTGTTCTTAGTTTGAGTCAGCAGATCATCACGTCAGTGTCTCTGACGGTAACAAGAGCCTCTCTGTGCCCACAGCTCTGATGGAGGTGTTCCTGCTGCAGCTTTCAAACAAGAACACCAGACAAGAGTGGGTTTCCTGAGTGTAACTTCAGCTGCTGGAGAAGTTTATGACAGGTATATGCAAACTGGAAAGGGCAGTGACGGTGAACCAATTTGACTTTCAAAAACATACACATATAAAGCAGATATTCACACTTGATTCAGTTATACCTGACGTAGGAAGATATATTAGATCTCTGTTTTTACTAATAAAGAAATATGATAGAACAACAGTTGCATGGTTACCACTAGCAGCAGGGTACCACAAAACTCCTTTTGAACGCCCCTGTGGAGCATTAAACATGATCGTGTGCTTTCCCGGGTGCCCCTCTGGCGCCTTTTTATGGTTAAAAACAGTCTGAGTGTTAGTGCAGGATTTTTACCATAGATGAGGTGCCACTTCACAGCCAAGCATACAGATGTTTCCCCGAAAGACAATTTCTGATCCAGGCTTGTGCCCAAGTGGTCAGGTCCAGCTCCAGTGAACTACCATCAACTACCAAAGACCATAATAAGAGGTTTGACACTGTCACCACAGTTCACCTAAAGGTCAAACGAAAAGATGATATGAGTGTGAGTGGTGTTACTTCCTGATGACAATCCAGGTTCCTGTGGACGCTGAACAAAGATGGTTCCTCAAAGGATTAAGTTTCAGCATGTTTCCAGGTGAGGTCTTTCTTTTTTGTGTTTTGTTCATACGCTCTGGTATACCAGCTAACAACCAACCATCACTCCTTTTTTCCCCCGTTATTTTATTAAAATTTTTTCGTGATGGATGGAGTGCATGTGGACTGCTCTGTTGGAGATCCAGGACTACTTGTTTTCTTAGACTTTAAAGGATTAAATCAACTGTTTAAGTAAATTGTTATCAACTAACTTTGGACTTTGGTTTGACTGGGAGTTTAAAAGTTAAAAATCATAGACACCTTTATAGAGCGAGGCCAAAAATGAGGCCAAAAATGAGGCTGATGTTGTATTTTGAATAAGAAGTATCTAAACATTATCAAGATAAAAAAATATAAATATAATAAAATTTCAATCATAATTTCAAAGTGAAAATGGATCAACATGACGCACCTTGATTGGGTTCCTAATAGGGATGCACTGATCACAATTTTCTGACCAATCACTGGTCTTTAAAAAGCTTGACCTGCTGATACCGATTTTGGCCGATACTGTTGTTTCAAACTCCACTTTTTTTATAACTGACAACATACACCTTCGATGCTCCAATCTTATTTTAATGAAAACATTAAACAATACTTGTGAAACAATACAAACCTTTTTGTGTTTGTTTTAACTGCACATGAGATCGTTCTCTCAAATATAAATGAAAAGTTTAGAATATTGCTGCCCAAACTACTAAATTATATCAGTTCCTTTAGTCTTTTATTCTCCACATTTTAAAACTTAACAATACTTGCGCAACAGGTCACACTGCAGGCTTGTTTTGAGCCTCTCACCAAAATAAAGTGCACAGCAGTATTTTTGCTTTTACAAATAAAGGAAATCACAAGATTTGAGGAAGTTAGTAAAATAATAATCTACAGGACAAACTAAACTGGTGGGCGACTTTCAGACCTTTGCTGAGGTAGTTAAGATCAGTGGATAAAATCAGTTTTATGTGTAAGGATCAGCTGATCCCCCAAAATTGAGGAAATCGGCACTGGTCATTGGTCGGCTGATTTATCAGTGCATGTTTAGTTCCTAATCTCAAAGAAAATAAATTTCTGCGATTGAAATCTGATAAAACAGGAGAGTAAAAACTGCAAAAAGAAAAGTACAAAATACTTTTATTTTCCGTACAAAAATTCTTGTTTTACAGACAAAACCCTTTCCTTTAAAAGTCTCCTGATGTCACTACCATCAACTGTTGAGATAAAGTCAAGTATTCATTTTTGCACAGGTGAACATGATCATTCGTACACATGAAGAAATAAAAGCAGCTGTTCTCAGAGATAGGATTAGTCAGCATGAATATGAGTCAGTCGCCACATATTTCAGGCTGGAAATAACGGATTTCAATGAGATCTAACAAAAGGCTAAAAGAGGTTCAGACATTCTTTGATCTTCAGATTTCTTTATATTAAAAACAATCGCAGGTCTCACTCGAACATTACTAAGCTTTGACCTCGCAGCAGCAGCAGCAGCAATTCGCAACGCTTTCTACACAAAGTAAAGGCATAAATATAAAAATTATAACAGTGTTCTTGGCCATTTCTTTTTTTTTTTCATGTAAAGACTGTTTTTCAGTCAGACACCGAACCGTAATATCACACCGTTGTTTCAAACTCCACTTGAAGTGTTTGAGTCTCCGGGAGAAAAGTGTCCGTCTCGTCGGGTGATTGTTCACCCTCGTATTGGTAGATGAAACCATTACTTTCTTTATGATGTGGAGGCTGTATTTGTATTTGTTGAGGTGGTCCCTAAAAGAATAATTAAAACATGATTACATTTGATGAAATGTTCTCAAATGGAGTTTGATCTAATTATTTGATCTCTACCTTTAAAAAAAAAACCTCATTCTGTCTTCAATTATCTAGACTGAATAAGACTTACAAGAGGAGTCACACAGCAGAGCTTCTTTTTGAGGCGTTCGGGTAGAAAACAAAAAAGTTTGCCAAACAAAGGGTAGATTGTTCCTGGTGTCACGTCCTCTTCTTTCATAGCACCTTTATTTAAAAGGGAAAAAAAAAAACACAAATAAGCAAAACTGAAAACTGAAAACTGCAGAGAAAGTCTGAATCACACGTGGATAAAAACTGCTCTACCTGTGATAAAACTGATGATCAGGCCTGCAAGAATGACTGAAAAGCAGCTGAACGCGGTGTACCACATGTAGGACAACGAATAAAACCTCTTCAGTCCAGACGGCCGACTACAGAGCAAACAGAGGAGGTTAATTTGTGACTCTAAAAATGACTGCGTTGAGAACAGGACAGTGTGACAGTCTGTGTGTTCGATACCTCAGAGTGACGTTGGTGAGTGCAGTCTGGATGACAGTAGTTGTGTTACCAGACAGAAGGACAGCTCCACATGTCTGTGGTAGCGGTCTAGAGCCGGAGCTACCGGTGACAATGCTCCCGATGCCGACCCAGAGAGACATCATCAGGCCTGTCCCAAGACCTACAACCGCTCCCTGAACACAAGAGGAAAACAAAAAACAAGACACAGATGAGGACGGGGCTCTACATCATTCAAACCATCTTTGAGAGGGTGAATCCAGCTAAATTATACCAATGAGTTTGACTTACAGTTGAGTTGGCCCAGGGGAAAAACATGCCGAGACAAAACAGGCCAAGAAGGGGACCCCCGACCAACCCGAAGATTTTTAAGGCCACCTGCAGTCCAGACATAAAAGAAGAGTCAGTGCAAGTGTAACGAGACATCATTTGTACCGTTTATTCACACAGTCTGAAGCTTACCTGCAGGACTGACTCACCCATCAAGTGAGTCAGAAAGGCCATGGCCAAACACAGCAGCCCATAGAACGTAGCTGATTGGAGAGACGTGAGGGGAAACATTTACACAACTCAGCATCCACACTCAACTCTGTGCTTCATGTTTGTGTTGGATTTCAGTATGATGGAGGGTTTACCCAAAGCTTTGGACAGCCGGGTTGCTTTTGCTTCTGTCATGGCGGGGAAATGCGGTTTTATGAGGTCCTCCATGGTCACAGTGGCCAACGAATTAAAAGCAGAAGAAATGGTGCTGCAACAGGAATAAAAGGATATGAGGCAATACTTTTAACTCGGCATTATTTAAATCACCTTTCAAACTGACAGGAACCTCGACACGATCTCCTTCCCACAATGACCAGGAGTCCTCAAAGCTCCTCACAGAAGCTTTGAGGACCCACAGTAAATCCTCACTTCAGGAGGTCAAGGGAGGCTGAAAATCACAGAGCTTAATGAACAACAACAACAAACAAAAAAAAGATCCATACCATCATCAGGAAATTGTCAAAACGCGTTTATTGAAAGGGAAGAGGTTGATAGTTGAAACGGAAGTTTATTTTGAAACTATGGGTGTGCACACGATTAGGAACAGCCTCTGTATTTCTGTATGTCTACTGACAGAGGGCAACAGTGATGTGTGTGAAAGTAAGGCATGATACATTTGTCAAATACATTTTTTGTATGTGTGTGTAGCCACATGTCTTGACAGTATCCATATCAAATTTTCTGTTCCTATCTCTAACAGAAAAAGATCTGTGGGGTTTTTCCTTAACATACTATATTTAGTCAGAGCAGTAGATTAAAACAGAGTGGCGACACTCCCATAGACATACGCTGAACAGCCCGGCGGACCCCACTTCCGGGTTATGGAACGCTTAATAGTTCCAACATGACCGCCTGTCACGTCGGACACCGTTCGCTTCTATGGCCACAAGGCAAGCGCTCACCGAGGTTAAATAATAAAATATCAACAAGTTTAATGCCAATACATGTGTTATTGATATTGAGGGGACCCCTTTATATGTAAAAATGTATATCCCAAATGTAATTACGTTGTTTTAGTCAGGAATTGGGATCGATTTTTTAGCCACGGTTTGCTCCCACACTCCCCGAGGTAAAATATTGTATCAAGGAATGTAATGCCAATACGTGTGTAAATGGTATCGGGGAACCCCTTTATATGTAAAATGATTTTAATTTTAGTATGCTCAAATTGTAATTACAGATGTAATTACGTTTTTTTAGAAAGGAATTGGGCTCGATTTTTTTAAGCCACAGCCTGCTAGCTGGACGTCGTCAGCTGTAGAGGCCTGCCAAAATTTATTGTGTGACTGAGTTATGAATCACAGATAAATCATCATCAATCATATGTTGAGATGGTTACTTATGGGCTTTATTTTAGATTTCAGCCTTTATCAGTTCCCGATGTAATATGCAGTTTATTCTTTTTAGACTAACATAAATGCTATGTAATTTGATTTCTGCTTATGGGATGATAGAGTAAAGGGATCGCTACTTTTTAAATCCTGTCAGCATTTAAGGCGTATGTTTAACATGGAAAAATGTTATGCAGGCCATGCTGCAAGACCAAAACATTGCACAATTGTTTAAACAGCTTGTAACACCTGTTACTTACCACTTTATTGTATTATTTTCTCTTATTAAAAAGTAACACACGTTACCAAACTTGTCTTATTTCACTTTTATTTGTCATCGAGCCGCTAAATATACGTACGTGACTTTGATGTGTACACAGTAATCCAATAAGAGTTGCAAATGTTGACTTTTTACGGTTAATTTTAATATTTACCTCTTAAATGCGCGCTCACTGCAGTCTGCCCCGTTGAAGAGCATGGACAGTGCAGGCTGCTTTGGAACTATGGAGGGGTACATGAACCACGTGACTGCTCCGGCGGCGAGATCTGAAGTTGTCGCCACTCTGTTTTAATCTACTGCTCTGTATTTAGTATAGTCAATGTTAGAAAATGAAATTCTGTCATGTATTTAATTTTTTTTAACTCCGAATCATGGGTGTTAAATATGGCCAGATTAACGTAGAAGTAAATGTTGAACTCTGTGAGGTTTTTGAGCACAGCCAACAGTAACTATGGGCTTAAACAAATAAATGAACTGGATGATACCTGAGAGCTGCGCTGAATAAACAAGCGACAAACAGTCCAGGAAGTCCAGGCAGACCCTGAAGCATGTCCATCACAAAGTACAACACCATCTGCAAATAAACATAAAACATTTCCTGATACCCTCAGTTTCATTTGCATATTTTTATCTATCCAGGGTTAAAATACAAATCAGATAACACAATGAGTCCAGTGTGCTGAAACATGCAGAGTCACAGAATACAGTTCAGTTTTTGAACTCTGTGAACTCTGGATGACATGATTCCTTTCCTTTGTAATGATGAATTAACATTAAGTTACTCAGTTAAGAGACTGACACTCACTGCATCCCCTTTAGAGGAGCCCAGCTTGTCTGTGTGATCCTCTCCACAGTAACGTGCAAACATAACCAGACCTGTCACACAGCTCAGAGCCAGAGCCAGCTGCAGGGACGGGAACACCATGTAGCAGGACCTGCGGAGACGGAGGGGAAACCAAAATGCTCATTTCTGGGCTTGTCTTTTTGTGATTTTTATGACTGGTCTTACAAATACAAGACCAGTCACAAAAATACAAAAGGGTTTATCTTCCCATAACCACAAGCATCAGTAAATATCTATGGTAATATTTCAAATCATATTCCATGAGAGCAGTGTGGAAATAAAGGTCTGAGGTCTGTGTACCTCACTGCTTCTTTCTCTGTGCGAGAGCTGAGATATCTCTGGACCTGAGCTTGGTTCACTCCGTACAGGGACCACATCAGGAAGACCCCTCCAAACCCCAGAGTCCAGAAAGTGTGTCTTTCTGTAGGATCTGGGTTAAAGCTGAGGATGAGAGAAAAAAAATACAGCGCTATTCCCTTTTTTTTTGTATCATTACTTTTGGTGGCTCTAAAATAACCCCTACATGAACATACTCAAATCCAGCTATGCGGTCTCCTTCCCAGACTTTCCTCCAAACTTGGGACACTCCTCCAGTCTGCAGCACCCCCACCACGATGACAGCCAGCTGCCCGACAAACATCACCACAGTCTGAAAGACATCTGTCCAGATGACGGCCTTCAAACCCCCCTGTCAGAAAAATACAAGAACCATGGGGATGAATCAGATAAAGGCAGAGTATTCTTTCTCTAAACACATCACACTTGACACTCTTCATCATTTATATCACTGTAATGGACCGCTTCATTAAAGACTTTTCTAAAAGCAACTGATTGAGGATTTTTAAAGACTTAACTAGCTGCATTGAAAGTAAATAGAATATTGTGCTGTTTTAGGGAACAATCATTGAAACTACATGGAAAATATCAAGTTAAACAAGGAGAAATTGCCTTTAGTAACTCACTATTGTAGTGTACAATGTGCACACTAGTCCAGTGGCCAGTACTGCTCCCCACAGTTCAAATCCAGTAACTGTAAAGAAAAAATACAACATGAACCACAGACTAACTCTAAGTAATGAAGTTGGCTCAAAAATGAAGAAAGTTAGCAAACCTGCGTTTAGTGCAAAGGCAGGAGTGTACACACACACTCCCATATAGATAACCTACAATGGAAAAAGAGAAATTAGAGACAATACACTTATAAAAGGAATATACATTTAAGATTATAGCATCAGCCAGTTATCTTGGGCTTATCTATAGGAAATGCATAATAGTTTTTTCCTCACTGTAAATGCTTCAGTACAACCACGCATTGAAATTTTGCTCTTTAGATAAGAAGAAAATGAAACAGTCTTGTAAATGTGTGAGTTTTGGTCTGTTTGTGTCTACTTTCAGACATCTGCTAAGCAGTGGGTGGGAATGGCATGGTAATGAGAAGGTGCATCAACTAGCTGTCTGGATGTTGTCTAATGGGGAGGGTGCAGATGGATGCAGAGGTGGAAGAACACCAAAATAAATATGGCGAGTGTTCCAGGAGAACCCATGTCTGCACTCAGTATATATGGTCTAGAATCTGACCCCGAACAGGAGAAGGAAACTGTTGCATCAAACTTAAAGGGATATTCCGGCGTAAAATTCATTTAGGGTCAAACACACCGTAACACCGAGTTAGACACCCCGTCAAGAGATGAAACAAGCGGCTGCTGGAAGAGAGTGGGTGAGTTGTGTTTAGTCTCTTTGATAAAGAAATCAGGCAAAGTTAAAAAGATGTTTGGTGGCTAGTACTTTGGCTCGGACCCTATATGTCCTGTTGATAAAGTTAGGTGCTGTTCTGAGCATTATTTGTAGTTAAAGAGTGGCTTTTTGGTTGAGCGCGTGGCTCACTGTATTGCTATCTGCGGTCATTACTAAAGTTGGTATAACTAGAGAAGCAAGCGGTCAGGAACATTCATCTCTCGACAGGGTGTCTAACTTTGTGTTAACCCTAACTTAATTTTATGCCGGAATACCCCTTTAAGTCTTATTCCTACTTTCTAGTCGTTTGTGTGTAACTTTAAAACATGTTTGTATCAGTCTTTGAGATTGGAAAAGTCATGCTGCTTCTCATCGTGTTGAGTGTTGGACCTACCGTCTGAAAGATAAAGGTTAAAGTTCCACAGATTCGTACTGTTTTACTGAAGCGTAGCTCAAGATACTATCAGAGGAAACAAACGTGAAAACAACAGGTTACAAAAAAAAAAAAACATCAGTGAGAATAAACTTAAATCCCATACAACTGTGCAAAACAAAAAACTGCACTTTTATACCTCGTAAGCGCTGGAGAGCTGCAGTCTATACAACACTGGAATGAAAACACGAGCAGGAATGAGGAGGCCCAGGATGTAGGCACAGCCGAGAAACCAGTACTGGGTGCCATGAGTGTAGATTTCTGCTGGTACCCCTATAATCGCCACAGCAGACTGGAATGAGGCGATGAGGGACAGGGAAACAGGAAGACAGCCCATACTTCTGTCGGCCATCAAAAACTCCTGCGTAGTGCGTTGACGGCCTCCTGAGAGGGCGTGGTACAGCCCGATGCCCATCGAGGCAATGAGCAACACTGCAAAAATCACATAGTCGATGACAGCAAAGTGCTTCTGGTGGGACGGGTCCATAGTGATTGTCTTTGAGGCTCAACTGCAGGTGGGGAAGATTCGACTCTCCTGCAGATGCGCATTCAGACGGAGGAAAAGTGTCTCTGTCCAGACCCATGAGTCAGGGGAGGTCTTCAGCCTTGAAGAGAGTGAAGCAGATCAACACGAGCAGTATCAGCGCTGATAAGTTTGAGAGTCCTCCTGGAAGCTTTGCAAAGTATTGTAAAAGTTGAGCTTTTTAAACTTTTTAAACGATCATTAGAAATCACTTTTCTTCACAAGCACAGGAATAAATCTATTCTGTTACGCTGAGTACCTGTCATTCCCTCATGCTCTTGATAACCCTTGGGCTCCCTGTTTCACTTTTCTGTGTATTTCTGTGCGTCACTTCAACTGAACTGTTTGCAGCAGACAGGATTGTTACATAAGACAACCTTGAGTGTGTGGAAACAAAACGAGGTCACACAACCTCTGTGTCAACTTTCCCCTCCTTCTTGCTGATCCCAAAATACACACAAGAGGGATGGTAAAGGGAGGCACTGTGCTGCTATACTGCCACCTGCTGTCTGTTTTTCATACTGCAATATAAAGGTGAACAATATCAACTAACCTCTAACAGGTTTTTCACTGTTATTGAATCACCAAATCCCATCTTCTGAACAAAATGGTTAGTGACCATCGTAGATTCATTAAACTGATCATTCTTTTGGCAAACTCTTAAATGCTTTTATCAGTAGGCACATTTTTCAGATCTCATACACTCTTTGTACAAAATGTTAAACAGATTTATACTTACTTAAACACATATCTTAGTGCACAAGTGAGTTGAGTTGAAAGTTTTAAAAAGGTAAAAATTAAAGTAGGATGGAGACAATGTGACAGGCAGAAGAGGAAGAGAGAGCATGGTAGGACCGAGGACAGAGTTTTTTTTTCTCATCTTTACTCCTTTATTTTTCCCTTTTTTCTGAGTCTCATGTGATATGTATATTTTTTGCATGAAGTTGTAAAACAAAAATTACAACAAGCCGGAAAAGCAACAGGAAATCAAAGAGGACATCTGAGGTAACAACGATATCTCTTGATCAAAACTGTAGTCATATGCATTTATCATATTTATACACTGCAAAAAAGGAATTTCAAGAAAGGAAAACAGCCTTGTATTAAGTAAATAAATCTTATTTTTTGGACAAAAAGAATATTAATCTTGTCAAGCATGTTTGGCATTAGAAAAATTATCTAATTTTAAGAAAAAATGGCTAACTTTTTCTTGAAAAGATATTCCAGCTAATTTTAAGATAGAATGAACCAGAAATAGAGTAGAAAAATGGTTTACAATAAAATCCAGCAGAGCAACAAGATCATTCATCTCATTTTAAGAGTAAGACTTATGCACAACTTCTCAATTTAAGAATGCCATGAAAAAAAGAACATTTGATTTTTTTGAATTAAGATTTCCATCGCAGGTCATCTGAACCTGACAGAATCTGCTGCTTCGTACATTATCATATACATACAGATGTCAGTAGGCTAGTCTGTACAACAGACAACATAATACAATGACCAGATGAAAACTGCAAAACAACAAAGAACAACAAAGAACATGCTTGCTTTCCACATGCTTGCTTGTGGAATAAAAAATTTATATTTGATGAGAATATTTTGGTATCTTGATTAAAGTCAACATCGCTTATATTTGCTATGCTGTTTAAGAAATTATGACTTATTTGAACTACTGTCATGCTCATTAATAGTCCTAGATTAAGATGCATTTTCTTGAAGTTCATTTATTCAAGAGACTAAAATTCTAATTTTAAGTAACTTCATCTTCATTTTTCATTGCTTGCTGTAGAAAAATTAGATTAATATAAGATTTTCTGTCTAGTTTTAAGTTTCATACGAGTCTGTCCGGGCCAACGGATTTGTTCTTATTTTGAGAAAAAAGCTTACCCTCATTGGCAGATTTTTTTGCTTGATATAAGATTATTTGATTGAATATAAGAATATTTTGCTTCTTTCTAGTTGTTGAGTTTCATCCACAAATCAGTTAGCCTGGCTGGGCCATCCTGTTGCGTGAATCACTTGTGGTGGGAAGGAACATCAAGTGATTCACACAACAGGATGGCCCAGCCAGGCTACAAATCAGTCAGCTCTCTGTGTTTCAAACAGCCTGACTGATCAAAATTATGACATAAACTGAGAAAACCAGCAAATCCTCATATTTGAGAAGCTGGCATATGTGCTCAGAAAAACAAAACCAATCGGAAAAAAAACAGAACAAAGTCCAATAAGACGAGATAGGCGAGTAATGCAGCTCAGAATATCACAGGAGGAGCAAAGTGACATTTCCTGAACTCTTGGCTGTAAATAGACACATTAGTTGTTAGTTATGTATTACTCTGGTTCAAAAATTGGCTTTCATGAGTGAACAAATTCACCTCGACCCTTAAATCTCTGACAACAGCTGGTTAACCAACTTAAAACAACACAAATATTCCGGATGTTAAACTTGAAAATGACTATAACAAGCATGTATGTATACACTCGTGTACACTGAGTGTGGCGAAACGGCTTCACAACATGCAAACCATAGTGACCCAGACTCACCTCCACATGCTCAAACTCCATGCATCCGGGTGAGGCTCAACTGTCATTCAGCTACCCATGACACAAAGTGCTTCGTTTAGAGAAAAAAACTATTTTATCGAAGACATTTATGTTCAACACAGAACGTTTTTCAATAAACAGCTCTCTTACTGTCGAGACAAATTCCTCTTCAACATTTAGTCAGAGATAACATCACGTACTATCTAGCATATCTGTCGGGCCTTTGCTCCATGTGATAAAAATTGTTTTGAATTAACTTCCGGGGTTGTGCGTAAGGGGCGGTGCTACGAGCTATGACGCACGGGGCGCCAAAATCAAAACTGCGCAAGAAGCAATTGTTTCGTAGCGACATATTTGTGGGATAAACACGGATTTTTTTGACAAAGTCCGGCAAAAGACATGGAAGGATCGTCTAAGGGAGGTAATCAGCTCTATCAGCTACTATTATTTACCCGCTATTGCATTACGACAAGCCAATGCAGTTTGTTTTAGCCCTACTTGCTAATGCTAACCGAAGAGCGTCTTTAGACCCTCTTGCATGATAGCGGAGAGTGGGGTAAGATGAGCCATTTTTCATATTTCGGATCACTACATCAAGGCAATCATAGTTTGTCTCTAACTAGTTTATCTGTATATATTTCAAGATGTTGTGCATCCCTGCAAACCAACAGAATGATTGTAAACATAACTGTCTTGATAATAAAGCATGCAAAAAAAAAAGTGGTCCCCACTCTCCCCTAATCCAGTCCTGTCGGAGAAGTCTGCGTTTGTTGGTTTTGGATTAGTAACAGCTGACCTAGAAACTAAAAATGAGATGGTAACTTTAGCATCTTCAGGCCAATTTAGGAGTGTACTATTCACAACTTTGAGTCATGTCTCTTGAATGTTAATCTGAAAGAATTTGTCATCCTCAGGTGTTTTAAGTCACTTGAGTCTCCTGGAAGCGAAAGCAAGAAGTCGGAAAACTCAGCTTCATCAAATAAAGGAGCTGAGAGACAAAGTTGAAGCATTAAGGATTCAAAGAGACCAGCTGAGAGCAGAGATAGAAACTCACAAGGTGAAGGAATTTGAGTGTATATGACAGATTTTTACTTTCTTACAGCTCTTGATTAGCTTTGTTTGCATCAATAAGTGGTTGAAAAAGGAAAATGATTTTTGAGCAAGGTGAAAAACTGCCTGGTGGTGTGACAAATCAAAATGTGACATTCATTTTGAAAATAGTGGATTAAGGGAGGGACCACTCAGCTTGAATACTGAGTCAGGAATCAGTGATATACCTTATTAAAGCTGCATTCTCTGTTGCTGGACCCAGAAATACACCACAAAGACCTCCAAGAAAAGTAAAATTATATCAGGTGAAATTTTGTCTCAGGCATGCAGCAATATTTCATAGAGTAAAAAAGAGAGAAAGGTCCAATAACCCCAATAACTATTATACTTGTGTCTGACCTGTTTATGTTTACTCTGCCACAGATTCTTCAGAAAGTGAGAGCCTCTTTGGATAAAAAGTGCACAAAGGGAGGTGAAGAGGAAGAACTACAGGTGAAGGAGGGAGAGAAGATGAATGAAGACTCTGAGCATTCACAGCTACTGCGACTCATGGCCCGACACACTCAACTAAAGGACCTTCTACATGCTCATCACATCATTGGTACCACTACAAGTTTTTATAAAACCATGTGTTTTTCATTTCTTGCAGAGATTCTTTGTGATTGTAACTAACATCTATGTATCCTCAATATTCCCTCTCTTTTATTTAATCATGTCACAAGGTGGGTACAACATCACAAAGACAATTCAAGGCAGGAGAGTGTGTGCATCTCTAGCCACGGCCTATGAAGGAGTCTACTTAGAAACCTACAACGTGGAGTTCGACTTGAAGCCAACTGTGAGGATCAGGCGCCATGATGTTCCTCCGTTCATTCCTGTAGACAGCTTGGCTGAGCAGAGCAACATGCAGACAGACATCAGAGCATTTTTGGATACCCTCAGCAAATATCTCAACGGCTATGCAGGTCGCAAGCAGCAGCTGAAGCTTGTGAAGGTATCAGACTTTATTTTTATTACATGTGTTCGATCAAATCTCTTAAAGGTACAAGTAAAAATAAAGTTAAAACAAGGGAACAGTGTTTTTTTTTTTTTTTTCTTCATACATTTATTAAGCCTTTGCCCTTTTCTCGTTAGAGGAAAAACACACTTTCCTTCCTGCTTGTTTACAGGAACGCCACAAGTCTGTGGAAGTGATGGAGAGTAACGTTTTGTGTTCGATCCTGGTGATGCTGTTGACCGTGCCAGGAGAGAGGGTGACTGTTCTCTGCACGCTGAAGTACACCGACCACACCAGATGTCTCCCTACAGGGGTCTACGTCCAGTGTGAAGGTAGCATAGCAATACATCACTTAACATCATACCACCTGTTACAAGACAGATTTTCTTCTAGAAGAAAACTTGCGCATTATAAGATACATTTTGCAGTCTGTAATGCACATTCTGTAATTCCTGTGATTACATTTATTCATACACTTACATTTTCTTTGTAATTTCCACTTTTAGCGGACAAGGAGCTCCCTGATTCCCCACAGTGGAAGAATAACTGCAGCCTGCTCATGGAGACTCCTGTGCACAAGGCTTTGACGATTATGAGGGACCGGTGGATTATTGCATAGTTTATCCAGAAACAAATGTTGGTTATATATATTATTGTTGTTTATAGTAAATTGCATTCATTCTTGCAGATCTTCAAATGTTAAACTGTTGGAGTAAGGTTCCTCTGTGGATGTTCCACTTGTGTTTCCATGGTGCTTTTGTCTCATCTTGTCTATAAATGCCGCCACCTTCTGGTGTAGAGTCTCCATTTGAAACTGCCTCAGCTCCTCCACCTCCTCTCTGTCTTTCTGCTGCTGCCTGGCCAGCTCTTTTTCTGATATTGAGTCGATAGCTGCGATGCTTTTCATCTGCCTGAAAGACAGGCTGCTCTGGATGTTTCCTCTGTGTCTCACTGAGCTGGTAGGTTTGACAAACAGCAGCGGCGGCGGAGCTGATATGGAGCGACTCTTCTCCACCTGGTGCTTTTCTTTACTGGAATACATTCTTCTACTGTCAGACATTTGAAAACCTCTAAAGTGCACCGCAGTATTTTTGTATTCCCAAATATCTTTCATAGCGATGTTGACCGTAGCTTTGGGCTCACATACTTTCACCGTCAGCAGTCTTCTGTGTTCATTGAGAACTGAATCTCTCCTTTGATGAAGCATTTTCAGAGTGTGCCTGTACTGTTTATCCAACAGGTTCAGTCTTCGCTGCAGATCTCTCTCCTCCTTTTGGTTCAGTACTCTAAGATTTCTCTTCAGCACAGCAGGTCCTTTGAAACTTTGATCCATAACACAAAAGAGCTAGAGGGGAAAATATGCATTGTATGTCATCACATCCACATTTCAGTATTTATTTTATTACTAAAGCACAGTATGTCCTTTCCCTACCTGTTTCAGTGTTTACCCCAGAGAGCTTTGTCATGAGTGTGCTTGCTGCTATGGCTGCCTCATGGATGTTACGTGATAGCCTATTAAAGGAGAGCAAAAGTGGAAGTGATTACTGGTCTTTGTGTTCTGTCACATAACTAAGAGATTACATTTCTAGATGCTTCAGGTTTGCAGTCACACAGACTGTGAAAAGCAAAATCGGAGGCCTGAAACAAGATGGCTACATCTATGAAAGTTATTTTAGCGCTTGCCTTATATTCAGACAAGGCAAACGCTGAAATAACGTTCGTTGATGTAGCCATCTTGTTTCCACCTCCAATTTAGCTTTTTTCCAACTTGGTAACTGAGACACTGGTAACTCGGATGTGACTTCATTTCCAGCTTCGTCTTCTGACTTCCGAGGTAACTTGAAGGCACCATTATCGCTAATAAAATTAAGTGTTACAACCATAGACTATACAGAATGGACACCATCTCCCTCCTCACTGGGTGAAGCCACTCTGAGAACAGCACCCTCTGGTGACATGCCGCAGTATAGGTCATAAATCATGCCTCCTCCAGTAAAGCTAATGGAGCTGTGGACAAACTTTAGAAATGAACTATACAGAACATAATTTTTTTTATGTTTCCCCTACCTAGTTACGCTTGAAAAGGAACGGTTGATTATTTTGGAAACCACTAATAAAAATTAACTTTAAAGGGGAAAGGGGCTTTTCTGACCCTGACTGTTAAAAAAAAGAGGTCAAGTTAGTTTGCATTGTCCCTTTAAAAGTTCTCTGATATGCCCAGAAGCCTTCCCCTTTGGTGGTTTGATCCCACCCGCGCCAAGCAGCACACCAAGAAGGACGATGGAAATAGTAACAATCCTCAAATCTTTCACAGTCATCTCGAAACTGAAGGACTGTTAACATTGCTGTGTGGTAAGTTTATTCCTTTTAAATCATTGCATAACATGATAACTTTACTGTCAAATTAAAAGCTTTTCCTTAAGATAAAGTTATATTTTTACCATATACCTTCAACAGGACTTAATTTACTTTTCTATCGATTTTTGACGCTTCAAATTTAGACGTCCAAACGTCTGAAATCTCAGTAACAGAACAGCGAAACCGCGTTGCGTAACGTGTCAGTACAGTTTAACGAAATAACAGAACTTTTAGACCTTCTGTCACAGGAGAAGTGAATGTCTTTAATAGAGTAACCACTTCCTCACCGCTTCACTATCTCACTGACACTTGACTTCTGTCCTTTTTTAACTTCTCAATAGTTTTGGTGCTCTTCAAACCCATGTTTACCATACAGTTGTGTTTTCTCAGTGAGCTAAGCTCGCATGGTTGTACGGAATGCCAAACAGGCCATAATTCAGCTCCATCTGTAGCATATATATTTTTTAGGTTACGCTTTGAAAATTAGTTGACCTGCATAAGAAAGAAGATATCTGCAATAAATAGGTTTAATTTCTTGATTTTCTTTACCACATTGATACCTTAAAAGCGTTGGATAGTAATACCGTTTTGTTACAACTGTTGTTCTTAATTTTAGCCTGTTTTGTAGCTGTGGAAATTCTGCTCACTGGAGCTTTAATGACAAATTTAGCTATCTTTTTAAATGTGACCTCTTGATGGTGGAGTGATTGCAATGAAATTCACTGCAGCAGAAACCAGAAAGGAAAAACAAGCCTAGTCCAAACCTATCTCCATAGCCAAGCACTATTAGATGTATGGGAGGAAAAACATGTTTTTTCTTATATCCAAGCAGTTTTCCAACAATCACTATAATGTTTTTTTTTCTTTGGTGTGTGTGTATGGGGTTCTTGATGTAGAGATTAAAACAAGGTACTTCTTGATTAGTTTTCCTAAATATGTGATTTTTAAACATGTAGTTTAATACAAAGGATGTAAGAAGTTGATTACTTATAATAAATATATAAAAATTCAAGGCAAATAATATTTGAGCACTTGTAAATTTTACTGCAGTCATTTTATATACTACAAAGCCATTTTATGACAGGTGCATCTGTCGATAATTTATGCTTTGCTTTTACTTCCTCTTGAAAAAAATCGGAGCACAGCTGCCTCTGCTTGGACTTCTAAATGCATCACCTCTTGCACACTGGACGACTTTCATTGGGAAATCATCACCAGACAGTGGGTTTTTAAAAAAGCAGAAGTGTCAGCTTTTTAAAACTGTCCTCTTGGTTTAATTGTTGTGACTTTTCTGGATTACTTGCGTGAAATTTTTTTTCCTTTCACTGGCCTGGCACAAGTGTTGCTCTAGCTTTTCCAAGATGATGAGAGCGGTGTGTGTTGACGTACCAGGAGGGCCAGAGAATTTGCTGCTCAGAACCATCCCTCGACCCAAACCTAAGGATGGGGAAGTCCTGATTAAAGTTCATGCAACTGCCCTCAACAGGGCAGACTTACTGCAGGTTCGTTGTACGTTTTTTTAAAGCTTCAATCTCCAGAAACACAAATCTCATTAGCTTGAAATATTATTGGCCTGTACACTGCGTTTTCTATGTATCGCTCTTTTTCTTCTTTTTTTTTGCACAGAGACGGGGACTGTACCCTCCTCCCCCGGGTGAGAGTGACATCATAGGCCTGGAGGTGGCTGGCACAGTGGATACTCTGGGTGCAGGGGTTAAAAGAAGCTGGAGGCCTGATGACAGGGTCATGGCCTTGCTTTGTGGAGGAGGATATTCAGAATATGTGTCAGTGCCGGAGGAGCTTGTCATGCCTGTTCCCTCTAATCTCACACTCAGCCAGGCTGCTGCGGTCCCAGAGGCCTGGCTCACTGCTTTTCAGCTGCTGGTTTTTGTTGGTACAGCAGCTATGTTTTACTGTTATGATTTACACTGGTATTAGTGAAGCATTTTGTAATGTTGGGCTAAATATGTTATTAAAGCTACAAAATTGTACTTATTTTTAAATGTTTAGTGCAGTATGATATTTCAATATTGTTTGCTTTTGGTTGGCATTAGAAAATTTGTGTTTTCTACAAAATTTGATACAACATTCAAGGTGATTTATAGTCAGCATAAAACTCTGGATCTACATCTGTTCCCGTGCCTCAGCTCAGGTGAAGGAGGGGGAGGTGGTGCTGGTTCATGCCGGAGCCAGCGGAGTGGGAACAGCCGCCGTTCAGCTGGTTCGTCTGTTTGGTGCTGTGCCTGTCGTCACTGCAGGGAGCTCAGAAAAACTGAAGATAGCTGAGAATCTGGGAGCGGCAGCTGGATTTAACTACAAAGAAGAGAGATTCTCGCAGGGGGTGCAAGACTTCACAGGAGGTGAGTTTTAATGAATGACAGAATATGTTAAAACACAACAAGACACGTTTTTTTTTTTGTTATGTAAAAGAAATGCATTAATGTTTTGCAAAGTCTTGATAATTTGCTATGCAGTATGTAGCTTACAGAGAAGAGATGGGCTGCCCAGAGAGTAAGAGTTTGAGTATCTGCACCTTTAATTATATTGTTTACAGGCAAAGGCGCAAACATCATCCTGGACTGCATTGGTGGGGCAAACTGGGAACAAAACGTGAGCTCCTTGGCCACTGATGGCAGGTGGGTTCTGTATGGCACCATGGGTGGCCGGACAGTAGATGGAGAGCTATTGGGCAAACTGCTCTCTAAACGAGGGCATCTACTCTGCAGCCTCCTCCGCTCTCGCAGCCTTCAGGTGAGGATTCAGACCTAACAGAAATTATGTTTGCCTGACTGTGACTGAGTTTGATGTTTGCTGTTCATGTCTCTTTCACAGTACAAAGCAGAGCTTGTCCAGGCATTCTCAAGCAGGGTGTTACCATACTTCTCAGACCAACCAGCCTCTCTAAAGCCAGTGATTGACAGCACATTCAACCTGCAGGACATTGCAGAGGCTCACAGGCACATGGAGGCCAACAAGAACACGGGGAAGATCGTAATAAATGTGGTTTCACAGAATCAGGAAACTTAATCATGAACAGCTGCATTAAAAAAGCGCTGTAGTAGATATAGTTTATAAGTTGTATCAAATAATCTTTTAAATCTTGATTTTTAAGACATAAATGTATTTTACCTATAAAACAGTTTTGAATATGCTTTGTTCACCAATCGTCAAGGATGATCTTTTACCTCTGTAATAACTTCTTATAGTAAACACTGATACAAGTTTATCTACTGATATCAATTAAGATGCGTGATTGTTTGCAAGTTCTCCCTGACACAATTGCAATAAAATGTCATTTCATTGAAAAATCGCTTTGTCTTTCATTGCATCAAAATCGGAAAAACATTTGCTGAAATGTCCATGAATTTCACTCAATTTACCAGGTTGTGACGTTGTCTTGGACGTTTCTAATATCAGGAGCAGGGTCATTATGTTTGCCGAATGTTTGTTTTGCCGATTCGTACAGTTTATAGCACAACAGCTCCTTGTCATTTTCTTTATCTGTTAACTCCACTAGTAAACACAAAAAATGTCCCGCTTTCTGCCCCATGGCTGCGCTTGCATACCTGCGATGATGTTGCACAGAAACCCGTCTACTGTGGGAATGCTTCGCAATCCCACTCAATAATAAAAACACGAATAGCATATAGTTGCAATGCTTCGCAATCCCACTTTAGAAAGATATGAATAACATATGGATGGAATGCTTCGCAATCCCACTTAATAACAAGAAACGAATAACATATAGTGGGAATGCTTCGCAATCCCACTCAATTAATTGTACGTGTTCAAATGCGTTCCAGTTCGGCTGACCCAATTTAAAAAGTCAGGACACACCCCTGCATATTGTCCCCTAGAGCAACGGTACAATCATTTTGTTAACTGCCTGCTCCTTAGAAATTACAGATCGTTGCTATGGAATATTGACCAATCAGAGTCAAGCAAGCGAGCTTGCGCAGAACTTCCGTGACGTCCCGCGAGTACTTCCTGTCCCTGACTTCCTTCATCGGTGCCGCACCCCCTCTGAAACTTTGTCCGGTTTGTCAGAGGAAGAAGACCGGGAGCGACAGTAAAACGGTGTGTGACAGTTGTATTTCATGGAACAAAGTCAACGACGGACCGCCGGCAAATTCCGGACTCTATGATTCGACAAGAATCGACGTTTTTAATTTGTCCGGTATGTCAGAAGTAACTCTTTTCTCCTCGTGTGCTGCTGCTAATACAAGCTAAGTCACTTAGCAGTTCGATGTGACTTTACCCCGCAGGGTCCAACACGAAGTAAAGTTGACTAAGTTAAATATTTGGGTTTTATGAAGGACTTTGTGTGTCTCTTCCACGAAACTAACTCCGTATACAGACATTAATGTCGCTATGTCCTGTGTGGACTTTATCACTGCAGTATTTACTTCCTTTCTGGACTCATGTGCCAGTAAAGTTAGTCCACATGCCCGCTTTCTGCTGCGTCAAGATATAATCGAAAGTATTTGTATTTTTAATGTCCCAGTTGCCAAATCCTGAATCATGGAGGACCCGAACAGACCTCAGCGGAAAATGTCAAGAGCAGGGGACAGTCTGTACAAAGTCCTGGGTCTGGAGAAAGGAGCCACTCCGGATGAAATAAAAAAGGCTTACAGGTGTGTGTTCATGTCAGTTGTTAAGTCTTATCATTTCCTTCAGACAAATAAAAGTGAATTAATCTTTTCTGTAAAAGTTTAATTTTAAGTGAAGTTTTTATAAACTGAGCAGGTGCATGAATGCAGCATTGACCATTTTCTCTTCCTGTTAAATTAATTACTGAATCAAATTTACACACTTTTAATATGAACTTGTTAGTTTTTTTTCTTCTAATTTTCTGTAAAATACTGTAGAATTTAATATAGTCATGGTTTTAGCAGCGAATACTATCTAATTTCTTGTGCAAATGTGTTAGTTGTGTACCTTAAAGCTTCTGTGAGGACTTTTTTTGACATTAATGAATTGCACTGATATTCTTGTTGATGCCTTTTTATAACATCCAAAAGCAATCAAGACCATCAGCGACATACTTGATGATTTTTATATTGTAAATCTTGATGTGAAGGGGGTAGGTGTCAGCTGAGGAAACAATAAATGATACATTTGTCTGTCAAAAACCAACAGGATGAGATACTAAGGTCCATGTATTATCCGTACATTCAATTATTCCATTTAATCTAGTAAACGAAAAAAACTAAAAAAATAGCCAATACTTTGTTTATTTGTTTTTCTGTGTAACTAAAAAATAAAAAAATAGTGTTTTGTTTTCGTAATTTCAGCTCAAAACAGAATATATAATAGAGAAGGAAACGAAAACGAAAAATAATGAATCTTATTTACAACTAGAAAAATTGCATTTCCTTGCAGAAAATGCGTGGAAATGCTGAGTGCTGAAAGCTGAAAAAGCAATGCAAAACTGCAATTAAAAAATGGAGGAAGGTATGAATGGAAAAACTGTTGAAAAGGTGGAGTAGAAGAAGAAATTGTATGAATGGAAGAATTGTAGTATAGCTTAAGGTAAATTAGTTGGATTAATGTACAAATTGTCTGATAGCCTAAGTGAAAAATGTATATGATTGATGTGAATAAACAGAACTGATATGGATAATTGAATTTGAAAAACAAATGCCTTTAAACAATGTGTAACAATGTTCCTATTAAATGTACAAATAGTAAAACAGATTTTTGCAGTCTGCAGCATCCAACCATAGTAACTTGAGAATGCAGAACAGCACCATCTATTGCCCTGCTTCAGTTACTGCCCTACATCTGAATGTAGAAAGTATGAAACAGCTGAAGTTAAATTAATTGTATAAATGTAGAAAGTATAGAAAAGAAAAGCAAAAGTAGAAGAAAAAGAAGAAGTTAGTATGTTAAAAGAGTTAAAGACAATAACTGTAAAAACAAAGTTAATATTGGGGGTGTATTTTCTACTGACAGAGAGACAGTAATGCACGCATGGAAACAGTGTGTGTGTGTGTGTGTGTGTGTGTGTGTGTGTGTGTGTGTGTGTGTGTGTGTGTGTGCGCGCGCACGAGCGGCCGAGCCCGAGCGTGTGTCATCGAAGCACACAGCCCATGACAAGTGCAGAATCTCTGGCTCTGAACGAATGTATTCACCTCTTGGGCAAACTGTACAATTTGATGACTTCAGACCTATTTTGTGAGAAGCAGGACGAGTGTACCTCCATTTTGATGTGTTTTTTATCGCTGTGGAGTGAAAATTGCGGCCGTGGCAGCAAAATAATCATGCTTGGTCTAGTGAATCCAAAAGGCTCCGCCCGCATCTAGTGATGACGTCACACGCTGTAGCGTGAGTCAGGCTGAAAAAGGCAGAAAACTTCATGTTGCTCCAAGCGAAATTGTGCAAAAACGGTAGGAAATAGCAAAAAGGAGTGAATACAACATTTGTAGCAGACACGTTGCTGAACATTTTAAAGCAAAAATGAGGTCTGTAGGTGAAAGTATGCAGAAGTTATAAGGGTGAGAAGGTGTTATAGCTTTATCTCCATTCATTTGTAATGGAACAAATTTTGCAGAAAAAGTGAAATATTGCAAAAAGTATAAATGGTAGAAAGGTGAAAAGTACTAGCAATAATGTCCTGAAGGAGTGCATTAGTATAAAGTTTGAATGGTAAAAATAGCACAAAGTGGTAAGGAGTTGAAAAGGGCCAAAAAAGGTACGGAAGAATAATAATAAAAATAATAATAATAATAAAGAAATAGTAGAATAACAATAAGTGGAAATGCTGTGTCAGCATTTCCACTTAATTATTGATTTTGAGTTCGCCTGTTTTGAGCATGATCCTCAGCAACAGTTACCTTGGCGAAAGATGCGATGGAGTGGTTCGAGCGCCAAAATCTTAAATTGTAAGAGCGCTCTGGTTGTAATTTTTTCTACAATCGTATCTTCTTCCTTCAGCGTGACCCTCCTGGCGGCCTTGAATAATACGTAGGATGCGTAGATTTCGCAGAATAGTAGTAAGTAAGCATTAGTAATGATAGCAACAAATTGCTACTGTATGCGTGAGTCACACTTAAACCGCCTTTGAGCCACTATATTATATCAACTTGTTTATTGCATGAGTTGATAACCCTGTAGTGTGCAAGGATCAAGGATCAAGGATGTCTTTATTATCCAGAGAGGCGATTTGTTTTACAGCCAGCAAAATCACAAGACAATAGAAAAGAGAAGCAGCACACTAAATTGGTTTTAAATGGAGAAATCTCACAACCTTCTTCATTTTTATGTTTCTGGAGAAATCCACCAAGAGTTCAATCCTAATACATATATGCCAAGTCCCAAACTTATCCTCAACAATCTCTTTAAAAACCTTATGTAATTACACACTTAAGCTGACATTATGTGTCCGATATCAGCGTGTGAATGCTCGGGGCAGAACACAAAACAAACAAGGTGAACAAATATTGAGAATGTCAAGACATATTAGAAACACAAGGCTGCAGTTTCAGAGCTTAAGAGCTCATGCAGCATTTTATGTTTCCATTTAAGTCTAAGCGTCAACAAATTAATCATGACTACTAGACCCCAACCGATATGGATTTTTTTGGGCCGATGTCGGTACCGATTATTAGGGGAGGGGGGAATCCAATTACCGATTAATCGCTGACAGGAAGACCGACTGATCAAAGTTGGAGCAGAAAGCGCTTTCAACCCCCCACCTGCTGCCGCCGCTGCCGATTGGTGCCTTCGTGTCTTAACTCACGTTACACATTTCCGGTCCGGTCTCACCTGGAGACATGCAGCTGCCTCAGTAAGAGAAGTTGCTTGATCTCGTAATTTGTACTGTTGTTTATTCTACCGTTACTGGCACGGCTAACTTTGTAGCAAGGCTAATAGCAGATGGCTAACTCTAACTTTAGCTTGCAAATTACATGGTGCTTCACCGTTAACTCGGCGTGACCGAGACCAGCACAGCGGGGATCATCGTGAAGTGGGTTGAACTGAAACTTGTTGACTTGTTTATTTCACAAACTGGTTGTCAGAAAAATAATACTGCATCTGACTTGCTCAGCTGAGAAGAACGACAGCGATGGTGAACTTCTTTTTCGTGGATATCTTTTACTTGCAAGGAGTCAGCAGCTTACAACAAAAGCAGCTTCCTCTGACTGAGGAATTCAGATTTTTACACATCCTTTATGCAATCAAGAAACAGACACCCCCGCCCACTAACATCATCTCACAAGTGGCATGACATTACAACAGTATCCAAATAGGGTACAGGTTACAAAGACAGCTTAGTTCATCATCAGTTTCCTGCTTATCAGTTCAATGTCACACTGTTGGGAAAACAACCTGTGAGTGAAATTATAGCATTCATCTAGTTGCATGGCTTCAGCAGAAAAGTATCAGTCCCAACTCCGAGGTCATACTTTTCCTTTCCCATGCTCCTTAAAAAGAAACAGATATGACTCTGTCAAATTTATGACAAAGACATGCTTGTTGGCAGGAAACTGGCACTGAGGCATCACCCTGATAAGAACCCAGACAATCCAGAAGCAGCTGAGAAATTCAAAGAGATCAACAACGCCAACTCAATCCTCAGTGATGAAGACAAGCGCAAGATCTACGATGAGTACGGCTCCATGGGTCTCTATGTGGCAGAACAGTTCGGGGATGAGAGCGTCAAATACTACTTCCTCATGTCCAAATGCTGGTTCAAGGTAAGAAATTTAAAGAAGCAGCGGGATATCTTTAAATCCTTTCTGTAACCCTAACCAATCACACACGCTTTAATTGACTCTAAGTTAATAAGGTGAAGTTACAGCGTAAAAGCAGAACTTATGAACTGACATTTGTCTAATCTCCTTGGTATTTAGGCCCTTGTGGTGTGCATCGGTATTTTCACTTGCTGTTGCTGTTTGTGCTGCTGCTGTTTCTGCTGCGGGAAATGCAAATCTCCAGAAGACGAGGAACACTTTCCCTACATGGACCCTGAAGACCTCGAGGCTGAGATCAGAGATCAGGATGCCAGTAAGTTGTTCCATCATTTGGGTTCACTTCTGCTTTTTGTAGGTATGAAGTAAGATCGCTCACATTAAGAATCAGTGCAACTTTTGAGGAATCACGTGAGGTTGATGTCTGTTGCGTGGACCTGCACATGGAAGTGAGTCAAAGTGAGACAGAAAGCTGTTTTATTGGAGTCAGATTTCAAAATCGTTCTGGAGAAAGTCTTAGTTGGCTGAACCAAACGCAGAAACGCAGACAGCAACCTAACTTCAGGATGTTAAAAAACACCAGGAGGCTTCAGGAACACAAATATATGATCAGCCGACTGATTTGCCGTTATAATTCTACTATGGACAGATGCAAGTTCTGACATGAAGATACATCTCATTAATGTAGATGTAATATAAAAGCCAGTGTCCAAATGAAGAATTTTTTAAGAGGAAGATGGAGTTTGAGCTCTTAACTCGCTGGAGAGGACATAGAGAAGTGTTGACCAAAGAGCCTTAATAAAATGAACAATCACAACATGAAAGTTAAGTGAACTGTTGCACTTATTTGTTCTCTAGTTTAGAACGAGATTTAAGGTCCTTACACCCCACGACCATTTTTGTCGTGCGATTATTTCAGACGTCAATGTTTTTTTTTCGAACCCGTATCCTGTCAGTTCAAGCGTTCACATCAGCGACATTTTCCCGTCCTGCGATACTGCAGCATTTATTTTTTCGGATCACAGTCGATTTTTCTAAAGTTTTGCATACTGTGTGTCCACTTCTGACCAATCAGATTGCATGTTGTTGCGACTTCTGATTCACCGGTATTTCCAACGAATCCGACCGGCTGATTGTTTACGTGTTGGAGAACAGAGTGCATTTTGATAAAAGACACAAATATTACAAAGATAACGACCTGAAGGACGACTTGTGGAGAGTCATAGCGTCAGATTTCTGATATGACGATGGTTTGTGAGCTTTAACAGTTTGCTAAACATCTTTGTTTTAACTTCTGTGCTAACGTAAGCTAACAGGTGTTACCATAGTTTCATGTGCTTATCTGGTACTGGCCCCGACTCACTTGAAGTTGAGTAGACTCCATTTTTGTCTTCTCGCTTCCATCCGGGACGCTGTAGTTATAAGTGCTGACCATTTGGCTTGAGCGCGTGATGACGTTTCCAGCTTTTCTAGCCATTCAGAGGCGCAGGAGGCGGGACTTTCCCCGGGAAAAGTCTTCCCCGGGATGCATCTTTTTTCCCCCTGGAAAGGCGCAAAATCACATCGGGCTTGATGTGTATAGTCAGCCACGTCAAAATTCGGCTCCAAATATTTCATAATTTCGCGTTCTATATTCGCGTCTGCCCCGGTGTGAAAGGACCTTAAGAGAGCAGTACCACTTTTACACTACACTGTAAAACTAATCTTACTTCACTTTTCTTGGAGCTTCGGTATCGCCTCGGTTAAACGCTCAAAAATTGTAGATCACTGATTAGAAGGAGAGAAACTTCACCCAAGCCAAAAACAGACTCAAACAGCCATCTCCACAATTACTGTACAGATCCAAGACAGGTCTTTGTGTTTCCTTCCAGCTAACAGGAGGAAAGAACATCCAGTGTCAAACTTTTCCTCCAAATCTTGCTCTCTGTGATACTTCACCTCTGTCAACTTTCCTCTCTCTGTGTCCTCAGTTGTGACATTAAACAGTCATTGTTTTAGGAATAAGTATCGGGTGCATGGGTTTGCTCAGTGCTACATTTTGTTCCACAGCAGGAGATCATGTAATAATTATTCAGCCGAGCCCTAGCGCTGCCGCTGACGCTTCAGGTGAAGCTGTCATCTCTACAGGTAAAGTTTACCTCAGCTGGCTGCTGCTCTGTGCTGCTTCATTCATCTGGCAAAAGCTAAAGCAGTGTTGCACCACAGACGAGTTTCTGTTTTAACCGCCTTTAACAGCACTGTGTTCGCATTGACCGTGAATTTGTCACTTCATCTGCTTACATTAGACGCAAGTGCATCAATAACTTCATATGAGTGCTGCAGCAAAATCCTAACAGCTGTTATTTAATGTTTCTTGAGCCTGATTGAATAACCTTTCTTGCTTTTACTTGCCATTGTTAACAGAAAGCTTTCTAGAAATATTAATTCAAGCTCAGGAGCTTCAAATCATGATCAGCGGTTTTCAATTTGGAGATAATCAAGAAGTCGAGCTCTCAGTTTTGATTGTTATTCCTGTTGGTGTTAATGTGCCAGCTCTTAGGCACCAGGATTTTCATGAACAAAACAACAATTTATTGGTTTTTAAAGATCCACAAAGTAATAAAAAAATGTCAAAGATTCTCTGGTTTCAAATGTAAGAGATGATTTTTTTTTTGGTGTTTAAAATAACTTTTCATCCAGACATGAAACTGTAAAAACGTCTGATCAGAAAAGAAGTTTAAAGCCCTGAAATGTGTGCATGAAAACTTCATATGAACAGCAGATATGAACACTTTAAAAACCAGTGAATGTTTGACATTTCTGCTCAATGAATGCTTCAACAAAACACTAAGGAAAAGTTGTTTCTGATTAAAAACATCTGCAAATATTAACCAAATCATCTCATTTAACTTTAAAGTGATCATGGACTGTTTCTAAGAAGTGGACAGAGCCTTTGTGCAGGAATGACCTCTCTGATCTGAAACGTTTGGTTTGGTTTGGTAGTTAAAGCCACAGGTGCCCAAATATGGAATAAAGGGTGGAGCTTGAGGAGCCACTTAGTCATCAACTAATGCTTGTACAAATTAGTACTACCAAGGTGAAATCTTTAAACCACAGCCTCTGTGACATGGATGTAGATATTTATTCCTTATGCTAAATATAAACATCAAAAACTTAAAGAGTGCATTTTAAAGGTGTGTTAGTGACTTGTAACTCAGAAGTCTTAATCATAACCTGCTTTAGTGATAATAATTCATAAAATAAATGTATTAATAATAAGCTGAATCTACTGGTGGACAACCACTAGTTGAGAAATTTACTTTTAAAGTTCTAGATTTGCACTTTTTTTCTAAGTCGTTTTGTCATGAAAATAAAGTCAAGAAAATCTCTTTTGAAGGTGAATACCATACTTCGTTTTCTTTAATGTGGCTCTTCTACTCTGTCCTAATTAAAGAAATGAAAAAGGAGGCATTTTTTTTTCATGGAATTTGATTAATTATAAATTCCTCTTGCAATTAGGGTGGCTTATCTCTACTGCGGTTAGAAATATGCAAATTTTTAAGTTCTTCCTGTAGAGGGTTTTAGCTGGTAGGGAAATAGACAGAAACACACAGTGATGTCTCCCATCAGCAAGAGGTGTGACTGAGCGTGTCACTTACTGTCCACAGAGGGCGCCAGAAACAAAACTGAAAATTACTCACTGTAGCTGCTTCATTTTTCAGCTCTAGAAGGCCACGTCCACTTCTTATAAACTGTCCTTAAACAAACAGCTGTGTTTGGCTTAAGGCTGAAAGAAAAAGACATAAAAAAAAACAGGATCAAGCTATTTGAAATAATACCTGTCTTCCTTTCACATCTTCAGGTGAGAATGCACCCATTGTGATTCAGCCTCATGCGACCAACGGCAGCCCAGGGCCCTGACCCTCCACCCAGCTGTCCTCGTCAGCTGATAGGTGCATGAGTGAGTGAGTGAGCGAGCGGTGTCCTTCAGAGTCTGGACTATCTGATTACACCACATCTGCACCAGCAGCTGTACAGTTCAGTGGCTGATGATAAGGCGTTGAATGCTGTGAATACGCAGTAAGCACATTTATCTCAGAGGCTTTTAAACTAATCTAGAAGCATTTTGATTGTACCATAGTTTCTGTTTAGAACGTGCCAGTGGGTTTGTCCTCACTGCAATGTTTATATTTATTGTTTGAACTCTTTATCTTTTAGTTGCGGGTCATTTCTGGGTTGCAGTGATATATATTTAAGGACCTAGCCATGCGGATCAAAGCTCTGGTATAATTTTACATGCACTTTAATACGTTGAGTTGATGCAAAAAGCCACAATGGTCTGAGAGCGTGCCTGCAAGAGATCTCAGAAATTTTTACATATCATAAGAGGCCAACCACTTTGGAGGTGCTCACTCTGCATATGGATACAAGGGTGTCAGAAAATAATCTGTACTTCCACTTATATTCGGTGTATTTTGATTGTTTGGACTTAAACTTCTTGTCTGAATTTTGGGGAAACACTTTTTTGCTTTCTTACGGAGGGTCTGATGGGGTTCGACTCTTCATGTAACCGTACAGCTCCAGATTTTTGGTTTTGTTATCAATACCTGGGCTTTTTATCAAGCCATACTAGCATACTTAATTTAACACTTCCTGAACACCAGCCTTTAGTCGTCCTTGAAGGTTAACATCTACATGCCTCTGTTGACTCAGCCAACATATAACTTTACCTCAAAATATGGCCAAACTCCGCCTGACTATTAGATGCCACCTGTGCTTGTTTACATCGATTGTAGAGCACTACAATAAAAGTGCTGTGCCAGCTGGTGGAAAGCAACTATGCTCCATTTTACTGAAGTTTAGTTTATGTTCTCCTTCCATGCAGTTGTAGTTATTTAACACCAAATTAGATATATTTGCATTGGCTTTAAAACAGGACAACAGTACCAAGAGGTCAGGTGCTAGCAGTTCAGAAATCCTTAAATATATGCACTGAATTAGAAATATAGACTTTGAAGCAGCAACATCAAACCTGAATTGTAAATATCTTGAACAACCGACACTCTGTGGCCTTCTGGGAAATCCTACTTTGCAATTTATAATGGCAACCAGCATGGGCTGATGCTAGGCTGTGATTAGCCTGACATGGTATAGCATAATGACTGGAACTGGAGAATAAAAGTCAGCCAGGTTGAGGAAGTGGGCGGATGGATACACAGTCAAGAAAGTAGTTCCAGCACTCAACTCTCCCTGAAACAAGAGTCTGATGTTTGTTTTCATGTAAAACAAGCAACATGCGTGTTCATCAGGGATCTTCGGAGGTGTTGATAGGTGTTTGAACTCTGTACAGAATCAGGCGAACCGTTTCTCCGCATTTTCCAGTCTTTATGCTAGACTACACAGACATGAGTGTGGTCTCTTCTCCTCATCTGAGCCTTGTAAAGAAAGCAAAAAAAAGAGTTTTTCTCAGTATGTTGAGAAACTTCTGATAGTTTGACTTGTTCTTCTTGTTGTAGCAGGTTATCGTCAGCATGAACCGTATTTTAGGTACTGATAAAGGGCGGACAGCACAGATATGTTTGATAGATATGTAGACAACAGCTCACTGATTTGATTCTATGTCAAATGTTCTGATTTCTTCTTCTTCAACCTCAGGGTTGTCAAACTTCGTTTTAGGGACAACAGTCTTGGTGGTTTGAGTGTGTGTGCATGTGTGATGATTATATAGTGCCATTATAAAACATCGTATTTGCTCTATTCAATAATTTTTTTAAATGTAAATTTATATATATATATTTGAATGAAAGTTTATAAGAATTTGAGTGTATATAAGGCGTTAAATTATACCATCTCTCAGTATGTTTACATTATATGCCACATATTTGCTGGGTGCAGGAATGTGCTTTATGGGGATTTGTTCCAATATTTGAGTTCACGTTGACGATTTGAGCCTTTTTATCACCTTTGAGACAATCTAATGTATTTTAAATGGAGCGTCAACAATCCCAGAAATGTTTTTAATTCTCTTTATTGTATGTACTAAAAATAATACTTGACTTGACAAAAGTGCCTGAAAATGTTTAAGTGGGATTTCTTCTTTTTCTCAGATATTAAAGAAAAAATTATATAAAGTTTTATCATCTCAACATTCCTCGTTTTGTTTTTATGGTTTAATTTCTACAATATTTGTTTCTGTAACATCAGTGTATATCGGATCAAATAAACATGGGTGAAACTGAAGTCGTGTTGTCGTTTTTTGACTGTTTGGTGTCGGTGTCCAGCACCCCTGAGATCAGCAACCCGTCATTGGTTCCTGTTGCACTCCACCCCTGTCAGATAACACGTGTTAGACCAGGTGGCAAGATTCACTTTAACTCTAAACTAAAAGAGGGTCCTTTGAGAGCAGTCAGGAAAATGGAGTTTTCAATCGACTCAGAGAAACGGCAGCTGATAGAAGCTCAGCTGGAGCCTCTTAAATGGTTTGTTCTCATTTTTATCCCTTCATTATTTCTGTATGTCTGCACTGTGGGCTCTCTGTCACTCTGTCTTCTCAGGACGAGTTCTCCAGGTGAAAACTACTCTGACTCTGCATCGTCAGAGTTCAGTGATGATGTGTCCAGCGTGGACGGCCTGTGGCAGCCTGAACGTTTATGCCGAGAGACAGAAATGATATCAGGAGCCGAGGGCGATGTGAGACGCTCGGCTAGACGCAAACTCTTAATCGCCTGCATCGTCAGCCTCGTCTTTATGATTGGAGAGGTGATTGGTGAGAGGACAGAGCTTTGTCATAACTAGTTTACCTTTGACATACCTGATGTTTGACGGCCTTGATGAATGATGGAGAACAGTGGTATCCTGAACGTCACTTTGTTTTGGTCTCTGAGAAAGAAAAAAGATCTATACAGAGGTGTAAAGACAACAGTGCTTTGACTAATGTGAACAAAGGACCTGTAAATGCATCACAAAAATGCGCCAAAATATGTTGAGTTTATGTGTTGGTGTATATGTGAGCTGATAAGTATGAAGAATTTCCAGTACAGAAACGCTGAAGGGATTTTTGATTAAGAAACACTGCCACAGCTACAAAGTTTGTCCACTGGGGAGCACCAACAAGTTTACCATGTTGAAAACCCGTCCTAAAAAATTAATATAGGGATTCATATCAAGATTGATTCAAAATGCCTTAAAAGAATTCAAAATGTTAATATAATGCAAAAATTCTTAATATCTTTCAGTTTTTCTACATACTGAAAAAAATCTGATTCAATGAGAAATACCTTCATATCTGAGTTGTATGAAAAGAAAAACCTTGTCTGGGTTGTCATAACTCCCTTGTGCCCTTTTTACCATTTGGCAACCTCTCTATAACAACAACAATAATAATAATAATAATAATAAATGTATTTGTATAGCACTTTTTAAAAAACAGATGTTTACAAAGTGCTTTGACATGTAGTCATAGAGCATATGGAAAAAGACAAATAAAAACAAAAAGCTTGAAGGCCATTTTCATGTCATAAGGAACCCAGACAGTACAAGACCATGAGGACCAAAATAAAAACATGAAATAGTGAAGACAAAAGGAAAATGTAATCAAAAGGGAGGACGAAAGTGGAAACAGGATAGTAAATATAAAAGGCAATACCAACGATGATAATAAAATAATAACAGGTAATACTGATAATAAAAGTAATGATAAAATAGAGCAATAGAAATGAGCAATAGATAAAACAATAAAAGGCCTAAAGGGTTAAATAAGTATAACAAAAGCTAAAAAGTCAGTAAAGCCAAAATTAGATAGAGGTAAAAGAGATCAAAGATGAAAGATAAAAGGTGGCATCACGTTAAAGAAAGTGAGTTTTTAAATTTGACTTCAACGAAGTGACTTTCTCTCTCACTCACGTGTGTATTTTCCTCCTCTGCACAGGTGGATACGCTGCCCACAGTCTGGCCATCATGACAGATGCAGCGCATCTTCTGACTGACTTTGGCAGCATCGTGGTCAGCCTCTTCTCTCTGTGGATCTCATCCAGGCCACAAACACACACCATGACGTTCGGCTGGCATCGAGCAGGTGCTGATGAAGTAATTAAATACAGTTTTATTAATAAACTATCTGAATCAATACTTACGGCGGCCGAGAACCGCCAATGTTGCAAATAAAAAATAAAACAAAGAAGGAAAAAGAGAAGCCACAACAGAAGTTACCGATGCAAAAAAAAAACGAAGCCTACTGTAAATAATAAAAAGAAACAGATTTTTTTTAAAGCCACAACAGAAGTTAATGACGCAAAAAAAGTGACGATGCAAAAAAATAGACAAATTTAAAGTACTTACTGGGAAAAAAAAAGGATGCAAATAAAAAAAAGCCACAACGGAAGTGAGCTGCCGAGGAGGGATCTGTGTACTTACTTCTATGAGTAAAGCTCCTGAACTCGATTCTCCTCTCGTGGGTGGTCTTTCCGGGCGTAGTGGGTTTCCTGTGTTAGCCAGAGCTAACACCACACCGGCATCCTCCAGTTCAACTCAATATCAACTCAGGAGCTACCTGGCTTAACCAAATGACATGCTGAAAAAGCACACAAAGTGAAATTAAACAATAACCTTTCCATTTACTTCTTTGCTCGTCTTCTCGCCGTCGTCATCTGTGCCTGGATCGTAAAACACCGGTGCATCACCATTATCGGTCCCTGGCAGCTCACTTCTGTAGTGGCTTTTTTCATTTGCATCCTTTTGTTTTTGCAGTAAGTAACTTTTTTTTTTGCATCGCCACTTTTTTTGTGTCGTTAACTTCAGTTGTGGATTTTTTCCTTTTTTTATTTGCAGCGGGCTTCTGTTTCGTTTTTTTCTCTTTTTTTTGCATCACTAACTTCTGTTGTGGCTTCTTTTTTTTTTTTACATTCTTTTTTATTTGCAGCAGTTGCAGCTCTCAGTCACCGTAAATACTGAATTCATGAGTTCATTAAATACAGGAGATAAAAGGTTAAATTTAAATAAAGCTCTCATGTTTCGAGTCGAGTAAAAAGCGCCCCTCTCAATGTATCTAAATCACTCACATAAGTGGTGAAGTTTGTTCTGACTCTCAGAGATTCTCGGCATGCTGCTCTCTGTTGGGTCCATCTGGGTGGTGACAGCACTGCTGGTCATATCAGCCGTACACAGGATCACTGAGGGGGACTACGACATCGACAGTCAGATCATGCTCATAACTTCAGGATGTGCCGTGGTGGTCAACATGCTGTGAGTGGCACCAACATGAGGACTTTTCTAGCTAAATTGAAACAGTAATCTAACTGTATTTTTCTCTTTTTTTTTTTTTTTTGTAAGGATGATTTTGATTCTCCATCAGTCTGGGGCCTCACATGGACACAGTCACAGCTTTTCCACCAGCCAGCAGCAGAAGGACAAACAGAGCCACAGCCACCAGCGTCATTCACATCACAACGCCAGCGTGAAGGCCGCTTTCATACATGTGGTGGGAGATCTGTTGCAAAGCGTGGGGGTCCTGGTGGCTGCCACCATCATCCACTTCAGGGTCAGTATCAGCTGAAATACTTATGAGGTGTGGCACTTTGCTTTTGTTTTTGCTTCAGTTCAGGAACAGGATGATCAGTCCTCCCTGTGAAAAAAAAGATCAATTTATTGATAAATTCAGCTTCATTTTTATGGCACTTTTCAGACAAAACAGGTAGCTCAAAGTGCTGCACAGAGGCTAAAAGCAACATTTAACAACAATAAAACTTGACCCACACATGCAAAAAAGACACACACCGACCCTCACTCATCCACACTCACCCACACAAGTGCACACAGTGTGAGAATTTAAGATACATGGCCTGACACCGAGACATTACGTGAGGAAAGAGCTACTTTTGGGAAACACTGGAGATAAAAGATAAAAAAATAAAATAAAATGTTAAAAAGAAAGACTAAAACCTGATGGATTAAAACAAGAAAATAATATTAAATGAACAGATAATTAAGAGCTCTTGTAAAAGGGGTAAAAGAAGTAAAAACCTCTAAGACAGGATTTAAGAAAAAGACTAAGAACAGAGATAATTAATAAAATGACGTGAAATAAATATGAAGAACTTTGATTAAAACGAACATTTGCAATAAGAGAAATATAAAAAGGCAATAAGTGAAAAGCCTGATTAAAAAGGTGAGTCTTGAGCCTCTTCTTAAAAACATCAACAGTCTCTGCGGCCCTGAGGATAAAGACAAAGTGCAGACTCCAGAAAACCATCAAGCTTCTTTAACTGTGTTTTTATCATAACCCTTTTTACCTGCAGCCTGAATACAAAGTGGCAGACCCAATTTGCACATTCCTGTTCTCAGTTCTTGCACTTGGAACAACTCTTCCAGTCACAAAGGATATTATCAGGATACTGATGGAGGGTAAATACACCACAGCCATGCCTGAGTCCACACTATTGTTTTAATCACTGTGGTTCTTTGTTTGATGACACTGACATGGTCTGTCTTTGTCTGTAGGCGCTCCTCATCACATACAATCCAGCTCTGTGAAAAATCTGCTGCTGTCTGTCAGAGGAGTGGTGGACGTGCATAGTTTGCACGTGTGGAGCCTCAACATGAACCAGTCTTTACTTTCTGTCCACGTGACCACAGGTATGATCAACACTATCTGTTCTCATCACACACACACACACACACACACACAAACACAAACACAGTGTGCAAGTGTGTAGAAAAGCATGTAAATAGCAAATAATGGAGTGTAGGAAAAGTACAGAGCACAGATTCAGCGTACCTTGCTCTGACAACCTGCCAGCGATAGGCTACATAATCAACAAATGCCTATTTAATTTGAGTGAATCAAAAACGGGTTAAATCCTTCCGCCAAAAGTAGTCCCCCACACCGACTTTAACTCTTTACTGATATAAGAGTAATTGTAGGGGGATGTGGGGTAAGTTGAGCCACTCCCTGCTGCTTGGAAATGGTAAAAGTAATTGATCATGTGACCAAATATTTAGGAGCTGTGCATCAATTCATGGAGTCTGTGAAGGTTAGAAGCACATGGGTGAAGGGGTTAGACATTTATTTACAAAAAAAGAAAAAAACATTTTTTACTCTTGAAAGTGAATTTAGTCTGTCATAAGTTTTATAAGAATTGTGTTCAAACCAAAAAAGATCATTTTAATTATTTTAAATTAGTTTTTTACATCAATTGTGGTATCTGTGAGCTACAACATGAGGTCAAAAATCTAACATAACAGTCCACCATTTTAGTTTAGAGGACTAATAAAGTCAAAATAGTAGTTCAGGGGTAAGTTGAGCCAGTGACTTAACTGAGAAAGTGAAGGAGTCTGATAAGAGGATCAGAGTTTCAGTTCAGATTGTTGAAATGTGTTACTTTCTCTTTTCAAAAATACAGCTGTGAATGTTCTGAATCACTCAAAGACATTCTCATGTTAAAATGACTTTTTACAAAACAGCTTTTTAGCAGTTATATGCAATAATAATATTAAAAAGAATGATTGTACCAGTTTTATAATAGATAAAAATACACATGAATGTGAAGAAGTGACTGTTTCTGTAGGGGTATGGCTCAACTTACCCCATACTCAGGGTGAGTTGACCATAGGAGACCACTTTTTTTTGGCATGCTATATTATCAAGACAGTTATGTTTACACTCATTCTGTTGGTTTGCAGGGATACACAACATCTTGAAATATATGCAGATACACTAGTTGGAGACAAAACTATGATTGCCTTGATGTAGGGATCCGAAATATGAAAAATGGCTCATCTTACCCCACTCTCCCCTACTTGGTGTTTCATTGTCATCATGGTTTCCCTTTTATATTGTACTCTTATTTCATCAGAGTTATACTCAACACAGCCAAAATCTAGAATCAAGTCCTACTTGAAAACAAGAACATATGAAAAAAATGTTCAGATTAAAAACAGTTTCTGATGAAATCTTCAGAATGTTCACAAACGTTTCTAAAGTTGGTGTGTTGCTGTGTTTGTGTCCTCAGATGAAAATGCTGATGCACAGATGGTCCTCTTGAGGGCGACAAAGCTCCTGCGCTCCGAGTTTGGATTCTCCAGCGTTACAATCCAAGTGGAGCGTTAAACTGCTCCTCTGGTTGCTCCTGAAACTTTACTGTTTACATCTGTGTGTGACTCCTTTAATGTCTGTTGGATTGAATCTATACACAGCTCTGCAGTCCTCTTTTAGTGCTTCTGTTTTTAGTTCCCACTTCCACATTGATTCATGAATATTTCCTGTTGAGGGTAAAGCTACTCATCTTATATTTGTACAGTATGTTTTTGAGCTGTGTTTACATCTCATTAATGCTGTTTTGAATTGAAATTTGCCTCTTCTTCAGCTTTATTTAGAAAAACATGGCAATTGACTGTATTTTTATTTATGTGGTAGGGCATTTCAGCAGCTCTGTTACCATATTTATGTTAAGGTTCTCAGGTTACATCCTTGTTTGCGTCATACTTTAAGGTTTATGTCCCTTTGGACAAATGTGTCTGCTAAATGACTCTGTAACACTGTGACATTGTGTTCAGTCAAACATTTCTTAATTAATTGTACATTTGATACCTTGCAGAAATACTTCTGACCAAAACAACTTCTTAGCTCACTGGAGAAAATGCAAAAACCTACAAAAAAAATCCACCAAAATCAATGACTGGAATTAAACTTGAAGACATTTGAAGTAGAAGTGTTGGTATCTTCTCACAGGGTATTTTAGCTTTGGGTAAATCCAGAGTTGCTCTTTTTGGAGACTTTGCAACAACACTAACTCTGTAAGTAGGAGAAATGAACTGGGCTAAGATAACAGCTCTTCGGATGGGTCGAATTAGCAGTTTTAAAGTAAGAAGAGCTTATTTAAGATTTCAGGACATGTCGATTCGTTTCAGTCAGCTGAGCTCCATGGCGATGTCATTAAAATATAAATCTATATTTTTGTAAATATACAATCCTCTGACAACATTTAAAGTCAATTTATTTCAGCTGACAGTCCTGGTCAGATGAAACATCTCCTCAGAAACATACAGATTGTCAGGTTGCACAATAAGCATCAACATATTCATTCAAATAATATTTTCAAGTTATCTGCACACATTAATTTGTTTTAGTCTGGATTGAAGTCCTGTTCACGATCGGTGATGGAATAAAAAGCACACAGATATGCAAATGTTTTTAACACGCAGACATTATCTGGCCCAGGTTGCACCAAAATATCCTCCCAGGTAAGAATGTGTGAGTTAAATTGTTCAAAATACTACAAATGCGGCCAGAAAATTCTGGTTCTCAACAGCCTTTATGGGAATCTTCAGCTTTACTGTATTGTCTCTGGACGCTCATCCTTCCAGTAGTTCTTATAGGCCTCCCGGAACATCTTCTTACAGGTTATTTGAGCTTTGAGTTTGGAGCAGATGAGGAAGGAGCCGCCCATCTTTCGGTGGAGAGAGTACGTCTCTTCTGGAGGTGGAGTGAGCCGCTCTCTGAGCATCACGGGGATGAGGCTGTGGATCCGCTCGGTTGTACTCTGGGAGCCGAAGTTGAAGGGCTCCTCAGAGGAGAAGGCCTCCCCGAGGATCATCACAGCATCCACATGGGCGTCCTCCATCGCCTTTAGACATAAAACAACACCAGGTTTTAAAATGTAACTCTCTAAGAGTGAAAACAAAATATCAGAATCTGTTTCTTTTCAGCTGCCTTATGGAGTAAAAAGCAAAAATACATCAAAGCATAACTTAGGAAAATATTAGAAACATCTAACAGGTCTATAACCATCTACCAAATATCTGTTCAATTCTGAACAAAAACTGAATTGGAAATATTATATTTTTTATGACCTGACAATCTTCCTTGTAGAAATATCTGAATTTAACTCTGAGTACATATCCATAACCACACATGGATGTAGATTTTGTAGATTTTTTGCTGTAATTAGCACTTCTAAACAATCAAAAGAAGTTCCCTCTCTAATCTTTTATCATGAATATTATGTTTCACAGCCCTACACTGTGAAAAGCATTTGTTTTGAAGTACTTCCCACCATGAAACCTTTCCAGATTCAATATGACTGCAATTCAAATCAATCTCGGTAGCTGCAGTTTCTTCTGGTCACCAGTAGAGGTCAGTAGCAATGGCAGAAAACTTTCTGTTTATGTTGTGCTCATAGAGGTCAGATCCTGCACATGAGGGTTCTCTGCAGCAGGACACCATCAAACCTTGATAACTTGAGTGTTTCTTGCCTTTGACTCGTATCCTGTGAGAAACTTCATCTCTCTGGATTTCTGCAGCACACCCTCTCTGTTCTGATTCGCAGCTGCATTGATAATCTGGTTAAAAGACATGAAAGTGTCTGTGTTATCCACTTGTACTGTTCTGTTACTGCCACCAAAAAGATCACATTTCAAATATCAAGACATATTTAATTTGATCTTGACAACATTTTCGTTTTTCAGCTAAAACCTATGCGCTGGTTAGAAAAACACTTCACCAGTCAAACCCCAAACATGTAAGCCATCAGTATGAATTTCCGTCCATTTCTTAGATGTGAAAAAACTTACATTTTCCACATTTTCTCACCTCGATGTAGGTATCAGTGAAGCTTTTTTCAAATCCTCGTGTCGCTCCGAAATCTAACAAGGCCACCTGTAGATCCAAAGACAGATGTCAGTTTTATCAGTGTATTTTTAGTGGATGTGTAGAAATCAGGACAATCAGACCTTGTGAGTTTGTGGATCAAAGAAGAAGTTGGACCAGTTTGGATCCGTTTGCATGTATCTGAACTCAAACAGCTCCCTCAGGCACAGGATCAAAATCTGCTCACAAATCTAGCCGAGAGGAGGAAAAAATGATCGTTTTATTACTTTCAGCTGATATATTCTGCGCAGGGACACAGCTGTGGTGTGCTGACGTGACTCTGGAGGCGCAAAGGGGCCAAAAGCAGGGACCTCTAAAAAACCACAGAGGGGGCGGCATGTTGGCAGCGCACAGGTGAGAACTGTCCTGCAGGTTCACGGCCATCATACCTCATTCCTCAGCTCCTGGGAGAGGTCGGTGGCCTGGTCCAGAGGGAAACCAGGCACCAGCGCTGTGGTGAGGACGTGCTGGCTGCACAGCTCGTCAATCACATCGGGCACGTAGAAGTATGGATGATCTTTCAGCAGCTCTCTGATGATGCACAAACAACAAAGTTCAGAGACACCTAGACCTGACCTACATAACTGTGACTAATGTGTCAACAACAAACAGACTATTCTGGGGCAGAGGAGGACAAAGACGTTATTAATGTGACACGTGGAGTACAGTAGTAACTCTGATTGACATTCACTGTCAAGGCTGATACAAAAGAAAGTAAATCAGGGGGTTTGCACATACAAGGAATCTGTCTTGGTGTTTTGGTGCTAAAAATACGGACACAGAATCCGAGTCACAAGGTTTAAAACAGACAAAAACGTTTGGTAGTTTCTGACACACAGTAAGACACATATTGCAGGGCAGATTTGAACTTCCCCACATTGTGCTGGGTGTGTCGTAAGAAAAGAAAACAACTCACTGGAATTTTTTGGCGCATTTGGCCTCTCTTATGTAATCACACTCCAGCGCCAGCTCACGACTCATGACCTCTATAAGGTGCTCAGGAAACAGGCCTGTGGAAGGAGGGAAGATATCACACAGATGGAAATCACAGAAGTTTACTGACTAAATCTGCTGTTATCAAAGACATGATGAAACTCTCTCCAAAAACGTCACCTTCAGGCAGCGCGTTGCTCAAACTCAGAGCGGTCATGATGTTATTCACGTCACTGTCAATGCTCTTGGCAACCCCGGGGTACTGTAACAACACGTTTGATTGCACAATTTTATCCTTTTATTAAAATATTTCGTCATAGTTAAAGGTGGAGTAGGCAGGATTCTGTTAAAGAAGCCTCTTTTTTGTGGCGTATCTACAAAAAAGCTTTTAATATCAGTCAATAGTTATTAGTTATTGATGACATTTGGTAATATAACGACATCGCTGTTTTGTTATGTCTGTGTCGTCAACATTTAAAATTTTTTGAGCAGCTCGCTCTTTCTGACTGTAAACAAAGCCGTTCTCCGCCTCCTTCAACCTGATTGGTTGTGAGGCAGACGCTGCTCCTTAGTGCTGATTGGTTGTTAGGCACGCTCCACATCCTCGAATAACGTTCACAAGACCAAACAAAGTTAGCGTGCTACAATATCGGACAGTAGAAACCAACCAGAAAGTTCGGAAAATTGTCTGAATCCTCTTTTGGCCACGACTGCCGACACAAGCAAGAAAACAAAGTAAATACCGGAGACTCTGGAGGAATAACGGGCGCTTAAAACGGAGGTAGACCGGACAAGAGCTAAAAATCCGGGTCAACATCGATTTCTTCTGGAAAGATAAACTTCTTAAACAAAGTAAGCTGAGTGTCTGTAACAGAAGTTGTCAAACGGACCTGCTGCCTGATGTAGCGCCACTAAACTGTCCTCCCTCGGGTCCTGGACTATGTCACTTTATCCTCGTTGTAGAAGTCCTTCAAACATTGTGTTTGCTGGTAGTCTGTTGGCATCTACAGTAGCACCAATGCTTTTTTATTTTCATGTTGACTGGGCCCCATTTGTAATGATCTGAAGTATTTATCTGTATTATATCTGAATTTAATTGAAACGATACGAGCGAGCAGGAGCGTCTGTTTGTGGGCGGGGCTTGCTGGAGCAGAGAGGGAGGAGAGAGGAGGAGCTGAGGGGAAAACTGGTTGGGAGGGGTAGAGTTTACATTCAAGATTTCTCCCCAAAAACTGGCACTTCCTCAGATCCTGCCTACCCCACCTTTAAGGATTTTATTTTGTGTTTTATCACCTGGATCTTCATGGCCACCTCTCTGCCGTTCTTCAACCTGGCTAGGTGCACCTGACCAATGGACGCCGCTGCAAATGGCTTCTCCTCAAAGTACTCCAGCTTGTCCCTCCAGTTTGGGCCGAGGTCGCTGCTGATGGCTTTCTGCAGAGAGAAGAGAAACTCACTTAACTTTCCTCTCCACTGGTTTGATTTATTTACCAAAAGCTCTCTGTACTCTAACCATCATTTGTTTGGGAGGCATGAAGTCTGCGCTCTGTCGGACACGCTCAAAGATTTTGGCCAGCTGAGGGTTGATGAAGGCGTCATCTACAGGAAAAAGAAAATAAAGACACTTTAAATTATTTAAGTGGGAAAACGTTTGTTTGTGTGTTTAAAAATGTAAGTTCAGTCATTAATCTCTTGAATATTGATTTCTGTTTCTCATATCTGCTGAGGTCAACCAGGCGCTATAATCACAAACTACAGACCAGCTGCTGCTCTACATGGAGACGGAGATGAGACTGTATCATCAAAAGCTGGTTTTTAACTCAAGTATGACCTCCGACACTTTTCAGTTGATAGCTGCAACAAGAAATTTCTAAAAGGACCTTTTCACAAATCCCTTCAGCGCCTCCAGTCCAGTCCGTTTTAAGGGACAATCCCCCCTCTCTCTTAAGATGTCACACTGTGCCTCTATTTATAAATGTCGGTCATATAATCTAAAAGAGTTTCTTTTATTAAAGTTTTCCTTTTACTCCTTTTTTTTCTTGCTTTTTCATCTGCCTGTTTTATCTACAGGGTTAAAGCAAACTGACATAACAAGAGAGGGTTGGTTTGTATCTCTCACAACTTTTGAAGGAAAGAAAATAAACTCAAGAGCTACAAAGACATGAAGATAAATGTTGATAAAACTCTGTAACTTTCCTCAGGATGAATCATGATTCTCCAGTGAGCTCTTGCAGTGAATCACTTACAGCCGCCGTGAACCGTTCGCCAGAATTAAATGAGTCAAAGTCACAGATGTTTGTAACTTGGCTGTTAGGTTAGAAGTAGAGGCACAAGCCGGGCCGTCAAAGTCTGAGAGCACAACATTACTGTACAGTGAGAGCTGTTTAAGGTAACCAGACCGTGCTGTCAGTTCGGCCCCAGCTGCCTACAATAGCTCGACAGGAATGGCACTTATTGTGTGCAGCTGGCCCCAAGTTTATTTTCAGTGATGACATTTCCCCTGATGGTGAAGGAGTCTTGTTCATTTGCCAGAGACTCTGACTCAGAGACATGATGAAGGGTTTTTTGGGAAGATGAAGGGTCAGTTTACTGTTTGTGTTCGATGAAAGCCAAACCTTTATTTACACACAGACACACGGGTGGATTTACCGTCCAAAACGTGCCTCAGCAGTGAGCGTGCTTGCACTCGGTCATAGAGGGAGACTTTCTGCAAACACGAAAAAAACAAAGTCCATTTTTGATGACCCCTCACCTTGAATACTCAGCATCTGTCCAAGTTTTAGAGCGGCACCTCGGACTTTGCAAAGCGTCCGGACGATTCTTTCAGCGTTGGCTTCAGAGAGGAAGGCACTGGAGTCCAGGATGGACTTTTTAGGACCTAAAAAACAAACATGTCAGTCAGGACTGTTCTTCAGCTGCAGATTACGGTGCTGATATCGCTGATATTTATGTACTACAGGACTGCTTTACTAAATGAAGTTTATTGTGGGGCTTTGAAAACATTCAAATTCTGATTCAACTTTAAACTATCTTTACTTATTTTCATGACTTTTTAAATATTTTTTTCTTGTAAATTTGGGACTTAATTGTCTCAGGAAATATTTGACTTTTACTTATAACTTTACCTTTAAACATTCTGAGTTTATCTCTACATAGTTCCCTTCTTCCTTTCTATTTTTACTTCTAAGTTATATCTGTTACCCTCAATAGTCCTTGTTGCTGTCGCAGTAATGGTTTCTAAAAGGAGCTGAAGTGTAATGCATCACCTTTAACCTTTCTAAGTATTTCTTATGTAAGTTGAGGTAATGACAGACATTAGCACAATCTAAAACATGAGAGTCACTTCATTTACATTAACTGCACAATTTAATACATGCGCATGTTCTCAAGGGCTCACATTGAACTTGTGTTGGACGTTGTTTTTGCTCTTTTCTTTTTGCAGTGTGATGTCTATCGATCCATAAATCTGCTGGCTGAAAATTTGCCATAAAACTCACCTAAGTGTACTTTGCCCTTTAATATCTCTCAGGGTGTGTTAGGCTGTTGTTGACAATCAATGAGCTGAACTGTTTTATGTTGATATCAGATCAACAAAATGATTCACTGTATTTAATGTGTGGCTGATCAGAGTGTTTTCTTTCTCTTAGTGGTCAGAAATAAACTCTTTTTAAAGCTCCTGTGAGGGACTTTCTGTTTGTGTTGATTGTGGCGCCCCCTGTGGACAAAGTCAACCTCTTATCTTTTTACTAATCTCATCTTGTACGTGTTTAAGTTATATTTTCTAAAACCAAATCTCATCCTGCTTTCTTTAAACTGTCAAATGTGTTACTCGCTGTGAATATCTGCAGCAGAGACAGTAAATAAAGGGTTGGGGATAATCTCATGTGGCTCTTGCATGCATTAAAAACTCCTTTTATTAACTTATCAGTTTTGTTGTCAGTGGTCTCATATATCTTTAAACATTGCAGAGATACTTCAATGTTCATTTCAGTCTGTTTCATAACCAATCAAAGGAGCTTTAAGTGAAGTCACGGCTTTATAAAAGAGAGACGAACCTATCAAACTAAATCCTCCCATTGCTCACCTTGTTGAGGTTTCAGACTCTTCTTGGCCAACTCAGCTATTGCGCCAAAGCCGAGTCCAACAGCCAGACCTGCAAAAACAACAATAAATTAAATACATTAGACTAAAAAAAAAAAAAAAAGAAATGCAAGAAATGAGCATGTCAAATATGAGGTGCTGCAAGATCACCTGGGTGCCTCCATTTCACAATACTTTGTACTCCGTTTCTCAAAGTCAACAACATGTTTTTAATTATTTTAGTTTATTTGGTAACATTAAAGCTCCTTTGTGAATATTAGGTTTGTGTCAGTTCTGGCACCCCCTTGTGGACGAATCAATACTTGTTTGCTCTTTCACAATTTTGATCTGTATTTTTTTATTTATTTCATTTTATTTTTTTACTGTAAATCAAATCCTGTAAATTGATTGCTCATCAAGATCTTTGCCAAAGAATATGTAATAAACCGGCTATTCAGGCTGTATGAGTTTCAACTAACACCTACCCTACAGCAGCAGTTTTAATCATTAAAAGAAATCGAACATAACAAATACATTTTGATGCTAATGATCATGTTCGCTAATGCTGATCATATTGGGACATCTGTTTCATGACCAGCTAAAAACTCCTCATAGGAGCTTTAAGTTACACTGTATTATAGTGTGGGAAATGAATGAAATCTGCTTTAAAAATATCAATCGATCACTGACTTTAACTCCTTGTGTTAAAAAATATTCTAAAATCAACAATTCTGCGCCAAGAGCACTTTAATCTTCAGTACAAATTTTGCTTGGGCAAGTTTAAACCGCAGGACTAAAAGAAATTCTTTTTATGGAGCATTTCCTTGCTGCTACATCAGACCATATATACTGTAAAAGTTTCCATTCAGTATACTCAAACAAGACTTAGGTTGATTTTCTTATCAGTGCCCTACTATGCGTCTGATAATGTCCACAACAACCACATAAAAACAGGTGTAATTAGGCCTGTCGCGATAATCAATAAATCGCCTTATCGCTCGATAAATAAAAACGAGGTCGATAACTTTGCCAGCCTCGATAATTGACGTGCGTTTGTTTTCCTCCTCTCTCGCTACCAAACACGCTGGATGAGAGAAGAGGTCTCACTCTGCGCATTGTTCTCGGCACCTGGGGGCGTTGGCTCTATAGCGGAATGAACGGAGTTAGTGAACCCTCCTGTCAGTCATTCAGTGTCTTTGTCACGAGGGGGCTGGCGCGCACAGACACACAGACACAGACTTTTTGGATACAGTGCTGCAAGTGAGCGTCGTGAGTGAAAAGCAAGCTAACAGAATGAACACGACAGCTTTGGTGTCTAAACCGAACGCAACAGCCCAAGTGTGGGAATATTTCGGCTTTAAACCAGTTTTGTTTTCGTCAACCACAAAACTCCACGTGTGTGTGCGCGCGCGTGCGTGTGTGTCTGTGTGTTGGAGGAGCACAGCAGGATGATGAGAGCTGTCAGAGCGGACTGAAGCTGCTCCTGTATGTTTAGCGTTTAACTGACTGAGTTTTGCAACTCTGTTCGTCATTTTCGTCTCGTCCCATCAACGTAAACGCACTTTCGTCTCGTCACATTTTAGTCATCTCCGACTTATGTTTAGCTCGTCAACGTTACGTCTTCGTCGTGGGAGAAAAGAGAAATATTTTAGTCAACGAAAACAACCAGTGTTGTTCTCGTGTGGAAATTAAAGTTTATCACTTTTGACATGGTGTACTCGCATTATTATGCCATATAATATCATTATCTATAATTTAAAAAATTGTGTCAATAATATCGTTTATCGGCGATAATTTGTAGCACAATTATCGTCCAGCAAAATTTGTTATCGTGACAGGCCTAGGTGTAATAAAATCAATCAGTCATCAGAGGTAGATCTGATTTGATAGGGCAACATTCGGGTCCTGTGAGAGTCCAGAGAAAAATTAATTAAAGCTCAGAGAGAAGCCGAGTAAAACCGGATACTTCTTAAACCGTGCTGCCCTGTGATGAAAAGGGGCTGCTCGTTAACGTGTACTCTATTAACTGGAATCTCAGGCAGGACCCTGAAACATTTTCTCAGCTATTGATACTCTGTAACTTCAGTCCTGTGAGGGGGGCGCGTCAGCACTTTCTCCATGTCTGTACCTCACTCGGCAAAACTACTGACCCAGGTCATCAATGCAGAAGCCTCCCTGCTTAATCCGACATTTAAACCTGATGCTCAAACTGTACTCAGAGGAGTCTTTTGATAACAGTAGACAACAAAAATAATGAAAATAAAGAGGAAATGCGCTGACTTCCTGTCATCGAATCACATTCAATTCATATCATAGTGAGTAAAGTCAGCAGAAATTGACATCCTGCAGAGCGTTTCTGGCTGCTCTTGAGGAAGTTCTGGTGCAGCCGATGTCATTTACAAACTTCTTGCGCAACTACTTTAAAAAAACAGCAGTTGGAAGTTAACTGAACAAATCCAATGCTAGATTTATCTAGAGCTTAAATTCATAGATGCTTCAATTTCAGTAAAAATAAAAACAACCCTAGAGGAGATCAAACCCATGATTACCTGATTAAACATAAGGTAAGAAGCTGAAACAATCAGTTTGAAAAATTTCATTAAATCAATTTACTAATCAGTCTAAACTCTGACCATCTACAAACACCAAAGACTGACAGGTTAAAGTCTAAAAGCTTAGATGTTTGAAGCTTTAAGAGTCGGTCCCTGTTTTGACGGAGAGATTTCAGCAGCTATGGCAGAGAAGCAGAAGTGCGCATGGATGTAAACAGAGCTGGTCTCAGAACCCTGAAAAATTTGTATTGCAAATATCTGAAGAGGAAGGAAGTAATTTCAACACATTTGTTCAACCTTCAGGGTGCACACTGAGTTTTTTTTTGACCAACACTGAATGTAAACAAAACTTGAAAATACCCCACAAAAGACGATCGTAAAGCCTGAAATCATAGAGTCTAGTCGATCAAACGGGGTCTATTTACTTCTCGGTGTACTGTAACAAAATGGGGGTGTGGGGGGGTTAGCACTAAAAACTGGGGGCAGCAAGACTTGTCCACCTTACAACTCTTCAAGTACAGACTTCTGGATAAAATCTCTCAGCATTTCATTGTGAGGCCTATATTGGTCGTATTTCATTCATTAAGGATGAAAAAAAAGAACTAAATATTACAGTAAGGCCCAAATTCATAGTAAAATAAATATTTAAACATAAATCACCTTAATACGACTAACCACATTGACAGAAACCCTGATTATGAAGACTCTATTTGACGTTTATTTACATTTTATAGTTTGGCTCATGCTCAGTTTGTTGACATGGAGAAGGTGGAGTTTTTTGCCTATACTGCAGCTAGCCACTAGGGGGAGTTCTAACTGTTTTGGCTTCAGTTTTAATGAACTGGCACGTTGTCCGTCTTTTCTCACAGCTTTTAGCTGATACGTAACTCACCGCCAAAATTCACCAGCCTTCCTATCCTTGTGACGGGCACCTTTCGCTCTCTGGCTTGTTCACTGAGCTGGAAAACACAATGAGACTGAACTTGAAGGCCAAATCATACAAACCGTCAACAAAGAAAGAGTTGACTAAATTTCTTAAACACTAATGGCAAAGTGTGAGTTCGGTTACCACTTGTTTATGTGGCTTGACTTCTGTTTTCTTGTTCCTCTCTTTCCCGATGTCCTCCGAAGTGAGTCGTCCCACCGTGGAGTTGTCCTGGTTAAATAACCGAGTATGTCCACAGAACAGCTGGCTCGACCCGCTCCTGTGGTACCTCAGACGCTTGGTATTGGTTCCTACACTGCACGTGCTCTGTCCTCCGTTGACATTTCCAATGAAACAGGTACTGAAACAAGCTCCTAGAGTGGAATATCTGTGAAACTGAGCCGCTGTGGCTCCAGCGCAGACTTGGTGCGGTTTGTTGAAAGTCTCCTGGGTGGAAAAAAAGATTCATATGAGCCTGGTAGCCAGAGGAGTAGTTTAAAATTATGTGAAAGGGGCTAAAATTAACTTTCATATCCATAATTAGACGTATGCCTTTCACATCCACCACTAGCATGAAGTAGCTGGTTAGTTTAGCTTAGCATAAAGACTGGAAACAAGAGTACCGGCTGGTTCAAATGTGATAAAAATCAACTGAAAATGCCACATTTGTTTTAGGTTTACAAGAATCATTTGAGCAAATCTGGTCCCACTAGCAGGTTAGCTGGTCTCCAGTTTTTGGTTTCAATCCAAAGCTATGCAACATCTTGTTGTCATGGTTGTTTTGGACATGCCCCAACCGCCTTCAGTCATCATAGTACACCCTAATCCGTTTTAAATACTCTGTTATGATTGGCCTGTTCTAAATCAGGTTGGGCAGAAAGCTCTCTGAAATAGGAGGGGAAAGATGTGTGGCCTGGATCCAAGGCTAACAAACTGGGTTGAAAAAAGCTTTTATTGTTCCAGAGGCAGCAATCAGTTAAAGAAAATAAATGTAGTTTAGTGAGAATAAATCTTATCAAAAGATACATGCCATTGAAGAATTTTAGTTTCTGTTTCATTTCAGTGTCCTGCAAGATGAGGAAAAGGAGGAGAAATTTGCTCTCCAAGGTGAAATGTGGGACAGTTTTCCCTCTCCAGGCAGGCGTCTTACTATAACCCTAAGCTTTTTAACTAAAATCCATAAAGTTTCTAGTGTCAAAATGTTTAAAAGCTCCTGGTAAGAGCTAAAAAAATAACAGTCCAAATATTAATGAAATTAAAGCTTCTATGAAAACATTTAGTTTTGTCCTCTGCACGTTTAAATTGTGTTTATTTTCAGCATTATATCTATCACTGACTCTCTGCTGTAGAAAAAGTTAAAAAAAACACAAAGACAATTTGCGGTTTTCTAACTATGCTTGACACCTACCCTGCAGCAGATGTTTCTGACATCAAAAACACCCTGTAAATGTAGTCTGCTTCCCACCGTTAGTTCGCTTTTATAGGTCATAAAGGGACATTAATATCAATTCCAGTCTGTTTAATGGCCAATTAAATTTAATTTTAAAGCACCCACAGGAGCTTTAATTTCCGGTAAAACCTCATCTATCCGATGCTGTCTGAATTTCAAGTCCCGTATTAGTGTGTAACTCCTATACTATCTGCCTCACAACTCACTATTGTCGCAGCGCCGATGAGGTGATGGTGCACAAACAGACACAGAAGTTATTCGGGATACATGTTTGTGAAACTCTACCCCTCTCTGCAGCTGTTTAACTGCCAGATCATGTCTGATTCGCTCACCCTTGCTGGTCCGGTGGCATGATGGAAGTTAACCACCCTCTGGTTCCCTGTGCTGTTCATGCCGCCTAGCGGAGCTCTGCTGGCCGCCTGCTTCATCCAGGCTAAACCCCTCCAGACTACTGTGTCACCTGTCATGGTGGTGTTGATTAGACCTGGAGAGTCAGGGAGGACAAGGTGATGCTCTTTAAGCAACAAGTTGATAGAAGAGTTAGTTAGTTTAAGTTTAGTTTATTTGTTTATTCGAACAGGTCAAAAGAAAAACAAAATAAATACAATATACAATGTGCTTTGGCAGAAAAACAATGAAAGAGACAGCTCTGTAGCAACATAGATAATCATACTTTGTTCGAAAGGGTGCAGGATGAAGTTGATGAAACTTATCTAGTCCTACCCTTTTATTGTTGTGTTACTATAATTTAATCAGTCTGAGCATGTGTAGGAATAACAGCACAGAAGACAGAAAATATATCAGAAAAAAGGCACTTTGTTATGAACTCACATTTCCGTTTCTCTCTTATAGCCATCCAGAATGTGGTGTATAAAAATAAGTTTGAACTTGCTTAGTGATGTGCAGGTTTTCATTTCTTTGCTACAGATTTGTCTGATATACGGTGCATTTTTGTGTTGTTTTTTTAAAAATGCATATTCGCCTGAGATTATGTTTGTTTTCTCTTATTCGAAACAACTTTTAGATGCCCTGTGGTTCTGGACCAAATCCTTGAACTTTAGTGCCTTGATGGTTTTCTGTACGTACTTTTATTTACTAGTTTTATTGCTCTTTTTTAGAGTTTGTATATTGTTTCCGTGTTTGTTTTGTATGTGTTCCCCCACGCTTCCACACAGTAGGTGATGTATGGGAGAATGAATGAACAAAACAATGTGTATAGAAGATATTTGACTTTATGTAGTATTGCAATTGAGTTTGCTATTAAGAGTTGCACAAGAGGAGTCAGACCATCAGTTTTAGTTCCCATGCTTGTGTGATAAAACAAGACTCCATATCCACTGCGTGCTTGGGAAATACAACCTAATCAAATACTGATAAAAGTGCAGTATTGACTGTGGCTGCCTGTGTGATAAGAGGGCAAACAGGAAAAGACAAGCGCTGAAAAGTTTTAAGACAAACATCAGACAGTAACTCACATGGTTTAAGGGATAATTATGCTGAAAAAGACACCTGAAAAAAGTGACAAAGTTGAAAAAGTACTCACCAACTTTACAGCAGAAGTCTCCTCAGCTGTGTGGACACACACTGGGCATCGTACGACTGTAGTTAGCCCTTCACCTTGATTTGACTTGACACACAATTTCATGTAAACACCCAAACTCCAGCGAGCAGCGAGGCAGCAGGCGACACGCTGAAGGACATGCTAATTTCCCCCCAAGGCGACCCCGGGGGAGAGTTCACCGAGCTCGGACCAATGAGGCAGAGTCCAGCCGCTTCGCTCCTGGTCACACCAATCCTCCGCACTGGTTCGACGGACTGTCAGTCGCTTCTCAGGGGAGTCTGTGGATACTGACGTGTCCGCAGAGGGCGGTCCGTGAAGTGAATTTATGATGCATTCAGTAGACACCAAAAAATACGGAATTTTCATGAACTATTAATCAGGTCTTTCAAGAACTTATGAGTCTTATCAACGCTAAAATCATGATTTTTGGACGGCAGAAACCACGTTTAAAGTAAAATGTATTAATTTTAGAATAGTTTGAAATAAAAAGTAATTCAGATAGGCCTATAAAAATGTATTTAATCTACATAAACTCTCTAAATTGTTACAAAACTAACATTAAAGAGACAAATAGGTTTGAATCAGCTGTAGGCTATTTATTCATAATTGTTATAATCAGACACCAGCTGTGAGACATTTAAAACACTGATTATTGAGCAGGTGGTTTTAACATTGTGGAGCCCGGACATGGTGAGTACAACTGTTACACCAAATAACAGAACAGTGATCAGCCAATCAGGATCAAGAATTTAAACTAGGGCCCCGTTGGGGCACTGGCGGGCCCGAGCCGTGTCGCTCATGCCATGACACACTCATACTTATCATTCACTGCTACTGATGTGCTCTGTTAGTATGCATGCAGGAAACCTGATGAATGAAGAAATGCCCAGACTAGCCAACATCTTAATAAATTATGAGGTATGACATCACTTGAATGGTTTCATTGGGCTATGCTTCCATTATTCTAATTCTGTAATAAAAATAAATTTTGTCCAAAAGGACTGTTGTTGTTTTTTCTTCTAATAAGTAACATATTTAACATATTTAACATTCAATATGCGCTCATTACACACGTGCACACTCTTTGATGATCTGTGAAGCAGAGCTTAAAGGACAGTAGGAGCAGCTGAACAAAGTGTATTTCTAGGAAAACCGTAAGAGCTATTGAAACGCTGTTTTCGCGGGTTGAAAGGTTAGGGTCTCCACCAAAGGTCAGAGGTCAAATAACATTTGTATCTCAAACTGTGACGTCACAGTCAAGGTCCAAAGATGGTGTGCGCACCTGTCTTTGGTCATTTCCCATTATAATGAATGGAAGGCGCAGTTTCTACCAAAACGCTCGCTGCAGAAAAACTACATGTCCTATTTGAAAAAACTCTGGACCATGAGTGAGGGCACAAACACAGCAAGGATATATCCAAATGGCAAGTTGCTCCTCTGTGTCCACATGGCTCAGAGGATAATGAGACTGCCTGGCACTCTTAAGGTTCTGCGTTCAAGCCTCACCTTACCCAAGTTGAGGTGAATTTTAAAGCCTTGTGTCTTCAAACGACAGTGAAATAGGAAAAAAACAGACGACTCCTCTGTGTCCACATGGCTCACAGGTTAAGGAGACTGCCTGGCACTCTTAAGGTTGTTGGTTCAAGCCTCACCTAACTCAAGTTGAGGTGAATTTTAAAGCCTTGTGTCTTCAAACGACAGTGAAATAGGAGAAAACCAGAAGACTCCTCTGTGTCCACATGGCTCAGTGGATAAGGAGACTTCCTGGCACTCTTAAGGTCGTGGGTTCAAGCCTCACCTTACCCAAGTTGAGGTGAATTTTAAAGCCTTGTGTCTTCAAACGACAGTGAAATAGGAAAAAACCAGACGCCTCTACTGTGTCCACATGGCTCAGAGGATAAGGAGACTGCCTGGCACTCCTAAGGTTGTGGGTTCAAGTCTCACCTAACCCAAGTTGAGGTGAATTTTAAAGCCTTGTGTCTACAAAGGGCAGTGAAAAAGGAAAAAACCAGACTACTCCTCTGTGTCCTCATGGCTCAGAGGATAAGGAGACTGCCTGGCACTCTTAAGGTTGTGGGTTCAAGCCTCACCTAACCCAAGTTGAGGTGAATTTTAAAGCCTTGTGTCTTCAAACGACAGTGAAATAGGAAAAAACAAGAAGACTCTACTGTGTCCACATGGCTCAGAGGATAAGGAGACTGCCTGGCACTCTTAAGGTTGTGGGTTCAAGCCTCACCTAACTCAAGTTGAGGTCAATTTTAAAGCCTTGTGTCTTCAAACGACAGTGAAATAGGAAAAAACAAGAAGACTCTACTGTGTCCACATGGCTCAGAGGATAAGGAGACTGCCTGGCACTCTTAAGGTTGTGGGTTCAAGCCTCACCTAACTCAAGTTGAGGTCAATTTTAAAGCCTTGTGTCTTCAAACGACAGTGAAATAGGAAAAAACAAGAAGACTCTACTGTGTCCACATGGCTCAGAGGATAAGGAGACTGCCTGGCACTCTTAAGGTTGTGGGTTCAAGCCTCACCTAACTCAAGATGAGGTCAATTTTAAAGCCTTGTGTCTTCAAACGACAGTGAAATAGGAAAAAGCAGAGCTGAGCAGAGGGCGTAACCACAATAAGGATTGAACCCACGAGACAATCATATTTTTTTTCATATATCACTGTACTTTTTAGACTCTAGACCTTCAAAATTCACCAAGAAGTGGGCAAGGTAGGACTCGAACCTATGACCTTAGGAGTCCCAGTCAGTGTTCTTATCCTCTGAGCCACTTGGACACACAGAATTATACCACTTGTTTCCTCTTTCAATTTCCTGTCTAGACACTAGACTTCAACATTCACCTTGTCCCGAAAAAGGCTTGAACACACCACCTCAGGAGTCCCAGTCAGTCTCCTTATCCCGTGAGCCATGTGGACACACAAGAGAAATGTGGTTTTTTTTCACATATCGTTGTCCTTTGTGGACTCAAGACTTTAAAATTCACCTAAAACTAGGTAAGGTAGGACTCGAACCTATGACCTCAGGAGTTCCAGTCAGTGTTCTTATCCTCTGAGCCACTTGGACACACAGGATTATACCATTTGTTTCCTCTTTCAATTTCCTGTCTAGACACTAGACTTCAACATTCACCTTGTCCCGAAAAAGGCTCGAACACACCACCTCAGGAGTCCCAGTCAGTCTCCTCATCCTGTGAGCCATGTGGACACACAAGAGAATTGGGTTCTTTTTTCATATATCGCTGTCCTTTGTGGATTCGAGACTTTAAAATTCTCCTAGAACTGGACAGGGTCAGACTTGAACCCACAATCTCAGGAGTACCAGTGAGTCTCCTTATCCCCTGAGCCATGTGGACACAGAAGATCATCATGTTTTTTTTTTTTCATATATCACTGTACTTTGTAGACACATCTCAGAGCCTACTATGTCGGAGGAGAATTTCAAGGGTAGCCGACTGAGAAACTCTGCATGTGCTGTGTAGCGATCCACCAATCACCTTTGTCCTTTACTCAGTTGCCAATCAGACTCAGTTCTCAGTTGCCAATCAGACTACCCTGCCAGCTGTCAATCAAAATCAGAGAGGAGGAAACTCACCCCTGCACATGTTCTGCACATGGAGTGAGACGCGTGTCCGCTGAGAATTATTTATGGAACCTCACTGACTGTTAAGCCCAACAAATAAGAACTGTATGGGTTTTAAAATGTATATTTCCGTGGACCACTCTACTGTAAGCGGTGCGCGTTTTGCGAGGTGCATGCAATTCTCGGAGGACATGCGTTTCTCGGCACAACACCGCTAACAACAACAACAACAACGATTGCAAAATGAACAACGAACAAGCGAAAACCACCGAAAATTAAGATTTGTTGCCAAAAAGAAAAGGAAAGTCAGTTATCTGGAATTATTTCGGTTAAAAGAAGGATGATGTCGACCAAAACACGTGTTCTGTGTTCATCTGTCGCCACAATAACGTCCCAGCACAATAAAAGCTAAAAATATCTCTGAGACAGACAGAAGCCATTCTAACATTCACAAAAAGAGGTAAGATCAGTGCAGGTTAACTGTTCTCAAGACTTCAGCAGTGAAGTATAACATTAAATGCTATTCAGGTCATCTGGTGAAAATTCCTATATTTTTAATATCGCAATATATATCGCAGGGTTGAAAAAAATCGCAATGTTAGTTTTTTCCAATATCGTGCAGCCTTACTCTCTTGCTTTGTGCCTGGTTCAGTAAACTGCACGTGCAATTTCAGCAAGGCATTACATCACTTGCTTGACTTGTCAATCAAATCAGACCTCTTAGCCTACTTGACACACGAAAATAACCGAGCAATCCCGATGTTGAAAACTGTCAGGCGGCAGACTGAGGAGAAAGTTGTAGCAGCAGCTAAACATGTCGGCTTCAAAACCACGAAAGGTAGAGAATGAGAACAGGGTGTTTTATGGCGAGTGGACCGAGTCATTTGCATTCATTTTACCCGCAGGAAGCACACAGCCAATTGAAAGTAGGCAGTTATTGGCAATACAAATGAAGTGAATATTTCAAAAGAGTAATGCACTGTAAAAAAATAAATAAATAAAAATCCCTGGACCCAGGCCTGCAGGCATTTCATTCAGGTGGACCCACTGAAAATTTATATGAAGACCCCTGCTCTAGACCTTCAAAATTCACCAAGAAGTGGGCAAGGTAGGACTCGAACCTATGACCTCAGGAGTCACAGTCAGTGTTCTTATCCTCTGAGCCACTTGGACACACAGGATTATACCACTTGTTTCCTCTTTCAATTTCCTGTCTAGACACTAGACTTCAAAATTCACCTTGTCCCGAAAAAGGCTCGAACACACCACCTCAGGAGTCCCCGTCAGTCTCGTTATCCTGTGAGCCATGTGGACACAGAAGACCAACATGTTTTTTTTTCATATATCACTGTACTTTGTGGACACTAGATTTCAAAATTCACTTAGAACTGGGCAAGGTTGGACTCGAAGCTATGACCTCAGGAATCCCTTCACAAATGTGTTGACGGCTGAACATTGCATCATCCTAGAAAACTTGGAGGCCAGGCCTATTTTACTCATTGCAAATACTCACAATGGGTGATACAGAATGAGACTTTGAAAATAACAAGGGTTATAATTGACTCATGATGTTTATGTATCCTCATACACCTGTAGATGAGTCACCAATATAGCTACGTCATGATTTTCACTTTAACATGACTTATAACAGAGGACTGTTGTTGATGTCAACCTTTGTTTTGCTACATAACAACTTGTTTTGTTATGCTGAATGTTTCACCTATCTGAGAAATACACAAGCTGTGTGGTACATTGTTATCGTCTCTTCCTTTATTTTAGAATTCATGGACATAAATCAACAGCATTCAGCTCTCACACATAGTTGTAATGTCCACATGCAGCTTAAAATCTGCAGCTTTGACATTTCCATTTTTATTTCTTTACACTTCGTGGCATTTTGGTTAAATGAGACTACTAAGTTAAGTTACTTTTACACAAAACATTAAGATATTCCAGTCTGATGACAGAGTCTTTCAGTTGTCCTCAGGGTCTGATGGCAGACTTAAGCTTCGGGAAGAGACATAGAGCGTTTTGTGTAGTCACCTCCATCACCGTCTGCAGTGACACTCCTTTAATTTTACTGATGTACTCGGCAGAGATGCTGATGTTTTTGGGCTCATTTCTCACCTGCATTCAAGACACAAAACAAGAAGGATATCACAACAAATCTCACTTGTATGACTTTGAGACAAATATAGAAAAACTACATTATCGAGGTCATGACACAATTTGCTGCTTGTGTTACTTTGATAATCGCAGGTTACAGCTCTGTCTCAAAACATTAGACGTTTACAAAACACCAATCCAAAAACAGGATTTAAAATACAGGAATGTCAACCTCTTGGAAAATCATGTTCATTTATACACTCAGTTCTTATCTGGGTGCAACTTTATTTCGATATAGGGTTTAAATGATTTGCAAATGACTCAACTTTGTTTTTAATGAAACTATAAAGAGAAAGGCATGAAGTGGACTGGTTTGTCAGTATAAGAGTGTGGAAATATCCCTAAAAGATCAGGTTGGAGGAAGTTCCTTACCTGTTTTTCAGGCCCAAGAGCAGGTGAATCAGTTTCTAGACAGATGTTTTCTAATGGCAGCTGTTTCACAAGCTTCTGCTTCTTGGTGGAAAGTACACAAAAACATCATCAATCATTAACATGCCATGTGCTGCATTAAACCAATGAAAACCAAATAAACATGTCAGCGCTAACGCATGTGTCTCTTTATTTGGGTGGCCTGCCAGGTGAGATGGAGGTAATGCCAAATTTCTCTTCAAAATATTTACCTTTACAGCAAAAAAAGTAAGCACTTGTGAATGGTTACAGACGGATCCACCCACAGTAAAGAACTGGCTTGAAACTGAGAGAGATGGGAAGTCTGACTTTTTTCCGAAGTAAAAAAAGAAGGTATGAATCATGCTGCACAGAACTCTAAGGAAATTATCTGTGTCTAAAATCATCACTAAACAGAAATTTCAAATGACATCATGTACAGTAAATGGGTTACAGCATAGAGTTCATTTCTGAGAACTGGCGCTCTGTTGTACCTGTTCGCTCCGTATTATGGATGGCGGGATAGAAAAGAAATACCCAGCCTTCACTCCTTCCATGGCAACAGACGGTTTCCCATCAAAAGCATGAAGCAAGGCTTTCTCGACACCTAGTGGCAGTTAAAAGGCATTGCGGTTTCCCTTGAATTCAACAGTTCCATCTCCAAGTAAATCCAAAATCTAGACCTTACCTTGCTCTTTCAGGAGGTGGATGGTGGGTCTCCCTGCAGAGCGTGAATGGACATTTCTAAAAAAACACAAACAAGTTACTCACATGAATATCAGTAAATCATTCTTTGTGGTATGTGTGTAACTCCCACTGTAATATCCTTAAAAGAAGTGGTATCATCCTTACTTCTATCATGAGAACAAATGTTAAAATGTTGCGAGGTTAATGTGCGTTAAAGTAATCCCCAGATGAGACTGCAGGTTGCTCTAAATAGATTGTTCAAAAAGTCATACAGGAGTTTCGAAAGATCAATATGAAATTTCCTCAAATCTTGATTCACCAGATTGTAAATCTCCCTGAAAGGGCAAATTAATCATTTTATCATAAGAAACTCAACTTTGTTTCACAGCAACAGTGAAGGAAGCTTCCAGAATGCTTGTGGGGTCAGTGTCTTTTAATAGGTGTCTCAGACAGAAGCTGAAATTAGGGTTTTCAAAGACAGCAGCCTTAATGTGTTCAGAATTTGGTGAACCATAAATCATGGAAAGAATCAGTCAGAGGGATGACATAAAGCCAAAAATAAACATACACCCCCCTTTAATGTATATGTTGGGCAGTGCAGTATGACTCACAGAGGGAGATCCAGCTCTTTAGCTATCTGTGCCTGTCGAATGAGGACCTGCCTCTGGCTCTCTTTGTCAGAGTCACTGCTGACATATCTGGGCGTAAAATCCAAACCAACCTAAAAGGACAGATGGAAGATTCAACTGTTTACAAAGAAGAGAAAGAAACCAAGGAAAGCAAGCTACTGATTATTTTAGTCAAATCTGATATTGTGAACAATTACCTCTCCAATGGCAACAAGGTGGTCTTTGTATTTTTCTATTACGGGCAGAGCAGCTTCGAGATCCTGCATGAAACATAGAACACAACAGCATAGATTGCTAAGTTGCAGCATCACCTATGACAGTTTTCCTTCATCATTGATTTTGGCACAAAAACTTTGGTCTTTCACTTCACATGAAAGAGCATTAACTGACAGATTTGTGACGCTCAGACCCTGAGGGACGAAAAAACTGGAGCAAAAAACACTCCAGGGGAGGAAAATTAGAAACATTTCAGGCCGGTATCTAGCTGCACTGATGTCATCATGATGCTGCAGAGATTCCTGTTGCTATACAACATGAAGATCGATTTGTGCAAATAAAGGAGAAACAGAGTTCACTTTACACTCACAAAATCATCAGGTCTTTGTTTGTGATGGTGTATGTATCTAAAACGAACAAATACTAATATTGGCAGCTGACTTTATCCTCGCACACTGTGATTATAGCCTCCTACCAGCCGGACATGATCAAGTATTTCAGGTTTGATGGGACGTTTGAATGTGTTCATGGATGTGCAGCCACCTGGTAACGTAACAATGACTTTTAACCTTCCTGATCACAATTTTGAAAACAAATACAGGCCCCAGCGAGATTTGAACTCGCGACCCCTGGTTTACAAGACCAGTGCTCTAACCACTGAGCTATGGAGCCCTGTGATCTATACCTGCAAGTCACACCTATAATAATCTCCTGAACTGGATGTCACGACCACACCCTCTAAAGTGTCAATACCTGTTTAACTCACTCTTAGGCTTTATGACAACACAAACGCAGAGTTGACAAATATAAAAGTGAGTTTGCGAGGAAAAAGATTGGATATCACACAAGTGGAATATAGGGGAGAGTGGGGTAAGATGAGCCATTTTTCATATTTCGGATCACTACATCAAGACAATCATAGTTTTGTCTCTAACTCGTGTATCTGCATATATTTCAAGATGTTGTGCATCACTGCAAACCAACAGAATGAGTGGAAACATAACTGTCTTGATAATATAGCATGCCAAAAAAAAAGTGGTCTCCTAAGGTCAACTCACTCCGTATATGGGGGTCATAGGAGTGGGGTAAGTTGAGCCATATCCCTACTATCCCCCCACTCTCCTCCCCAGCCCTCTCTCACCTTCTCTATCCCTTAATAACAGTCACTTCTTCACATTCATGTGTATTTTTATCTATTATACACTATTCAACTGGTACAATAATTATTTTTATTATTATTGCATATAACTGCTAAAAAGCTGTTTTGTAAAAAGCCATTTCTCTCTCTCTCTCTCTCTCTCACCCACTCTCTCTCTCATCCCTCTCACCCATTGCACCAGACTGTGGGGGCTTTAGGCAGCTCCTTCAGCAGCAGACTGAGACTCCCACCCTGAGGACGGAGCGCCACCGCAGATCATTCCTCCCCTCTGCAATAAGACTTTACAATGAACAGTAACAAAACTGATTTTACACCACCACTTTTTTTTATGGCATTTAAATTGTGTATATTGTAGAAAGCTTTATTTTGTCTTCTCCCTTTTCTAATTTTTTTCTTAATTATTACATTTATTTAAGTTCTTAATATTAGGACCCTTATTGTTATAACTGCATTTTTGCACTTTTTGTCTTGTCTGTGATGCTGCTGTGACAAAAAAATTTCCCCCATGGGGGATCAATAAAGGAATATTCTATTTCTATTCTATTCTATTTTAACATGATAATGTCTTTAAGTGATTCAGAACATTCACAGCTGTATATTTGAAAAGAAATAGTCAAACATTTCAACAATCTGAACTGAAACTCTGATCCTCTCATCAGACTCCTTTACTTTCTCAGTTGAGCCACTGGATCAACTTACCCCAGAACTACTATTTTGACTTTATTAGTCCTCTAAACTAAAATGGTGGACTTTAATGCTAGGTTTTTGACCTCATGTTGTAGCTCACAGATACCACAATTGATGTAACTAATTAAAAATGATTGTGTTTGGTCTGAACACTACCCTACCCATTATGCGGGGTGAGTGGACCTGGTGTGGAGATCTGACTAACATGGCTTTTGCCTTGGATCTGTTAAATTGCAGGCAATGCCCTCTGTCCAATAACTGATTTAAGTATAAAGTTGGCCTCAAGGATATGGAGGGGGGAGATCTGTCATCCAGGAAAGTCTGGCATTAAAAAATTCAGCAATCTGGCAAATACACAGAGTTCAAGTAAAGTACACAGAGAGGTTTCTAGTTTGTACTGTAATTCAGGTGAATGAGTTGACCCTTTGAACTGTGGGTTTACCTGCAGAGTTGCCCCCCTCTGCTGCTCTGGAGAAACCTCTTGGACAGGGTGAACACCTAAGCAGGGGAGGATAAAACCTGGAAACCTGGAGAAACAATCAACACATCCCTAAATGTACAGTAACACAAACACCATCTTATATTGAAGTTTAGTCATTTTTTAATCGGTGCAGTTACCTCCGTGATAACTCCACAATCTTTTCAAATTCTCCAGCATGTTCAGCCACTGCTAAAAGCGCCAATAATCCAGCCTTTAAACAATAACACAGAGAAATTAGTTCCTGACACTAGAAGACTGTATCAGTGCAAAAACTGCTCACCTTTTTTGAGTTTTCAACCACCTCCTCTATGTCCTAAAATAAAAAAATAATAATAAAGGTTAGAAGTAAACTATATATTTCAGATGTATAATATTTGCCTGGGTTGTTTAAGCATCACAGTACCGTGTCAAAATCCCTCGCAGAGATATGACAGTGGCAGTCAATGTAGCCATGCATGTGTGCGCGATGCCTTCAAAACCAAAACATCACCCTTTTCCGGAAAGCGAGGGAGACTGCGCATGCGTGTTGTGATGGAAGCGCATGATTTAGAACGTAGCGTCGTCCGTGAGAGCGGCGTCACGTTGAATCTGATGCGCTGAGCCTAAATGGTGCATCACTGTAAGTAAATGAAACACACCCAGGAGTCAGCGAAGCTTCTCCTTGCTGAGAGTATTATCACAATGCCATCTGTGATTTTGGGGCTCTGAACTGTGTCATGTTCCCGTTTTTAATGGATTACTTTCACTTTTAATGTGAAAATTTAACATCATTCGCTTATTATGTGATAGCCACCCAGGCTGCTTCCTGAAAAATGGGATTTCTAACCGCACTTTTCCTTTTATTTTTGTTGTTGATAAGCACCAGCAGAGCAAAATACGAACCAAACTGGGAATCCATCGACTCAAGACCCCTACCAGAGTGGTTCGACCAGGCAAAGTTTGGGATCTTCATCCACTGGGGGGTCTTTTCTGTCCCCAGTTTTGGCAGCGAGTGGTTCTGGTGGGTATACTGGTTCCTCATATAGGGGAGAGTGGGGTAAGTTAAGCCAAAGGGTAAGTTGAGCCACCCCCTGCTGCTTGAAAATGGTAAAAGAAATTGATCATGTGACCAAATATTTAGGGGATGGGCATCAATTCATGGAGTCTGTGAAGGTTAGAAGCTCATGGGTGAAGGGGTTAGACATTTATTTCCCAAAAAAAATGCATTGTTTACTCTTGAAATTTAATTAAGTCTGTCATAAGTTTTATTAGAATTGTGTTCAGACCAATTCTCGGCTCAACTTACCCCACTCCAAACCACTTTTTTTGGCATACTATATTATCAAGACAGTTATGTTTCCACTCATTCTGTTGGTTTGCAGGGATGCACAACATCTAACTATGATTGTCTTGATGTAGTGATCCAAAATATGAAAAATGGCTCATCTTACCCCACTCTCCCCTACAGCAACGAATTAACAGAGGACAACAACAACAACACTTTTACCTCACATATAAACTAAAGTCTTTGGACAGATGGGACAGAGATCTAATCATAAATTTATTCAATAGGATTTAAAGATTTGAAACAGCCACTGAAGTTTTACCTTCCTAGACATTACACCATTAACTGATGTGTTTAAAGTCACATAAAGAGGGTAAAGAAGTCGTTTACATGATCAGGAACTTGGTAGGCGCCATCTGCTGTTGGAGTTCATTCAATACAGGTGCACACAGCATGTTTTTGCATTTGCTTTCTGTTGCAGGTGGTACTGGCAGGGGCAAAAACTAAAGCCATATGTGGAGTTCATGCAACGTAATTATCCTCCAGGCTTCAGGTACCAGGACTTTGCGCCACAATTCACTGCTGAGTTCTTCGATGCAGAAGAGTGGACAAATATCTTTGCATCATCAGGGGCAAAATACATAGTCCTGACCACAAAACACCATGAGGGTATTGTTTCTGAAACATCTTTCCATCCTTATATTTGCAGTGTAGAGATTTAGTGCTTCACTGCATCCCTTCAGCCATGCAGAAGATTCATTTTTCGGTCGATATTTTTCAGGTTTTACACTTTGGGGCTCTAAATACTCCTGGAACTGGAACGCTGTGGATGTTGGACCGAAGAGAGATCTGGTAGATGAAGTGGCGAGTGCCCTCCGTGCTAAAAGCGACCTCCGTTTAGGACTGTACCACTCTCTCTTTGAGTGGTTCAATCCTCTCTACCAGCAGGATGCTGCAAATGCCTTCACTACAAACTACTTCCCCTCGAGTAAGACTCTGCCTGAGCTTTATGAGCTCATTGTCAAGTACAAACCAGAGGTGCTGTGGTCTGATGGGGACGAAGACGCACCTGACAAGTACTGGAACAGCACAGGGTTCTTAGCCTGGCTCTACAATGACAGGTGGTTTAGTTAAATTAATTTAAAGAGTAGGCGTGTTTTCAGTGTATTTATCATTAACCTATGTTCCTTCACAGTCCCGTAAAAGACACAGTGGTGACCAATGATCGCTGGGGTTATGGATGCAGCTGCACCCACGGTGGATATTACACCTGTTCTGATCGCTACCAGCCTGGACACCTGCTTAAACACAAATGGGAAAACTGCATGACCATTGACATGAAGTCATGGGGCTACAGACGAAATGCTCCTCTGAGTGACTACCTCACCATCGAGCAGCTCATAGCAGTAAGAGCTGAAAACCTCATAAACCGCTTTATGAAGTCAAATATCTATTGAACTACCCCATCACTATTCAGGATGAAATGGCAGAGATATTTTGAATGTAAATTGTATTTGAAATTATTGCTGAGCTTCCATATTCTCTAAAGAATTAAAAAGTCAATGGTTGACATGACAAGCTCAAGTCAAGACTGTTTAGATCAAATGTTTTGAAGCTTTTAAGATCATTAAAGTGTTTTCTTCACTTATGAAGCAGCCATTTTCAAAAATGTATCACTCTTTTCAGAGAAAATGTAGATCTACAGTTCAAAACTATGAGCTGTAGTTCCAAAATCATCCACAAGGGGGCAGGAAGAGAACTTGAGTCATATTTGTTTCGTGAATTGATGTTGGGAGAAACTCTCGGCTGAAAAGACCAAGTTTATATGTTTCTGCTGCACAAAGCCAGCGTAGAAACACAGGAACCATGTCTCTTTCTGCCCATACTTTTTAAAATCCCTAACGTGATCACAATGACTTTTTTTTTCCACCAAGATTTCCCTTCTTTTCATGCCTGTTTTCACCCTAGTCTTTTGAACAGATCTGCATGTGAATCTGCATTTTGTTGTCTCAGATGACGATGAAAAAAACAGAAAATTGGCATGTTAATAGACAAAACCATAATAATTATCGGTTATGGGCATTGTTGCCATCATAATTTAGTTCTGTTATTCAGTGCATGGCAGGTACTATAAAAGGACTGCTGGCTAGAAATTAGACTGAAGGAAAATGTCACAACTACTGAAACAAAGACAAGTAGTATGCAGAGTAGTTCCTCGTCCTTGGCTTCACCTCCACTGGGGGCCACTTGAAAAATGGAAGCTGCCTGTTGTAGTGCCACTTGTTATTGCGTCTGTTTGTTGATGACTTGTTGGTTTTACTGTTTGACAACACACTACAGTTGCAGTTTTGTGTGTTTTGCAGAAAGTGTTTCTAATAATTCTACAGTTTCTGCAGTCGTCAACACCAGGCATGCCTGATGGTGTGTTTTGGTGTCCATGATCATTGACCTTATCCTGGGCACCTTTTTTAAACTCTTACTCTCTGTGTATTTTTAGACTTTGGTGGAGACCGTGTCCTGTGGGGGAAACCTGCTGATGAATGTTGGTCCGACACATGATGGACGGATCGCTCCCATCTTTGAGGAGCGTCTGAGGCAGATGGGTCAGTGGCTGAAGGTTAATGGAGAGGCAATTTACAACACCACAGCATGGCGGGCTCAGAATGACACGGTCACTCCTAACATCTGGTGGGTCGTGTTTTGAATTTCCTCTGGTCCTCTTAATGGTTTCATCTGATCTTTTCTATTGACTAATCAAAAGTAAATATAAAAAAACTATATAATTTATGATCTAAACTATTTTTCCAAGCGCTCAGAACAACCTCCATATTAGGACGATATTTGAAGTGTGTCATTTAGTCTGAACGGACCTTCACCTCGACAGGTACACCTCAAAACCAAAAGAAGGGAGCGTCTTTGCCATTTTATTGGAGTGGCCTGAAGAGGGATCTGTGATTCTGAATGAACCTGCTGCTATTCAAGGACAGACTCAGGTAGGATGAAATCAACAGGTCAAGCTACTTGAGGTAGAAAACAAGACCATCAGCGACGAGACTGACAAATTTTATATCCTAATTATTAATGCCTGAATCTTGTGTGAGGGGGTAGGTGTTGGCGAAACAGCTGAAGAAACACTCCTGCTTTTAAAATATTCACCATGAATCCTCGAAGGCGCTTAAAGTCAGTTATGTTATAAGCTACACAGATTCATGCTGTCATATTTGTTTTTTAATAATCAATAGTCAATAATCACATTGAACAGTGAGGTTGACTTTCAACCTTGTTCACGTGTGTCTTTTGTTCTATAAAAGGTGGCACTCCTCGGTCACGGGTCTCTGCAGTGGGAGCCTGTAAAGCCCAGTGGACTGCGGGTCTTCCTGCCCCAGCTGTCCTTCAGATGGATGCCATGCCAGTGGGCCTGGACACTGAGGCTGACAGGTGCCACTTAAAACCGGATCACATGAAGAAGAAGGGACAGAGCTGCAGGCCAGAGGGAAGAACCCAGAACACTTTCCAAAGTGCTTTTCTTCTCACATGGGAATAATCTTTTTATTTTTTTTTTCTTAAATGTGTGTTCAACAAAACAGGAATAAACATTATGACATAACCTTTGCTTTCTTAACTAGGTCTGAGTTTTTAATTTTTAAATTCAAATTCAACTTTATGTTTATGGCACTTTCCAGACAAAAAACAACAATTAACAACAATAAAACCTGAACCTCCCAAAGACACACAAAGACACACACCCACCCTCACTCACTCACCCACACACAGAGGTAAGATGGAGCCAGACCATTTACAGATTTAAAAACAAATAAAAGAATCTTAAAATGAACTCTAAAATGCACAAGAAACCAGTGGAGGGAGGCCAGGATGGGAGTAATGTGCTCCCTCTTACGTACTCCAGTTAAGAGCGGGGCGACTGCATTTTGTACTAACTGGAGACGTGAGAGGGAGGACTGGCTGAGTCAGATCCTCTTCCAATCATGTGAGATTTAGGAAATTCTCATTTTGCCATTTTTTTCCCTGCACAAAAAACGTCGGGCATGTCAAGAAATGTGAGATTAGTTCAGTATAGATGTCTGTGTGAGGGGTATAGTGACAAAAAAAGGCCAAGAGGACCACAACAAGAAATATTATAAGCAATATTTTTATGTGTAAGCCTAACAAGGTAACCTAGAGATGAGAACCAAATTGGATGATAGAGAAATGTTTTTAGTGTAATTCACAGCTGATTTAAGACACGCGTCAAAACCGACCCTTAACATGGTGGATGTGTAGTAAAAGCTAACACAGGAGGAAGGTTAAAGGGAACCACATCTTTGCATCAGTTTTGATTGAATCATCTTGATTGTAGACTCTTGGGTTCATGCCAGTATTATCTCAGCTATTGTAACCTCACAGCGCCCCCTTGCTGCACACATCATAAACACATCTTGATCGTGCACTGCATTTTTTAAGGCACGCTGACGGCGCAAAACTGATCTCTACACCCCCTGCAGAGCACACATGACCCGGAAAACAAGCTTGAGTGTCACGCAGCAGAGAAATTTCGGGTGAATTAAAATACTCTGCAGGTCGCACAGTCCCTGGTAAAGCCTCCACTCCCTGCTGCGACACTCTCTACCTTCATACACTGTTTGAGATTTATAACCCTGGCTTCTTTCTCCGCTGATCCACGACAGCGAGAAGTGTATTTGTCACCTAAGATGGTGAGTCCGGTGCAGGGCAGATCTCTATGTTGTGTCTGCTCTCTGCTGCACGCCTTTAAGGTGGGAGGTCCCTGTTCTGCAAATGTTCCATGACGTGCAGATGGGGGGTTTTCAAGGGGTTCTCACGTCCATGCAGTTTCCCCACTTTCAGCAGGCTATCCCCAGCCCACCTGACAGCTGATCCCCTAAACAACAACAACAACAACAACAATAATACAACAGGGGGATGTAAGGATGTAAATCACGTGTGGACAGATGAGCACCAGATGGGGCATACAAAGGAGCTGCTACACTTAGGTAAAAATGGCGCTTTAAAGTAGCAATCCACCATTTTTTATTTAAACATTTGGTAGATATTTTTTGGTAATTGGTTTAAGATAACATGTTGAGTGTCTTTGAATGTAAGAATGATATGTTTGTGTATGTTGGTAGAGCTGAATCATGAAATCAATACTTTTATGGGAGCCATTTCTACATGACAACAATCTACAAAAGATAAGTTTGAGTTGATGAAAGCAAAAAAAGAAAGCAAAAAAATAAAAAAAAAACAGCCAATCTTGACACTTATATGTGATAATTGCACTTTTATTTATTTACTTATTTATTCATTTTGAGCAGAAATGGACTTAAATTTGAAAAAATGGGGATCTGTGCATTACGTCAGCTAAAATTCAAACTCTCAATCTTTGTTAGTTAGCACCAGAAGTGCTAATTTAGTTTAGTTTTGTACTGGCCAAAAGTTTGGACACACCTTCTCATTCAATGCATTTTCTTTATTCTCATTACTATTTAAATTGTAGATTTTCAGTGAAGGCATCAATACTATGAATGAACATGTGGAATCATGTGCTTAAGAAAAAAGTGTGAAATAACTGAAAACATGTTTTATATTATAGATTCCTCAAAGGGTGGCTGTGTTAGAGAAACTAGAATATAAAACATGTTTTCAGTTATTTCACACTTTTTTATAAGTACAAAATTCCATGTGTGTTCATTCATAGTTTTGATGCCCTCAGTGATAATCTGCAATGTAAATAGTCATATAAAAAAATAAAGAAAAGATATTGAATGAGAAGGTGTGTCCAAACTTTTGGCCTGTACTGTATAGGGCTGAAAATGCTGGTTACATTTCTTGCAATTGGCCAGGGCTGTAGCTACTGATGGAGACTACTTTAATGCTGTACAGAGCCGGCCCTAGCCTCAATGGGGCCCTAAGCGAAATTTGATTTTGGGGCCCCCTATTTCTGCCAATAATATTGATTGTTGATCATTCACACACCTTAGCAAATCTCTTTGATTAACTTTCCATGACATGCAAACATACCTTTATCTTGGCGTTTTTTTTTTGCATAGCAGGAGGCACATAATGGTAGCAGAGCTTTGACATATCGGCAGTAAAAATCATAGGCATACATCAGCAGCAACACTAAAATGCTATTACTTTATTTCATTTTTACAATAATATATATTTGATTATACAGAAAGCATCACTCATACATGCAAAAAATAAAAAATGTTTAATTATTATTATTTTTTGATTGCTCTTGGGGGCCCCCTATTGGCCGCGGGGCCCTAAGCAGGCGCTTATTTCGCTTATGCCTTGGGCCGGCTCTGATGCTGTACTACCTGGAGGTAAACAAGCACAGATGATAAACGGCATCTCATAATGTTAGTTTGGCAGTAATTTGATTTAGAAAATGGTGATAAAGTTATATGTAGGCTGTGGTCGAATCGTTTAAAGCACCAGTACAAGACTATTGATCCTAACCTGCAGGGGCGATTGAGAGCTGCTGGTGCTAGCTCTATAAAAATAGGCCACACCTAACAAACCAATTTGGCATCATAAACTTGCAGACTGTATTATCCTGCATTAAACTGTGTTAAACACTCATTAATATTTGCCTTTAGATATGTTGGTATGCTATAATTTGAATTTCTGTTTAAATAACTTAGAAATCAGTTTCTTCTGTCCTTAAGTAATCACAATATTACATGATTGATAAATTATACCTTCATTTTAATTAATTTTTGCCAGTTGATTTAAGGTGTAGTTTGATGTCGAACATTTTGCTAAACCTCACACTTTACGTTCACAATTTATTGTTCATTTAAATAACCATTGCTGCTTAATATTGAATGAAAAACCAAAAGTACATGTGTGTTTCTTAAATCTTTATTTTGATGTTAGTTTACACCCGGAACAGTTCATTTATTTATGTCCACCCGCTCGATAAGTGTAACCTGTAGTAGAGCATGATGAGTTATGAAGCCTGTTTTTCTCCTCTCTTTTCTGCAGTCTTGTTGCTGTAATCTGCTGTGGTAATTATATATGTAGACAGGAAGCCGCAAGCTGCTACAGACGTTGGCATGGTTTCCATGGAAACACACAATCATGTCAGATTATTTTCAGGTACTGCTGCGATAATGGCGTAAGTACAGCTGGTTTGAGAGGCTGATTTAAAGAGATGGATAGATGAAACGATGGCTCGAAAGGTGAATCAGGTGAAGCTGTTTTTATTCTGTTTTTTGAATGGAGGAATGATGCGTCGACTGAGGGCTGGATTTACATTTTTATTAACTGCGTTTATCAATTGTTGATTGTATCAGCTGTTTGTTCAACCTGTAGTGTTCCCCTGTAAGTGATAGCTCAGTCAGCCATATGACAGCCACTACAGCCTGCAGGGAGGAAAACCTCATTCCTTCCATTCATAAACACCACCCCCCTCCCCTCTCCTCCCCCTCCTCCCTTCCCTCTCTTTGTATGTGTGTGTTGTCCCCTCTGTCCCCCTCCCTTCCCCTCCCATCTGTTTAACTGCTAATATCATTAGAGGCCCGCTAGTAGACGGGTGCATGTGTGGCATTCAATCACATGCAAATTTGTGGCAGATTTGAGCCGGTCAGCGCAGCGGCGGTGTAGCTTAAGATAGTGGAAATGCCAAGCAGTGTGGAACATCCTGGGGGACAGACCATTATATTTATAGAGATGGGCGACTTGACCTTCACTGCACATTGAGTATCAGCCATTTTAGTGCCGCTCCTCTAGATACTGAATACAGCATAATGGATCTCAGCTGCAGTGCAGTTAGTTAGCTTCAACTTCATCTTCGGCTTGTTAGAGGCAATATCTAATAATAGCTCCCTGCAATTCCATACTGTGGAGGGACTCTGTCGATACACAGTCTCTGCATTCATGGCTTTTTTGGCTCACAGAGAGGTGAAGCTTTCTATGAAATTACAGCTTTTGCGGCACAGGAAATACAGGCTTAGCATTTTGGTAGGATTCTGAATTCTATGGTGAAGTTAAAGTGCATGTTGTTACATAAGTTTGAAGCCTTTGTTCTGCTGTGTAAGCTTCATGTTAAGACCTCTGTTAAATATGCCTCAGCTGTAGCCCAAAGCCAAGGACTCCTATTCATAGAGGCACCCAGTTGTTCTCACCCAATAGCACAGAGGGAAACTGAGGAGGATGGTCAAAGCGGGTGAGGTATTTATAGTTGTGTAAATTATATTGTGTTGAAAGGCCAGCGTTTCACGTAAATAACTGAGGTGGAAGATCGTAAATCCACCAAAATCTTGGAGAAACAAAATTTTTTAATGAGAATGCAAACACCTAAGAGAGGCGTCCAAATCAAATTACAAACATTTGGTTTTTGGCAGGTATTTAGCCATTGCTGTGAACTTAAAAATTCAAGGTTGACCTGTTGCCGCTCCAGCTGGTGTAGAGTCCTGTCAGACTATGTGAGGGGTCTCATCTCCATCTGATGGGGTGTATGGTCAGCTTACCCACTGGCTGACTGTACATTATTTCACTTATTTTTCTGCCACTTACTATTCACCGACAAGCTGAAAATAGTATGGATCTAAAAATATTTTTTCTAAATTTAAAAAGTAATTTATTTTTAACAGTAAAAAGCTCACTTTAAATAGTTTTAAGCCCTGACACGGCATGTATGGGTCAGATCTGATACAAGGATTTCACTCACGGTTTGTTTTTTGTTTACATTTTCAACAGATGTAGAAAAAAGCATTTGTATGAGGACCTCTTTCCTCCTGTTGGTTTTCTTCAGTTTGATAGATGTCTCTTTGACTCAGCTCCTGTGTTTGTCTTCTTTCTTTCTTTCTTTCTTTCTTTCTTTCTTTCTTTCTTTCTTTCTTTATGTGTTCTCCGAGTGCCACGACTCCTTTCTGTATATTGATATTGTATTTTTGATGAGTGTGATCAGGTTGTCTGCAGTTTTGCCTTGGCTGTTCAGAATTCATAACCATTGTCAAGGGCTTTCGGCCAATTAGAATCAAGTATTTAACAATCAGGTGGTTAGTTGGAAGGCATTGCAAGTAAATGGGTTAACTTACAGCCCTCTCCTTACAGACTATTTTTGATGTCAGCTTTTGAAATGATTGACTCATTGGATAAAAAAAACATGTACAATTGCTGAATGGCTCTATCTAGCTGTCGTCTCTTAAGTTTAAAATTCCTCTTTTAAACCAAACCCATGCCTTAAAAACTAAATTCAAGTCTCGGTCTTGGCTTCAAGCATAAATAGCGACAGGTTGTTTTGATTGAGTTTGTTCCACTGTTGAGAAGTAGGAGGCAGACAAAGTTCAAGGATGATATAATTGATGGTCACCATTTTGCTTTGTGTACCCATCACTCACTGTTCATCTCTCTTAGCAGAGATATTGAGGATGCAAGGTGGTTCACCCCTCAGCTCTGGAAAACAATGTCATGTTCAAAAACAAGTGATTACATAACCAACCGATTATCGCCGTTAAAATTTGTTGGCATTTAATTTTGTCAACAGTGTTTTCGCAGACAATGTCAACTAATCTTTGCACCCTTTGCCAAATAGTGGTTTGATCTAAGGTCATAGATGTTTTGAATGTCGTCAAACCAGAGTAACTCTGTATTAGTCAGATAGCTGTGATCAAAGTAGGTGACGCTGTAGTATTGGCACATCTGTGAGACCTGTAAGAGTATTACAAACTGGCAACATACGTAATGAAAAATCTCACACAACATGGCGTAGGCATTCACTTAAGAGGATAAACAGAAATACCACATCAGACTGGGTATAGAGTGTTTTTTCCGGTCTATGCGAGTCTCTGGTCACAACAGTCAAGATGCAGCTCCTTAAAAAACCCTTTTGTTAGGATTTATCATCACAGAGAATAAAACAGATCATGTTGCACATTGAAATATTAAAAATTGCAGTTTTGAACTCTATTGTCAATTACTGGAGTGTCAAGTTAAATTTATCGTGTGTGTGTGTGAATTGAGACACAGACTATCCTGATATAACCTTATATTGGATGACCGATGTGAGTTGTTACAGCAAACAAAAGCAAATGTTTGCACACTTTAGATCAATATAGTCGTCGGCTAAATCCATGTTTGCTCTCCATAACTCCTCTCTGCTTGAATAATTGTTATGCCATATTGTTGCATTTACCATGTACTTCAAGTTTGTGTTCCCAGTGAGTGGTCACAGTATACTGTCGGGTAGTTTAGCTTCATATTTCATCTTACATGTTGAGAGTACTCTGAAATTTTAGTCTCAATATCATTTACTCAGGGGGCATTTGAAGTTGAACACAGTAATATAACAATGCAAAGGAAAACAACTGTCTGTGGCTTATAGCACAACAATCAGTATCATCACAAGGTACATTTTCTGGTAAATTATGTAGAAGCTGTTGCATTAATGTAGTGGCTGAAATAGCACTATGTCATACTGAGCGCAGTCATCTGATTCAGAGGATGAGGTTCGCAGCTGCACATAATCTGCTGTATTGTCCTACTTTTTGCTGTGTTAATGACACCCTCATCACGACTCTCTCCATTCACAAAGCAAATCCTGTCGTGATGGGAAGAACTGGCTCCGAGCCGGCTGTGGGTGTCTCAGGATTCAGAGAACATGTCTAATTTTTGCAGCATCCTCACAGCCAGCTTCACCAAGTCTTTTCATTGAGTTCCTCTCACCATACAAACTGAATAGGATCACTCTGTATATTCAGATTGGAAATATATGTTAAGAGCTGCAGCACCATGTGATTAGCGCCTTTCATTGGGCTTGTTACTTTTCCCTGTATCCTCCTCTGCTCCGCATATATCCATATGCCCTATCCAAATCATCTCATAGAGATTATAATCTTAATGAATTCGTGTACCTGGATGGCTTTATCCAACATTTGACAACTCAGGATGAATTACTGTTTAATCTGGGGATGAATGAGCTCTGGCTGTGTAGAAAGGTGATGTTCGGCTCTTTGCATCATGATATCTGACTCCCCCACTTTGTGTGTAGAGTGAGGCAGCTGCTGCTGAGAGAGAGAGAGAGAGAGAGAGTGAGAGGAAAAGCGTCCTTAAACGTGGGCTGTTGTGTAATCCCTCCCAGGGCCCCTTTGCTATTTTTGTGCCTGGGTCCGCACGTCACGGTTGGGTATTTTCTCTGGTGACTAGCTCGCATCAATAGATCTTCTAATGTACACCCAGTCAGCCAGCAGCTTCATGACTGATGGGACTTTACCTTGCTAATTTATTTCATTACCTTTACGCGGGCATGAGGAGAATGGAGAAATGGACTATGCAGTATGAGGAATGTCACATGTGACTGTCGATATGGGACAAGGGACTATTCAAATGTCAGGTTTGTATGAGGATTATGTTTGATATCTGAATGTCAGCTGCTGTATGAGTCGAGGCTTTCTACCCATCAGACCGTGTGCTTTATGTCATTCTGATCACAGTCAGGGCTGATGGTTGATACTGCATGCTATCTGCTGTGTTGCTCTAAGAGAACCATAGAGGGTTTTACCATCTAGCTTCTCTAAAGCTGGCCATCTCCTTATGATATTTATGGATTTGTTGTCAGCGTGAGGGTTCATGTCTGTTCCCTTTAATGGCCAACTTTGCCTCTAATGATGTAATGCAGCGGCATAATGATGCTCTCCGTATTTGCCAAGTGTTTGGTTATTGCCCCCTCTTTTGTATGAATGGTAGTATAGGATGTGTCCCAGGAATGTCTGTTGAATAAATCAATCTATTCATCATGTCATTTCTCCATCCGTGCAATCATACTGTACCACTGTCAGCCCACTATCATCCTGAAACACACCTACTGCCACCCACCTGCCTCCTGTTGTTGCACGTCATTGCTGCTGTGTCATATATTTTCGTAAAGGTTAGTGCTTGTTGCCATGAGCGAAAGAAATTTGTTGGGAGAGATCTGCGGATACAGGCTTCACACATGAAAGTCTGAATATGTTGAGGGACTTGTCAATGAGACTCTGAATATGTCGGCTCTGCTCCCCTCTCTGTCGTGCTTAGTTCAAAGGTATGCATTGTTTCTGAGGGTCTTATCTCGCTGTCACTCTGCACCCATATTCCTCCTTCCCTTCTCTTGTAGCTTACAGAGGATGGAAACTAAGCAATGAGGTCAGACCGACCTTGAAAGGGAGCTCCCTATCAGGCCTCTGAATTTTGTTACCCCCAGGCACCCCACTTAGTTTACCTCGGTAAACCTCCCCGTTGAAACATGGATCGTTCCAGTCTGAGGCAGCCCTCACCATCCTTCATAAGCACTCATATTTTTTCTCTATCCAGCTCTGAAAGAAGCCATTAAATCTGTTTGAAAGCAGAGCTGCAGAACCATAACATCCAAAAGAGGCAAATGGGCATCTGCAAAAAAAAAAAAAAAAGTATATATATAAAGATAAAGAAAGAAATTGGGATGTATTTTCTTTACAGCTGCTTTCAAGCATCTCTTCGCATCTCGAGTCACCTTGGATTTGTATCCTCTGGTTTATGCCTGAGGAGTGTGCGGTGTGCTAACAAAGAAAGTGAGGGAGAGAGAGAAAGAGAGTGAGAGTCGGAGGATGTCCTAATTAGGGGGAACTCAGAGGGTTTGAACCAGATAATCTTACATAACCTCGTTAGGGAGGACACAGCATTTGATACTGAGAAGATGGAAACGACGTGCCCTCAGAGATCCATCCCCGTGGTATGAGGCCAAAGTGTAGTAGCAAAAGCAATTCACTTTAACCACAGGGATGATGATGATGATGATGATGATGATGATGACGATGAGCTGGGAATGTTTATGCTCTGGGTAGTATGTGGTCCCGGGCTGCTACGAGTGGAGTTGATGACACTTGTAACACAGACGAGTTTGAAGGTTTGATCCCTGAAGAGCGAGGTACCTGATCACGTATGGTGATCCTAGCTTTGTGTTGAAGACTCTAACACAGCATTTTGCTATTTTAACAAAAACGCTGCATCAAAAGGGGGGCAGGTGGACTTCTCACACTTCATCACACATGGTTTGGCTGTAGCATCTGTGTGGTGGAATGTATTAATTTGAAAAACAAACATTTTTCCACATTTTTTCCCCATCTTCTGCAGGCTTCAAGTATTTTAAATTAGCTGATAATTCCTGGCATACAAACCTCTATCACTGATGAAGTACACCGAGTTTGCAGGAAATATACAGAAGAGTTTTAAATGTAGAAAAACCTGGGTGGTTTTCTAGACCATATTTCCACCTTCATGTGACGTTGTGCTCTTAACTTATTTCACACTAATGCGCTTCAGGTTGAGTCGTTAATGTTGATAACCTGAAAAATTGTTGATATTTCACCTCTCCCAGAATGACGACAGTAGACAGTGAAAATCGAGAGAGAAGTAAAGAAAGCTTATTCGACAACATGTTCGCTAATATCAAAATACAGCTAACATTAGCACTCAGCCGCCTCCAGGTTAACTTTTTACTTTTGCAAGTTATATTCAGAAAGGAGGAATGTTTGCAGAAGGAAAATCTTTTAGCTAGCCAGCAGTGTAATAATCAAGTTTGTTTTGATGGTGTTACTCTGTTGACTCCCAGAACAGCCTCTGCAGTTTACCGAGAGCCGCTGAACGTTAATGCTGTTCCGATTTCGGCTAATGGTGAAATGTCAACGGTCAGATTATTGACATTTACAACTTGTGATCGTAAATACAGCAGTAAAACACGATTATCACAATTTAGCCTCCCACCCCGAGTGTGACAGCATATAAAAGTGACATTTGTGGGAAAATGGTCCACTGAGCATCCTTTCCAGCCAAGCACACATCGCTTATAAATGTAGGCATCTGATTTCTCAACAATGCAGTATGATTCCACCCAACAATTCTTTAACATGTTAACAGATATTGGTACTAAAATGAGCGAATACCGCAATTAAAGGTATTTCACATTGACGAAAAGAAGCTAGTTTTGTGTTTGTTTAGAACCACTTAAGGCGAGCATAACAGAATAAACATGTGTGAACTTCATCAGGATTGAGACGGGGTTTTAGAAACTGCGACAAAGAAAATATTGCTGTCATTGGGATCATAACTTTTATATTTGAGTTTTATTGGAGAGGCATTTGGGAAGCTGTGTCATAGAGAGAATTTGAACTAAGTTGGAACCGCTGATTGGATTGTCGAGGGAATTTTGAAACTCGTCCTGATAACATTTTAGCGCCTTCATGCTGTCCATGTTTTTTTTCATACAACCATATTTCAGTCGTCTAACTGCCATTTCTGTCTGGTTTCTTTCAGATGACCCTTCCCAGCAATCAATTCACACATATGGTAATATCACTACAGTTACATAACAGATAGTGTTCTTGAAAATTGATCCCAAAGAAAGTGACATTGGATTCATGGAGTCACTTGAAGTCACTGCTGGGGTGAAAAGCTCTGCCGAGGGTCAGGACAGAAATGTTGCACAGAAAAAATGCACTTCAGAGCCAGCGCGGGCTAAAAGGAGTCCGTCTGTTGAATCAGAAGGCAAGGGGTGGCACCAACAACTGCAGGAAGGCCAGAGAAGAGACTTGAGTGGTTTCAAAAAAATGTCTGACTCAGGGAAATCACTGCAATTAGAAGATCAGCACTCCCAAATCCAGTCCACAAGCCATCAAGACCACGAGGTGTCTCCGTATCCAGTGCAGTCCACAAAACAGTTTCCCAGCGGCAGACAAAAAACTCTATGCCAGTTAGGTTCAGCACCGTCACCAGGACCTGCGTCTCACAGGAAGTCCGCCGGTTCACCTGAAGTCCAACAGTGCTCTCATTCAGGGATGGATCAGCTGTCAGAGACTGTGAGCAAGGTGGAACAGAAACCGCAGAAGCCCGGGAAGTATGTTTGCGATTACTGTGGGAGGGCATGTGCCAAACCCAGTGTGCTCAAGAAACATATTCGCTCGCACACCGGGGAGCGGCCCTATCCGTGTGTCCCTTGTGGGTTTTCCTTCAAAACCAAGAGTAATTTATACAAACACAGAAAGTCCCATGCTCACTCAGTCAAAGCTGGAACAGTGCCACTCTCAGAACTTGGTTCTTACAATGCCAATACAGACCAGGGGTCTTTTGAAGGGGAAGGAGAGTTATTCTCTGATGCTGAGCAAAGCACGGACACGGACGAGGACACTCTTAATGACCCGCTGCTGCTGCTGGACTCTCCAGTGGAGGGATCAGATAACACTGCTGTAAAAGTACTAAATCTCATTGCTCAGAAAAAGGGAGCCACGTCGATGTCGGCTCAGGATGGTTCATCCCAGACCCAAGAAATCAATGCACCTCCTGCTGCTGCTGAGGCTAGCCGTGCAATTCAATCTTGCACCATCAAACAGAGACTCGCACTTCGGCTGTCTGAAAAAAGAAGCAGCGACTCGGAGCACAATCTGTCCCTACCGAGTCAGTCTAGCAAGGGCAGCACGGACTCTGGCTACTTCTCACGCTCTGAGAGTACTGAGCACCAGACTGGTCCTCCCAACACCAACGCGAAATCCTATCAAGAAATCATGTTTGGAAAGTGTTACAGACCGAGCCCTAAACAGACAGCAGCCTTTGTGGCCTGTAGCACGGACTCTGTTGAGTTTACCACAAAACGGGCCGAGAAAGGTGTTTCCCGAGTTTTTACCCAAGAAAAAGACACCGTTGAGTCCATCAAGATAAACACTAAGTCATTCACGAGAGAAGAGCTAAAAGAACCCCAGTTAGATTCTGGCTCTGATGTGGGGCTCCTGATCAGAAGCAACTCGATGCCAACAGCCTCCGCGGTTTGTCTGACCATGCCTCAAGCTCTTCGAGGCAGCCACTCCTTTGATGAGAGAACAAGCACTGGAGGCAACAGAAGACTCAGGCGGCAAGCTGCTTTTGAGCTCTCTGCACACGAAGGCCACACAGACACCGACACCGGCCATGGAAAGATGAGCGAGGGTGGCAATGCACCTTCAGGATTGGAAATGGAAAGTTTTCCCTCTGCGGCAACTAATATGAGCCATCAGAGACATGCAATAGAACTGGCAACCAGGAAGCGTCGGAAAGAGAAGAGGGAAGAAGAAGATTTACCAGGTCAATACGAGGTTCACCATGAACAGAGTGAAGAAATGTTAGATTTGAGCAAAGACTATGATTCAAAACAACCCGTGGGTGGGCTTATGGCTTTAGGGAAAGGACGCTCTTCGAGTATGCTAACACAGGTGGACAAGTGTGACATGGACATATCACTCAGTCTTGAAATGTCTGGTCGAAAAACCTTAGGGAACGTAATTTCTGTTATCCAGCATACAAACTCGATAAACAGGCCCCTCACTGAACAGGCCGATTCTTACAAGTATCAAGGGCAGAGGCTGGAGAGTATTTCAACATTTCAAGCTATGGACGCAAGTGAATCATATGAGATGGACAGGACCGAGAGTGGGCTCAGGCAGTCGTTTCAAATAGGCCCCAAACTTGTGCGACAGCCCAACATTCAAGTCCCTGAAATTAGGGTCACGGTGGAGCCTGACAGTCCCGAAAAAGCTCCAGAGGTGCAGGTGAAGGAGCCAGAGAAGCACGTGGAGGAGTTTCAGTGGCCTCAGAGGAGCGAAACTTTAGCACAATTCCCTCCGGAAAAGCTCCCTCCAAAGAAAAAAAGGCTTCGCTTAGCTGATATCGAGCACTCCTCCGGTGAATCTAGTTTTGAGTCTGCCTGCACCAGTCTCTCCCGCAGCCCGAGTCAAGACAGCAACTTATCATACAGCTCCACCTTCTCGTTTGACAGGGAGGATAGCTTGAAGTCAGTCTCTCCAGCCAGGCAGGATGAATTTGGCAAACCCCTAGAGCTCTTAGCTGTGCCAGGGAGCGGGCACTCCCTCTCTGTGCTTAACCAGCGTCAACAACATGAAATGAGACGCTCCTCCTCAGAGCAGGCGCCTTGTAACTTGCGCAAGGAGTTCCCAGAGGTACGCAGCATATCATTTGACTATGGCAGTCTTTCTCCAACATCCAAAGTTAGACACGTGGACATCAGTGTCGGGCACTCGGCTGGGAGGGAAAGAAGGAGGGGAAACTTGGTGCGGCAGGAGTCGTTGAATATGGACACTGAGGTAACACAAGTCCCATCACAAGTGTTTCCGCAGCACTTCAGCACCACGTCTCCCCCATTCACAGCAGTTGCTGTTCTGCCACAGACTTTGCCAATATTCTCCACCGGGAATACATTTCCCCAGCTGTCACATCCGAGCCTGTTAGTTCCTGTAAGAATACAGACTCATGTGCCATCCTTTGGCAGTATCACATACACTTCAGTATCACAGATAATTGACAATCAGTATGACAGTGTTTGCTCCATTACATCCACCCCTCAGAATCCGACTTCACGTCTGTCTGGAAATTTTGATTCTCATAATTTATTAGCTCACACAAGGCCATCTTCCACGCACAACCTCAACGTTGAAGCTCTTGATCTGTCGTCGGCTAAACTCAAGACCGGCATCCCTCTCTCTCTGACCTCAAGAACTATCTCGACCACTAACGCCTCCAGTGGTGGCACAAACAAACGGATGCTGTCCCCGGCTAGCAGCCTAGACCTTTTCATGGAGGTCAAGCAGCAAAAACGTGTGAAAGAGGAAAGGATGTTTGGCCAAATCGTGGAGGAGCTGAGTGCCGTTGAGTTGGGAAAATGTAATCTGAGCGAAGAGAAGGGGCAAAGGTCAGAGAAGCAGGGTGCATCAACACTTCACGCTCAGGATGACTCACATAGGAGTAAATTTCTCACACTTCAGCAAAAAGTGACAGAGCCAACTGACCACGGGCTTGAGTCAAGTATGGAAAGTAGCTCCCTGGAAACCAGCTCACCATCCTTCTCCATGATATCAGTCGGTGAAGTGAAAGAAGCTGGCATAGACAAACGAGTGCAGATGGATACGGTGGCACAGCTGGTTACCAGTCAAGATATCCTGATCTCAGACACGGAGCATTCAAGACTGTTATCTCAGTTTCCCAGTCTTCGCACGACGACAGGTGTGAGCTGGTGTTATCTCAACTACACCAAGCCGAGCTGCTCTCACACCAATGCCCCTTTCTTCTCTGTGTACGCCACCTGGTGTGTGAGTTCCCACAACCCCAACCCTCTGGAACTGACAACCAGTGCTGCTCTGGCTCTGCTGCGGTCCAAACAGAGGGGAGAAAAGGTTATATACACAGTGGCTGCTATGTCTCAGACGGGGACGGGGAAACTGGTTTCATCCCTCATCCTGTGGAGGCAGACCATGGAACAGGTGAAAGAATCATCCCATTTTTAAAACACATTTAACGTATAAAAAAGTAGTAGTTTGGGAGTTAAAGTAGTCACCCCTACACCCCAGCTGCAGCAGTTTCCGGTAACACTTTACAACAACCATGATTTATAAATGGTAAAAAGATAGTTTATTAATGTAGGTTAAAAGTTTCTTTACCATTAACAAGCAATGAAATTATGATTAATAATCATAAATTATTAATGGGCTATTTTTTAAAGGTTTATATAGGGTTTAAATATTGGTTGTAAAACATTTAGAATAAAATATGTGTCAGTAGCGCTTTGTAAATGATTAAAAAGTGTTTTATAAACAACCTATAAACATTACTTAGATGATCATTGTAAAGTTAGGGTTAGGTAAAATTGATTATTGTAAAATTTGTAATTTGTTAATGGTCTATATGCTATTTATAAATGATGATAAAACACTAATAAACTATCTGCTTACCATTTATAAATGGTCTATTGACCATTTGTAAGTTATGGTTAGTGTAAAGTGTTACCCAGTTTCCCCCCCTTGGTAGGCTCAAATGTCAGCTGTAGGTTAACTGTAGAAAAACTTCAAAGTTTGAAGGACCTTATTACCTTAAATAAAGAACATTGCACACTTAAAATCTTTTGGCAGAGGATTCAGCTGCTGTTGGCAAGAAATCATTTTTCTGCCACTTGATGTAATGAGCTTTTTATTCATCAGCCGCTCTGCAGTTACCATGAACAAACAGTGTCTTAGCAGTGGAAAAACTTGAAGGAAGCTCTGCCTCTGTGGATTGGATCTGTGCTGATAAATAAGACAAATAATAATGTTGTAAATTCACGGCCAGTATAGATCTCTGGTAGTAGAAACATGGAAACCAACAAATTAATTATTAGTTACCTGTACTGGGTTTCGTGTGCGTCAGCAGATGCAGTATAAATCGTGTTTACAAAACACCCTCTATACCACTACGTGTGACTTACAATACTGGAAGCATCACATTACATTGTCGGTGCAGTGTCCATTAAAAAGGGGGTGTTAACAAAATGTTTATTCATCCGATTCAGCTGCAGAGGAAACCAGAGCCCAAAGAGGTGGACATCACTTACGGGAGGAAGGTGAAAGACACCAGCTGCAGAGTGAAAACCACCAAGGAGGAGTGGAAAGAGAGGGAGGCGTCTACAACCCAAACAGTGCCAACACGTATTAAGATCTTCGAGGGAGGGTCAGTAAAGATATTAGTTGTCATAACACTTGTCATTTCTGCTGACAGCGAATACAGCAGCTATATTAGGCTGGTAGTCCCAATGCTATGATGAAGTCTATGTCCTTCTAACTGATCACGATTGTTGTAAGTGTATTCTTTCTTTTTAAAGTCCAACTCTGATTGTTTTTTTTTTTACTACTTAAAGTTTTCTAAGTGGTCTCTAAATTTTAATTATGAAGTTTTTTTTCTTTTTTAAACCAAAAATCACGTCACCTGTGTCGTTTTCAAGGGCTTTTCTCCTGCAGAGCTGCAGTAGATCATTTGCATTTCGCCTCTGAGTCGTGGGCAGAGACAGCGCTGCTCTGCACACTCCTCTTCATGGTAGCTTGTAACCCAGTTATGCCAGTGTAGTAGAAGTAGCAGGTAATATCGGAGCCATTCAGCTCTCAGACACTAATGTCTTAAGGGACACGATGAAAGTTAATATCATGATTAGCTTTCTTACGAGCATTTCTTGCAATCCGATAACGCACACGTTTGTTCCGCGATCATCTTCCCTATTTCTCCGAGTCTGGCTAGCATAGCGGGGCTGCGGGGGCGGAGCTTGCAGTTGTAACGTAGGAAATCTCACTATATCTGAATGTGGAAATACCCAGAAATGCAATTTCACACTTAGTTTTCTCGTAATGTGTCCTGTAGCATTAGAAAAATGCCATATGAACAACAAGAGGCAACAAGAAAAATGTGATTTTCATTGCACTGGGTCTTTAACAAAACTGTACTTATTGTTCAGGTTTAAGTCCAATGAAGATTATGTGTACGTGAGAGGTCGAGGACGGGGCAAATATATTTGTGAAGAGTGTGGCATTCGCTGTAAAAAGCCCAGCATGCTGAAAAAACACATCAGGACACACACAGACGTGAGACCATACATCTGCCGGGTGTGCAACTTTGCATTTAAAACTAAAGGTAACATAATGGCGGTCCATGAGTCATTGATTTACAAATATTTTGACCCTAATTTAGAAAACAGTCTAACCTTTTATTACTCGCTCGTTTATTTACAGGAAACCTGACGAAACATATGAAGTCAAAAGCCCACATGAAGAAGTGTCTGGAGTTGGGAGTGTCAGTGACTCTGGATGAGACAGAGATACAGGAACATGGTGAGTCACTGTCATACGTTCTCACAGGTGTATGAATCACAGCTGATAAGATCCGGCTAAACCTCTTCATCTTTTTCAGTCGAAGACAGCCAACAAGAATCCAAGACAGAGGTGGTGGTCCCGACTAAACACCAGTTCTCAGATGCAGAAGACTCTGATGGCATGGATGAAGAAGCTGATGAAATCGATGAAGAGGATGATGAGGAAGATGACTACGAAGGCGACTCCACTCCGAAGCTGCGCTCGAGAAGCACGAGTCCTCAGCCCTGCGGAGTCACCTCTCTGTCAGTCACAGCGACCGCTGCTATCCACGGCTGTTCCCTCTCCTCTCTGCCCGACCCAGATGTCCGTCAGCAGCCCACCGGTATGCGAACGGGTCTGATCCCAACGACGGATCAGAGAGAGAAGTCTATGGATGAGGATTCTCTGGCTATGCTATCTCCAGAGCACGCCAGCTTTCTTTTGGACCCTTATTCTTCTTGTCTGCTCTCTCCTGGCTGGGAGTCCCCCATTAGGGAGCCCTCCCCATCTCGTCTTCGTTACCCGTCCCCAAGAAGAGAAATCTCCCCACGTGGTCGCTCCTCACCTAGATGGGATACCTCCCCGCTAAGGCCGGGTTCGCCCAGCTTGACACCCATACAGCACCTTTCCCCGGCCTCGATTGAACGTCCCATGTCTCCCGGTTCAGAACTCGCAGGGAAGTCCTCAGTTAGAGGTCGGCAAAGAGTGGTGCTGAGGGCGGTTTCGCCACGCAGAGGCTCGCACCAACACAGAGGCAGCGGGGATAAAATCAGACACCAGGCGAAGATGGAAATGGCTCAACAACAAGCGGCTTTTGAAATGGAGATGGTATGTATGACGATGATACACCTCAACCTCTTTAGGTCAATTAGCCAATAAGCAAGGTATCTCTTGAACCCAGGACATCATAATACCGGTTTCATCTTACGATTGTGGCCAGAACTAACTAGTCTAAGGACAGAGCACTTAATTCCTACAGGCAATGCCACAACACCTGATAACATGTCCCTTTATCAGAAACCCTGATAATTCTAAGTCTCTCTAAACTTTAAACTCCAAAACCAAATACTGAAAACCACATCCTCGACTTTAAAGGCATGGATGACGATCTGAGAAGCAGTTGAAAAAAACGGAGCCGTTGAGGCAGATTTGAAAAAAGCGTCCCTCCCCCCACACACACACCTCTACCCTCGATTCTCCACAATAACTTCCCCCCAGAACCTGTATCGCCCTTCCTACGACACACCCCCCACAAGCCGGCCAGCAGAAGATCCTACGCTAGCTTCAAATAGGATTCATGCAGGATTGCGAGTGACTAGCGACAGCTCTGCTAGCGAGCACGGTCTGCAGCTGCCTGGACAGATACCGTTGAGATTGCAGAGACTCATAAGAGTTATTTATGTAACATGTCCCTCGGTAAAAGTCCAAAATTACCTGTTCAACAAAACTCTGCTGTCTCGGCGTCTGTTTTCAGGCCCAAATCCTGGCGGAGCTTTCTCCACCGCTTCTAAGGATGACCCAATGTTTATTCGAGTTAGATTCCTCGCTTGGTCACATTTCCTCTTCGACCCTGCCCTTTCTTCTGTCGGCTTGTGTTTTCTTCCCACTTTTGGCGGTGGGGCGAGCAGAAGTGGTTTCTTTTTGCGTCCTTCTCCATCACAGCTCCTGTCGCTAAGCTGCTACGCTACTTTTAGCCGCTCAGGGTGGGAGGGGACAATTTAGAACTACGGGAGAGGGGTGTGTCGAATACAGCGAGGTGATTGGATGGAGAGGCGGAGCAGGAGATTGACCAATACGAGCTGTCCAGGACGGCTGGCTCCCATTGGTCGATGTTTTTGCAGCCCTGAACAGATTTTTTCCATTCTTTTTCTCTTCACTTTGTGGAGATCACACTATAGGACCATGATCGCCATATAAAAGAGGTTCATAATAATTACCAATCGCTCCAATCGTCAACCACGCCTTTAAGTGCTCAACAATATGAGTGACTCAATGAAAAAATGCGCAACTCTTTGAGGGAGTTACTCAGCCTGCTTTTGTATGAAGTGTCTTTTGATCCGTTTTTTATTGGTTTATGTTTACATAAATTTGAATGACTCACCACGACCTGATTTGTGGTATGTGTGTGAGAAATCATCTTGCTGATATTGAAACTGCTCCTGACGTTGCCAATATGTCGTTTCAGGATCAAAGGAGCAGCTTGGCCTCCAGTCTGCCTGGCGCTGCCAGTTCTCATCACCAGAACATCCTCAGCCACCTCCCACTTCACTCCCAGCAGCAGGCCCAGAGTTTGCTCCCCGTCGGTCCTGTCGGAGGACTCCAGATGTTACACTCTCCGCCTTCCTCCGGCACTGATGTCACCCCTTCCTCAGCGCCAAGACCCCAGAGCAGCGAGGGCCAGCGTTGCAGCAGCAGGGAGGGATTTGTCCATGGGCTTGAGACGGGAGGAGAGGACATCAGAGGCCAGGACCAGCTGGCCGCTCAGGAGAAATCCCTCGACCTCAGTGTCAGGGACAGTGGACAGGAGGAGAATGTCCAGACCTGCTTGAAAGCCATCGCCTCATTGAAAATCACCACAGAAGACCCTCACTGAATCCTCTTTTTTGTGTCTTCTTGATATGAAGCAGGAACAGACGCTCTTCTGCAACATCTGCAACCTTGTTGTCCTCTGCCCTTTAGGCATATAACCCCATCTTTATCCCATTAGAGGCAATATAATAACACTTCCTCTGGTCTTGAACACACTCCAGACAGCTCATTTTGAACCTGAGCAGACATCAAACCTTCACAGTGAAGAAAAAAAAAACTCTCACCTGTCTGCTCTGCTCTTCTCTGCAGAGATTCTTTGAAATTACTGGACGAGCAGCAGGATGTCTTGGGAAGTGGAGAATCATTGTTGGGTGCAGGTGCAATACGGAAAGATATTATGCTAATATGCCTTTGTTTGACAAAGTAGTTTGCGTACAATTGCACATAAATTATATTTATGGATTCTGTACAAATGTCCTTAACATGTACTCCTTCTTAGATGCATACAAACAGTGTATTTTACTGTATGTGTACTTTCAAAATAGACTGTTGTTTAATGTAATCATATCAAGATGTGATGCAGTAGTGCAGTAAATGAAGACTATTTATAAGGGGAAAAGTATGTGTACTATGAAACAGTCTGACCAAATTTTAAGTAGACGCTTCTTGTGCAGTTTGGTGCTTCTAATCAAGCAGCAAGGGTTTGTGCCTTTATTTTGCTTTTCATCATCTGTTATCAGAGGGTTGTTGTGGATTAAAGGACAATGTCGAGGTACTCTTTATTCAGAAACGTCTGCACCGCGGCGAGAGGTTTCTCAAAAGGAAAGCTTTTTATTCTGTCAGGTCTTCTTCTGACAGACGGTCGCAGCTTGATTTATGTGAAACAATCTTAAATAATGTTTCTTATGTTGCATTTCTCTTAATGTTGTGGTTTTTATCTTGGTAAAAATGCATGGGATTTGCTATTGCACAAAAATAGAGGAAGTTATTATGTAATTATGAATACTGTAAGATGTATTTATATATTAGAACGTGAGCACTTATTGATACTGGTAAATATTTGACTACTATTTATATGGTATATCTGTACTTATGCAGCAGTGATGCAGTTATGCAGTGAGCCACGCTGGCATTGCTTTCGATCTCATGTATTTGCTTTAATTAAACTGCTTTTTTTTTCTTTCTTATACAGATGACCATAAGCGTTTTATGAGTTTTGACGATGCACTTTCATCCTTTCATCTTTGATGTTGAACTGGCTCGGTCAGTGGAAACAGGGCGGGGGGGGGGGGGGGGGGGTGAAACATGTTACGTTCTCTCGTGGTTTTGAAACATTCCAGCCGTTTTTTGTCACGTTTCTCATTTTGTGAAACATGTTGCACACGATTTTAAGGGGCTATGGTGATGATGATGATCAGTCAAAGTGTGTTTTCTTTCTTTCTTTGCACTTCAAGTGTAACTGGATAAATCAATATCACTCACTATTAGTAATACTCGAGTAATGACGTTATAACAGCGTGAGTTGGTTGACTGTAACTGTGTTTCAACTCAAAATGTAAGTAATCATTCACCAAATGCATTACTTCTTTGTAAATATACCTGTATTTTTATTATTTAAACTATTTTTGCAGTGTTGAATTCTGAAAACTTTTTAATGCGGATTGTTTATATCTCTTTGAGAGGTAAAATGTCCGCAGCAGGTGACGGAGGTGTAAAGAGGGCGAAAATAGCACAGTGTTGATCCCTGACACCGTGTATCTCATCTTCTAAAAAAAAAAAAAAAAGTGTATTCACGTCACATCTTCAAGTGGTTACGTTACCAGTTTGGGAAATAAGATTTCAAAATCTGAAAACACTTTGTTCACACATGTTTACATAAAAAGAAAAATTCAAAGGTGCACTGCTTTAATTTCTTTCCCTTTCTGAAGATGTATGTAGCTTTGATTTCACGGTTATGTAATTTTATTTGTCGTGTTTAAGATGCAGAGTGCTCATGAAATGTGAAGGGAAAAGTGAAGCCTTTTTTGCTTTTGCATACAGTATGTATTCAGATTGTGTTTGTGTTTTGTTTTTATTGTGTACTCATATTAACTGAACTGCATTGTGCCTCTCATGTCTATGAAATTCCCTGTAAAACACACAGAGGACGAATCATTTTACCTCTTAGCTAAAATTCTTAGAGGAGGGGAAAAAAATCCTCAGTAGCCAATCTGTTGTTTCGCTTTTTGCATCAAAACCGGCAAGTCAAGACGGAGTGCCTCTTTTATGCTATGGGGACTTTATTGTTTGGTGCTCTACTTTTTCAGATTAAATTCAAAGTTGTTTTAAACGAACATACTTCTGACCCAAGGGTGTGTGTGTGTTGCAGCTTATTTCATGTTCAAAATAACTCGCATACCTTCATGATTGTTCGAATCAGAGCACACAGGGAGGGTTTTTTTTGGGAGGAATCATTCACATTTTATCTTGAGGGGGAGTGTGGAAAAAAAAAAAAAAGTATCTCCAGAGTGAAATATTGCAGCGACTCCTACCAGTGACATCCTCTGGTGAAAAATTATTACTGCAGTCATAACATGGAACAAGAAAAATAAATGAATGCTTCCAAAAATAGCTCTCACCTTGTGGATAATATTCATACACTTTCAGGTTGCATCAAATTCAGCCAGCCACCGCTGTGTATCAGCTGCACCTAGACTGACTACTGCGTATGTTTGGCGTGTAAAATGACTGTGATCTTAGAGCGAATTATCTTCTCCGGGTTGGGAAGGAGGTCTGTTCTAATTCTGGCCAATCAGAGAGACAGTTAATTCTCTCTGCTGCTCAGTGACTGGGCCTGTCAGGCTCATTTGTTAGAATAATTATATGGCTGTTAACAGCATCCCAGCTTAAAATAAATTTAGTGCTGCGTTGGTTTAAAGCAGCATAAAATGGCTCCTGAAGATCTGAATGTAAAACCATGAAACATGATTTTTCTCATGCAAACAGCCACGCGCTGAAGGTATATTCCTATTCAGAATGCAGCCAAGGGGGACTGGGATTTTGCAAGTGAGGCGTCCTGGACAGAGAGACACAAACGGTATCTCTGTCCTCCCTCTCTCTGCTCAGAGTGAGCCGTGCTCCTCTGGTTTATTTTGAGGTGCTCTTATCACAGCTGTTGTATCTGTGGTGGCAGCCTGTCCAAGCCCCTCGACACTCTTCCTTTTCCCTCTCCGGCCCTTGGTCCTGGTAAGACCCTGTTTGCTCACTATCCTTCCTCTTCACTGACATTTCCTTTCAAATAGCGTAGAAATAACCTAAAATTCTGTGTTTCCCAAAACTGATTCTTGTTCTTAAAAAGTACTACTAACTGTGCAAACCTGATGGCTTTCTAGGGACGAGTTGGACCATTTGGGACATGCTTGTGTCACATGTTAACAGAGGAGATACATTTGGTTGAGATTTTCGATATATTCCTTTTAATTTGTTGATCTGTTTGTGCACCACCACTCTGCAAATATCAATGCTTTCTTTTTCTGTCATGTATTTTTAGTCGGTTTTCCATTTGGATCTCTGCCTCCTTTGGAAATATTGAATATAGGAGGGGTCACTTACATAACACTGATATTTTAATAGTTGTAAATGCAGCTTTTGTATGCACAACTGCTGACATTGACATCAATAAGAGTGGATTAGAAATAAATAAATAACTTGCCCATATAAAGAAGTTCCTAAAATAGCCTGTGGGCTCTGGAACAGGTGCCATGTGCTCTGCTTGTGAAAGCATAGGCAGTGTGAAGGCTGCACTAATTTTATGCACGTAAACAGGCTCTGGCTCTGAGCCTGCACAACACAAGAGGGACAGACACCAAGGCTCCATAACACTAAACGCTGTGCACTGTCGTATAAAATAGTAAGCCTCTCTATCACTCATATTAACCAGGGTTAAAGCACGTTCTCCTGCAAAAGGCGTGATGTTCCTGATTTGCATATTATGCTGCCCGGACAAGTAAACACCAAATGTTTGCAGCTGCCACAGTAATTTAAGTCTCCACTGTTTGCATGTAGTTGCTTCAGTGCAGAATAGCAGCTGTTACAGAGCTGTCCTCAAAGGCACCATGGTGGTATCTGCTTATTGTACAGAGAAAAATATGCATTTCTTTTAGTTTTGCAGCAACACCTATCATAGATGATCGGTGTTGGCTGGTTCGATAAATTTTTGAAGATAGTGTAAGGATTCCTGGAATAAAATCTTGTTAATAAAGAGAGCCAGCAGGAGACCATGGATGAGAGCTAAACTAGAAAGTCATCTCGTGTAATTTAGCGAAATCCAACAAACTCAGTCTTAAAAGAAAGTTCACGCTCTAGTTGAAGATTTCTCTGCATGATTCTCAGCTGAGGCACATACATATTCAAGCTCAGTCTTCTTCTCAGAGTTTTTTGATAGAGTGAAAAATGCTGTCCAGACAATGGGCTGTGTCATTATGCAACAATGAAGCAATGAGAGCCAAACACACTCACTCTCTCTGAAGACCCACTTTTATTCGGCTTGTCTATTTTTCTGAATATTGAAGTAAGTTGGTGAAACAGCAGCATTCGGTTCGCTGATCCTGAAATACTGTTGTTGTAAAAATCATTGTCATGACAGCAATTACTCTTTTTGGTTTGTGGTCATGGTCCTGCAGTTAAAACACCTGCACCACCAGGTAACAACAAATCTCCTGCTCTCCAGGAAGCATTTACAGGAATTTTCTACCATCTGTCCTTTGAGTTGTCAGGGTTGTATTTTTGTCTCTAACAGCTAATCAGTGTGCTGCAGACGAAAAAAACAAGTGCCGTGTCCAAGGCTAGTGCAAAAATATCTTATTCTGAAGGCAAAGTAGAGAGATGAAAGTGTGCATGCTGAAACGGAGAATGGTCCTTTTGTTGGACGTCTTTAAAATAACCCAAATTACACGGTAGTGCTCACCCTGTCTGCGGTGAGTCTAGCTGGTTCTAGCCGCCGGTTCTCTGGTCTGTTTCTCTACAAAGGGTCCAAACTGACTGGAATCCCCTTCAGCTGACACTCACTAATGACAAGAACCTCATATAACCCGTGCAATCTCCATAGTAGTCACGAAAGATAGTATAAGAAAATATCCTCTATCTATCTAGTGTGTGGTCTAAACGAAACTGCTCAAAATGGCATGATCTGGTTTAGCTGCTTCTTTTTCATGTTTTCAGTTTTCTTTATGCTGCTGAACTCAAACATTATTGCACACTCTCTGGGAAATCTAAGTAGAGAAGACCAATCATTACTTCTGATGTGCTTGGTCTTCTTTGACACGATTGAAGTAAAGCAGACAAGCCATACTGGTAGCCACTAAGGATGCACCAATCCTCTTTTTTCACCTTCCAATACCGATATAGATATCTACAGTTTAGTATCGGCCAATACCGATCCAATTCCGATACAGAAAAGCTGGGCTAAATTACAACCGCCCCTCGGAGTGTTTACTGCGCAGGTATTGCAAGTGGCCGTCGACCTTATAGGCTGAGTTAGTGTGATAAAGTTCAAGATAGCAGACCCCTTTGCTCTCTCCATTTTGAAAACAATTTTGGCGTGTTGGTGTGTTTACTTGTGGATGGCATATAGCATAGAGATCGACCCCTATGCATGGGGCCCATTGTCATGATACCCGATCTTAGAATTTTCCTCAGTATCGAGACCAATACCGATATCAAATATCGGATTTCTGCATCCCTGGTAGCCACGGTCAGGTTGGTCAGGTAAAGTGGAGGTGTTCCTTGACCATCGTTTTCTCGTAAGCATGCAAAAAATGGACTTTATATGATAATCCTGAGATGGACTCCTCAGAGTAAATGCCAGGATGAGAAAAAAAACAAAACAGTTTTATTACAGAAACCAAATGTCTCCCTCTCAGCCCTTAGCTCAGAATAATGGAGAGCATCCCTGCACCCACGGGTCCTGAGGCGTCACCAGCAGAGGGTCACCACATCGACCTGACAGAAGACCTGGCCCAGCAGCTGGAGGACATCATTAACACCTACCAGGATGCTGAGATTCCCGCTGAGCCAGAGGACGCAGAGGAGGTCACGGCCGTCAAAGAGGCAGACACCCGCAAGGACCAGAAACTGGAGAAGAAGATGCTCAAAAATCTAGGTGTTTGTTGTTTTTTTTTTCACTAAAAATGTCTCATTGATCAGAGCTGGAGTGGGTTTTATTCAGCTCCGTCAGCAGGAGTCCAAGTAGTACTGAAAGTGATAGGTGTGTAAGTAGAGCTGAAATGCTTGTAAGTGCATCCATCTGCAACAGACGAGCAAGTAAAAGAGAAATTCCACCATCTTTTTACAGAGGTGGATTTCCTGTAATCCCATTGATTGTTTATCAGTTAATCTTTTAGAGATGGTGAGCTGATCTGAGGCTCTTAATCATGCGGAAGAATTCAAGCCCAGACCTGACTCGTAACTCTTTCTGTTGCTGATCAGGGAAGGAAGCCATGCTGCTGATGCAAAGTTTGAACAAACTCAGCACACCAGAACTGAAACTGGAAGCTATCATCAAGAAGCATGCTGAGCTGGTGAGTGGATACAAGTCAAAAATACCCATTTGGTTTGTAACTCTAATCCTAATCTGGTGATTTTTTTGTTTTGTTTTTGTAGTTAGAGGAACATCGGAGCGACCAGAAGCAGCTGAAGGTTCTGCAGAAGAAGTTGCTCCAAGTGATGAAGGAGAAGGATCAGCTGCAGAGCGAGCACAGCCGGGCTGTGCTGGCCCGCAGCAAGCTGGAGGGGCTCTGCCGAGAGCTGCAGAGGCACAACAAAACCTTGAAGGTACTTTGACGCAATCTCTCACCATATCGGTTCCTGCGCAGGACAGCTGAAATCACAGCTGAAATCACCGTTTGCTGTTAGTTTTTGTAGGTGTGGGCCGGCTGTTGTTGCCATATGTTGTGCCCAACAGGAGGTGACATCAGAGAGATCAACCATTATGTCAGAGCTCAGGCTTTGACCTCTTGAACCGCCACACCCAAAACTCATGCTGTGAGGACATGTGTTCTTCAAAAGCAGATTTAATTTCTCATACTAGTGGAGAGGTTCACAAAGTCTAAAAATAATGCTTGTATAGGGATTAATGAGTAAAATTAGACAAAAATTATTCATCTTTGATTGTTTTTCACAAGATCCTGGAGTGGTATCCTTAAATAAGAACTATTTTTTGCACAATAACCACGATACAGGTGTGTCTGTTCTGTGCTGCAATAAAAACATGGCGTACATCCTTATGTAAAGATAAAAAGCTCACTCTGGGTTAAACAGACGGACGGATTTTCAAACTCAGGTGATCATACGCCAATTTAAAAATACTGTCACCCGCGTATTTTCTTCCACTTATCTGGGCCAAGTCACCTGCTTGTCCCGGGGGACTCCAAAGGTGTCCCTGTGCCAGTTGGCTCGATAATCCTCGCAGTCAGCTTTGGATCTACCCCCAAGGTCTCCCCCCTGATGTACCCAGAAACCCCCAAAGGCAGGCTCCCCGGATGCTTTAGTATCAGATACTCAGTTTCCAAGCTCCTGACTCTCTCGCTCTCTAAGGCTGAGCTGTGCCATGTCTTTATGGACATTGTAATCCAATTTCTCTGGGTAAAGCTTTGAGTGTTGTACTTAAAACACTGTATACCATTTTTTGGCATTTAAAGATCTTGTAAGTGGTAGTTTAATTAAACTGACACTTCAATTCAGTCAAATTTAGATACCATATGTGTAATTTGAAACAAAGAGCTTTGTTATTTCCCTTAGCGCCCCCTATGGCTTCTTATTGATGCAGTTCTCAGTATGAGATGGGGAGCTTGTGACATGAAACCCCTTAACACCAAAAACACAAGAAAAATCACATGAATCTTTCTTGGGGTTTTTGAATGATTGACTTTTCAAATTGCAGTTAATTGCTTAATTTCGGTAATTGGATTGGACTGTTTAATAGCACGATTAAAACTGACGTGTCTTAGGATAGAGCTTTCCACTGTGTCGACCTGTCTACTATCAGCTGCCACCTATTTAGTGAGTAGGCTACTATCAATTTATTCAGTGTAGTTTAATCCACAGGTCTGTAGCGAATCCAAAATGGGACACTGTGATGACATCAGTAGCCACGTTTACATGGGCAAAATATCTTGATCCGATTAAAAATTTAAGGGATTGGATAATCTGAATCTTCTGTTTATAATAATCCAATCATAAGATGCTAGAAGCATTTGGACGTGCGCAGAATTGTCTGATTTTAAAACAACCGCAGAAGAAGAATAGTTGTATTTAGGCCTGTGCTGTCAACAAACCAACAAACGCGGTAGTGGCTCACTTCGTCCAATTCTGGAGTTTTCCCCCCTGTTAAATGTTGTCACTGGATGGCGTCCTTGCGTACTTATTTTACTGTTTGCCTTGTTATGTTACCCGAGGAGCGGAGTGTTAATAATGAAACCTCCTGTACTGGTGTCATTAAATAAGCCAAAGGCTAAAGATTGAAGATTGAGTCGGGTTAGAGAGTCACAATCGGAATAAGCGTTTAGATGGACGCGTTTCGGAATAACGATCGGCATAAACCACCCCTCTCAACCGGAATACCATTTATTTCCGACTGAGCCAAATCGGATCAGAATCTTCCAAATGACATGTTTACATCTTGAAATATATGCAGATACACTAATTAGAGACAAAACTATGATTGCCTTGATGTAGTGATACCCCACTCTCCCCTACTCTCTAAAATCTGAAAGGTGTCCTTGGCTCCAAGTCATTCTTCTTTTTATGATCACAGCATACAAAGTCGTTTTAAGCGTTGACATCCATCTGTGATCTACAGGAAGAGACCCTGCAGAGGTGCAGAGAGGACGACCTGAAGAGGAAAGAGATCACCACGCATTTCCAGGGGACCCTCAGTGAGATTCAGGCCCAAATCGAGGAACACAGCAGCCGAAACACCAAGCTGTGCCAGGAGAACAGCGCTCTGGCAGAGAAACTGAAGGGGCTCATTTCACAATATGACCAGCGAGAGGCGGTACTGATCCTACCAAATACAAATACTGTATATACATGACATACACCATAATCTACTGTACATGCAAACCTACTTGACACGACCGCCTTCATGTAAAAGCCTCGCACATCTGGTCCTCTCTGCCAGTTTCAAACACATGAATTATTTGCACATTTCACCCGAGCCTTCCATTTATGAGCTGCTGTATTTCAGTTTTATGCGGCCAAAGAGCCCTGAGCGAGAAATGAAACAGCTTTCGGTGTGAAAACGACTCATAAATTCACCTGATTGTCTTCCAGAACCTGGAGAAGGTCTTCAAACACAGAGACCTGAAAGAAAAGCTGCTGGAAACCAAACTCACGCAGGCGAACATGATGCTGAAGGAGGCCGAGGAGAGGCACAAGCTGGAGAAAGAGCTGGTATGATTTCATGTATCAGATTTACCGATTGATCCAAGCTCAACATATTTGCAATTTTTATGCACTTATGCTAATTTTCATGTGAATACCCTACAGATGCTGAAACAGGCTGTGGAGTATAAATCTCAAGTGAAGGCCCTGAGGGGGCAAGAAATGGACATGAGGGCTCAGGTACAGGAACGAGGCATCATGTGCAACACAGGCTTGATTTTTTTCTACATCTCTGGAGTTTTGTGTAATATTCTACCGTTTCTCCCCAGCTTGATGTCTACTCCAAGAAGTTTGACGAGATCCAGGGCACGGTATCAAAGAGTAACAGTGTCTACAGCGGCTTCAAACAGGATATGGACAAAGTGAGACTGATTATTTGAAGTCAGCGACATGATTATAGTTGAATAACTTTGTTTATCTGCAAATAAAACGTGATAAAAACGGGAAACAATTGAAACAAATCCCGTGAGATTTATACTTAAACTGACAAGCTGTACAATCCTACACTGTACTGTGGCAGCTATTTTTGGACGTGCCTTTGATAGTGTATTGTGTAATGTGATTTTTTTTTGTCTTTTAGATGGCCAAGAAGATGAAAAAGCTTGAAAAGGAGAGTCAGTCCTGGAAGACTCGCTTTGACGGCTGCAACAAGAGTCTTATTGACATGGTAGCAGATGTAAGGAACATTGTTATTTGGTTATTTATAGCATAAAATTCAACACTGACTTTCTTTCGCTTAAAGATTTCTCATTTTTTTTGCTGATATTTTTCGTTATTGTTAACAGAAAGCAATAAAGGAAAAGGAGTTTGAGCTTGTCACCATCAAGAACCAGAAGCTGGAGAACCTTTGCAGGGCTTTGCAAGAGGAGAGGAAGAGTCTTTATGAGAAAGTGCAGGGAGCTGGGAGTCAACCAGAGAGCAACACAACTGAACCAATAGAGAAGAGCCCTGAGGTGCAGGAGACCCCGAAAAACCCTGAAGATGTCCAGCCTGCCCAGAACCCTGCAGCCCCTGAACCTGCTGCCTCCACAAAGACACCAAAACCCGAAACTCCGCTCACCAAGGAACTGGAGAAGCTGAAGTCTGAGCAGGCACGACTGAAGGAAATCGCCACTTCTTTCACCATCTCTCATGTCGTTCCCACAGAAACAGCCACTAGCCAATCACAAGAACTCTCTGAGGGTGCCCAGAAGCTGGATGAGCACCACATAGAGGAGAGCAACAGCAGTCAAGTCCAGGAGGCGGAGGAAGACGGACTCCAAGGACAGAGAGATTTGGAGATGGAGTCAGTTGATTAATGATTTGACGGCTACGAGAAAGAAATACGTTTCATGTGGGATTTATAACAATAAAAGGAAAAATGCTGGCTTTGTGCTCCATGTCTGATCCTCTTGTGTCAGGATTTAAGAGAAGGTTAATTCATGTACCTGAAAACAAACCTGCCAAGAACCACTTAAGTGTTTTATGGCTTTTTCACACACATATCTAAAATAAAAGAAAGAAAGTTGAAAACATTTACAACCCCAATTCCAAACAAAGCCGGGACACAAGTAAAAAGAAAATAAAAACCGACTGTGATGGGTTGTAAATCAAGTAAATCCTTTTTTTTTGAGTGATAGTAGTGCATAGACAACATTAAAAATGAAATTTCACTGTTTCATGAAAAATGTCGTTTTACATTTTGGTGCAACAAGTTTACAAAAAGTTGAGATGAGGACAATAAATCACCAAAAAATAGAATAAAACACATGCATAATTTGAGATGGATCAGTAACATGACTGGGTATTAACAAGACGGTGTGAGCAAATAATTCAGCAACTGCAGAGCAATTTTCCTCATCGACAATAAATGATATCATTGAAAGATTCAGAGTATCTGGAAAAATCTAATAACATTAGACCTTGACCTTTGGCCTTTTAGGCGGCACTGCATTAAAAACACACATGACTCCGCGGTGGAAATCACTGCATGGGCTCAAAATCTACACTCTAAGCTTCTATAATAGTGATTATAGATTTTCCCAGCTTTTAAAGCAGCACCATTGTTACTCTCTTATATCATTTGTTCTCACAAACTGACTCCCATGTGTCCTATCAGTGGAATGATCTTTTAAAACTCCAGCTCCAATGGCAAATCTTTTTATTTGCCCATTACCAAAAAAGTGGACTTTGAGAGAAAAGCACAGATTGTTTTCCTCTGGTCCACTCACTGATAACATGTTGCATAATCTTATGAAACGACTACAGAACCACACTGAAGCAGGAAATGGCTAACAGAGCAGACGCCACAGCTCTCACAGCTTTTGTTGAACATGGAAAAACTCTGCTGGAGCGTGCCAAGAAGGAGAGCAGGGAGGGTAAGTAGCAGTTTTATTACGCTGGACTGGTGATTAACAGTAAAACAGACATGCAGATACTGTGTTTGACAGTTTGGAGGCAGTTTTGAGGTCTTATCCTGAGTGGAGGCCGATCAATCATTAGACCTAAAGAACAACATCAACACGGTTACATGCTAACTTTATTTACTTTTTCTACCACAGGCTCACTCGAGGATTTTATCAGGCAGAAAATCCGCATCGAGCAACAGCAGTCACTGCTGGGTCTGATTGAAGCTGGTGCAGCTTTATATAGAAGGTTATTAACACTTTCCATAATACCAGTGTGATATCTCAACAGGCTGATTTCTGCTACATCCTGAAAAAGCGAATAGGTGACACGGATTCTGTGTTTCATGAAAAAAAAAAAAAGTATTTACTTTTGTTTGTTTCTGTTGTCTCAGTTTGTCTGTTCAAAGAAAAAAGGATGCAGAGGACCTTTGGAGAAAAAACACCAAGTAAGACCCAGAGCTGAAACAATGGGCTCTATGCACAGCTCCACGACTTCCTGAACTAAAGGCTGCTCCTTTATTTCCTGTCTTACATTACCGAACAAACTGATTAATCCAGGTGTGACTGATCATTGTGATTAGTCAGACACACCTGGATTAATCAGTTTGTCCATTAATTCAAGAAGTAGTAGACCAGTGCATAGAGCCTTTTCATTCTTAAACCTACTTATCAAACCTAATATACTAAGCATACATCTTCAAAAATCATTCAAAATATTATTGAAAATATGATATTTTCAGTGTAACATAATCATTTTGCACCCTGAATTAGCCGATCATATGGACTCTATAGACATAATATATGTAGACGCCTCATCCCGTGCTGGAGCATAATCCAGCATCGCCGCCATATTGGATTGGTCTCCTCTGTCATGATATGTTCTGGTATTTAGTTTCCCCTGGTTTTGTTATCTGACTGTATTTTCTTCCTCGTGTTTCTGTTCCCTATTCTTCCTGTGATCCTGTCTTTTAAGTGTTCAGTTTGTGTTTGACCCTGTTTCCACACTGACACACTGACTAGAATAAAAACTTTTTGAGGGACTTCCTGTGCAATAAAAGTTTCATTTTAGCATTTTAATCGTCTAATTTCTCTGTACGGCCTCTCCAGCTGTACTGCTCTACAGGACGCTCTGCAGGACTTTAAGGATTTAGAAGTGAGTAACTGAGTTATTATCACATATTTTTCAAACATTCCTCTCAGAGCCATTGTCTGAGTGATCATTTTTCACCGGCTGTGGCCAATGTGTTGCAGGTGCAGTGGGATGCCTTTCTGCAACATTTGGATGATGAGTTACAACTGAGCGCTAGAACAATGGATAGTACCCAACCGATAAAATGCATTTCACCTGATACACCTCTAACTGACGCCCGAACAGGACAGTAAGTCACTTTTTATATTTTCACGCACTGGTTCCTGCTGTGGAAAAAAAACCACACACTGTTCAAGTTTTCATTTTATGAGTGTGAATAAAAAAGACTACTTCTATTTTATTTCCTAATTCTCAGTCACAGATCTGTTGAAATCCTCACAGGGTATCTTTCATTTCAACTAATAAAAAGTAAAATAAAACTTTTCTTATTCTGTTACTGTGTGACTTGTAGAGCGGTAACGTTACAGAAGTATTTCGGGCGAGGTAAGAAGATCCTGCTGGTGTTGATCCGTCAGTTCTCCTGTCTTCTCTGCCGTCTCCATCTCAAAGATCTGGAGAAAAATCAGGTAAAGCAGTGAGACTGGATACAGAAGAGAGTTACATGAGCAATCGAAGCATTTCCAGGAGGGACATGATAACAATGAAGCAGCACAGCGTGTCTGTCAGGAGCAGAGTGAGCACATGAGCGCACTTCACTGTAGAAAAACAGACGTCAATCCTTCAGTGAGTCTTGCTTGGAAAACCTAATCTGGAACAGGGTAGCTGATGTCTCACATGATGGCTGGCATTAATATGTGTGTGTCAACTATGTTATGTTTGACAGAGGTTTTAATAATAATAAATTTTTTATTTGAAAGCGCCCTTCAAAGCACCCAGGGTCACTGTACAATATTAAAAACAAGATATTCGTAATAAGACAATAAATAAAACAATTAGCATTTTAAACAGATAAAAATCGACACAGGGAATGGATAAAACAGCTACAGGGAGTATGCGGAGCGAAACAGGTGGGTTTTGAGTAGTGTTTTGAAAGAGAGAAAGTATCCCAAAACTTAGCTCAGTGTCTCCTTTCTGTTACAGCACTGTAATGGAGTAAACGTTTACTCATTGATCGGCTCAGACAATTACTCACCAGATAAAAAATCTATGCTTTTGGTGTTTGTTATCAACTTTGGACCCTGCCTGCTGGTTATTCTCGGTGACAGGTCTTGTGTTTTTCTCTTTTTTTGTTCAATGCGTGAATAAGTATGCATATTTATATACTCTTTTGACATTCTTCAAGTTAAATTCGGTATACACCAACAATTTATTTATGTCCCATATGGTGGTGACTATGACTTTTGAATACTAATAAAAGGCCTTAATCTTTCCCCATTTTGATTTAATGACTTTTTTAATTTAATGACGTTGTTTTATGTTTCAAATGATGGAATATAATATCTATGCAATGTGTCAATATGAGTTAAGATTGTGTATCACTTATCACAATGTCACAAGATTAATTATTGTCATTTTTCATTTTCAGTTATCATTATCAGTTTTGGGCCATTTTGCCCAGTCCTGCCTCACTGGAGTGTCATGTCCTCATAGCCATTCTTCTTCCAATTTGGTCTTTGGTCTAAATAACGTTAAAAAGTTGTTTCTACCAGTTTTAAATAACAAAATCTGTTCATGTTGTTGAAACCTGTGAATAGTGTCCAAATGCAGAGGGCCTGTTTGACATAAAGTGTTATTCCGAAGCTCAACTTTTTAATAATTTATTTTTAATTTGAAAAATATTCAGAGCTGGTAAAATTTCTATCGTCTCAGTTTAAAACTTTGACTTCTGTTCAGTTGGGTCACTGAGTTCAGCTGGTTCTGGGTATATTATTTTTTACTGGTTCACACTGCGGATAGACAAATATGTGATAATGACTTCAGTATAATCAGAGAGTATTTCTGGTCAGCAAATTAAAATAATTATTCAAGTTTTATTCTTCCAGGTTGCTGATAGGTTGGTGTAACTTTTTTAAATCATCGTCTCTGTTCATTACCACTTTTCAGCGGTCCCTGGACACACACTCGATTCAGGTGGTGGTTGTTTCATTTGGCTGTCAGGAGGGAGCTTCACACTGGCTGCAGGAGACTGGCTGCCAGTACGACATGCTGCTGGACTCTGATAGGAAGGTCAGATGTCAATAAAACATACACTTCTTAATGTCTGTCTCTGTGAAATCTTATTAATCATCCTGACAGATTAATTGGTCTCTCTTTACTGCTTTTGTTTTTGTGGTCTAGAGAGAAGCTATCTGTCATGATATGTTCTGTTAATTTAGTTTTCCCCTGGTTTTGTTATCTGAGTGTATTTTCTGTGCGTTTCTTCACAGTATTTCTGTTCCTTATTGTTCCTGTAGTCCAGTCTTGTGAGTTTTCAGTTTGTGTTTGACCCTGTTTCTCTCCTGTTCTCAGTGTTTTATTCTTTATATCAGTTTTTAGTGTTTCCTGTTTTATTTTGTAGTAGTTGATTCATGGTTTTACTTTCCTAGTTTTCCCTCCTTCGTTAATCACCCGTGAGTTTCACCTGTGTGTCGTTAGCCTCACCTGTGTGTCGTTAGCCTCACCTGTTGCTCGTTTCCCTGTGTGTGTATACAGTCCCTGTCTTCCCCTCTGTCTTTTTTGGTTCATTGTATGTCCATGTGTGCATATGCTTCTGTCCCCAGTTGTCTCCTTGTGATTTTTGGTTCTTTGGAATTTGCTTTTTGTGTTTTTTTAACTTTAGAAATTTTTTAGTTGGACATTTAAAGTAAGATTTTGTTGCTTTTTATTGCATTCTTTTAATAAATCATTTTTTTGTTCTGCATTTGGGTCCTTTTTTCTCTTTGTTCAACTCTAACTCATGACATTATTGATTTTATTATAGCACTGGATAAAAAACATGATATCGCAATAATCTTCATTAACTCTGTTGGGTTTTGTAGATGTACTCAGTGTTCGGCCTGGGAGCGTCCCTGAAAAAAGTCCTCAATTTCAGCAACATGCTGCACTACGCCGAGTACGTGGCAGACAACATGGAGTTTCCAAGAGGGCTTCCATCGATTCAAGACGACATGTTTCAGGTATAAATGACGTATGAAGATTTGCGTACTAATCAAAGACATTTGAAGGGGTGGAAACGAGAGATTTGGTGCATGTCCATTTAAACATTTAAGTTTTCCTATATGGTGGCCCTGAGGTGCAAAACACAACTGTAAATCAGAAAACAAAACACAAAAAGAAAACACAACGGCAAATAAGAAGGCACAACACAAAAAGAGAAAACACAACGGCAAATACGAAAACAAAACACAAAAAGTGTTGTGTTTTCTGATTTGCCGTTGTGTTTTCTCTTTTTGTGTTGTTTTCTGATTTGCCGTTGTGTTTTGCACCTCAGGACCACCTCAGTCCTCTCATATAAAACCAAAAAAAGGTGCGAACACTATCTTAAAAATAGAAAACATCTTATTTGATCAACAAATACAGAATAAGAGTTAGCTGTGTGTACATTAATGCGTGAAAGTAAAAGGAAATGGACATCCAAGGTCACACACTTTTCTCTTCTGTGTGTTTTTTTTTTTTTAAAGCTGGGAGGCGACTTTGTTTTGGACGAACATGGGAGGGTGCTGTTCTCTCACTGCTGTCAAAGTCCCATCGACAGACCCTCAGTGGAGGACATTTTAGCTGTAAAATAAAGATACAGCTCCCTCATGTACAGTGCAGTCAAAATAAAACAGTTTCTGTGTTACAAGAGACAATTTTCTGGGTTTGTTTGTCTCATTGCCACCAAATTCTCCAAAGTTCAAACTTATCCAACTCTCCATCCGAGTGTCTTGTACGGTGGTTTTCTTAAATGGCCTCTACATGAATGACCTCCAGTCTGAGCAGCTCTGTATGACGCTCTGGACTGAATCCAGATCTTAAGGACAAACAGCTGATGTGAGGACAATGAGGGTTTCTTAGGATGTAACTGAAGGGTCTTGAGCAAGGGAGAATATGTGCATTGACACGTGCAAGATACATCACACTGTTCAAGGTCAGTTCATGAAAACAAATGGGCAGAAATTCTCAGAAACCACAGGACAGAAAAGTTGTCCCACTGCTATGATGAGAAGTCTGTGCTGATTTTAGTTTCGTATAGGAAAAGCTTTAAGTACACCTTGTTGAAATCTACATATTTTGATTAATGTTAATGTCATGCAATGTTTTATGTGCATACAGTGTTTAAGTCTGGCACAAAGGTTCAGTGAAATCTATATGACTGAAACAAACATAATGTGTCACAAACTGCTATAACATTTAAGATAAAGTTGTGCTCATTTTCCTAAAAAATTAAAAACAATAGAGCTGAAGCCCATGTGACGCTTTATTCTAGATGCCAGTGCAGCATCTGCTTCAAAATCTAGACCAGCAACATTGATGACTAGTGATCGAAACAGATGGACAGAGCTGAAACAGCTGACAGAGAGAATCGGTGCATTAACTCTGCAAAGAAGGGGATATTGTGCAAACTTTTGTGGATGCTTGATGGGCAAAATGCAAACATTTTTAAACTAATTTTGTCAATACTCATAAAGACCAATCTCCTGATGCTGTGCAGGACAGTTCTTTAGATGCACAGTTACATAAGTAGTGTTAAAGTAGAGTTGTTTGAGACACATACACTGTCATCACGTTGGCATAATAATACGTCACCTTATTGGCTGTGCATATCAGCTTTTAGAGGTCAATATTAATATTATGAAGGTAATCATGCTGTTTTGTAGAGGTAAGATGTGGTTCATATACTAGAAATCCAGAAGATTACTGACTCTGGAGGATAAACTGACTTTGAAGTTTCATGGAAATCTCTTTGATTGCTGCAGACCCACTGAGGAATAGACGGCTATTAGACGTCTAGTGTTTTTTTTTCTAGAACTAATTTCAACCGTCTAGATTCCGTATATTTGTAGACGGAATTTCGATGTTGCACTTTGACCCATTATTTGATTACTATTTATTATAAAAAGCAACTGTGAGTTGCATAACTGATCTCCAAGTACTTAACCAAAATGATTATGATAGCTGTTGAGCAAAATACAGTTAGACCTCTGTTAGCCGGTTAGTCTACACTTTGTCCAAATCTAGACGTCTGAAAAACTTCATTTTTAGACCCTTGGTAGCCTGATTTTAGACCAGTCGTCTAGGCTACATTTAGACGTCTATTAGACCTCTTTTAGACCAAAAAATGCTCAGTGAGGGAGATGTTTCAGTCTTGTATTTGACCAGAGATGTCCACAGTTCAATAACAGCAATGGTCTGTAATCCATCAGCCTTATCCGTCCCAGTGGCATCACTTGAAAAGAGGAAAGATAATGACTTTTTTGAGCTGCTTCTTGAAGGTTTATTCGTCCAAAAAGACTTTTGTGCAAGAGATGCAGTCAAAAGCTACATGATGTGACTCAGCACATTAAAAAAAAGTGCAAAGCAGAAGCATACAAAGTAAATTTGCACACTCTAATTTGAGTCTGGATGAGGAAAGGGTCACCTGGAGTACAAAGGGCCTGCAAATTTCCAAGAATCCTGCTCTTTATTTCCTCGAAAGGATGGCATGTAACTCAATAATTAGGAAGGAGGGAGGACTTTGGTCAACACTGGTGCCCCTACTTGTTCCTTTAAGACGAGTCTCCTCCTAGATATTCTCAGTGTGGGGCTGCTTTGCCGGGGGAAAGCGTCTCATACCAGACATTAGTTAATCAACAAAGATGACAAGTGAAAACAGACTCATTGAGCACATAGGAGACTTCGGACCTTTCCAGAAGAAGATTGTAATACTTGGTTCACTACCGTTGGTCATTTTTGCTTTTGTATTGGTTGGGGTTGTCTTCTTAGGGTACACTCCAGATCACTGGTGTAGGATTCCTGAATCTGAGCGCCTCCAGGAGGAATGTGGCTGGACAGACCTCGAGATGCGGGAGGTCACTGTTCCCCGGTCTGATAAGACAGGATCCTTTAGTCAGTGTAAGAGGTTTGATGTGGACTTGAAGGAAAGTCCAAACAAATGCGACGATCTGAACTTGGCGCTGACCTCCAACAAAACCGTGTTAGTGCATTGTGACAGTGGATGGGTGTTTGAGAAAAGCCACCGCACTATTGTTTCTGAGGTGAGTTTGATTTCTCCTGCTCCTCCCTAACAGTATAGAGACTTGAAAATTACAAAATACAGTCGTTTTTAATGCACCTCAGAGTGTCTTTAAAAAGTTCTTCTCATTTTAATCCATTCTGAGATTTCTATTTAGAAAACTCCTTCTATATGAGCAAATTTATCTCAATCTAGGAAAGTCACAAAAAGTGATGCATGAGTGAACTTTTGAAGAGTCTCTCTTGACTTTACAGATAGGAAGCATTTATATTTCCACTTCCCTGATTGATTTGTTAAATTGCAATCAGAATAACCTCAATATTATTAGTTTAGTTTTGGAAGAAATTTCCCTTTTCCTTTCTCGCAGTTCTCTTTGGTCTGCGAGAGATCTTGGCTTGCTGATCTGAATCAAGTTTTTCTGGCACTCGGCTTCTTTATTGGGGCTTTTGTCACTGGATACCTGGCTGACAGGTCTGCAAACAAACATTTTTAAGTTTCTGAAGGATTTTAAAATGTAATTATTCAGTTAGCCAAAACATTGATCGCATTTGATCTTTACACAGATTTGGCAGGAAGCCTTGTTTGATTGCATCCATGCTTGGCCTCAGTGTCTCGGGTATAGGGGTCATGCTGTCACCCTGGTACCCACTTCTGCTCAGCCTACGATTTCTGCAAGGTTTTTTTGGAAAGGGAGCATGGACGGCTACCTATGTGCTCGGTATGTTTGTTTGTCTACTTTTTGATACCAGCTTTTTATCCTGTCAGTGTCTGATATTCTGTGTCTTGCATCTGTCAATCATCTGTAATGATATGACAGTTCCCACTGAGCATTTTTTGGTCTAAAAGAGGTCTAATAGACGACTGGTCTAAAATCAGGATACCACAGGTCTAAAAATTAAAGTTTTTTAGATATCTAAATTGGGACCAAGTTTAGACCAAGTCTAAATCTGGGCTATATCTATACTACACTGTATATTGCTCAATGGCTATCATAATTATTTTGGTTAAGTACTTGGAGATCAGTTTTGCAACTCACAGCTGCTTTTTGAAATAAATAGTTATCAAATAATGGGTTAAAGTGTAACGTCTAAATATATACAGAATCTGAACAGTTAAAATTATGTCTGAAAAAAAAAACTAGACATCTAGTTAATTGCTCAGTGGGTTAATCACTAATAGTACAGTTCACATTTTTAATTATCGCTTCTTTTATTGCAGTGATTGAGTTCTTTGGATCAAAAAACAGGAAATTTGTCTCCATGGTTAGTCGGACTTTCTACTCCACTGGTATGGCCATCCTTCCTGGTCTGGCATACTTTCTACCCTCCTGGAAGATCCTGCAGCTGGTCATGAGTCTGCCCTGCCTTCTTTTTATCTCATACTACTGGTATGTGTATTTTATTTGTTTATTTATTTATTTTTTTTACATGGACCAGTTTTATTTATTTGCATGGCAATATTAAACCCAATTCAGACACGTGTGGGTTTTTCTCGAAGGATTGTACCTGAATCTCCACGATGGTTGCTCTCACAAAAAAGAACCGCAGAAGCTATGAGAGTCGCAACCAATATCGCAAAATGCAATGGGAGATCGTTGCCAGCCAACCTTCCTGAGGTATTAAAGATTGCTCATGTCTTAAAGCAAATCAGAGTGTTACTTAAAAAATAGAAAAACCCGTTGACTATGACATGTTTCAGATACTTCTTTTGGAGGAAAAGAAAACAGTACATCCTTTATCGATGATGGATTTGTTCAGAACACCAACTATTAGGAAAAATACACTAATTCTTACTTATGCCTGGTGAGTTGATTCAATTTTACATTCATCACATCTTATATTGGTGGATTATAGGCTAGTATACTCTTGTAGTTTCAGAATCTGCTTCATATTGGGGTTGTTCTAATCCAGGTTTACCAGTACAGTTGTGTTTCAAGGCCTTGTCCTTCGTCTGGGGATCACAGGGGACAACCTCTTCCTAGACTTTTTTGTCTCTGCTGTGGTGGAGCTTCCCACCGGCCTCATCTTCTACTTGCTGGTCGACAGAGTCGGACGTCGCTCCCTCATAGCATTGACCAACTTCATTGGTGGTATTGCCTGTCTTGCTGTGCCCTTCATCACCAGAGGTATGTAAAAGTGACAGACTTGGGTAATCTCAAAAATGTATACCGGTTGGATGTGACTTCTACTTTATGTCTCCCTCCACAGATTTTGGCTTGTTGAAAAAATTAGTCGCAATCATCGGGAGGTTTGCTGTTGCTATTGGATTTGAGACGCTGAACTTTGCAAACGCAGAGATGTACCCGACACCTCTGAGGTGAGTATTGATTCTGTCCAGACATCAGATTAACTGACAAGATTATAAAGTCCCTGTGTAACCGGGATCACTGAACGTCCACAGATCCCACATCTAAGAAAACCTGGAGTCCATCTTGTTACTCCTGTCTCACTCACAGTTCTCTGTTATCTCTATTATTAGTTTATCTTTTTCTCTACATTTAATGAGCTGAGTCGCATTTATTTGTCTTTTTATGTGGTCCAGTCTGTTTTGGATGTTGACTTGAGTTTCTTGGTCTTTTAAAGCACCAACAAAAATAATCACAAAATAATAGTATGAAGAGGAAAGGGAAAAAACTTCCCAACAATGCGAATATACTCTGCCAGTTCTACAATTAAAAGTAGAAAATCGACTTATTCTCCTGATAAGGCTGATAAATTCGTAATGTCTCACTTGATTGTAAAAGATTTACTTTCAATTTCCGACAGAAATTTGGGTGTGTCGGTGTGTTCATCAGCGAGTGACTTCGGAGCAATTGTAGCTCCATTTCTGCTCTACAGATTAGCCAGTATCTGGCAGGAGCTGCCTCTTTTTCTTTACGGTAAACAAAGTCTTTTTCCATAATCCTTGAACACTCTTAGTCCTCTTGAATGATGAAAACATTGTGAAAAATTTCAAACTCACTGACTTGTGTCGTCTTGTTTCAGGTGGGATGTCGGTGCTGTACAGTGGATTAGTGACTTTGTTGCCTGAGATGAAGGGAGTGGAACTGCCAGAAACCATCGAGGATGTGGAGAATCTAAAACGGTAAATTAATGTAAATTTAGATTGAGAATAAGATCTTCATATGTAACAGATTTCCATAAAATTTACTTCCTCTTTAATATCCAGAGTTATTACCGTGTCTTATGTTGCTAATCAGACTATATAAAATAATTAACTTCAGTTACAGTAGAGATGGGAAAGTATGTAAAATGTCCCTACAAGAGATTTCGAAGGTTTGCAAATCATCTTAACCTAACATTTAACGAAAGGTAGACAACATCAAAAAAGTTTCGTTTTGTGAGAAGAAGTTGAAGCTCTTTTAAATTGGATGTCAGGAACATGTCAGGACAACAAAACATGGGAAAAGTTGTGTAATGATTAAATATATAACTCATCTCCCAACTGATCAGGTTAATTTGCAACAGGCTCGTAACATGACTGGGTATGAAAAGGGCATTTCAGTCCAGAAGAGGTTCACCACCCTGTGAGACACTGCATGAACAAACACTTTGACCATTTCAGGATTATATCCCTCAGCATAAAACTGCAAGTAACTTTATCGTCTACAATACATAATATTGTAAAATGATTCAAGGAATATGGATGGTCTCTGCACAAGAGTGAATTGTCTGAGCACAACTTTTTTACAACATGTTGCTGACATCAAGTTTAAAATTATAATAGAATTTTTCTACACAAAAGTAAAATTTTGAGGTATTGTTATTGCATTATTTTTTTTAATTTAAATCATAAACCTCTGTTTTATTAACATTGACAAAGTACTTTTATGGGACTAGGGTTGTACGTAAAGGGAAATCGGTAACCCTTTCTTTTACGGTACACTTATTACCAGGTAATTAACAGGTAATTACCTAGTAATTACCATGAAATTATCTGGTAATTACATGATAACTACTTACTCAATACTGTCTAGCTACCAGGTAGGTAGCACAGAAAAAAGAAAAACTAGACAGTATTGACTTAGTAGTTATCATGTAATTACCAGATCATTTCATGTTGTTACTAGGTAATTACCTGTTAATTACCTGGTAATAAGTGTACCGTAAAAGAAAGGGTTACTGGGAAATCTTGCAACACAGAATGTAAAGCTGATCTGCTGTTGTCCCTGGAGGCTTGACTGTTATCAGGTGATGGCCGACTGATCGAAAACCAACAACAAGAAATGACAAAAACTCTTTCCCTCAAAAGTCATGTTAGAATTAGGAGAGAAATAGCAATAAATCAAGCTGATAGGTGTTTCGACACGACAGGAAAAAGGTGTCAGGAGGAAGCGGGAGAGGTGATGAGAAAGGTGCTAAGAAGAGGTAGCAATACCTACATTGAAGAGACAAGAATATATTTGTCAAGCCAGGTGCACAATGAGTAGTTCAGAGCAGTAAGGCTGATACTCTAACCCTTTGTGTTTTTTGTGTACTTGTATTTTCAGGAGGGAAAAGTTAAAGGCCGCAGAGAAAAACTGCATGGTTATATAACTGGGGTCTTCAAGAGCCGGTCCATAAATGGATTATTCTCTGCACATGTGTTGTATTTACAGTACAATGTGGTTGTTATTGCACACTAGTATTACACCTGATATACTAGGGCCTTAAAGGTGTTAATGAGAGAATTGCACAGTGAGAAGATGCTGCAGTGGATAATATGAAGAGAGAGCTCATCTTTGCAACCTCAAACCTCAACAATGCTAATTTATGGCACTGAAACATGTTTTTGTACATCTAGATTGAGGAATTGATGTCACCTTGATCTAAGAGCTATTAGGCTAATGTTATTTACCATTAAGGTTTAAATCTCTGACATGACTACAAACAGTTTGGAGAAGATAGAGGTCAGAGATCAGGCTGATTTTATCCAAAGTATCTAACCAAATGGAAGATTTTAGCCGATTGGCTCGTGTTAGATGCCATCTCTACTTGCTGATCGACTTAATTATCGTGAACACAGACCCCCTGTATTTAGTCAAGTTGCTCTAGAAATATACAGCACGCCAAATTTAGAGTAACTGTCCGTTACATACTTCATGCATCTATCTGTTTAACTCAGAGGACTACGAGAGGGATCAGTTAAACCCCGTAAATCATGGCTACACCACTAATGACATTGAAAAACATTGTTAACCTTGACAGAGTTATGCACTTTGATTTTTTTTTGTTACTTTACCTACATGAAATGAATTGTTCTGTATGTACCTGTTTCTCAAATTAAAGTTTTTACTGCTTAACGGGATCCACTCTGATTTCTCTCACTCCCAGACAACAATAGCCTCGATTATTCCGTTTTACAGCTTTAGTGTATATCTAATTGAGAGTTGCTTTTGTTGGTGCTTTTGTTTCCATTGTAGTTTTACCCAGAGCAGCTAACAAAAGCTGCCCTACATACATAGTGCTGACTGAATGGGAAGACATAAAACCATAAATTGTGCTGAAAATCCACGGGTATGCATGAGAAGTGGGATTCCCTTGAGCGTAAACATCCATGTCCTTAATTAAACTAGGGTGGAAATGTCTTAAAGTCCTGAACATTATCACACTATGCGTGATGACCTCTGCAGCTTGGTTCAAATCTTTTTTAAAATCTGACGTGTCAATAGTTAAAATCTTTGGGAAAAATACAAAAAAGTTTGCTTTCGCTTGTAGAAATGATGTGAAACGAGGAGGAAATGACAAGTCTAATTTGAAGTTGGATCATTAGCCTGTTTTGGATATATGATTAGGAAACTGTTTTCCTCACATAACAAAGATCCACTGACCCGTCAAATAGGGGCAGAGGGGTGTGGAGGCTTGGAGAGGGGGTGTGGATGTGGGGATGAAGTCCTCAATTATGTTTAAGACCTCACTGCACAGTCTAATGAGCATATAACTCACGGGGAGTAGATTCACAGAGGGTGGGGTGCTGGTGGATACAATACCCAGAACAGATGAGAACTTCAGTGTCACGGGGTATTAATCTCTGTCTTTTTGGAGAAAATCTACGGCAGGTCGTCAGATAGGAACCCTCAAATCAACTCGTGAAAAATGCCAGAAAAAGAGGAGAGAGAAGTGCTCGCTCAAGTCATCAGACAGTGGAACAACAACAGACTGGACCTGTTCGAAATCAGCCAACCAGACGAGGTGAGTCGTCCGCAGACAACAAACAAGCTTAAGACAACAGCGACATTGGTGTGTACATTCAGATTAACAACAGTTCTTTTTTTAACAAAACTGTCTGTACTAAAGTTAGGATGAAACTCAATATAAAAAGATCACACTCAAAAGGTTTCCAATGACCCATCGAACAAATATTCTTCTACATGTGGGAATTAGTGTGCTGAAGACATGGAGGTTATTTACAAGGGTTTGTAAAATTCTCAGCAATAACTCCACCTAACACTGTGGGCTGGTTTTCAAAGCTGCATTGTGGGAAATGTAGTAACCATACTGGGTCCTGAACCTTTCAGAAACCAAAAGTGATTGCTCCCTGTAGTTGTCATTACTTTCCTACTGAAATGATCCTACTTTATTGCTATTTTATTTTACGTATTCTTTCTTTGCATAAAAAAGTCAAAGTTTGAACATTTCATCGTAAACTATGTACTTTTTTATGACACTAATTTTGCAGTGTAGTTTGGCAGAAGTGGAATTAAAGTAAATAAGCTTCAAAGCCCCTGTGAGGAGTTTTTCCAGTTGACAACACTGACAATATTGAAAATTTCTATATCAGATTGGATAGCAGCTAAACATGCTCAGAGAGAAATCATGTCACACCAGACACCAAGCTGTAGAAACAAACTTCCATTGCATTTTCAATGGCAACCCCTCACAGTAACACATTTCACTGTTCAAAGAAAGTAGGGTGTCTTTTACCAAGTCTGAAAAAAGCAAAATTGGAGGCGGAAACAAGATGGCTACATCTACCAAAGTTACTTTAGCGCTTGCCTTGTCCGAATATAAGGCAAGCGCTAAAGTAACTTTCGTAGACGTAGCCATCTTGTTTCAGGCCTCCAATTTCGCTTTTTTCCAAATCAGTAACTGAAACGCCGGAACTCGGGTGTGACATCATTTTCAGCTTCGACATCTGACTTCCGAGGTAACTCTAACGCAGCATTAGGCACAAAGGACTGATGGATTGGTCTGGGATTGGTTATCTCGGTTAGTCAATCAGAGTTACTCGAAATACGGCAAGCCAAGTTTATTACCATAAAAAAATAAATACAGAGTATTGAATGGGGGAAAATAAGCGTGAGAAATGTCACGTGTGGCATGTGGTGTGAGAATGGGTCACATTCAAAGCGTGACACTTGGCAGCTCTGTGGTCTACAGATCGCACTAAAATTAACCAAAAGTTCCACACAGCAGCTTTAAAGTCCCACTTGCATCGTGTTTTTTTATTTTTTAAAGTGTTCTCAGTGGTCTTTAAATTGTAATTCTTAAGTTTTCAGCCCAAATCACATTACCTGTTTCATTTTCAAGGACTTTTCTTCTGCAGAGCTTCAGTAGATCATTAGAAATTCGCCTCTGAGTCGTGGGCGGAGACAGCGCTGCTCTGCACTTTCCTCTTCACGTTAGCTTGCTGCCTAACATTGTCAGTACAGCAGAAGTGGCAGGTAACAAAGGGGCTTCAGCTCTCAGACTCTGAAGTCTTTGCAGGCCCATGTATTGGGTAAAGTAACATAAGCATGTGAGGTTTTTTTTATGTATCATGATAGTTTTTTTTCTAATGAAACAACCTTGTTGAAATGATATCATTAATCCTTTCATGGAAGTGCCAACAGGATGTGCCAGCTTTAGAGTTACAGCACGAAGAAAACAAACCGTAGACAGGATTGAAATGAGACATATGTGATTAGTTTAGCTGGGCATTTGGAATTAGAACAATTTGTATAAAGGGTGTTGTATTTTTGTAAACATATCACTTACCAACTTTCCAACAAAAGTATGACTCTTTTCGTCTCCTTGCAGAACTTGGAGTTTCATGGGGTGATGCGCTTCTACTTAGAGGATCATGTTGGAGGAAATGTGGCCACAAAGTGTCTGCGTGTTTCCAGTAACGCTTCAACTCAAGAGGTCATTGAAACTCTGTCAGAGAAATTCAGGCCCGATATGAAAATGCTGACGACATGTTACTCCCTGTACGAGATGCACGCCAGCAAAGGTAAAAGTGCCATCCAGGTAACAGCTTTTGGAGTCAGGTACCAATATTGTGAAGTCTAGTAGTGAAATCTAAACTCCAGAAACTGGTCTCATTGGTTCTCAATAGTCTACAGAGTGTTGTTGTTGTGGGACGGGGTGATGCGACATAATAGTAAACATGACTCTTCCCAACTGCATCAGGTTGAAAGTAAGCATTTGTATTTCATAAAACAAGAAAATGTCTGTTTCAACACCAAATATGTCATCTTTGCTCTATTTCCAATTAGATATAGTGTTTAAATGATTTGGAAACCATCAAAATCTGTTTTTAATCAACATTTTACGGAGCTTTCTAACTTTTTTGGAACTGAGGGAGGATAGAAATGTGTAATCATAAAAGTTTTGCATGTTTCACTTTGTCTGGCTGTTTAATTTCAGAGTTAAGAGCTGCAGTTTCAGGAGTAGTGATTCATCTGACTCAAATATTTCTTTGTTGTTGTAATAAGAACGTAAACTGGACCTGAATGAGAGGCCGTTGGCTGTACAATTACGCTGGACCACCAACAGCCGAGAGGGACGTTTTGTACTCAAGAGAGACGAGGAGGGTTCTGAGGTACCGCCAACATGAAACTGTCTGTAGTTTCATTCTGAAGCTGCCCACACATCGTCTTATATCGAAGCTTTTTTATCCGTTTTAAAAAGGAAACCTGTCAAGAGAAGGAAAAGGGAGGCGTGATCCAAAACTTCAAGAGGACACTGTCACAAAAAGACAAGAAGAAAGAGAAGAACAAAAGTAAAACTTCTGACAACGTTTCAGAGGATGTGAACGGGTAAGATTCATCTTTGTTCACTATGAATCTTTATTTTCCAGACTGCTGGCTTCAGGGCCTACCTCACTGTCAGAATAACATCCACCTATTAAATCAAATATCCAGGTCAGCTGAACTGCCACTGAACGGGATTTGTGTGTCCGACCATGAAACAACTAAACTACAGAGGCAGACTGACCACGGTAAGTCAACTGGGAACATACATAATGATGAACAGTCAGCCTTTTAAACAAGCAAGAGCATCTATTAGTCAAGCAGACAGTACAAGTATGACTTCTCTTTTCTATAATTCAGGAGCAAAGCACACAGAAATCCTTTATCCAGATCAGCCTGGACTACCTATTGGCATTAAATTCTGTGACAACTGTGAGTATGAAAAAGAAAAGGTTTCCTGCTACTCATATGAGGTACTTGCTCACCTTTATTCCCATAATGCCGCCCTGCCCCCTGCTGGTGTGTTTGCATTACAGCTGAGGAGGCCCTCCTGTCTGCAGTCATAAATTACACCAACAGCTCCACAGTTCATTTCAAGCTCTCACCTGCGTACATCCTCTATGCTGTGGGACACTTTGCTCTGCGACGGCATCACAGGCGAAGCTCTGCCCCACCACACGGTGTAACCTCCATCACAAACAAAATGGTAGCCATGACGGGGAAGGTCATCCAGGCAAGACCTCTTACTTTTTACTCGCAGCTTAGTTTAATAGCAAAGTAGGAATCGATTTGTTTAGATATGAAGAGGAAATTTTCATTTATCTCACTTCAAAATGTTCAAAAGCTGAGAAATCAAAGTCATGTCTTCAAGGTGTGTTGTTGTGGGATTACGTAACTTTGCTGCTAAATTTACATCGCAGAGGCAGCAGACCATCGCCGGCGCCCTCGCCTTCTGGCTGGCCAACACCTCGGAGCTATTGAACTTCCTCAAGCATGACAGAGACCTCAGCTCCCTCACACAGCAAAGTCAGCTGGATCTGTCCCACCTGGTACACAAGGCCTACAGGTACAGAGGACTGAGTGACGTAGAAAACACAAACCACAAACACAGCCTTTCAACACCCATCAGAAGAGACACAGCAATAACAGCAAGTTGTATGACCGCTTTTACTCATTTTTCATGATTGAATAAGTCTGATAACCTGCAGCGCCTGGAATACTCTACAGGTGATCAGATAAATATACATAAATGTATATACAGGCATAATATATCTCTTTTAGAATAGATTTTAAGGTTGCTTTATTGGTTTTTAAAGCTCTTAATGGCTTTGGCCCTTCTTATTTATCTGATCGTCTTTTACCTCATGAGCCAGGTAGAGTTCTCAGGTCTTCAGGAAGTTCTCTGTTAACATTACCTAAAGTTAAAACCAAGACATATGGTGAGGCATCTTTGTATAACTACGGCCCCCGTCTATGGAAGAGTTTATCTGAAGACCCGAGGACTGCAGCTAATCTTAATGACTCAAAACGGACCTTTTTTATCTTGCTTTTAACTAAATTTTATATCATTAACTTTGTTCAAGTGTTTTAGCATTTATCTCCTTCTAGTTTTAATGACAGGATCATCTTTTATTGAGCTATTTTGGTGCTCTTATTTTAGTATCTTTTACTGTTGTTTTGATTGATTATTTCTTAAATTTTATTCTTTGTTTCTTTGTTCTTAGATTTTAACCTGAACCTCCAGTGTTTCCTGATCTTGAGTTTTAAAATCACGTTTCCTCAGTGTGCATATGCTGTTTCCACAAAATCAAGCCCTTTTTAAGTTAATGCATTTTAATACAGTTTCTGTTGCGTTTAGGTCCTGGGGTGGGAATGAGGGGTTGGGCTGGGGTAGATTTGGGTTTTCTTTGTTTCTGTTATTCCTTTTTTTCTGTGTACAGCACTTTGTGCTACATGGTCGTGTATGAAAATTGCTATATCAATAAAGACTGATTGATTGATTGATAAAGAGAACTAATAAGGCCTCTCCAAAAAAAAAGAAAAACACTGCAGACTCAGTGCACACAGTATTACTTATTCGATGACTTGTTTGACTGCAGGAATAGTCGATAGGATACTCAGTCACTAAAATAACTGCAGCCTTATCTGAAAATATATATAATTATGAATACATAAGCACAATCTATATGCTGCCGCCACAGCGCAGAAATGCCAAAGTGTTACAGCGGATTGAGGGATATTCCCTTTTTTACTGATCGGTAAAATGTGAACAATATAAACAACTCTGATGTTCAACTGTTTCTTATTTTCTGTCTTAGTTTTCTGCTCCAGTGTCTGCAGAATGAGTTAAGAAAGCATTTGCCAACTTTTTTGATCGATCCTGAGCAACATGGCAAATTGCCTGCAGGTATAGGTAAGTATCCGCACACAACATACTTCAAGCCTCTTGAATTTTGCACAGCAATCTGTCCCCCTGTTCAAAGACGACTCACCTTTGACTTGCCTTTTTGCAGAGATGGTGCTCAACACCTTAATGAACACCATGTCCCTGTTGCGCCGCTGTCGGGTCAACCCTGCCCTCACCATCCAGCTCTTCTCCCAACTCTTCCACTTCATCAGCGCCTGGCTTTTCAACCAGCTGATGAACCCAGAGGCCAAAACCGCAGGCCTGCGTTCACATTACTGGGGAGCTGCTCTCCGCCAGAGGCTCACAGCCATCGAAGCCTGGGCAGAAAGGCAGGGCCTGGAGCTGGCTGCGGACTGCCACCTTGGACACATAATCCAGGTTGGTCCCTCCAGGCACATGTCTAACAAAACAAAAGACAAGTTTCTGTGATATTTCATTATTTTTCCATGTTATGTGCCAAAAGTTCACACCTCATAAACTCATTGACACCATACTGGAGTGCTCTCTTTTTAATGAACTTCTTGGCAAGATAACACGTTTTTATGTTTTACCTTATTTATGCATTGTCGCTCTCACCTCAACATTAATCTGTCAGAGTCTGTCAGGGAGATATATCAGTTTGTACAAGCTGAAAAAAAAACCCTCTCTGCATTTTCTGTCTGTTTCCAGGCAACCATGCTCCTGACCATGAATAAGTACTCCATGCAGGACATGAAGGACGTCCAGAGTACCTGTTTTAAGCTGAACTCACTGCAGCTCAAGACTTTGCTAGCTGACTACCTCTATGCGACCAATGAGCCTCACATCCCCCCAGTGAGTACTTTTAGGTGGATTTCTCTCATTCTTTCGTAATTCTTCATCCATAATCATGTGTTTTGAGATGAATCCCTACAACAGACTTTGTAATAAAAGCACTACTGATAGTAAGAGCTTAAATCACAACATTTTTAAAAAGATGTGAGGTGTTTTGCATGAATATTTGATGGTTTTTGCATTGATGTTAATGGTTAACAAGAGTGGATCAATGTGATGGCAGCTTTAACCAGAAAAAAACATCAACATCAAATAATCTAATTATATGGATAATTAACAATTACAGCTATAATAGTGAATAACTATTTACACTTCCTGATTTCAAATTAAATAAAATTTCTAGTATTAAACAAAAACTTTCTGTCTAATTCTATATTTGCAAGAACATGTCAAGACTGAAGTTAATGAAGGGTGAGAACTCTGTAAGTGGGCTTCATGCAAAAATGCTCAAATACAATACTGCCCTCTAGTGAACCATAGGTTCAACATCAGAAGGTAAGAAGGAAGCCACAAACCAAAGAAAGTGTAGAACTTAAAAAGGATAATTATAACATGCAAAATTGAGCAAATTTCTTACCTGAAGTAGTAGTAGTTCTTCTTCTTCTTCTTCTCTATAAAAAAAAATTATAACATCTCAAGTTTCCATCTATCATCTTTTCTTTCAGGCCTTTCAATGACAGACATATATAAGTGTTATTATACTTCATTTACAAAGATAGGAAGTGCAGTGATTACTGCATGATTAAGTATTAGCTATAACATGAGGTACATGAGTCTACTGAGAGCTTCAAAGTTTCTGGTTATCAGTTAGTTTCACCGCGACCATATTTCTTCTACTATAACTTCTTATTTGTGCTGTTAGAGAGAATTGTCATTTTTATAGCTAAAACCTGCAGCTACTCACAACTTTAATGCCGTACTTTCCCACCTTCACGGTGAGGTCAGCGTTCAGGTCATCTCGGTGTTTAGCTGAGAATCACAGCAGGCAGATTGGATGTCCTTTCCCTGACGCCTTGTCACAGAATGACAAATGCCAATCCATACAACTCGAACGACCTCTTCCTGAAATATATCCGCCGTCTGATCCACTTGTCATCCTCGCTGCAGGATTTGATCGATGCTGTAGTGACGGCTGCAGAGGCCTCAGCAGATAACCTGATTCATAGAGAAGGACGGGACATCCAGCTGGAGGAGAGCCTCGACCTCCACCTGCCCTTCCTGCTGCCGGACGGAGGATACTCCTGTGATACTGTCAGAGGGATCCCACCAGGGTTCAGGGAATTTTTAGAGCCAATTTGCCGGAAAGGTGTGGGATTTTGTACCATATTTTCTTACACTGTAGAATAAAAAGTAAATGTGATGTAGCACAAATGACTGGTTTGATACTGACATCTTCTCTTTCAGGTCTGTGCTCTTTAATATCCCAGCCGAACTCTAAAGGTGACTGGACGGTCTACTTCAGAGAACCGACCTCATCTGCAGACAGAACATACTTGGTGAGCAAAAACACAGACTCCTCTGTTGTAATACAGACCCTTTCCAAAAAATTAGAATATCATTGAAAAGTTTATTTCCATTCAAAAAGTTAAACTTTCAGAGATTATAGATTCAGGGCCCACAATTTAAACCAAGTATTAGTTTGTTTATTTTTACACAATTTGGACTTCCAGATCATAAGACCCACGAAAACATGAATTCAAAATATTATAATACTGTGAAGAAACCGGCCCAAATGTTGCAGGGTATTAATGTTTTAAACTGAGTGTCACACACTAATCATCTACTAAACTCAAAACACCTGCACAGGTTTCCCCAGGTGTATCAATGGAGGATATCAATGATGGTCCTCTGGCCAGTTGTCAAGTCTGCAGTCTTCTCCATATTGAACCAAACTGAGACAATTAAACCAAACTGAAGCAATTATATGACACCTGGGGAAACCTGAAAATAAACAAATAAATACTTGAAATCATTGAAATTGTGGGCCCTGAATCTATAATCTATGAAAGTTTAATTTTTTTGAATGGAATTATGGAAATAAATAAACTTTTCAATGATACTCTAATTATTTGGAAAGGGTCTGTAGATACAAAAAGTACTCAAATAAAGAAAACTTAACAAACCAGTACAATAATTCATTCTGTTTTCTTGAATAGACTGCACAGAGAGAGCCAGAGATTGTGACCATCACTCTGAACAAACCTCTGAACAGTGGGATGGGGGTCAGCATCGTGGCTGCCAAGGTGTCTGGCCTAATTATCAACATTTTTGTCCGAACTCTGATTCAAACGAACCGTAACGTTTTAAGCACCGAAAGTTTCAGCTAAACGTCCAACTTAATTTACGCCCTCACTCTTTTTTTTTTTTTATGCTGCAGGGAGCAGGGCAAGGTAACCTGGGCATTTATATTAAATCAATCGTGAAAGGGGGACCAGCTGAAATGGTGAGATCTCAGATGGTTTTTTAATGTGACTGAATTTAAGATGTTCAATGTCTACTATGATTCCAACAAGATCATGTGTGGAAATATTGAAATAATGCACTAACTTTTATGTCTCTACTTTTGACAGAACGGGAGGTTAACAGCAGGAGATCAGCTGCTCAGCGTGGATGGTCACAGTCTGGTTGGCATCAGCCAAGAGAGGTAGCTGCTTCATGAAAGCTTATTAAGCAGCTGTCTGGAAAGAGTTTGCGTGGGAAGGTTTTACCTGGGAGCCTTGGAAAATATGAAAAAAAGATGTTTCTGCAGCATGCAAACCATAAAAATGTAGAGCAAAATTAAAGGGATAATCATACATGGAAGCATCTGGTAGGACAGTATTAAATAAACAGTAAAAACAAATACTGACTGTCCAATACAAAGTGTTTGCCCTGTGTCAATTTAAAGGGATATTCCGGCGTAAAATTAATTAATTCACGGTCAATCACACCGTAACACCGAGTTAGACATGCCATCGAGAGATGAATGTTGCCGAGCGCTAGCTTCTCTAGTTATACCAACTTTAGTGACGACCACAAGATAGCAAAACACAGCGGTCTGAGGAGCCATAAACAAACCTCAACCAGAACGCCACTCTATAGCCACAAATAATGCTCAGAACAGCACCTAACTTCATCAACAGGACATATAGGGTCACAGACATAGTACTAGACACCAAACATCTTTTTAACTTTGCCGAATTTCTTTAGCAAAGAGACTAAACACAACTCACCTACTCTCTTCCAGCAGCCGCTTGTTTGTAGCGAGACCTCGGGCCAGTCCATTAAGGACTGCTGCGGGGTGAAGTAGCTCAAGGACCCTTATTTAATTTTATGCCGGAATATCCCTTTAAGAACCAGCTGACACAGGAGGTGTTTGCAGCATAATCTTTATTTTCCTGACTTGTTTACCAATTTATTAAAAACGAATGTATTTTTTAAGGCTGCAACAAGATTTTCATAAACTGTAATGATAAATAAAATGCAGATAAAGAAAAAAGTATGCTTGGTTAGGGCCTGTGTCCATTCAAAGCATTTTTCTCCCCCACACATCAATGTAGTTCAACATTGTCAGATCTTAGTGCCATGGCAGCAAATATACCCTCAGCGGTCATATGCTACTTCAAAAGAGCCTTAAAACTTAAAAATAACTTGTGTAATCTTATCTTGGTGTAGGGCGGCGGCTATCATGATGCAAACCGGCCCTGTTGTGACCTTACAAGTTGCAAAGTTTGGAGCGAGCTACCACGGCCTGGGAGCACTGCTGAGTGAGCCGACCTCAGAACAAACTGCAGGTAAAAAAATAAATGAACTTGAACAATTGTTTCCTCATTCGCTGTCTGCTCCTCTGGACTTGATTAAGGCCTTTTTCTTCCTCCCTAAGGTGATGAAATCTACGCTACTCCAAACTATAAAACACCAGAGCTGTACAGTGTTGTGGATCCCGGACCCTCAGAACCGCTGCACGGAAACAGCAAATGGAAGAAGGAGCAGATGATGCAGAGAAACAGACAGCTCTATCGCTCCAACCCCAACATGACCAGCAGTGATTATTCCGTTTTTTACTTCAAAAAATCACTTGATTGTAATACGATATATGCTCATGGGCAGGTCATAACAGCAACTTCTGCATAATGTTTCTGCTTGTTTTTGCAGGTTGTTCCCCTGGAGATGGAGATGAAAGTGTTGACCATGTTGTGAGAGTGCACAACATTGCTGCTGTATCCAGTATCAACCTCTGTACTAATGATGTGAGATGATTTCACCATCTCATACCAGTAGTTTTTCAGATATTAAAGGGATATTCCGGCGTAAAATTAATTTAGGGTCGTAACACCGAGTTAGACAACCTGTCGAGAGATGAATGTTGCCTTGCTTCTCTAGTTATACCAACTTTAGTAACAACCGCACGGTAGCAATACACAGCGGTCTCAGGGGCCACACACAAACCTCAACCAAAACGCCACTCTATAGCCACAGAACAGTGCCTAGCTTCATCAACAGTACATGTAGGGTCCCAGCCACAGAACTAGCCACCAAACATGTTCATAACTTTGCCTAATTTCTTTAGCAAAGAGACTAAACACAACTCATACATCATAAATGTTGTTCCTTGAGCTGCTTCACCCCGCAGCAGTCCGTGATGGACTGGCCCGAGGTCTCGCTACAAACAAGCGGCTGCTGGAAGAGAGTAGGTCAGTTGTGTTTAGTCTCTTTGCTAAAGAAATTAGGCAAAGTTAAAAAGATGTTTGGTGGCTAGTGCTGTGGCTGGGACCCTATATGTCCTGTTGATGAAGTTAGGTGCTGTTCTGAGCATTATTTGTGGCTATAGAGTGGCGTTTTGGCCGAGGTTTGTGTATATCTCCTGAGACCTCTGTGTATTGCCATCGTGTGGTCATTACTAAAGTTGGTATAACTAGAGAAGCAAGCGGTCAGCAACATTCATCTCTCGAGGGGGTGTCTAACTTGGTGTTACGGTGTGATTGACCCTAAATTAATTTTACACCAGAATATCCCTTTAAATTACTTTTAAGAGGGGTGTAACAGACTAAATTCCCACATCAGACAGAAATGCAGTTGAAGTACAAGTATGGTGTGCTTTTGAGTCAAGCTAACCTTCACAATAACTTGTTCTCAGACATATTGCAGAGAATACCTTACACTCCCAACACTGAAATCCCAGGAGAAGAATATGCCTGAATCTGAGCGACCTCAGCAAGCATTCAAAGTGTCTTTGAGGCCTTTAGACGGACACAGATCAAGCAAGAGGACCTTCATGGTAAGTTTCTATCAAAGGTTGATGCGCTTTAAGTCCCTCTGGCACTATATGAAGCCCCATAGACATCACATTGTCAAAGTATAATGTTTACTGTTGGGAAAAGCATTAACTTACCATAATGATCACAAAACACTACTGATTGTTGATAAAATGATATGCAAGTCCTAAATACAACCTTTTCCTTTAAGCGTCAGGCTCTGTCCCAGGAGAACTTGTGCATGGACAGTGGAGGCCCCCTGGTGGACAAAAGGCAGAACTTGTGGGAGCAGAGAGAGCAGAAAAGCCATTTTTCCTCTTTCCCAATTCGCTCCAGTGTTTCTTCCCATGACATCCTCTCAGATGGGTTTTCTCCAATCAAACAACAGCAGGGAAGCCATACAAGTAGTGCTGGAGTTTGGAGAACTCCCTTTTCACAACATCCAACTCCGACTCCTTCAATCCAGCCGATACGCATAGACATCCCTGTGACCAGAGTAGTGAACGCTCACACAAATCCTCCACTCACAACCTTTCAGAGCTCGTCTTTGCTAGCACTGAAGATGAGCCAAACTCTTAAAGTTAATGGAAAAAGTCCTCCGAACCCAGCTCACCATATTTACGCATGTCCCATCCCTGCAATCAAGAAGCTACCTCAGCCCTCAGCTCTGCCACAGCAGCAAAGATCCACCACACACAGAGACCCTGCAGTAAAACCTCAGGTGAGCATCCCTCCAACAAAACACGTCTCCTTTCAAGAACCTCCCACTCAGCAAAAGCAGGGTCCCACTAAGCAAAAAGCCCCCCAGGAGCTATCTGACCCTTGGAGGAGGGAGGCCCAGGAGAAGCTGGAGAAGCAGCAGAGGCTCCAGGCGGTGGAGCTCTTGGAGAAGGAGGTGCAGGAGCTCCGGGGTAAAGTGAAGCGCTCTGCGGAGGAAAACGAGCGGCTCAGGAAGCTCAGCCTGGAGTGTCAGTTTCAGAGGAGGCTGCAGGAGATTCAGCAGAGAGCGGAGGAGGAGGAAGAGGGGGAGGAAGACGAGGATTTGGACATGATGGTGACGATACAGCAGCTGGAGGAGCGGACACAGGTGAGGCACGAGAGAGGTACCAGGTAAAGAGACGAAACATGAATAAACTTGTTACTGCTGATTATGGCGCCTCTGTGGACAAGATTTTGGGACTTTTTAGCCTTTATCAGCCTGGATGGATGAAAGGGGACATTAAATATGGAGAGCATAGGATCAGTGAAGACACATCGAAAAGGGTTCAGGCTGGAAATTGAACTACGGACCCTTGTGTTCAACTCTGTATGGAGTGCTTAAATTGCTAATTTGTTTTTATACTTAAACCAAGAGGGAAAATTAGCTCTTCAAACATACCAAAACTTAAGTATTACTTGAGTCGTATCATTAGGCAATTTATTCCAACCTTAAAAATAATAAATGGCTTATGCTCAACATGCAACAGTCTTAGGTGAAGGTAAATTTCAATGGGCATTTCTGTGTGAACTGAAGCTGATCTCATTTAGAAGTCTAACTCTGTATTATTTCCGTATACAGAACAGGAGAGGCTCTACTGGTAAAATCCACACTGAATATAAAGAGCCAGAAAAGAAGGAAGAAATTAATCTGTCCCAAAAGACAGGTAATACTACACCAAACAAATTCAACTCTTCTTTTAGTTTTCTTTATTTAAAATAATCTGTGCACATCAGACATTTTGTTTTATTGCACTTTGAAACATTTGCATTTCTTTAGCAGATCAAAGATGGAGTGGACGGAGTCAAGATGATAACACGGCATCAAAAGAGTAAGTTTTTACCTGCTGAAGCGAAACATTGATATGAACCCATTTACAAGCAACCGTTTAAAAAGAGTTCCTACTTTTTTACTGTGCTGGCACATAAATGTTGATGCACAACAAACTTTTTAGAGAATGTTGTACTTCTTTTTTTAAATAGAGAGACATCACTGCAAACTAATTCTTCCAAAACCCTTTACAGGTGTGTTTGAAAGATCCCTGAGTAAAATGACTATGACGTCTACATTTTTAATGAATATAATTAAAACAGCACAGGCAACTGTTTGTGTCCCATAAAGTTATTCCCCCGTCATTCAAGTATTCCTGCTTAAACTTTAATTTCTTCACAGGAACCAGGAGGAGAAAATCAGGAGGGCATCAGCTCCTGAAAAGCTCACCTTCAAGGAGCGTCAGCGTTTGTTTTCCCTGGCCTCAAGTGCATAAAGGAAGGTTAAAGGGTGTCTACACTGAGAACACTTAATAAAACAATATCAGCAACCACACTGATAACACAATCTGTAAGAGGCACAAAGCTCAACAAAGCAGCAGCTGGCAAAAATAGATACTACTGCGCCGTTACTGCTTGATTTTGTAATGTGGCTTTCATCAGATTTGAAAAAATTGTTTTAATATTTGTTCTCGTTCAGATGAACCTTCAAAGTCTTGCAGAGATAACCTTAGGGGATGAGCTTAACTGACGGTGTGCTAATGAAAATAGAAAACATACAGTACGGTGTAAAATATAAGGCAGCTTGAGTATATAGCTTTTGTTTTAGTGAAATGTCACAAGAAGACTGTGGGTAATGTTGACGCACAGTGCAGTTTTGATCTCCTGGACATACTTTTTTTTATTTTTTAGCTATTTGTGCATTGGAAAATAAAATAGCTATCTAGCAAAGTCACTTTTTGTTCTTGTTTTATGCTTATTCAGTCTAAAACCGGGTTGTCGTTTGAGCTCCTGACCTTCAAAAGTTACTTTGTGCGCTGATGAAACTGCACCACAGCTTTCTCCTGCTCGTGAGTTTCAATGGAGCCTCTCCTCATCCTTCGGATCTCGCTGATGGCGTCGATCCCGGAAATCTTCCTCGTCTTCACCAGGTAGCAGGCCAGCATGGTCCCTGTTCTGCCATGACCGTGCATGCAGTGAACTCCCACACCCTGCGGAAGAACAATGCAGCGTTTGTTTTGTTGACTCATGTTTCATGCAGCAAAGAGAAACAATGAATCAGTCAGTGTCATGAGTCAGAGTTTGCATTTCGATTTCTGAATATTCTATTTCTAATATTGGATAAATGTATTTTGAAGGAGCTGCAGGGTTGTTAACACCCAAAGGTTTTGTCAAAGTCGAGTAAACTTTTGGCAAAATGTTTTCAGATTGAGTGTGAGGAGAGATTTTCTAAATATTTCCAAAACTAACCATCCTTCAAGCACAGACTATCAAGAGTCCTAGCTCTTACCTCCCCCTTTGAGTTGGCCTCCTCCACGATGGACAAGAATCTGTCAATCTGAGTTGGCGAAGGAGGAGTGAAGTCTGCTATTTTGATGTGGTGCAGCTTTAAATCTGGACACGTATCATGGTAAGGTGGTTTCCTCTCGCACAGGCAGACCAGGTGTTTGATACCATTATCCAGCATGTACTGGTAATCGGAGGTCATCCTGGGCAGCGCCAGTCCCGCCAGCTTTCCTGGTTCAACCCAGGAGAAATTATTCGGCGCCATGGAGGACATGTTTGTCAAACTGGGGAGAGGAGAGACAAAGTCGTGAAGGTGGTTTATTTACTCACGTCATGATCACTATGCAGTTAAAAAAATGTTTCCAACACTCTTCATTTCTGTATTTACCAACCACCAACAACAACCAACAACATAAACACTACAACTTTGATGAGCATTTTAATAATTACCTGTCAAACAAGATGAATACTCCAGGTTAATTTGCTGTAGAGCCAGTGACAAAGTGCAAAAGCCAAACACTGACTCTAGGAGTGAGCTGCAGACAGTGTTTGACAGTTTCAGACTATTTGTCTGACCAACCCTCAGCAAACAGGCAGAGCTTCATAGTTCATTCATTGTTTATTCATTGCTTTCATAGCAGCATATATTTCAACATAATGCATGCCTACTGTGGGAATAAACTAACCACAGGCCTCACAAGCCTCCACCTGCTTTAAGTCTAAGTCAACACAGCCAAAGCAGTGCTTGCCAGTACAAACAACACGCCATATTACTTACCGTCTCGCTTTCTAACCCTAACAGTTCAGCTAATATCTGCATTTATTGTCAGTAGAGATGAATAAAACGACTTTTGTTTACTTTGACATGTTCGTCAACTAGCCAGAGTAGCAGGAGAAGTGGAAATTGTTTTACGACTTACAACCAGCACTAGCTGCAGCAATGCATGGTGGTAGATGATTGACGACGGTGAAGTCAGCTTCACATTCGACGAACTCATGGTGCGTTCAAGTGCCTCTCGGGTGGTTTTACTTCCAAGGAAAGACGGTTTGCGTCCCGGCGTGCACGTAGCCATTAATGTATTTATTTCCGATGACACGATTTTTTAACACTGAGGTTTGCTACAAACCAAACCGTTTGAAAATCGGTTAAAAATTAAACAATTTAAATGCTACATGCACCGCACACTGTAATGTTTTGAGCAGGCGAGCGTCCCGTAGCAAAATGGCCGCCACGCGCGGACGTCGGTCTCCATTAGCTAACAGCGTGCGTGCGCCATCTAGCGTTTCTATATATATATATGTGTTGACAGATATTAAAACTGCGGTTCAGTGCAATACCGCTTAGCGCCAGAGGGTGGCGTTTCTTGACGTTCGAAGTTTGGGATTGGGACGCAGTTTAAATTCCTGTTCGGGCGTTCGCCCGTGACCTTCTCCTCAGCTCTGTTCTCGTTGTTTCGTCGATTTTCTCGGCATTCAGAAGTGATGTTATAATGAGATTAACACAAGTTTAAGCAGCGCGGTGGAGCCCTGACTCTTTTCGATCGATGTTGACGGACTGTTCGTGCACAAACCTCCTGGTTTTATCTACGGGTACCTGACTTTCAGACCTGCCAACGAAGGCCGCTAGCTTGACGCCGCTAGCTCGACGACGACAGGATGATAATGTGGACATTCGCATGATGGAAATTCGCTGAACTCGGTAGGTTTTGATTCATATATCCACACTATTAAGATAAGAATCTAAAAGTGGTGAGAACATGGCAATTGAAGGTAGGTTGGGTGAGTTAATGAGCGCATTTAGCGAATTAGCATAGGAGCCGAGCTAGTACACAGATTACAGATGTCACCTTAATTTGACCACTTAGCTGTTTTAACATTAAGAAATTAACACGTTATTTTCAATGCAACTCATGGAGAGGGTGGGTAGTTATTATTTCCACAGTTTTAATATGATGATTTAAAAGTGGTTTGAGCATGGTAACACACGACAGGTGTGGTGAGTTAATGGGTGCGTATAGCTAATTAGCATTGGGGCCGATTTAGCATACAGATGACGACTAGCTTGGTTCAGGGACACGCAAGTTTGACCACTTCATATCTTTAGCTATAAATACCTGACAGATATTAGAAAAATGTAATATTTAGGTTTTTCACATAGTGGAGACTTTCAAAGCTCAACTTGTATAGATTTTGAGTTGATATATGCAAAGGCTGATTTGCATGCTGTGGCCTGAATTCAAGATTGTGAATGTGTTGTAAATTGTGTAAACTCTTACTTACTTGCAAGTGAGCTAGTTTAACTTAACTCTCATCCAATGTGGCCCTAATGTAAGGGGAAACGTCTGCTAGAGTTTAACCGTGCTTATTGGACCTCACTAGTGCTTTATAGTCGTAAACTTAAATAGTAGAGCGGTGTTAGAGCGCAGCGTTGTCTGAGTACTCAGAAATCGGGTTTCCCCTGAAAGCCGCAGCGCAGGCGACCAATGCAAAACTAACTTCGGTGCAGATCCACACAGCGTTGCCAACAAAGACGTCATACACGTAGACACCTCATTACGCGCTGGAGCGTAAGCTTGTGTCACCGCCATATTGGATGGGTCTCACCACTCCAGGTTCGCTCAAGAGCAAAAGGGTGTCAATGGAGAACGAGAAACTATGCCTGTTTTTTTTGCACTCTATAGTTGAAAAATCCGACGCAGTATTGAAACCAGATCACGTAGGCCTACACTTCATAGATAGGACTGATTTTTTTTTTTTTTATCCCTTAGTGACTGACAGTGTCCCGTATTATTACTATATCTATGCCGTTGTAACAAGTCAAACAGTGTGGAAATCGGGCAAAGTTTCGCAGTTATTATCAATATGGTTGGGCATTCCTTAATGCAATGGAGGCGCGCGGGGGACCCATTCAAAATGGCGGCCGCGCTGATACGAGAGCTCCAACAGGCAGTGTCGTGCTTTGAGGCGTCTACGTGTATTATGTCTATGGTTGCCAAGCTAGCGGTTTTGTCGCCAGATTTAGCGACTTTTCAGACCCCCACACTGACTTATTTCCCTAAAAAAAGCACCTAGCAACAAATCTAGCGGCTTTTTCTGGAGTTTAGAGAAACATGAAAGCAGATAGATATTTTCCTCTTCTCCACGGGTCGTCGGTGTGCATCAAAAACACAGACAGAGGCCGTTTTCGAATTAGTCTTCTTCATACTCCTGCCAAACGCTGACTGTTAACTCAGACTGTAACTACTGATGATCATAAGGCATGACAGGGAGGATAGACTAAGCTCACTGAGGAGGGGGATTGTTGGTTTTACAGCTCATTAGTGTCTCAAATGTCAAACCATGACAGCAACAGCTTTAGGAAGTCAGAAAAAAAGTGGTTTGTGATATCAGAGGATATGACGACACTTGAGTTCAGTGGGTTTTCATGTCAGGATGGCCGAGCGGTCTAAGGCGCTGCGTTCAGGTCGCAGTCTCCCCTGGAGGCGTGGGTTCGAATCCCACTTCTGACAGTAACCTTTTTTTCCAGGGGTCTATATGGTTTGGGTTGTAGATATGTGGTGTTTTTTTTTTTTTTTTTTTTTTAATTTCCCACAATTTCTGATGATCTTTCATGCTGTACAGTGGTTAAATAGACATATAAGGGTGACCATCACCCCAATTATGCTCTTATTTTTGTTACATCCCCCCTAGGATCTGCTCATAATTGACTGGGTAGCTGTCTCCTCTGCGGCGGCAGGTTTGAGTCCAACTCAAGGTGAGGATTGGTCAATTCATTTGGGTTATATGTTTGTAATACCACAATATGTCGGTAGCATCCTTTTTCATAAAGCCTTTTGCATGTAAAGACTCTACTTTATGGCTGTACATGTATATCATTGTGTTAGGTTAGTACAAAAGGGTGAATATTTTATCATAGCCTTGAAATAATACTTCAAAGCTTATTTTGCTGTGAGCTCATCCAACTTCACGATATATTTCTGCCATTACTTAGAATGCTTAAATGTAGAGTATACTTGTATGTCCTGCATACAATATTAAATGTTTGTTCACAAGGTTATTAAGCCCAATTCTTGTGTTTAATAATCATTTTAACCGTGTGCCTGATTCTGTACAGACACGCCTTTATTTGCACATTTGTTGCCATTTAATAACATATTGCTATCTTCTGTTGTACTATCAATTACCTGTAATATCTGTAAAATATGCATAATACATGCAGTTCACATCAGATACTGCAGAGGGCATATCATCTCATGCAAAATGTAGATATCCCTATTCCTAAATACTTCTCTTAAAGCGCTCGACCTGCTTTTACAGACCTCCCAGTTACACAAAACAGATTTCAACGTTTTAATAATAGAGAGATGTATGTTTGTGTGAATTACTCAGCTGTTGTTTATTTCAATTACGATTTTCATATGTGACTGAAGGTGTAACCATCAAGCCTTGCTGTCTCAGTCTTGTACCCAACTCGGAAATGATTTAATAAGGTTAATTTTAGAAGTTTAACGCCTTCTTTGGCTGATGATTGAAATATTCATTTTCAAAAGTTGTAGTTTTAATTCCTGGAAATGTGAGTGATTCATATTTGAGAGATGTCTGTGTTGAGGCATTTTGTTGCCAGCTGGAAACCACCTCTGTTGTTACTACGTCCACAAGGAAGGAGACAGAGAAAAAGACGGTTCAGAACTCACAGCACAGCACAGTTTACTTGCTAGTTATTTTATACAAACAGTAGAAAGAGGGTTTGTATCTGTAGGAGACAAACTGCATCACATTTGCCAGATAGATGTGGATACACAGAGACTGATTTTCACGCAGGTATTTCTGAAGAGAATCACATAAATGTATGTTTCAAACATCCCATTAAAAAAGCATTAACTAACCTGTTGGAGTAAGAAAAGAAAGTTAACAGAGCTCTTTCAGCAATCACGTACAGTTATAGAAAGTTATCTAGATGATAGATAAAGTTGAAATAAACATGAATCAACAACTTAAAAAAACATTCCAATCATCAGGTTGTGTTTAGCAGTAGGCGTATTTTTGTTTGCTGTCCCACAATGCCTGACTCACCCACAGACCATTTATCAACAGAACATTTGGAAGTCCCCAAAGAACCACAGAATATTTTTTATTCTCATTTTATCTTTTTTTTTTTTTCTTCTTTTGTACACACTACAACCTGAAGACTCAGTAGGCTGTCCATCCATCATGTAATCATACTCCTCCTGCTCCTTAACATCATCCTTTTTGTGTCATCTAAAAGCACAGACCCCCGTCAACATGCTGCAGCGCCCCCTTTTAAAAAGCAATCAAAACCCCCTCAGTGGTTACAGGTCAACTCTGCGGGTTTGAAGTTTAGCACACTTTGGGTGCCGTTCGAGAAAGGGGGGCAGTAATCACCGTGCCCCCCTACTAGAAGATTTCTACGTATTTTTGAACATCCAAGTTCAAAGTCCCACACTGAGCAGACTGCCGAAGGGCCATGTTGATGATGTTGTTGTTGTTGTGTTTACAGGATGGCACAGAAGAACTTCTTCTCCCTGAAGGGGTTCTCTGACGCTGGGACTGGTGATAACAGAGGGTCCTCTTTGGCGTGGGCTTCGCAGTATGACATTAAGTCTGCAGCTGCTTTCGAGACCTGGTATGAAACACACACACACGCACACATAATTCAATCAGTGTTTTCCAATCTTATGTATGAAACTCTGATATCAGATGAACTTCAACTTGAAAACTGGAAAAATGCTAAGGTGTCAAAATGGAAAACAGAAACCAAAAAGTTTAATGATAACACCATTTGTCAAGTTTTTTTTTTTTAATCCGAAATTCGCAAAAAGTTTAGCATGACCAGCTTTGACAGAACTGATACACAGCTGCAAGAGTGTCATCAGTAAAGGTGGGTTTTGGCAAGAACCTCACAATACCATACGTATTACGATACATGTGTCACAATATGATTCGGTGCAATGGGATTCGATTTGATACGTTACAATACGGCTGTGTATTTGCAAGAACCTCATGATACAAGACATATCACGATAAAGTAATAATATATCATGGTATTTAACATTGTTAATCAGTCAAAAACACGAGTTGCTGTAAATGAGGATACTGATCCAAGGACAAACTTAGTCACAACTTTGTTTCAAACAACAAATACCATTTTATTTGACTGCATAAGTGCTGCATGTTACTGAACATATTGAAAAGGTGGGGTGGGAATCACCAGTGGCCCCACAATAAGATACTATCACGATACTTGGGCCACGATACGATATTATTGCGATTTTTAACATTTTGCAGTACAGTGAGTATTGTGATACAGATTTAAACATTTTTTTAAAATGTTGAGCTAATTTAGCGTTTGTCTTCCCTCTATGTTTATCTTATTTACAAAGTATTTTATTATTTTCATGTAACACATCTTGCAAATCTTGTGTGTCAGGTCCAGCTCAGTTGCGCCCCCCTTGCATTCCTAATGTCTTTCCCCAGGTGCTGCTATGTTTGTTGTACTAACTTTTTCCTGCTCTATGATGTCCCCTCTGTCAACCTCACTGGACAAACAGTTGATTTTATTTTTCCATTATCATAGATTTGACTTCATATTGGCAATTTATTAAAAAAAAAATGATACTTGGTCAATGTTACGGTACAATATATCACCAAACAAAATATTACGATACTATGCTGTATCGGTTTTTTTTCTTCCACCCCTAGTCATTAGTGCAGATTTGTTCCCATAAACTCTGAACTACTCCTTTAAGCAACCACCCCCGCTCCCCTCTGTGTCATCTTACCTTTATCCTATCAATGTTGGCCTCCATCTTCAGCTGTTCCACCAGCTTCCTGGCTTGAGCGATGCTCGCCGTGTTATTGCTCGCCATTGACCCTGTCAGTCACGTCTGGTGCGCTCGGCCTACACGGGAGAGACAGTAATTCAAACACTTCAGACACTGTAGTTCAAACAGCGTGTCACTGATTAACACGCAAACTAAGAGGTGTGCTGGTAACGGATAGCCTGTTTATTATCACATGCCTGCAAATACACACAAACACTCATACACAGAGACACAGGCTTATTATTTATGGCGTCAGTTGCCAGGCAGTACATGACAGCGAGGGGGAGGCGGAGGAGGAGGGTGAGGGGGCAGCGTTTGACCAGCTCTGAGTTGAAACGGATAAAAGGGTAAGAAATAATACGCAAGCGATATCATCCTCGTGGTCACTTTCTCAGCCCCCATGTCACTGTGGTCACACTACGTATAATTTGATGCCTCTAAAATCAATAGGTCTGTCATTTGATCCTCACCAACAAAGGTCATCTCACAGGCAGCAGATGTTTCAAAGCCACAGCATCATTTTATTTGCATTTCTGGCATTGTAAAAATGTGTCTAAACTGATGCGTGTGCATTAAGTGCTTCATAGGCTCCATCTGCTCGCTGTGACGCTGATCAATATTTTTGAGCCTGTTTGTCACGTAGACATGCCAGACTTCACGGACAAGGTCTAAAACGCTCATCTATGCTTAGAAAACACCGCAACCTTTGATACCAGGAGGCTGGACATGGATGACACTTTGGTTAAAATGCTATTACTTTGTTTAGTCTTTCAGTTTTCTTTTACTGAAACACTCGATCTACAACTAGGTGTGATTTTTTTTAAAACGATAACTGTTTTGTTGATTTGACTTTAAATCTTTGATCAGACTCATTTGGATCCTTACTGATGGATAGCTATACCTTGAGGGACATTCCTCTTTAACTCGGTGGTGGTGGACAGCAGCTTCCACCAAATTTTTCAGAGATTCAATTTGGTTAGATCTGGAGAGTCTAAAACTGATAGTATTTCAAACCTCCTTAGACGTCGAGGTTGATTCTTGTTCCTCTCCTCATTTCCTTTCACTCCTTCATCTGTGCAGACTTTTAAGCTCGCTGTCCTCAGATGCTTCTTTGTCTTTTCTAACCTCTTTGATTAAATGGATCAAGCTGTGGGCGCCCTGAAACAGCGTCATCCTTGCTGCGTGATCAATCTTCCCTGCGCCTCCCCTCTGTCATCCGTCTGTTTGCACTGCGGTGTGACTCAGTGTGGGCTTAAGACTGATCTCAGCAAGCTGCTGGAGCTGAGCATGAATATTGATAGCCCACAGTGGTGCACCTGCAGACCGGTAAACTGATGCAAGAATTTCCGATGTCACACCGACTTCGACCCTGATGGTCTGTTAATCGTTCAAAGCCCGCACAGGTTCACAGGCTCCAGATTGTTTGTTTTACACGTTTATCAGGGTTGTTAGTGTTTTCTTGCTCGCCGGGGTTTATTAAATATTTCAGGTAAATCCGTCAGGATGTGATGATGTGTCTAGTTTGAGTATTTTTATTTTCTCCGTTATCTTTTGCCTTCTGAGTAGATGATACAACCATTTTGATTCCTTTTGTTCTTACTCAAGGTGGAAGAGACTACTGGTCGTGCACCTGAGTCGTGCAAATACACAGTGTCTATTTGTTAAGTTATAAATCCGAAATAAACTGTGTGATTTGTTCAAGATAACATGTCAGGACCCCCAACCATTGATAGCACTGTTATGATCTACCTTTTCGTACCGTAAAGTCCTCCTCTTTTTTAACGGTCTGTGGAAAAACTTTTAAAAAGGAAAGTTCTGGAGAAAGTTTCTAATATTTACTCTACTCTCTCAGTTTCAGGGCTGAGACATTTCCGCCGAACAGGCCTGGAGAATCTCGAGTGGCTGTCAGCGCGAGCCAAGTGACTATCTGAAGAGGATGTACGAGCTTAACCTGCAGCTGAGTGTGCGGTATGAACAGTGTCACATAAACACTTAAGAGTGAGAACATCCAGCATCCCCTTCACTGCAGCGACTATAAAACTGAGGACTACTTCACCTTTTAGGGTGAGAGAGTTTTCGATGTTTAATTTGGTTAGGTGTCAAAATAAGGCTCGAAAACCAGAAGGTCATGATGATATTAAAGGAATCAAAACGTTGAATGAAGGAAACACAAACAGCACTTCTTGTTCGCGTTTTCTTTTGTTCTGATACTGGACCTACAGTTTGGTGATGATTGATACTTGTTTGTTAAGTCTGTGCTACCACGATGGTGGCCTTCATAAGAGCAGACCTGCTCCGAGGCTCACTCTAACATTACTTTAATATCTAGTGTACACATACCTACTAATATAATATTACATTTCTGCAAGATCTATACTCCTAAAATCGCTAAATACCACACATTGCATCTTTACCCCTCAGATCATGCTGTATTTTTATGTCTAAATCAGGTCAGCCGTTTTACCCCTCTATCATACAGAAAAACTAATCTTCTTAATGAGGTGATAATTACTCCACGCTGGTATCTTAAAATTACTTTTCTGGAGGTTTAAAGAGAATTGTGACATTGTAGAAAGAAGTTATAAAGAATTTGTCCCAGTTCTGTCATCAGCTGGAGGGATTTTTGGATTACTTCTTCTCAGGGGACTCCTGGGTTCAGCGTTTTGTGAGGTTGAGTTACTAACATCTGGTTTCCCTCCCGAAGCCAAGTGTTAAGTTTCCTGCAAAATCCAGCATCACAAACAGACCTTTTTGGTATGTTTAGTGTTAGATAAGGACTATAATCTCACTCCACAGGGCAAAAACATGCTGCAGACTCTACATAGGTGTGATTGACAAGCTCAAATGAGTCTTTAGCGTCTTTTGTATTAAGGTCGCAGCATTGTTTTAACGCTCAAGGGAAACTTAAAAAGGTCGCATCACAAACTATTGATAGGCTTAGATGTAACTCTTCAGGGATGAGTTAAAAGTAGAGATCTAATCTCCATGGAGGAAAATCAGACAGTGTGACACAATAGCCTGGTTTGACTGTTTTATCTAAATACATAAAGTAAATGGGAACTGTGTCTCAAGAGGCTCTGCGATAAAGACAGAAACACACTGTTGTGTTTGGAGATGTTCACTTGAATAAATTTACATTCAATCACAAACTTCCACCAACCGACTTTGTTATGTCTCTGTAAAAATGTCTCACTTGCACTTGTGGTGAGTGTAAGTGAGTCTCTGCTGACTCTCCCCTCAACACTTACTCTTGCTTACCGTTCTGAACAAACAAGAAAGAACAGGAAAAGCTGACTGTGAAAGTTTAAAATGTTGCACATCCGAGGAAAAAGAGAACAAGCGTGATTCTCAATGAAGACAAATTGGACACAAAGCAGTCACTGCAGGATCTGCATGGACCCAGCTTTGGTAAATGGACTGTACCTCCATTGTGCTTTTCTAGTCTTTTGGCCTCTGAAAGCACTTTTGCACTACTTGTCACATCGACCCGTTCACTCAGTAATGGCAGAGATTTAAAGTGCCCATCAGTATTAACGAAAGACATTCACACATTTATTGCTGGTTGTGCTGCTCAGAAGCAATTTAGGATTCAGGAGCTTTGGTTACATTTGCAGTTTCTCCTCAATCAGTTTGAATCACTCTGATCGGACACTAACTTCAGTGTTTTACACGAAAGTGAAATAAAATAATCCAATTGAGACACAGTCTTCGGTCGCACATTTAATCTTAATGAAACTCTTTGTTCTGTTGGAGACTTTGGCCAAAAATAGCAGAAGTTGTTCCATCTGCGTGTTCCTGTTGTGAACAACAACACTGCCATTGTGTCATTGCACATCATATGAAACAAACAGAGGGTAAAAAATGAACACTTGTGCGACACGCCTCCATGTTGCCCCTTATGTATGAAACTCTGGATGTCCGTACTTTTACTTTTGTATCAGCTGTTTGCACTGTGATCAGTTCAACTAACACTCAGCATACACAACCCTTCTTGACTGGAACAAAATACCCCCCTGAATGAGTCGGATTAGTCTCCTCAAACTAGCACAGAGCACATGGAGCAGTTTTATTGTAAAGGACCATTACTTAGGTTGTTGGTGATCTATGTCAACAAAGTTAATGACCCGTCAGAGACACTTGAACATGTGAACTGTGGGAGCAGGGATCAAACCGCCAACCCGTAGTTAGCATGTTGACCTGCCTACCTAGTCTGCCAGCATTGTATGGAGCTTAAAAAACCTAAAGGAGGCTTGTTGGAGCTTTCTGGACCTTGATTGATTACATTGAATTAATCATTAATTAAATGTTCACAAAGAGGAGCATATTTGTCAGTTCCCAACGTGTATGAAAGTGGAGCACAAAAGCGGTTCCAGTTAATTGTCAATGGGTCGTGAGAGAATGCCACCCTGACATTTTCATATCAAGACAGGAAGCGGCACAGTCATGCAGATAGAGGCCTTGCATGTTTTATAATCTGGTACCTTAAAGGGAACTGAAAGGGTTTAATTAGTACACATGAAGTATACTGTTCCACTTTTGTTCTTCACTAAGCCCTAGGATATCATTTCACTGCGTTTACAATGGACTCTCTCCCTTTGGTTATCATGAAACCTCGTACGCTTCCTTCCTTCCTATCTGTCAGCTGCCCCAAATACCATCCTGAGATGTTACACATGGTGTGAACATGCTGATAACTGTGACAAGTTACCCAACAGGCGCTGATAGATGCAACATTTTTAGACGTACGCCTCATCTGTGCCGTCTTTGAAACTTTGCAGAAGCAGCTTAACAAAACAGTTTTGACCACTCCTTCTGTAATATTATGAAACTCAAGTGCCCCCTCCTCTTGATGTATCTTACCTTGTCTGCTCACTCCTCCGCACTCGGCCCTGCTGTCTGCCTGCAGTTCAGTCAGCAGTTTACCTCCGCCCCACTCTCTGCAAATACAGAAGAAGCCATAAAGAGAGGTTGAACCTGCAGCAGAGGCCTTTTTTGTAAAAAGTGTTTTCGCTCCTGCATTCTAGATAAATTATATCAACTTGCGTGTGTGTGTCACTTTAATTTGATCGTCACATGCCGAAATGTCACAGCTGGCTCTTACAAACATGGCTGAGGGGGTTTGAACGAGGGACACCGATGGAGAAGAAACACAACAAACTACTGCAGGGAAATAAATTAAATTCGGTAGAAATGATGAAGTAATTATGGCTTTAAAGAATAGCCTCATGTAAGTTGTGCTCACTTGATACAGCTCTACTTGTGTACTCAGTGATGTGCTGCATCCGGCTGACTATAATCTCAGTTTAGCACAACAAGTGGACACAACAGGAAAGAGTTGCTGTGTTTCAGTCACGGGGTTAGAAAAGAAAGACGGGAAGATCTGCACCGATCTGATATACCGTTTGAATGCAGCTTTATCCTGCTGAAAATGTGCTTTTTCACCCGTATATGAAACAGGGAGATGAAAGCTCACGTATGTGCTGTCACCATGTGGTCTAGCTGTTTAGCATGACATGAGGGCTGACACTGTACAAGTTGTAACGGGACAGAAACTGATCCCTCACTCAGTACGTTTACATGACACTCGAGAAAACGGAATTATTGCCTTATTCCGATTAAGACCAGACAACTGAAGTGCGTGTAAATACCTTTGTCTGACTATAATCGAATAAAGTTTGAGAACTCCGATTGGAGTCGGAGAACTCCAACTAAGACACCCAGATAATGTGATTGGAATTCGATTTTCTCTACCATGTAAACAGTGTAGTTGGAGTATGTTGAGACAATGCATGTGTGCGTGCGCCATGCCTCAGTAACCCTGGAACAAAAACACTAGAGAAGAAGTGCCGCAATCATTTAAAGAACTTTCTACTCAGAAGCAACTGCAACATGGTTGATGCACGAAAGAATGTCCACTTTTGGAACGACGAGGAGAGTGCAGTTATGCTTTCGGTCCTGCCAGAAATAGACATTTTAAAGTATACGGACCGTCGCAAAACGGAATAGAGACATCTTCAAAACAGTTCCAGAAACAGCGCAGCTGAAAAGACCCATATCGCCCCCTAGTTTTGGGGAGGAGGACACGTTCATGTCAATAACTCTATTTTTTTCAGCTGCATTTATACACGGACAAGGAGAGAAGTCTGATTTGGCAAAAAAAAACAAAACAAGTTGGACAGGTTGCTGGTCACTCACAGGGCTGATATACTTTGATGATACAAGTATAATGTGCAGCCAACATCACAGCATGTTGTCGTGTTGCTTTTTACCGCCTACTTTTTTACACAGGTACCGTCACGAAAAAAGAAGAGGTTGGCTCATGATCAGCCAAAGTTTCTGACATGGCAGAAACTCATCCGACCAGTGGGTGACCAGCTAATCAGGGCGCCGATCAGCTTTTATGCACCCTTCACCCTCAACATAAAACAGCTGGAAACCTCAAACTGCCCAAGTCATCGCTCTATTTCCCAGTTATGTCACACTTTTCCGATTATTCGTGCTTTTTCCATTGCTGACCCTTTCAACTTTCCACCTCTTTTTCTCCGCTCAAACATATTAATTCTTCACGCCTCTGTGGCTGCAGATCTGTTCTCTGCCGCTTCTTACAAATGGGTCAATTTCTCTGCATGAGTATATCTGCAGAGGAAAAGGGAATCCCAGCCATCGTAAATCATAATAGCTTGCAACAGTAAAGCAACATTACAGTAAGGCATTTAAAAAATTAAAAAAAAAAACTCGTGAACAGGGAGCTGAAATCCCTGAGGCAGCGTTCAAGCAGCAGTAAAAGAGCGAACTGTTTAAAAAAGCACAAGAAAAAAAAAGCATGAGGTCTCGCTGCACTGTTTTGTCACCTCTTAGCATTTGCTGGAGTCTGTAATCCCACTGTTACACTGTGTTATGTAAGCTGTTTAATCATTTTTATCAGAGCAGTGATTCTTAAACCATCTGCTGGGCTGTTGCAGTTTTTAGCAGGACTGCCTTGTGGAGAAAAAGTAAATTTTTTAAGGCGTTTTAAAACGAGCAATGAAAAGACGCAGTGTATTTTATTTCGTGCCATTTAGCAGAAGAGACTTAGTGGAGACAGAGTATTGGTCTCTAAAAAGCATGTTTGTACTGTAGTGCATAATGGACAATCTAATAACACATGCATGTTTGTATTTAGGAGATGCAATTGTTGGACGACGAAGAAGAGGGTGGTTATGTGCAAAAGACTCACAGTTGTCACACCCAACAGGAGCTTCTTGTCCTCAAAGGCCACCGTCTTTTCTCTGACTAGAGGGCTGAATAGGTCTGACTGCCTGATATCACCTAATATTTCCCTTTTTTACAAACTGCACCTTTAACTTTTTGCTCTTCTTTTGTTAAAAAAAGATTTTTCAGGTCATCCAGAGGTTCATTTTAAGAAACAAGAAAGTATATTTAAGAAAAGAAAGATGTTTTGGCTTTTGACCAGGTGACAAAAACCCTCTATTAAGGAAAAATGATTAAAAGATCTAATTAATTGTGAGTCTACGTATGATTTTTCTCGTATTCACTGCAGCGTTTACGGGAGAAAAATCCTCTTTTAAGCCAACATTGTTATTTCTGGATCCAAAAAAGACACGGTTGGTGGTGCGTCAAGAGTTTAACAGCAGAGTAAATAATGTAAAACACTGTCACAACCAATCGCAAATATTGACTTTACCTCTCTAGTTTATGAACAGCAAACAAAGTTAAGAGTCACATGACCCATAAGTTGTAGCTGTGGTGAGTTTTATTTGCAGAGAGCACGTGTTATGCACAGAGACATCCGGCTTGTCACAACAGACTCACATTTACATTTGGGAGTTTCCCTGTAAAACATTACAATCATCTGTTGTTTATGTTTCACTGGTTTGGGAGCAGTCAAGTTAAGAAAGTGAAACTGCACGTTACTGGGTGGACAAACACTCGACTTCTTTTTGACTGAAGTGACCAAATTATTTGCAAGTCACTGGGAAAGAATTAATTGTTTATTTAGAAATGTGTCCATCAACTCGATATTACATTTTACATCATGGCTGCACTGTGACATTTTCCATTTTGTTTATTCTTCCCTCTTCGATCAGTTTACCGTTTGCTGCAGAAAATGCAAGAAAGCCAACTGTTCTTTCAAATGAAAAAAAAAAGAGCCCTGCTGAGTTAGATTTCCCTGTGAACAGTTTGAGTCCTCATCTTTATGTTGCGGAGCAGCAGCCAGATCAGAGGCGAAGAGACTGAGTGTGCAAGATTTTATTTTATCTTAATGTCTCGGTAATATTGTTCTTCACTTTTACGCCAACAAAGCGTCTCGAACTCAACAAAAAGTCAGAGAGGTGCATTATGGGATGTGACTGGTGATCCATTTCTCTCCTGTGTTGTAGCCTTCTGCTTTCCATCCCTCCCTGCGTAGCGGACAGGTGTTCAGTGATGGGACTCGAACACCCCCAGCGTGATACGTCCTGCTGCTAAAACCACCGAATCAATCTGACCCCCTTCCGCTATCCTTCCCCTGCCATTTGGAGACGTTTTGAACCCCTTCCTCCGGGTTTTTCAGGGGGTCTGTGTTCGTGACGAGGCCCTCAACTGATGTGATTATAGCTGCTGCTTGACTCGGGGTGTCGCTGACTTAAAGGGTGATTAAGCGCCGCAGGAAACATCCTGGAGAGGAAAATATAATTCCTGGCCTGTCGAGAGTGATGATCTCTGACGCACACCCACACATGCTGACTCTCAGCTCAGCTCTTTTTTCCCCTCGTTTTTCTTTCTTTAGAGCACATCTTTTCATCCTCTTTTCTTACACCATCCAAGGAGATAAATTAAGACTACCACGCAGGGAGGGATATGTCCTCTGTGATGCTCAGAGTGTGAAATTAGAGCATGGTGATTAAAAATTGGTCTCCAGCTCAGCTTTCTGGACCCTGGAGGGTCGGTGGTTAACCTGCGAGGGTCTTTGGGGATGTGAGGAGGCAGGATGGGACCCCTGCTCAGAGCTTAAACAGGCTGAGTTTGTAGGGCCAATAAGCCCCCTCTCTCCTCACTGTTGCTATAAAAGGTTGGCGTTTAGTGGCTGGTGATGGCCACATATGTGAAACTAGCACTTTTGAAAGTGCGCACCCTCAATTTCAGACAGATGGACGAAAGCAGACCTCACATTTCTAGTCCATAACAGTTCAAGCACCTCGGGTGGGGGAAATAATTTCGGATAAGAAACTCAACATTTTCCTAATCATTTGACATAACACCTTCTCTAGTATTTATATTACGTTTTATAGATACTACGCAATCGAGGGAAGATTTTTTGGATGGGTCCAACGTTGGCTGGGTAAAGTCCAAAAAGTTGGTGCAAATGTTCGCCTTAACTCTATAAATGCCCCAAAGAAGATATGTAAGGCATTAGCAAACCTTTCCACCATGATCCTCGTAATAAACGACATATTGGCTATCTGGAAAAATCAAATCCAAAACCAAAGCTTGGCTGACTGAAGTTAAAGTTGCTAAGCTTTGGCTGAACTAGGGGAGTGAGTAATATGTAATATGTATTTGAGGGAACTAACTAGGCCTGTCACGATAACAAATTTTGCTGGACGATAATTGTGCTACAAATTATTGCCGATAAACGATATTATTGACACCGTTTTTTAAATTATAGATAATGATATTAAATGGCATAATAATGCGAGTACACCGTGTCAAAAGTGATAAACTTTAATTTCACCCACGACGAAGACGTAACGTTGACGAGCTAAACATAAGTCGGAGATGACTAAAATGTGACGAGACGAAAGTGCGTTGACGTTGATGGGACGAGACGAAAACGACGAACAGAGTTGCAAAACTCAGTCAGTTAAACGCTAAACATATAGGAGCAGCTTCAGTCCGCTCTAACAGCTCTCATCATCCTGCTGTGCTCCTCCAACACACAGACACACACGCACGCGCGCACACACACACGTGGAGTTTTGTGGTTGACGAAAACAAAACTGGTTTAAAGCCGAAATATTCCCACACTTGGGCTGTTGCGTTCGGTTTAGACACCAAAGCTGTCGTGTTCATTCTGTTAGCTTGCTTTTCACTCACAACGCTCACTTGCAGCACTGTATCCAAAAGTCTGTGTCTGTGTGCCTGTGCGCGCCTACGTGTACCTGCGCGCGCCAGCCCCCTCGTGACAAAGACACTGAATGACTGACAGGAGGGTTCACTAACTCCGTTCATTCCGCTGTAGAGCCAACGCCCCCAGGTGCCGAGAAAAATGCGCAGAGTGAGACCTCTTCTCTCAACCAGCGTGTTTGGTAGCGAGAGAGGAGGAAAACAAACGCACGTCAATTATCGAGGCTGGCAAAATGACCGACCTCGTTTTTATTTATCGAGCGATAAGGCGATTTATTGATTATCGCGACAGGCCTAGAACTAACCCTTTAAAAGCATCTCAGCTTGTCATGTAAAAGGTAACAGCAGAGAAGGAGCTTTGTTTATCCCACAAAATAAAACTTCTGACCCCCATCTTGGTACAATAAAAGCTGACACGAATCTTCTCAGTGCTGACTTGAGTTTTCTTTTTTTGGTGTTGTACTTGAAAATCCCCTCTGCAGACTTTCACAAAAATGCAAGCCTGGTTTTCATTTTCTCCTGAAAGGCCTGGCAGCGTTGATGCACGAGCATTTATAAAGTTCAGTCATCACGCCCTCACAGTGTGAGCGAGTGACTGTACCATCCTCGGTTTGTCATAGGACAATGAGATACTGACAGAGATGTCACGGTGGAGCAGGATGCAGTTAAGGACACACTGAACCGAACAAAGACTTTCAGAGTTGTGGACTGACTGGAAAAGTTTTACCGGGTTAGGAAAAAAAAAAACTGTTTTCAGCTGGAAATAAAAAAAAAAGTTTATCAAGGAGATGAAAGAAACCATTTGTGATGTAAGATCTTCTTTCAGAGTGGCTTTTTACAGCAACCGCAGAAAGGGAAGGTAACATAAAACTGACCTCCAGAGTTATTAATGAACACGATCAAGAGGATATTGACTATTGAATGTAACAGAGCACGGATCTCTGCCCTTGAACAGGAGAAAGGACAGTCCTTCCTGTGCACACGAGGAGACAGAGATAGGACACAGTGAGCCTCACTATTTCTGTCACACAGGACTCAGACCTGGACTCAGGCCTGGAGCCGACCTCTGCGCTGTAAGAACCAGTTTACAGGAACTTTTCAGAAAACAGTCCCAAAAAGTTTTGAGGTGATGACAGCAGAAAAAAACTTATAACACCAGACCTCATAGGTTGACGAAGCTTCTCATCTTTGCCAACCTAACTTGCTATCTCCTCAATCAAACTGAATATTCATTCCACTTTATCAATATTTTTCCTCTAAGGTGAGACTGAACATCTGTAGTATCTTTGCTTGACTTGACCTACATTCTGCATTCACCGTAAACAGCCTGTATTTACTCAATCGATTTATTCGTCACATTAAATCATATTAAATACAGTTATGTTTAGTTGTAATCTGGTTGGTTTTCTGAGAACAGAATCAGGATTTTGGGGGTGTGAGCTGTTAAAAAAGACCTGCTGTCCTCTCAGTTGGTGCCATCTGGCACGACTTTATGTAAAACAAAGGACTCAAGACCTCGACATCACGCCTAAAAGATGTAGGCAGAAAGGGCAGGTAACCTAGAGGTGGTTTATTATCATCAGTCTATTTTTGGCGCTTCTTGCCTTTGTTAGGATGGCTGGAAAGTGAAGATATATGGAGAGTGGGGGAAGACGTGCAGCTAAGGGGTTGAGGTTAGGAGTTGAACCAGCAACCATGAGTTTTAAGCATGTGAACTATGATTAATCACATTTGAGCACATCAGAACTGACAAATCTCATCACAGTTATCTTTAATAATCCACGTTTTTTTTACTTTAAAGGCGACGAATTGGGTTTGAATTCTAAAAGAGGAAACATCAAGTCGGGCAAACCAAAAAAGGTTACACAGATTAGTCACTCTTTACTAACTGGTCAAGTCAAAAACAGCCAAACGGGTCCTTTTATCTCAATCCCCTAAATTCCTTTGTGCTCTGTGGTCTGTTTGATCTGGAGCTTAAAATTTAAAAATTTTGACCCAAATTACAAACTTACATCGACCCTCATCACTTTTCCTCTTCTTCATGTCGTCTCGGTCAGACCACCACCCGTGATTATTCCATTACCCTGGACATCTGTGCCGTCCCCAGCATGCCTTGCCCATCCTACCATCTTGGAAAGTGTTGTTTGTGTGTCTGCCTATTTGTGTGTGTTGAGGGTTAATCTAGGTCTCAGAAAGGGGGAAGGGGAGAGAAAGCAGTGGCCCAGGAAATGATACATCCCCTGGGAGTAAAGGAGGCAGCAGGGAGAAGGCTTATGGCCCCAGGGGGCACAAATGTGGTCTATTATGTTTATTAAATCAAACGATCAAGGATCAAATGTTGCTCCTTTGTTGGATCAAAGTGGTGACGAATTGTAAAGACAAAAAGACTTGTGATTGAAACCTTTCATATGTGTCTTCTAAGTGAAGCGTAGGGGGACCAGTTACATGATATAAAGGTTGTGTTGTAGTGTGCTCCAAATGGAAAAATTTACACCAGCTGGTGATCGTTGGCTGTAAATGAAAGGACTGTGAATCCTCCAAGTCCTCAGGAGGAGCTTGTCTCTCTCTTTCTCTCTATGAACATATTTTTGAGTTTCCTGGTGTCGTTCATAAATGATTAAGTTTAACATCCTGCACTGTGCGTGAAAAATTTAAGCTCTAGATTAGCTTTTCCTGTACATTAAACCTCATATCACTGTTTCAGCTGTGAAGACTCGGCAGGGATTGTGCATTTGCTTACGAGTGAGGAGGCATGAACTTAGTTTTCCTCTGGAATCAATCAGCATGCCAAGAATAACAGGCCCGACTCCTGGGCTGTTAACAATATTACAAACATCCGGACTTGTTTAGATTTTGCTGAGAGCCTGAGTGTGCTGCTTGGACTGTTTCAGATCCTGAGTCTCCTTTGATTCATGACTGAACAGTGATGAAAGTCTGGGAGGATTCAGGTTATCATTAATCTAATGCAGACTGCCAAAAATGTAGATTTGAGCAGCTGATACTGTTGAAAGTGAAAACTTTAAACTTAAAAAATCTTTGGAGTTTTAGAGTTGAATTTACAAGCAGTTACAAGTAATTGGAAAGTTAGAAAAGTAGTCTTGGGTTGAGGACTTGAAATTATAATTTGGCCTTGAAGGCACAGCATTTGATGCTTTAGTTTGGTCCTTTAAGCTTAAAACTTCTGGCTCTTTCCTGATAAAACTGAAGACTTAAGAGATTTGTGCAAAAAGATTTTAAGCAGTGCTTTTAGTATTCAAGAAATCTCAAAATGTCTTAAAACTTAAAAATGTAGACTCATGAAAGGCAGAAAAACAGCAAACCTCACATTTTTACATTGGAGACCTTCAGCCTTACTTAAAATTCAAGTGTAAAAGGCTGGTGGTATACAGAAATTTGACTCAAGATATACTTGCGTACTATTGCTTTAGATGTGACTCCTCAAACACTAAGGGCTCTATTTTGGTGCCTCGCCGGAGATCTGCCGCAAGCGCAGCGTCAATCAGATCCGCCGCGCTGACAAGGCGTTCCCAAGCACATTTTGGTATTTTGGTGAGCCGCGCAGCCCGGCGTAAGTATCCCCCCTCCCTAACTCAGCTCCTCCCAGCACCATAAGTCGTAGAAAGGGCGGTTAGTGGGTTTAACACAGCCGAGACCTGTTTTCACCAATCACATAGGCTCCTCTCCTTGCCTTTAAATCCGCCACAGGCGAGGCGTATTACTATTTTCATGAAGTAGTCAAAGAGATCAAGAGATGTCTTAAGACAGTAATGCCACAAGATGGCGACAGAGGGCAGCTCCTCAACAAGTGTCCTCCACACTCTCTCATATGAGCACAGATGGATTTAGTGTGCGTAATGTTGGACCCAGTGGTAAGACAAACACCCTTTTCCACAAATAAAGACACTCACATAAAGTTGCTCATATTCAAACCTCACGTGACAAAGGTCGGTTGAGCGCACAGATCACAACATAAACTCCAAAAATGGCATAAAAATCGGAACCATCTGTGCGTAAATGACGCATCGCGCTCCGTGGCCTGGCTCTTTCTTTCATAGATGTTGGCATATAAAATAAATTTGGCTCACAAAACTGAATATTATAATATCCGTATGTCGGCTTAAAGTAGATCACGCATCTGAGCACTGAAACAAATCATCTGTTCAGCCGCAGCAGCAAGCAAGACGGACAGAGGACACGGAGACGTGTCCAGGTCGAGCTGTGCGAGAAATAAGAGGAAGAGGAAGAAAGAAAAGGAGGGAGACGAATTACATATCGAGTTAACTTCATCATGTGTGAATATTTACTAGATATTTAATTTAATTTGATGCGGTTTCAGCTGTGTTGATTCGGTCAGGTTGTGTGTCCAAACGCGTGCCAAACGCGCTCATCAGATCAGATATAGATCAGAATATATCTATATAGATCCAAATGTATGTGCTGACTCAGATTAATAGTTGATGATGATTATTTATTGCACTGAAATGTGCCTGACACTGTGGAAACCTGCCGGTGAGGCATCAGTGACGTATGTCGATACGCCGCCGGTCTACCAAAATACTACTGGACCAGCTGCGTTCCGCCTTGCGCTGAAAGCTGACCAGGTTTGAATCGGCGAGCTTTCAGCGCACTTCACACGCCGGTGGCGAGCACAAAAATGTCACTGCGCCTGCTGATTCTGTCGACACCTCCCCCTGCCACACCACCACGCCCAGCTTGGCGGATCTCGGCTCGCCTCCGTGCGGCTCATGCCACGAAAATACCAAATTGGCCTTACGCTGGGCTCCGCCAGACGAAAATACAACTGCCCGGGGCTCGCCGCCCTCCGCCGCCTCACCGGCGCGAACGAAAATAGAGCCCTAAACCTGACTTGGTCAAGAGTTCAAACCTCAATGTTTGTCATTGAGTTCTTTGAGATTAACAAAATATAGGACTTAACTGACCCATGACCCCTTCATAACTTGATTCTTGAAAGACTCAAATTGGGACTTTTGTTTATCTTGTTGCCATAAAGGGATAAAGACTGAGTGTAGTTGGTTCTTGATTGGGCAAGACCTCAAGTCTTGACTTACACTCACTCCAGTTGTTCATGTAAAAGTTCAGGGACTGAGATTTTCCTCAACAGAGGTAGAAACAGTTTTGAAACTTTGTCCTTGAGATGGGCCCAAGTATCACTAAACCATGACCTACTCAAGACTTCATTTTCTAAAGACTTAACAGCAGGAAGGGGTTTTTTTTCCGCTTGGAGACCAGAGGCTTTTGGGTATGACCTTACCTGACACTATCGCCAAAATATACAAAAAGTAAGTAAGTAAAAATCTTTTATTATAGCACCTTTCATAGAGAAGATTCACAAAGTGCTTCACAGAAAAAAATTAAAAATACAATCATAAACATCAAGTAAAATCAAAGAACAATAAAAAAACATTGGCCTAAATAGAGCATGAGTTAAAACCGGGGGAGGTAAAGGCCTGTTTAAATAAGTGAGTCTTTAAAAGCTTTTTAAAAGTGACAATGGAAACAGCTGAATGAATATCAGCAGGTTTGTTCGACAGTGTTCAAGCCACCACTTCAATTGCATGCTCACCTCTTTTTTTTTTGATGAGTTCAAGGGACAACTAGCAAGCCCTGGTTTAGCTGACCTGAGTGACCTACTTGAAATGTAGGGGTGAAGCAGGTCAGCAATATATTCTGGGGCCTGACCATGCAGAGCTCTATATACAAAAAAATAGACTAGAAAAATCTGTTAAGCACAAAAGATCATGTTATTAGATTTGACAAGGACTTGTTTATTGTCTCAAGTCCTTGGGTACCTCAAGTGGTCCTAAAAATAAAAATACCATATTTTTATCATACTAAATGCTTTGCCTTGCATCAGCAATAAAGTGTAATATCCAAGAACTGCTTTGTTAGCAAGATAATGCTTGGAGTAAATCTGTGGCCAACTAAATGGAGAATCTTTGAATACCAAAAGTTGGCCAAAGGAAACTTGAAGCAGCCTCCCTTGGAAATACAGTACGAGCCTCCTGTACGTGTGCCCTTGCGTAATTCTTGCGTAATTCTGACTCGCTGTGTGCGTTTGTAACAGGCCTATGTATGTAAAACACAACCTCACACGCATGATTGGATGAATCGAGAGAACCTGGAATATGACAACCAAATGATTTTACCCAGGACTTGAATTCAAAATCTTTGAATACCAAAAGTTGGCCAAAGGAAACTTGAACCTGTGATGTGCTTGGAAACCTTGAGACTTGGATTAGACATGAATCCAAAGAATTTACAGTAGACATGGACTCAAAATGAGAACCTGAAACGCCTTTGAGACATTGCTGGTCTCATTTCCTGTTCAAGGACTAGAGTTGGAGGGAGCTTTGACTTAAACTTGTTCCAATTCATGTTAAGTTCTCAGAAAGTCTTGGAAATTGCGTCCTATCACAGATCGATTTGTTTGCTTTGAGAGTGAACTTACTGGAGTCCTACCCGCCTAAAAATTCGGCTTAAAGCAAAACATTGGCATCCCAGTGCGACCTGGTAAACTGAGGACTCACTGCTTGGCTGTACCTTAGATAGAGGATCTGACTACTTTACTGGACTTTCCCTTAAATAATCCGGAAATATCTCTTGGTATTTTTTTTCCACAGGGACAACAACACGGTTGAATAGGTTAAAGACTAAAAATCAGCACTGCCAGAAGCAAACAAGTCCAGCAAGTACAAAGGTCAAAGCAATCAGTGCAACAACATCCTTTTTTATCATGTTTTAGTCCCTTGAAGATCTTGTGGCGAAGTAGTTTCTCTGTTTTGAATTACTCAAAGACAGTTCGGAAAGGAGATGACTCCAGCAAGAATGATCCTTTTGAGAATTCAAGCCAAGATCTACTCAGACTTTTGGCATGATTTATTGTTTGACGGCAGTGGTGGGAGTGGAGAGGTCAGAGTGATCAATAAGGTGTGGATGGAAACTCGTTCTCTCGTACTCTCTCCCGTCATTCCTGTCTTATTTCTTTTCTTCTTTCCATCTGACAGACTCTCCCTACTTTGTCTTCCAATCTGTATCGTTTATCCTTGTTTGCCTTTTCCTAGTCTCAACAGCGATGTTTGTGTGCAGCAATATTTGGCCTTGAAGCAGCTTCCCTTGGAAATACAGTACGAGCTGCCTGTACGTGTGCTCTTGCGTAATTCTGACTCGCTGTGTGCGTTTGTAACAGGCCTATGTATGTAAAACACAACCCCACACGCATGATTGGATGAATCGAGCGTGAGTTGTATGTGACGATGCTCTGGTGTTACGAGCCAATGGTCGGCGAAACAGCACGCCTGCGTTGGTTTTCTTGGATTTCCTGTGAATGCATGCTGCTGTCAGTGACTGTATCTTTCTATGAGCGGCACAAAAACATAAAATCCCCCCCTCCTACACCTCCTCCTCCTACACCTCTTCCGACCATCTGCCTTGAACAACCACTACACGGACCTTGTGTTTGGTCGACTGTTTTCTCCTAACAATACAGAGGGAGTTGGGAATGAAAGGAAAAACCCTACAGGAGGCTTGTGGGATTCCTCGTTGGTTCTGTGCTGCCTCATTCGATCACACCCCCTTTCCTTACATCTCTCCTTCCTCGTCTCCCTTTTATTGAAGCTATTTCAACCCCATTGCTCATGCAAATATCATCAGAAATGTACGTCCTTGATTCCTCTGGCTCTAGATTATAAGAACAGTCCAATCCCTTAGATTGGAAAGGGGGAAAAGAGAGAAAAGGGGGGATCATCCTCTTATTTCCCTGCAGATTCACACATGTATGAAAGGAGGTACAATATGGGGGGGTGGTAGGGGGGAGTAAAAGCAACAGCCCACCTGACAGGGAGGAGGTTTTTACAGATTTTAGCGGGAGGAGGGGATTCCATGATGTAAACCAGCCGGCAGCATCAATCTCGCCCCTTGAATGCTGACAAAACAGCAGCGTGGAAACAAAAAAATCCCCTCCTCCTGCTCTCGAACACACCCTGCTTTCGATTTAATTAACTTACATGCTACAAAATCAGGGAAATTATAGCCACACCCCCAAAAAAATGCAAAAACAACCCTACCTTCTTTTGTGTGTTTTGTCTTCGCCTGTGACCCCAAACACATTCAGCTCTGTAGAGTAGTATCCACGCTCTTTCTGTGTCACACAGTCAGTCACTGAGCGAAGCAGGCGAGTGCATCCACGCTCACAACACACACTCCTCTCTCTGTCTCTCTCTCTCTCTCTCTCTCTTTCTCTCTCTCTTCTCCAGCTGAGATCCTCCCTGCCTCCCTCCTCACTGCTGCTCTGAGTCTCCACCCTTCAGCCGACTGCTCAGGCTGCTAGAAACTACCCGATTCCTCCTCCTCCTTCCCTCTGTCTTTCTCTGCTATCTGTACACACTCCCTCCACCTCCCAAAGGTCCACAGGAAAAGCCTCAACTGTCTCTCTAAACAGCAACAGTAAACAAATGCATACCAGGAGAGCTGGCAGTCTGGACAGGCTGGATTTTGACTTTGATAAGTGTTTATAAAAGCCCCAGCATATGTTTTTCAGCTGCTTCTTTTCCTCTTTCATTACTCGCGTTTGTCTGCCCAGTTCAGTCTACTGTATTTGTTTTCAGGCATTGCATGAGAAAAGAAATACATTTAACCTTTTGAGACAGCAACTTCCTGCATGACACACACAACATGCACCCAGCCAGCATTCAGGCTTCTAATCTTCAAACCACATCACTATGACAGCGAGGCCACCACAGATAAAAACAAGTGAAAAAAAGAGAGACAGTCTCAGTGGCTTTACAGAAAAACTGGACAAAAAACAAGAAATAAACAGCTCAGGGAAATTAGAGCCCTAAAGCTGTAGTTCCCTAGTCATCCACTTGAGGCTGTCTCCAAAAGTAAAGGAGACCCTGTAAGACCTTACATGAGAGTACCAACTATAGACTGTATGGACAACTTGGTTCCTGCCTTCCGCCAGTATACAGATTTGAAGCTGAGAAGCTCTCGGTATTTCCACAATTTTTCTCCATTGCTGAAACCAACAATGCGCAGTAGCGTTGTACGCATTTTGCGGGAGAGTTGCAGAGAGTCGCTGTGATGACACTCTGCTCAAACAGTGTACCCCCCAGGTGAGCTATGCAATCTTTGTTCACTCATAGACTGTATCAGGTGTCAATCATAGAAAACTTGAACCCCCTAATAACTTTTAAAAATGGAGCTGTACAGAAAAAAAAGGACTCCAGAGGTCCAGCTTTATTCAACACAATCGGGGGCGTTGCTGGTTTGGCAAGCAGATGGATGTGTTGCAGTTATTTGGCAGGTAGCTAGGCTATCAACTCATCTCCACCTCTTTGTTGATGTTTTCCTGATTTTACAAACTCGCGTGTGCATTCACAAATGCATCCATGCTCCATCTAGGTACAGTAGATACTCATCCTCTCGTTCATGCGCGTGCTTTGCTCGAAGGTAAACCCAGCCCACTACTCATCTTCCCCCCATTGAACCCTAACCTCAAGTTTACTGTGAATCACATTTTCCTCAGCTCCATTCATGCAGCCGTTTTTCTGTGCGAGGCTTACAGTACACATCCAAACACAGACAGAGGGAGGGGAGGAGGAGGAGGATGATGGAGAAAAAGTGAGTCATGGCTCTTGGGGAGGCAAACACAGGAAGTCTCTGTCACCAGGATGACACAGTGATCTCTTGATGGCCCTTCCTGGGTCCTCGAAACAAGTTTCAGATCTTACCCACAGCCCAAATGGAAAAATTTCAAATACCTTCATCTGAACCCCGAATAAAGTGTACGATGAATCATATGAAAGTGTTTCATTGAGTTCAACTTAAGGTCCTCACACACCAGGACCGTTTTTGTCATGTAATTATTTCAGACGTCAATATTTTTGTTTCGAACCCATATCCTGTCAATACAAGCGTTCACATCAGCGATGTTTTCCCATTCTGCAATATTGCGGCATTTATTTTTTTTTGATTATCTATAAGTGCTGACCGTTTGGCTTGAGCGTCTGATGACGTTTCCAGTTTTTCTAGCCAATCAGAGGCGAAGGAGGCGGGACTTTCACCTGGAAAAGTCTTCCCCTGGAAAGTCGCAAAATCGCATCAGGCTTGATGTGTATAGTCAGGTACGTCAAAATTCGCCTCCAAATATTTCATGATTTTGTGTTCTATATTCGTGTCGGCCCCGATGTGTAAGGACCTTTAACCTGCGATTTCATTCGCCATTAGGCTCCTTAAATCAATATTTATGTGACCATACTTAAGGTTTTTATATCAAACAGCCCACCAAAGCATTTTAAAATGTAAAATCTTAAACCCACTTTCAGGCCACTTTTTTACAGATTATGCTCTTTGTGCACAATTATCAACTGACTATCCATAAACTAAATTTAAGCTGATTGATTGGCCTTTTTTTTAACCCTACAGCTCGCTATCAGTGACCTTTTAAGGCCACTAATTCAATCTCTTTAAACAGCTGATCCCGACTGATTGATTTATTGTTGTCTTGCATATACAATACAAGACACCATTATTCACAGAAAGTAGACATAAAGAGTAAATAAGTGAATGAAATGAAGTGTCCTGAAGTTTCTTCCAGGATCTGAAAACAAAGAGGCCAAGTTGCATGTATTATAACTAAACTGCAATAACATATCAGGCTTTTGTTTTTGTTGAATATAGCCTTCAATTTTCTCAAAATAAATCAACTTCTAACTGTCAGTATTACACTCAGTTATTTAAGCCTCTGCTCACCTGATAATCAGCAATCAGGAGCTAATGAGCCGTCTCCCCCGAGGTACAATCAGGCCACTCGTGGATATGAATTACCACCTCATGTTACAGTCCATTATGGCTTTGTTGAGCATCAGCAGCAACAGTATAGGGGAAAACCCTCCCTTTCTCCATCACTACAGAAGAGATAAATCCAGAGATTTGTTTATTTGTAATCTGATTACTGTGTTTTATTATCGGCTCTGAGGATCATCTCTGAACCTTGTGGTGTCAGTGCAGCTGTTTTCATTAATAGGCTGGTTTATTAAATGCTGTTAATCTGACCCTCAGAGGACATGGGCGAGTGTGGTTAAATAACATAGCGTTCAAAAATGGCTGTTACTAAGAATCAGTATTTTAGGTTAAGGTTGGTGATGAGTGACATGGTATGATAAAGATTGCTCAGATGATCCTGTACTAACAGTGTTTTTATTTGTGCTTCTATGAGGGGTGGGGTTATCATGACCAGTGGGGGAGGGGCCTGGATTTTATTTCTGATTTGAGACCATCTGGCTCCTCTAGGCAGCTGCCGGCCTGAGCTGAACAGAGCCGCCCTTCCTCGCTCGCCGCTCTGCCCTGATGCCCCATGGGATTTACAGAGAGGTCACCATTTCTGCTGCTGGAGAGAGAGTGTCATCTAATACTCTCAAACAATCAGCTGAAATGATCACACACACACACAAACACACACACTAGAGGTAAAATAAGATGTACTGCAGTAAAAGAGAGAGTGGAAATAAGGTCAACAAGGGAAAGAAAATTGATATTTGCCAAAATCTTAATTGAGGTCCAGGTTTTCACGACCATGACTGTACACATTTAAGAAACTGCTTACGTGATTTGAATGGATCTACACCTAATTCAGCAAGACAAAAGAGAGGCAAAGGGAGGAGGGGGTGGGGACAAAGAGAGAAGGAGAGAATGGATTTCCCCCTCAGTGTTGCCATGGTGACAGCAGTGGATGGTAGATGACTGATTTCCTGTACAGCTGTGGAGCTCGGAGGGGAGAGAGAGGGAGACACGTTATCTGTGGTCGAGAAAGGAGGTGGAGCGTACCGAGGAAAGCATCCATGTTTTCTCTTAAACACTACATCAGTCTCTTCTCATCAGTGTTTCTCGCTGGCCTGGATGATTTGGAAATAGCTCCTTAGCTCGACAAAAGATCCACATACCTGGTGTTATGAAATCCTAACATCAGCTTTTGTCAAGCGGTGGTTCCAAAAGTGAGGGTTGGTACCCCTGGAAAGGTTGCGACTCACTGATAAGGGGGTTGCAAGATGCCCTCTTTCAAATAGTAAGAAATAAAAATTAAGGGATTTTAAGTATTGTATCCATTGATGTAAAAATTAGGGTTGGGAATTTCAACTAATTTCCCCGCCGACTAGTCTCAAATTTTATTTGCGACCAGTCGACTAGTCTATAAGCAAGCAAGTTTTCAGCGGTGTGTCTTTGCTTCAAGGCGCGTGTCAGAAGCACACAGCTGCAGAGATGTCCTTCGTCTGATAATGACATGTTATAGTCATGTATGACTCGGTGGTTATAGATGGCCACCCGTCTGAAGTTATGGCCACATATTCGGCCCCCTCAAACGCTTGTTGCATATCCTCTTTCATTTTGCAATGGCTGATTTCAGACTGCACCTTTAATACCAAATGAGGCCGCCTTCCCTACATGAACGATTCCAGTGATAGGACCAATGTCAAGAGTCTATCCATTTATAGAGTTGCACTGGAAAGCGTCTTTATTACAACATTTAGGCTCCCCACCCTGACTAAGTGGCTACCATGGGAGTAAGATAATTGCAGTTTTCTTTGAGCCGTCTTGTTTACACCAAGTAAATAAAATGTTTTGTGATCATACCCAACTAGTAGAAGTGATAAACACACTGTACCTCCTTTTGTTCCTTATTTTACTGTAATATTTATACTGACCAATAACAAATGAATCCACAAGTTAAACATGCTAGTGTGCAGATGAATTTAGGATTATTCTACATAAAGAGAGCCCACCCACAAAAAAACAAGGATAAGTGTATTAACCAAATGCAGTAACCACCATTTCATCTGATTAGACAGTTTGTCATCTTGTTTCAGTTTTAACTTGTGCCAGTCCTCTACGTTATCAGATATTATACTGTAAGCCAAGCTGATTTTGCATTTATAAGACAACACTGCCACCCTCAGGTCAAGTTGATACCTACATGAATCAGTGAACACCAGAGGGCAGCATACACTAGTGAAACACTCTGAAGACATGAACCAGGACTTAGAAAGAAATACTTCCATCTGGATCCACATTGCTGTCTGTCTGATGATTTTTTTCAAGTAATTTTGTTATAACACTCTAAACATGAGTTTTATCTTTATTACTGAAGAGAAGAAAATCCCAGAAACCCTTTAATTTTCACCCTCTTGACTTTTCTGACACTTTTATTTCAGTTTTGTAATTAATTTGAATAAAAGGCATCATTTTGAAATCAGCACATGACAGTAGAATTTTGGCAAATAAGTGTACCTTTTTATTGGATATTGAGGGCATTAGTACCAAGAAGGCACAAACCAGACTTCATAATAACAATTCCTTTTTTTAACTACAGGGACACACAAAAAAAAAATCAGTTTTCCTGAAGGGAGATCCTTTCACAGAAAGGATTAAGGACACAGACATACAGACTCTTACAAAGTGTAAGTTTGACCATATACTGAAGTCAGAAAATGTAAGAACAAATTAAGAAGATTTTTAGGACATGGGTTATGACTGTATGGCTATGTGCCTCAACACATACTGTTTTCATATAAGAAACTTTGTCCATCAAAATACGACATTTTCCATTAATGAGAAGAAATATAGCTTTTTAACAGTTGAGCAAAGATGTAAGAAATACAAAAGTATCAAACCAAATAATTTTATTTATCACTTTTTTTCTTTTTCTTAGTTTAGACTTGTTCAGATGCTTTATTGCCTGCATGTCAAGCTGTGGATTTGAATCCACATGTGGTTAAAATTAAAGCTGAAATGAGATGACTCAACACACAAAAAAACGTGATTGAATTGATTTCATGCTCTGTGTTTAAGTTTGGAAACACTGACAAGAGTCTGAGAGACAAAATGACACACAATGCTAACCTTAGGCTTAGAGTCAGAATGAATAAAACAATTTCGGAATCCGAATATATATATATCATTACATCTTAGTTTGACATTTGGTAAAACAAACTGAGCAGCTCACAGAAACGTTTGTTAGAAATCTAAAGAGAGAGTTGGATGGTATTATTGACATCACTGTAAAGTTATAAGACCACAAGAAGTTTAAGACCTGCAGCTGGACAGAAATGGGAAACAACTTGCGTGGCTTTGCTCAACAACAAAATACTCCTCAATTCACCTTTTAGCTTTTTTGTTTTTTTACCTGAACATAAAACTAAGAGCAAAACTGACATGTTTGCTTTGGTCAATTAAAACAAGGTTATAAATAGTGAGTAAAGTTAATTTATGTCTTTCTGCACTTTACGGTGATCTGTGAAGAGGGTGTGTTGTTGAAGTATAATCGAGCCTTTCTCCGATACTTAAAGCTGAAGTTATGAACTTTCTGTTTGTGTCAACTTTGGCGCCCCCTGTGGATAAAGCTGCACATCACATCTCTGCTGACTGAGTTTTGTACATATGCAAAAGGCGTTTTCTGACAAAAATCTCATCCTACGCTCTTGTAACAGTGAAATGTAAACTCTGCTTTGAAAAATTAAAATATAAATAAAACAAGCTTTTTCTCAAACATACTGTCAGTCTATAAAAACTTTTCATCACATTGTTGATTTGCAAGTGTTCATTTCAGTCGGTTTCATGACCAGCTTAAGCTCCACCCAGGAGCAACTGAAGATTTCATTTAAAACAAACACTACAGTTAGACCTCATGGTGCAGTGTTTCCAAACTCATACAAACAAAAGTGGTGATTTCACTGAAGAAAAGCTTTAAAACATTGGGATCTTAAAATTAAAATGTGGCATTACAAAGATGTTACTCTGGCACTTTGAGCTTTAATGTAACAATTCACGAGTAAATTTTTTTGCTTTTGCACTTGTAACATGATAAAATCTTCGGTCCTCATTCACACCAGTAAAAATGAGAAAGGATGTGACCTGTGAGAAGTAACAGCTTGTAAAATGTCCCTCAGTCTTCTTGAGTTCATGGGCTTCAAATGCTAAAACCAGTCTTTCTTGTTCAGAGCCACAAACATCACACATCCTTAATACTGTCACTTACATATGTGTAATACTGAATGAAATCAACCGCACGCAGAGTAACTGATCAACATACACAAGTCTGGACAGCTTATACAAAAACACAACACGTACAAAGCTTTCAGGTTAAACAGTCATGATGAATAATAAAAAAGATGTGACAAATTCCAGTTTTAGATGACAGGTGAAATGAAAAAGGAGACGAATGAAACAGATCGGAGCAGAAAGGAAGACTTGCATGTTCGCATCAACATGTATGGTTTGTTTTGGCCCACAGCTAACCCAGCCTCCATTTTGAGTCTAGATTACAGGGAAGCTTTCCTGGCCGCACATTTGCGCAGGCCGGGACATGTAGGAGCTAACTCGACCTCATTCCTGCATAAAACTCCGTCTGATTTCAGAGGATGCATAAATCTTCCTGACATTTCACTAAATCTTGAAAAACTGGCTTGATCTCATAAAGGAGTGTGTATTTCATGTTTAAAAATAAATCGAGCTCTGAGTTTTGATGGCTTGAATCTTGAAAGTAAGTGATTGTCAAGGCGACGGTTTGACACCTGCATAGAGAGATGAAGGCACGCCGGGTGTGTTCACATGATCCAGAGTCCAGTCTGAGAGGCGGGGGCTGGCACTCTGCACTTCACGACCACCATCCAGGCCTTTGAAATGTGTGTGAGAAGTTTTTTTTTTCTTGTCTTTGGTTTTCAGCTCAGAGTGGTCTGTCCTTTGTGTCCTACAGAGAAGATCTTTGATATGCTCATTGTGTCTGTGTGTGAGTCCCTGTCTGCTGTAACCCCACGTGTACGCATACACACTCTTTTTGGGAGGCAGACACGACATGCAGTTCCTGAACAGTCCATAGGAGACACAGCTGAATACAAATGTTTTTGAAAGATGACACGATCCCTTTTGTTTCCTTTCACAGAGGGGAGCAGCTCAGGTTATGTTCTTAAGACGCATGTTTCCTTTTTTTTTGTTCTTAGAGTTCCTCTTCAGTCAGAATCCTCCATGTTTGTTCATGTGTTATTCGTCAGAGCAGCAGCAGACTTGTTGCCAGTTTACTAATGACTGCTGCCAAGAATAGAAACCACCTCTCCAGCGCTGCTCTCTCATCTCGTTCCCTGAGGGTTCGAACATCTCCACATCTGACACGGAGTAAAAAAAAGGTCACCCTGAGGTCTCTTCTTTTTCACACCACAAACTCGGGGACCTCATCACTGGTCAGGTCCAGGGAGAAGTACTTGTTGGTTCTCTTGATGGGGAACGGGTGCTGCTCGCTAAGCATGCCGGCACGCTGCTCGGCAAGGCCCTGGTATCCTCCGCCACCGTCGCTCAGCTCCTGGGCGCAGCCGAAAGTGTAGCTGTGGGCGGTGTCCTGGCAGAGCTCCGCCCACTGCAGGCAGTCCTTCTGATAGAGCCGGATGTCATCGAGTGACTGACTGTGACGATCCGTGGAAGACTGAGGCTTCCTGCAAGCTGAGGTCTGATGGTAGAAAGCAGCAAATTAAAAACCACAAAGAAAAGCTGCAGTAGGAAACTTGGAAACTGTATTGTGCTCATACAGGTGCACATTGTGAGCTGAGGTAAATGAAGTCTCGTTTACCCGTGGCAGAGACTCGATGCTCTGTCCTCTCATCTTGACGACGGTCTCAGAGGAGCTGGACGTAGAGGAGCTGACATCTTTTACTATCAGTCCTGTTAGATCACGAGACAACATTTAAGATTAAGTTGGAAACAACATGCTTGATGTCAGCTATTGCAGCTGATATCACAGATGCAGTAATCCATCCTGGGCTCTTCTTGCTTTCCCATGGTTGTCTGGCTCTCTTAATTGTTTGGTGACAAAGAATAAAACAATAATTTTCTTCTGCAGAGGCTGAAGGTTACCTCAGGGGACTCTTGTATTAAAAGGCAGGTAAGTAAAGGTAGGTCAGAGATAATTAACGGTCTTTGTACCTGAGTATCCGTTGCTCTGATCAGGTGACATGGTCAACATGTCCTCTGTGATGTGGATACACAGTTCCTGGTCTAGAGCCATCTCATGAAGCTCCTCGTAGTCTTTGGGATCATCCACCAGCATCTCAATCTCTGCAGAAATAAAAGTCCACATAATTAAAACTTAGTTCAAAGTATTCAAGACAATCTCTACACTTTTATTTTATCAAGACAAAATTAATGAAAAGTCATTTTTGTTTACTTTAACCTTTCATTAAATACATAATTTAAAAAACTTCCTCTAGCTCTCACCATCATCATCATCCAGTATGCGCTCTTTGCCGCTGCTCTCGATGCCGGACGTGTGTGAGCTCCCGTGGCTGGTTGTGGACGAGCTGCACGTTCGTAGTGGTCTGTGGGGGGCCTGACCCGGGGCCCTGAAGCTGTCTGTCTCGATGCCCGAGGTGTGTGAGCTGCCGTGGCTGGTGGTGGAGTGGCGGGAGAGGCGTTTGTGATGAGACGTACTCCCCGCACTGCTGCCGCTGGCTCGGGAACGTTTGTCGAGATGATCCATGTCGAGCTCGAGAGCGTCGCTGATGTACGACTCCCTGTACTGCTTCTTCTCTGAAAACACAGAAGAGACACATTTTGACCTTGGCTGCGAAGCAAAAAATTCATCCTGACATTTTGCAGCTAAGAAAATATTTAGTTTGTTTTCATTACAACTAGACCGTGGTACAAAATATTCCTATGAAAACAAACTTAAACTCTTCAGAGGAGTGAAAAACTTTCTTTCTGCAGCTGAATTATGAAAGATCTACTAAAGAAATTAAGTCACAGCCAGATGCTAGGTAGTTCAGCTTCGCAGAAAGACCAGAAAAAAGTGGTTATTAGCTTTGGCTCTACCCAAAGTCAACAAAATTGCCTCCTAGGACCTCTAAATCTCCCTAATCACCACATTCTTTTGTCCAATTATTACATAAACCGTGTAATTAGCCCAGGGTTATGTGTCTGACCCTTCACCAGCTCCAGACATATTCAGGAAGTCACAGAATTACTGTGTTGTAATTCTGACAGGGATGCAGCAAAAGGTCTAACCAGCTCATCCTCGGGTGGTTTTGTTTTTGTGTGTTTGGCTGATGATGTAAGACGAGAAATAAATGAAAAAACAGAAGCTTGCCAAGAAATACCTTCGTTTTCCTCTAAGCGCCGGACTTGTTTGAGAACAGGCTGTAGGTTCATGTAGAGTCTGTGGCTGTTGCTGAGCAGCTGTAAAAGGTGACGGGAGCGTATGGGACAGCCTGTGTAATAGATGAGTTTCCGTGCTGAGGGGAGACCATCAGGGAGGATTTCAAACTTCTTTCCCTGGGAGACAAAAACAGGATGATTACAGTAGTTTATGATTTGCAGCAGTTAATATAAGATTATGAAGAATGTGGATATGAAACAATGAAGTGCCAGAGAGGCCAGAAGGGAAACCGCAGAGGGGAGCAGAGTCTGTTCCTAAAACTATGTTGTAGCCAAACACGATGCTACAATTAAACCGTCAGTTATTCATTTCTTCATTCAGACACTGAGACAAAGCTTTTTTTCTGAGTGGTTCTGATGATTTTCCAGGAGGAGGACATGTTGGATGAATACACGGAAAAGCTAAAATGGAGGGTTTGTGCTTTCCCCCGCGCCTTTTGGCAAAGGCCCGACCCAAAAACAGCTGTCTTCAGTGTCAGCGGGGTTGTTTTCAGTGCAGACCTATAAACATTTCTGCAAAGGTTTGTACTTTCAAAAGCAGCGGGTGGGTTTAAAACCTTTGAAAATGCAAAGAGGAGCACATTTCTGACCACAGAAGTGCACTTTCACTTTGTTTATCCAGAGTTTTTACACGACAGCAGCTGGATTCAAATCATTTTACAGCCTTTTCACAGGTAGGGAAGCATATTACAGGTATGCAACTCCACGCTCAAGGCAAATAACTTCATAGAAACCATCTGACAGCTCATTGGCAGTGGCTTTCCTCTGTATAATAATGTTCTCTGGGCAGATTTACTTTTAAGGCAGTAAGATTTCCTCCTCCAATCCTTAGACCAGAAGGAAAACAGTGAGGAGGAAAATGAAGGAGCTCTGCTCTTCCTTTTCTTATCTGTGCTTAACCTCAAACTGCTCCTCTGCAGATCCTGGTGGTCACCTGGAATTTTACTGGGCAGTGAGTAAGGGTGATTAAGTCAAACTGGACTGGACAAAAAGGGCCACTATTATGTAATGCAGTATTTATATTTTGCTGCTTCTTTCGGGATGAGAAGCAAATCTCTGATATTATTTGACCAGATCTTAGTTTGAGTAAGAGTGTGATAGTTGTCGATAATTACAATGAGTCGCAGCTTCCTTGTTGGTGGTTCAGCTGCAGACTGGTGTCAGGTTTTAGGTTATTAAAAGGTTTTCAGAGGCTGCTTTTCCTTTTTCAAGCCGTACACGCGATAGCCACCCTAAACTCTCTGCTGAAGACAGCTGGTCAACTTTCTCCTGTTTCCAGAAATTCCTCCAAAAGAGGCCACCCACATCGAAAACTCCAAGCGTCACTCCGGGGCCGTTTTCATCCAAAAATCCCTCAACGTAACCAAAATCAGCAAGAGAACTGGCAAGGTTGAGGAAGAGTCTCCAATCCAACACCGCAGGACACCGGGGGAATGACTTCATTTGGAAAGAGCATGTGCAACGTTATTTCACTTGTTGCATCAGAAAAACTAAATTGTTTAATTCCTTCTTCCTCCAAACCTTGATTCATAGATGCATTGATGCGTTTGAGTTATCCCGGCCAATATCCTGAACAGAAAATCCCCCTGAAACCTTCACAACATCTGGTGTTTATCGGCCCACACGCCCCTCCGCCCTGTTCCACGCTCTGGCTCGCTCGGCTAATGCTGCAGCCATGGTGGCAGCGGTTCTGGGTGACGTGACTCGAGGGTGTGGTGGAGGAGAAAGCCTGTTATTCAGGAGAAGGGTGGGACGGGGCCACAAGAGGCCCTTCACGTCCACAGCGAAAACCGCAGCAGCCACGCCACGGCCGAATCATTCTCACGATGCTACTGAGTGCAAACTCGAAGAAAAACAACAGAAAAAACAGGATGTGTTTAGCGTGATATCTTTCGCAGACTTGATGGATGTTTGTGTCAGACTAAGACCGGCGCAAAACTTGCCACATCAGAACCTTCTTGGACAACAAAGCAAGTTTTTTGGGAGGTTTAAAGTAATTTATCCTGCTTTTAAAGTCTCTGAAAGTGTATAAAAATACAGAAAAGGTGGCTAAAATTAGAATCAAAAGGGTTTCATTTGTGTGCAATGGCAGTCAGAGGCATTCATGACCTCTCCTGGTGGTGATTAATAGCTAACTGGCAGAAAATGTGAGGCTGTCGCAGTGAAACAGAGATATAGCGAGCCCTCCTTACCCCCCTGTGATAAGAGAAGCCCTTTGGAAGCACATTAACCGACTGCTGCGCTCAGCTCAATGCCAGGCTGACTCAGAGCACAGATGAGACGATTAAACTGGGTTTCCAAGTGAAAACTGATAAAAGGAATAAATCAAGAGGGTTCCATGTGAGAGAAAATACTGCTGCTGATTACATGAAAATATGTATACAGTATACAAAGTCTATGTATGTGAGTGAGAGAGGGGGGGGGAGTCTTCCTAAATCCCTGATTAGTTCCAGAGGACTTGCAGGCGAAGATAAAACAGCAGTGCAGAGAGAAGAAGCCCTGCATAAAAATTTCCACAACCAAGAGCAGGAGCAGGATTTCACAAAGATCACCATAAGACAGGAGATGCTTTGGTTTCATTATATCTGAACTGAGAGTAAATCAATCAAAATGAACAACAGAATCCATGAAATTACTGTCCTGTGCTGATGAAAGGTTTGATTGTACCAGTGACTCACCACAAATACAAGTTTTCCCACGTTGGTCCAGGGGAAGTCGTACAACAGTTGCCTTACAGAGCCCACATTCTGCAACAGAGGAATACAGACACATAAATGGAGATCCTTTTTTCATGAAAATCAATAATAAAATATCAATATCATGTCTAGTTTATTCCAACTTACAAAGTCTGAATGTTCCCAGACCAAAAGCCAAGAGTTAGGAGCCTTCCTCTTTCCTCAGGCTGAAACTGACCAGACTGATTTTACGACTTTAAGCTTCAGTGATAAATTGCTAAGGCTTTCATGTTTTGCTTACATGTTTAAGATTTACCAAAAGTCTATACCGTCTTTGAGATGCAAATCGTCAACATAGGGTTATATCAAGAGATATGAAGATAAAACAGACAAATATCTAAGATTGAGTCTAGGAGCATTTCTTTTTGGGGATTTTGATTCTTTTATTTGGAGGATTGATGTTTACATGTTCGCCTAGTTCCCGTACGACACTCTGGTTTCCTCCAGTAGCCAAAAAGCATGCTTGTAAGGTTGCTTAGTCACTCTGGTGGTGCATTTCCACCAAGCGCTGTGATTTGGGTCAGCACAGTTTGGTACGGTACAGCCTGATCCTGCTTGCATTTCCACAGCCAAACCAACCCATAGCATGACATCAAAGCAGCACAACACAGTGTGTGGACTGCCAGTAAATTCAAGGAAAGGCATGGCACAGTAACTAAAGGGCATTGGTGGAGGACATCCTGTGTTCTGTTCTTTTGGCATGTGCTTGTTTATCACACAAAGAAGATAAGCATCTGGACCCATGAGCCAAGATTTAAGGCGAAAGGCCACAAGTCAGATTTGACACTTTGCCTTCTTTCACTATCAAGAGAGAAACTTCATATACCTGAAAAATTTGGATCCCCCGCAAAGTCAGTCCCAATGTTAGAGAGGCCTCTACTTCCTTCTTGTCCTGTTGAATGAGAAATGATCAAAAAAATAATCATTTTTTAAGATTCAAACAATGCCAGTCTGAGTTGAAAATGTCTCAGATATCAGTTGCACATCGTAAGAAAGTCCTATCTCTCACCTTGTATAGTCTGTAGTAATGGACAGTGACGTCATCCAGCTGGGCACACTCCTTGATGTATTTGAGGTGAGCCTCTGATGCCGTGAGAGCAAACTGGTCTTTGTGCATGTTGGGAATATGTCTCAGGATGTACTCACGGCCGCGCTTGGCTATCACCTGAGCAAGGAGAGAAGGAGTGACACATCAGACTTGGCCGTCCTCGAGTTTTTCAGGCTCATTACGGCAGATTGGCAGAGCAGGTTGCCAATAAAGGTAATGAAGCTCGCTGCTGCAGGCCAAACAGATGTCAACCCTGAGAGACTGAGAGACCGAACACAGAGGCACGAGCTGAAAACACACCCGCTAAGCCTTATATGTGGCTTCTGGAGACTTTCTAAGCATTTGAATCTGCGGGGGGACTTACAGAAGAGTAGCTCCCGTCGAGTAATTTCCTGTCACTGCTGGTTTCAAGTGGCGATAAGAAGGCAGGGGGTTAATTACAGGAAGTGAAGGCCAATCAGACGGGTGTGTCTGTCATGGCGTACATGGAGAGAGGGGGGAGGGTGCCAGTGAAGCCAGTATAGCCATGACAGCAGGAACATTTCTCAAGATTAAAAAAAAAAGTGTGTGTGTGTGTGTGTGCCACTTCCAGGGACAAAAATAAACTTGGTGCCCCAGTTCTCATTATCCCACACGCTCAGATGTGGAGCTGTCGCTAAATATTTGGACAGAGTGATTAATGGAAGTGGGCTACAGACACATTCATTGTATACGCTGCAGACCAGGACACCTACCACACCTCTCCTTTATGTTTCAGCCACTCAGTCAGTGATGCAGCAGGTAAATTTGGGTCTCTTTGGCCGGTAACTGTTTAAGCCACTGATGTTTTACAAGGACATTCACTGTGACTCACTGGAAAATCAGACAGACTAACCACAGAGAGATTTACCAGGCCAGTTCCATGATGTGTTCACAGTATTACTCATATTTAATGCTACTTTTAAGCCTCTTGTATATGCTCAAGTCTCACACTCAAATATACTCGTAGAAGAACCAAATAGATGAGGTGCAAACTACATTAATGTCTCCCTGATTAAACTCTGGCTGCATCTGTTGCATGCAACATTTCTCTTTTTTATCCCTTTGTTTATTCTCTGCCTCCATAGATAGATGTTAGGAAATAAGTGGCTCTCCTGCCATTTCAAGGCAGGATATTTAAAACCCTGTTATGCCATGTCCACAGGACATAAAGCACGGTGCTGTAGTGGTGGGGAAAAGTAATTATGCCTCTGATCTTCTCTTGGAGGTAGTTACAGGGGTAGACTTGTAGGAATACAATGGTGATGTGTAGCTTGGAAGCCCCCAGGGCACAATAGCAGTGTTTGTATGTGCAAATCAAACACTGGGACACCAATTTCACGCCATTTTGGGGCACATCGTTCAAGTACTAAGACGTACTGATGACAAAACTGTGTTCTGGCGCTGTTGTGGAGTTGCGACACACATGACGTTTGAGTGACTTGGTAAGTAGTCGCTCAGGAAAATCGATTGATTTCATTTGTGATGGAAATCAAAAGGGAATAGGTCAATCCATTGGAGAGCATCTATAAATCGTATTCTTAAATCTTAATCCTGTAAATCCTGACGTATGAAAAGATGAACTAATGTCGAATATAAAGGGCAGGGTGATCGTTATCATAAATCCACTCTTCTTCTATTACTTGAATTTGACATGCAAAACCACACACAGTGCTCACTGGACATACTCACCCATGGGGGGAAGTAGGCTTCAGGTTCAAAGTACTTCCCAAAGTGCTTATTTCGTTTGAAGTTTCCCAGGTCTGCCTGTAGGGCGAAGGCTGCCAGCAGGAAGTAAGCCTCCTCTCTTTGGATACACTGAGAGAGCAACACCTGTTTCCTCAGGTGCCAGTAGTAGTAATACCTGGCTGCTCGGTCACTGTGGGACAGACAGACAGAGGCTACATTAACCAGATTAAAAGGGAGGCAAACAGAGATGTTAGGACAGTTTGGACCTAGAAGCGGTTGTTGTCAAAAGGCTTTACTTACCTGATTAACCGCCCATTTTCCACGTAATACTGAGCTCTGAAGTGGACGATCATTGGAGGTCCGAACTGGTCGATTCCCTGAGAGAGAAACAACAGCAGGTCGTTCATTCTTTACATTTGGTTCTACTAAACTCATGATCGTATCAGACTATATCTGCATTTTACATAATAAATACAGAAGATATGAAGCTTGTAGTTTTAGATCTTTACTTGTTTTGGACAAACAAGTTTATTTACATGACTGTGCTTACTCGAATAAATGTTGGCCTATTATGTGACTCATCTCCTGCGCAGCATTAAAACCAGAACTTACTGTACTCCTCTCACTTTTTCACTTCGTCTGAATGAACTTCTTACCTTGCTTGCTTCTCTCTTCCATTCTTTAGGGCAATATTTGGATAGCTTTTGATCCAGCTCCATATAGATGTGTTCGTTATCTGTCAGAGGAGAGAGAGAGGAGAGCAACAGGTTTATCTCTGATACTTGTTTCTGATTCACCAGTGTGTGTGTGTGTGTGTTTACGTGGATGTTTAGGTGCCTCCATGTTTGTGTGTGCGCAGAGAAATCCTCCCTGAGTGCACCCTGTTCAAAGTCTGCCTCAGAGCCGTCACATCAGACAGCTTCTGCACTTCTCTTTGTACTCAGAGCCTCTGCTGCTCCTCCTCGCTCCCTCACCTCACTCTGCCGGGTCTTAATCTGCTCCTGAACTGACGCCTTTCATGAGTTGCACATCTGACAACTCTGAGTGAGTTTGTACTGAATGAAAACCAACTCAACAGCAGAAATAAGGTGAAGAGCAGGAGCAGGGTCTTTTTAGCTGACAAGTAATGTACTTTTTTTGTCAGATTTGTAACCTGTGAGAGAGTCAGGAAGACAAATTGTATGACTCTAAGTGAGGACAGCAACTGAAATGCCCTGAATATCCAGATTCCTGCTTTAGCCTTGTTTTTATCATGTTAATTCAGTTATTTTCCCACAAAGACAGTCTGGTTTTGTTTTGCCCACCACAAAGACCTCCGCTGCCATGACGATACAACTGAGTTTGATTATATTAGACTTGTGGTGCTCAAAGAATCCAAGTATTAGTTTGGAAAACTTTTCAGCGGAATCTGTTTCCAGGAGCAACATCCTGCTGATGGAGCTAATCTGAAAACATCTCTGTGAAAAGTTTTCATTTAGAATTTGTTCAGGGTAGCCAGACAAGGAAGTAGGCAAAGATCAGAGGGGAGTATGGTCTTGAAGATTTAAAGGAATAGAGCCTTAGTTCTGCTGTCTGTCAAATAACGTCACTTTACAGGGGGTGACCGATTTTGTTGAAGATTAAAAAGTATGTTTGCAAATCAGATTACCCTTAGTTAATTATCTGTGCTTATCTTATTCATTAACTTACCACTGACTGCCTTAGTTATCATGGACACAAAACATTCTAACTTTACTGAATTAAAAAAGTAAAAATACCTCCTTAATCACAATAGTAAATACTAGTGGTGCAACGGATCACAACACTCACGGATCAGATCGTTCCTCGGATCAAGAGTCACGGATCAGATCATTTTTCGGATCAGCAAAAAGCAGTTTTGTCTGTATATTAAACACTTAAATGGTTGAATTAAAATATATAAAAGTAGTGCATACGGCATAATATCTTCTTTTCAACATAATTATTAATGAAAAACAACTTAAAGTGCAATATATAGGCATATCTCCTTCCTTTAAAATGTAACAATGAACCAAAAATGAAGTATGTGCGCGGTGGGATATTGTAACGTGGCTCAAGCACTTTCAGCATGTTTTTAAAGCCCTCGTTTGCACAACTGAATATGGCCTCATGTCTGTAGCTATAAACACACCGATAGCGTTTGTGATAGCTTTAACCCGGTCGGATTGCGCAGGAAGAGGCTGCTTAAATGCTGCGGTGATGAGCGGTTGCTGGCCAGCTTTCGTTTTATCTCAGGTGTTGTGACATAGAATGCACCCCTGCCGTAGAATGCACCCCCTAACGGGAGCGCGGTTTAAAGTACATAACGAGGCGAAATAATCCAAGTTTTTCTTACATTGGATGGATTCAAAAGCGTTTGCCTTCAATAATTTCATTCAGGCTATTCAAAGAAGCCAAAAACAACAGCCCTTGGAATATTGCTGTCCCGAAAATATAATGCTCTCTACCTGGACAGCTTTCTGTCCAGTTTATACCCAAGTACACCTCTATATTTGCATTTTTGAGACACATAAAAAGAAAATGAAAGTTTGCTGCTCCATTTGACATGTTGTCATGATCTAATACTCGTGTTTCTTTAAATATGAGATCATTATCTCCACTTTAAGAAGCTAACGAGTGGAGGGGATGCAGGGGTGCGTTCTACGGCAGGGGTGCAGTCTACGGCACAACACCTGTCAGTAAAACACCCGGGTGATGTCGCTTTCAAATGCGTGAACATGCTCGATGTGTTTCCACTGTCATATGGCTTTCTTATGCCACAGTGCCTACACACCTTCGCAGTTTTGTCCACTGACCTCTTTCCTTCCTCATCATAGTTGACAGGGAAGCCAAATTTTTTTTTTCAGAAATCGAACCGCGGGTAACGTGTGTGCCGAACCGATGACGTCGATCCGAACGGATCACGGATCAATGATGATCCGTTGCACCACTAGTAAATACTGTAAACACTGTCCATTTATGTCTGATGTAGCAAATCAACTGGGGTCGTGGGGACAGAGGGTGACACACAGGGGGTGGGTGGCCTCTGTTTTCCTTTGGGATTTCACGCTGTTCAAACAAGCACTTCAGGAATGTCCCACGATCAGACCCATTGGCTCCTGCTCAACTGACCTGCTGAGCCACCATTGGCTCATCTCACAGCCAGCTGTCCAAAAACACCGCCTTGGCAATTTACTCTCCCTTTGCAGTTGCGTACAACTGTCACCGACTGTCTGCCTCACTGCGGTGCAAACACGGTGACTCACTTTACTCGAACGCCCCTCACTGTGCTGCCACCGTAAAAACAACTGCGGCCTCACTGCACAATAGGAGCCAGTCAGGATGCAGAGGCCCCAGCTTCTGTGAATCCACTGTGACGTGTAGGTGAGAGATGCAGTATTTGGGGCAGATTCCTGTTTCCCAGCCAAGTTATTAGTCTGGAGAAAGTGGCTGCCTGGTTACATTGTTTTTCTAAAGGGCTCTGGTGCTTTTTATGGCTGCATCGCTTTACAATAAACCATGTTCTTCCAGTATGTTCAAACTGGGCTTTACTTTATCAAAGTAAATATGTGAGGGGAAAAAACAGTGGTATGCTATGTTAATCTGGTGGATAAAAAGTAAACAGATAAACTTAAACCAGAAGAACACAAACAGGTCAGACAAAGGAAGAAAACAAGTCTTTGTTTCCCCAGAGTGAGTCCCTGGAATTATAAGACCTACTCTGAATAACACTCAGTCCAAACAGGTGACAGTCCTTCAGCCTCAGGAGGTCACACACCTGCACCAACAGTTCCTGGCACAAAGTCTTCACCTGAGGAAGAGAGGGAAAAAAGTACAGCAAATTTAGCTTGGAGATATAATCTGATGAATAACAAAAAACACCACAAAACAACATACATGCTACCCTGCCGGGAGTCTCACATTGTCAGGAAATGTGTGCACGCCTTGGCATGCTACATAACAAATAAAATCACTTCTACTTGGCCACCAACAATTGAGCATTGTCTACGGATCAGATGTTAAAAGGGTAATAAATCAAACATTGGATAATCTTCACTTTAGATACGCCACCAAATCAGTGTTTCATAAGAACCAGCATTTGGCTGCCAAAGAGTACTTGCCATAATTTATTTTGAAATCCAAACCCTTCAGGCTAAGATCTGAGATGTAAAGTTTGATCAGCTTGTCAGCTTTATTGAAAGGGTCAGATGAGGGAACCATTACTGAATATGAGGCTGCAGATGGTGGCCAGCTATCCTGTTTCTTTCTGACTTATTACTCCCTGTGAATTTATGCTGTGGAAAGTATATCAAAAGGACTTTAAAGTGGTGTGCTGTAACATGCTTCCTACGGCAGCAAACACAAGTGCTAACTGCTCATTTAATGAATGTGTAAAATCACAGATATCCCCTCAAAGGCACTAGAAAACAGCAGGAAGTTTTCATGTTTTCAGAGCAACAGCGTAGCTTTTTGTGCACTTCACTGATGACCCTTTTGTAAACAAAGACCAGTATGAGCTGGATTTGCATCTCAAGTGTTTCTGAAATCTGAGGCTGCTGACTCTATAAAGACCCTCCGTGAAAACTCAAATAAACAAGCTATGGCAGCAGCTTATGTAACAGTAGTTGAGTTTTTGAGCTGCAACTCTTTCCTCTTTGATACATCTGCCTAAAGAGTTGAATGAATGCTGTGACAGAAACATTGCACACATTTGAACTTACATTGACTATGACATTAAGTGTGTCATCATTTGGCAAAAAGACACAGACGCAGCGGCGGTCCTGCATGGTTTTGTTGTTGTGGAAGCTCAGTTTGTTCATCTTCGTGTGGCTCAGACAGGACAGGCCCCTCCGCCTGCTTCCACCGCAGGCACCAACACCACCACCACCAGGACCAGCAGTCAGTGTATGTGTGCTTCAGCTGCAGCCCAGTTCAGACACACCAGCACCTTCAGGCTCAGTAGGCCGAGCAGCACTTACAAAGCAGAGCATGTGGACCTCAGCTCCAGTCAGTCACTGAGGAGAAATGAGAGAAAAAGAGGGATTAAATATGAGTGCAGGCAACTGAATTCTGCTTTGTATGATCTATAGAGCTGTGGATTGCTGAGTGAGAGTCATAGTGGCTGTGTTGTTGACAAAAAAGGATGAAATTAGTCTGAAAATCTCTATAAACATTTAAGAATATCAACACTGCAAGTCTGAAAGGATAAAAGTCAGGCACAGAAAAAACAAGACTGCATTCCTGCTCGTGATATAATGTCATGGGAATGTCGGTGACTCCTCACAAACATTTGAACATCTGTCTGGAGAGGAACTATCAAGATGGCATGAGAGAAACACAGGGACTGAGTGACTCATACCTAGAAAAACGCACCAATTTTTTATGATTTTGAAACACAACAGAAATGTGATTCACTTTAAGGCATTTAAACACCAAACTAGAAATACAACTGAAGTCTAAAACATGCTGCCTTTAACAGCTGTAAGGAGACTCATGAACAGGGTCCAAATGTCAAATGGAGGTTGGCTCTGTAACTCAAACAGAACCATATTTTCCCTCCTGGCAGCACTCTCCTGACTTCTTCTCTGTCGGCTGATATCCACAGAGTTTGGTTTAATGGATCTTTGCAGAGGTATTGTTAAAAAGGAAAGTTTACTGTAATAGAATCTCTTATTACACCAGAGTGGAAACTCATTACACCAGAGTGGAAGACTTCATCCTTGTAACATACCAGCGATTGAGTTTTATTAGAAGTGCATTCCAATAAAAATCTCACCCTTCTTATAGGATAATCTCACATCCAGAAAACAAAGCAATGTTCTTCTTATTTTTTTTATACACACAACAACATCTTTTCTTTGGGCTCCATGCTTGAGTTTCAAAATGTGCTATATAAATGAAGTCAAGTGTGTACGAGGCTCAGGGCTGAATGTGACCAGCAGAGGGGGTTGGCAATTTGGTCCCAGACTGTGAATCTATCTGTTCCTCACAACTATCAACTCGACCAGGAGCTCATCTGCTACACAGGTAGCTAGCAAAGGGGTGAGGCCATAAAAGCTACACATCTGCACCAAAACTACACATTGCTGAACACAGTGGAAATTTTCACATAGGGACACAGTTTAGACCCTTTTCCTGTATCTGTGACACATAGAGGAACTCAAGCATTATCGTAATGTCGAGGAAATAAGAGAAGCTTTATTAATCCCCAAAGGAAAATTCAAAAAGCACCAAGCTTTACAGAGCACAATAGTAAATAGACCATTTTCCATCATCATAAAGTACTACTTCTACAAGCTATATGCTGCTCTTACATACACAGAGGCATGACAGCACAACTTTAACAGTTGTCCCAGGAGCAGCCAGTAGCTCACACCCAGCATGAACTGTGCCTGAGGACGTGAAACCTTCAGCAGGTGTGAAAAGTCTCACACCAGACATAAGAATGTTAAAGAACAATCAATCCAGATTATCACCTCTTCCTGTTTAAAGTCGCTGTTGTCATTAAAAACAGAGAGCACAGACACACCAAAGAACCACATTACAGAGGGAAGAACAATTAGCATTGAAAAAGTTCTCGCCGGGGGGGTTAAAGGTTCACTCACAAGAGGAAAAGTTGAGGAGTTCAGGTCTGTTTTTGTTTCTACCAACATACAATTACAACAGTTTTACTGCAGTGTAAATCCCCTAAAGGTAGTTTGAGACTTACACTGCCTTCACAAGCTGGAACATTAAAAATTTTTGTGAAAAGCCTGCTTTAGTAAGAGTGAACTCTTACTCTAACAAAACAAGAAGAAGTGGAAACCTCAGTAAAAGTACTGACCGGAATGAGACTAATAAACAACAGCTTTAACTGCAGGCCCGGACCTCTGCTGCAAAGTCACCAAGTGCTCCTCAGACTAAGTACCCATTCAATTCGCCTGCTGTCGACATATAACACTGCTTTGTTGCAGCACAGACAGGGAGCATTGTGAGCGGCGCAGCCATAAATACACATACTGTTGACATTCAGCATCAGTTCTCATTAGAGCTGGTCATTCGATGTGCAGCGTGGCGGGCAACCAGCCACTCAGCAAACTTTCCTGATGAGAACTGGCAGAGACAACTCACTGCACTGCTGTTGACCTTCACTATACACAACTGCACTGAAACAACAGATACAAACATTCACACATATGTAGATGTAGATAAAAGAGGACACAACGTACATAAGACGCATCCACACTAGGGCAAATTTTAGCCTGTTTGAGACTAATCAGTAATCGGCCAAAACTTGCCGATTGTCGCCGATATTTTCAAAAATAAAATGCAGAGAATAAGATTCAGTTTCACTTCGAAAATGTTCCACCAAAATAAACCAGTTTGTAAAATACACAATAAGTCAACAAGTTTCAGTTCAACCCACTTCACGATGATCCAGTTAAAAACGCTTTTCTGGTCCATGTTTGATCAGTCGGTCTTCCTGTCGGCTACAGTATATAGTATACTGTAGATATCTACAGTATGTATTTTTTATAACTTCATAAAATTTTTTAAAATCGTCCGATTAATCGGATTTTACCCCCCCCCCTTACAATCGGTGTCAACATCGGCCCCCAAAAAAATCCATATCAGTCGGGCCCTAATCTACACGCATGCTCTTACAGAATGTGTAACTTCCTGCTCTCTAGCTGTGACCATATGTCTGGTGTTACTATAGAACAGCTGAGCTGTGTGTGTGTGTGTGATGGCAGCGGGGTTAATTAGAAGTGAGATCCAACTAATTGGATCACTTCCCTCCATCTCTCACTTCCCCTCCACAGACCAAGAGTGATTCCAGTAAGCAGAGAGAGATCCATCTGCAGAAAATACTCAGCTTTGTTTTCCAGATTAGTGAAGGGAACACCCCCAAAAACAAAAACAAGAAACAGCACTGTCAAGCCAGGGCTTGATTATTGTTATAGAAAGATGTAATGGCAGAACCACTAAACAGAGAGACCCTAGATGCAGGCTGGATTTTCAGTTTCTAAACACTGGAGAACGCCTCAAAACCAGATGCAAGTGTTGAGAGGCTATACTATGCTGGCTTGCACTGGAGGATGCATTCCTCATGGTAATTGAGCTTATATGGTTGGCTGTTAAGAGGACATGAGAAGGGTTTGCCTGGTCTGTAAACAGGGTCAACTGCAAGGTCCCAATCTTAACAAGGGTTGCAAGATAGGTTCTAGTGATCGGTAGATAGTTATGAAAGGAAAATTAAATAAATCAAGACTAAAATCATTACAGTATTTAGCGTGCTTATGTGGCATTTCAAAATGACAGCATGTTAGCTGCATGATGGGAGCAGGTGATGGCTTTGAAAACCTTCATTGCTCTCGGGTGACTCAGAAAGGCTGAGAACCACCGCCTTAGGGGAAAAAAAAGAAATATAAATCACTCATTTGAATGATATGAGGATTTACAGCTATGACAAATGAAAGGGTGGCTGCTTTAAGTGATAGGCAGGTGCTGATAGCTACCTGCTAGGCTTGAGATACAGTTATCTAACTTGACATTTTGGCCACCTAACCCCTAAGTTGGAAAGTTTGGCAGTTTGGAAACAGTGAAATTGCTGAATGGGAGTATGATGACGATGATTTTAAAAACCATGGTGGCAGAAAAGATGAAGAGGCAGGGTGTGGTTGTATTTACACCCACTCAGAAATTACAGGACCAAAAGAAGATGCATCTCATTCATTTAAGAAGTTGACTAATAAATGTCTCAAAAGACCACAGGAACTGTCGCTGCTGGAAATATTCAACTTCAAGTCATCTGCAAGCTGGAATGACTTGACAGGGATTGAAGACGCCCCATTTCTCCCTGGTGATTATTTTAGTACCAGTATAAGGTTGAAACATCCAGGCATCCACCTCCATCCACCTCCCTGTAGGAAAGTTAATAGCCCTTGAAGTGGGCTCTGCAAAAGTCATATCGTGTTGCATTTTCAGACAGAAATATGATTCCCGACTATGAAAAGCACATCCTTCTTTTGTTAATCACTTAGTTGAATGTCAGCGGTGAAAGTGGATGCCTGTGCTGGTCTGGAGTAGAGACGGTAACTCATACATAACTGAGTTAAGTCATTATTGATGGTTTTCAAACGCTGTTGTGTCACGTCTGGTCTGCACATGAGACACATCACCACAGAGGGAATGTCCACCGTGAAATGAAAGGGTGGATTCAGTTACACACAGTGGAGCATGAACACTGTGTGTGAGGGAAGAGAGTGCTGGGTAATGACATTACTGCTGCTTACCAGCCCTCTTTCACTGCTGTAGCGAAGTGTGATGCAACACCAAAGTCCATCTAAAGCAGCACAAGCACGCACAAAGAGCAGCCAGCAGAGCTTCCTCTGGCCTTTCAGCCTCAAACAGGGATTTTGTCAACGTGGCAAACCTGAGAGTTCAGGCTTGACACCAAATCCCACTCTGGGATAGAGAGAAAGGGCCTCAGTAACAACTATACCTCTCTGCCTCTCATTCTTTCCCTCCTCCAACGGCATCAGAGACCTGGAAAGAGTCTCCATGTCCAAATGTGGGGAAGCGGAGCCAAAGAAAACTTCCTCTGCTAGGAGAAAAGGGAACGGACCAAGCGAAGGAAACTGTCACCACTCAGTTTTAAGAATAGCTCCAGGTAGAGTTTGTGTCAAAGAGACAAAGAAAAGAGTACAGGATGGATAAATGCAGCGGCGAAAAAAGAGAGAGACAGCACAGGGAGGCAGCGCTTCGAAGCTTAGGCATGAAAAAAGGAAAAACTGCTGCAGTCAGGAGAATTCCTCACTAACATCTGCTTCTCATTGTAACAATGGCGGCCTTTGATTCTTCATGCACACACAACAAGCAGCACCGCCGCTGTCTCCATGTGCTCACAAACTGTATGCTCCAGCAGCATCCTGGAACCTGCACTCACTGTAATCCCTGATCTGGAGCTGAACTGTGTTTGTACACAAGTCTTATTCAGCTTAGCTAATTGGTTTTGTTTGTTTTCATTTGCTCCGGGTTCAGCGGGAGCATCACGGCCATTCACAAAGAGCTGAGCAGTCGACAATTGGAAGAATTATCTGTAATTATTTTGATTATGGATTAATAAACAAGGAGATTATGCTGTGGGCAATGTGAACTGTTGGCAGGACAACAGAGAAACTACCTGACTGATTTCTGTGAGACGTGGCTGAAGGGTTTATCATGGGCAAAAAAAGGATCCACTGAAGTTCAGATTGGATTAGACTTATTAGGATCCTAATCGACAAAGTAAACTCAAAAACATTTGAACCGTACCTTTAGCAAAAAAAGCTACAAAAATACTCCATAGGCAATGACTTTTCTAAATAGTGCCAACGCCTGGATCCAAATGGGGATATGTACATTTTCTTTCTGCAGTTGGCTGCCAAGGGATCTGTTTATTCAGCTGATGAGAAATGCTGCTGAGCTGACGAGAGGCTTTAAATCACATCAGTCACAAGGTGGCATTAGCCCTCACAGTGAGACTTCCCTCCTCTTCACTTTTTAACCTACTGGTACAATAAAAGGAGGGGCAGAGAGTTACAAACTTAACAGGGAAAAACAGAAACAACACGCTAGTGAACGACATGCTTGACCACTGCAACCTCAAACCCTAGACTGTCTGAGCCTCTATTTTGGGCTCTGGTTGGCTTGTCATGATGTCAGGAAGTGGCTGCCTTTACGTTCAGGAAATATGCTATTACACTGGTCAAATAAAGCTATTTTGTCGTCTTATATTTGACTTTCTCTGCTGCTGACAGTCTAAAACTGGCGTGAATAAATAACTGTGTCACTTGCTGATATTAATAGAGCCCCAAGGCATGTTTATCTGCTCTCCCATAAATACCTGGATGCTCAGTGTGTGTGTTTTTAGCCTTAAAGCCTAAGCTCAGAAGCAGAGGGAGAACACACAACTATATTTAAGACCCTGATTCCCATGATCCTTTACTCATAAGATCATCCAGCAGATATTTGTGATGTCTTTTTCTGCTGGGTTGACAGGGAGGATAAATTGTCTGTTTCTGGCTTTGAGTCAAACCAAACATCTGAGAACCAAAACCAGATTTTTGTGGCTGATCCAAAGTTTTCAAAATGTAGAATATGAATTATGGTGATTATCCACACCTCAGAAGCCCAGGAAATATAATTTTCTATCATGCTGAGTGTACTGTGTGTATTTTCTCACACAGACACATCATCAGAGAAGTAAATGCCTGGATGTTTCCCATCATCAAATGTCACACTCATTAACCCCTAAAGGTCAGGCCTGGACACAGCACGGTATTATACAGCTGTTGCATAATTCACGAAGAAGAACTGAGAAATTGGATGGTGGGTGGCCTCGGGCTGGACCACAACTTTCATTGTAAATGCTGCTAAAATATTTAACATTCATTATCTGGATTCACTGGAGAGAAAACTCTCATTTTACAAGAATTTCAAAGATGTTTCACCTCATTTGGTGCTCAATCATCCCGGCATCTGTTGTTCTGGATTTACTCCCATATTAAGGAGATGAAGCGCCTCCCTGCTCAGTGATTCATCATTTGTATTGATAAAGAATACAAATATGAAAGAGCCATTGAAAGCCTTCAGTAGCAGCTTATACACCGACAACGTGCAAACTTTTCAATTGTCTTTTCATTGGTTGAATTACAGCTTCAGACTTGAGGCATCAGCTATCGGGGCAAAGAGATGTATTGTGCCATAACCAATCTTGGCACGAGCTCTATGGACAATTCAAGGTTCAAATAAGGGTGGGAATGTTTGGGAATGCCATGATTCAACAGAGATTCTTAGTGGCCAAATCCAATATGTAATCCATGTTGGATTTAATGGCTGTTCAGGAATAAAAGAGGCATTACTTTCATGATTTTGCACTGAAGTAATCCATTCATTTTGTATGAAGTTTGATGAATTGCAAAATGAAACAGAAGTTTAAATACTTGGTCTGTGAAGAAAAACAGTAAACAAAAAAGTTAGCTACACGGATCTGGAAGTGATTTATGGTTCTGTATGTAAAGTCATATCAGATCAACATCAGCTATTAGTTATTTCAAAAAAACAAGTTTGTCTATGTGTTATTGAGGTAGAGGGGAAGTCTACTGCAGGATGTGCAGGTTTGGATAAACACTGTCACCATCGCTCTTAGCGCTTTTGTTTTGCTGGTGCCCTTCCTGGTCAGTCGTGGTCGGCCATTGACTTCTTAAGCTTACCTCAGTCTCTATTTTGTGGTCTCTGGTGGTAGTTGTGCTTTGTTTTTGTTTTTCTGGCAATGTCAGTGCACTCATTTTTAACTTTGGCCATGCAGGCAGCTGTGGTAGCTTACCCTGCTGTGACGTGTACACTGTATGTGTTCTCAATGGTTGATGCCCTACTTGGCTCGATCATATTCAAGGAAGGTGAGCACACTTTAAAAACGTTTATTTATTGCTAATGTATTGATATACTCAATATTGTCATTTCACACAGTGTGAAAACAATAACTCATCTATTCTCTTTGACGATACGCTTTATTACACACAACCCCACAAATACAATCAGAAAAATCGATCAAAAGTCAATCAACAAGGCCAGAAAGAACAAGTTTGAGGTCGGTGTTTTCTAGGAGAAGACCAGCTTCAGCTTAGTTACCTGTTGAAAAGTTATTTCAACATTCACAACATCTGGCTTCCATGTGGCTTCAAGGGTATACACACACATACACACACACACACACACACACACACACACACACACACACACACACACACACACACCTCAAACTGTCGGCACAACCAGACATGTTAGAACAGAGTCAGCAGTCACTCCCTTCTCTCCCTGCCCAGCTTTTAGGCTTGGACTGAGTATGAGTAACACCACAAAACTAGCAATCGTAGTGCAACGCACCGCGAGGACGTCAACCCGACCATTACATATGCTCAAAATAGTGCAAGTAGCTTTAAAAGAGAGGGTTAAAAATGAGCTGTAATTATGGCAAACCCCAACTTAACCCTGTTGTTTTGTTTTAGGCAAAGATCTACCGTTTTGAGAGAATTTCAAAGGTTGTTGAAATTGAGCTGATCTGTTTCTTCGGCCGAGCTTTTGCAACAAGACTCCCTGCTATTGTTAACACTGTCACACCACAAGAGGTGTCATGCCACTGAAGCTGAGCACCTCTTCTTCTTCTTGGGATAACTGTTTTACCTGCAGAGAAAGTGAACAAATTGGAATGAAATCAAAAAAATATATCCCTGCAGATATGTGAAACTTGGCAGATAGCGTAACAACACATAACTAGATGAATTCACCAGCATTTTCTGTAGCTACAAAGCACTTCAAAGCCTAAAAATTAACGTAAATCAACACAAAAGAAAGTCAATGTTTTGGGTCTGTTTCTCACAGTGCACCAAACTCAAGCATACTGTCCAATTGAAACTACAGCAGACATATCACCGAGTTTCAGAAAGCTATTTTTAAACTCTGCTGTCTCCAATAAGTGACCCAGGACTGAACCTGAGTCTCTGTAACACATCTACCTGCAACCAATCCCCTCCAAAATCAACAAAATATCCTAGAGGAAGTGCTGCAAGCTGTAGTGAGAAGCATGCGAGATAAGCTGATAATATCCTCGAGGGGGATGCAGGCAGGTTAAATCTCTTTGGTCCACTTCCTCTAAAGGACTCGAGCTGCAGTAAGAGGGCAATGTAAGCAGAGCAGGAGAAAAACACAATCTAAGGAAAGGGGAGAAAGGGAGACAAATGCAGGAAGAACTGACCTATTTTTTTCTTCTGTCCCCTATGGTGCACTTGAGTTGAATGAAAGGAGTCTTGCAACATCTCTTCCTTGGAGTGAAAAAGGATAGTTTGTGTCCAGATACTCAAACGGCCAGAAACACAGAAAAAAAACCTAAACTTTAAACTTCCAAAGCCACCTTTGCTCGTTTTCTGAACCCTTAGGATCCACTTAGAGACAGAGCTGAATGATATCAGTGGGAAGCTTGGGGCACCTGTATGACTTACATAAAGAAGGTAATCTGACAGCATACACACATTTGGACAAAGAAAACACATAGGACTGTAAAAGATAAAGTTTCTCCTTCTTTGTGGCAATAACAGTAATCTCATCCTCTTGTGGATTTGCACCACCCTCATTCCTCAGTTACATTATCTGGACACTCAAAATAAAGTATAGTACCTCTTGTACCTTATCATATAGAAACAGGCTGAAGGCAGACTGAGAAATGAGTTTAGGAAGAAGCAATTTACAGAGTAGCTTATAAAGTGGTATGAAAATATACTCCAAGAGTACATCATGCTACCTCTGAGAATTTGCATTGTCAAGTGAGGATTATGTAAAAAGCATTTGACAGGTTATCTTCAGTTACCTGTGTATAGAACTGCAGATATATTGTTCTTCAGCTCAGGTACTCTATGTAACAGTTTCTGTATTCATGGCAGAGTTTTAGCTTTGGAGAAAACCAGCCCTAAGGCTAAGGATTCAGTTGAGCTTTTGATGCAGAGTTTAAACTGAGGAAATGACTGAAAACTTGGCTACAGCATATCTGCAAGTGTGCAACAATCAATGTCATTTATAGCTTACTTAAATGATGGCAACCGTCATTTGTTGCTTGAGTTAAGTGATGATATACTGTGGGATGGGAGATGTAACCTTGTGCAACTGTGGGCCATCCCATCACATTCCTGCACAGAATCATCTGAATGAGTCACCAACACACAGACACACACCAACCATCTTTGTTCACACATTTCCTTTTTTGTTTCCTACTCAAGCAGCGCTCTTCCTGTCCAGACAGCACCTGCACTCTCTCTCTCTTTTTGTGTCTCATTCACAGTGTCACAGTCTGAGAAACATGAGTTGTTTTTCCATCCGTTTTCCCTCACACAGCTGTAGCAGAGACTTACTCGGCATGTCCCACAGTGTATGTTTGGGAATGAGCCACATAAGATAACCCACTGATTAACCTACCATGTGTACAGGATAAGTTTCAAGTGTAAGCAACCCCTGCAGGGGATCCAGAGCAAGCCAGTAGATTTTAACCTGGTGTGTACATGGCAAATCAAAGAAACACAACAGATATAGTCTTATATGACTTTTTTTCCAGCATACAAAAGTGTGAATAACTTTATATCTACAACCTTAATATAACCTATAGGCAGGAGAGTATTTAACACAACAAACCTGAGGGCACATTTCAGTTGGCATGGCATCCTTTTTGCCAATGGGCTCTTATGTAAGACATAAAGTCGCCAATTTCTACAAGGAGTGCTCAACTTTGACCTCTGACATGCAAAGAAAAGCTTGGTATTTTAGGCCCAAACAATGCCCACAGCCTAAAATCAGATCTACTTTGTAGAAAACGTGAGGATACCCACTTCCCTCCTTCTTATTACCCTCTAGTCTAGTATTAAACTGAGAGGGGAAATAGTTGACATTCCTCCTGGGCACTAAGGAACAACTTAGCAGTTTGTTTCACCAAACAGAACTTTTTTAGCATAAGTTAAACATTACTTTTAAGTACTGTTGAATGGTGTATTGGGCATTTAATGGCATGGTAACTACACAACAATATCAAGGGAAGGTTTTCTGCTATGTTCTCCGGAACAATGTTCAGACTTTAACAAACACTACAAACAAATACTGATTTTACACCACATCGCACTGTTTTCGTTTGTGTTGTGGCAGCGTACAAAAAGTACAATAAGGCTACATGGTTTGAACATGACAAAGCAAAGGGGAAAAAACATTTGGAGTTCGCTTTCTTGCTTTATTTTTTTATCAAGTCAATTTTTATATTCACCTCAACTATGAGAAAAAGCCAGACTCAGTGCTCACATTTCGGTGCCACATTCTCTGTAAAGTATCCTGGCAGCATCACCGTCGGGGAAGCGACACAACTTTGCAGTCTCAACTTTGCTTTCCAACCGCATTAAACGAGCATTAATTAAAGTAATTAAACAAAAGTGCACGAAACAACTTTACGTGAAACACTTCACGTAATTCAAACGCGAAAATGACGTCACGTTCGTTAGTAACCGTTAAGATTCCTGGAGCGACGTTACAGATACGGAGAACGAAAGTCACAGCATCTCGAACAGATAAAAAAACTCACCTCTTAATTTGGGGGAAAAGTTATTCCTGTTTTTAAAAGTGTTAATCCGAAGGGTTTTGTTGACTATGTTTCAGCAAAACAAGAAGCATCCACAGTTTAGGAAAGTCTTCAGTAAGTTTCAGACAGGAGTCGTTCCCCTGCTTCCTTTGACTACAGCCACATTCTGTTCCTACTGGATCTGTAGCAAGTACAGAGGATACATGTGCGGTCGTTGGGAGAGTAAAAAGGGGGGTGGACGAGATATCTAAGACGATTCTGTCACTATTTAAAATAATTTCGTGTAGACAAACTTTCATAAGCAAAAAATGTGATTATATAAAGTATAAAATACACTCACTTACACGGTTAAACTCATTTGCGTAGCTTTAATCACAAGCTTTGCTGTGGTACTTGTAGTGAACTCCCCTCAAGGAATTCCAAGTTGGTATCGCCCACGGCTGCCTCTCATTCCATTCCTCCCAACTGTGCTGAACTGGAGCTCTGCCGCATTAATTTTGGAAGTCTGCGGGGTGAACAGCAGCGGTATCAACCCTATCTAGGCCTGCTAAAAGAACACGCGGTTAAAGTTTGGCCAAGTGATTTAGGGCCGTTTATTTTGGTGTTTGCACAAACAACCTGCAGCTGGATGTCTTTTACATGCCTCATCCTCCAACCAGGAATGTGAGGAAGAAAAAAATCTGCAACTATGAAATAAGTCTTATCATTTGGGAGAATACAATGCAACTTTAAGGGGTAATATAGTATACAATTATGACAATGCAGGCTCAAAATGAATGTTAATATTAAGATGACAGTATAAAGTGCATGTTGTAAGTAAGGTTTATCAGTTTATTCAATTAAAATTAGATTAAGTAAGCCAAATAGAGTCAAAGATGTTTTGTTTACTTTTAGCTGATCGATAAACAGGCTTACTTTATTAGCCTATTCATGACCTACAAATGCAAACAAGAAGGAGAGGAGCTATTTGTATGATATTTATCGTCTGGTTTGGGATCAGGTTTCAAACTAAAGCCTGATTTATACTTCTACGATGACTTCAAGCTGTAGTGGCCTACACAACTATGAATACTCCACACAAATGCTGATTTGGCTGTATAAATTGCCACATTTCCAGTGTCTGGTTGCTCTAAATTTACGGCTTGTTTGTGTACAGGAAATTAGTGGTGACAGAGTCCAAGCGTATCATGCTGGAGTTGGAGCTGAAAAATGTTGATCAGCTGCTGATCTTTCAAAAATTAATTCAAATACTCAAAATAAAGAGAAATGAGATAAGATAGGATGTACAGCTATTTAATCAGTGTGGGCATAGGACAAGAGAAATATAAGAATTGGGGCAAATACAGCCTGCTTTGCTATGACTCGCTTAAAATTTTTGTGAGGGTGCATGCCAAGCTACAAATCTAGGCTTCTGCAGAGGTCAAATGCAAATTCAGTGTAAATTTGCCTCAGATCTTTCAGTGATTTCAAAAAGGGAATTGAAATATTTAATAAAATGCAATAAATTTCATCACCTCCCCTGCTTGACTGTGGTGTTAAATAACATTGACATCACTGGCTCTTAGATGGCCATGAAAAATGGTCAATAAAGCAGACCTCTTTTTAAAACAGTTATGCTTGTATGCGACTATCTTTTTATTAAATCTTGGACGAAAGAAGTTGGAGCGTGGGAAGCCAAGATCATACTCAGGAATGACAACATGACGTAAGCAAGAAGATGTACAGGCTCTTAAAGGACAACAGCTGGGCTTTAATAATGCATACTTCATTTCCATGTATATTAAGATAAATTCATTGTATGCCAAAGCCTCTTCCTCCCTCTTGAGATGTCACAGGTTTAAAAGTGGGGAGAACCCCTCTTAGTTGACATGGTGACCTGTAATTAGTGCTTGGGGGGCCCCCAGAGTCAGCTCCCACTGCTTGTCAGAGAGAAGAAATGAAGTGCCAAACATGAAAAGGGGCGCAGAAGTGTGCCTGGTCAAGCCAAGCTAAAATCCCCTCTGGCCCAGATTGTACACGGCTTTGAAGTGACAGCAAAAAAAGGACCTGTGAACAACAAAGCTTCCCAGAGACTATTATCTTCAAAAAGCAAGAAAGAGACTCACAAAGCTCAGACTCTCAATCCTTGGATCAGACAGTGAATTGATCAGGTTACTGTCATGTTTGAAGCCAAGTCAAAAGATAAATCTACCTTTTTGAGCGTATCATAAATAGAGTATATTATGTGTTATGCCCCAACAACATCCCTCAATACTCAGCAGCTTTATACCCCCAGCTTCTTTTTGAATCTGTGCCCTCTTTACCACCAAAAGACTTATCAGACAATGAATTCAAATCCCTGTAAGTGACTGACACTTGTAACATGTTCTATAACCCACCCTGGTCTGTCATCTCTCAAGTGCATTATCCCCACCCTGATATGATTAGCCGTCTCTGTCCAGGCTGCGCTGTGGCAAGGAGCAGGTTGGGCTCTTTGTTGCGGCTCTACTTGACTAATTGAAATAACTCCCACTGTGTTTCTGTCTCCCTGGGGGAAGATGAGTACCAGACTTCCCCGGTTCCACCAGCCCCCACTGGACTTCAATCATAATGGAGAATCCTTGCCATTAGCCATTTCCCTTCACTTCATCTGACACGTGCAACTACCCCAACCCCTAGAGCAAGGTACAAACATCATAGCATGATGTTCTGACATAAAGCTGTTTCTGTTTTGTACTCAGGAACATTAGATTTAAAACTAAAATGTAACTTACTCTTTGGATATTTATTTTAAACATTTGCAAATGCTGTAAAAACCTGAGAAATTTGTTTGCAAATTATCTAAATTTAAAGAGTTTAGAAATTTTCCTGGTGATTAAAACTTTACGGCACATGGTTCAAAACCCAGATTTGCATTTTTTTGTCTTTTGAGTAGATGTGTCATCCTTCCTTCAAGATAAAGCCTGAGAAATGCTCTTATGCAGCCATCGTCAAGTTGGGAAAAATGTTTTTATTTAACAGAATGAACAGGAAAGTAGAAGAACCTTGAAAAGTGAAACTTTCCAGGCACCACAGTGGTGTAGCGGTTAATGTGTTTGCCTCCCACTCCAAAAGTTTTAAGTTCAAATCAGGTTCGGGTCTGTCTATATGATGTTTGGAAAATCTTTTAGATTTCCTGAATGAACAGGGAGGTAATGGAACCTCTAAAACAGAAAACCTAACAAGCAGCCCAGTGGTAAAGTGGTTAAGGTTCCTGCATGATGGTCCAAGAGTTGTGGGTTCAAGTCCAGACTGTTTGAAGATGGGAAAAGTTTTTGAATTAACCGGAAGGTAGTGAAACCTTAAAAAAAGGGAATCCTTCCATGGTGGTGTAGTGGTCCTCCCTCACAGTCAAAGAGTTCTGGTTGTAATATCCAAGCTGGGGAAGTGACTTATTTTTCTGGGATAAAATTGAAAAAATTGCCTCAAACTGCAGCACTGCGCTGTGCTTTTGATCAACAAAGCAATATGGTGAAATGAAAAGACCTCGAAAAGTGAGCACTGCCAGGCAGACCTGTGCTGGGATGGATAGGACTGCTGCCTTTGAAAGAAATGGTTGGCTGGTTTGAATCCTGCTAAGAGCAAGAGAAAAGTTGAGTGTAAGGATGAGGAAGAGAGAGGAAGGGAAAGTAAAGGAAGATCAAGAATAGGAAAAAAAAGGCGTGTCTCATGAGAAGGTAGAAAGGATGTATGTAAAATATCTCACTATTATTATTCAAACAACGAGCATGTGTTGAGTTTGACTGGTATTTAAAGAATCTGAGAATTCAGTCGTCACAGTCTGTGCGGTGAAATTGTTGTCATTTGGTACTTTGTCATGTAAGGATGCATACTGTTATAAGTAAACGATGTTGGGTCAAGAGATGTGGAAGTTTTCTCAGTTCAGAGTGCCAGAACAAACAGTCCTATCGGTGTATGTACTGGTCATGTTTATTTTTATGTCCTTTTCTTCCAGAAAAACTAAGAATGTGGATCTGTTCTTAGGCAATTAGGCAGATGGCAGGTTAGCTGCATGAAATCCATGATTCAATATCTTCTCTCCTTTGGGAAATATCAAGGAAATACGAGAGGGCTCTTGTCTTTAAAGACAAATTACAGAGTATGATGGTGAGCAGAGGCCTACAAGGTTCACCCCTGAGTCAGTAATCTTAAAAAAGATCTTTTTAAAGTCTTAATGAATTTTGTCATCTTGCAGTTTAGTGGGAAAGCTGTAATTCTGGGAGCACTGTACTAAAAAGCAGCTGGAGATCTTTACAGACAGGTGCAGATGAGGGCACTGATATAAATTATTGTAAAAAGGCTTTCTCAAATGCTTTCCATTAATCTCTCTATTACCAGTAATGGATAAATAATGGAGCAGAGATCAAACCTTTTGTTGTATTGTCTAATTATTATACACACAGGACTGTTTTGGTGTAGCTTTTCATAGCAAATGAATTAATTCTTTTAGACTTTTTCTCATTTCTCTTTGGACTTAAACACGGTTAATTCTCATTTACTACAATGTGATGCACCAACAGCACTTTAAAAAAAAAAAAATCATTGTTTAGCTGGAACAATTGCTGCTGTATTGCTGACACAAAAGGGCCAAACAGCACAGCTAAAACAAGCCACACTCACATCTGCACGGTCACCAGCGTGTTTCTCTAAGCGCATGTGGATAGAAGGAGAGAGAGAGAGAGAGAGAGAGAGAGTGACAGAGGAAAAATATAAACAAAGAAAGAAAGAAAGTAGGGGAGTACTGGAGGGGGGTTGGAGGAGTACGAGCCACCAGACGGTACAGTGAAAAGAATACACAATGGTAATACTACACTGGCTTTTTTCATTATGCTTATGTAAGCCTATATAGTAACAGTATATGTAACAACACTGTTTAAAAAGATATGGTATGTTACATTTTTGTCATATTTTCCATATAGCAGGCAAAAGAATTTGTAATTTCCCTGTATTATATGTAACTAAGATATGCGCTAATTGGCGAATTTCTAAAAACTTATTGTCATTTTATTATCAGGCTTTTCTACACACTGCGTAGTTGTGTTACAAACTTGATTCTGATTGGTCAAAAATCAATATCAAAATCCTATAGTAATTTTGGACATCATGGTGGATATTTTAAATAAAACTTTGTATTAATTTAAAGACCACTAAACTTTTATATTTGTGGTTAATGGTTTACAGTAGACAGGTGAGACCAGGTGAGAAAGCAGCATAGAAATAAGAGAGGGATGTCAAAACACTCAAGCTGCGGGGACATCCACTAAATTGAAGAAAGCTGACATGTAGGAATCCCCATACTGCAACACAGTATGAGAAGTGGAGGTATTACAAGACGTCAACAAAGTTAGAGGAAAGGACTGTTTACAGGTATTGCGGTTGTTTTCTGCATCAGTGAGAGTGCAGGGTGGAATATACGGTGTGTCGAGTGTAGAGGGCCGTTGTTTTGTTTTGCAAATGTATCAACGTGGGGTCGTGGTAGTAGCTGTGAGTCAACACGGGCACCAGCTGTCATACCTGGCTTTGTCCCCGAGTTTTCACACACACAAACCTGGCATTGTGTCAACTCCCACAATCAGACACTGCATTTCTCAGCGAGATCTGACGGAGACTGAGCTTTACTAACTAGAGATATCCATTTTATTCAAATAGGACCACCAGTAACCTTCCTGTCTTTACTCTCTCGTGGCTTATTTTTTATTTCTCCTGAGCAATGGCTGTGTTTTTCTTTAATCCTTATTTCTGCAGGAAATTTATCTCATCATCTATTTCAGGGACAGAAGTGTGTGCAAAGTTCACTCTACACTCAAGACACATGACAGGAATTAGTGCTCATCTACTGACTTGGCAGTAGCAGTACTAAACTCAGAGAAGCTGAATGCACCTCTTAAAACAAAGAGGAACATGACAAGCAGGGAAATACAACTATAAACAATCAATATTAAGAATATCTCAGGAGTAGCTTTATGTAATCCATTTAATGATATGATTAATGATGTGCAAATACCAGCTGATCCTTACCTGATTTTTTAGTCGCTTAACAGATTTGGAGGCCCAATCAAAAGGGTTTGATTTAAGGTCCTGCCGTCCACAAGCTGAGGTGTTCTTGGTCAGGGGATTTGACCCACCTGCTCCCCTGATAGTGTCCAGTGGTGTGTGAATGGAATTAGTAAAAATCTGATGCACACCTTACATAGCAGCATCTGCTATCAGGGTGTACGGTGGCCCTGAAGGTCAAAGTCACAACTATTTTAGAAAGGTGATAAAATATATTTCACAAAACATATAAAAGTATTTTACATGAACACTAATGAGAAATAAAATAAGAATTGAATTTTGTAATGCAAATACATTTTGAAAGTATTAATACAAATAAATAAAAAAGACAAACATATTTTGGGAACATGAATACATTTTTAAAACTTATGTGAAATATTTGTTGTAGCCTCTCAGTTTTGATGTTTAAGGTATTTTTTGCATGTTTTTTTAAATCTCTGCACCTCATATAGATCAAATTTCATAGGTAAAGATGTCTTATTACAGAGTGAGAAATACTCACATTAAAATAATCATACTGTTCTGGACAGGCACGAGGCATCACAGTCAGTTACTCTGGCTAAATGATTAATTCCTGGAATTTAACCTGATTCAGAATTTTGCATGATGCTAAATTGATATGAGCTCTGCTCCTGCGCGGCCTCTCTGACCACTAACAGATCAGGTTAGAAGAACAGACGTTTCAAGCAGATGCCTAATGGACTTTTTATAAGAGCCGTAAACAATTATTGATTCTCTCTGCCTGTCAATGCTGGCTGAAATTCACTGTGACAGACCGCAGAAAGAGATCAAGGTCTCTGACATGATGCTGGCCAGTCTCAGCTGGTTGTTGTACCTCTGAGCAAGGTTAATAGAGAACAAATGCACGGATGGTTGGCTATCCTCAGGGCTGAGCTCTGGCTGAGTTCAACAGAGTGTTTGTCCTCTGTAGAGACATCCAGATCCCTCTTCTTCTGCTTGGGCTGACAGTAATTTTCCTTCATGTCGATACGAGTCCCTGCAGCATGTTGTCATTGTGAACACATATTGAACATTTGGATAAACATAGCGCACAACTCAACTATTAGCCTGCACCGCCTGAGGCCGGACTGTGCTATTTATAACTCTCATATATTAATATTATGTGTTGTCTGACAGTCAAGGTTAAAGTGTGTCGATGAAAAGCGCCTGAGCAAGCACAAACATGACACCATGAAAAAAGCTTTCTGCTCCGGCTACCGCTCCCCAAAGTTATGGGCGATTAGCTGCGCCCTGAAAGACTGGAGTTTATTGTTACTTCCTGAGCACATCCGAAGTCCATTAACATGAATTAAGATGTTTGCCTTTTGTGGAAATCTCAACTGCAGCTTTCAGTCAACAGCTCTTTGTCCACCACATCACGGGTCACCGATCGTTCCCGAGTCATAAATCACAGAGGGCTCACCTTGTCCGACACCTTGCAGGATCAGGTTTTTATGGATGACTGTCAGAGCGGGGATTAGAGTATCTTCTGTTGGTGTCTATCAGGGATTAGTGTTGATTGTAATCACTGATCTTTCCTGGCTGTGGAGGTCGCAAAGCTGGAGGCCGTGGAAAGGCTGGAGGCACGGGAGCGACAAAACAAACAAACCCCCCTTTTCCTTCGGTTCCTCCCCACCCCCACAGTGAGGAATGTGCATGTATGTTCACTCTTGTCCCCATTGTCAACACTCAAAACTGCACCGCTTACTTAATCAACTGATACATCAACCTAACGTGAATATCAGCACATGGATGTTAACACGGCGCCTGCATGCTGAACATGTGTGGCAGCTTTTTTTTGTACGATACTGAAGCCTGACTCCCCCTCCTGTCACAACCTCCTCCCCCTTACTGCAATAAAAACATTCCCTAAATATGTGAGTGGGGGGATTGAGTGCAAAGTAAGAGTGTAGAGGATGATTTAAACTATTTAACAGGTGACTGGTTAACCTGGACAAGCAGCCAAATGCAACAACTGCAGGAGTGGCAGAATTCAAAGAGTCATTGATGATCTGTGTTGTTTTTTCTTTACTGTGTGTGTCTTTGTTTTGATCAGGTGCCATTTTTCCTGATGTCAGTCATGCCCGCTATCAGTTTTAACAGGCCCTCGATGACCTACATCCAAATTTAAACCACAATAGAAGTGTGTCATGAAAATGTTTGACAGCCAAAGCTGCTCCTTTGAATGTAGTCCTGAAGCTTTCCCACGCGTTTGCTTTTAGTGGTTGCTTCTATTCATTAAGAGCTTTCTTTATGCCTTCCCAGTCAAAATAAAGAGTAAAGGATGACTTCATCTGAAAATCACGCGGATGCGGTGTAATCCGGGATGAAAAGAGCAGACTTTGAGCTATTTCTGTTCACATCGCACGACAACCGTCAGATCTGATGTCTGGAGGTTTGGTGTGAACACGTCTTTCTGCCGCCTTTTCTCTCCATCTGTCCTTCTGTTTTCAGATTTTGATCATATAGCTAAGCTGATATGATGCTTCAAATGTGTTGGGCCTTTTTCTCGTTAACTGACTCATGCTGAGCTTTGAGCAGCTTTCAAGGAGAGATGTCAAGTATTTTTAAGGCCACAACATCCTTTAGAAACCGTACTTTTTATCCGTGTTGAGTCTAAATCTGAGTCCTTGATTATATCCTTTAAACTTGGATATAAATACACAATCTACACTACAGACACAACAGGATAAATGCAGGACATGCTGCTCTTGTAAACAGATAAAAGAGCTGTAGACAGCATCCAAAGAAAAAAGGAAAGTAAAGGGGTAAAAGCAAATATTTACCTACTCTGTAGTGGTGTTTGGGTTTCGGGTGACTCTAAAGTTCAAAGTCCAGGAGCGAAAACTGCCCCAGAATCTACATTTAACTTCCTCAATCTCTACCCACTAGTCGAAACTGAAACAACAAGTGCAAACATAAATCCCCTTACAGGAGCCTGACCCCACAGGTGGTGTTTGACCCTGGATTCCTACATGCGTCTCATGTTTGTTGCTAGAATAAAGAAAGATACGATGCTCTGAGTGTCTGCGTGGAGGATTATAAATCCTGTTGACGCTTTTCTTCAAGGCCGGGAACGCTTCCCCACATAAACCTGTCAGAAATACTACACCCACTGATACAGACAAACTCACTGTCCTCCCACATGTTTAACTCCCTGTGTGTTGTGTCTTCACAGGCAGAGATAACGCAGGTGTCTGTAACAGGAGGGGTACGGGGAGGACGTAGGATTTGATTCACCATGATGGGGTTTGTTGGGCGGCGTAAGGAGTCTTCGAGTATTACACGATGAATCAGCACAATTATGATAAGAGACAGTCCTAATGTGAATACCACCATGCTACTTGTCATTTTTATTTGACACTTGAGAGGGAAAATGTGTGCTTTTATCCCTCTGATGCTATTTTTGAAGTGGATCCACAACTCCTTTTCACATATTACAGATATTATATCCTTAACTGAGAGTAGGCCTATGTTGTTTTTTCACTCATGTTACTGCTGCTGTGCCTTTCGAATTGCTGAAATTGCTGATTCCATAGCTTTCTCTCAGGAGAAGCTGCCATAATTGATATTTCTTTATTTGTGCATGAAAGTTTGTGCTTTTTAAGACTGTGTGGTAAGTAGGTGAAATACATTAGTGCATGATGGCATTTCAGCAAGGCGTAACTGTGCTTTTGCCCTTTAGTTTAGTTCATGTTTTATGCTTTGCTGGAAATATAATATATTCCCGCGGGGGGAATAAAACCTAAGCTGACCTTCACTCATTCGATCCTTTTTAAAAAGAAAGCTGCACTTGAAAAGCACTTCTGCTCTTAGTAGGTATCCAAATGGCCAGTGTACACGTCTTACCGTGTGTCTTGGTTCTTTTGTTCAAATATGAAAAAGAGAAGTGGGTAAATCTCTTGTTCAGGAAGCTCTAGACATTGTATCTGTGTTCTCTGTAGAGACACCGATGGAGCTCAGAGGTCAGTCTCTGAGACGTACCAAGCGAAGGGACCATCCTGTTCTGTCTGCTCTTCAGCTCAGAGCATCATGTGCTCACACAAAGGCTCAATGTTTGCATCTTATGCATCACTCTAAATGCGTCCCACACTGTCAGGAGAGGAGCTATAAATAGAAGCCGGATGAAAAGTTTCAGGGCCCTGGGGAAGTGTGAGAGAGGCGGACTGGTCCCGCTGTGCACTCACTGGTAAAGGTTTTAAGGTTGGTCCTTTTTTCATGAGACAGCCTTACTGTAGGGAACATTGTGAGGGACAGAACAAGAACGCAAACCAAAGCAACAGCTGAAACGTGGAGGTTAAGCAGCTTGCACAACCGGTCAAACAGTAAACAAGCTGATTTGACCGAATCAACTACAAATTGCATTATTCCTGGTAACGGAAGTTCAGTGCAAGGTTGAATCTAAAGCTTTTTCATGTGCCGTTTATTAAAGAAAACTTTTTATTTATACTCACTGGTGTGGAAAAAAAACAGAAATTGTGATTTTAAAAATATACGGTACGTGTTTCCAGGCTAGATTCCATTCTATGTTCAAACAAACTCCAAAAAAAATGCTTTTTTAAGACAGATTTTCATAACATTCTTTTATGCTTTGGAAACTGGATGAAACTATTACTTCTTGGTACTTTCTAATGCAATAAAATGAGGTGCAAGGGCATTAAAAGATAGGTGTATGATTTAAACAAATGCAAATTACACCTCTGTTTAAAATGAGCTAGTATTAGGTTAATCTTTAAATCAAAGTTACACAGACGAGCACTGTCTGAGAGGCTGAATTATTCTTAGTTGTTGGTACAAAGAGTACCGAGCACCCTAGAAACCCAACATTTTTGCACTGCATATGGTGAGTGCCAAAGGTGCTGCCAGTGGACATTGGCCCCAAGTGAGAAAAATAACTCATCTGCTTGTTGGCCTATTAAAGGACTGAAATTGTTTTTATGTCACAACTGTTGACATAATCTGGAGTCACTAACAATGGAAAATGAAATAAAAAGGCTTCATTGTCCATTCCAGTAACACATGGCTGTTATGGACAACCACTACTTCATTTTAGACATCAGGTCACGGCGCTGACTCTTGTGTTTACTAAAAGCACTGATCACTCAGTGAGGTAGGGAAGTAGAGACATGATGGTTTGTTACAGTCAGTAATTGTAGGGCAACCTGACACTGACAGAGTACAGGCTTATATCTGACATCAGGGAGTGGTGCTGGGGTTAACGTTTACACTCAGGGTCCCCCCAGCTGCCCGTCGATGACATCATCATCTGATTACATCATCTCCCACTGGGACTGGTGAGCCGTCCCAGCGTCTCCTCATGATTGGAGCTTTGCAGTGGTGTAAGTGCCCAACACTGCAGACTGTGATGCTGTTGGTTTAACTGTAGAGCCATTGTAAAAGGAAGAGGCTCTTTGTTTCCATCCTTATCAAATGTTTCAGTTTAATTAAATTCAACGACTATAAAAACCATATTTCACGGCAGCTGTTTTCCTCTAAGACCACTCTGGCTGGCAGCTCACATTCTAGATGTTGTACTATAGAGTAAGAAAGTAGAGACACTGACAATGTCTTCTCATTTGTTATTTCATGGCTGTTATAAACGCTTGTGAAATATTAAAACCAGCATAAAAAGAAATTAAAACCTCTGTCTTTCTTATTCCCGGTGTGTCCTTTTGTATTCATCTTTCTAATATAGTTAAACATAAGTGCAACGAGAGTTCAATGAAAGTTAACAGGCTGTCTTTCTTTGTGGCTTCGGGCTCTGCCGTGAGAGCAGACAGTAATCTGAAGATTGAAAAACAAGCGTGGTCACAGAAGCTCAGCTTTTATCATGCGTCTCACATAGTTTTTTAAGTCTTTTTTTCCTCCCTTTGGGTAAAGTTGAAGGTTTTTATGTTGGATGTTACATAAACTCAAATCTTCTTCAACTGTTTTAGACGTCTGAACATGACTGATAACTGTTTGTTTTTCTGGTTTAGGTTAAGGTTTTTGAGATTCCTCTTAACAAATCCAACAATGTTTAATGATAAACATGCTCACTATCTCAGTTTGGGGCATTAACAGGCTGATGTTGATAATGTTGTCGGAGCTGAAGGACATTACTCAAAGTGCAAGACTGATGGATGAAAACAGTCATTTAATAAGTTTGTGTCTGTAAACTTATGAGTTAAAAACAGAGCCTGGATGGCTGAGGTTAAACAGTTAGGGCATCTGATAAAAACACAGAATAGATGCCTCTTTCTGAGGGTTTTAGGGCACGTCCAACTGGAAGGAGGCCCCTGGGTTCCCTCTCAAAAAACACTTGAGGATTACAGCATACCTGTATATCATCATGGACTTCCTCAGAGTCTTCCACGATGAGTTGGAGACTGTTGCTAGGGAGAGGGACTTTGTCGCAACTTGCTTAGCCTGACGCCAACGTGCAAAAACCTTTGCAGTTACACATTTTGATCTTTAATCAAAATGTGCATTAGAGGGATAAATCAGTACCCTATTGTTTGTGCCACTTGAGACATAATGAGTTTGAAATGTAATTAGAGAAAGTAATGGTTCCTTTGTGAGGAAGCCAGTGCGCATATTATCGCTTTTTAAATAGTTAAGGGACTTTTGCAGATACAGAGAACGGCGTTAACAGGCACTTTGTCTGCATTGACTTAAATGTGAGAAGGTTAGCAAGTGAAGTTCTTCTGCTCTGGAGAAAGAGGGATTGTTTTCGAACTGCATACAATGATGTTTCGGAACATAAATTTAACCTTTTTTCTTTTACCTTTTAAATTGTTTTCCGTGTTGTGATTTTCGCTTTGTTAACTTGGCATTTACGAGAACAAGCCTCCACAAAAACCGTTGTTGCGTCCAGTTTTGATAGTTTAATTAGCTCTATGAGGTTCACTGCGGGACATTAACTGAGTTTACGGGCAGTAAATGTCACAAAACAATGAAATTATTCGAGCCAGGAAGACGTTTTCTTTTTTTAATTATGCATATCCGGCTTCTTCAGACTCTTGGAAAAACAAAGCAGAGGAAACATTTTGGAGACCAAGCAAGGAGGAAAAAGCACCCTGTTCTGAGCTCCAAAAGTACTCTTGGTTTTCACATGGGGGATGTTGCCAGCAGTAATTTCACTTGTCATTACCCTCACAAATAGGAATCCCTGTTTTATCTGCATTTCCGTCTCCTGGGTGCATCTATTAGCAAAGAAACTGGAGGTAATGATCAGTAAAGAATGGCTTTGGCTCATTTAGATGCTAACCCACACTCACACACACACTCTCAGTCTATAGTACAGAGAATTCATGATGTGTCTGAGCTGTCTTGTGGTTTTATCTGTGGTTTTGGTCTTCATTTGCAGTCTTTGTTCTTCTAAAACACTTTTGATGTTGGTTGAAAGTGCCACCGAAATTAACCCGGCTTTGACTGGACTCCATTTTCCGTGCCTCTGCACGAGATCTTAACCTCATTTTTACCCCGTTAACTCAAACTTCCCATAAGGCCCGGTTGAAAGGAACTTGCCGTCGAGTCCCATCTGAAGACCTTCACATTGATTTACTAGATCTTAGATGTTGAGTGTGTCATACAAATGAACAGCAGGCTTCAGAAGACAGAGGAGGAAGATTAACAAAGTCATGAGAGGAAGTTTCCTGGATGATCATCAGCGGTAATGAGCAGAGTGAAGAATCATGATCCTCGTGGTGACTGAAATGAGTTTTATGTGACTCATGTTGTGCTGTGCCTCTCAGCACAGCAGCTGCTCGTCTACATGTCTAAACAACATCCATAACACTGTACATAAACTACAAACGGCTAATGTGTCCAGATCTGCCAGGAGGATTCATTGTCATCATGCTCATTATCTCCAACTTTCAAGGACCTGCTGGGACAAGATTTTTTATACAATAATGTTCAAATTTATGTAGCAATAGATTTGATCAAGTTTCCTGTCAGAATAAAAATCACACCTGAAGGGACATTCCCTGTACGTGATTAATGAGCATCTTGGCGTTGACTCAGGCCCGCAGGCTCCTCAGGTAGTTGTTACTTCGCTTTGATTGGATCTTGTGTTTTTTTGTCCTGATGACGCAGCTTTGAGCGTCCTTCCTCTGACTTACATCGACATGATGAGGCACGAGGACACGTTCTTGTTTTTTCTTGGTTATCCCGACACTGCTTCCGGATTCTTCTAAAAGTTTATGATTAAGCAGCACCGGGTGTTAATGTTTGCCTCTGTGAGGACATTACCATGCCGTGGTCCTGTTTGTGCTTGCCAGCGGATTAATCATACTACACATAAAACTACTTAATCTGCCATAAAGTATAGATGTGTAATTACAGTCCTGCTAACTGTTTGTTTTTAGGGCTTTTCTTTTTACAGCTTTGCCCTCCATCGTAAATGGTTTTACAGAATCTGGCAGGATGGTTGTTGGTGGGATGCAAAACCATTAATCCCTTACAGGTCAGCCGGTTTCTCTCTCATCCTGTAATGGGCTAATTAAGGAGAACAGCAAAGCATTAAGGCGCCACCCACTTTGTGTGCACCATGCTGTGAACAGGACCTGTTGTCTTAATCAGGATGCCTGTTTCAAAGACACTTTCTTTTTGTTTCCATGTCGGTGACGTGAAACAAACTGCTGAACCTGGTTTTAAAAGAAGCTTGTTCCATTATACAATAATCTGAGAGGATGTGTTAGTTTATATGAGTGAATTATGATCAATTTAAAGCATCAAAATCTTGTTTAATACCTAGTTTTGTTTTATAAATAATATAAAGAGTTTTTTATTTTGCACTCCAGAAAAAAAGCAAGAATAAAGCCTTTTTTTTTCTTTAATTGGTGAAATAGTATAATAACCAGTAAAAAAGTGACACTCATGACTAACAAATAAGCAAACAGACAATAAAAGTATTAAACACAAACTACACGGAGTAGGGGGCTGACAGCAAACAAACAAAAATGGCTCCCTACAGATGGTGTTTTACTGTTCTTTGGTCATTTATGACATGAATCTGACAGGAAAAAATAGATACATACAAAATTAAAGCTCCTGTAAGGAACTTTCACTTTGTGTCAATTCTGGCGCCCCCTATGGGTCAAAGCAGTCTTTGCTCATTTTATCCCCTACATGCTAATTTCATATGTAAGTTGTAAAAACAGGGCTGTTCCTTCAGCTGCCCGGCTGGCACCTAACCCCTTACACCACCAATTTAAATATAAAATCATTTATCTTACTATTAATGGTCTTGTTTGCTGTTGAATAT